TGTAAAGATTTACGTCTTTTATAATATTCGATAAGTGCTGATGTTAGAAATTCACGGTCAATTGGAACAGAAAGTTCCTTAGGATATTGTGAACGCAAGCCAATATGTTGAAATAATTTATAGAATTCATCGTCATCTAAACCTTCAAGATGTTCAATAAGAGTATCTCCAGTATCTATTGTAGCATAATTTGATGTAGCCAAAATAATCAATTTTTCTTTATACTCTTTCATAGCAATTCTCTGTAATTCGGCTATTTTATTATAATGGATTTCTGTCATTTTTTCTGAAGAAAGTTCTATACTGTTATGATCATCATATCCAATGTAAATATATTTATCCAAAATTGAAAAAAGATTTTTAAAAACATAACTAAATGAATTAATAAAAAAGTAGAATCATTAATTCTTGTTACTTTTCAGAGATCATATACACTGGTGATTTTTTTACTAGTGCTGTGAAGTGAAAATCTTTAAGAAGAAAATTAAGATATCTTCTACTAAGAGGTTGGCTCACTAAATCAATTAAGAGTTCCAAAACTTTTTTGCAATAAATAAGATGCTCTAATGTCTGTAAAATTAAATAAAAAAAAAATAAATATATTACCATTATTTTTCGTATTATATAAAAGATTTATAAAATCAATAATAATGTTAAATAACCAGTCCCTATAAAACTTATTTTTTAAAAGAATTTCATTATCTATACTCATATTAATCTTATAATCTACTAAAAAAATAATGTACTTGAACTGTTAAATTTCTTAATGCTTGATTTCCATTGTTTTTGGAGACGAGGATATAACGAAATTCTTGATTTTAATGTCTCATTCGATGATAAGTTTGCCCATATATCAATAGATACTAAAGACGTACATTCTTTTCGTATAACAGCATTATCAAAAAATTGAAACGACGCTATAATAAATGATAATAAATAAGTACGCAATATCACTTTTTTAGATTCAAAAAATGCTTGTTCTAATATTCGCTTGAAAAAAAAAGAGAAAAAACTCGGTTTCTCTAATATAAATTCTAAAAATATCAATATTTACCATTTTATCCAAATTTTAAAACCCCATGGCTTTCCTAATGACTTTTTATAAACTAAAAGAATACATATAGAATAAATATGACTGATCGTAGACTCTTCACTCAAATTTCCCCACAAATATCTTTTTTTTTAATTTATCAATATTTATCATTTAATATTCTTATAAAAACCTCTCCAAATAGCCATTTTCTTCCAAATAAAATAAAGCTCTCTCATTAAAACGTAATTTCTCAATATAATCGTAGATTTCTTCAACTATTCTCCCATCAAATTCCTCCTTAATTAACCACTCTGTTAATTTCTCCTCATTTATCACTGAATTCATCTTTTTAAACCCGGAAAAAAAGCAATATACCTTTTTCTTATCAAAATCATTCATATTTCTTATGTTTAAAGCTCATTTTACCTTATAATTACCCCTAAATATCCTTTTTCTTTCAATATTAAAAATTTAGGACGTTGAAAAACGCTCGATCAACGTATAAAATAACGTCAGCCTTTAAGCTCAGCCTTTAAGAAGTCTTAAAAATGGCTGATTTGCTGCCATTATTTGACACAATCCAGAGGGAATTGAGTATAAATAGCTCTGAATTAAAAGAAGAAGTTATTAAAAAGGTTTTAAAAGAAACTCAGGATATTTATGGAACAGAAGATTTTAAATGGTTTTTTGAGTGCTCAGCAAAAGAGATTTTGTATGAAATAGCTGTTGGAATATGATTATTATGAGGGTTTATAGCATATTAAGTGTTTTTAGGGCGATTTTTCGTTGTCTCAGGAGGAAAAAATTGAAAAATTTTATTCAATACTTGATATATCAATTATTGGACAACAAAATGGTTTGTTTATATATATAAAGGAGCTATTATGAACTATATAAGGAATGCTTGATGATATATTGCCATTTGTTCTTATTGAGGACTTAATGGATATGCAAACGGTTGCAGAATGTAGCAAACTTTTTGATTTTTTAAATTCACGAATTTCATCATTAATTGAGGTGAATAATGAGGAATATATCTAGATTATATGGAGTCTTATTTATTTAGAATGGTATTAATGGGACAAAAGGAAAAGGACTTGTATTATTGAGACTTTGTAATGAGCTTTTGAGACGATTATCAAAGACAAAAGATTCATTATTCTCAGGAAATGTATCAATGTTTTTATCACATATTTTTCCTCTTAGAGAAAGGAGTGGTCTTAATCTTAGAGGGGATTTTCATGTAGAAAATATTACAGTTTGGGAAGATATGAATCATAATTTTCATGAAAATCAAAAACAGCAAGGTGAAATAAAAAAAGAGGATAAAATAAGTGATAAGGAGAAAAAAAGAGATATTTCAGATAATGAGAAGAAGGAAAAAATTCCATTAAGTATGAATAGAACTTTTTATGTATTAATTTTTAAAAAAATATTAATGATTTATGAATAGATACATTTTATACGATATTCTGGTCTATGCAAAAATTTTTTTCTGATCCTTCATTATTATATAACTCTAAAGAGATGCAAGAATTCAAATTAAATGCTTCAATTGTTTTGGATAAGATAAAGTCATTAGAAGATGAACAACGTAAAGCTAATGAAGTAAAAATTGAAAATCGAAAAGGTGATCGTAAGAAAAAACCAGAATCTTTAAAATATCAACAATCTCATGATTATTTTGAAATGCATTTTTTTCCTAAATTTTTGACTAGTTTTAAACTTTTCAAATTACAGGTTTTTTCTACTTTTAATTGAGAATATATGAATTAACAAAAAACTAGCTCACAGATTCTAAGTTTAGAAAGCATATTCTTATACAATTTATAATTCTTTTTGATTATTTACTTACTCTTAAAGATTCAGAAAAAAATAAACAAGAAAAAGTAATAACTACAAATCGTTTATTACAAACAACATATCTGCTCTCTCAAGAAGATGTATATTAATTTTAAATCTTTATATTCAAAAAAAAAATTAATATTTAATTTAGGAAATATGGGTTACTGAAACTCTTTCTAAAGTTTATACCATATTAGAATCAACTCTTCCTGATGGACAACGTTTCTCACAAAATATTCGTTCAATTCTATCTTTTGAAAAAAATTGGGTTAATTGGAAACTTCAAGGTTGCAATGCATTTGAAGAATTTCCTATTTCTGAAACCTATATCAATGATATTAAAGCAAAATATGAAAAAGAATCTGAAACCCTTAAAGCTTATAAATATCCTCTTGGAAATTTAGCACTTTCTAGGCTTTGGGAAAGAGGTGGAACACATACAATGGAAGACATGGCAAAACAAGAACGGTAAATATTATCCACAAATTATCATTGAAATTTCTTATTTATCTTAGTTTTATGTTTCCCGACATTAAAACTTTATTAGAACCTGCTCAACATGATCCTGATATTGAAAATATACCTATAAATGAAAGAAATTCAATTATTTCCGAAAGAAATACAATTAAATCTTGGAAAGCACTAAGAATTTTATCTCATTCAAAACTTCATTTATTTAATAAACTATCTGATCGAACTATAGATGCTATATCACAAATAGATCAATTTTTCAATGACAATTCTGACAAAAATACTACTATTTCTACTAATTCTCCTAAAAATACAAAAGATAGTCCTCAAAAACAACAATTGAATACAAATAATAAACGTACAATTGATGACGATACAAAAGATGTTCTTCATTCTGAAAAAAGAACAAAAATACTTCAATAGTTTTCATTAATTAATCAAATAATATTATACTCATTTTTTAACTAATATTTCTATATTTTAAATATTATCTTTAATATTACTTTAACTTTTTTTTAAAAATATCCTCCTTCTTTTAAATACCTCTTAACCCTTTAATAAGAATATCAATTAAAACCTTATATTCAACTTAATAATGAATTTAGAACGTAAGAAATCTTCTTTATATATTTTTCTTATGAATTATTAGAATCTTTGTTTCAACTAAAAGTATATATTAATTTAACTTAGTTATTAACCAATATTAATCTATTAGTTCATGGCAAAAAGCCTTAAACGTCAATCATATAAAGCTTCTCGTGATGAACAAGCTGAAAAACTTAATATAAAAAGGGTACAGAGGCCCTTTTCTTTTATTTTATATAGTTTAAATATCAGAGCTCAGATTCTGATTATATTATAGGCTATACAAGCAGGAAACTATGATATTGCAAAGATCTACGCATCAAATTCTATAAAGAAACGTGCAGAAGCAGTTAATTTGCTTAATTTATCATCAAAGATTGATTCAGTTTCAAGAAGAGTACAAACAGCTATTACTATGAAAAATGTATTACTATTATTTATATATAAATTTTCTTATGAAACGTTCAGATAACAGGAAATCTAAAGAATATTGTCAAAGGAATGGATAAGGCAATAAATTCTATGAATCTTGAACAAGTATGATTAATATTTGTTTATTTTTGGGGTATAAATGTTTTTTAGATTGCTTTAGTAGTAGATAAATTTGAATCACAATTTGAGGATCTTGATGTACAATCAAGTTATATGGAAAATGTAGGATACATGTTTTTGTATCTTTTTTTTAATTTATTTAAGGCAATTGCAACTTCAACAGCTACATCAGTACCTCAAGATGAAGTTGATTTATTATTACAAAAAGTAGCAGATGAAGCAGGACTTGAACTATCACAAGATTTGCTTAATGCAACACCTTCTAATAAAATTTCTGAACAAGAAATCAACGATACATTATATGAAAGATTATCAAAAATTTGTGGATAAAACAGGCAAATTATATTTTTTAATAAAACTATTCTACTGGAAAAAAAAGCAGCTTATTCTACAATAAAAACAGCATAAAATATTGGGTTTTTTATATTTTTTTTAATAGGAATTTTCATATATTTTAAAACGCAAAGTTAATTGAACAAATATTCGAAAAACTTAGAAAAAAAGATATTTCTTTATGACACAATTTAGAGAAGTATTTATAGATCTTGAATGATTATATATAGTAGTATTTACTTATATATTTTTTTAGGAAAGACCAAGTCGTTCTCTTCCTAATCCTACAGCTAAAGTATATTTAATTAAATTATTAATAGTTAAAGAAATGATTTATTTTTATTAGACAGCATCGGCAAGAGAGGCTTTACAATCGTTCTTTTGTGAGCTTTGTGATAAGGGTTATCAACGGATTTCTGAATATGAAAATCATTTAAGTAGTTATGAACATAATCATAAAAAGGCATGATAAAAGAATATTATTATGATTCTGCATAATATTTTTGGTTATAGAGGTTTAGAGAAATGAAGGAAATGCAAAAAGTATCATCTAATTTTGAAAAACTTCGTAAACAAGGTCAAAAAAAGAAAGATACAGAAATAAAGCCATTTATTGAAAATCAATGGCACAAAAATATGGATATTAGTATACAGCCTCTCAAACTCTCTTCAGAAAAAGATTCTTCTTTTAAAAAAGTTGGCTTTAAAAAAGCTTTTAATCATTTTGATAATTCAACCGGTTTTATAGATTCTAAAAAAATATTGGATTCACCTGATTCTTCCAAAGAAGAATCACCTTTAAATCCTTTAAATCTATCTGATAATGGTATACATTTAATTCTTTTATTTATTGATTAATTATACTTTATTTAGATCAACTATATAATCCTTATACACCAACAAGTCCTTAATATTTTTCTTATTTTTCAAATCATCGCTTCTACTCATTTCTAATCCTTACATACATCATAAACAAATCTAAATACATATATTTTTTAATATTTATATACATATTAAATTTTACGACTTAAAATTTTATTGCAGCTAAAAGTCTTTAACATTTGGATTATTAATAAGAATGTTGTCTAAACTTAAAGGTTCTGGTCTTCGTCAAATATTATCTCAGATATTAAATCTGTGTCTTATAGGGTCTTCTTTTTTTTTTTAAAAAATCATATAAAATATTAACTTTTTATAGTTCTACAGCTTATATGTTATGGAAAGGCCTCTCAGTTGTATGTATAGAATAAATAGAAGGGTTAATTGCTGATTAAATAATATTACCAATTGTGAAAGTCCTATTGTTGTAGTTTTATCAGGATCTATGGAACCGGCATTTCAGAGAGGAGATATTCTTCTTCTTGATAACCGTCAAGAAAGAGTAAATATTGGTGATATTGTTGTTTATAGGATAAATAAGGGAGATATTCCTATTGTTCATAGAGTTATTCAAGAACGACATGGAGAAACGTTTCAAAAAGTCTTAACAAAGGGCGATAATAATAGATTTGATGATATTCAGCTTTATTCACAAAATCAGATGTATATTGATAGAAAGGATATTATTGGTGTTGTTAAAGGTTTTATTCCGTATTTAGGTTGGATTACATTGGCATTGAATGATTTTCCAAAGCTTAAATACTGTATTCTTGGAGGAATGGTACGTTTAGCAATAAATTAAGAAAATTAAAGTTTTTTTTTTATAATTATATTAGGGATTAATGACTCTTATCAACAGGGAGTAGTCATATTAATGAATTTGATTTTAAAAATGGATTATTTAAACTTATTTTTAAAATAATTATATTCAAATCTTTCTATTCTATTTATAGACCTAAAACCTGGATTTAAATCAGACAAAAGCAAGAATATGTATTATAGCAACAGCAGTTATTTATAATCTCTGTTTTTTTTTGAATAAAATGTTTTTAAAATCTTTTTTAATATAAATATAAATAAATAAATGTTTTTAAGACCAATTAAAAAGTATTTCTTGAGCTTCCAAAGCAGAAATGTTTCAGCAAAAGCAATAGTATTCTCAAATCATGGAAATCCATCACAAGTTTTGCAGTAAATATATAATTTACAAAATTTTCTTATTAAGAAATCTAGATTACATAATTATAATATTGAAACAAGTCCTTCAAAGCCAATTCTTGTAAAATTTCTGGCATCTCCAATTAATCCCTCTGATATCAATCAAATAGAGGGTGTTTATCCAGAAAAACCATATTTTACAAAAGATCTTGGAACAGATCTTCCATGTTCAGTTGCAGGAAATGAAGGAGTTGTAGAAATCATTGAAAATCTTAATAAAAACTCTGAATTTAAGCCTGGAAGACGAGCCATTATGAAAAACCCAGGATTTGGTTCTAATATATATAACAAATAGAAACAAAATTAATTATACAGGAACATGGCGAACACATGCAACAGCAAACTCAAATGATCTGTTATTTCTGGATATTGATGGGATCAGTGTGATACAGGCAGCTACATTATCAGTTAATCCATGTACAGCGTATTGTTTGCTTAAAAACTTCTATAAGCTTAAAGCAGGGGATTATTTTATTCAAAATGGGGCAAATAGTCATGTTGGTCAAGCAGTTATTCAGCTTGGACGTATCTGGGGGTTAAATAGTATTAACATTGTAAGAAATAGGTCAAATATAGATAAATTGAAAACATATTTATATGATCTTGGTGCTACAGAAGTTATAACAGAAGTAGAATTAGGAGATAAGGAATTTATGAAGGAATTGATTAAAAAACGATGTGGAGAATCAGGAATATCATTAGGATTGAATTGTGTAGGAGGGAAATCTGTTTTGGATTTAGCACGATATATAAAGTAAGAATTGATCCAAAACATTGTAGATTATTATTTAATTGTTAAGGGAAAATGGACATATAGTTACATATGGAGCAATGTCAAAACAACCGCTTCTTATGTCTTCTGGTTTATTAATTTTTAAAAATGTTCATTTACATGGATTTTGGGTAACAAAATATAACAAAACTTATCCAGAAGAAAGATTAAAAATTCTAAACAATATTATTACATATATGAAAAACAAATCTTTTAAGGATTTATTGTGTGATAAAGTATATCTTGATAAATCAATGGAAGATTTAACATATATGGAAACATTTAAAAATGCATTAGAAAATAAAGAAAAAAAACAAGTTTTAGTTTTCAATTAATTATATTTTCTTAATAATTTTTATTTATTATAAAGATTTCAGTTCAAATACTTCTGCTACATCAAGTAATAAATCATCGCAACCATATTGAGCCATTAATTGTATACCTATGGGTAATCCATTTTGATCATATGAAAATGGTATACTTATAGCAGGTATACCTGATAAATTTGCTGAAATAGTAAAGAAATCAGATAGATATAGATCTAATAAAGATATTTCCTTAGGTGTATTTTCAATGAGTGGTGCTGATCCAATTGTTGTTGGAGTTATTAATATATCTACTTTATTTTCTTGTTTAGTTTTTGAATATTTTTTAAAAGAATTGAAAACATTGTTAAAATCATTTAGTATAAGACGACGAATTTTCTGAGCTCTTTTAAAGTAATTGTTATGTATTCTTTTATAATTAATATAAGATGAATATATATATATATATATACGAACGAAAAATATGTTCCTATTAGAATTTTTTTTTTAACTTGATCTCCAAATCCCTCATCTCTTGTTTTTTGAAATATATTTTCATTTGTATCTATATTAGCTGAATGTCCATAAACTAATCCATTATACTTTGCAAGATTTGATGATGCTTCTACAGATGTAATAATATTATAGATCATAGGAGAATACTTTATATTTGGCAATCTTACAGTTGTTATATTAAATCCTTTAGATTCTAAATATTTAATAGCTTTTTTCCATATATCTCTTGAATTTTGAGAAATTTCTGAAATATTAAAGTCCTATGATATTAATATAAATATATAAACCAAAATAAAGTCTACAAACCAATGGTATTCCAATAGTTATTTGTTTATTTTTATTAAATTGTTTTATCTTTAACCTTTCATGAGCAGGTAAACTTGTAGGATCATTTGGATCATATATATTTAAAATATCTTGAAATTTTAGAATATGTTTTTTGAAATTTGAATAGAATTACTAAATGTTTCTCTTATTCTTTTAATACTTTTGCCAAGAATTCCTACTGTATCTAATGAATTCGAATAAGTTACTACACCCCATCTAGATATAAGACCATATGATGGTTTAAATCCAATACAATTGCAATATGATGCTGGTTGCCTAACAGATCCACCTGTATCTGTCCCTAAAGCACTAATAATAAATTTTTATAATAAAAAAAATATTTTTACATATAACACATATCAGATGAAACTGCTGCTGCACTTCCTCCAGAACTACCACCTGGTGATCTAGGCATTTTTAAATCCATTGGATTTAATGTTGAACCAAAAAGTTGATTACTAGTAGAAACTCTAAATTTTTAAGAAATACATAATATATATACATTATAAAAAAACCCAATAGAAAACTCATCCATATTTGTTTTCCCAATAATAATTGCCCCTGCTTCTCTTAATTTTGTTATAACTGTCGCTTCATATGGAGAAATATAGTCTTCTTAAAGTAAATCTTTAAAAATAAAAAAAATACCACAATCACCCTTTAACATATATGATGAACATGTAGTATGTAGATCTTTTGTACATATATTGTCCTTAATAGCAACTAATTTACCATCTAAAGATGAAAGTGCCCGTCCTTTATAAAATATGTTGGATATATTATAAAAACATAGAAAAAAAACCTTCTGAATAACGCTTACATGATTCATTAAGTCTTTCAAAAATATAGCTTTCTTTATTCAATCTAATAAAGGCATTTAAATATCCATTTAATTTATTAATCTGAGAAAGCTGAAACTTTGCTTCTTTAAAAAGGTTCATCAATTATAGGTATTTTAAACCAAGGAATAAAGGAAAATATGTCTTATATTTATATTTATCTATCTAATATATATATATAATCTGTCTTTTTTATACTAACTTTTTTTTGACGTTGTCAACGTTAAAAAAACTAAGTTAAAATGTATCATAAAGAATTCATGAAAGAAGCCTTAAATATGGTTTGAAATGCCTTAAAAACTCTTTAAAGAAGTTTAACATTATTTAAAAAGGCTGAATTGGCATTAAGGAATAATGAAATTCCAATTGGTTGTGTTTTTGTATATAAAAATAATATTATTGCTAAAGAAATGAATAATACAAATGAAAGTTTAAATGTATTATAAAAAGAAAGATTATAAATCTTTTATTTTTAATGTTTTAAAGGGAACATTTCATTGTGAAATGATTGCTATTAATAAAATTTTGGAGAAATATCCAAGTAAAATTTTTGAAGAAGTTGATCTTTATGTTACAGTGGAACCATGTATTATGTGTGCATCAGCATTAAGGCAATTGCATATTAAATGTGTTTATTTTGGATGTGCAAATGAAAAATTTGGAGGTACAGGTAGTATTTTTAGATTACATGATGAGTAAAGTAATAAAATATAATAAATTAATAATAATTGGATCAGTGAGGGAGTAGATCCTATTTATTCAGTTTTTCCAGGATATTATAGAGAAGATTCAATATTACTTTTAAGGAAATTTTATTTACAAGAAAATAAGAAAGGTAAATTTTATTTATAACTTTTATTTTATCTTATCTTTAGCACCAAAACCAAAATCTAAAAAAAATAGAAAAATGAAATATGATATACCTTTATTAGATATTCAACGTTATTCATCTCGAGCTTCATAATCATTTAATTTCAAATCAATATATTTTATATTTTTAAAATCAAGAAAATTTATCATTATAAAAAACATTCTTTTATTTACAATTTACACTTTTAAAAGCTTCTTTATTTCAATCTACAGTAATTTATTTATTTTGATTTCTTTTTTTACAACTTCAACTATTATTTTTCAATTCATGGCTTATTTTCAAACACTAATTCATCAAATATTAATATTTTAAAGTATCTTCTAATATATACATTGAAGATATGTAGATTATACATATTTTTTATCTAATGTATATATTTATATTTTCCTTGAGACCGAGATGTACATCTTACTACCAGACATTAAAATCTTGAAAAGGTGAGTATATAATTGTTAGAAGCAGTATATTGATAAAAACAGATATATTTATAGGTATTATTCTTGTATATATGTCTAATGATGAGGAATTTTCTCTTATAGATGGGATAACATCTATTTCATTTAATACAGATTCATTAGAAAGTTATTATAAGGCAATTGAATTTTATTGTAAGATTGGATTTAAGGAAATATTTCATTATGATTGTAAAGAACAACATATAAAGAAATTACCAGGGAATTTCTCGTTTAAAAGTGATAGAGAAATATGGTTGAATATTTTGAGGGGAAAGGATAAGGAATTAACTATTAAAATCCAGTTTTTTCAAGATAATAATAATAAAAAACCAGAAAAAGTACTAGATAATAGTCAAAAAGGAAATCCAGATATGTCATATACACTTGTTGTTGCTAGTTTATCAGTATGATTAAGATAAAATTAATATATGGTTTGTATTTATAATTATTTAGACGATTATTTGCAAATTGGATGAAATCAATGTTTCGTATGATTTATATCCTAGCCAAACGTTTCCATTGCAGGCTACAGTAAAGGATCCTTTAGGAAATTATATTAATTTTACAGAAAAATTTTCATCTTTTTCACATACTCAAGAGAAATCAGTTTTTTTAGATCCTCAAAAAGAAGAAGTTTCATTGAATATTTTGGATAAGAAAGAAAATATTTCTAAAAGGAAGATAGCGGTTATGACAAGTGGAGGAGATGCGCCTGGAATGAACGCAGCTGTTCGTTCAGTTGTCAGAATGATAATAGCAATGAATTGTGAAGCATATTTTATTTATGAAGGATATAAAGGTATTATTGAGTTTTTTAGTATGACTTTCCTTAATAAAAAAATTTTAGGTTTAGTAGAAGGAGGAAATATGATAAAAAGAGCGTTTTGGTCAGATGTTCGAGGCTGGTTATCAGAAGGTGGAACTCTTATAGGAACTTCTAGATGTATGACATTTAAAGAAAAACAAGGGAAACTTTCTGCTGTAAAAAACTTAATTCTTAATGAAATCAGCTCTTTAATTATATGTGGAGGGGATGGCTCGTTAACAGGCGCTAATATTTTTCGTTCTGAATGGTCATCACTTATTGAAGAATTAATATCTACTAACGTTCTTACTCGTAAACAAGTTGAAAATCATATGAATCTTCATATTATTGGGTTAGTTGGATCTATAGACAATGATATGGCATCAACTGATGTAACAATTGGTGCTTATTCCTCATTACATAGGATCTGCGATTCTGTAGATTCTATTGGTGCAACAGCTTTATCTCATTCTCGCGCATTTGTAATTGAAGTAATGGGTCGTAATTGTGGTTGGCTTGCCTTAATGGCAGGCATAAGTACTGGTGCAGATTTGGTATTCATCCCAGAAAGTCCCCCATTTGAAGATGATTGGCAGTCTGAAATCTGTAAAACAATAAAAAAAGTAACGTTACAAATAATCATATATTTTTTTCTTATTTTATTAGCAAAGAGAAATGGGAAAAAGGAAAACAGTAATAATTGTAGCAGAAGGAGCTATAGATAGAGATTTAAACCCCATTACAGCTAGTTATATAAAGGAACTGTTAGTTGAAAAGCTCAATTTAGATACTAGAGTAACAACTTTGGGTCATATTCAACGAGGTGGAGTTCCATGTTTTTATGATCGTCTTTTGGGTACTCTTCAAGGCGTAGAAGCTGTACATGCAATTTTAGAATCAACTTCTGATTCTCCAAGCCAGATGATTGCTATTAATGAAAATAAAATTACTAGAAAGTCTCTTTCTGAATCAGTAGAACTTGTAATAATTCTATATTTATTAATTTCGTTCTTAATAGTGTTAGACACATAGTTCTGCAGAAGCAATTCAGAAAAAGGATTTTAAAAAGGCAATGCAGCTAAGAAATATAGATTTTTCAGATTATTATCAGACTTATTTATATATGACTGTTTTTCAAAAACAACCGAAGCTTTACAATGATACATTAATGCCATTTCTGGAGAAGGTATTAATGAATTTATAGTATTATTATATTTCTCATATTATTATAGAGTTTAAGAATTGCTATAATTCATGTAGGTGCACCTGCTGGAGGAATGAACATAGCTACACGATCTTTTGTAAGATATTGTTTAAATAAAGGTCATGTTCCTCTTGCAATTCACAATGGTTTTCAAGGTTTACTCTCAGATGACGTTGTGAGAGAACTATCTTGGATGGAAGTTGAAGATTGGATTACTCGTGGGGGAAGCGAAATTGGCACTAATAGAGATCTTCCAAATACTGATATAGGCATGACAGCTTTAATGTTTCAAAAATACAATTTTAATGCATTAATGATTGTTGGTGGATTCGAAGCCTTTTTATCCCTTTTACAATTATATAAGGCAAGAGCTAATTATCCAGCATTTCGAATTCCTATGATTTGTCTTCCTGCAACAATTAGTAATAATGTTCCAGGAACTGACTTTTCCTTAGGAACCGATACATGCCTTAACACTCTTATAGATTATTGTGATGCTGTTAAACAAAGTGCAAATGCTAGTCATAATAGAGTTTTTGTCGTTGAAACTCAGGTATACATTTGATTTGATTTCTTATTCTTTTTAATCAATAATAGGGTGGTTGTTGTGGATATATTACTGTACTCGCTGGTCTTGCAGTTGGCTCTCTTCTTGTTTATAGTCCTGAAGATGGAATTAATTTAAGAATATTAACAGAAGATGTTAAATATTTAAGGAAATATTTTGAACTTCAAAAAGCTGGTAATAGAAGGGGTAAATTAATATTAAGGTTTCATTATTATTTTATATCATTTTTATTTTTTAATAACTTTTCATTAAGAAATGAAAAATCCTCAGACATCTATACTACAAATATGATTTCTTCAATTATTATAGCTGAATCTGATCATCGATTTGATGTACGCACTGCTATTCCTGGACATGTTCAGCAAGGAAATGTACCTTCACCCATGGATCGTGTTCGTTCTACTCGTTTAGCAATCAAATGTGTTCAATTCATTGAAAAAATGTGTTATACTAATATGCATAATGATCCTTCTTCTGCTGCTGTTATAGGTATTCGATCTTCCAAAGTAGTTACAACTCCTATAGAGGTTCTTCAACATGAAACTGATATGGAAAGACGTTGTCCTAAGACTTCTTGGTGGTTTAACATTAAAGATCTTATAAATATTCTTAGTGGTCGAAATGTTCCTTTTCATTTAATTCAAAATTAAGTCATAAAATATTTACAAACAAAAAGTATTCATATATACAAAATCTTTATTTATAAATAAGGTCTATCTATGATTTTTCTTTACTATATTTATATATTATAGGCTATCTATTTTTTGTTTTTTCGACATTTTTAAAAATATTATTAAAATCTTAATATTCAGAATAAAGGAATTAATAATTTTATATATTCTTCTTATTTCAAATATACAAGGAAATTCTATAATAATTTTTAAGGAAAAAAAATGTTTTATTTAAACAAAAATACAAGATTTTTTTCAAGGTTTTTTAAATTAAAAAATCCAATTATCTACAAAGGAATGAAATCAGAAACATTTAGAAAATTATCATTTGGATATTACACAACGTCAGCTAAACCTTTAGAGGTTTTTTTTTTTGTTTAAAAGAGGGAATTTATTAAATTTGACAAGATAACTGTACGTGATGCGTTAAATCAAGCAATGGTTGAAGAAATGGAAAGAGATGAGAGAGTATTTCTTCTTGGTGAAGAGGTTGCACAGTATAATGGTGCTTATAAGGTTTTTTTTTTAATTTATATAAGAAAATAAATAATTATTTTTTTTTAATAGGTTTCTAGAGGATTACTTGATAAATTTGGGCCTAAAAGAGTGATTGATGCACCTATTACAGAGTCAGGATTTGCAGGACTTTGTGTAGGTTCTGCTCTTGCAGGTTTAATTCCTATATGTGAATTTATGGTTTGTATATTTTTTTTATATATATAAATATAATAATTATCAAGACATTTAATTTTTCTATGCAAGTAATTTTCATGTTAAATTGAAAATTTTTCTAATTTAAGGCTATTGATCATGTTGTAAATTCAGCAGCGAAAACATATTATATGTCGGGTGGTATTCAGCCATGCAATATTACATTTAGAGGGCCTAATGGTTAATAAATTGTTTAATTTTTTTTATTGTAATGTATATTAGGTGCTGCATCAGCTGTTGCTGCACAACATTCTCAAGATTTTTCTTCATGGTATGGATCAATACCGGGATTAAAAGTACTTAGTCCATATTCAGCAGAAGATGCAAAAGGATTATTAAAAGTATACATTTATTATTATTTTGAAGCATTATTTATATTAAATAGGCAGCAATTAGAGATCCAAATCCTGTTGTTGTTCTTGAAAATGAAATTATGTACGGAGCTACATTTTTACTTTCACCAGAAGCACAAGATAAAGATTTCTTAATTCCTATAGGAAAAGCCAAGATTGAAAGAGCTGGAAAAGATGTTACACTTGTTTCCTATTCAATTTACGTTAGGGTTTGTTTGGAAGCAGCTGAAAGATTAGAAAAAGAAGGTATTCAAGCTGAAGTCATTAATTTAAGAAGGTATTTTTTCATTTTTTCATTATTAACAATACAAATTCTTAATAATACATTAGTATTCGTCCTTTAGACGTTCCCTGTATTGTAGAAAGTATTAAAAAGACAAAAAGATGTGTAGCAGTTGATGGTACATTTCCTGATTTTGGTGTTTCAAGCGAAATTGCTGCAAGAATTATGGAAAGCGATGCTTTTGATTATTTAGATGCTGTAAGAACTAATATTTAATTCTATTTTTTATTATATAACATTTTATTAGCCCGTGGAAAGAGTAACAGGCGCTGATGTACCCATGCCTTATGCCCCACCTTTAGAAGCTCTTTCAATTCCTAATGCAGATGTTGTTGTTAGTGCTGCTAAAAAGGCGCTTTATCGTTAAGATAAACATTATATTAGGGTTATAAATATATCTAACAATATTTTTTATTTTTATTTTTTTATATCTATGAAATTATTCTATCTTTATTAATAAATATAAGTTATTCTTTATTGCAAAAAAAGCCTTTTTGCCATCTATTTCAGATATTTTTCCTCATCCGAACCATCCGATCGACAATGACTTATTTAGAAGTTTTGTCTTCCTATAGAAATCTTTTACGAGCAGTAAATGTTGCCTTTAAAGGTCTTAATATATAAAAAATAATTCCTTTATATTGAATTAAATTATTTAAGATGATCTGCAACTTTTAAAGACCTCTAAGAAACAAATTCGTAATACATATTACCATGATAAAGATAAAAATTTAAGTGAAGAAGAAATTCAAAAGAAAATAAAACATGCAAATGATGTTGCATCCATCCTTAGGAAAAATATTGTTCAAGGACGTTTGAATTCCTCCGGTCATTACTGTATAATTATTTATCTTTTTTTTTTTTTTAAATTATTATAGCTTTAAGAATTCATCATGATACAGAACGCACCAGCTCTAAAATAATAGAAAAACGAAAATAAGTATTATATCCAATAGTTGTCGAATATATGGTTTCTTTTAGCATGATATTTTTCGAAGAATATATATATTTTTAAATTGAATAGTTAATAATATTTTAGTGAAAAATGAATTGTTTTGTTTTATATATTTCATGTATATAACGAAGGAGACCTAGTTTTATATAATTAACTTTATGATGCTTGATAATATGGATTCATTGATTGATAAGTTATATTTCCATCTTGTCCAGGAGGAAGTTCTAATACAGTATCTTCCGGTTTTTTCATTTCAGATACTACATGTCTTTCTTTTCCAGAATTTTGAGCTGAAAATTGTGATTGACTCATAACAAATCGTGACATCTTTGCATTTTGTTGTTCTTGATTATATCCTCCAAGTGGACGAGGCCTTCCCCATTGCACTTTCAAAGGACATCCATTAATAAGAATATCCCCATTACGACAAGCTTTTGCTGCTGTTTCTGCTGCTGCACGTGTAGCAAAATTAACAAAAGCACATCTAGAACGATGACTGCAAACAAGCGACTTTATAGGACCATATTTTTCAAAATAAACACGTATTGCATGCTCTGGAAGATCATCTTCTATTCCCATAATAAAAAGTGATGTCTTTTAATGATTAAAATAGTCTATAAAAATAAATAAACTTACAATTTTTTTGTCTTGAGGTGGAACTAATTGATTATTCGTAATAATAGAAATATTTCCTCCTAATACATGTCCAGAAGAATCTGTTGATTGACTAGATACATCGGAAAGCTCAACATTTTTCGCCATGGGAATCTGTTTTTTATAATATGGTTCGCTTCGTGCTAGTTTTTTAAGAAGCTCACGAGCTGCTGAATCCACTTTCCCAAATTCACATGGAGTATCTCCATCTTTCCATTTTCCTTCATTATTTTGTGCTATATCTAATAAGAAAACATGTAATATATAAAAATTAAAATTGCACCATAATATTCTCGATTTATATCACTTTGAGGACCCTGATTAACAAGCTTAAGAGCTGCATCTCGAACTTGAATAGGCCTATATAAAATAAAACCTGAATTTATCCAATATATAAAAGTATAACTTACAGACCAAATTGAAGGTCTAACAAACAATTCTAAAAGTATTATTTTAAATCTAATTTTTAAACTAATAATACCTGACAACAATTCTTTATACGAGAACATGTTAAACATATCTTTTTCAATCATTATCTCCATATACTTCAAAAAAAAATAATTATTTACCTCTGTTTTTTTATATCTTGACTCTTTTCCAGGATGCCATGAAAATACTGTAAAAGGACGAGTACATATCTTACATTCCTTTCCATACTCTCTCTTAGTCATTCGAACATATGGATTAGGCCCTTAAAATATGTAAAATTCTTCTTTTTTAAAAATTTAAAAAAATACCAAGACATGACTCACAAATCGCTGGAAACTCTGCACTTTCCCAACCAGATTTATTAATATCTATACGAGCAATTAGTTTTCTATAGAATAGTGAAGATATAGAGAGGTTTCTTACCTAACTTTGGTGGCATATTTTTTTGTTGTCTCGAAGATTTTTTTCTCAAATTTAACCAGAAAAAAATAGAATAAAACAAGAATCTGAGAAACTAAAGTTATGTCCTTCTTCAGAAGAGTGTCTAGACCATTCTACAGCTTTTCCCGAAAAAAAACGGCTTTTTTACGACATAATTCGTCCATTCAAAAGACAGTTAATCCAAGAACAGGTTTTTTTATAAAATTAGTGATATTTTATTAAGTTTCTTTAGATCTTCTCCTTAAGATTCTTTATGAGTCACCAGTTTGTCCGCCTGTTGAGTTTTCAGAGGAAGAACTTGAAAGACATGAGGTAATTCATCGAGCTTGGCAGATTCATAAGCGAATAAAGAGAGATGAGCTTAATAAACAGCTTGAAAAGCAATATAACAAGATGAAGAGAGCATGTGCAGAACTTGAGAAAACAGATAAGAGATTATTTGATGGAGCCATGAAAAAAAAAAGAGAATATTTCCCAATAGAAATGCGTATACCGACAGAAACACCTCCTCTAGAAGCCTGGAAATATAATTGGAAGAATTATCCAGAAAGATCAGAAAGTGATGTTTAAATGGAAAGAAATATTATTGAAAAATATTATGTAGTGGATTTAATAACTCGACCGAGTCCATTTTTAAAATCATTTCGAGGATTGCGATTAGTTTTAGTATGTCCAGCAGGTTTATCTTTATTTGTTTGAGTCTGGATGTTTCCTTTTGAACTTTGTTTTTTTGAAACTTCATTTCCTATTGTTAACGACTTTTGTTCTAATAATTTTTCATTTTGATCTATAAAAGTCTGAATTTTATCAATTAAAACTAAAGCTATACTCTGAAGACGAGATAGCTCTACTTTTCGAATAATAATTGCATTATGAATTTGATCTAAGGCAGCAGAAATTTCATCATTTGAAATCATCTTTGAAACAAGTGCTGTAATACTGTTTTTAGGAAGATCAAACATTTCAGATAATCTTGGAATTGAAATAGTTTCATAAAATGGTGAATATGTAAATAAATATGTTCGTACAGCTTCTTCCTGAATTTTAGTTGTTAAAATATCTTTAATTTTTTGAGATTCAGGCATAAGATCCCAAATTTTAATAGATTTAACGAGTTCGCAACATTTTTTCCAGTCTCCTGTAGCAAGTGCACGAGATGCTTGCATAATACAATCACGAGAATTTTCAGGTGGTCCTGTAAATAATTGTTTTTCATTATAATCAAGCATACGTCTGAAAGATCTACTGATGACTTTTTTTGTGTCCAAAGAAAATCCTGAAGCTGCAATTGAAGGTATCTCTAATAACATAGAGCAAGTTAGATATACACATTCCAATAATTCCAAATTAATGTGCATATGAAAGGGAAATTGGCGTTGACGTTCAAGACGTTCTTGTTCTGGTGAAACCTGGTTATATCTTTGTACTTGTAGTCCTTGTGCAAGTAATTCTTTCATTCTTCCTGTACCACATATTTCATGGAGAGCACAATGTGCCTCTGAAATCATACCTATTCTAAAAGCTGATAGACCAATCTGAACCATAGTTCTATTATATAAAATTTGAGTCACAATATCTGCTGTAAAGATATTATCTTGAAGATGTGACATAAATAACATATCCCGTGCCTTATAAAATTTATCATGCAATGCATGATGATAAATATGATACAACATTGCTCTAGTCCTAGGTAAACTAGTACCATTTTTGTAAAGATAAACACAAAGATTATGTATAAGAGCCGTTGCATCTGGCTTTTCAGAATGTGGTGTAATTTTCGAATTAGCTGATTTTTGAATCGTTTTCCAAGTCGTTTCTTCAAGAATATTTATAACTTGCTCTGGCTTATAATAAATATGTTCTAATCTTCTTGTAATAATTCGACTAATACTATCCCCTGCGTTGATCCTTTCAAGATATAACTGTGTCCTATAAATAATAGAATATAGTTCTGTTTCATCTTTCAATCTATCAATATAATCTGTAGTATGTGGATCTATGTTTTGTAATGATCGAACAAGTTCATCATCAAGCTTATCAACAAATGAAACAATACTTCCACGAATCTCAATAACTTCTCCATTTTTAGTAACTGGAACAATATCATCGTTATATTCTTCTGCATCTTCTGAAACAATATATGAAAAATCATTTTCTAAAATATCTAATAAACTCTTAAGATCTCCTTCTGCCGATTTCCAATGTTCAATAGACATATAAGATGCTGTTCCAAAACTATAATCAAATTTTGATGAAATCATTGCTAAAAGCACTCGAATCTTATGATACGGTGTAACTGAAATTTCAAACAATTTTTCAAGAATTCTAATTTGCTCCACATGATCCGTATTCTTCTTTCCTCTAGAATCTGATATCGCCTTTAAATGTTTAAGAATACTTTCCGTAGTAAATTGTAATAAACGATTGCTTTTTCCTATCGTCGAAAATCCTTCCTTAGACTCTTGATTTTCCTTTCCTTTAACCCCTTCAACCCCTAATACCTCCTCATCTATAACAAATGTCTCTTGTTCCACCGATTCATCCATATTATCCTTCGGACTTTGACGAAATTGCTTAATTTCTCCTTCATACATTTTACTACATTTTCTAATCCGCTGCTTCACTGAATTAAGAGCACGTGCATTAGTAGAATTCATCTTCTTCTTAGCTTCTTTCTCCTTCTTAATCGTCTCATTCAAAAAACTATCCAAGTTCACTATTGCACGTATATAAAGTCGTGGTGGCTTTCCTAACACCTTTAACCTCTCTACCACCTTATTAATCTTCTCAAATTCTACCTTATTTAGCCTCTTATTCCTCTTATAATACCTCTTTTACCTGATGATATTGTCACCCAATCATTGATCTTTTGTGCGTTCTCAATATTTCTTAGTGACGTTTTAAACTCTTCTGTGCGCTTATCCTTTGCGCTTTTAACAACTCGTTTACCATCTTCTTCTTCACTATCTTCCGTATCTTCGCCTTTTAAGAACTGAAATCCAGTTCTTTTCTTCTTCTGAACTTCTTTGTCTGATGATGAACGGTCATCTCTTCCTCCTTGATCATCCGATTCTAATCCAGAACCTGATGAATATATATTCTCGTTATCTGAAGAACTGCTTGAATCTGAATTGCTTGAGCCTCCCTTATAAAATCTTGACATCTTTATTTTTTTAAGGTTGATGAGGTCGTTTATATAGGTGGATCTATAGTTAAGATAAAATATGTTTAAAAATGGGGTTAAAAGGTGTGAATATAAGGGAAATATATATATTAGAAGAAGAAGAAGAGGGAAGTAAGTAGAGGAGGAAGTGGAGGAGGAAGTAGGAGTGGGAGTAGGCAGAAGTATAGGTAGGAGTAGGTAGATAGGTAGATAGGTATAGATAGGTATAGATAAATAGATAGATATAGAAAGAATAGATATGTATAGTTAGATAGATATTTATGTATAGTTTATGTAGGTATAGTTTAATATGTAGGTATCGATAGATATATGTGTATAGTTTGATTTAAATAATTATGTTAAATATTTAAATATAAGAATTAATTTGTATATGATCCAGATGCATGAATAGAATATGTTTTAGAATTCCTATTATTATTAGTATTTTGAGGGTATTCTGGAAAATGTAGAAGAAAATCTGAATGATTAGTGTTTAAATGATTAGTATTTAGAATATTTTTAGAAGATTTTGTAGGAGATTTTGTAGGTGATTTTAAATTGAAAGAAGAAGAAGGGGTATAATTTTTTGAAAAGTCGTTTCCTAATATAAATGGATGCATTTTAGCTTGTTGAGGCGACCAGCGTTCTAAAGGATTGATATTTAATAAACCAGTTAAAAAATCGATTAAAATTATACGTAATGCTAATTCTATGAAGATTATAAGGAAAAGAAAGTGAAATAAAAAGAATTATACCATTATCTATATCAGATTTTGAGAATTTTTTTTGCATAGGATATGTTTTTACGATTTCTGGTAAAGTAGAAGCAGAAAAATATTTTTTATTTGGTACTTCTATAGTGTTACGTTCTTTAGCATATTGTTCCATAGTTTTTAAACAATAAATTTTAAGACCGGTGTCATCAACAATTTTGTCAAAAAAATCGCTTGATTGTTTTCCCATTTCTATCATCCAGATGGGTGGCATTCTATGTTAAAATTAGATAGTTTAATGGAATAAAAATTGATTACCCTAGCATTTCTACAATTCTAAATATTTGGTTATATTCAGATGTGCCAGGAAAAAGAGGAAGACCAAGAAATAATTCAGCTACGATACAACCAAAAGACCATATATCAATTGAAGATGAATAACTATAAATAATATTAATAATAGTAATATCAAAATATATCTAGATTTTACGGTAAGCCAAGCAAAACCTCTGGGCTTCTATAAAATCTTGATTGAATATATGTATATATAGTTTGTCTTTCATGACATGCTGAGCCAAAATCAATAATCTTAATTACAGGTGTTTCTAAACTAAATAAAATAATTAGAAAAGCTTTAATATAAAGTTTCATACTTATTTAAGAGAATATTTTCGGGTTTCAAATCACAATGGATTATTTTTGCCTCATTTAAAACAATCATTGCATCTAATATTTGAATAGCAAAAATCCTAACTAAATTCGTGCTTAGTCCTTTAAATTGATTTTGTTTTATAAGCTCATATAAATTTAAACTGAGAAGTTCAGAAACAATGCAAAGATGCTTTTTATGAATAAAGGTATCTTTTAATTGTAAAATATTATGTTTTCTTGATTTATCAACTTTTTTGTTTAACTGTAAAGATTATTTATGATTATTTTATGTATTGTTTTTCTTACTAGATCTAATATAGTTATTTCCATTATACTTTGATTAAAATAAGCAGGTTTATTTTTTATAACTTTTACCGCTACAATTTCTTGAGTTTGCATATTTTTACACTTAACAACTTGCCCAAATGTACCCTGTCCCAAAATATCGAGTATTAAATATCTAATCTTATGAATAAATCAAAATATTTAAAAACAAATATTAACCTATGGCCTTTATCAGAGCCCAATATATCATTAACATATAAAATATAATCATTATCTTCATTATCATAACCGTCATTTTTTATGCCTTTACTAGGCTTTGTAAGAACTCTTTTAGGATTATTATATGGTTCATAGTTAAATTCTGGATTACACATTTTAAAAATTTCAGTTAAATATATCGTAGATGCATGCAAAAGCTATATGATTGTAAATATGTAAAGTATATAAAAATCGTATTTACGCTAATAGGTTTTCCTTGAGGATCCATTTTTCTAAATAAAAAATGTTTCTTCTCTTTTGATAGATTCGATTTTAATTTTATAGAATAAAAATCTGACAATAAGTTTGAAAATGAATTTTTTTTTGACAATGGTTCAAATTCTGAGATATTTTTAGATTTAATTGATTTTTCTAGTGATTTTTTCTGTAATTCGAAATTATTTGAAACTGTTATAGAATCACTAAAAGATCTTAATGACTTTAAATCCAGACTATTATCTATTGAATATGAATTTTGCATATTTAATGGTAAAATTTTAGATGCATATGAATCAAATGAACTAGAATTATATGAAAAACTAGATTTCTCTATGTTTGATTGATCAAATGAACAAAATGGTTGCTTCCAATCCATACAAACTCCTGATGTATGGTATAGATGAAGTGACCTTCTATTATTTAACATCGATGATGTTTTTATTTGTGCCGATGATTGTTCTGATGTAACATTATAATATGGTGTATATTGTTCATTATTAATACATAATTCTCTTGGAAAAATTACTGATTTTTCAATTTCTTTATTAAAACTCCTAGATTTATCGATTCTATTTCTTTCTACATTTAAATATGAATTTTGTTTTACAGGTGACCCTCTATAATTCCTCAAATTAACCTCTTTTTTTTTATCATTCATTATTTCTACTGATTCCCTTTCATTTTTATTATAGTTTTTTGTTAAAAACTCTTCATTAGTCCCTAAATAAAATGAATATGGCTCAGATACGTTTTTGTTCATTATAAAAATAAAAATTAAGCAATTAATCTTAAAAAAAAAACTTCAATTTATAAAATCCCCTCTTTAATACTCCTTATTCACTGGATATTACCCTCTAAAACTCTCTCTCTCTTATAATTTTTAAAATCTTCCAATTTTTATTTAACTTTCTTTATCAGTTTATTAAAGAATATCTTGACTTTCTTAATAAAAAACTCTATATATTCCTTAGTTATAACCCTCTTTATTATTGTTTTTATATGTTTTTTTATTAAAATCTCCCTAATATATCCCTTTTATTATTTTTTAATTTATGAGTGTAGATTTGGTCGATTAAAGCTAATAATGAATGAATATAAAAAAAGTAAAAATAACAGAATTAATGTTTTTTTAAAAAAAAAGGTGTCAAATGGGTCTGAAAATGCTATAAATATTAAGAATGAGGCAGAAAATGAGGTTTTTTTTGAAGAAAAAGAGTATAAATATAAAGAAAATCAAGAAAAAGAAGTATTTAGTGAAAATAAGGAGTCTTTAGAGCCTAAAAATGATGAAGAAAGTTGTATTGGAGGATTATATGGTGTTTTGGGTGTTATGGATCAAGAAGATCTTGAAAGAGATGTTTCTTTAAAGGTATAATAGGAGGAAAAGAAGTTTAAATAAATAATATATTAATAAATAAGGTTAATCATGGATTTATTGAGAATGATATTAAAAATGAGTGTAAAAGATTAGAACGATGTAATAAGGAAAGGGAGTAAGTTATATATAAGAAGTAGAGATAAAGTCTTGATGAATTGTTTTTGAAGAAAGTTATTAAAAAAAATGCAAAAGATAGAGGAAAAAATCACTAAAAATGGGACATATGAATCAAAGGTTTTAGAAAAAGAAAAAGTTTATCAATTTGTCTGATTAAGAAATTTTATGATAAAAAAAAGCTTATAAATTAATAGAATAATCAATTATTTTATGTTGAGAAAAATATTAGGGAGATATCTAAGAGGATAGAAGAACTTATATGTGAAAAGAAAAAATATGAGCAAGGTTTTTATATAAAAAAGGTAAATTTGAAAGTAATATATATATTTTTAGGATTAGGAGATGAAAAGTCAAGTAAAGAAACAGGTAATTAGAATATTTTATGTTTTTTTTTTCGATTTATATTTTTAGATAGGGAATATTTGATTCGAACAGGGAAAATTACACCATTTTCTAATATATCTGGTTTGGAACGTCAAATTGATGAAGATTCAGAAGATTCAAATGATATTTCAGAACGAATACTTATTAGAAAAGCATTATCTGAATCCGAGGTTTTAGATAGTGATAATGTTTCTCTTGAGATAGAGCGAAAGAAACCTCGTTTGGAAAATAGTAATAATCAAATAAAAAACATTGAAGATATTTCTGAAACATTTGATACTTCAATAGACGAAGAAAGTTCATTTATTGGTAGGATAATTGATGGAAATGATATAAATTTAATTAATTTATGTATAGAAAATATTCAAGATGTAGATTTATTTCAAGATTTTTTATCTATTGATGATGGGGATGAAAAATATTATCAGGAAATTTATATTTAGATTTAAGCTTTTATATCTAATATCATATAGAAGCGCCTTAGTGAATGGGTTTGTCGTAGAAAGAGTGATAGAACAAAGTATAATATAGTAAAGCAAGAATCTGAAGTATATGATCAATTAGAAGAATGGTTTCAACCACATCCAACTATTAAAGATTATAAGTTTGAAGGTTATTATTCTTTGCCTGGGGATATTCATCCAAGTTTGTTTAATTATCAAAAAACATGTAAAATTCAATGTTTTTTAGTATAAAAGTAATGATAAAAGGTATACAATGGTTATGGGAGCTATATTGTCAGGAAACTGGGGGAATCATTGCAGATGAAATGGTTTATATTATTTTATGATTATATTCTTGAAATAATGAAATATTAGGGTCTTGGAAAAACTATTCAAATAGTTGGGTTTCTTGCAGGATTACATTATTCTCAAAAACTTTCAAATCCTATTTTAATTGTTTGTCCTGCAACAATAATGAGACAATGGGTTAATGAATTTCATCAATGGTGGCCTCCTTTTAGGGTGATTATTCTGCATGCAACAGGGAGTGGTTTGGCAAATGTAAAACATGAATTAAATAAAAATTATAAATCTTCAGAAAGTATAAATTCAAATCTTCTTCTTAAAAAAAATGTAGAGAAAATTATAAAAAAAATTAATACTTTAGGTATATTTTTAGAGTAGATTTTTCAAATAATGATTTTAGGTCATGTTCTTATTATAACATATTCTGGATTACGTATATATAAAGAATATCTTTTACCCAATAAATGGGCATATTGTGTTCTTGATGAAGGACATAAAATTAGGAATCCTAATTCCACTATATCTATTATTTGTAAACAAATTAAAACACCTCATAGAATAATTTTATCAGGCACTCCTATACAAAACAATCTGGATGAATTATGGAGTTTATTTGACTTTATATTTCCTGGTCGTTTAGGAGTATAATTTCTGAAATATCTTTCTATATTCTGATTTAAATAGACATTACCTATATTTCAAAATCATTTTGCAATACCTATAAATATTGGTGGATATGCAAATGCTAGTAATATTCAAGTTCAAACAGCCTATAAATGTGCATGTGTACTTCGTGATCTTGTGAGTCCATACTTATTAAGAAGAATGAAGGTTGATGTAGCTTCTGATCTACCTAATAAGAGTGAACAGGTAAATATAGAATTACTTTTTTAGTACAATTGATTGAAAATAGGTTTTATTCTGTAAATTAACAAAATTTCAAAAAGAAGCATATCAATCTTTTTTAAATTCTAAAGAGATGGATTCAATTTTAAATGGTAAAAAAAACGTCTTGTATGGAATAGATATTCTTCGAAAAATTTGTAATCATCCAGATTTAGTTGATAGAATTTCTCTTTTAAAGGTAATATTGGTTACTATTTTAATGTTTTTAAAATAATTTTATAGATTAATAATATAGAATATGGAGATCCTAAAAAGTCTGGAAAAATGCAAGTTATAGGAGAGATCCTTAAACTTTGGAAAAGTCAAGGTCATAGAACCTTACTTTTTACGCAAACTAGACAAATGCTTGATATTTTAGAAAAGTTTATTGAAAAAATGGATCAATTCAATTATCGTAGAATGGATGGTGGAACATCTATAAGTTCTAGACAATATCTTGTTGATAACTTTAATAATTCTGATGATATTCATGTTTTTCTTCTTACTACTAGAGTTGGAGGATTGGGTATTAATTTAATTGGAGCTAACAGGGTTATAATATTTGATCCTGATTGGGTAATATTACTATTATCAAGAGTAATTATCTTAGATGAAGTAGAATCCATCAACTGATGTACAAGCACGAGAAAGAGCATGGCGTGTCGGTCAGAAAAAAGAGGTAATAATATATCGTTTAATGACGTCTGGTACAATAGAAGAAAAAATATATCATCGTCAAATATTTAAGCAGTTTCTTACAAATAAAATTCTTAAAGATCCTAAACAAAAGAGGTTTTTTAAGGTATAAAATTCTTATTATCTGAGAATTTACTAATATTAACAAGATAAGCGATTTATATGATTTATTTTCTCTAAAATCAGATGATATTGGTGGTAGTGAAACAGGCGAAATGTTTATTGGTACTGAAAAGATATATCATGAAACTAAACCATCTTTAAGCGATACCATACATAAAGATGAAGAGGATAAAGAGAAATTAAAATCCATTCCTGGTGTTACTGGATTAGAAAATTTGTAAGATTCCTCTTTTTTGAGTCTTAGTTTTAATTATTCCGAAGTACAACTGGGGATATCATATCTAAAAAGAAAGATGATGAATTTGAAATTTTGGAGGATATATTTTCAAAATCAGGTGTTTGTAGTGCGCTACAGCATGATGTAATTATGAATTCAGTTCAGCAAGAAGCTTTATTGGTTGAAAAAGAAGGTATGAATTGACTATTATAAATATTTATACTAACAATTGAAAAAAAGCAACTAAAATATCAGAAGAAGCTATAAGAATTTTGAAAGCATCTAGAAAAAATATCCAAAAATGCGAAAATGGAAGATTAGCATCGACTGGAAGATTTAAAGAATCTTCTCAGATTAATTTTAGAAGAAGCTCGAATGTTCCTATATCTTCTTTAATATTAAATTTGAAAAATAGAAATTATCTTGAAAATAATAATATAAAAAACTTATGTTAGTATTAAAATCAATAATTTCGTTTTTTTTAATAATGATAGTTGGAATTTTGAATGATAAATCAGTAGAACTGATAAAAAGCATTTATGATTTTATTATTATAAAAGGTGGGAAAGTATCATCCACAGATATTATTGAGAGGTTTGGTACATCTGTTAATGGAACTCAACAAGTTGTAGAGTTTAAGAAATTATTGAAGAAAATAGCTAAATTGGAAAATAAATTTTGGGTTTTAAGGAAAAAAATTGCATAAGAATTATTTGGAAAGCGAAAAATATATCATGTAGCATGCATATTTGAGATCATTAATAAAATTTTGTTTATATTTTTAGACATATAATATTTTATACCTTTTTTTTAATTAACCCTTTTGTCATATCAAAACTATTTGAATATGGATATAGCTCCCATTTTTTTCCATTTTTTTCTCCATTTTCAATGCCTTCTGCATTTAATCCTCCATTTATTGGATTTATTCCAGTTATAATAGCATTACTATTTTCTTCTAAAGTAACAATTTGACCACTATAAGATTTAGCATGAAATACTTGAAAATATTTAAATACCTATGAAGCCAATACTTATAATATTGTTGTTCAAATGATTCAAACCCATTATTCAAACAAAATTCATAATACATACTTTCTAATGTTGTCATTATACGTGCCAATAATTTTTCTTGTGTGATTTCTGATAATAATGGCTGTTTCTCTGCCATTTTTTTAGCATTTAAACTTTTAATAATCATTTCAAGAGATGTTGTTGGAAGAAGATTACTAACATTAATACCACATCCTATGAATAATAAATTTTAAAACCATATAATATTAAACATACCAATAATCATAAGAAATTCATTATCTATATGTTTGCAATTTATTAATATCCCACCAATTTTAATATAGCCAATATTGTTCAGTATAAAAGATGGTTCAATAGTATTTTCCTCAGGCTGCTTTACACATATATCATTTGGCCATTTAATATGAATATCAAGTTCATTATAATAATTGTCATAAGTTTTAATAGCTTCAACTATTGCAAGTGAGACTAAATATTGTATAAATACAGTTGATGAAAGCAGTAAATATTCTGGTTGTCTTATAATTAAAGAATATGCTAGAGTGCCTTGTGGAGATATCCAAATATTATTTTTTCGACCTTTTCCTTCTGTTTGTTGTGTAGCTACAAAAACAAATCCTGTGGGCAAAACTCTTAAAAGTTTTAAGTTTTTATCAAGTAATGTTTGTGAGCTAGATACTGTTTCTCCATATAATACTATATTTCCCATATATTTTTTCTCTTTTTTTAAAGTTCTTGATGCTAAAAGGTTTTTAAAATAGATTTCATGATTAAAAAATGGAGTTTCTAATATAGTTGGAAGATGTTCATGAATTTTGATATATTTTGGAATTATTTCATAGTCATAATCATGAGAATTGTTTAAAGAATTTTGATTAAAAGTATTCGTTGATGATTTTTGTAAACAAAATGAATCATTTTCACATTTAATAATATGCTCTCCATTTATTATTTCAGAAATATTATATAGAATATTAGTCGTCTCTTTAATAAGATCTGAAAACTTCGAAAAAAGATGAAGATTTGTAATCTCTGAGGATATAATGGGTTTAGATGTAGTTTGTAAACCAAGTGATTGAAGTATATGTCTTAAAAACATAGTTCTACTGTTTTCGGATAACAGTAGCTTATTAAAATTCTCAGGGCAGTCCCTAATATTGTCTTTCAAATCTGTACTAAATCCAGAATATCTAAAATAAGTATATTTTAAAATAAAATAAAATAAAATACTCTGGATGAACAGTAAATAAAACAGCCTCTCCTTTCCCGATCCTACATTGAATAATTGCTGCATTGGTTGATTTCTTATCATTAGAGTTTATTTCTTTATAACTTGCTAAAATTCGTGTATTTAAGAATTCATCTGCGTTCACAAATGATACACCATTATGATAATAATACATGTCATTTTCATGCTCATATGATTCATCTTCAATATGTATATGTGCTATCCGTTTATCACCATTATTAGAAGAAATATATTCAGAAAATTCAATCCTTCGTGCAATACCCGGAAAAATTACAAGTTTACTATCCTTGTTTTCAGCATCATTAGATTTAATTTCTGTATAAGCAGATGCATAGTATCCACCTGCTCCTATTCCTATATATTTACCCCCATTCTTAAGATATTCTAATATTTTTTCGTTTGTCTTTTCACCTAATCCATTATTATAAATAACATCTTGACTATCCGGCATAATAAAAAGCGCAATGTCATCCCATCTACTTCGCTGTTCAAGATATAATTTATTCACCTTTTTTATAACATAATATGGCCCTAATAAAAATTGAAAAATAGAAAATACTTGTTCTACTGATAATTTTGATGTTTCTGTATCTAAAAAAATACAGAGTTGATTAAAACGACCCGTATATATCTTCTTTCTATATTAAGATACCTGTATATATTAAAATCTCCATTATATAACCCGTCTTTTGATAATTCATAATATAAAACACTGAAAAACAAAAAGATAATAATAATAATGTTGCTATCACCTAAGACTAGCAATACTGACGAATATGATGACGATCCTTGGATAAAAATCGTGCAATCTGGAAAATGTGGTATGTTTTTTTAAGAAAAAAAAACAATTTCTTTTAAATAAAAAAATAATTAATTATAAATAAAAATAGTTGAAGAAGCACAACAAGTACAAGAATGTTACTTCGATAAACGTGATTGGAGACTTTGCGCAGAGGTTCTTAATCGTTTCCGTCAATGTTGGATTGATAAAGATAAAAAAAATAAGCTGATTAAAGAAAAATAAAAGATTTTTAATATATTTTTTTATTTTTTAAAAATTTTTTAAAGATTAAATTTTTAAAGATTTTAATTTTTTTAATTAAAAATATATTAAAAAATTAAAATATTAAGAATTTTTTGTATTAAAAAGGGTTATTTTTATGTTAATTATGTTTTTTTTAAGAGAAATTATTTATTTATATAATAATATTTTAAAATATGAAGAAATGATGTATTTTAATAAATAATGTATTTTAATTGATTAAATTAAGAGATAATCTTTTCAATTGCTTAATAGTTTTCATAAAATAATCAGCGTATTGTCGAGTAGTTTTTACTTCAGTAATATAAATGATATGCTGTAGAAAAAAAAGTTAAAATAAAAATAATGAATGAAAATAACATACTCCTTGAAGAGAAAAATCAATATCAGATGTGTTTATAATTTCACCATTTAATAAAGAACCTTGAGACCATCGAACCTAAAAATAAAGTTATAATTTAAAATAATATGTATTTATATATACTTGTTTAGTCTTTTGTTTATATACTAGAAGCAATGTTCTTAAATTTTCAGGACTAATTTCAAGATAAGATGTGATTTTATCCAAATGCATTGTTGTATATAATTTAAGATAACTTTTGAGAACAGGCAACATCATTTGATTTTCAATACTAGAAATAAATATTTTTAAATGATGTTGTTGATGCTCTATAATAGTGCCAGAACTATTATCAAAATCTGGAGAAAGTGGTGATATAAATTTTGGACATGAAAATGAAAAAAGTTCTGAAAAAACAGGTATAGATTCAGGTCCACCTCGTTGCATTTTTAAAAGTTGTTCTCCATATTTTTCTTTTAATAAGATAAAAAGGTTATCATCAATCCTAATAGGGCATAACGCAATGCATATTGCCAAAAGTGCGTACATTTGATCACTCTTTTTTGAAATCTATAAAAAAATGAGAAATAATGCCTTTATTGAATGAAATTGTTTACATGATCAAATTGTATTGATCTATTTTGATAAAGTTTTGTCCGTGAAATAAAAAGAACATGGGAAAATGCTTTAATAGCGTCTATATATCGATGAAGCATCATATATGAAAACCCAACATAATAATAAGCAGTAAATGTTAATGTTAAATTTCCACCCCATCCAAAAAATCCCTAAAAATATCTTATAAACTTAAATGTATTTAGAAACAAAATACCTTCTTGTTAAGTTCAATATTATCCATTGTTTTGAGTGCTAAAGTAAAATCACCAAGAAGACAATGAACTCGAAGAAGACCAATTATACTAAAATATCCTAACATTCTATAAAGATTTTGAGATCCAAACTCTCCTGCTACCTCACTAATATTTTTAACTTCATCTTTCACTTAGTTTAATATCTTACTTAGGATTTCTCCCATTTTTTATTTCAATAAATTGTTCATTTATTTTACTCTTTTGAATTAAAGAATAAAGTACATTTAAAACACTATATGTACTCCAAATTTGAGGATTTTCTCGAAGTTCATGAATTTCATCTTCTGATCTTTTAGATAATCGATTTTTATAATTACAAAATGTTTGAAATTGATAAATAAACTCATCAACAATATCCCAAGCCCAATGATTAGGAAGTTCAAGATTAACTGGATTCTCTGAATTAAGAATAAGATTAAAAAGATCACAATAATTCTAAATTCTGTAAATTATTTTACAATATAATAATTTGACTTTTACATCATATGATTGAAACCGCTGTTCAATTGTTGGCTGAAGTTTTGCGTAAATATGACGAAAATATAATTCTCTATACAATATTATAAACGTCGTATCATCATTAACTAAAGGTGATATTGTTTCTGCATCTGGCCATGCTGTATTTTTATAATATTTATCTGTTAACTTAACAAATAGATTTTCATAGCATCCGTACAGTTCATAAACATTATTCTGAAGAACTGCATTATGAAAATACGTAATAAACCCTCTAACTGACTCTGGAATAACTGATCCCTATATTAATTAGTTCTATTCTTTTATTTAACTTTAATTCTTCTTTATACTAATGATATTTCTGGACTAGTATTATAAAATATATGTTGATCATCATATTCCTCTTCATTCAATAGCCCGTCAATAATATCTACTGATGATTCATAATATTCTAAGTTATTTTCTATCACATCATTTTCTATAGCCATTTTTTAATTTCTATATGTGAATAAGAATAGCGATCTGAGAGAGTCTTAATAAAAATAATAAGGATAAATTGATGAGAAAAGATATAATATTTTTTGATAGAAAATAAATATAATATAGTTGAAAGTATGTAAAGAGTAAATTTATAAAATTTTTTGCAATAAAATATTTTTTTAGAGTGTTTGATAGTGTATGTTGTTGAAGATAGTAAATATTTTGTTGTTTCAGAAGAAGCTAATAGATGTATTTTTTGAAATAAACTAAAGAAAAAGAATTAGTTTTTTTTTTTCGAAAAAATAAAAGTGAACATTAGAGTTAATGTAATTTTAAAGAGTACCATATTCCTAAATATTAATGTTTAATAAAATAGAAATAGCGATAAATATGATTTAAAAATATAGAAAGATTTGTCGATTTGTTAAATAAGGAAGATTTTGATTAAAATTAGTTTATTTGCAAATTGATAAAGTCCCATTTAATAAATAAATAAATAAATATGATAATAAGCTTTAAAAGTCGAGATTTTTTCGATAATAATATAAATATTTTATGAATAAATGTTTTAAATGTGATCCAGTTGTAATTAAATTGAATATCATTAAAAATTAAGAATTGGACTTTTACTTCCCATTTCGTCCTCAATAAAATCAAAAATACTATTAGAAAGAGGTTTAAATAATGGAGAATCGTCCAAAATATCTTCATAATTGATCTTTCTATACGAATTGAATTTACAAAATGCAAGCATATCTTTTCGAGAACCAGGTTGTATATTTTCAAAATCAACTGAATATTCCATGCTTTCATACCATTTCATGTTTTCATATGGAAATAAAAAATCCATAGATGGAATAATTTCCTCGTGATTATTAGATACTTTAAATGGATGAACATGAGAAAATATTATATCATCCTTATTATCCTGATAATATTTATTAATAAAAAAAACCTATCTTTCCTTCATAATAATTGCCTCTGAATACATATTCATATTATTCATTTTTTTTCGAGATTTATCTTTTCCCATACTACATGGTGTTTTTTGGCTAATCTAATCCCATATTAACCAATTATATGCATCTCATTTCCTTAATAATATACATTTGTATATCCTAATTCACAATTCGTCGGCGTTTTTGTTCCATTACATACATTAGATTCTGATTTACGTTTTTTATTATTTTTAGCCATTGAAACGCCCTGTTTTCACAAATTAACCTGAAATCCCTCTTCTTAAATATCTCTACATTAGCTTTTCCATGAGTTGGTGTAATCATCCCGCAAAATGTCTCTGTATTTCTATTCCATTCAAATGGTATATTTAAATCCTTATTATTTGGGCAAACGTTTCTAGAATGTCCTACTTTTTTGCATATTCCGCATCTCCTTATCTTCTTTACTTGTTTCTTTGTTTCTGATTCTGTTGGAGGCGCTGTTTTCTTCTCAGATATGTGTAAAAACTCTTCTGCTTGCATTAGTGGAGGATATCTTTGGCAGAGATGTATAAACCCTAATGTAAGGAATTAGGGTTAAGACCTTGATAGAGATAAGCCTTATATAATATATAGAGAGATAAGAAGGTGTGAAATGAAGTATGGTTTATTGAAGCAATTCGTTACGAAAATATTTCTGATGATTACTTTTTAGACCAATTGCGGTTTTATAATTTTCTTTTTGAAAGACATCTTGATAAGTTCGTATATGTTTTTGAGAGAATTTTCTTTTTGATTGATCAATGCCCTGAAGTGATCTTTGAACATATTCTTGTCGTACTAAACCGCTTGGATTTCTATCTCCTGATTGTCGTTGAAAATTTCGAGAACGAAGAGTTTGTTGATAATATCTAATTAAAGAACGATGACCTAGTCTTATTTTTGAGGGAAGAATAAGTTCATAATCATTTTCTATGATAACATCATTATCATTATCTGAATAAATAGATAAAATATCATCATTATCCTGATCAGATGATATATCTTCCCAATCTGCATCATTATCTTTTAAAGAATATGAAGAATAATCATAATAATCTGATAATTCAAGTCTTTCTTCCTCTGTATCATAAGCAATAGAATAATGCCCTTTCGAAAACTAAAATAATTAAAAAAAATAATAATAATAAATAAAATTAAATATATAAACCATATGTTGACGAATACTTTCTAAACTTTTTCCAACTTTTTTGCATGATAAACAAACATTTCCAATAGAAATTTTTTCTCCAAGATATTCTATTAATCCTTCTAAATCAATAAGATATTCTTGTTCTGGTATAAATAATGAATGTGATTTTTTCATATGTTCTACATTTTCATTTAATGTAGAAAACTTAAAAGTACAAAAAAGACAATCTGTTATTTTTAATTTAATCCTCTTCGCGATATGTTCTTTTATTAATTTTTCTTCTTCTGATTCACTTAATTCCTTTTTTTCATTTAATATTGAATCTAAATAAGATAGATTATATACATCTATCATATTCTCCTCTGATTTTTTTAATTCTAATCCATTCATATAAAGTTTTTTATCCTCTTCAATCGCTTCTTTTGATTTATTTAAAATATATGAATCGTTTTCCTCATTAAATCCTTTTTTTTCATTAAAATCATTCTTATCATTAAAACCATTCTCTTTCTTTCTATATCTAATATTAAAAACAAATCTTTATGTATATTTCTTCACTTTTTTTTCTTCCCATTAACCCTTTCTTTTTCTTCTTTTTTTTCATTCCATGTCTCTGAAACCATTTTCTGAGAAAAACAATGTGCTGAAACTGATGGAAATCCTGCTATCTTTCTCTTTAAATTGTAAAGATGCCATTCTGATCTATAAAATATTAATCTTTTCTTTAAATACAAAAAAAACATTACCTATAATGTACTCTTTGAATATCTGATGATTGAAATGTAATTTTACAAAGAATACAAGTAAATGTAGGACTCTTCATAGGTTTTTCTTATATTTTTTTAATATTTTTATTAATTTTTATTAATTTTTATTAAGAATCTTAAGATTTTAGCTTTAAAAGACGTCGTTTATTAATAAAATTATAAAATCGATTAAGAAATTCTTAACTTTTAAGAAATAAAATCTTAAGATTCTTAATAAAAATTAATAAAAACTAATAAAAAGTAGTAAAAATTAATAAAAATTTTAATAAAACTTAAGAATTGTTAATTTTCTAATTATTTTTCTTAATAATTGGGTTAAACAAAGTATTAAATGGATATTTATAGAGGAGAATAAAAGATATAAGAAAATAAGATATAAAATAAGACAGAAAATAAAACAGAAAGTATATATTTTATGGATATTTCATGTCTTTAGAATCAGTGATTCATAATCTAGTATCTTCATTAGGAGGAGTTGATATTTCTCTGGAAGATAAACCATATATTTTGGGAGATGATGGATTAGCATGTTTAAAGGATTTAAAACGATTACTTCAACATTATGATCATAAATATAATAGTTGGGACGTTAAACGTATTTTAGCAGATACGAATTTTGTAGAAGGAGATCTTTGTCCAATTTTGAGTATGTGGGATCCTTTAGATAAAGAAGATAAAGTAAAATGGCGTGTATGTCTTGCATGCGGTTTAGAAATATTCATTTTTGAAGATTAAATAATTTTTAATAATAATTTTAGTGGAATTACTTGTTGAATTAACATGGCCTTTGGAAGTGAATGAATTGAATGCAAATAAGAAATCATTTGAGCAACTTCCACATCTTCGCTTGGCACAATCGTTTTATAAAAAATCGGTTTTAAATTATTGTAAAGCGAATGTTTTATTTAATGCGATTTCTGTATCATTTCCTTCAATGTCAATTGCAAGAACAGAAAGATCGGAAAGAGATGAAGGAATTATTCGTTTAGTTTTATATTTTATTCGAAATATTGCTATGATTGATCAAGAAACTACTCGAAATGAAACCATTCTTGCATTTAAAAAGGCGAATATTTTGGATCTTATTATTTCAGTTGCAGGGGGTATAGGGAATGAATTTATTTGTCAAGATGTTATTATTCTTGAAATTGTTTTTTATCTTGTTAGAGGAATAAATCCAGAGAATATATTTTTATCAGATAAGGCTCAATCACTTAAACCATTGGATGATTTAAGCAATCTTCTTAAAATAGAAACAGATAAGAAGAAAACCGTGAAAACGACTCGCCATAACCGATTTGGTACATTAATTTCACTAATAGCACCTGTATATATTTAATTGTTAGATTTATATGATCTAATATTTTTAGAACAATAGAAGGTTCACTGTTGCCAATCAAGGAGCAATACTTAAAGATGCAGAAAATGGTTTCAGCAAAATAGATTCAGTAAAGAAATGGAAAATGCGTAAATCTAGAATATCTACAATGGTTTTTCTTTTAAATTATTTTTTTTATACTAATTAAATATATAGGATGATCTTGACAAACCTGTATTTATTATGCATGATGCAACTATGATTATTTCAGCTTTTATAAATGAATTTTTGGATTTGTCCTTTAATCGTAGGTTATTCTTCTTTTAAATACATAATTATAACAAATTAGCACTTTTTTCATCTATTTTGCGATGTTTAGAAAGAGAAGAAACTAGGATTTCCCAGGAAAATCATATTCATTTTCTTTATTGTATAGGATATTTTATACATGCCCTTAGGTTACGTCTTTATTCTAAGAATCTTAATGATTCTTCAAAATATGAGGATTATGGATTGATTGCTACTATGTTGCAACAAAGGGCTCTAATTATGATCTATAAATTAATGAGAGAATCATTTGACCTTAAAGTAAGTTTAAATAATTAATAAGTCTGCTAATTGAAGAAGATATGGAAAGAATTGCATTCTGCAATGGAATGTTTTAAACAAATAGTATAAATTGGATATATTATTTTTCTAAAAAAAAAATAACTTTTATTTAGCTTTTAATTGTTAATTGTATGACAATTTCATCTCAAGAATATCAGGAAATAGCCGATAATATGCAGAATAATATGTATTATGATGAACATAATTTGGATTTGATTATTAATGTCATCAAATTATATAAAACACAATCATTTGGGTAAGAAAGGATTTTTTTCTTTTTTTTTTGATCTTGAAATGGACAGATTTTTAAATATATCTACAGAACTAGTTCATAATTTATTAAAAATGTTAGAAAAGTATTCTAAGACAAAAGATTATATGTATGTTCGAGTACGTCAGCGTCAAAATAGAAAAAAGGACGTAAATGCATCTAATCAAGAAGAGGCTTTAGGCTCTGATAATGATAATTCTCAGTTAGAATCTAAATTGAGATATAAAGAAAGGTCCTTTGAATTTTCAAAATTTGAAAAGGTACCTAGTTATATAATAATTTTGTTTATTAATAATATAGAAATTTGTTAATGACCATTGCATTGATACATTTCGAACATTTCTTGAATATTATAGAGAATTGACTCCAGAACAGATTAAGCGAGTAATATCTTTTTTTTATAGAATATTTGTTAAACAAAAGGCTGAAATATACCTGTTTCGTCTTGATATATGTGAACTTTTTAACAGAATGTTAAATGATGATATCTATTTTTCTAAAAGTCATCCAACTAGAGTTGAACTGGAGAAATTTATAAAATTTTATATGAAACGTCTTATATCTGTTATCTCTAAATCTCCAGCTTTATATGTAGAGCTTTTATTTCATAAGATGCATGATACAGTATATTATCTTCAGCATGGGTGTGATGAGGTTGCAATTCCAAAACCAATAAAGTTGATTAATTTTTTTGTTTTAATATATTATTGAAATTTTATAGACTTTCAGCAGAATTTGAAGTTAAACCAGGGATGGATTTTGAACAACAAATTTCTATTGTTGTTGCTGTATTACTTGATGAAAATAAAAGTTATGAATTAGATTGGTTGAAAATTAAATTATCTGATGCTATTAGTCAAAGAAAAGCATGGGAATTGGAAAAGGAATCAAGAGAATCATTAGAGGATAGTTATAATAAGGATCTATTATCATTACCACCTCGCTATGGTATAAAAATGTTTTAAAATATTATATATTGATCGATCTTTAGTCGTTATCTTTGAATCTGAACAACAGAGGAAAAAATGTTTTAAAAATGGTAAACTTCGTCTACTTATTTCTTTATGTGGTTTTCTAGAAGAAAAATCAATTGATGATATAATGCCTTCATTAATTATTCCTTCTGAAATTTCATCTAGTACATTAAGTTATAATTTGGGACTCGTTAAAAAATATATTGATAATCCACCTATATTTGATGATGGAAAAACAGCAATTGACTTTCTTCGTCGAAAATATAAACCTAGAAATCATTATGATGCATCTAGTGAAGAAGATGAAACAATTGATAGAGATGATTTCGATTCAATTGAATCTATGTCTTCTGCTAAAATATTTAAAAAGAGACATAGGAAATTGTTAAATGATGAAGAATTAAATATTCGTGCTGAAAGAAGAAAAAAATTACAAGAAGAGCGTATGAAAATTGTAAAAAGTTTAAAATATGTTATCGATTCTGATAATACTGATGATGATGCTGCTTTTTTTGCATCAGAAGAAATTTTAAGGAAAAAATCAAAGTTAATGGCATCTAAATCTCATGAAAAGAATAAAAATATTCAAAAATCTCTTAAAGGTTTGGATTTTGAGAACGAAATAAATAATAATGATTCAAATCTTTCAGAAAATTATGATTCTTCTGAAATTGATTATTTAACTGATTCAGAAAAAGATCCTTCTACAAATAATGACAAATTATTCATTGATGATGGTTTTTCCACTAATTCGAATACTAGTGATTTTCAAAAAAATAAACAAATCTCTATTTTATCTCCTAAAAATCTTGAAAAAAAAAACAATAAGGCAAAGGGACGTCGTATTCTTATAGAAAGCAGTTCTGAATAATCTTTATTAGTTTCTTTTACATTTTCTCAAAAACTCTAAACTATCTCTTTATTTATAATTTTTTCAAAAGACATATACAAAATTTCTATGCTTCTTTAATACTCATTAAAAATAGAAACTTGTTTTATACGGCTTAAAATGATTCTTAAAAATATTTATTTCTTATAGGTATTTTATTATATATCGTCGGTATATTAAGCTTAACATCAAAGATGTCTGCAGTTGCAATTATTCTTGTTGGAGGGCCTTCAAGTGGGACTCGATTTAGGCCTTTATCTTTAGATATTCCAAAGGTCTTTATTAACTGGATTTATTTTTTTTATGGTTTTTAATTGAAGTTTTTAGCCTCTTTTTCCTATTGGAGGTAAACCTATGATATGGCATCATCTTGTTGCGTTATCAGAAGTTAAGACAGTTAATGAGGTTCTTTTGATTGGGTTTTATGAAGAATCTGTTTTTTCTGGGTTTATAAAGGATGCTAAAGAAGCATTTTCAGAATTTTCTATCAAGTATTTTGATTTTTATTTCTGGTATTTCCTTATGTTTTTTCAAGATATCTACGTGAATATCAATCTCTTGGGACAGCAGGAGGGTTATATTTTTTTCGTGATCTGATTCTTAGGAATTCTCCAAAAACAATTTTTGTTTTACATTCTGATTTATGTTGTTCGTTTCCTCTTAAAAATATGCTTGAAATGCATTTGGAGAAAGATGCAATTGGGACTCTTTTGGGAACTAAAGTAATATAGTTTTTTTTTGAGTTATAAGTTACTTAATTGTTTATCAATTAGGTTTCTCCTGATGATGCTAACAATTTTGGCTGTATTGTCTGGGATACTGCCACTTCAGAAGTTATTCATTATGTTGAAAAGCCTGAAACATATATTAGTTCTACAATTAATTGTGGTGTATATATTTTTGATGGCTCTATTTTTGATCAAATTAAAGAGTCAATACGGTTGAAAAGTGAGCGAAATAAAGAAATGTCTAGTTCTTCGTTTGATCCAGATGAGCGATTACGTCTTGAACAAGATGTTTTGGCACCTCTTAGTCAAACGAAGAAACTTTTCGTTTATGAAACTAAAGATTTTTGGCGCCAGATCAAAACTGCTGGGTATATTTTATTATTATTCCCTAAATTCCACATATTAAAGATTCAGGTCTTCTGTTCTTGCGAATGCTTTATATTTATTATATTCACAAAAGGAAAATGATCAGAAATTTTTTAAAGACTCTGGTCCAGAAATTGTTCCTCCAGGTAATTTATTATAATTATTGATATATTTGATTAATGAACTTCAAAAGTGTATATTCATCCATCCGCATCTGTAAGCCATTCGTCTAAGCTTGGTCCTAATGTTTCAATCGGTTTAAATGTTAAAATTCATTCTGGAGTCCGTATTAGTAATGCTATTATTTTAGATGGCGCTGAAATCAAGGTTGTTGTTATTTTATAATTATTATTTTTCTTATTTTAAAGCCTAATGCGTCTGTTTTACATTCTATTATTGGTCGAAGATCTCGAGTTGGGCAATGGGCTCGCGTTGAAGGTACGCCTACTCTTCCTACACAACATAATACCACAATTCTTCGAAATGGTGTAAAAATACAGTCTATTACTGTGCTTGCTAATGACGTTGTTATTGATGATGAAGTAAGGGTTCAAAATTGTATTGTGCTTCCTCACAAGGTATATTTCTATTTTTATATTTTATTATTTACTTAATAATAAATATCAGGAAATTAAAGTTGGTGTTGTTGGCGAAGTAAGACGGTTTATATTATTGTAATTATTGGGTTAATCATTAAACAGGTTATTATGTAAAAATAATTAATAATGATAATATTTTCAACATATTATTAAGGCTTCAATCATTATTCACTTTATATTTATGTTTCTAAGACCAGGAATTTGTCTTTCTTATATAATGAATATGTTTCTCTTTCTAACGATTTCTTTGCGATAACTATATCTTTCTGAATATCTTCTATCAATAATTCTACTTTCTTTAAAAAAATATCTAATTTAAAATGATATTACCTTTAGATATATAATTACATTCCGGTCTTATAAATCCCATTATTATCAATCTTATTTCTTCTTCATAAAAATCTTTTTTAAATTCATGAATAAAATGTACTTCCTAAATACTTTTTAAAAAAATCTATATTTATATTAAACATACAACTGATAATTTATTATTATTATAATATGGATTCCATCCTATACTCATAACCACCGAATATACTTTATTATCCTCTCCTTCCTTCATCACTCGACCCCACCCATAATATATCCCTGTTTTTGTTGCTAAATTTTTTGGAAGATTTTCTTCCGAAATATTTGCTAAAATATCTCAGTTTTATCTATATTCTTCATTAATTACCTGTTGGTATTTCCAATTCACTTTTTCCTCTACCATACCCTTTGATCACCTATACTTTCTTTCATATTAAAAATATATATTAAATTTCACAAACCTTTCCTTTTAAATAAATAGGATATGGATATTCTGGTCCTGATTCTGGTTCTCTATTATCTGGCAATTTTATCTCTATATTTGACATTTTATAAAAATTTTAATTATAATCTTATAATTATAAATAACTATATACTTTTTACTATCAAAAATATCCGTTTTTTCTACAAAATAACATTTATTCTTATTTTATTACTTAAAATACTTGATTTTCAAGTAAAAATCTCTCTTTTCTATTCAATATCTTTGTTTCTTATCTTTGGATGTCACGTGACACTACCATAATAACAACGTATTTTCAAAATATGACGTCAACTATGGAGCAATATCAGAGGTTAGAAAAGATTGGAGAAGGTAATAAAAGGAATATTTAAGAGAATTATGAGCTTATTTATGTATAAGGAACTTATGGAGTTGTTTATAAAGCAAAGGATCTTGAAAGTGGTACAATTGTAGCTCTTAAGAAAATCCGATTAGAAGCAGAAGATGAGGGAGTTCCTAGTACAGCAATTCGTGAGATATCACTTTTGAAAGAGATGCACAATGATAATGTTGTAAGGTATAATTTTGCTGTATTTTTTTTGAATTGTTTTTAAGAGGTTGATTAGACTTTTGAATATAATTCATCAAGAGTCACGTTTATATCTTGTTTTTGAAGTAAGTATAATGTTTTTTTTGAAATACTTGTAATTTCATGTATTAGTTTCTTGATCTTGGTAATTTTTAGAAGAATATATATATATATATATATATATGTATTGATATATTTAGATTTAAAAAAGTATATGAATAGTATTCCAAAGGACATGATGCTTGGTGCAGAAATGATTAAAAAGTTTATGTCACAACTTGTATCAGGTGTTAAATATTGTCATTCTCATCGTATTCTTCATCGTGACTTGAAACCACAAAATCTTCTTATAGATCGAGAAGGAAATCTTAAATTAGCAGATTTTGGGCTTGCAAGGGCGTTTGGTGTTCCATTGCGTGGTTATACTCATGAAGTTGTTACACTTTGGTATCGTGCTCCAGAAGTTCTTTTAGGTGGTCGACAATATGCAACAGCGCTTGATATATGGAGCATTGGATGTATTTTTGCAGAAATGGCTACAAAAAAGCCATTATTTCCAGGTGATTCTGAAATTGATGAAATATTTAGAATATTTAGGTGAAAAATTGAGTATTAAGTTTAGAATTTATTTATTTTTTAGAATATTAGGGACTCCAGATGAAAATTCTTGGCCTGGTATTACATCTTATCCGGATTTTAAGGCAACTTTTCCAAAATGGTCACCAAAAAATCTTGGAGAATTAATTACAGAACTTGATAGTGATGGAATAGATTTATTACAGGTTCTTAATTCATAATATAAATCATTAAAAAATAATAAATATCTAGAAATGTCTTAGATATTATCCTGCTGAACGTATTAGCGCTAAAAAAGCTCTCGATCATCCTTATTTTGATGATTTCATTAATATCAATAGATCTAACGTGGTGGTATAGTTTTATAATTGGTTATTATATATTTATGGGTATTTATATAAACTAATTTTTTCTTTCTAACCTAATAAATCTTTGGCTTTAAAAATTATCTATTATAATCAACAATAGATAAATATATATCTTTGTAAGATGATTTTCGCAAATACTGTAATAATTATATTGGCTATGAAATTCATTCAATTGATTCATAATTTAAATTCATGTAATATTTATTAAATTAACTATTTCTTTATACCTTTTTATTATAACTTAATATTTACCGGATATATTTATCAATCTGCTGATAAAACAAATGATTTTTTTGATAAACTACTTAAGACTTTAATTTTATAAAAAAATCTAAGATAAAGGCTTAGATTAAATTATAAAGTCAATTTAATCTTTAAATTTTAAAAAATATATAAACATATTTATTACTTAAAAATGTCAAATATTTCAGAGAAAAAGATGAATATGAGGTCTTTAATAGGAGTATCTAGTCCTAAATATTCAAATACATCTTTAAAATGCAGGAAATCTAAAAGTTATGAGGAAATATTAGATGATAAAGAGATAGCAGAAAAACAAATCAATAATGATTCAGAAAAAAGGAATATTTCTGCTTCTTTTGATAAATATCAAAGAGAAAGAGGTTATAGCCAGAATTGCTATGCTTGTAATCCTTCAATATCTCCAAAATCAAGGAATTTGATTAAGTTTAATGAACGTTTTTCTAAAAAAGATATATCAGATGATTTACAAAGAAATAACAGTTATTTTAATTTGGATTCATTAAAATTACTTAAGAGTTTTCAGCTGGGCTTTTTGTGGGATCATTTATTAATGGAACTTGATATTAGTGAAATAGAAGAAATAAAAGAAAAAAGAGAAAAATTAATGATTAATTATTTGCTTGTTCCTAAGGAATTAGAAAAGGTTCTTTTATTTGGATGGCTTATTTGCCTTGATACACTTATGTATTTTTTTACAATATCACCACTCAGATTTATTAAAGTTTTATATAAGATTTTTAAAAATAATTTAATATGTGAAAATAAGGACCGCAAAGAAAGGTATAGTTATTTCTATTTTACTGTTGTTTAATTTTTCAGCAATATAAAATCATGTGAAAAAATTGATATTCTTGAAGGGCTTTTGATCTTAGGAACATGTATTATTCTTCAGAGGCTAGATGCTAGTCGTATTTATCATAATATCCGAGGACAAGCTACTATTAAGCTTTATGTTATATATAATGTTTTAGAAGTATAAAATTGCATCATATATTATTGTTTATAACATAGTATTAGATTGGTGATCGTCTTTTATCTGCATTTGGACAAGATGTTATAGAATGTTTCTTTTCAAAAGTTTCTAGTAGAGAAGATTTAACTAAATATTATTATTTAAATCTTAGTTTATACTTTATTCTTGCTTTAATAACTAATGGTATAATTGCGATATTATTTTGAAGGATAATTCTAATTATTTAGTTTTGCATACTACTATGTTGTTTTATCAAGTCATGACTTTAAATGTTACTGTTAATTCTTATTCGAATGCTTTATTAACTCTTCTTATATCAAATCAATTTGTAGAAATTAAAGGAACAATATTTAAGAAATTTGAAAATGAGAATATGCTTCAAATGACATTAGCTGGTAAATTATGCTTTATTTTTGATTTAATTTTATTTCTTTTAGATATTGTAGAGCGATTTCAATTAACATTGATGCTTAGCATAATATTGTTTAGAAATTTGATAGAAATATACGAATTGAGGTTTCCTTTTTCATTGTTTTCAGGCTCTTTTTTTCATCTTTCATCTTATTCTGTCTTTTTTATGATTATGACTCCAGTAATATTAGTTATGGGTTCAGAAATATTTGTGGATTGGCTTAAACATATGTTTATCATAAAATTTAATCATATACACTCATCAATATACTCACGCTTTGCAGATGTGCTTTCTGACTATTATATTAGCTGCATGAATAAAAAAAAAGAGGTGAGAATTTTAAAATTATGAACTTTTATTTAATAAATATATAGACAAGTATTAGACAGCCATATTTTATATCTAGGAAAATTGGTCTCCCTATCTTACCTTTGGCATGTTTAATTATTCGGGCATTTTTTAAGATTTACAGGATTTTTTATTCTTCTAAGCTTTTTATTGATATAAAGATGTTATTTAATGATCCATCATTAGAAAAAACTAAGCTTTTCTTATCTAAGGTTAATTTGATTTTTAAACTTATTTTTATAAATAACAATATGAAGGACAAATTTATTTCTATTTTTTATGGAACTTTTAATATGATTCTTTTTTTTTTTTGGTTTGTTTATCATCTTTAATCTTTCATATTTTTAAAAATACAAGTTTGATAGTTATGAAATTAATTTTAAGCACAATACTTATGAAACTTTCATATAAATATTATAATAGAATTGAAGATAAAGAGGAAAAGGAATTCAAAATAGAAAAGTCAAGTTCTATTGGTCAACAGGTATAATTAAATTATAATTATTATTTTATTGTTCATTATATTTCTAGGAAATTAATGAAAAAACGAGATCATATATAAATAATGTTCAAAGTAAATTTAAAGAAGGAACTCAAAAACATACTTTATATACTCTTGAAAGATATTCTATGGTAACTAAACGGATCTATTGATATAAATTATTTTTATATATTTTATTTCTAATCCTTTAGTTTTAAAAAATTGTTATTATATTTCAATTATACAATATTTTTATGATTAAGATGCTTATGGAAATAATATTATATCTTTTTTTAAGAAAAATTGCTTTAAGAGTTATGATGAAAAATATAAAAATAATCCAAATACTTCTCAATAATTTAAGATTTTTATAGATATTTTCTATATTTTTATAGAATTTATATCAAAATCTACTAATACGTGAAATATTATAATTTTATATAAATTTATTTTAATATTTATGAACATTATCTAGAGCTATTCCCAAATTTTGGCTTTGCAATATCCCAAGGACCATGTATTTCACTTAAAATATAAATAAAAATATATAGAATTATGAATATATACCTTTTATATTTTTGAAGACTTATTAACCATAATGGACATACAAAAGAAATAAAGAAAAAGCTGAAAAGAAATAATAATGTGAGAGTAAAATTTATTTCCAAAGTAATTAATATTGAAGCTACCGTAAGGAGAAATGCTGTCAGAATAAGTTGAATCGTAAAAGAAAAGTTTTGCTTTAAATATAATTAAAAAAATATCATAATAATTCTATAAAATTCACCCGAAGATAACGTCTAAACATAGGAAATAAAGCAAACCATTCAACCGCGAATACTATTAACGAAAACGCATGAATATATGATGTCAATTGTGATGCAAGTACAACTGAAGCCATAACACCTGCATTAGTTGATAAAGATCCGGGAAATCTAAAAATTAAAAATATTAAGAAAATATTTTATAATTTATATACTTCTTATTAGCCCATTCTGCTGTAGAATAATCATGGAAGAATATATTAGCTAAAAATAAACAAAATGTTAATGCCCATATTGAATCAGATGTTGTTGATTTCGTAAGAGATTCCAAAATAGGTGATACACAAAAAATAACAAGAATAATCAATATAGAGAATTTCGCTATTTCCTTTCCTATAAAATTACTATTAATAATATTTTAAATCTTTATTCCTAACTATTATTGATATTTCGATTATAATCGAATTTTGTTATACCCAAATCCCAAAAAATATAACAACATATTGTAAATCCCGTTGATATTCCTATTAACACTCCTGGAGATACTCGTTCATAATAAATTGAAATAAACGCACATATAAATATAGCTATACTGCAAAGATGTTGCATAAAAACAATCATATCCGCTACAAGAGGCAAAAAATCATAAACTTTGACATTTACTATTTATCTTAGCCTCTTTTTCATTTATTCATCCTATTATTTAAAACCATTACGCTTCAGTTCTTTTAAAAATGATTCATCAACCCAATTATCTGGATAATCTTGTTTAACCCATAAAAGCTTTCTCCACTTCTTTTTCCTCTTAGAATGTATGTGATTCGTCCCCTTCTTATAATACATTTCTTCCTTAATATCTTCTAATATTTCTGCAAATAAATATGTCATTATTATTATTAAAAAAACTCATATTTCTTGTTCTTCTAATTAATACTATTAATAACCACTATTTCTTGTTAGTAAATACTCTGTTAAACTATCTTATTATACCTTAATTTGCTGACTTTTGTCAGATACTTAAGTTTTTTAAAAAAATATAGATTATTTCGATAAGATTAAAAGATAAGACTGTTATATATAGAAGAAGAGAATCATAAAGTTGTAGTAGTTGATAGGAATATAAAGATTTCCCTGTATAATTTGTTATTTTTTTAAAAAGTTTGTAATTAAAAAGATTGACAAGTTAATTTTTTGATAACCTTAAGAAAGCATAAATAATTAAGAAGATGAGATTTCCTATTAGAAAATCAGCAGAAGAATGGAAGAAGATCCTTTGTTCTGAAAGAGTTTTTATTTTTGAAAGATCTAAATATATAATGATATATATTAGTATAAAGTTCTTCGTGAAAAATATACAGAACCAGCAGGATCAGGAGAATATGATAGCCATTACCCATCAGAAGGAGTTTATATATGTGCTGGATGTGAATCGCCATTATATAAAGCAGAAACAAAGTTTAAATCAGGATGCGGTTGGGTAATATTGAATTTTTGAGAAAATATATAAAATAATGAGAATATAGCCATCATTTTATGAATCAATAGAAAATTCTGTTGATAGAGTACCTGATTTATCTGGAGGAAGAGTCCGAACAGAAATCCTTTGTAGTCAATGTGGTGGACATTTAGGTAAATATTTTTAAACCATGATATATTGTTTTTTTTTAGTTAATATTGTTGAGGCCATGTGTTTAAAGGTTAATTTAATTATTTTTATTGTATTTTTTTAATTAGATAAGGTGAAGGTTTTGATGTACCTACAGATGAACGAGTTAGTTGAAGTTTCTTATTTAAAGAGAAAGAATCTAACAAAATTAGCATTGTGTAAATAGTTTATCCGTAATTTATAAGAATATTGAGAAAAAGAATGTTTGAATAGAGTTTTTTTAAAAAAAAATAACTAAAAAACATATTTGATCCATATTTTCTTCAAAAAAAAACATCAATTCATTTGAAGCTGATGATATTGAATGATTGTTGTCTTTTATTATATCCATATATCTTAATTTGACATGTTTTTTTTAGTTTTTTTATGATAGAAAAAAATTCAAATTGAGTTTATCTTTTTTAACAAAAAAAAGACAATTAAGTTGATTGGTTAATGAATGAATGTTGTTTTTGTATCATTTTGTATAAAAATTGAAAAAAATTGTTGATATTTTATAAAAGTCCCTTGTTATATAATAGTTTTAAAAATGTATAAATTGTGATTTTTATTCAAAAAAAGTGAAATATATGTTTATCTAAATCTCCCCTTCTTCTAATAATTCCAATGGAAACTTAATCCAAATTATATCACCAGAGCGAATAACTGCTTGTTTATGTATCCCCCAATCTGTTTGTAAATTTTCAACCAAAAATTTTGTTTCAAGTGCATCAGTCCCTAAAAAAGAAGATGCTTTTAATTGTGTTCTATAAAATATATTATTTTAATTATATATTTTTATTTTAAAAAATCACTTGTTCCAAAGATAAAAAGTTACAGATTTATAAGATCTTGAAACAAATTTATAAAATCTTAGAGTTCTCATTCTTTGAAGAAATGCAATTTCTTGAATATTTTTTTCATAAGTTTGGTCAAGGGACATTGTATCTAAGATTTAAAAAGTTAAAGAAATCGATTAAAAATATTAATTAAAATATCTATTATTTTACAAGTCATTTACATTTAAGGGTCTTTATTATTTATATAACCAAGAGTATCAATAATCATAGCTCGTGCTTTTTCGAGGCCGTCTAAAGTGCCTCTTAAAGTGATAAGGTTTCCGTTATTTGTACGAGGAATATTAATACAACAGTCTGATTCATTTTTTATTTGGGATATTCTTGATCCTCCTTGTCCTATAATTATTCCATAATAGTTTGGAGGTACTTTAAGATAACCGGTTGCTGTATGATGTTTCATTTGTTCAAGTGCTGTATTTATAATTTCTTTTACTTGTTCTATGTTCCCCATCTTGCCTTTTAATGTCCATGAAATTTCTTTATCTTCTTCTAAATCCATTACAACACTCCAGGGATATTTTCGATTTTCATCTACATCATTTTCATCAATGTCTGCTTCATCAATTGTTTCTTTTGGTATCGAGTCTTCATGATATTCTAATATTACCCCATATAAGGTTTTCATGCGACGAGCAAATATTCCATTTTCAGAAATATATGGATGGCATTTTAAAGGTATATTGATTTCAATGCAGTCTTCTGTTTTTATAAAGGTATTTATTTCTTTTGCTGCTTTGTCTACTTGATCTTTTTTTCCTATAACTTTAATTTCCACATTTTTTTCTGTGCTATCTTTTGGTTTTCTAGGGATTTTGATTATTACAGAATATTTACTTTCAAGCTCTTTCCGCACATTTCCTTCTTTACCAACTATTGCTTTCATTTTCGATAATGGTACTGGTATAACAAGAGTTGTTTTTTCTTCTATTTCTTTTACCATAAAATTAATTTTTTCTATAATTTTATCCACTAATTCCTTATTACCAGCAATTACAATTTCATCAGACTTTTTTTCTGGCTTTGGAAACTGAATTATTTTTGCAAGCTGAGAACGATCACCAATTGCACCACATTCTGTTATAATATTACGTAAAGTACTTCCTCCAGGCCCTATAAGAGTACGATGATGTTTTCTATTAACATAAATAGTACGAGTAACCTGATCTTGAATAGCTTTAACAGTATTAAGAATAGAATTTTTAGCTTTTTTGATTCCATCTTTAGTTCCTTGAATAAAAATAGTTGCCAAAGCAGATGGATCATCGGATGTAGATTTCTCAATCTCAATACGAGTTTCAGTCTCATTTTTTAATTCATTGATACTATTTCCTGCTTTACCTAATATTTGAGCAATAGTAAACATGGGAACTGTAAAAGTAACTGTATTTCCATGCTCTTTTTCATAATCTAAAAGATCCATTAATTCTAATTTTGCTAAAGCTATCCCATTTTTTTCTCCGCGAATTGTAACCTCATCTTTTGCTTCTGATTTCTTGGTATCAGTATCTTTATTTTCTAAATTTTCACGAGGGAAGTTTATTTTAACTTGATACTTTTCTTCAAGTCTTTTTACAAATTTCCCGCCTTGACCGATAAGACTACCATGATGCTTTACTGGAATTGATAGATGAAGTACTGTCTGTTCATCTAGTTTTCTTATAAGTTCTTGAATATATGATTTTGCTTCTTCAACATTCTCTTTAGCTCCCTGGACCGTAATTTTCCCTTCTTCAGTTGTTATTTTAACATTGAGTTCTCTTATCTTTGAAATATTATTATGCCCTTTATCAAATAAATATTTTAAAAACTTTTGTGGAAAATCAAAGGTTGATGTATATGAATTCTGATCCTGAAACTTTAAATTTTCTACAATCTTTTCAATCTCTTTAATGACATATTCTACTCCAAATGATACACCTCTAACATTAACCATATTTTCTTCAATAACAGTGTTATCAAACTTTCTAGGTTTGGCCGTTGAAAATTTAACTTTAACTATTGAATTCGAGTCTTTTATAATAGAATTCAATGTTGAACCCTTAGGACCCAATATATATTTATGATATTTATCAGGAATATAAATATCACGAGAAATAATATCAGCCATTTCTGTTGCAGTTTTTTTAAGTAATTCTGCAACTTTTTCGAGTGTCAATTGAATAGTAACTGCAGGCTGTAGTTTTTCATCTGGTCTCCCTTCGTAAATAAGAACGATTTCAGAATTGAAGGAATCTTCACTTGAAAAAAGTACATCTATAAAATATTGTTCTCTTATCTTTTGCAAATTTCTTCCTTTCTGACCAATTATATGACAATGTAGTAATGGATCAAGATTAAGTCTTAGAATACGATATGGAGGGTATGAATTAATTAACATTATAATCTCTTTTTTAGCATTTTTAACATTTCCTGCATTTTCTCCGGCGAATTCATATATAATAGAGGTTAGATTTTGTTTTAATAACGTATCCATAGAAGGTAATGTAATCTGTATTTGATATTTTTTTTCTATTCTTGCAATCTCTTTTTTCTTTAAAAAATATCTTGTAATATCTCTAGCATGAGCAATATGATCAGCAGCTGAAGGATGTGCCTTAGTAATATCCAACATATCCAAGTATATGGAGTTAGCTCTTTCCATAAGACATTGAATGCTTTCCCCAATAAATGATGGGGGACCACAAATCAATAAACTTTCTGACGGTGAGGAATATGGAGGAATTATTATAGAACATTTTAGTCGATATAGAATATCTTGTAATAATTTTTCATCAAGATACTTATGTAATCGCTTTGAAATAACAACAGAAGCTGACACAGTTGTAGATTTAAACTCGGCGTATAAAGCCTCAATCTCCGCTTTTGCAGTATTAACTAGATTTTTTTCACCAGAAATTACAATAGGTTTTAACTTTTCCACGTCAGATTCCAAATAAGATGAGGGAATATCTATTTTTAAATCCTTATCTCGAGCCCATTCCTGAATTCCTGAATTGTTTGCACTTGATATTAAACTATAAAATTTTGGATTTATTGAAGTAATTTTTACAGTTATATGAGATGTCTAAAATAACATAATTATTAAAAAAAAAATAACAAAAAAAGTTAGTTAGTTACTCTTTCTTCTACTATCGCTTCTATTTCTTTTTTTGCTAACTCTGCTGCTTCAACATCTCCACTAATAATAATTTCCACTGTTTCATCATTATGCTCGCCATTTGCATTATTACAAGGAAAATCTCTTGAAATATTGCGTTTTGGAAATTGTATTTTAGCACCCGATTTCTCAATAATACCATTCAAAACTTTTCCTTTGATACCAATTATAAAGCCAAGAATATTTAAAGGAACTGATAATTTTATAGTAACCTTTAGGCCTAAGAAACAATAAAATAAATATCAAATACCCCTACCTTTTGACTTAATTCTTTCATTAACATCCTACGAGCACGATGAACATCTTCCGGCTTTCCACGAACTAAAAACGTTGTTATTCCTGTCTTTCGTGTCGTAGACATATCAATATGGGTATGTGTTTCCTCCATAATTTGACGAGCAATTTCTGCTACACTAGATTTACTACCAAATTCTTTTAAAGGCGTTCTTTGGCTAGCTTCAAGTCGTATAGTTTCAATAGTCGTTTTAATTGATGGAACCGCCATATACTTCTCCCTTTTCTCACTTAAATTACTCTTTGAAATATTTATATTCTCTGTTTTAGATTTCTTTGTAGCAGAAGCAATAGATGATTTAAGAGATGGAAAGGATTCTTCTGAATTAAACCCAATAATAGAATAATTTGAACCCGTATCATAACCCACATGTTTCTTTGATGAATTATCAAATTTATTGTCTAAAATATTACTAGATAACCCCGAATTATCCCCGTTACCATTCATATAGTTCTCTTGTGTATGAACAAACGACGAATTCCCCGGATTTCCCTGCAAATCACTCAAAAATACCTTATCTAAATATAACTATTAGACTTTTCTTAAAGCACTTTATCAATTCATATACCCTTTTCTAATGATAAATTCATAGACATTTTCTTTAACCCACTTCTTAACCCTTAATCTTTACTGTATCTCTGTATAAATTAAGACTTAACATAAAAGAAGCTTTAATCCTCTGTTTCCTGAAATCCTTTGAAATCTATTGATTCTGCTTGAAAATATTTAATTTTTTAATAAGTTTGTAAAATTCAGTTGTTGGTACTAGGTTAGGGCATATCAGCAAGATTGTATAATACTTGATAATAAATTAGTTTATAATATAATGGTTAATGAAGAAAAATGAATAAATATCTCAAGTGTTTTTTGATAGAGTTGAATCAAAGTTATTAAGAAAGGATCCAATATGTATTATATTAGCATGTTAATAGTAATGAATATACCTTTTAAAATTAGATTATATACATTCAAAGAAGTTGTTTAAATTGAATGTTCGATGTTTTTGAGTTATCAAGAAATAAACGTATTGTGATTAAATTTTATAATAAAGTATTTTAAAAAAATCGCAGTAACAAAATTATTAATTGAAAATAAAAAGTATGTAGTTAGGAAGGGTTAAATCTTTGATTAAGGTTGAATATTCCATGGCAGTCGTTTTCTTTTTAGTGTAAAAAGCAATTCGTCTAATTCGACAAAGTTTTGATCGTTAGTAGCATATTTAATATGACGACGAGAATTTATATGCTTAAAAAATAAGTAATACTATAGCTGTATCTAGACTACATACCTGATCAAAATTTTCGAATTTTTCTCTGCAATTTTCACAATAGCCTGGTCTACTTTCTACCTTAATTTTTTTTTTATCTGTAGGATCAATTTGAGATTGCTGCAATGCATTCATATTTTCATGAATAGAACGTCGTTGTACTTGAATAAAAATTTTTCTTTTAAGATCATCCACCGATTTGCTTAGAGGTATTGTAATAGATCCTGCCATTCCTCCGCTCCTAGCATTAGTAGATGTTTGCGAGCGTGTAGCCGATGTAAGGTTTGATTGTATAATCCCTGATGCATTTGTATCTATTTGATAACGTTTGGATTGAACTTGATTACGAACTTTACTAGAATCATCTTTCAAACGATAAAGAACTTCCTTAAGGTTTTTTGACGGATCAGGGATATTTTGTAATTCCTTTAATACTTCATGTTTTTGTAAAGATGAAGGAGGATGAGACTTTCGAGCATTGTCTCGAATAAACGGGCAATGACCCAATTCAGTAACCCGGAATTGTGGCCATTCTCCTTCAGAAACTTTACCATTAGGCGGTTTAGGCCATTCTTTCACTATGATAGGACGATAAATATTCGATATATCACGAACAAAAAGATAAGGTCCCTTAAAATAAACATAATCTTCACGAGGTGTTGTTCGATCCCTTTCTCTGGTCCCATTAACCTTTTCGTCATAAAGAAGATGTGAAAGCTTAGGTTGGCTAGGTATTAAAGATGGGTTAAGAAGTGAACGCAAAATCCTGTTTACAAATTCTATGAAATAATTAGAATTATTGTATTATAAATGAACGATATTTACTATCGAATGACCATATTTTTATATCATATTCATGTGCTTTGATTAAAACATCGTTCTTAAGCAATTCCTCTTGATTAAGTTTGCTAATTAATTAAGAAAAATGCATCACACATTTTTTATGTGGTACCTTGTTATACATGAATCTTTTAAAAGATCTGTGAGTCCAAAAAGTTTCCAAGATTTATTTTGTGATGCTGAAAGCATAGAAAGTGTGTTATTCGCATTCAAAGATGATTTTTGAGCTGATTAATTTTAATAAATATGTATTGTTTAATATTTAGGTCTAACCTAGCTGAAGAGAAATATTTGTAAAGTCTGGAATTGGTCTAGTCGTTATAACATGCGTAACATTTCTCGAAAAAAATGCATCAACAGTCTAGGTTGTTAATAAACGCTTCTTTATGTTACTTATATCTTACTCCGCCTAACTTATTGATCTGTTTAGTGATTTTATGCTTTACATTTTGATCCACTGAATCAAAATAAAACCTAAAGCTAGGAAATACCTTTCGGTATTGTCGCTGCCATTCTCGAACTTTTGCACTTGTTTCTTCAATTGAAATTGCTCGTTTCCATGATTCCGTTGATATCAAGTGCGTTTGAGCTAATGTTTTCACTTTCGTAGGCGATTCATGCTTTGTACGTTTCATCGCTTTTCGATTTGCTGTCTCAATATCCACTACTTTTTGTGCTGGTGATTCAATAAGAACTCTCTTTAAAATAGGTGAAATTTCATGCTCTGAATTCTGATGATGTTGCTTATATATAGCTGGAAACTGATGATTCATAGAACGTGCAATTAAAGGCTGACGTTCGTTCGTTTTATGTTCAATCATTTTAATATCTTAAATAGTATTGATTTCCATCATTTATTGGCCAATTTAAACGGGAAAAAAACACTGATTTAAACCCAAATCCTCAGAAAACTAATTATATCCCTCAGATCTTTGGTTATTCCCTTAATTCCCCTATTTAACTGGACTTCTTGCCCTGTTTTACCTGATGGTTTATACGCGAAGGTCCTTAGAGATCGAAGCCAGTTTTTGAATCATCAATGAGTTACTCGCGGTTAAAAAATAACTATTGAATTAAATTTTTATAAAATGTATAAGAAATACAGAGTTATAGAATGCTATATAAATATATATATAATAAATAAGATTAGTGATATAAAAAAAGTAGAGATGAATATTGTTTATGTTTTTTAAAAAGTCATTTTTTTACATGAAAAATGATAAAAAAGAGATTGTAATTTTGTATGAAACATGTTTTAAGAATGTTTATCGGTGTTTTTTGTTTGTGGAGATTTTATAGGTTTTATCTTGATTTTTTGAATTTGGTCGATAAGAGAGATAAGTGAAGAATCTAAAGGTTTTTTGCGTTCACGAAGAGTCATTCTGTCTTCAGATAATATGAGATCTGTTTTTGTTTCTAAAATAGTGGTATATTTCTGTGCCATTTGTATAATATTTTTTATCCAATCAATTTGTATATTAAGTAAAGCGTTTTTTGGTAATCGAGATATTGTGCCCTTAGAAATTGATTTGTCTATCCAAGAAAAATATTCCATTTTCCATAAAGATTTGCATTGGTCCATTTGTTCTTGCGTAAGATTAGTTAATCCGCATAATAAAGTAAAAGTCCCAGAAGCAATGGCTCTATCTGAATAACCACCTTCCATGATACTAAAAATACGAGAACAGCATCTTTTTTGTGACAATAGTAAAGTGTCTTTAGAAAATTTCCAATAAAATAAAGCGGGTAAATGATATCCATGTCGTTGCATATGTTCACTTTCGAATTCTGAGCTATCAAAACCGGCGCTAATGACCAAAAGAGATTGCTCAGGTAAAGCTTTAGTACTTTCGAAGAAAAAATCGGCTTTTTTTAATAAATTTATGTAAGAAGTATTATACAATTCCTCGAATTCTTCATATGTAGTGTATTTTTCTATATGGACATTCCAAATAGCTTGGTTGTGATTCATAATACATATACTTGCATCTTTTATTTTGGATTGTACACTAGGGCCTGTACCTTCACAAGGAAAAGAATAGATATCATGTAAAGAGAAATATCCTATATTGAGATTAATGTTTGTTTCTTGATTTATTCTCCATGAAATTTCTTGAGAGCCATCACCATGATGAAGATCAAAATCCAAAATTGCAAAATGAGTAATTCCATATGTTTTATGTGCATATGATATAGCAATTAATGCATTATTTAGAAGACAAAACCCCGAAGGGATTTCTCTAGAACAATGATGACCTATTTCTTTTAAAAATAATAATATATAAAAAAACATTAAAATACCTGGTGGCCGAAGAAGAACATGTACATTTTTAACCTGAGAATTTTCAGCTAGACATCGATCAATGCCGTCATATATAGCGCCAACGCATCCTTCAAATGCTTCAAGAGAGGATTGTCCAAGATAAAGGTCACCAGAATGATATTTATCTTCCGGAATTTCTGTTTTTCCTTCTATAATACTTTTCTGTACATTTTTACAAAGTTCATAGAGTTCCAATGGCCATTTTTCTCCATGTATAAACTCAATAATAGGATTATTAATAATTGATATATATCTCACTGATTGATAAATATCAAATGAATTAGATTTGTCAAGAAGATCAAGGTGTGCTTTTGCTGATAATGTTCCTATATTAATCAGCTATTTTTATAATATTTAGAAATTTTATATAAATACCAATAATCGCTGCTCTATATCTTCTAGGTCGTTCAACTATATATTTCAAATCATGCTTATTTCTTTCAAATTCATGTTTTATACAGCCCTCATGTAAAATTACAAGTGTACTAGAGACTTTTGATTCTTCTTTTTCAATAGGTAATAAAATATTAGATGATAAGAAATCAAAATGCTTTGTTTCTGGTGTAGAATAGTTTTCCAATATTTCTTGTTCATCAACTGCATCCGATAATTTTTTTGTTTCTTCATCTTTTAATGATATATTTAGAATTGCATCAAGAAGTGAGTCTGTTTCATGTGATGTTAAATATGATGCTTCTTTTGTTTCATCATAAAAACTATCTGATAAATTTAATGAATAATTTGGATTAGCCATAAAAAATTAATCCATATATATATATATATATATTATTTCTTTTTATAATCCACTTTCAAGATTTCTTAAACCTTCAATATTTAAATACTTATAAAGCTTAATACTTGGCTAATTTAATAATAAATTTGCCCTTTTTTCTCCTAATAAATTACTGTTTTGCTCAATCAATATTAATATTGAAAAAATGATATTTATTTAAAACAATTAAATCTTTTCAACAAACTAAAACAAAATATCACTTCAAATACTAATATATAATGATAATCTCTAATTAAAACAATAAAAATATTAACAATATCCAATAAAACTCTTTTTTACTCACTTAAAAATATATTAAATTAAATCTTTAATAAGGAATCTAATTAAAACAATTTACTAAATTATCTATAATTTTTAGTTTTTATCTAATAATATTTAATATTTTTAACCTTTTTCTTAATATTTTTAAAAAAGTGGTTAATTTTCTTAACGTCAGTTAACTTTTAAAATTAACTTGTTAAGAAAAGATATAAAATTAAGTTAATTGAAGTCTTAAATTTAGACAAAAAAGATAGATTTTAATTAAAAAACTAATAATTCTTAATATTTTTCTTATAAATTATAATAAATTCTTAAGATTTGGGAAAAAGTGGTTAAAAAGTCAAGATGATGCTTTTATTAGAAAAAGTAATGTTGGAGCACTGTGAACGGGTAAAATCAATTGATTTCCATCCGTCAGAGAGCTGGATTATTGCATCATTATATAATGGAAAGGTGGTGATTTGGAATTATGAAACATCAGTAAATAATCGAATATTATGTTATTTTGATGGATATTGATGAGTTCTGAATAGGTGAATATCAGAACATTTGATGTTTCATCTGTGCCTATAAGGGCGGTTAAGTTTATTTCTCGAAAGAATTGGTTTGTTTGTGGAGCAGATGATTTTTTACTTCGGGTCTATAATTACAATACATTAGAGAAAGTGAATCAGATTGAGGCACATAATGATTATATACGATGCATTGCGGTTCATCCGACGCAGTCGTTTTTGCTTACGGGAGGTGATGATATGTTGATTCGATTGTGGGATTGGGATAATTCATGGAAATGTTTAAGGGTATTAGTTAAATATAAAACAGCATGTTTGAAGGTAATATTTTAGGTTTTTGAGGGGCATGGACATTATGTAATGGCGCTATCAATTAATCCTAGAGATACGAATACGTTTGTATCATGTAATTTGGATCGAACGGTTAAAGTATGGTCTCTGGGATCATCAACATCAAATTATACACTTGATGCAGGTGAAAGGGGCATTAACTATGTGGAATATTATAATGCAGGTGATAAACCATTTCTTATTACTGCAGGTGATGATAGTTTGATAAAAATATGGGATTATCAAACGAAATCATGTGTTCAAACTTTAGAGGGACATTCTGAAAATGTATCATTTGCTTGCTTTTATCCAGAGCTTCCTATTATTATTAGTGGATCAGAAGATGGGTCTATCAAAGTGTGGAATTCTAATACGTATAAACTTGAACAAACGTTTAATTATGGACTTGAAAGGGCATGGTGTATTGGCTATCTTAAGGGAAACAATTCAGTAGCTATTGGTTATGATGAGGGTATACTTGTTTTAAAAATAGGGAGGGAACAGCCAGCTGTAAGTATGGATAGCACGGGGAAGATTATTTGGGCAAAATACAATGATATTCATTCATCTGTTATTAAGCCCGCAAATGGTAAATATAAAAATGGATTAATAGGAAGATAATAATATTCTTAGATAATGAAGATATTAAGGATGGTGTAAGCCTTGCTCTTTCTGTACGTGATATGGGTTCTTGTGAAATTTATCCACAATCTTTACAGCATTCTCCCAACGGGCGCTTTGTAGTTGTTTGTGGAGATGGTGAATATATAATTTATACAGCTCTTGCATGGAGAAATAAGGCATTTGGATCTGCTCTTGATTTTGCATGGGCATCTGATTCTAATGAATACGCTATAAGAGAATCATCTACAAGTATTCGCATATATAGAAATTTTAAAGAAAGAAATCCTTTCTCTTGTGAATTTATAGCTGATGGAATTTTTGGAGGACAACTTCTTGGGGTTAAAGGGCATGGATTTTTTGCTTTTTATGATTGGGAAACCTATACTTTTGTTAGAAAGATTGATGTTTCACCAAATGAGGTAGAATTTTTTTATAAAAAAAATGAAATTATGAACTTTATTAGATATACTGGTCTGAATCTGGTACATTGTTTACCATTGCATGTGATGATATTTTTTATCTCTTAAAATTCAATCATAGTGCTTATATTAATGCAATTGAGAGTGGAAGTATTCATCCTGAGGACGGTGTTGAAGATGCTTTTGAAGTAATTACTAATGTTTCTGAATGGTAGTTTATATTTTCATTAATAAAAGTTATGTAACAATGTTCTAGTATTAAAAGTGGAAAATGGGCTGGTGATTGTTTTATTTATTCTAATTCAATGAACCGGATAAACTATTTAGTTGGAAATCAAGTGTATACTATTAGCCATTTTGATACTTGTGTCTATGTTTTAGGTTATATTCCTCGTGATGGAAGACTTTATTTTGTTGATAAAGATATACATGTTATTCCATATGAGTTATCTTTATCTGTTGTAGAATATCAAACCTTGGTATTGCGTGGTGATATTGATGGTGCTTCAGAGCTTTTGAGAAATATTCCTCAAAATCAAATGACTAAAATAGCAAGATTCTTAGATGGACAAGGTTTTAATTGATGCTTTAGAAATGATATTTATTAATTTTATTTTAGGATATAAGGATTTAGCTATGAATATTACAACAGATTTAGAACAGCGTTTTGATTTAGCTATTCAATTGCGTAGACTTGATATTGCTGTTGAAGTTGCCCAAAAAATGAATTTAGAGTCTAAATGGAAAACATTAGGAGATGCTTCTTTACTAAATTGGGACTTATGTCTTGCTGAAGAATGTTATATAAAAGCAAATGATCTTGAAAATTTACTTTTGCTATATTCTTCCACTGGAAATGTTGAAAAAATGAAAATGCTTGCAAAAAATGCTTTAGATTCTGGAAAAAATAACATTGCATTTACTTGTTTATTGCAAATTCAGGATGTTGATAGCTGTACTGATATCTTTTTGAATACAAAAAGGTTTCCTGAGGCATGTCTTTTTGCACGAACATATGCACCAAGGTTATATTTATTATAATTATATATATATTTCTATAATTAATTTTTTATATAGTCAAATAGAACGTGTTTTAAAGCAATGGAAGGAATATTTGGAACAAAAAGAGAAGCATAAACTTTTAGATCTAGTTGTAACATCTACAGAGGATATTAGTTTTTTTCCAGATCTAGAAAAAACTTTAGACTTAGAAAGAGAGTTCAGAAAAATTAGTTTAGAAAGAAATAACTTTAATAATTGCGATTTGATTAATAGTAAGTTGATTTGTTTTTTAAAAATTAATATTAATAAAGTTTTAGATATTGATTATAAGAAAGATTCAGATGATTCCCAAGGTTCTGGTTTAATTAATAATATTTCACATGTAAATGTATATATTTTGGTCTGATTTGTTTTTAACTTTAAATAGTCTAAAACACTTTCAACATTTTCAGATGATATGAACACAAATGCTGATAAAACTAAAAATGAATTAACTGTAAATTATATAATATCTATATTTGATAATTTTGACTATTATAGGATAACGATTTGGATTCTAAAAATATTAGTGAGTAATTATAATGAGATTTTTAAGATAAAAATATCAATACTCTTTATTTAATATAATCTATTTTGTATTTAAAATTATTTATAGAACATCAGATGAAATATAGTTTATTAATATTTACTAAAAGCTCTTCTATGTACTTAAGAATTTATAATATCTAAATAATATACTACTTATTCATTTTATCGTTTCCTTGATATGTTGTATCTTTTCCCATGTACATGGGTACATTTTTATAACATTTATTTCATTTTTTGTTTTATTTTTTCTGAATACTCCTAAAATTCTTACTATATCATTATTTTGAAAAGCAATTGTAATATGATAGTCATGATATGATGCATAAATATATGGTCCTCTTAAAGGATGAAACAAATCTGCAATAACATATGTAAAAAAGCCCTTTTTCTTATTAAATTCCTTTATAATACCTATTATGTTATTAAAAAGAAACAATAGCAAAAATCTTACCGAAAAATTCTATAAGATAAACAATCATAGAGTTTTTTTGAAGATTAGATACTTTAAGAGCTTCTCCTACACGAAAGCAAGTTCTAAGAAGTGTATCATTTGATGAAAGACCAGAAATAACACTTTTACCAACTATTGTTAGTGGAAATGGACTGCGAGCAATTGGAGATATTGGATGACTAAATGATTTATTTTCTGAAGTGAATTCATCTGTTGAAATGTTGCAATTTTCTTCAAAAAGTAATGAATTTTCATTATTTTTTTGAATAGAAATTGTTGATTGATCTTTATGTGAATCATCTAAAGTTTTAGAATGAAAATTCGGTTCCTTAGTAACATTGTTATGAACCAATTCATCATTTTTAATTATTTGATCATTTTCATTGAGAATAGTAATATTTTTTTTAGAATCTTCATCTATATATTCTATTTCCTTATATTTCTCTTGATTTTTTTCTTGTTTAGATTCATAAGTATCATACCTATTATTGCATTTCAATTTTATAATAATATATCTTTAAATAATATATTACTTTAAATAATATGGATCATTTCTCCAATAAAAATCATTTTTTTTAAGAGATAAAGAATCCCATTTGATTTTCTCCTTAAAAATAGATGATACATTAGATAAATCTTTATTAAGATCCCGTGTATGTGGTATTTTCAATAAAGTATCTAACTCTTTTTTAAAATTAACTTTTCCCTTAAACTCCTTATTAGTTTCTGTAATATATATATTTAAATCTGTCATTATTTTATTATTTTTTTGTATATTTATTATGTTCCTGCTATTAAACTTTTAAAAAATCCTTGTAAAGCTATTTTAGCAATATATTAATATATTATAAGACAAAGTTGATCATAAAACTTCTTTTAATACTTGGGATATTTTGATTTAAGCTTATTTATATATGATTTAAGGTTTTTTTAATATAAATTAAATATTTTTTAAAATTTGGTAATTTTTAAGAGTTTAAGAACTTTATTGATTATAATGGTTATATAAATAAATAAAATATATATATTATTTTTTTTATAGAAATGTGTTTAATAAACCATATTTATGAATTTTAATAAGTATTTATGATGTTTAACAACTATTTATGATGTTTAAGTTATTTTTGTATAATTAAAGAATTTAATTAGAAAATAATATATTTATATTTCGAATAAAATAAGATCAAATTGTTTATCTATTTACTTGAATATTAAGAATTGTTTTAAATCTAATTTTACATTTATTATTTCTCTTCTCTAATTTAATTTGTAAAATATATTATATTTTTAGATCCTCTTAAAAAAATATTTGATTTTCTATTCATTGCAAAATCAAATAATTGATTTCCTTATCTTTACTTCTTTTTTATGGGATTTCACTGATTATACATGAATAATGAAACATATTTTTAAAGAATTCTTTTTTATTATACTTTTTATTATACTTTTTTTTATACATTTCAAAATATATTTTGTATATAATTCTAATAAATATCCCATTCAATTGAAAAAATACTATCAATTGAATTGAATATAATGATTATATATATTAATAATGCTTTAAAAAAGTCTCAGAGCAATCTATCAAAATCTAACTATATTTAAAACCTGATAACGTTATCGTTATCTTTTAACGTACAAAATTTATAGCAAATATATTTTATCAAAAAAAATAGTATTTAAAGAGCTATAAGACAAATAAATAATGCTTGATATCTTTAAAAACCCAGATGGAACAGATATGAAGTTTTTTTTGACGCATACAATCGTAGAAAAAACATCATTAAAGAATAGCATTGAGGTAGATTTTAGGAAATAAAGCTACAATTGTTAATACAGAGTATCTAGGAACATGGAGGAATAACAAGTATAATTAAAGATGAGAGAAATAAAGATCTTATTATTCTCGGGGATCCTTTAAAAGATTATGGAACACCAAATATTGTTTCATATAACTTTATATTAGACAGCATTAATCGCGGAAAACTTCTTAATATTAAAGAATATTATGTTAATTTATCAAATGAAATGTTTATGAGTAATGAGAAAAAGAAGTAATATATGGACGATTTTTATATTGGGTTTAAATAAAATATTAGAAAATACAGAAATTTCACTAAAAATGAAAACATTTTAATTGATATTACGCGCTGTTTACAAATTTTTAATGATAGTATAGAAATAGATGACAAAATGTCGAAAAAGGTATAATTTTCAATAAATAAAGTATTATATAATATTGATTTTGAAAAATAGTATGAAAAACATTTATTTTATAGTTTAGATGATTACCAATTTGTATTTGAGCCGAATTTTGAACCTGTTTTATTAGTTAATAAAAGTAATTGTTTATGAATAATTTACTAATTTTTTAAGGATAAATTGGGTTTTAATAGTAATCCAACATTATCTAGATATATAAAACAAGGGTAATAATATAATATGTTTTTATTAAAATGTTAATTCTTTTAGTTTTTTTAAAAATGCTTGTATTTTAATGAATTTTCCAAAAAAATCAAATCTACTTTATAAAGATGAATTAATTTACAAAAAATTAGATAATTTGGTATATTAATCCTTTTTTTCTATAACAATTTATTTATTAAATAGTATTTACATCAAAACTACATTTCATTGAAAAATCCTTATACAAATATTCTATTATCATTATCCGGCACTGACTATAACTTTAATTATAATTTAAAAAATAGGAATATTTTAAATAATATATCTTTTAATAAATCGAAAAACTATATTTATGATATCAACAAAGAATCTTTTAAACCTATCGATAAATTGGTTTCAATTTCTTTTTTATCATTAATTTATTAACTTTTTAAAGTCATTTTTTAGGTCTAATCCTTTAATTCAAAAATCTAATGGTTATAACATTATCTATAACTTTGATGATAGAATAAAAAAATCTTATGAAATATTTCAAATACAGTCTTATACACCTATAGAAATAATCTTAAATAACATTGAATCGATTTCAGAATATACTTTAAGTAGGGTTGACTTAGAAAAAACTAGTTTTTCTAATACAGATATTCATTTTAATTTAAAAGATATTTCAAAAATTAAATGTCATGATTCTATAGACAATTCACTATTTTTTTCTAATACTTTAGTTAATAAAAGGACTGGTTCTCCAGAAATTTATGTACCTTCAAAGAGACGAAAATTATTAAGAGGTAATTATTTATTTAATCTTAAAAAATTAATTAAATAATAGAATATACATGTAACAATTCTGAAAATGATGAGTTAATACTAGATAAAAATACAATCTTAAATGAGATTAAGCAAGAAGATTTGAATATTCAACAATTAAAAGATTTAGAAGAAATAAGTAAAAAATTTTCTGCTTTTTCTAAAAAAAATAATAAAAATATTTTAGATAAACAAGAATATTCAGTCTCTGTAAGTACAGATGAAATTAGAAGCGTATCTACTAATACAATTGTCTCTAATAAATGTTTTCAAAACCAAAATAATAATTATCTACAAATGACAGATCCTTTTTTATCTTTAGAAAAGTCTATTTTAGATTCAAATAAAGAGAATGAAGAAAAAATATCACCATCTTCTTATGTTATGTCTGATGATAATTTGTCTATTCATAATCAAAAAATACATCAAATTTCAAAGTGTAATAATCAAGAATCTTCGCCTAAATCACCTATTTTAAATAACAATATTGATCAAACAGAATCCCAAAACGATTTAGACTTAAACAATCAAAATACTGATTTTTATAATAGAAATTTAAATGACCATAATTCAATGTCAATAGAAATGACTCACGTTTTAAGAAAAGCAGCTGATTGGTATATAATGAATATGAAAAAATATAACATAACTCAACAAGATGTTACTCTTGCTTTATATAGAACTTCTGGTATTAAAAAATTGGCTGTTATAGTTATGGATGCTATCAGTAAAAATTTACCTTTGCCTAATATTAAAGGTGTTTGGACAGAAGAAGATGATATAATTGTGTATTGTGGTGATCCAAAAGAGCTTAAACAACTTAATAAAAAGCATGGAGGCAAACTTCATAATAGAATTAAATTTCTTCAAGATTATTTAAACTAAAATTAAAAATAGGTGCATGTGTATATATTGAATAAGAGTTATCATTTATTGCAACAATCATTCATATTATTTTTATAAATATTCACAAAATTTTTGTAGATCAGTTTACTTATAATTTATCTGAAAAATTATTGGGTTGAGGGCAAAATATTTATTTATAAATGATATTTCCTAAGGTATAATATGATTATATATTTTATTATATTTTTATAAGTTATTAGAACATATTATTATAAATCGTTTATATTTTTATGATCTTATTTTCTACAAGTTAAATCGATTAAAAAATAAAATGTCCATATACCAAGGTAAATAAATATTTAAAATGCAACATACTTATTATTTTAGATGAGCATTATGTTGAAAATGAACAAAAAAAACAAATTAATCTTTCAGAATTTATAAAACACAAAAAAAATATAACTTCTTTTTTGCAAGAAACAACACAACAAAGAAGAGACACATCTTTTTCAGAAATAAACAAGTCTTTATTTTACTATTAATCATTAATATAGCTTAATCCTTTGTAGTATTTTTCAAAGTTATTCAAATGCATCATCATCGTCATCAGCATTAGACTTATTAATGTTTCAATCTATAAATGATTTAAAAAATACAGAAAGTGGTCTTCCAGATAACTTTATGGATACATTAGATCGTGTCCCAAAAAAAGCACTTAAGCAGGATGATATGTGTTCAATTTGCAAAACCGGTTTTCTTGAAGATGAATATCCACTTGTTGTTAAACTACCTTGTGGTCATAAATTTGATGAATGTATTGGCTTTTGGTTAAAAATAAATACAACATGTCCAGTTTGTAGAAAATCAGTAATAAAGGAAAGACCTATAATACTTGAAGATGAATATGATGATATTTATTCTTAAAAACATACTTCAAAAATATTTTTCTATGATTATAGAGCTAAAAATTAACAATATTTTTGAATTTCATTTGGATTTAAAATGGTTTGATAAGAAACAAACAGGACGGTTTTTCAAAAAATAATTTGGTATACTTAATCGATTCCCAAGAACTATAATAGACGTTAAAACAATAAGGCTATTTGCTTGATGCATCGTAGCCAGTAATATAGGAACTGCATGTACAAGAGTTGATATACCAAGAATAACTTGAATACACACAGCAGCCATAAGAGTTGAAATATTATTTCTTATATTCATAGGAATCATTCTCAAAAATACCATTCTTCGTGAATAAAAAAATATTACACTTGTCAAAATAAATGTACTTGTACCAAGAATTCTATGATTAAACTGAGCCATTACTGGGTTTTCAAACATATTTTTCAACCATAAATCTATTTTAGAATTATTGCTAGAATATATTTCAGAAAAAAGCTCGGATTTTGGTGGAATTAAGGATGTTCCCATATATGGAAAAGTATTGTAAATAAGACCTGCATCTAAACCTGCAACAAGTGCTCCTAAATCAATTAGTTAAATTAATTATTATAATATATGTAACCCGATAATGCAGTTATAAATACTAAGCCGCTCAGCATAAAAATCATTCTTTTAAGAATTCGAAAACGAGGATTATTTAATTCTTGAAAGATAAATCTTTTAGTTTTATTTGTTTTATTAGCCCATTTATTTTCTTTTAATATATCTAGTCCCGTCCATAACATTCCAATATATAAAGAAAGTGCTGCCCCAAGATGTATAGCTAATCTATATTGACTAACCCGTGGAATTGATTTATTTTCTTTAAAATTTTCATGTTTTAATCCTGATTTAACCATCCACCAACCAATAAATCCCTGTAATCCTAATAAACAACCCATAGAAACCAATCTTCTGGTCATATTTGGTGTTACTTTTTTACGTATAATAAAATAAGCTGCTGGAAGAACAAAAACAATACCAATTATCCGACCAAGAAGTCTATGTCCCCATTCCATATTGTAAATAAATTTAAAATGAGATAATGAAATATCTTTATTAATAAATTCAAATTCTGGTGTAACCTTGTATTTTTCAAATTCTGAAACCCATTCCTCATGAGATAATGGCGGTAAAATACCTGTAATGGGTTTCCATTCTGTAATACTTAATCTATAAAGTATTAAGAAGGTTTTATATAAAAAATGTATAAACCCTGATTCTGTTAAACGTGTTAATCCTCCAAGAATTACAATTCCAAAAACAAGGCTTGAACATCCTAAAAGCCAATATCCTATATAACTTCTATTTAACTGGGTGTTATTTTTTTTAGATATAAAAACATGATTTCCTATATTTTTATATGAAATAGGTCTTATTATTGATAAATCTGTTTGTTTTTTACATAAAATACCAAAAAAATCCCCATTTTTCTTTAAAATTCCATTTCTATACCAATTTCTTGAGAATGATAAATTAAACAAATGACTATTCTGACTTCTTAATAGCTTTATTAGGCTCATTTTTTATATATTAAACTAATTCTAAACATATATATCTTAATAAAATTCCAAAAATCTTTATTATATTAATTCTTTATTTAAAAAAAGTATTATTTTTTAAGAAAAAAATTTTAAAATATTCTTATTTTCTTATTTACTAAGAAAAATAGTACTTAAAATAACATATAAAAGGCTAATTATGTACATAATTCTTACTTTTTTACTACATATTTTCATCAAAATTACTTATTTTTTTTTATGTCGTCGATGGTTGCCTAGACAACCGAAATTTTAAAAGATCTTAAGGTCTATAAAATGACTAAGATAAACTTGAATTTTCACTTTAAACATAATTATTTATTAATAATAAGATACTTAATATACATAGAATTTTGTTATTAGAAATAAGTTATTTTTAGGAAAAAAATATTTAAAAAATGATAAAAACAAAAGCACTAATGTCACTTCTTTCTCAATCTCTTGATTCATCTATTACGTCTTCAATGTAGGCTTTACTTATGTAATTACATTATTTTGATAAGGACTAGTTTATTAACGTCATCTGGTCAATTGTTATCTCAAGCGTCAAAATCACAGAAAAATGCACGTATTCATGCAGCTTTTGCAGCACAAATATGGTCTTTATATGAGAAAATAGGATTAGATGGAGATATAGGATCTTTAACAGGCGAAAATAAAAAAATATATGGATGTAATTGGCTTGGTATTGAATGTCTAGTAGGAATTATTTTTTAAAAAAAAAAATAATAATTTAACATATTTCTTCATAGACAGGGAATTTATTGATTCTATGTATTCGTTTTCCGCATCCAGAAAAATCATTACATGTATCTGTTTTATCAGAGCCCATATTATTATGTCTAGTGGGTAATGAAAGTTCTAAATTAGGTTTTATGCATATGAAGGCTAAATCTATTGAGAAATATCTTTTAAATGAACTGGAGGAAATCAGGGATATCTAATACTTATGAATTTTTTTTTAAAACCTATTTATATTTTTATAATATATATAAAAATATTAAAGGTTATGAAAATTAAAAAAATATATAAGTCAATGAATTTTATTTAAGATTATTATTCAATAGGGTCATGGTAAATTTCATTTCTTCTTATTGGACTTGACATTTTCATTATCAAAACATTTTTTATCAAAAACATTTTCTAAACTTAATATTAATGCTTTTTTTTACAAAAAAAACATTTATGGATATATTTTTTAGAAAAAATCATTTAAAATCTGTAAATATTTGGTGGGGAAGGAACATAATATCTTGGTTAATATTTAAACTTAACATATTTATCTTTAAAATATTTTTGTTTCTTAATATACAGCAATAACTTAAATAGTTTTATATTTGTTTCTTAGAATTACATAGAAAGGCTTTATTATTCCTAATTAATATTAATAATTCTTATACTTCCTTGAATAATTACAGTTTTTAAAATTTTCTCGGGACTTCAAGAAATTGTTAAAAATTGAAGTATCCATTTGTCTATTAAGAAAAGGTATTTATTATCATCTGAAGGGTAAATCTTGTGGAATTGATGAAATATTATTGTTATGTTTTTTTTTCTCTGAAAAATTCCTATTTATTGTCTTTATAGAGCGATTTTTTATTTTGAGAAAAATCTTAAAAATTTGAGATATTGAGAAGGAATTTGGAGAAATACACATAATATACAGATTTTATTTGCAAATATTAACATATCTAGCTTTTTTTTTGGTGAAAAATACGCAAAAAATGGTGAAAAAATTAAAAACAAGTGATCGTCTTTTGCATTGTCCATTAGATGATGGAAAAGTTGTTAAAAAGAAAAAGAAAGTATGCGGAATTCCTAGACTTCGTTCAAGTGTCAGTATTATCTTTTTTTCGGGCGAAAAATGTCTAAATTTGTGTAGTTAAAGCCTGGAGTTATTTGCATAATTCTTGCTGGTAGATATAGTGGAAAACGGGTAGTACTTTTAAAGCAATTGGAAGATACGATTGTTGTTACGGGTCCCTTTAAAATTAATGGTGTTCCTCGTATGTTTTTATTTTTTATTAGAGAAAAAACTTATTTTTTTTAGTTCGTAGAGTAAATCCATCATATGTAATTGCATGTTCTGGAATAACGGTTGATGTTTCTTCATTGGATCTTTCAAAGTTTACAAAGGAATATTTTTCTCGAGATTCTAAATCAAAAAAATGTCTTAGAAAAGCAATTACAGAAGAAAAACTTTTTGATGAAAAAAAAGAAAAACAACTTGATAGTTCACGCATTTCGGATCAAAAAGCTATCGATGAACCTATTATTAAATCAATTTCTCAGGTTCCTAATTTGGCAAAATATCTTTCATCTTCTTTTTCTCTTAATAAAGGGGACTACCCTCATTTGATGAAGTTTTAACCAAAGGGATGCGCTTTATTTTCAATTTTTACCATAAATATTTTAAAAAAATTAATATATAAATATTTATTAATCTTATATTTTCAAATATTTAGAATATTTTAATACATATGATTCACTTTAAAGAATTCTAGACATTTTTTAAGGCAAAAATCTTTTAAAATGTAGAATAGAATTTAATATATATATATATAAGATTTTATTTCATTTATATACAACCCATTCTATGTAGCACGAATAGTTTCTGGAATTTGAGGCTGAATAGGACGATTTTGTTCCGCCATAATTCTATTAAACGCTATTCCAATCCCTTCAAAGATTGCTAATAAACATGCACATCCAATAGCCGAATTTCTAATTGATCTAATATCACCACGTAATGCTAATGACCCTCCCGTAAGAAATCCTGCTATAATAGCATTCCTATTTCCCTTAATTTCCCTTTATTTTTTTATTTTTTTACCATGAATCTTCTTTTTTTCTTATACTTTTTACTGCACAATCAAATGATGAAAATACACCTCCCCAAACACCAAAATTTCCTCCTAAAACTGGCGCACGAGCTTTTATTGCTGAAATTGCTCCAATTAACTTTTCACCTGATGGTGAATTTCTAAAACCTTTAACCGAATGCCATAATCCACCACCAATAGCTCCCTACATATATTCATACTTAAAAATAATTAAATTATCTTATAATACCATTGCAAATGCTCCTCCAAAATCTGATAGAATCTAATATAATATTAACTTTTACTTTTCTTACATTACTTTAAATCCTACCACATATGGACTATCTTTTTGTTAGAAAAATACAAAGGTCTTTTTATATTAAAATTCATATAATAAAAATACATACCAAGGATCTCTTGAATGATCATAATAAGACATTTTTTTTGACAAGATTTTTTTAAGAATAATTTAAAAAACCACTAAGTCGAGAAGGGGAGTAACCGAAAAAGAGTATAATGTAAAAAGACCTATTAGAAAGGATCTGTTTTGCCTTGTTTTTGCTTTTGTTTGCTTGTCTTTGTTTATCTTTGCTGTGTGATTATGACATACTTTTTTCCATATTTTTTCCATATAAAATCTTATATATAAGTTTTAAAAATAGCTTGTAAGATATTATGTAACTTGAGATGTATCAAATGACCTTTCATGTACATGTTTTTCATGGTAATCATTCATTGCTGCTTGATATGTCTCTGGTAATTGAAGAAATCCACAACGGCGAACAATATGTTCCCATGAATGATTTCTTACAACATGTTCAATTCTTTCTTCTGTATTTAAAATATTCTGAAGCATTCTTTTCTTTGTTTCATGTATATCCATTCTTCCTGAATAAGGATCTTTACGTGTATCTACTGAAGATGATATATATGATGTATTAGATGTAGATGAATCATCCATTTTAACAGCTACAGCCTGACAATATGAAATAAGGGAAGAGCGTGTCTCCCAGGCATTAAATACTTGATGAATAAAGGATAAACATGTATTTTTATCAGGTTGTAATTTAAGATCTATTTCAACAGGTTTTGTTTTCAATGTTTCTGAAATAAATGGCCTTTCTGCTGACAAAGAATTCAAATGAAAGGTAATATTATCTCAATAAATAAGTATTCAATTGATTAAAATATGTTAAGAAATACCATCTAATTGTGCACGGCTAAATCTTAAGAAATCTATATTTTTTGAATATTTGAGCAGTTTAAAAGGGAGAACTTACTTTTAATATATGAAAAATCAAAGCAGACAGAAGGATTTAAGGGAATTCCTGTTTTTCCCATGTTTTTTCTAGTATTTTATATCAATTGGAAGGGTTAATAATAAGTTTAAAAGATCGGTTAATAATATATATTAAATGGGTTAAAAAAGAGGGTAAGAAGAGAGATTAAGAAATTGTAAGATAGAACAATATTGAAGAAATATATTGTTGAAAAAAAAAGCAGAAGATTGTGATATAAAGGTGTATAATTTTGCTTTATTTTTTTTTATATATAAGAAAATCAATTTATAAAGCACTAGCACCTAAAAAAATGAATAAAGAAAGAAAGAAATTGAAGAGATATTACCAGTGATGATGTCTACTAATTCAGTGGTGATAGCTGCGTAAAAGATGTTAGGAATTAGAAGAAATAAAAGAAAAAACTTATCTGTCGTTGACTAAAAAAATTAATAAATATATAAATGATTTAAAACATACCGATTAAAGATGATTTTAAACTTTTTAATCATTTCTAGTGCATTTTTTGAAGCGTTATCCATAGCGTTTCGTCGGGCAGATATCTAAATGTTTTTTTTAGTTATTATAGATAAAAAAAAGGATAAAAGATACTTCACAAGCATGACCTTCAACAAGCGCAGAAAAAATTCCAGTCGAAAGTAAAAACTCTTTAAAATTTGTTAAAACATTGTCTTCAGCTTCATATATATGATAATTTTCTAAAATAAATAATATAATATAATATATAAAAAAAACTCACTAGAATCCTTCAAAAAATTCTCCGAATAAATAGTTTTTATCGCTGGTAAATATGAAAGGGTGCTTTTAAAACTATTATATATAATATCCGCCTTATCAAACTCCCTGTTAGATTGAATAATCGCATTTGAAATCATTTGTGCATCATAAAACGTAGGAATATCTTTACCAATCTGAGTAAACGACATTATAATATTCCTTGGAATATATCTAGTAAGCTGCATTTTAGCTTTATCTCCAAGTATAACTACATGGCCCTCCGGATTCTTCTCAACTAATTCTCGCGTCACCCGAGTCAATTGGGAATGTATTCCCCCGCAAAGTCCTTTATCCGAAGAACATACAATATAAAGAGTTTTCAATTGTTCTGGAACTTTTATCTCTGATCCAAAAAAAATCTCTTCTTGAGAAATAGAATAGACTTTAGCCTTCTCCATCGCTTTCTGAGAATACGAAAGCTTCGTTCTATATTATTCAATCTTATTTCAACCTATTAAACTTGTTTTTACGATGCAACCGTCTTCATAGTTTTTGTAATCTTCTCAATATTCTCAATAGACCTAAACCCCCAATAAGATACATATTTCTCATATAAATAAGCATATTCCTGACTTTAATCGGCCTTTAATCTCCCGTAATGTGGCCATATAACGTATCTGAGAGACATTTCTTAAACTATATAATTTTCATCAATTTTTATCATATTAAAACCGCTCAAAAAGCTACCCCCCATAAAAAACATGTAAATTTTTAAATATACAGTGATTAACCATTGAATTCGGGGTGTTTTAGGCCTTTTTTTCCGTTTTAAAATAAGTATTTTTTTTAATAAATTATGCGACGTTTGGATGTTTAAGAACGTAAGTTTTTTCAACGTCAAAAAAAATAATTAACGTATTTAAGGCCTAAATCATAAGTATTTTTAAAGATTTATTGAGATTTATATGTATTTTACTTATGAAAATGTAGTATTCCTTTTTTTTTTTTTTTATTGGGCCATAATTGAGAATAATCTTGTTTTAACTATTTTTTTCTTGGAATTGAGGCGTAAAAGAGGATTTCTATGATGTTTTAAAGATATTCAGTAGTGTAGTATCAGGGATTTCTTTTTTTCCGTCTTTTTTTGCTTTAAAAGAGCAGAATTAGCTGTTCTGATTGAAAAACGGTTAAAAATCTAAAAACATTATGTCGTTGGCCTTGAAAATAGGATTTCTAGTGATTAAAACCTTATCTAAGCCTATTGCAACACATCTTAAACGTCAGGCAAAACAATATCCTTATTTTCGAAAAATATGTGTTGATCTTGCACAAGTGATGTATAGGACAGAATCAAGTATGAGAGAGAATTTACTTAATAAACGGAAAAAAACAAAGCAAACGCAACCTTTAAATGAGGAAAATGCAATTGAACGAGGAGCAGATTTTTTATCAGAATCTTTTTTATTGTATGTAAATTTAAATATAGTTAATATGAAGACTAAGATCTAAGTCTTACGGCAGGATCATTAATTTTCTATGAAAGCTGGAAAACCAGAAAGAAAGAACAAACACGTAGGGATAAAGTGGCGGACGATATTGAAGAACTACAGAAACAACTCGCATCTTTAAAAAAATATATTGAAGAAAGAGTTTTAAATCAAATATAGAATGTTTTTTGAGCAAATATATATAAAGCTATTGCGATATATAATAGTTATGTATAAATTGATTAGAAAATTTTAGATATAGCCATTTAAATAGTATTGCAATATTAACATGTTCTTATGTATTTCAGTAAGTCAGTAGGCCTAATAATTGATTTGATATGGTATTAGATATGATTTTGTATTGAGAATTCATAAAATTGTCTGTTTTCTTTGCTAATTTTGTATTTTTTATAATTATGTCTATGAAATTATTAATGTTGTCCCTGCAATTGATGTTTTCATGAATTATATATTTCTGATCACTCTTTTTTCTAAAAAAAGATAAATGCAATTTAACAAGTAGTCCTATTTCTTCAAAAAAATCGAAATGTGTATTTTTTCTATTGAATATATAAATAATAAATAATGCTGCAGTAAAGTAAAGATTATTAGTTATAGACATTATTATAAAAGAAAAGCTTGGATCTCATTAGCTTGAATAGTAAGGGGTAGCTCCTTCACGATTTGCTTTTAACATCTAAAAAACATTTATTAAAAAATATGTATACAAAAAAAAAGATAAATACTTCACGGTATTTTGAAAGATATATTTTTAAGGACTCAGCATAGTTTTCAAAACCTAATGTTATCATTGCAGACAAAATATCTTCACCATTTAATGTTTTACGTTTTTCTTGAAGACATTTTTCTGATGCTATTTAAAATAAGAAATGAATATACTATTAAATAAAACTTACCTTCTGAAGTAATAAAACTAATAAATTCAGAAACACACTCTTGCATACATTCTCTAGCTTTATGTGCAATCTTAGTATTTTCTGGAAGTGCTAAATTATTTAAATAAATACTTTTTTTAAAAAAAAAATTATAAAATACCTGTCTTCATAATACGTAAAATATTCGCAACAGGCAATAAATTTTGATAGCCTAATTCACTATTTTCATTTTCTATTATCTCCTCCATAGCTTATTTTTTTTATAAATTTCGTTAGTTATTCTTAGAAAGATATATCTGTCTCTTAAATAAGCTTTATTCTAATAATATTTTTACTAATGAATTACCTAAAGAAATTATTAATATAAATTGAATGAACTAAAATAATAAAATAAAAAATCGTTCTATATATAAGTCAAATAATTATATTAGAATTATTTATAATAAAATAGGAATGGAAATAGTTGTAATTTTTGATTTAGAATTCCCAATCAGCAGTTGTTGAAGCGGCCCATGCAAATTTTTCACGTAAAGTCTATAAAATAGTTAAATAAAAAAAGAATATTAGTTTAAGAAACCTTTGTAAATACACGTTCGATATTAACGCCATATTTTGCGCACCATGCATATGTTAATCGAGGATCACTATATTAAAGTTAATAGAAATAATAAATAATTGAGAACAAACATATAATTTATTTTTGACGTTCCCAAAGCTGTAGTTTTGTTTTGATCTTTATCAATCATTAATGCCTTCATTTGATGAATTCGTTCGTTAATCTTTTTAATTTGTAAATCCAATTTCTCTATTGTTATACCTCTTGTTTTTGATTCAACTCTGCCTTTTTCATTTTCTATTTTGAATTCTTCTTTCATTTCATTTATTTTTTCAAGGAATTTTTCTAAACGACTTTCTGGCATTGGAGTTTCATTTTGACTTATAAGTTTTTCATTATCTTTTTGGAATTTCCTTTTAATTTTATCATATTCTTTTTCTATTAAAACTTTTTGATGTTCTTTGATCCAATCTTCGTCAATATCCGAAACTGCTTCAGATAAATCTGGCCTACTCTTTTCCAATTTAGGGTCTAAAGTCAAAATAGCTTTGCGTAATCTTATTTTTTGATATTTTAATGCCAAAATCTAAATTAAATTATAAATAGTAATATTAATAAACTACCACAAAACTACCTTATCCTCTATTCTTTCCATCTGTGCACTATGCGTTTTGCTAATCGTGCGCTGATGATTACAAAGAATAGCCACCATACGATTTGCTCTGTTATATGCCAATACCTTATCTGATATAGAAGCATCTTTAGGTGTATTTTTGAGTTGTTCTGACATCGTATATGATGCATTGTGAGTACGAAATACTTTAGCAGATAAACCAGGCATTAAACTTGTCAAATGATTGTTTAATTTAGAAGTCTAAAACAAGTAAATATATGAATAAATTATTGAAAAAAACATACATTAAGACGATCAAAAAGCATATCTCCTTCTGTTTTAGGAGATCGCTTAAAAATTTTTAAATTCTTAAAAACTTGTGGATCAACTTGTACTTCATTATAATATCTTATAGAATCTTTGCCAAGAAAATCAAAGACTACAGTATTCGGTGGACTCAGAGATATATGTTCATATCTTAGTGAGCAACATCCCACAGTATCTGCTTCATCTTCGCCTTTCTCATTTCCTGCTCTAAGAGCAAATAAATCAATCAAATACATGGCAGTTGCCCTTTGACGAACTTCCATAAGTTTATCTTCAAGTTCTTTCCGATACTGTTTTCTAATATTATCAATATATAGCTAATTCTGCATTAAAAATGTAATTAAAATATTATTAGATTTATATATACCTTAAGCTCTCTAGCTTTTTCATATTTTTTTAAGTCACTCTGGCCTTTTAAAGAGCTTCCTGCACTTAAAAATACATATTTTACATTATTATTCACATTTTCATTCCATGTAGCAAGCCAGGTTACTGTATTATCATGACGTACTTCTTTCCAATTATGTCCAGGAGGTGGAGAAGGAATAACAGAGTCCTTTCCTATATTAATAATAACCTGTTCCGGAACAACCCTTGTCTTGAATACTTAATATTGAAAAACAATAGAGTTTTATAAATCACCTTCAATTTCCCTGTTTTAGGATGATCTCCTCGGCCACGAAATAATCCAGGAGGTTCAATTCTAAAATTACCTACTTTTTCTTTCCTTCCATCAAGAAAACAATATTTATATTTCTCTTCTAATGCATCCTTCTCCTCTTTTATTTTCTTCTTCTCCTCTTTAGACTTGTTTTTTTTTTCTTCTTTTTTCTTTTCAAAATATTCAAACATTGGTGTAAAATCACAGTATTCAAACTTTTCTGGAATCACTGGCTATAACATATCAAATATATCCCAAATAATATATATATATATATATTTATATATTACTAACCGCATTTGTTTTTTTACATGTTTCTTGAAAATCATGGAAAAAGTTTTTCTGAAAAGTAGGATTCTTTACATATTGTTCTGAAGATAATATTGCACCAAAAAAACCTGCAACTTCTTCTGCTTCTGGTGGAAGACTAATTGGCTCTCCTTTATATTTCATTTTAACATAGGAAGGAAGAGGTTCATATGGAGGAGGAAATAAAACACCATTATGTTCTAATGTTTTCCATTTAATTGTTCCATCTCCTTGCTGTTGTTCCCACCATTTATAATCTTCTTCCTCTTCTTTTGATCGTAACGATTCTTCATTCTTCAATTCTTCAGAGTTTAATTCTTTTTCTTGACTTTTATGTTTTTTCTTTAATTTCTTTTCTGTTTTTATAGATTTCTCATCTATTTCTTTTTTAATCTCTATATTTTCCGATGTTTCATTTTTCAAATTATTTGATTGCTTTGATTTTAGTATTTTTTTTGACTTTTTTTCCCTAATTGAATTAACCATTTCCTTTGTCATTGACTTATTCTTTTCATAATTATTTATCATATTTTGATCTAATGTAAACGTCGGTTTTTCTCTATACAAATTCTCGTTTCCTGTATTAAAATACTCTGAATCACATTCAATTGTCTTTATATTTTCCTTCTAATATAAGAAACTTCTCTACATAAAAACTTCACTTCAATTAACCTTCTTATTCATCTTTTTACTCTTTTTTAATGATTTTTTCTAAGATTCATTAACTCATTCATAATATATCATAAAAATACCGTTTTTTCGCTACTACTTGACTCCTCCTCCGATTCTACTATTCTCTTCATACGTTTCCCTACCTTCTTCTCTTCTTGTTTCTCCTTTGTTCTCATTGTTGATACATATATTCCATTTTCCTTGTTTCCTACATATTTCTCTCTATTTTCCACCATTTTTTCTCCGGAAACTCCCAATTCTAGCTTTTTATCCTTCATGCACACTCGTATATACTTCTTTCCCTTATAAAATCCCCTTATTTGCCCTCTGATTTATTTTAATTATTCTCACTCCTCAAAATACCCTTTCTCCCTCAATTCTCAACCTTTTTTCCCCATTCTTTTTTTCACTCCCCCAATATATCACTCAATTTTTTTGATTTTTCCTTTGTTTTTCTCTTATTTCTCTTCTTTTATCCCTATTTCTTGCTTTTACATAAAATTCGTGTCGTTGACGTTCTCGCCGTTGTCAAAGCAACCTATCGACCGCCTTTGTTGTGCATTTTCTAACAACATGTTTTAAGGTAATTTAAACGTTTTATAAGGATATTTGACTAATATTTAAGGCTTTTTAGATAATATTAAGAGCTTTCTTTATAATTGTTAATTATTATGTGAATTTGAACGAGGAAAAAAGGTTAATTATTGGTAAAATGCCAATACAAACAATATCGGCAAATGGAGAAGCGGGAAATCAGAGGGTTTTGCCGCATGATAAGTATAAACTGTTAGATTCGGAAGATAGAGATGTATCTGGACCAAGAGAAGCGGGAAATAGGGGATCAAATGCGATTTCTGAGTCTTTAAAACAGGTTAATACAAAGCCATCTAATTTATGTTTTACGCCGCCGGTACAAATTACAGATAAGAAGAAAGGGAGGGAATATACTAGATCGGTTCTTCTTGGAGAGGTATAGTGAAATAAGGGAATATAAGGGAATTGTATATAATTTTTATAAGGGAGGATTTGCACGATGTTTTTTGGTAACAAATGGACGAGGAAGTCGATTTGCAGCTAAAGTGATTGCAAAGACGACACTTCGATCGATGAAGAATAGAACGAAGGTATATTTATGTATAATTGATGGAATTTTTTAATATAGTAGCTTTTTGGTGAAATTAAAATACATCAAAGCATGGATCATCCGAGTATTGTTAAATTTATTGATTGTTTTGAGGATACAACGAATGTTTATCTTATTCTTGAATTATGTGAAAACAAAGTAAATATAAGATATTTTTTAAAATTGATAATAATGTATAGACACTTATGGATATGTTACGTAAACGAAAGCGATTTACAGAGCCAGAATGCCGCTTTTTTTTGTTGCAAGTTCTTGGTGCAGTGAAATACATGCATTCTAGGAAAGTAATTCATCGTGATTTAAAACTTGGAAATCTTTTTTTGGATGAAAATATGAATATAAAAATTGGAGATTTTGGGCTTGCAGCACTTTTAATTAGTGATGATGAGAGAAAAAAGACAATATGTGGAACGCCTAATTATATTGCACCGGAAGTATTATTTGGAAAGCAGGATGGCCACAGTTTTGAGGTTGATTTATGGGCAGTAGGGATTATTATGTATGCTATGCTTATTGGTAAACCACCTTTTCAATCCAAAGAAGTTAAAGCTATATATAAGTAAAGTTTCTTTGGGAAGTTAATACTATATTAATTATAATAGGAATATTCGAGAGAATAGATATGTATTTCCTGAAAACATTCCTATTTCTTTAGAAGCAAAAGATCTTATTGGATCATTATTAGATACAGATCCATGTATGAAGAATTTAATTACTACATGTTTATTTTAGCTAATTGGTTTAGTAAATCGTCCTTGTATTGACGAAATTGCAGAACATCCTTTCTTTCATACTGGATATCTTCCTACAGAGATTCCTGTTCAAGCATTGTTACAAGAACCAGTATGGCCTAAAGATAGTTTATCAATAAAAAGGAGTCAGAGTTCATGGAATAATATTGCTTCATGGTGTGGTATTGGAAAGGGTCGTAATATTGGAGGGAAAGAAGGACAGACAGTTAGCATGGTTATGGAAGTATTAGAAAACGAAAATATTCTGCCTACTTCTTTATCATATGATACACATTCTCGTGCTGTAATGAAAGTAGCTAAAACGGGAAATTCTAAATCAGATTCATTTAAACGTCCTAAATGTTCATTTATTGATGGAAAAGAGAATTTAAATCCACAAGATTTGATGAAGCCTGTGATAGATATGACATCAAAAATGGCTATTAAAGAATCATATGTGTCTAATGAAGCTAAAGATCTAGAATTGCCGAGTAATGTTTGGCAGAGTCTTCGCAATATCGCATTAAATTTGGATTGCGCATTAAGATTGCGCTCTAAAAGAATGCCGCCTGAGTTTTGTTAGTATCTTTTCATTTTTCTAAAATATTTAATGAAATAGATGATGCTTCTACTACAACATCTCCATTATTTATTAATAAATGGGTTGACTATTCTAATAAGTATGGACTTGGTTATCAGCTATCAAATGGATCTATTGGTGTTTACTTTAATGATTCGACATCATTGATTCTTTCAAATAATGAATATCATTTCGATTATATTACACAGTCAGGTAAAAATGGTTTTAAAAGGAGATCATTCACTATTGAAAGATTTCCTTCAAATGAGTTAGATAAGAAGGTCTATTTGCTTAAATATTTTAAAAAATATATGGTTCAGAATCTTTTTAAAGCTGAAGCATGGTCATGTAATGTAGATGATTTCCAGTCAATGGGCGTTAAAACTATGTCTTTTATGACAAATTATTTTCGTACTAAACATGCAATTATATTCAGATTAAGTAATCAATCCGTTCAGGTTAGTTTTTAAGCTCTTTTATTTATTTTAATCTGAAATTTAAGTTCAATTTTGTTGATCATTGTAAATTGATTTTGTCTGATAATGGAAGAATAGTTAGATTTATTGATAGTAAAAGAGAGTTTCATACTTGGCCACTGGGTAATGCTTTGGAGCCTGGTCTTTGTGATGATGATGTTTCTGAAAAATTCAAATTTGCCAAAGAAGTATTATTGAGTTGGGCAGATAAAATGGAACCTTATGATTAATATGTATAGATGCATTTGATATTTTTTATTTGATGAAAATCGCATTTTTAGGCGTAAAAAGTTTGTTTCAGATGATCAATTATTTAATTTAACTTATTTAATAATGTTATTGTTAATTATGTTATTTACATTGATTTTACTAAATTATTTTTTGATGGATTGTTATTGTGTTTCTAATCATATAACTGATATGGAATGTTTGTTTTTGGTTTAAATCTATTAAAATTGAATTTTTGTTTTTTAATAGATCTTCAAAATAGATTTAAATAAACTGAAACATGTTTTAAAACTGATATATACACTTTTAAATCATTATATAACAGTATTAATACTAAATAGAATGCAAAATAACAGAATAATAATATATTTATAACACATATATTATTGGATCAATACTTTCAAGATTAAATTATATTAATATCAAAAAACTTAAAATTTAAAAATAAATCTATAACATCAATTCATGATTAAAGAAAAGTTAATACCGATTTTTAATAAATACAGAATTATAATACATAAGATATAAAGCTGAATTACCTAATATTAAAAAATAAAAAATAGACTTAATACTTTTGTAATATATATCAATTGCTCTTTAGAATACAACAATTAACAAATAAAACATATAGTAAAATACAACATTCCAAATACCAAATTTATTATGATTTATGTTTGAGAACTATTTTCATTATTTCTATGCGTATTTCTAGAATTATTTTTGTTCTTTAATATTTTCCTTTATATTTCCGTTTTTTGGAGTCATAATCCCATTTTTAATCCAATTATTTATTCTATTTTCTAATTTAAGTGCCTCTTCATTGTTTTTTAAACCCATTTTCCAACCATTTTTACCATTAAGCCTTTCTCTCCATATATCTTGCTTCTTATTTTTAAGTTTTTGATATTTTTCTTTATCTATTCTTCTTTTACTAATACTTCGAGCAAATGAGTCTTCTGTCCCTTGAACGAAAAAAATTTTGTATGTATTAACGCATATTTTAATTTCTAAACCAGATGAAACATAGTTTTCATCAATTAAATCCGCCGCTCGTTGTACTTTTTTGCTATCATCATCTTCTTCTTCCTCAAGAGGCAAGTTTCTCTTTAAGAATGTTGCTTTAACGAGTTCAGAAGCAACACCTTCTGTAGGACTTGACATAACAAATGCATCAATATAATAAGACCATTTCTCTTCAGCTGATACAGCCTGATCTAATGTTAAATCATCTTTCCCAATTAACTGAATGCTTAAAGTCTTTTCCTGATTATTCTTTTATAATTAGTTAATAGTCATAATTAACCAAATAAATTATCCATACCCATTCAATACGGTAAAGTGATTCTTCTGGACCAAGAATAGATTCTACTTGTACACGATAAATAATTTGTTGTCGAGGAGTAGTTTTAGATAACTGACGGTCCTTTTCAAATAGAAAAACAATCTCAGCACTTTTAGTATCTGTTATTATTGAATGCAACTACATAGTTTTAGACATGTCTAATTAAAGTATGAATATACTTACATGTTTTATCATTGCAGAAACAACTTTATCAACAGTATAAAAAGGATATCCATTAATTCCATACATATATCGCAAAATATCTTCAAAACCATTCTGTTCAATGTCATTTTCAATAAGTTTTCCACAAAATCCAAGAAGTTGTTGATAATAAGGAACATCTGATAAAACAGGCAATTCAAGTTCTAACATGCGATTAACATGAAGTCCCAGCTCTACCGTTATTGGATTTGGTTTTTTATTACGGTTTTCAGCAACAATACTCTCTTCTATAGATTTCATTTTTAATAATCTCGAATAAAGCATCTAAAAAAATAAGCGAATTTAACTTTTCCAATGAAAACATACATAAAATATCCTATAAAAACAATAAAATGAAGAATTTGTAAAAAAATTGTAAACATGTCTTTTTTTCTTCGTACTAGTAGTTTGATTAGAGGCATTAAAATCCGTAGAAACTTCCACTGCAGTATCTCCCTTCTTATGTTGTATCCATACTTCGGCAGCTTTTTCTGCAGATTCTAATATATTAGAGCTATTTATATTATTTCTTATTAAATTATTTTTTTCATCAAAAGCATCTTTAGATGTATTATAGAAATTAGAATCTTTATTTTGTCCATTAACACAAATATCATTTCTATCTTTTCCTTGTCCTCGTCGATTTTTCTTTAAAACATCTTTTAGTAAATCAGAATCTTTTGATACTCGTTTTTTCCCAGAAGCATTTTCTGTTTGAAACGACGCTTCCTCATTAACATTAATAGAAATTTCTTCTACATTTCCATTTATAAACGCATCAATTCGCTTAACAACAATTTTCTGATCTAATTCAAAAAACAAAGAAAAGAAATACTTCAAAAACTTCTCCAATTTTTCTTTATCATTTACAGATATACCAGGTGCATGTTCCAGTTGTTTCGAAAGTAAACATAACACATCAATTAATATATCTTGATCTTGAAATTCATATTTAAATTGAGATTTTAATTTAGACTTAGAATGATTGATGGATGCCTCGCGCTGTTGCTTTCTTAAAGTATCTATTTCTGCCAATAAAATTCTGGATGTAATAGCCTTTTTATCAGTTGATTTAAATGTTATTCCTTGATGATCAAGACTTTTATAAAAATTCTTATATTCAGTCTCTCTCCAAACCTTATTCCATTCCCTCTATATCGAATTAAGTTTTTTCTATAAAAAAATTAAGAATTGCTACCTGAGCTCGCTTCCATTCTTCATCTTTTTGTTTCAGCCTTTTCAAAATGATAGGAACAGCAACTGCAGGATTTTCATGCAATGCATCAATGACTTCTAAACCCTGTTCCTTATCATATACCTTTTTTAAAACCCTTTGATATATGCTGATAGATTGACCTCCTAAACCAGGTGGAAGACGAAAGGAATTTTTTTCTTCAGGAGTCATATTTGAAATTTGTTGTGCAATGGGTTCAAGAAGTTGTATAGTACGCAAATTAGCTTCAATATTTAGATCGTAATCATATCGTTCTTCTTCGACCTTATGAAGAGTTTCCTCATATTGGTTTTTTTTATGAGCAACGAACCTAAAATCTTCTGATGCCCATGTTGGATGGCTTACCCATCCATCATTTAAAACCTCCCAGCACATTTCATCACGCCCAGAGCATGGCAATAGAGTCTCCTTATAACAATTAAAAATAATAGAATTATAATATAAATAAATACCGATTTTGGCAATAATCTATAACTAGGCCCATAAGCTTTACATAACATAAGATCAACTTTAGGTCTTGGAGCAGGAATATTCTCAATAACATCATCTTTTCCGTCATAGCCAACAAAGCGTTTGAACCAGTCCATTAGCTCTTCGTTTGCACCAATAAAATTGTAAACTCTTTCAACTAAAAGATTTTTATCTAAAATATCCTGGCTAAATAGATTCAAAACTTTAAGAAATTCATTATAAGTTTGTTTGTTTCCAATGAATTTTTTAACTTTATCAAAAAAAGACAGTTCTTCAGCAGACGCAGAAGCATGCGTTGGTGGTTTAATAATTTCAGAAGCAGAAGGTATAAGAGATGGGCTAATATTTGAAAGATCCGTATTAGCCTTATGATGATGTTTAGAACGCTAAAATATTAACAATTTTTCATAAATATTAAACATTTTCAAACCTTTGGTTGACCTTGTCCTGCTTGGAAACTTTGTTCAAGATTTTGAGAACGCTTTTTCTTATCTTTAGATACATTTGAAACAACTGTTGGAGGAGCAAAATTTCCTAGAGGGGGTAATCTAGGGCCAACTGAAAATAAACTAGCATTAGAAGTATTATTTTCTGGAAGAAATTGTTTGAAATCATCAAGAAGATCTGGCGCCGTTTTAAATAAAACAGTTACTTCAGCATATACATCTTGAATGGGTCTTTGTTCTTTTTGATAGGTTTGTAAAATTTCAAGAAATCGTTTATAAGTATCAGGCTCATTAGAGAAGCGATTCTAATCAATTAATAACAAAAAATATTCATAATTCTAACTATACCTTTATCTTATTAACATAATTAATTGCATGATTAAACTCAACAGGCGCTTTTTTCCCTGATATAGATATATCATTATCAGATTGACTTATGAAAAAATTAGCTATTATATACAATTATTAAAATAATATAAAATTTACTTATATATACTATTATCTTGCATTCCAGACCAAGATTCACGCATTCCTCCTTGAGTATTAGACAATGAGCTATGTAATCCTGAATGTGTCATCATTGTACCCAATGGAGTAATAACACGAATCGCAGTAGGATCAGATGAATCCAACGAACATTCAATTCTATATCCAGGAGGAAGAAATGTGTTAAATCCTTGAACCAAATTCGGATGACCACGAAAAAGTGCTGAAACTCGTTCAATAACACCAAGTGTATCAATACTTCATTTATAAGATTCTATAATAATAAAATTCAACAACATATAACTAACCTTTGTGACTTAAAATCTTTCATAATATCAAGAAATCTATTATACACATCTGGTTGTTCTGAAAATTGTATTTTTACTTGATCAAGGTATGAAAGTGCATCTTTAACATTTAAAGGTCTATAAACTGAATTTTGAATATTCGCATTAGACGTCTGTCCAGATAACGGTGAATTCGGTCGTTCTTGAGGTCCTGAAATTACATTTGATGGATGAGATGAATGAGATTCATGAACTGACGTCTGTCCAGGTAATTGTTGATGTAACGATGGAAGTGAATATCGCGTAGATGGTGTAAGAGGCGGATGTCCAAGAGAAATTGAATTATTACTCGATAAATTTGATGTCATTAACGATGAAAGAGGATGCGACTGTTGAGGACCATAAAACTGCTCTGTACTCGATGCATCTATAAAATTATTCATTAATTTTTTTCATTCATTTAAAATTCGTATTTATATATTTAAACTTCTCAAAAGGTTTTCTTACTTCCTGATGGCCCTTGATTCATATTTAACATAGGAAGCATTGAACCATGTTGCTCATTAGACCTATAAAACTTCATTATATTGATCTTTCTTTATTATTATAAAAATATACCTAAATGATTGTGGTAATGACTGAAATATCCCTCCATTTCCTCCACATGGTGTTCCCCATTTAAACGACTCATCTGTCATTTGCTATTTATTCCTTATAATGTCAATTTCTTCTTATAAAATACCTAAAAAATAGACCTTATTTCTACTTCTTTTCGCTCAATCTCCTAATTTTCTTAATACTTAGGATTTTTTAAGATTATTATAAGCGGAGAAATCGAAAACCCGGTGCTTAATCAAAGGGATAATGAAATAATAGGCAAAACAGCAAAATATAAATATTTATTGAAGATGATATAATAATAAGACAAAAATAAAAATTAAATAAAGAAATAAAGAATCCAAGAATTAATTGGAATATGTAAAAAAAAAAGAGAAATAAGCCTATAAATAAGTTAGAAATCGAAAATGTAGAATAAAAATGACAATGAATGAAAAAAAAAGAAATAAAGAAAGAAAGAGTGTTAGTTAGTTGATAGATTTAGATAAGTTTATATAAGAAAATAAATATTGAATGTTAATTGTTTTTTGATATAAATTATGTAAATTTGAAAGAAATATTGTAATTAGTTGAAGAAGAAGCTGAAGAAGAAGTTGAAGAAGAAGTTGTGTAATTGAAGAAGTTGTATAATTGAAAAAGTTGTATAATTGATGTTGTATAATTGATGTTGTATAATTGTAGTTTTAATTTATAGTTTAAAACATGTATATTTCAAAAAAAAAATAATGAGATGGTTGTATTTCCTTTAAATATTGACAAAATGTTATTATTATTGGTTATATTGATGCAGCCTTGATAAATGTGTTTTCAAAAATTAATTTCATAAACAGTTATAAAACTCGTAAAGATATTGGAAAGATTATATAAATCCTAGTATAAAAACAATGAAATGATTAATATATTTTAGAGGAATTTTGAATTATAATTAACGATGAATTTATCCAAGTTATTTTCGAGATATTACGATAAGTTAGGAGGTCCTAAATCTTGTTCATCAACAGAACCACAAAAATAACCAAAACTATTCATATTATTTGTCTTTGAATGAACATGGTCCTTGTTATCGACAATTTTAGCTTTTCCAGATTTAATTAAGTCAATCAATAATAAATCAGAGTCACTAATATACAATCCACCGTCCTCACATTCTTGGCATCCTGCACATTCCCCACATTCTTCACATTCTTCGCATTCTTTGCATTCTTGAGAATTATTTATAAAAGAATTAATCAAATTCTTTTGGGTTTTACCTGAATCATGATCCTCTGTTACTAAAAATTTCACTGATTCCTTTTCATCAGAATCTGAACATGTATTTTCCTTATATACATCATTCGAAGATTCTATAATTCTTCAATTCTTCTTTTATAAAAAAATCTAATAAAACCTTGCTCAATAACTTTAAGAACTACCACTTCTGTTCCTTCCACATGTACCCTACATAAAATCATGCCTTGACAATCATTTAAAGATTTCCATTCTAATGATGACGACGATTCCAATAAATATTCCTCTGTTAACTCATCATAAAAATTCTTTTTCAAATTTCTATAGACCAAATGGCTTTTTGAATAGAATTCTGACCCTGTGTGGATAATATTTGTCTTCAAATCTTAGACTCATTAATTAACACGAATAATTCCCTTTCCTGCTCCCTACCCTCAGAAAAAATACAACTTGAAAAAATCACAAGAAATATAAATGAATACTCAATCCACCTCATTTTTACATATAACCCTTTAATTACTTTTCTCAATTTATTCAATTTATATTAAATTAATTTCTTTGACCTCTCCAAAAAGTATAATCCAATAAATAAAAAATACTTAGATTCTCTTTTATATTTATATATATTTATATATCTTAATCTTGTTTATCAATCAAACTTAATTCAATTTCTAATAAAAATAAATTTTAATTTAAATACTCTATGACTCAATGACTAAAATATTCGCGTCTTTAACCTTTATATATTAGGTATTTTAAAAACGCGTACATGTTTTGTGACTTAAAAGTACATAAATAGCGTGATTTATATATTAGTTTTATTAATTATTATACTTAATTCGTTTAAGTTTAGGAATTAAAATAGGAAACGCTCTAAATATAAGTATAACGTTTAAATCAATTAGTAATAAGTTTGAAATAAAAAATATATTATAAATGATGTAAATAAGAAGTTCATGTAAGATAGAACAATGTAATATTCTATATAAAGATAATTTTAATCGATGGAGATGCAACAACGACTATCGAGACATTCTTCTCCACCAACACATCGTACAAGACAAGAAGAATTTTCGTTTCTTTCTTCAGTAAAAAAGGCTTTATGTGGATAAACGCCTTGAAATTCAAGCTTATGTATTATTAGAATAAAGTTTTTTTTTATAAAAAAAATACCTGAATTGTACTTGAATGAATACCATATGCGTGGAGACAATGACGAACAGATGCAATAATATTCATATATTTTTCGGCATTATCAAATGAAATATCAGTAAGAATATGTGCAGAGGCGATTAATTTTGTATCAGACAATTGCCATATATGAAGCTCATGGACAGAAACGACACCGATAATCTAAAAAAGTTAAATAAAGTTTAAAAGAATAAATATCATTCATTAGAAATATCCTCCTTTATTTCCATAACTTGAATATTTTTTGGTGCTACCTGAAGTAAAATTAAACTCGAGGATTTTACCAAAGGTAGTGCGTTAATAAAAATAACAATAGAAATAAAAATGCTAATGGCGGGATCAACATAGTGTTTCCATGAGAAATCAGTTAACCAGATGAACAAGGCGGTTATTACAACACTAATATTACCTAATACATCGCCAAAAACATGTAAAAAAACACCTTTCATATTTAAATTCGAATATGTATATTCAGAATTATTTCTCATTTTTGCATGATTATGACTATTATGTTCATCAAGTAACTTTTGGATAAGCGAATCATTCCTATGATTTTCGTTTAACCAATTAACAATATGAGGTGTATTATATGTATTTGGATGATCATTCTCAATACTAATATCATTCCTATACAAATCTTCTGCACTTTTATTAGAATTGTATTTATGTTCCTCTTCTTCATCCTTAAGATATTTATTTTTATGATGACATTTAAAGTCATGAAATAAAAAAAGACCAAAAATATTACTAAGAATACCTATAATACCCACTATAAATACCGCACGAGGATTATGAACTTCTATTTCATTGTTAAATATTTCAAATATACTTGTATATTCAAAAAAATAACCTTCTTTCTCGAAAAATCTTTGAATTGCTTGCAAAAGAACTGATAAACATAGCGCCATTAAAAAAATACCATTTATTAACGCTCCAAGAACTTCTGCACGCTGCCATCCATACGTATATTTCGCTGATGGGCTCTTATTCAATGATAACTTAATTGCCCATAATGATATAATAAGAGAAACAACATCATTCAACTATTTCATATCATTATTTAAATATTATCCATCTTATATATATATTCTATACCAAATGAAACGAATCCGTAAAAAGCGTAAGTGAATTTGCCACAAGTCCTATTTTCTCATAAATTTATTTTCTTATTTTCCCTTCAATCTTGCCTATAAAAAGCTCCACAACAAAAAGAATAATATCAATAATTAATAATATAATAATACGCTTCTTATGAGATAGAAATCTCCTCGTAAGATTGTTCACATATGAAAAACATTTCTATACACATTATTATATCTTATTATATTCTATTTCTCTGATTTAAAATACCTTTATTTTCTTTATCAAAATCATTTCTATTAATTCGTCTTAAACTCTTATAAAAATATAGTCAAATACCAAGTCTGATTCACAGAATATCAAGGCATATCTTATTCTATAGATATTTATAGTTTTTATAAGAAAATCAGAGATTCCACGGCTAGTTTAATCTCGGATAGATTAACAGAGGGTTGGCAACTATGTTATTGAAGAATCTTAAAAAGCCATATATAATAATGAAGAAAGGATATATTTTTATGGATATTATGATTATTTTATTAATATTAATACATATTTTTATTTCACCATATACAAAGGTTGAGGAATCTATGAATCTTCAAGCAATTCATGATATTATATTTTTTGGAATAAGAGGAGAAGGACTTAAAAATGTATAGAAATAAATTGTCTGAAATATGTATAATAATTGAAAAAGTATGATTGTGTAAAATTTCCAGGACCAGTACCTCGAACATTTATAGGAGCAATTTTAACAGCAAGTGTAGTAGGACCAGTAGTTTTTATTAAGAATAATTTGTTTAATGGGATATCTAAATCTAAAGTTCAATATCTAGGTGAATTTATACATAAATGGAAAAATTAGTTTAATGGTATATATATATAGTGAGAGGTACTTTGGGTATATATAATTCATTAGCTATTATTATATTTCGACAGAAAGTGATTAAATATTATGGTATGAATACAGGATTATGGTATGGTCTTTTTCAGGCGTCACAATTTCATATAATGTATTATGCATCAAGAACATTACCAAATATGTTTGCATTTGGAATATGTATTATATGGATATGAATATTTCAGGATAATTATGTAACAAAAAAGTAGATACAATAGGAGTTTCATATTTTATTGAAAAGAAAAGAAAAGATATATCAAAAGGACTATTTATTTTGACGTTTACAGCAGTAATTTTTAGATTTGAAATTATAATATTGGTTATTACACATTCAGCATATTTTTTATTTCATAATAAGGCTATAATAAAGGATGTGATTAAGGGTTCATTTTTAGGAGGCATTTTGGGATTAATTTCTAGTATGATAGTTGATTCATGGTTTTGGAGGGAGTATTTTTTATGGCCAGAAGGAGTGGCGTTTTATTTTAATATTATAAAAGGAAAAAGTTCAGAATGGGGGGTAAATTCAAGATTTTATTATTAAAAATATAATTATATGTTAAAAGGTTTTGGCATGGCATACATATTTTTCTAAATATATACCAAAATTATTATTAAATCCTTTTTTTTTTATTCTTTTGGGGATTGCTCTTCTTAAACGTCCTAAAGATACAATTAATCTTTTGGTTCCAAATATTTTATATGTTATTATTTATTCACTACAACCACATAAAGAATGGAGATTTATTGTATACATTATTCCATCATTGACACTTGCAGCTGCTATTGGAGCAACATGGATGTAAGATTATAAGTGAATTAAATTAAATTTATTAATAATATGTTTAGCTATAATAGAAAATACAAATCATTGGTTTTCATGATAGCATTTTTAATATTAATTATAACAGTTTTAATGACTTTCATTGCAAGTTTATCAATGTCTTTAATATCTAGTTTAAACTATCCAGGGGGATGGTCTTTAAAAGCTTTTCATAATCTTGATTTATATGAAAAAGGTTTGTAAAAATATTTTTACAGAAATAAATTTAAAAATAGCAGAAAAGGTTCATTTAGATGTATACACCTGTATGACAGGTGTATCTCTTTTTTTATGTGATAATGAAAAAATTATATATGATAAAACAGAAAATAAAACAGAATTAAATAATTATGATTTTTTAAAAACAATTGATTGGGCTATTAGTGACGCATCTAATTTCAAATTAAAAGGAGATTGGATTATAAAAGATGCTATATCAGGATATTCTGGGTTTGAAAAGGTCTATTTCAATAATTCAATTGGTATTTTAGCAAAATTGTGGTATCCACGTGTAAAAATGGAGAAGAAAATATTAATTTTAAAAAGTAATAAACATTAAAGGTAACAATTTCACACTTATTATACACCTACATTATTTACAATAAATAGATAAATTGTATAACATATAAAAATGATATTATATTAATATAATATCATTTCTTTTCTGTTAAAATCATAAAAAAAATTAAGTATCATGGCTATTTACAACAAAATCATACAAACATACTTGAATATTTGATGTTGCTACTTTTTCTAAATAATTTTATAATTTCTTTACAAAAACTTTCTAACTCTGCAAAAATTCAAAAGTATCTTTATTACTCAAACAAACAATTAAAATAAATAATTACAAAAAAGACTATATTAAGGGACTCTATTCACTATGTTTTTCTGAAAGTGCCAAAAAACAACATTTGATAAAACAAAAACGGTAATAAACATCATAATTTTAGTTTACTGAAGAATCATAATATCCTTCTAGTATCTAAGAATGATATAAAAGGCATGAATAATCCCTCTTAACATATTAATACAACATCTGTCTCTTAAAAACTTACGGTATATATCCAAATAGAGTTAATAGGACATTTATTAAGAGATCTAAATTGCAAACGTAAAACAACTGAAGAATTATCATATTAATTTCATACCCACACAACATCCTCTTTCAAGAAAAACTCCTAATGGTGGAAATATTATTGCTAAATGGTGTTATTTTTTATTTTGAAGTCACTTATTATACCAAAAATAAACTAAACTATTTCAGATCAAATCAAATAATACAGAAAAATATACCTTGAAGATATCTGTACATGTAAGTGCCATTTTCTTAATTTTCTATGTATTATTTTGATTTTCAAGAAAAATAATAAACGATGTTTTTATTTTTAATTTTAGCATTAAATATTTATAGATGAATAATCTAAGGGTTTAAGTATAAAGATGATCTTGGAAGGGGGGAATAATGGAAAAACATATGATGGGTGTAGTGCTTTCTAAATATTTTTTAATATAAAAATAAAATCAATAAACAAATATAAAGAATATAAGAAATGACAATATGATTGGATATATATATATATTGAATATTAAGAATTAATAAGTAAATATTGCAGATTGAGAAATAATAATGCAAAGTATATATATTGTAAAATATTTGAATAGTTGTTATGAAGATATTATGAATGGGAGAAAATGGAATTTATCTATCGACTTCACCAAAAACAAGATCCATTGTACCTGAAATTATTAAATTAAATTATAAAAAAATAAATCTTACCAATAATAGCAACCATATCAGGAAGATAATGATTTCTGGAAATCATATCTGCACCAGCAAGATGTCTTATAAATGATTAGTATAAAAAAATTTAAAATAGAAGATATACGCAAATCCAGGAGCTCTAATTTTACATCTATATGGTCTTTCACTTCCATTTGATACAATATAAACACCCATTTCTCCTTTGGGAGCTTCAATAGCTGTATATGTTTCTCCAGGAGGAACACAATATCCTAATATTAAATTAATATAAATTTGTAAATATAAAGTTTATAAACCTTTAGTAAAAAGTAAGAAATGATGGATAAGTGCTTCCATATTTTCTTTCATTTTTTCTCTTGGTGGAGGTGAAATCTTCCAATCATCAACCTTAACAGGTCCTTCTGGCATTTTATTTAAACATTGATGAATAATATTTAAAGACTCTCTAAGTTCTTGCATTCTTATTAAATATCTATCATAACAATCTCCATTTTGTCCAACTGGAACACCAAATTCTACTTTATCGTAGGCATCATATGGTGCTACTTTTCGTATGTCCCATGGAATACCGCTTCCTCTTAACATTGGCCCTGAAAATGAATAATTCAGCGCATCCATTGCAGTAACACGTCCAATTCCAACTGTCCTAGCTTTCCATATTCTATTATCTGTCAATAATTCCTCTGTTTCATCAATACGATCTCCAAATTGTGTTGCCCATGCATAAATATCATCTAATAATCCAAGAGGTAAGTCTTGAGATACTCCACCTGGACGTATATATGCCGAATGAAGTCTTGCACCTGACACACGCTCATAAAACTCCATCTATGACAAATTACCATACATCTATCTATATAAAACCCAATACTAATTTTTCACGCTCTTCAAACCCCCATAGAAATGGTGTAAGAGCACCTACATCCATAGCATGAGACAAAACCGCCATTAAATGATTCAGAATCCTAGTAATCTCCCCAAACATCGTTCTTATAAATTTTCCACGCTCTGGTACTTCAATATTAAGCAATTTTTCAATCGCAAGAGAAAAACATTGTTCATTTGTCATCATACTAACATAATCCAACCGATCAAAATATGGTAAAGCCTGCAAATACGTCTTATGCTCAATTAATTTCTCTGTTCCTCGGTGTAAAAGTCCAATCTACAATAATTGATCTTTATTCTTAATAAATAATGATATAATTACATGGGGATCCGCGCGCAAAATTTCTTCTCCGTCTAGCTCAAGAATAAGACGAAGAACCCCATGTGCTGCTGGATGTTGCGGCCCAAAATTAACTGTAAAATGTCGAAGTTTTGATTCTTTTTTTGATTCTTTTTCTGACTCAATTTTAACCCTTTTTTCCCCGGAAAAAAAGATATTACTGACCATCTATAATCAATGCATCTTCTTTAACCTCTGTAAGTGTTGTTTTCCATGAATTTTGGTCATATTTTTCTGAAAATTTGGGAAATGTAATAGACGATAATGATTGAACATTTACACGAAATTTCCATGGATTTGAATGGGACAAAAAAGAACGACAATATAAAACACCAGGAAATACTTTTCTTCTTATATTCATTCTGGTTTTCCCCTTATTTCTACCAGAATTCCCTCTTTATTTAATTTTTTAAAAATCTGGAGGTTGATCGTACGTCTTAAATTTTTGTCTAATAAGGCTTAATATAAAATGAGCAATAAACAGGCTAAAAAAGAGGTAAAACTAAGAGTTTTAACAGTATTATTAATAAGACGCACTAAAAATATATAGAAAAGAGAAATTGGCATTAAAATTGATAAAATAACCGACGTATAATTGATAAAAATGTGTTAAAAAGAATTGAATGAAATTAGGTTACTACTGTGGACTTTCCAGGACATTATTATGGCGAGGAGTATTCATGGAATATAGAAGAGTTCAAAAAGGTCTTTTTTTTGGAGAAAAAAGGACAAAATATGACTGATATTTGAAAAGAAATTTAGAATTGAAAATATAGTTAAATTATCAGAGTATAATATAGAATTTGACCTTATTGGAATTGATAGTTCTATTGTGAACTCATTTCGTCGAATACTAATGGCAGAAATACCTACAATGGCGGTTGAATATGTTTTTATTAATAATAATACAAGTATTATTCAGGATGAAATTCTTGCGCAAAGATTGGGATTGATTCCTATTAAAGCGAATCCGGATTTTTTTACATGGTTTATTAGTAAAAATGATTAAATTTGTGTATTTTTATTGATTTTTTTAAAGAGCCAGATGAAAATCAAGAACCTAAACCAACCGATTATGATACAGTTGTTTTATCACTTAAAGTGGCATGTACTAGAAATCCTAAAGCGTCTAAAAATGAAACGGATCCAGAAAAGTTGTATATTAATTCGAAAGGTGTTTAATTTTATGATTATTAATTATTTTAACAAGTATAGTTTATAGTGGAGATATTCAATGGCAGCCAGCAGGACGTCAAATTGAGCTTTTCAAGAATGATCCAATAAGAGCAGTACATGATAAAATATTAATTGCGAAATTACGTCCTGGACAGGTGTGTTTTATATTTTTTTATATTTATTAAATAAATAAAGGAAATTGATCTTACTATGCATTGTGTATTAGGTATTGGTCAAGATCATGCAAAATTTAGTCCAGTATCAACATCATCATATCGACTTTTACCAACAATTCATATTTTAGAACCAATTTATGATGATGATGCTGAAAAATTTGCACGTTGTTTTCCAAAAGGTGTTATAGATATTGTTTTAGATGAGCAAAATAGGAAAATTGCCAAAGTAGCAGATACAAGGAAAGATACTGTTTCTAGAGAATGTCTTCGTTATGATGAATTCAAAGATAAAGTAAAACTTGGACGAGTACGAGATCATTTTATTTTTAGTATTGAAAGTACTGGAATTATTACATCTGATGAATTATTTTTAAAAAGCATATATGTTTTAAAAGAAAAATGTTTATTAATCAAAAATATTTTGCAAGATACATCATAATTTTCATTTTATGTAATATATTTATTGTTATATTTATTGTTATATTTATTAATATATTTATATATACATTTTCTATATATTTATATAATAAATTTAAAACTTTCAGATAAAATTTTAATATTATAAACACATCTTTAAGATCTATAAAAACCAAGCCATATTTTTTAATCTTAATCTCATAATTGATTTTTAATATATTATTAATAAACAATTAAAAAATATATTATGAAAACACAATATTCTTAACTTTTTTAGCTTTATAATGCCAATTAACAAAGAGATACATAAAAATGAATCAGAATTGTTAAACAACAGTAAAAATAATAGATGGCTATATATTTCACGCATTCTTAATAGACCTGGTCCTTTTGTAGATATACAGTTTATACCAGGAAGACATGCACTTAATTTTTTAAATACATGTAAAGTACTTGTTGCTGGAGCAGGTGGACTTGGTTGTGAAATTTTAAAAGATCTAGCTCTTTCTGGCTTTAAAAATATCACAATTGTTGATATGGATACAATAGAATTATCTAATTTAAATAGACAATTTCTATTTAAGTAAATATATATGTAATAAATATACAGACTAAGATAGCAAAAACAGATATTCAGATATTGGAAAACCAAAAGCAATATGTGCAGCAAAGTATATTATGAAACGGATCAAAGGAGTTGATATAACTCCGTAAGAATATAATAATATTATAAAAATATTTATAATATATAGATTTCATTGTAAAATTCAAGATAAAGATGAATCATTTTATATGCAATTTGACATTATTATTTCAGGATTAGATAATATAGAAGCAAGAAGATGGATAAATTCTACTCTTGTTAATTTGGTAGATCCAAAATGCCCAAAATCATTAAAACCATTTATAGATGGAGGGACTGAAGGTTAAAAAGAATTATAATTATTATTTCAACTTACAAAAATATTCAAGGATTTAGAGGACAAGTACGTGTAATACTACCGACAATTACTCCTTGTTATGAATGTTCACTTGATATGCATGTGAGAAATAAGACATATCCTATTTGTACTATTGCCAATACTCCACGTTTACCTGAACATTGTATTGAATGGGCATTAATTATTGAATGGCCTAAAGTATTTCCAGGTAAAATATATTTTGTGGTTATTCTTTTTTAATTAATAATTAGATAAAACAATTGATAATGATAATCCAGACCATATCAAATGGATTTATGAAACAGCCAAAAATAGAGCCGATCAATTTAATATTACAGGAATAACACCTTTTTTTACTCAAAGTGTTGTAAAAAACATTATTCCAAGTGTAGCAAGCTCAAATTCCATTATAGCAGGTAAGTTATTATTTTTATATATCAAGTTAAACCAATTCTTCTAAACAAGCATCTTGTTGTAATGAAGCATTTAAAATTGCGACAACATGTAATCCATATATTGACAATTATATGATGTATACAGGAACAGATTCCGTTTATATATATACATTTCAACTTCAAAAGAAACCAGATTGTCCAGTATGTGGCTATTTAACTATAGTATATGAAGTTAATCCAAAGATAACCTTAAATGAATTTATTGAAAAACTTATTAAAAGCCCAAATATGTAATTATTTCCAAAAAGTATAATACAAATATATAACCTAAGTTTAGAAACGTGAAAAGACCTTCGTTAAAGACAGGATCAAAAAATCTTTATTTACAAGCACCTCCACAATTAGAAAAAGCTACAAGACCCAACTTAAATAAATCTTTAGAAGAATTGATCGATGATGAAGTTTCAATAACTGACCCGAATATACCATTTACCCTCAATCTTAAGTTAAAATACATTTAAATTTTAACAGTAATATATTTTTCAAAAAATAAAAATTATATAAATATATAAAACAATTCTGAAAAGTTTAAAACGTATTTGGCAATGCAGAATTTATAATGATATTCCCATTAATTATTGAAGTTGTCATAATAATAAATTCTCTAGAGCCTACCAATTTATTAATCATATTTCATTTTAAATATAAACATTAAATTACTTTCTTTCTTAGCAATAAACCTAAGAGCTGCTATTTCTGTAAATGTACATCCTCCTAGAAAGAAAATAATTGTTGTTTTTTTTTCTTGAATTTTAGCTAATCCTGAAAAATAAATATTATTATTGTATTTTTCTATAAAGAAGGCAGCCTTACTTCTAAAACTTATCATATTATCAACTTTTTGAACTTCATCAAAAAGTTCTCCTTTCAACATTTTTAAAGAATCCTCAAATTCATTCCAACTAGATGATGAACCTTTTGATTTAAAATTTAATTTTAATGAATGTTTCTGAATTATAGATTGAATTATACGAATGCTTAAAGGTGCAAATCCACTATAAACATATGAAATATCATCAGGATCATGTTCGTCAACATTATTAACAATTAGTTGAAAAGCTTTACTGATAGAATTATATGTTTTATATGAATTGGATATTCGAGGACGAAGTATACCAGTTTTCTCAAGAACTGAAAATGCCAAAATACATTTATATCCATATGCCTAAAATGTTAAAGAAAAAAATGAAAATATAAATAATAAATAAATACATGTATTAATTCCCTTTTAAAATTTTCTAATTCTTTCGGTTGAATACCGCCAAAAATAACACTTTCAAGACATAATAAACGCAAAACAGTAGTTATAGGAACATTCTTAGAAATTAATTCTTCCAATATAGGATTCTGTAAATTACTAATACCAGATATAAAATCTAAATAAATAAGACATTTTCCAAAAAAAAATAGTTTTAAACTTTGCTGAACCTCAAGTACTTTTAAAAACGTATCAGATGATGTTATATTCATAATATCTTCTGTTAAAGCTATATCTATAGAAGCTATTAGTATTTTTTTATGGGAAAAGATTTAGTTACGAAATTTTAATGATCTATGATCTGATTGTAAACCACCCAATTTGCTAACAAAATCTCGTATTTGAGAAACAGTTTTGGCCTGATAACGTCCCTGAAATCGTTAATAAATAATCCAAAAATCATAGTTTAAAACTTCATAATCGTTAAATAATTGCTTAGCAATTTTATTTAAATGACTACTAATAGTAGCAAAATTATTATCACGTATTGCATTAAATATTTTATCAGAAGAATTTAATAAAATCTTTTTTCGTTTAAAGCTCTCATCTGTTATACCAGAAGATACTGAAACATTATTACTATTTTGTATATTTAAATCTGAAAAAAGAGTTGCTGAAACTTCTGCATATGCTAAAAAAATATTAATTTCAAAATAAAAAATGCTATATATAGACTTAACAATTCTTTATTCCATATATTTCATCAATTAATCCTTCATATGTTAATTGAGTCATTAAAGGCGTAATAAAATCCAATTCTCTATCAACAATAATAAGACTATCAATAAATGCACTTAGATTGTGAAGTTGCGGCTCAGGAGGATATTCTAATAAATATTCTTGTCGGAGACGAAACAAAAGATCTTTCAATTGTTTTGCTTTATCACCTTTACCTAAAATACGAGGAAATAACCCATATAATGACTGAATTTTCATCAAAACATGCGCCGAATGATATATAGACGCTATATTCCCATCCTAATATAAAAATAAATGACTTTTCATCCTGATTCAATAACAAAATTAAATACCATATAAATTTCTTTAAAACTATCTTCTAATTCTAAAGAAATAAGATCCGATTCAAAAGGAATCATTAATAAAGGAAACGATTCAATAACAAGATCCCCCATAACTCCTTCTTCCTCTAAAATTTTATCACATATATTCGTTCTTCTTGATACCAAATATAATGTTGAATGAACACTCTTTAAATGTCTCTCAACTCGAATATGGCCTAGTTCCCTTAATATCTCATACAGTTTCACTTAATTCCCATCTATAGACTTTATATTACCTATAATCATACGCATATTCGCTATTGTTGGACGACAAATATATAACTTTGGAAATGGTGATGATGGCGTATCTTCTGAAAGCCAAAATACCTTATCAACGCCATGTTCCTAATAAAAAGCTAAGAAACTAGGAAAAAAAAAAACAAAATTTATTTACTTGAAGTACTGAAAACTTAACAAGAGATCCAATCATTCCATTCAAATGACGATCAAGAATTAATATCTTTTTACCGCAAACTGAGTCAAGAACTGCTAAGAAAGACTTAATATTGTCATTTTTAATCTGTTCTAAGTCAATATTTCTAGCTGACATTTCTTAAGTCTTTATTAAGAGGTTCATCGATCGAGACAGAGCACTTAAGATGGTTATATGAGAAAGAAAATCAAAATTATAGAGAGTTTATGTTTTATTGAGAGTATTTTAAAGAGAAATATAGGAATTTCCTGTAGAAGATATTGTAGTAGCAAAAAACAGGAATTTAAAATGATGAATATAGCGGAAATAAAGAAAGTAGAAAAAGAGGAGATAAAATGTGAAAAAGAAGGGGAAAAAGAGGGGAAAAAAGGAGAAATAAGAGAAGATAATGAATCTAGGAGTGAAATAGATGACTATGTCTTTTTTTTTTGTGAAAAAATAGCTAGAATTGCTGATATATTTAGATAAAAAAACCAGAAGGTTTAATTAATTAAAAAAAAAGCAATAATCAAGTTAAAAATAAAGATAGATTCAAAGGAAATCTCAGGAAAAGAGAAATATAATGAGGAGAAGGGTAGATTTGTCCTTAAAACACCTAAGGTATGAGATTATTTGAAAAAAAAAACTTACAATATAAGGGAACAAAAGGTAGAAATTTTGAAAAAAAAGAATATATAATAAATAGAAAAATATAGATTGGGATGATAGAGATATGACTATAAAAGAAGAAATGTTTTCAAGAATTGCAAAAGTATTTAAACGTCATGGAGGAATAACGATCGATACACCAACATTTGAATTGAAGGAAATTTTATCAGGGAAATATGGGGAAGAAAGTAAACTTATATATGATCTTCAGGACCAGGGAGGGGAATTGTGTTCATTACGGTATGATTTGACGGTTCCTTTTGCGAGATATGTTGCAATGAATCCTACAATTCAATATATTAAAAGATATCATATTGGTAAAGTGTATAGAAGAGATCAGCCAGCATTAATGAAAGGTCGTATGAGGGAATTTTATCAATGCGACTTTGATATTGCAGGTCATTATGATCCAATGTTACCAGATGCAGAAATTCTTAAAATTCTTGTTGAAATACTTGATGAATTAAATATAGGAAACTATAGTATTAAATTGAATCATCGTAAAATATTGGATGGAATTTTTGATGTATGTGGTGTTCCAAAGGAAAAATTTCGGACTATTTCTAGTTCAATTGATAAATTAGACAAAGTATATAATTAAAAAATATTTTTTATTAATTTAATTAAATTATAGTTGCCATGGAGTGATGTAAAGCAAGAAATGGTAAAGGAAAAGGGACTTAATGAATCGCTAGCGGATAAGATTGGTAATTATATTATAAAAAAAGGTTTTTTTTATAAAAAAAACATTTATTGCTTAATTTAAATAAAATATAGGAGGGAGAGATCTTTTAGAAGAGTTAAGATCTGATAAATTATTAAGCAAACATGAGATTTCTCTTGAAGGAATAAATGATATGGAAATTTTATATAATTATCTTGAATGTCTAGATATACATTCTAAAGTATATAGGATATTAAATATTTCGTTATTACAAGTAACTTTTTTAGGTTTCTTTTGATCTTTCATTAGCACGAGGTATCGATTACTATACAGGGCTTATTTATGAAGCAATTTTTGAGCCCAATACCATATCTAATCTCTGTTCAAATATGAAAGAACTTCAATTCGATAAAATCAAAAATGATTACACAGGAATTGGATCTATTGCAGCTGGTGGAAGATACGATGATTTAGTTGGAATATTTTCACCAAAGAAAAAAAAAGTTCCATGTGTTGGTGTTTCTATTGGCGTTGAACGTATTTTTTCAATCCTAAAATTTCGTCTTTCTACTTCAACAATTAAAACTAATAATACTGATGTTTATGTAATGGAATTTGGATCTGGAAACAAATCTCCATCTATGGTCAAAGAAAGATTACAAATATGTAAAGAATTGTGGAATTCTGGAATAAATACACAATTTTTATATAAAATTAAACCTAAATTTAGACAACAATTTGATGCTGCCGAAAAAGATCAAATACCAATTGCTGTTATTTTCGGCCAAGATGAAATTGCAAATAATCAGGTTCGTATCAAAGTTTTAGGACAAGGAGAACAAAATACTGGAGAGCTTGTACCAAGAAATGAAATGATATCTAAAATTTTAGATATTTTGAAAAAAACTTCTAAAAATAATTCATACATTTTCTAATACATTTTATAATATTTTATTATTTTTATTTAAATCATTTCTTAATAAACTGGTAAAAGCTCAAATCCTATAATCATTTGATTATATATCAATTAAATCTTGACGTCGAACAAATTAAAAAATTATAACTTATGGTAATAAGCTTTATAAATGATAAGATTATCAGTACTGACGTTAATATAGGCAATTGTTAGACGAGATAGACCCTTTGACGGTTTTTTAGATAAAAATTTGAGGAAAAATAAGTCAATAAATAACACAGAAGATAGTCAAATAAAAAAGAAAACATTTTATAAGGAAATAAAGAAAAAAAGTGTTGGAGTTGATGATCTTACATTGTTACCAGTAATTGGAGATGAAACTATTAATGATAATTTGAAAAAAAGATTTGAAAATAAAGAAATTTACGTATGAAGAAGTATTATAAAGATAAAAATGAATTAAATGATTTAAGACATATATTGGGCATGTTCTTATTAGTATTAATCCATTTCAAGATCTTGGAATATATACAGAAGAAATTTTACATTCATATAGGGGAAAAAATAGGTTAGAAGTATGTTTTATAATGATTAAATATTTTTTTGGAATTGTTTAAGATTTTTACATATTTTTAGGGAAAACCTCATGTATATGCTATTGCAGAAAGTGCATTTTATAATATGATAGAGTATAAAGAAAATCAATGTATTATTATTAGGTTTTACAATATACAGATTGATGATAATATTAATTATGTTAGTGGGGAGTCAGGAGCGGGAAAAACAGAAGCAGCAAAACGAATTATGCAGTATATTACTTCTGTTTCCAAGGGGAATTCGTCTAGAATCCAGGAAATTAAGAATATTATTCTTGCAACAAATCCATTACTTGAATCATTTGGATGTGCAAAAACTCTTAGAAATCATAATTCATCACGTCATGGAAAATATTTAGAAATCCAGTTTAATTCAAGTTTAGAGCCTATAGGAGCAAATATTACAAATTATTTGCTTGAAAAAAACAGAGTTACTGGTCAAATAAAAAATGAAAGAAATTTTCATATATTTTATCAATTTACAAAAAGTGCTGACCAATATTATAGAGGTAATTTATTTATTTATTTATTTTTATTAATATTTAAAGAAATGTATGGTATTCAAGGACCTGATTCGTATTTTTATACAGGAACTTCTGAATGCCTTAATGTTAAAGGAATGGATGATTCATTAGACTTTTTAGAAACATGCAAAGCAATGGAAACCATAGGACTTACATTGACTGATAAGGATAATATATTTAAAATGCTTTCTATAATTCTTTGGCTTGGTAATATTCAATTTCAGGAAGATAAGGAAGGAAATGCAGTCATTTATGATGCTGCAGTTACAAAATTTATTGCATATCTTATGGAAGTGGATGAAGAATCTATTAACAAAGCATTAACTAGTCGCGTTTTAGAAACACAAAAAAGTGGGCGTAGAAGATCTATTTACGATGTACCATTAAACCCCCTTCAGGCCAATTCTACAAAAGATGCATTAGCAAAATCTATTTATAATAACTTATTTGAATGGATATTAAAAAAAATAAATTTAAGCATGAAAGCATGTGAAAATATTTCTTATACAATTGGAATTCTAGATATTTATGGCTTTGAGATTTTTGAAAATAATAGCTTTGAACAGATTTGCATTAATTATGTCAATGAAAAATTACAAGTATGAAATTTTATAAGATTGATTAAGTATTTCTAATATTATATTTAGCAAATTTTTGTCGAACTTACTTTAAAAGCAGAACAAGAAGAATATGTCCGTGAAAAAGTTAAATGGACACCAATAGATTATTTTAACAATAAGATTGTATGTGATCTTGTTGAAGCAAAATATCCTCCTGGAATATTCGCGGCTTTAAATGATGCAGTAGCTACTGCACATGCAGATTCTGTTGCAGCCGATAGCTCATTTATTCAAAAACTTAGCCTTTTAACATCTAATCCTCATTTTGAACAACGACAAAGTCAATTTATTATTAAGCATTACGCAGGAGATGTAACATATACTGTTCATGGAATTACAGAGAAAAATAAAGACAATTTGCTTAAAGATTTGCTCAATTTAATTGCTAAAAGTGAAAATGCATTTTTGCATGAATTATTCCCAGAAAAAATAGATAATGATTCTAAGAAAAGGCCACTTACGTCTGCAGATAAAATAAAGGTATATTCTTTTTTTTTTCTTAATTATTAATGATATTTTTAAGCTTTCTGCAAATGCTTTAATGGATAATCTAATGAAATGTCAGCCTTCTTATATTAGAACAATTAAACCAAATTCGAATAGATCACCAACAGAATATAATGAAAAAGAAGTCCTTCATCAAATAAAATATTTAGGTCTAAAAGAAAATGTAAGGATTAGAAGAGCAGGATTTGCATATAGACAAACATTCGATAAATTTGTTGAAAGATTTTATCTATTATCACGGAAATGTAGTTATGCTGGAGAATATATTTGGAAACATAGTTCTCGTTCAGCATGCGAGCAGATTTTTAAAGATATATCTATACCTAGTTCAGAATTTCAAATAGGAATAACAAAAGTATTTATTAAACATCCAGAAACTCTTTTCTCCATTGAATCTATGAGGGATAAATATTGGCACAATATGGCCATTAGAATACAACGTGCATGGCGTAATTATTTGAAATATCGTAATGAATGTGCTATAAAAATCCAAAGAACTTGGAGGAAAAATAAGAACATGATATATTACATTCGACTTCGAAATGAAGGATGTCAAATTCTTGGGGGAAGAAAAGAAAGACGTACTGCTAGCTTAATATTTAGTAGATATTTCATAGGAGATTATTTGGATATCAATTCCAATGGGGACTTAGGAAAAATGTATAAAAAGGCTATGAATATCAATGGTAAATATATTTACATAATCATACCCTTTTTTAACAAAATAGACTTTAAAGTAGAATTTTCATGTGCTATTGAACTTTTATATTCTAAGCTTGGTCGGTCTAGCAAAGCAAAACCAAAAGACTTTATTATGGTAAAGATTTCCCCAATTATATGTCTTCCATTTATATATTTAGACAAATAAAATGATTTATATATTTGCAACTGCTGTTATTAACAAACAACTTGATATTTTTGTTGAAAGATCTATTGAATTAAATAGTATTCGTTATGTCTCACTTTCATCCTTGAGTGATGACTGGGTTTGCCTTAAACTTGATAATAGAAATGAAGCAGATCTTTTTTTTTCATGTGTTTTTAAAACAGAGCTTATAACTCGTCTAAAACACTTATTATATAATTTTAATCTTCAAATAGGACCTACGTAATATTTGTTTTAAATTTTACAATGCTAATATTAAGATAGAATTGAATATAATAAAAGGCAAGGGAAGATATCTACAATTAAATTCGTTATAAATCCAACAATTTGTACAAATAGTATATATAAAAGTGGCATTGTACACGTTCTTCCTGGAGAACCATCTAATAGTTTACCAAAAACTACTCTTAAGAAGAAAACCATAAGATGTGAAACACCAAAAATTGGCACATCAAATTTATTTCCATTTAAAAATTCATTCACTTCAGAAGCAAATTCTTCAGATAAGAAAAAATATATTTCTATTCCACCACTTAGAAAATCACCTACTCCACCTATAAATAATCTAGGGCCTTACTATATTGCTTTATATGACTTCCAAGGGCAAAGTTCTAATGAAATGTCTTTTAAAAAGGATGAAATTCTCTATATTATACATAAAGAAACTAACGGTAATAACATTATTAAGTAATATGACTTTTATAAATATATTAGGATGGTGGTTAGCGAGAAAAGATGAATTGGAAGGATGGGTTCCAGAAAATTATTTAAAAGAAAGATTATAAATACTTTCTATAACCATGTACGCATCCTTAATTGAAAAATAATCATCCAAAAAACCTTCAGTAGAAAGTTTTTAAAAATTTTAGAGGCGAACTTTTAAAAAATTTAACAGTTATAAATTTACAAATTGATTAACGTAATATACATCTATATATATCTATTGAAATTGAAGCAAAATAGAAATAAAAAAAGGTTTACAGCAGCGTAAAAAGCAGGACAGATATTAAAATGCGATAACAAATTATTATACTTTTTTTAAAAAAGACGGTTAAAAATTTACAACTTTAAACTATATAAATTAATCGAATTATAACATTCCAATAATAAGTTATATAGAACAATCACATATATAAATTTATCTAAAAGATCTTATTTAAGGTAAATGAAACGTTTGTCTTAACGATTTATAATAAAATCATAGTTACAATCTTTTTTACACATATTCATAAAGATCTTCACATTTGATATTTTACATATTATTAATATTTAGATATTTTTTATTCAACAAAGAGATTTAATTTAACAAATAACTTTAAAAAAGAAAATGCGACATATCGAGTCGGACACGTTCTTTTTAGTATAAAAAGTTTTAAAAAATGACTACAACAAAGCCACTTTATACACGGCAAGAATTAATAGGAAGAGGCTCTTATGGCGCCGTATATAAAGGGTAGCTCTTAATTATTATTTTTTTTTATTGCAAATTAAAATATATTTTTTTAGGATTCATAATGAAACAAAACAAGTTGTAGCAATTAAAGTACTTAATTTAGATACGACAGAGGACGATGTTACAGATATTCAACGTGAGATTTGTATGCTTTCACAGCTTAAGCAGGTGGATGCGCAAAATGTGGTCCGATATCATGGTAGTTTTCTTTATGATACGCGGCTTTGGGTAATTATGGATTTTTGTGAGGGAGGAAGTATACGGACATTGGTATGTTTTTGTTGGATAATCTAGTTTTATCTTTTAAATTTAACCATATGAAATAATAGATGAAAAGTTGTCGTATTGAAGAAAAATATCTTTCAGTAATTATTCGTGAAATACTTATTGCTTTAAATTATATTCATCGTTCGGGTATTATTCATCGAGATATTAAGGGTATGATCTGTTGTGCCTAGTATTAAATACTTTATTGAAAAATAAATTTAGCTGCAAACATTCTTATTACCAACGACGGTCGAGTGCAGTTATGTGATTTTGGGGTGGCAGCACAATTAACGGCAAACAATTTTAAAAGAAATACATTTGTAGGAACACCGTACTGGATGGCTCCTGAGGTTATTACAGAAGGCGCATCTTATAATTTTAAAGTTATATATTGATGATAGTTTTTTTATATTAATAATTCAAGGCGGATATATGGTCTCTTGGAATTACGATTTATGAAATTGCTACGGGAAATCCTCCTTTTGCAGATCAGGAACCCATGCGTGCAATTATCTTGATTCCACGATCACCTCCAACTCGACTAGAAGGCTCGCAATTTTCTTCCCAATTAAAAGATTTAGTTGCTGTGTGTTTAAATGAGGACGCAAGTGAGAGGCCTAGTGCTATGGAATTATTAAAAACAAAATTTATTAAACAAACGATGAAAACTCCTACGTCTATTTTGAAAGAATTACTAATACGTTATGAGCTTTGGTGCCAACATGCAGGAATACGTAAATCCCATAATTTCAATATGAATGATGAAATAAATGAGGAGAATTTTGAATTTGATAACATGGATAATCAATTTACTGAAGAATGGACTTTTGATACTGTTCAGGAATATCCTAATGCCAAAGCATTTGATAATGACGACAAAAAGTTGCTAAATAAACATGAGAGAGGTATGTTTTTTATTTTTTTTGCATAAATATTAATTTCAAAAGACAAAACATATCCTAACGAAACTTTAGAAAATAAATCTCCTAGTTCCGATAGCACTTTAAATAATGTCAAAATGAATCACCCTCTTCTTCAACTTTTTGTCCAAGATTCTGAAAAAAATGAACCTAACATTTATACAACATCAACATCTCTTATAAACTCATCTAAAAATTTTACTAACACAGATAATTTCAAAGATGAGCTTAATCAGATATCTATTGATATTTCAAATATGGATTTTACACCTTCATTGACATCCTCTTTACAGAATGACAATTTAAAATCTCAACAATTAACTTCAAATTCGTTGCAACCTAAAGTACATACTCAAACCGAGCCTTCTCAAACATCATTCGATCATCATCATTCAAAATCTACTCAGTCAAATTCTATTACCTCAGTAGATTATCTTCCACATATGATACCAACATCTCCGTTACGATTTCCTGGTTCTATTCCATTAAAACCGTCTTACTCATATAGTCAGTCACTTCATTTACCATCTAAGAGTTCATCTTCTGTCTTATCATCAAAACCTTTTCCAGAACCTTCACTTAATTCTCGTCAATCTTCTAAATCATCTGATAAAAATAAACAAATTTCAATAAACGATCAATCAAATACATCAAATAATGCATCTCATACTTTAAATCAAAAAATTCCTTTGTTAAATACAAAGGTATCTATCTATAATTTTTTATTTTACAAAATTAATATTAAAATAGTCTCATACACAAAATATTTCTCCTGTCTCTAAATATTCAGGTATGGATGATCTAATTTTTCTTCCACCATCACCATCTCAACCATCCATGTCTCGAAACTTTCAAATACCACTAAAAGATTCTACATTATCTAATGTATGGAAAAATCCACCATTAATACCATTAAATTTCGAGGTTCTATCAGATTATACAAATTCTGGTGAAAATACTACTAACGATTCTATTATTAATGAATTAGAAAAAGTTCTCCTCGAGTTTCAAAAATACTTAGAGGTTCTTAATAAAGGACTTTCTATTATTCAAAAAAATAGTTAATACCCTTTTTTATTAATAAAAATAACATTTTTATAGGTGTTTAAAATCACACACTTACATAAAATGTTCCAATTCTATAAACAGGAACATAATCCACTCATCAATATATTAATTCTAAACACATCATCAACCATATCATATATCATTTCTTATTTATTAAAAATTCTTATGAATAAATCATTTTTAGGTTTAACTATTTTAGACATTTGTACATACTTTTCTTAATATTAAGAAGCTTCTAATAAAATAGCCCTTATATATTTTCTTATACACTAATATTTCTTTTTTACCTCTCATCTAACTCTTTAACGAAACCATTCTATTCTTTACATAATACTTATTTTTTTCTTCAAAATAAAATACATAATCTTTTTTAATAGCCCAATTCCATAGCCCTTATCATGTTTATTCATACATTAAATACATTTTTCTCAATTTTTTTCCCGTTCTTTTAAATCATTAATTTTCTACAACAAATAATTTTTTAAAAAAATACAATTTATACATCCAAATCATAAAATATGGATCCTGTTTCAGGCATTCTTGCTATTTCTTGTTTGTTATTTCTTTTTTATTAAAAAAAAACTTAAATTATAGTATATATTGGCGGATCAACTGGTTATCTTCTTAAACGAAGCGTTCCAAGTTTTATTGCTGGAACTGCTTTGGGAACAATGTATGGTTGTAGCAGTATGATTCTACTTATTTTTATATATTCTTTTTCAAATAAAAAATAGGCGTTTTATTACAATATCACCAACTATCTAGCTATCAATTATCACTTTGTAATTTTCCCTTTAAAATTTCTTTTTATTCATATTTTTATAACTATTTAGTTACATCTTCTTTATTAACAACAACTTCTATCATTCGTCTTTATAAATCTGGTATTAAGCCTGTACCAACTATATTAGGACTCTTAGGCTTTTTAACAACAGGCTTTTTTTTTTAACTAAAATAAACATTATACTAATATTTCTTAGGTTATTATTCAAAAAAACTATTTTATTAACTTTTTCTTGAATAAAAATCTTATTTACTTATATTTCTAATTTTATTTTTTTATAATTCTTTAATATTTAAAAAAAAACAAAAATAACACTTTATTGGTTTTTTTAATATTTTACTCTAATTTTTATATTAATTTATTGAAATCTAATTTTTAATTTAACGATTTTAACCTCAATAGTAGAGACGTTTCTTAAAATATCTTAATACCTGTTAACTTTAGCGTATTTACAAGTATCTTGTTTTTTTTTAAAGATTATAAGCTCTATAAGTTGTCAATATGACATCACTTTTTAAGAATTTTAAGCATTCGCCAAATTATACGAAGAAAAGGAATTATAGATTTGGAAAAACACTTGGTAAAGCTTTAGTTATGTCATTAGAAGGGAATATATCTAAGCGATTGTTCTATAGGAGCAGGAACATATGGAATTGTTAAAGAAGCGATTCATAATGAATATGGAAGAGTTGCAGTGAAAATTATTGATAAACAGTCAGTCAAGGGCCATGAAAGTATGGTTTATCAAGAAATGGAAATTTTGAAGCGTCTTGACCATCCACATATTGTAACATTTAAAGAATGGTTTGAATCGAATTCAAAATTTTATATTGTTACAGAATTGTATGTATAAAGGGTAAAAATCAGTATTTGAGGGTGATAATTATAAGGGCTACGGGGGGAGAATTATTTGATAGGATATGTGAATATGGGAAGTTTTCAGAAAAGGATGCGGTAGTTATTATTAAGGAAATTCTTGATGCTTTATCATATATTCACGATAATCAAATTGTTCATAGAGACCTTAAGCCGGAAAATCTTTTATACCTTACACCGGATCATGATTCCCCATTAGTTCTTACTGATTTTGGAATTGCTCGAAATGTTGAAGAAAACCAGGTACTTTTAACGTTAGCAGGATCATATGGTTATGCAGCACCAGAAATATTATCAAGACGTGGACATGGAAAGTCGTGTGATATCTGGTCATTAGGGTAATATTTTTATTAAAACTTTCATATTTTAATAATACAGCGTTATTACATATACATTATTGTGTGGATATTTACCATTTAGATCAAGAGATAAAGATGACTTGATTCAAGAAACTTTTTCAGCCAATATTGTGTTTCATCAGAAATATTGGAAAAATATATCAGAAGATGGTAAATATTACATATATTTTTATATATAATATTAATTTATTTACAGCTAAAGATTTCATTGTTACTTTATTAAAAATTAATCCGTCAGAAAGACCTACTGCTAAAGCATTTTTATTTTTTATAATATTTCATTAATTAATATTTTTTAGGATGCTTTAAAACATAAATGGCTTACAGGAGATAGTGCTACAAATATTAATATCTTACCTAGTGTTAAATCTGAAATTGATGCTAGGAAACAATTTCGTCTTGCAATTGAAAGTATACGATTAGGAAATAGAATCAAGGCTTTAAAAATGGAGGCTGATTCAGATGAATGTGATGTAGACGAAAGACCAGGAAGTGATGATAGTCTAATAAGTTCTGATATCTCAGAATCAGTGGATAAAACTAGTCATCATTCTTCTGAAAAATCTAAGCGAATTCTCGTTGATGTTTTTTCAGAAGTTGTATTAGCTAAACTTAGAGCTGAAAATAAAGGATTTAAAGACAAAAAAGCAGAATAATATATACATTTTATCAAGATTCCTACTAATAGTATTATAAAATATGCTATAATATAATTGAAATCAAATAATAATAATAATAATAATATTGATTAATGGATATTAATATGCTAAAATTCCAATGATACTTTCTTTATAAGTATTTTCTTTATCCAGTCAAATTTATTGATACTACTTAGTCCAAGGCTTCTTAATCTAACAATAAATGGATTTTCAGTAGAATATAATTTATGTAGTTTGTCTGTTACACCAAGCATAATGTAATTCTTTAAATACCTATCAGATTCATATTGTTTAAGTACCTGAGATGTTCCTACATAATTAAAAATATTCAATAGAAACAGTAATTATACCAATGTCTTGACCAATAGATAGAGCATTAAAAATAACCCTTGACAAAGATCTAACATCACCAAGACTCATATTGAGTCCTTGGCCAGATAATGGATGTATAATATGTGCTGCATCACTAAAATATCTATTTAAAAATCCTGATAAAAAGTAAAACCAACCCTACTAATGCTATTCTTTCTTTTACATAACTTTTTAAATGTCTTGTTCTTAATTGAAATGATTGTCTTGTATTATCTTGCAAATCTATTACAAAAGGAGGAATTGGATCATTCTTTTGACAGAATCCTAAACGCCATTTAATTTGATCTTCAATCTCCAAATAGGATTTTAGTGAAAGAATATATGACAAGTCAGTTATGTCTAATCTATATGCAGCATTTATCAAAAAGATAAAAGTTGATTTTGGAAGGCCTTTTAGGAATTCTGCCATTTCTGGAGGGCATGACCATACTAATGTTGCATATTTATTAGGAAGCTATATTATTCTTTAGTAATAATAGTTAAGAAAAATATTCTTAACTGGTAATATAGCAATAGGCCCATAAGGTAAAAACCTTTGCCATGCAGTAATAACTTCATTTACTGATGAAAAATCTGCCAATTTCAATGTTGCTACAAGACCATGTGCATCATAATCCCATCCAAATGATTCAATTCCAGAAAATTCTCCTACTAATGAATTAAAACCATCTGCTCCAATCTTAATAGCTATAAAGATCAATTCCCTTATAAAATTTAACCTACCAATAATCTTGATACAATTGTTTTTCCATTTGATAAGTTTACAACAGGCCAATCACTTAAATCATAAACATCATTACCACAATTATCATATTTTATACATGATATCTCTGCTGAATCAAAAATATCAATAAAACTAGAGAATTCTTTCATTCTTTTCAATAATGCTGATTGAAGATTAACATTTTCTATCATAAACGCTAATGCTTTTGATTCTTTTTGCTTTTTTTCATAATTTTCAATACAAAAATCAATCCTTGACGATGTTATACCATCCCAAACCTATTCTTCCTGTAAAAAACTTATTTATACTGATAATCTTCCTACTTGCATCCCATAATATGGCTGAACTCGTTCTTTTTTCACATATTTCCATATTCCAACTTCTAATAACCATTTAAAAGGTACTTTATCTTACAATTGTTGAATATAAACCTTTTAAAAACAAAACTGTTGATAAATTTAAAGAACTTGTTCTATTAGAGTATTCTGACTCAAAAAATACCCATTTTTTCATATTTTTTAAATCTGATTTTTCAATTAAACCTATTCTTAATGGAAATTCCGCATGTTTAGACACTTATTGACTCATTTCAGTCATTTTTATATATATATTTTTATAAATATCCACCTAAAATTGATGCTAATGTTAATCCTGATATTCCTCCACCAATAATAATAATATCATAAATATTTGATAAGAAATATTGAGGAACCTTAACATTTTTTAAGTATTTCATTAAGAAATTATTAATTTCTCTAATTCAATATTCTTAAGAACGTTAACAAAATTTCAATCTCCAATGAGCTCCAGTAAGAGAAATTTTCCTAAGAAAAGCCCTTCTTTAAGCAATAAAAAAGAAAGTATATCCCTTATAGACACGTTCTATGAGTTTTATGATAATTATAAGTATGTTTTTAGACTTTTTTAAAGGTGTTTAAAGTGGTTAGAAATAATACAGATGAATCTTTAAAAAAGATAGATTATTGGTTAATTTTCCTGGTATTTTCAGGTTGTCTTCAGCTGTTATATTGTGTTCTATCTGGATCTTATCCGTTTAACAGTTTTTTATCGGGTTTTATTAGTACAGTTGGACAATTTGTACTTGCGGGTTTTTTTCCCCATAATTATATATATACAAGACTAAGAACAGGATGTAGTGAATTTAAGAAGTCAATGTAATGTAAAGAATGAAGAAATCCATAAAAACATTTCACCAGAAAGGTATATTTTAAGTTAAATATTTATATTTATATTTATATGATTGATAGAGCATTTGGGGATTTTGTTTTTAGTAGTCTTATTCTTCATTTCTTTGTAATTACATTTCTTGGTTAGATTGTAGTAGATATTTTTTATTATAAAATATTATTAATTATATTAAACAGTAAAATCTATTGTTTTTATAATACATTTTTAAACCGTCAAGTTTGTAATCCATAAAAATATTGTTTGGTTATACAATGAAATATCCGTCATGTTTTTTTAAGTATGTTGCTGCTCTATATGAAGGGTCATTTCGTAAATTATCTTGATAATCGTCATCGAATGATTCACTTGACTTTAAGAAGTTAATATGATAAAGAATTAAAGAAATAATAACTTACATCATCTTCAAATAAATCTTGCTCTCTTTTTCTTTCGGCTTTAATTTTTTTTTCTTGAATATCTTGTTCTTTAGCAAGTCTTTTTAATTCTAATTCTTCTTGAGAAATTGGTATAGAATCTAGCCTGGCTTTCATTTCTGCCTTTATTTCTTCAGTTTTAATATTATATTCGTTAATAATAGTGTTATATTCTTCAATGAGATTAGAAAAATTTAGTCTATTTTCAGCAACGATATCAAAAAATGGCTTTTTCTCATCATCAGTTAAACTTCTCCATGTTTTACCAAGTGTAGCTCTTATTTCATTTTTAGTAGCTTTAGCTTGAGGATTACCTGTCTCTTTTTGTTTATTTCTATCAGCAATATTTTTGCAATAATTCCACTGGGATTTTTGAAAAACAAGAAAAGGATTTCCAGTAGAACGTTGTGGTGCCGATGGTCTTGGCCCCAATCGTTCTAGAATAACTCTTTCAACTTCTTTATTATGTTTTTCTAACTGAGCATCTTTAAATTCAGCTAATTGTGCTTTATAATCGTCTTGTGCCTTTCGTTTAGTTCTAGATGATGGATCCATTGCGCCCTTCTGCTTCAATGGAATGAGAAGTTCATTTGCAGGAATTTTAAGAGGACCAATTAAAGAGTCAAGGACCAATTGTGCAGCTTTGAGACCACTAAGATACGCTCCATGTACAGTAGCAGGATGCGTTCTACATGTTGCCTCTCCTGCAAAAAAAAGAGTATTTTCTACAGGCATTGCTATAATATCATAATCTTTACCAGACGCTTCAGGGCCAACATAAGAATAACTTCCATAACAAAATTTATCTTTGCCCCATCGTGTAATAATAGTCTCTTTAGGATAAGGTATTATTTGATCTGGATATATATTCTGAAGAATTCTTGTTGCTTCTTGTACGAGTTCATTATCAGTTTCGTTTTCCATTTGAATGGCGCTATCTCCTGCCATAAGAGCAAGTAATACGGGTTGTCCTGAAGTTTTAATGCAATTCCAAAATATATAAAAACGACCTATTTAAATATTAAAATACAATACAATATAAAATATAAAAATACCTCTGTTTTTATCATATATTCCCTGATTATCCGGTTCTGTTAAAGAACCAAAAACATCAACATTTACATCCCAAAAAGAATTTTCATATACTAAAATTACCTAATTCTCATAAGAAATAATGTAAACACTTTTTTATTCCCTACTTTATTTAATAATCCAAAACTAAGGCGTTCTATAGATTGCATTTTCCATTCAGGAAGTGGAGGATTAAATTGAATTGATGATTTTTTTAAGACTCCAAGAGGAACAGTTATTATAACCTTATCTGCATCTATTACCGTACCATCTTCACAATATACTACAGCTTTTTTGTCATTATATGAAATACCAGAAACAATAGTTTTATAGTGAATTTCCAAAGGTGTAGGCATATAAGCTAATGCATATGCCAAAGTTGAATATCCTCCCTTAACCATTGCATGTGCACCTTTAAATTCATTTCCATCATCTTGGTCCCAATGGTATAAAGATAAGTTAGAAAGATTAGTTCCATTTGCGTATTCGAGATTTGCATAATGCCAATTTAAAAGTTTCATATCAAGATCAGTTAAATCTATTAATGATCGATATTGAGATAAAATTTTAGACATAGCATAACCCAAGGTAGGATTCTGCTCAGAAATAATATCATCAAAATTTATATCTATTGGTACATTTTCCTTTATTTGAAATCCAATTTTCCGTAAAACAGAAACCAAATCATGATCATTTTTCTTCTCATGATCTTCTGACGAGCTTTGATCTAGTTTGTTTGAATCCTTTGAATTTATTTCCGAATAATCTTCCATAATTGGTATTGTTGCTTCATTATCTTCAATTTTTGCAATAACACGCCCACCTTCACTTTTGGGCTCAACCCCTGCATCTACCATATTTTTATCGCCTTCAAGCACTCTTTTAGCATTTATAGAAGTTTCTTTAGATTTGAATTTACTAGCTATTTCTAAAATATAATTAAACAATAACTCTGCTCTAGAATCGGTATCAGGAAAGACCATCTTCCCATTAGAATCATATAAAGTAATATTATGTACTGAAAGAAAATGCATCGGAAGACCAAGTTGTTTAACAAGAAGTGTAGATAATGGATTACCTTTGGCAAATCCTGTTATTATTTGCGCCCCCAATTCTACAGTTGAAGATTTATCCTTTGGAAAATCCTCTTCTGTAGGCGAAGATGTCAATTTATGAGAATAAACACGCCCCCCTAAACGTCCTCTAGCCTCTAAAAGGACGACTTTTGGAATTTGATGATCAAATCTATTAGAAAATATCTGAAAAAGAGATTCAAGTTGTCTTGCTGATGCCAAACCAGATACACCAGCACCAATAACTACTATCGTCTTTGTTCCCACAGAGGGCGTAACCAAGGATTTAGGTATATTAATGCATCCAAAGTTTATATATCCTTCTCGTACTAAAAGTTCCCAACAAACTTTTACAAGATTAAAATGTCGTTCTTCATGCGCAATCCCAAGTGCTTCATATTGATCTACATAAAGCAGTGGATTTCTAACCCAAAGTCGTAAAATTGCATTACGAATATTTAAATATGAAGTAATTTGTAGATGAGTAAGATGTGTTCTTAACAATAAATGTTCTGATTCAGAAAGATGATATGGTGACAGTCTAGATGCAATTGCCGCGTTTACACAATCTCTTGTATATTCTTGATGATTTATACCAGGTGGGATTGAACTTTTAAGAGATGGAACTACTGTTCTATCAAATGATTCAGATATAACATATCGAACTTCACTAGCAGCCTCGTTCAATACTTCATTCTTTTCCTCCGGAACATTTATAATATCCATTGTTGTATTACTTAATGATGCAACTATAGGTATTGCACTTTGATATCCTGGTGTAGGATCAATAATATTTTTCGAAATATTCATTCGCATTGATGATAATGAATGCGCATGTGCATTCATTCTTCCCCCTAAATAATGTTGTATATGAGGTGATGAATGTTGTAACGTATGATGATGCGTATAACCATAATCCAACCCTTGTGAATAATATGGATGCTGAGGTGCATAAGATGCATACGATTGTTGCTTCTGATGCGGGTATTGTGCGTATTGCGAATATCCTCGCGATGATGGTGCTATTTGTTGCGGATACGCTCGAAACTGAGAATATCCTTGATTTGACCATCCAAGATTAGGCGTAGAATAATATCCCTGATGATTCTGTAAAGACTGACTCTGTTGCTGCTGCAGAAGAGTCCATAATGCCTCCTGCTCCGCAAGCGAATTTCCTAACTGTGAATGGACTGTTTCTTGACTTAACGATTGTTCATTAGTACGCTGATAAAAACCCTTCTGATGCGAAGGATGTTGAATCTGCTGGAAAGTATTCTCCCGAATATTAGATTCACCCTCCATATTGAGGATTTTTATTAATATTTAAACCTATTAATTTATCCTATCTTTTTAGCCTTTTTTTATCGTCAAAATAAAGTGAATAAAAGTAAACGGACGAAGCTTATAAAAAAAAGATAAGAAATAGTAAGAAATATTAAGAAATTAGAGATATAAGATAGAAAAGAACAAAAAGAAGGAATAAATATAAATAGATTAGTATATGATTTATTTGTTTTATGAGGAAGAAAGTATTTTATGTAGAAAATTAAAAATATTTTTTAAAATCAAGAATCATCCGAGTCAATAGTTTGATAATGATTGAGTTGATCGATAGATCTCCATTCTATATAAATATGATCGATGAAGTGCCTGCTTAATTTTAAATGATAAGGATCGAAAGGAAAATAAGATTGAATATCGATATGTATAGTGGATTTAGAATGATCGGAAGATTGTAAGTAAAAAGCAGAAGAGATATCAGCAGATTGTTTATTTTGTTCGATAATAGGATGACAATATAAAAAATTAAGTTGATGTGCAATTTCGGAAAATTGAGAAACTATATTTGAAGAGCAATACTAAAAAAAATAAGATAAATGAAGAGAATAAAAAAAAAAACCTTTAATGGATTTAATTCAGATGCAATTGCCCTTTGTAATATGAATAAGCTTTTAAACCAACCAATGCCATGTTCTTGAGCATCATCATCAGTCAGATCACGCCATCGAAAGCAAAAAATATAAAGAACGGATTGTACGATAAAATAGAAAATGCCAAATTTCTTAACGAAGGCAGGAGAAGACGTAGGTTCATTTTCCCAGCCATCCAAAAACACATTTATCCATCCGCAAAGCATATTTACAGCATTTCTTACCATATCTTTATTAAGATTTGCAGCTCGAGCAACGAAACTGGCAACATATACACAAGATATTGATCTGGAAACATGAGAACGAGAATCATCTAATGCTCTTTCTAAAATTAATCCCAAAAACATATTAGTATATCTTTCATTAATTTGAGAAGCCCAAAATAATATAAATTGTGTATAACGTGATCGAAATGTATGAAGAATTATTGAATCAAATGTTCGAAGGAGATCACCAAAGATAATATCAGCCAAAGATTCTGATTTATGATTTACATCTTTAGACGATGAAAATATGGTGTCCAAATAATTAAATAAAACAACTAGCATGCAATCTAGTTTATCAACCATTTCTCTAATGCAAGTGATCGCTTGAAAATAGACATGGTCTTCAGATACATCCAGAGATTCTTCATTTTGATCGTTTTCTCCAATATTATTATAATCATTATGAGATAATGATTTATCTGCATTATCATGTATTTCATTCGTTACAATACCAGTTAATTCATCAACACCCTCATCTAGATCCTCGAGTTCTATCTGTATTTCAACCTTAAAATAGATTAAAAAAAAATAATGTTTTGTATAAATAATAATACTTACATCTATTTGTATAATTTTATCTATAATAAGTCCTAAAACTTGAGCAGATATGACAGGTACATATTCAAGAATTCTTAATAAATTCTTAAGATAGGCAACCTGGAGTAGTGTTTTATGACTTTTATGCGGAAATTCCATTGCCAGTATTGAAAAAAGAAATGTATATGATATTGGAACTAAATCCAAAATATATTTTAGGGAAAAATGCACACGATCGTAAATAAGATCATACGAAACAGGCGTTTCACCAGGTAATGATACAAATGAACATGAATCTGTTGTTTATGTTAAATAAGGATAATAAAAAAATAAAATAAAAAGAGATAAGGAAGAAAAAATGATAGAATAACATAAAACATATCTCGAATATAATAAAAACTTACCTAAAGCCATCGTTTGAACCAACATTTTAATTATTAACGGAATATATCCTGAATGGGCACTTGCAATCGTTCCTAAAAACTGAATATAGACAGAAACAAATTCATCATTCCTTTCAACCCAATGCATTTTCAATATATCATTAATAAGAGATTGATAATTTAAATTCAATCTAGATGCAACATGGATTAAAGAAAACAATAATCGTTTCAATTCCACTGATGATAGTGCTTCCGATGACTCAAAATCCATAGAAAATTTCTTTCGAAGTTCCTCATATGCTTCTTTATCCCCTCTATCACATGTTTCTAATACATTAATAATATATTTATTAACCATGTCATCTGAAAAATTGGAGTCCTCCGAGAAAAATAGCTTCTTAGATGTTCCATTTAAAGATATCATATATTTATCCTGCTTCTTACACTTCTCTAATAATGATTTATCTGAAGAACTTATTTGTTGTTGGTTTTTTGTAAAAGGTGATGTAATTGCTGAAACCATTCAGAAAAAAACATATATAACATAGAAAAACAAAAATTTATATCAATATACTGCGCTAATATATATAATAAGCTGAAATCCTGTCTCTTAATTAATACAAACCTTTTTTTTAGTTTTTTTTCTTAACAATGTTAACCCTTCGATGAGGAAATTTTATCAGCTGTAATCTTAGGGACACCCCAATCTAAGATAATAGATAAAGAATAAGTGAAGATTAATCAATATAAAAAGACAAATATAACGAGCCTTTCTTTGTCAGAAGATTCAATTGGTGGAGTATTTTTTGAAGAAGATTTAGAAGGTACAGTTAAAACACATTCGATTGCGTTAACGCCTTTACTAAGTTTAACTTCATAAGTATTTTTTGGAAAATGAGTATCAGATCGACGAGATAAGAAGACATTTGGTGAAATATTAGGAGCGATTTTTAAGCTATTGATTGCCACGGTAAAATGATAAGGTTTTGATAAAAGTGAAGAAGACAAAGTAGGAGTAACCAAAAGTGTATGATGTGTAGCAGGTAGAATGATAGTTGAGATTTTAGAACCATAAGGTGAAGATGGAAGATGAATCTGATAAGGTGAAGGAATATCGAGAAAAGATGGAGTATGAAGTGTAATAAGTGAAATTAAAGGTTGTGCGCCATCTTATAAATTAAAATAGAATAATTTAGATTAATGAAATGTATACCTTTTGTTTCAGACCATTTCCAAGATGATTCAGAAGTTTGTTTAGGACGTAAAGGAGATTGAGATACAGCTACAATATCATGAGGAGAATATTTTGAAAGATGAATTGGAGTTTGAGAAGTTGAAGAAAACGGTGCAGCAACTAATTTTGGAATTGGAGCCAAAGGAATAGAACGTGTTGACATTGTTGTTGATGCTGGAATTGATGCAGGTGTTAAAGTTTTGCTTTTTGCAGTATTAGAATCTGTTTCTTCAGTTTTGAAATTAGAATTTTTTGCTTGTGGAGACATTGGTAATCGAATGATAGATTTAGGTGTTTCCGAAGTATCAGTAGTTACTGAAGGCTTAGGGCCAATTGAAAGACGTATTTTAGGCGTTGATGATTGAGAAACATTCAACTTTACTTTTATCTATATTTTAAATTAATACTATTCTTTTTCTGATATAAAAGCATACTGGAGAAGATTCAGGTTCTTCAAATTGATCTAAGGATTCTTTCTTCTTAGCGATCTTTCTTTGAAAGAATTTAAGTAATATTTTTGCATCATTTGAAATTTGACTCCCATCTTCATTAAAAACCATTGCATTCGCAAAAATAAGTCTTATATCATTTTCAAAATCAAGTAATCTTGCATACTGGTTTTTTTTTATTTTTTTCTATAAAAAATTAGTAATTATAAATAATGAATATTATCTAATATGAATAAATCATACTTCTATAATATTGAAAGACATTGGTTTTTGTATAATTTGATAATATTCAGGATATTCTTTTTTGCTAGGAATTTCAAGAAAAATATCTGAATATGTTCTTCCTCTAATAAAATTAGCTAACTTTTTTTAACAAAAAGTACAAACGATGAATCTTTCATAGCCTTTAATTCAGATAATATCTCTTGTGATAATTCTGAAACATTTTTTTGAGAATTTTTATGAACTATTTTAAATCTTTTTGCTTCTTCTACTTTATTCGAAATATTAACTTCTTCTGCCCATGTTTTAATAATTTTCCCAATTTGCTGAGCATCCTGATAAATTTGACTCTCTGTTACATTGTATCGTCTCGCATTACTACATATTTGCATAAAATCATCCCGTATTTCATCAGTAGATGCATAATCTTTTTTTCTAAGTTTTTCCTTAAAAAAAATATTAGATTAATGTTTTCATGTATTTTTTTTTCAAAAATCCCTACTCTAATCGTTTCTAAAGCAATAGGTTTTTCAATTAGCTCATAATAATCAGGATATAATCTCTAAACAAAAAAATACATTATTAGCCTCCATTTTAATAACTATACATTTCTACTAGCCAACCTTGCTAGGTAATCTCATAAAATTCTCTGATATAAGTCGACCTCTAAAAAAATACATTTAACCCTATATTTTATCTCTCAAAAAAAAACTTACGATGAATCTTTTGCCTCCTGAACCGCTTTAAAAAGACGTTGTCCTTCCTCAAGTATTTCTTCTATATTATATACATTCTATATATATTTAATTCTAATCCTTTTTTCATGAAAAAAAAACCATTCTGGTCCGTTTTCTTAGACGTGATTCAACCTCATTTTCTCCTAAACCATCTACTCTTCGTTTATCTTCCATTTATACCAAACTTATTTCTTCAATAAAAATTTCTCTAAAAAGACCTATATAAACTCAATAAAAATGCTTCAAAAACGACACCCTATCTACTTATGCTCCTTAATACGGTTTCCCGCTTATTATAACAACAAATCCCCTCTTAAACTCTCAAAAACTCTTACAATACAATTTTTGGTCGTTCATATCCCCCTCCAATCGCCGATACTTGACCAACCCCACTCTCTTGCCCTCTTATTTTACCAAAAAGAAAAATCCCTTCTAAGACATAAAATATACATAAAATCCCCTTGATTCATCATATAAAATCAATATCTTCTAAAAATTCTGTTTATTTGTGTATTTTTTTTCTTTTAATATAAAGCCTACCACGTGTCGCGACTGAGAGAATTTGTATATAAAAAGGTGCCATATAAAGGTATAAATAGAGGCAAAATATGCATGAATCATTAAAGAAAAGACCAATAAGATACTTAACAGAGGCAGAACGGAGCCGTCTGGAGGAATTTATTGAGAATATTCATTATTCAACAAGGTATAAAGATAACTCGAGAAAGAATAGTATTGATTATGAAAATAGATATTCAGATGATACACATGAATATAGGTTTTATTATGATTAAGAATTTGTTTTTTATGTAATCTAATGAGGGGAAATGGATAGACATGTTATTTTGCCAAAACCTATGTTAAAAGCGATTCCAAAAGATTATTTTAATCAGGAGACAGGAACATTGAAGATTCTACATGAAGAAGAATGGAGAGGACTTGGTATTACACAGGTATTGAATAATTTTTTAATTGAAGGAGGAAAACTATATAATTGTAGAGTCTTGGATGGCAACATTATGAAATTCATGTTCCCGAGCCACATATTTTGTTATTTAAGTATATTTGTAATAATTTGTTAAATACAATTGATTTGTATTTTAGAAGAAAATGTGATCAAGGAAAACATGCACAACAAGTAACATAAAACAATTAATTAGATAAAAATGATTTTCTGTTTTCGAATTTCAAATATTAACGTCTCTTTTATTTTTCATTTTTTATCTCTCAAATATACTATTTTTATTATTTTTTTAATGAAAACTTTAAATATTTAAAATTTTCTATATTTTTATCTATTTTTCTTTTTTTTTTACTCTTAAAAACATTAAAAAAGATATGTTTAATTATTAAAAAATAAAATTTAAACGTCCTTTTTATATAGGAATTTTATTTTAAGAAAAAGCTTTATTATAAACCTTTAAAGAACGAAGAGCGACAATTTTAAGTTATAAAAGGGCATGTTTATTGAGTATATTAGGCTATTTTGCCAAAACTACCTATAAATAAAGTAATTTATGATTAAAAGATAATATTTTTATGAGAATGGAGTTAATTCAGACTATTCCAGTAGAAATCCCAGCGTACGCACTTGAATTCTTATCAGAATCACATATATTAGTTGCAGGAGGAGGTGGAAATGTGAATTCTGGGATTGATAATCAATTTGTAATTAAAAATTTGCTTTCAACAGGGTTATATTAACATAAAATAAGCGTATATATTCAATTACAAATGATAACATTCTTAAGCTAGAAATGATTTATCAATTATCAATGAAGGATGCTCCAATGTCACTTGCAATTGACTTGTCCAATGTAAGCATGAATTGAATAGGTTGATTGTTTTAAAAAATGATTAACGTTTAAATAAAGGAAATAGTTTTAGCAGGTATTAATGATCAGAATACAGCATCAACAAATGGAAAAAATAATCATTTACATTTATTCAAATATAATCAAGAGAAGAAAATGTAGTATTTATTTATATTCTTGAAAGATGAATAATAAAAATTAGGATTACTATTTTAAAGAGTGTTTCAGTATTTCCAAGAGCATCTAATAATAATTGGGATAATTATCAACGTATTACGCGGTTTAATTATCAGAAAACTCTTTTAGCTATTGCTTCTGCAAATGGCTATTTTGCTTTATTAAAATATCCATCATTAAAACTTTTGAGCACAGTTGCTTCTATAAAACCTATGGTTATGGATTTAGACTTTTCATTGGATGATAGTAAAGTAAATTAATATTTACAGAATGAATTTTTTCTTAGTTATTAAAACAGCTAATTTATGTTTCTTCTTCAAAATTATATACACACATGCTTTCAACAAAACGCTTGATCCATGTTCAGTCATTAAAAGAGGGCTCATTTCGAACAATAAGGTGGATTAATAAAAACTCTTTGATCACTATAATTCATAGACATGGAAAATCTCCTCTTTTACAACGTTGGGATTCTGACTTTTCTACTGAAAATGATATTAATTCTAAAAAAACATTATGGTCTCAAACAAATGCCTGCTCTTTATATAAAACTTCAAGAGCAGTCACATCTATGGAAATAGCTCATAACTATGGTTGGGCAGTAATTGCATGTGCTGATCTTTCTATCATCATTGTTGATATTTACACTTTAACAGTAAAAAACACTCTATTTTTTTTTTACTTTTAAGTTACATTTACTAGATATTACAACGAAAAACTAAAATACATGATTTTCCAATCACTTCTTTAATTATTCATCCAAAAGGAACTCATATTTTTACTGCAAGCGCCGATGCACGACTTCGAGTTATTAAAGTCTCTTATAAAAAAAGATTATCAACTACTTTCTTTTTTATATTCTTTGCAACTATTGCTGGTATTTTAGCAATCATTTCTATTATTTATCCTATGTTTATTCAAAAATTATCCAATTATTATTCTACACTTTTTCAACTATTTATGCAAAATTAAACAATTTCAATCTTTGAAAAATATGTTTATGATTTTATATGGGTTTGTCTTTGTTTTAAGACATATTTTATCATTTTATTCTTTATCATAAATACCCGTCTTGAATATATTTTAGACATCGATATATCTAAAATTTGGTTAACTATTTTAATTCTTGGTCTTTGATGAATATTTTTATTGGAAGGATTTTCTATATATTCTTGGAACATATAAATATAAGGTTCATATTCCTTGGTATTTATATATATTTATAAATATATATATAAATATATTAATAATATATGTTAATAACTAATGAAATATTAGATTTATTAAAAATATAATTTTTTGAATATAAATAAGACTAATATATATTATGATACTATTGAAATGGATAGGAATTAATCGGGAAGCAAGTTCAGACACAATAACATCTCAAGAAGAATCACTTGTGAGGAGTTTTATTTGTTCGGATGGCGATGATAAGCTTTTTGGTTTTGAAAATGTAAGGAAAAAAGGGTTTTTGCTAGGGAGATGCTGATTTTATTAATTTATAGTTTGGAAATACATGGTATTTTTAGAGAAAAAGGAATATTTTTAAACTTAAATTTAATAGTTATGCAAATTCGATACTTCAAACACTTTATTATTCAAAGCCTTTTCGTGATGGTGTGATAAGATATCCTAAACCTATTTCTGTCTTACTTGATTTACCGAATACTGAGTCTTTTTCGAATGAATCAGCAACACATTTAGAAAAGTCATCTTTTGATTTATCTTTATCCTTTGCTTCATCATCATTAACATCTCATAAATCATCTAATATCTCTCATGCACATACGAATGGAACAAAGCTTCATTCTACATTTTTTGATGCACCATTTTGTAAAAAAAACAATTTTATGGAGAATGCTATGTTATTAAATAATATTGAAACATATAAAAATAGACGTCTTATGGGAAAATTCAATGTTAATATTGATTCGTCTCATTGTTCAACATACGGAATGAGAGAATCTTTATTTACATGTGTTAGAGATATTTTTGCTAGTATTATTCAATCTCATGTTAAAAATGGAGTATGTTCTCCGACAAAATTAATTGAAGTTTTACGTCGTGAAAACGAATTTTTTCGAGGTAATTTACATCAGGATGCTCATGAATTTCTTAATTATCTCTTAAATGTTATACTTGAGTCCATAGAAGAACATGATAAATTAAATACAGATACAAATGACAATATTTCTATTAATGGTAAAAGTAATTGTTCCATCTCTGCAAAGTGGCTTCATTCAATTTTTGAGGGTATACTTACTAGCGAAATCCGATGTTTTACATGTGAAAGTGTATATATTATTATTATTATTTATATATGATTACTTATTATTTGCTAGATTACTTCTCGTGATGAATCTTTTCTTGATCTTTCTATTGACGTCAATAAAAATACATCAATTACATCATGTCTTAATTCCTTTTTTTCTCCAGAAATACTTTCAGGAAAGAATAAATTTTATTGCGATTTTTGTGGAGATTTACAAGAAGCTGAGAAATGTATAAAAATAAAACGTCTTCCAAAAATATTAGCCTTGCATTTGAAACGGTTTAGGTATATAGAGGAAAATGGTAATTATACATTTTCTAAGCTTTTTCACACTGTTGTTTATCCCTACTATCTGAGATTATCTAATACCACGCATGATACAAATGATATGGATCGTCTATATGAACTTTATGCTGTTGTAGTTCATCTTGGAAGTGGGCCATATCATGGTCACTATGTTTCTGTTATCAAAACGGAATCTGGCTGGACATTATTTGACGATGAACGTGTAGTAGTTAGGATTTTTCTTCTTGTTTTCATATCTTTCTAATTTTATTATTAGCCTGTTAACGAAACATTTGTTCGAAGGTTTTTTGGTGATCTTCCTGGTGAAGCTACTGCTTATGTTCTTTTTTATCAAGCGGTTGATATCACTTTATAACATGGTTTTCGCTCTTTTAATCTTCAAATCATTCTAATTCACAAAATCTTTCGACCTTCTTTTTCTTTTATACTTCTTTAAAATTGTCACATTTCTCTTAAATATTTTAAATCTTCTTCTTTTTGGCGCAATTATTTAAGATTCTGCATTTTCGGAGGTCTTCCTACGTTTTCTCTACATATTACTTTACTTAAAAGTCTTAAACTTCAAAAAATTATTCAAAATTTACATCTCATACTTATTTTCCTTCAAAAAATCTCATTCATCTTATATAAAAATAGATTACACAAAAAAATATACTCTTACATACTAATAATTTCTATATATTTCTACATTATCTATATCTAATCTTTATAACTATTTATATTATTCTTTCTTCTACCCTCATACTACCCTCATACTACCTTCATACTACCTTCATAACTTTAACCCAGCATAAGCAAATATACCATCACCAATGTATTAATAATAATCAATGGTACTTGTTTTCATTAATTCTCTTGTTAAAATCATTATTATTACTTCTCATAAGTGTTCGAACTGCACTAATCAAATTTACTATTTTAAACTTAACTGAAGAAACAGATTGATTCTCAAATCCATATTCTATCTTCCCTGAAAAACCAACTGCCATATTTCAATAGAATATAAAGATTAAAGAGGGTTACTTTTTGCAAGAAATCTATCTTCAGAGAGAACTGCTATAGCGTTGACTAGAAGAAGAGAAACTAAGATTAATTAAGATAAAAAGAAGAGTTCAGAGGGGTTAAGACGTACCATAAAAGAGTTTTCCAAGGCCAAACATAAGAGATTCAAAATAATCAAAAAAAAGAGGTTGATCTTTGATTATCGTGGGTCTATATATCTATAAGTTGTTGAGATTTAAAAAGGGAAGAAAAGAGGAAAATAAGGAGAATTGTAGAGAAATGACGTTAAAGGAGAAGTATTCGGAACTTCCTGACATGGTATATATATATAATAGTTTTTTTCCGGGTTAAAAAGGCCTCAGGACACAGGAAAAGATGTGTATGAAACACCAGACTTTGTGGAAGACCAATGGATGGAAAATGTAAGGAGAAAAGTGAATAAAAAGGAAGAATCTGAGGGATATATATAGTCATCTAAATATGAAGGAGAAGAAACGCAGAATGAGGACATTAGTAATGATCGATTAAATGTTTGTGAGGCAAAAAGTCGATTTTTGAGGGAACAAGTGGAAGCAGAAGATGTTGGTATGTTTGTAAGAGTGGAGGTGTAATATTTGTTGATGAGATGTGTTTTTTTTTAAGATTTTTCAGAGAGAATTAGAGGAAAAAATAGAAAATCATATGTGACAAGAAATTTTCATGATTATGGGGTTATTGAGGAGACAATTGATGAAAAACTAGCACGTTTACGAAGAGAATTGGAAGAGGTTAGAGAGGAGTTGAATCAAAAGAAATTTCAGGAAAATAAGAATGAAAATGAGACGGTTAATAAGAGTTTTGCAGATTTGAGTGAATTAGATTATCAGATGGCAGAACTTGAAAATAAAACGAAAAAGAGTGCAATTGCAATGCTTTCTAAGAGATTAGAAGAGCTATCTCTTCCGGAGTCTATAAATAATGATGATAAAGAAGTTGTGATGGAAACAAATGAGTCATTAAATCAGGTTTTTTTTTTTGAAGGTAAAAAAAAGTCTAATATTTTATGATTTAGCCGTTAAAATATACGTTAAATTATAACCCTTCGTATAAAGAAAAGCATCTTGAACTGGATTTATCAGAATTTGAAAACCGTTTAACAATGCTTGAAAAATCATTGGGGATTGATCAAATACATTCATACAAATTACAGGCTCCAATCTTATCAACACTTTCTTATTTAGATAAGAAGATTACTCTATTGACATCAAATAAAAGTTATATTGATTCAATAACAAAAAAAGTTAAGAATTTAGTAGCAGAAATGGAAATTTTACATGAAAAAAAGACAAAAATGGATTCTAAAACATCTGATTTAAATACTACTCCTCAAGAAAAGAAAATTGATGCTTTATATGAGAACTTGGAAATGATAGAAAGTATTTCTCCAATTCTTCCAAATCTTTTAGATAGATTAAAAGCTTTACGTATTATTCATGCTGATGCTGCTACTGTAACTACTGGGCTTAAGGATTGCACACAAAGACAACATATCATTCAAGATGAAATGTTAGAATTAAAAGAAACTCTTCAAAAAGTTGAATCTACTATGAAAGAATCAAAAATAACAATTCAATCTAATATGATGGAAATTGAAAATATGGTCAAGAAACTTGAACAAAAGGTAGATCACTTTGAAAAAAAATAAAAACTATTCTATTATTTAACAAATACTATATATTTTTGTTTTTGATTATTTCTATATAAATATATTTATATAGAAATATTCATAACGTGCTCGGGCAAGATTTCAATAAATTTCTAAGTCAGATAAAAGTATAAAATATTAAAGGTTTTTAATATTCTAAATGAATTTATAGGGAATTATGGTTTCAGAATCATTTGAATTCTTTTTAAATCCAGATAAAAAAGTTAATTCTGATAAAATAGATGATAATTTTGAAGATAATAGAAATAAAAAAAGAAAAAATGAATCATTAAATATATCTAATAATGGGAATACACAGAAAAATAGTAAGAATAAGGATGGATTACGTAAATCAAATGTTAAAGATGCAAAAAATGCAAAAAATGAGAAAAAAAAGGGAATTTATAATGAAGAAAAGCCGTTTTCTAGTATTAAAGAACATTTACCCAGTTTTGCTATAGGACCAAACTGGGGACCAGCGGGATGGTCTAAAATGAATAAATATAAGAGTTTGAAATGTGTGTTTATTCATATATTTAGATTATTTTTAATATTTTTTTTAAAGTGCAAGATGAAAAGTTTTATGTTGGAGATTGTGTATTTATTAATAATTCTGAGGAGAAATTAACAGATGATTTTGATTTTGATCGGTTTTGGGTTGCTAAATTGCTTGAAATTCGTGCGGAAAATGGTCAAAATGTATGGGTTATGTGTCAATGGTATTATAAACCTGAAGAACTTCCTGAAGGACGAAAGTATGTCAAAAATTTTATATAGATTTGAAAGGGTTTTGTTAACGCTAATTTCAGATATTATCATGGAGAAATGGAGCTGATAGAATCTGATTATTATGAAATTGTAGCAGCAAATACGATTTCAAGTAAAGTTATTGTCAGATTTTGGGATGAAGAAAAGGAATTTGAATTAAAAGATGATGAAGAAAACAATAATTGTGATAATAAACAAACTTTGGATAATACAGATGATATACCTGAATTTTATTGGAGACAGCGCTTTGGAGGAAATTCTACAAATCCTAAACTTACAGTAAATATCGGGAATGATTTAAAACATTATTAATTATTATTAGCGTCTAACTGCAATATGTAAATGTAAAAAATATCATAATCCGGATAAAATATTGTACGCATGTTATACTTGCAAGAATTGGTTACACGATGAATGTCTTCGTAAAGATTTGATTAAAAGTGGTGCTCCAAATGATATTGACTTCATTAATATAGATAGCGAACCTTTAATAGCGAAAAGTAAAAGTACTTCTGAAGAATATCAAGTGAAATGTCTCTTATGTCAATCTGCTTTAATTTGATTCCAATATATTTCAAGCAATTTTAAAAGCTATGTCATTACAATATTATGTTGCTATAAAAAGTAAGTTTTTAAAATTATATTATCATATAAAAATCTAATATTTTTTAAATTTTATAGATTAAGTATATTTATGATTTTTATAATAAACCCTTTAAGGTTTTTAGAATAGCAAATTGGATATGAACTGAGCATATGTATTTTATTTCATGTACATGTAAAAAATTCCTATTATGATGTAATTGGATTTTATCACTTTTTTATTTCTTTTAATAATAAATTATTATTATTAAACAGATTAAATATGATGTTTTTTCAAAAAAATCTTGTAGATTGATTTCAAAATTTAAATAGAATAATGTTTTAAATATGATAAATATATTTCTATAAAAATTCTAATACAAAACAACTGTTTTTAATTTTTAATTTTAAAGATATTTTTAGAAATAAAATAATCAAATTAAAAAAAATATATAATATAAATATATAATAAAATTCAACTTATCTTCTGAAAATTATATCCCTCCTGATATATAGAACCACTAATTATAATATTAAATAAATTATAATTTCAAACTCATTATTATTAAAAATATACCTTATCAATAGATGGATCTTTGAAAGCAGGTGGATTATTTTCACCAGGAGGAATATGTATATTATCAGTTGTATAAAAGGGTGAATTCGAAATCATAGTATTCGTGCTAATACAATTAAAATGTTATACATTCCTAATATATATATATATATACATATATATATACATACCAATTGATCCCTCTTAAGTCTGATCCCCCTGATATAAGACGATCCCATGATTCTGAACATTCCTGAATAATTTCCATTGCATATTTCTTGTTTTTACATTCTCCTGAAAACGCAAATGTATTTTCTGGCTTTCCATCTGGAATTTTATAAATCTATATTCCAAATTTTAAAAAACCATTATCTAAAAACATTTCCTTACACGGAACCATTCATTTGTTGCACGAATAAGACCCGGAAGATGCTTTTCAACATCTTCCACATCTAAAATTAATTAAAATTCTCTTTTTTTTCCCTTTTTTTCCCTTATTTCATTACCATGCAATCTAGACTCCAATGGATCATTTATATCAATAACAATTACCTTCCAATCCGTCTCCCCTTCATCTAAAAGTGCCATTACACCTAGAACTTTAACCTGTTTTATTTGACCAACATATCCTACTGCCTCCCCGATCTCACAAACATCTAGAGGATCATTGTCCCCCTTCGCCTTCGTCTCTGGGTGTAAATGGTTAGGGTCTTCCCATGTCTTATCTCTCATTAATATCAAAAATTTCCTTTTCAAAAAAAAAACCTGGGGAAACGCTCTATTTACATTCAATTCATCAATAAAACTTCATAAATCCTTTTCTTCTATATTTACCCATAGTTCCATATCTAATTAACCTCATTAATCTTCTATAAAAACTCCTCAATTTCTTACATATCCATGATGAGGAAAACAATTTCTTACTACCATCTTAGCATTCTATTAAACACTGTTTTAACAATATAACCATAACGAAGTCTCCCTTTCTTAACGTCCTGCTTAATAGGATTCAATAGCTCCTCTTTAGATATCTCCATCTTGGCATTTGTCCATCTCGGCACTTCAACAATCATATTCAATACTGTCTTCTCTGCATTTGCGTATAATGGGACGTCATGAAACGGTGAAATAGGCTTCCCGTTCTCCTCTATAAATACCCTGAAATCTGTGTATTTTGTTAGCTATTTAAGGGCCTTTATCAGTCTTTTTTATAGTATTCTTACCAGGTGTATTTGGGGTTCCTACTAAGCGCTGTGTGTATTTACTGAAGGAACTGGACATTCTACGTGAATAACAGAGGAAGAACTTAGTTTTGTTAAGAATAAGAGTGTAATTGAACAGTTTTTGAGGAAAACCAGAAGGAATTATTGAGGAGGTTTATTAGAACGAGTGGGAAAGTATTTATTGAATAAGAGTAAGGGACACTATGAATGAATATTTTTATTGATAAGAAATGATAGAGGAGGAGTGGTTTAATAGGATAGAGTTTTTTTTAGGGAGAAAAAGGTGATTTTTTGATATAAATATCAAGAGATTAGAAAGTTGTTAAAATATTGATTAAAAAGAGGGAAAAGCAGGAGATTTTTGTATTATTTTTGAATCTAAGGATATGATACATTCAGGGAAAGTGAATTATCATGGAAAAATAGTGCTTGCACCTATGGTAAATAAGTTATTTGAGTAAATAAATGAAAAAATAATGTGTAGGTGAGAATTGGGGAGCTTCCTACACGATTATTGGCTCTAAAATATGGGGCGGATCTTGTATGGGGGCCAGAGGTAGTTGATAAATCGTTTGTTCAAGGAGAAATATGTAAACGAGTTGTTAATGGTAAGAATTGATATATTAAAGCTAAAAGAAGAATCTGAAGAGGAGAAAACAGAGAAAAATAAATGTATTTACTTTGTAAAGCCGCCAAAAAATACTATTTTGTATAGTATTCATCCTATGGAAAGATCTAAATTAATTTTTCAACTTGGATCAGCAGATCCAGAACTTGCAGTTAAAGCGGCACAATTGATAGCAAAAGATGTAGCAGCAATAGATCTTAATTGTGGATGTCCAAAGGTATATTTAGACATGATTATTAAATTATCTTATTTTATTTTCAAGCACTTTTCTGTTCATAGTGGAATGGGAGCAGCTTTATTAAAAAATGTAGATCTTTTAGAGAGTATATTAATAGCTTTAGTTCAAAATATTGGTATTCCTTATAAAATTGGGATTAGTGCTAAGATCAGGATACTTGAAGACATAAAAGAAACAGAAGCTTTGGTTAGAAGGATATGTGATACAGGAATTATAGGATTAACTATTCATTGCCGAACAATTTCTATGAGAAATAAAGAGAAAGCTATAAGGGATCAATTGAAAATGATATCTAAAATATGTAGGGAAAAAGGTGTGGCTTGCATTGCGAATGGAGATATTGTAAATAGAAAAGATGGATTAGAAGTAATAAAAGAATGGGATGTTGATGGTGCTATGATTGCCCGTGCAGCAGAAAAGAATCCTAGTTGTTTTAGAATGGAAGGACTTCTTCCTCAAATAGAAATTGCACAGGAATGGTTACGTATAGTATGATTTTAATTTAATTATTTTTTATTTTTAATATAATTAGGCAATACAGACTGGTAATTCATTTTCAAATACCAAATTCTGTATTTTGAAAATTCTTGATGATAAATCAATTTCTAGAAAGACTATATTTCAACCTTTTCAAAATGCAAAATCATTTCTTGAAATGGTTAAAATTCTTGGTATAGATATATAAAATATTATTAAACAATTATCAAAGCATTAAATATAGGAGGTTTCATATTATTATATCTACTTGTGATATTTATAATTTATGTATTGTAAATTATTATATTTTATAAATTTATTTAATTATTTATAGGTATTAGAATTTTAATATTCTTTTTGAAACTAATTTATTATTTATTTATTAATAAATTAGTTTCAAATCTTGATCTTTTTAGATAAAATATCATAAAATATCATTAAAAATTAAATAACTTTCGAGTATAATGATTGTTATTTTACATCTAAAAATGATAAATAAAATTATCCATAAAATAATCATCTAATAATACATAATAGTATTATATTATATTAAAGAATAAACATAACAAATATTAAAGTTCATCATGTAAAAATGTATCTATTATCTTTAGCAATTTAAAAATAAATGTAAAAGTTTTACTATTTGCAATATTTGATTTATCCATTGTATTAAATTCTGATAACTCTGTAGTATAATTTTTAGAATATGAAAAAATTGCTTTAGATTTTTGTATTATAGAGTCTTCAGAAAATTTACCTATTATAGTCAATATAAATATATTGATCAAAAAACTATTGATTGATTACTTTGTGTTTTAATTATTTTCTTACCAATATTCTTTAATTTATCAAAAAATAACCAAAATATAAAATGAATAATATGACGTAAAAGTCTTCTATATATAATCCAAGCAATTACTGATAGAAAAAATATTAAAGAACATATAATTGATATTCTATCAAACTTATTTGAATATTCAAGTTCTGAAATAAGTCTTCTTGATTTTGTAATTAATGAATTAAATGTCAAGTAATTCTCTTGCAATGATTGAAGTGCATTAGATGATAATTCAAGCTCTTCTAATGTTACAGATGATTTTGACATCTCTGATTCCATTAATTGATGAAGTTCTGCAAGTGCTGATAAAACATTTGTTGATGTATTTATTGCTCTATCTCCTGTTCTAACTAATTTTAAAAAAATATATAAAATATATTATTTAATACGTTGATTTCATATTTATCCCTTTCTTTTGAAGTAATGCTATTCTTTCCTTTCCATCTCCTAATATTTGTTCCTGATTCTTTTGAAACATTATATTACTATTTTTACTTGATTTCAATAGAGCTTTTCTAAAATCAATCCTAGCCCTTAAAAATTAAAAACAATTCACTAATTCTTTTGCCATTTTATACATTTTTAAATCCTCTTTTAATCTATCACTAACATTCTTATATTTTAACCTCTTTTCTTCATCTTCTACATCATCCAACTCAATAAAAAGTCTCTAAAAAAAAAATATCCATTATTCTTCCATTATTAAACATATTTTACAATACTTCAAGACTCATTTCTGCTCTTTTTAACTTCTCTCTGATCATCCAGCCTATTTGCTCCGGACTTTCTTTAGAACCTTCCCTGCTTTTTCCAAGTTTCTCAATAAAACTAATAATCTCAAGGTAAAACCTCTTTAGACCTCTCAATTCCTCGTCAATAAGCATCTTATTCTAATATTTATCAGCCAAAACCTTTTTCTTGACGTTCAAGGCCTGATCGTATGATCTGTAGGAGCTTCAAAGAGACGTCAAAAAAACAGATGCCAATATTTGCTGGTAATTGAAGGATTTAAGAGGATTTATAAGGAATTAAGATAGAATATGACGCCTTTTATGTCTCTAGTATGTCAATATTGCAAGAGTCCTCTTGGATTTGAGAATTTGAAGGAACTTAATAGAGCTACATTTAATTTAGTAGTTGGTAGAGGGGAAAAAAGTGTTATAATAGGATAATTAATAGTTAAAGGGAGTCTTAAGGAGAAGAGGAAGCAAGTGTTTTATGAGGAAGAGGAAGAAGAGGAGAATATTCCTTTACTTTTCCCGGAATCTAGAAAGAAATATTATAATGAGGCGATAAATAGATTAATAAGCGAATTAAGAGAAGATGAGGTAGAAAAAGAGAAAGATTGTAAGAATATATCATATATATTATTTGAGGATGAATATTTAAAAAGATATGATACATTAGTTTCAGATACATTTCAATTGAATGATATAGAGGGGAGGTTTCATGAAGCAGCAACATTTGAACATCTTTTTCATAATATGTCATTTCTTTCGGATGCTAGACATCCTATTTGTTCAGAATGTTGTGAAAAACAGCTTAATAATATGTCTAAACACCTTGAACATTTAAAGAATGAAAGAGATGCTTATATAGGGATATTAAATCATATAAATGATCATATTTTTGATAATGAAGAAATTGAAAAGATAAAAATGGAGATAGAAGATGTAATTGTTTTTATATAATTGGAAAAAATGATAACTTTTTTTAGAATTTAAAAAAAGAAGCAGTTGCAGTTAAAACAATTACTCAACTTAGAAAAAAACAACAAGATATTGAAAAAGAAGTTAAAAAACTTGAAGAAGAATCATTAATTTTAGATAAAGAGGAAGAAATATTTTGGAAAAAAAGAAATTTATTTTTACTTAAACTTCAGGAATTTCAAAATGAAAGAGATGCTCTTAATTTACAATATGATTATAATATAAAACAACTTGAAGAACTAGAAGAAACAAATGTATATAAGGATATATTTTGTATTAGTCATGATGGACAATTCGGTATATTTAATGAATTTATTTAAAAATTATTAATAAACAGGTACAATTAATGATTTAAAATTCGGACGTTTGCCTTCTTATCCTGCAAACTGGGATGAAATAAATGCTGCATGGGGGTTAATTGTATTATCGCTTCATTCAATTGCAAAAAAATTAAATTTCAAATTTTCAGAGTAATTATTATTCTTTTTCTTTTTCTTTTTAATAATACATTTAAATAGATACAAATTAAATCCTTTAGGTTCTACTTCTACAATTCATAAACTCGAACTTCATACCAATTCTTCTTATCCTTCTAAATCCATTTCTCTTGAATTATACAATTCCGATCACTTGTTAATCAAACGTTTTTTTATGCAAAAAAAATTCGATATTGCTATGATCAGCTTTCTAGCATGTTTAAAACAAATAGGTGATCATCTTAAACAAATTGATTCTTCTTTTAAATTTCCTTACAAGTATATTACATTTTTTTTTTTTTTTTTTTCATTTTATTCTAGAATTCAAAAAGATAAAATAGGAAACGCTACCATCTCCATTTCCTTCAATCCTGATGAAATATGGACTCGCTCACTCAAATATCTTCTCACTAATCTCAAATATATCATTGCTTACACTACTCGTCGCTCATCATAAAAATACTTTTTTTACATAAAAAAATTCACATATCAACTCAATTAATATCTCTTCTTCTTATTTCACTCTTTTTTCTTCTTTTTTTTTATTTTTTAACTCCCTCCTTCTACACAAACCCTCCTCTTTCCCCTCTTCCTGCCCCCATCGGCCAGCGACCCGGGCAAGGCAGGAACTACAAAAAAGTTGTCAACATTAATTTAACGGAGATTTATGTAGAAATAAGGGATAAAGAAGGTATTAACGAAGAGTAATAAGTATATAAAGCTTTTATTTATATAAATATTAACTGGTATGGTTTTTTCAGGGAAAAAAATAGAGGATTTAATGAGTTTTTAAAGGGATTTGTATTTACATGTGAATAAGGTCTCTGATTAAAGAATAAATCATAAGTTATATAAGAAAAATAATAAGAATGAATGATACTACGCCATCAGAAAGAGTATTTTCAACGTATAATAATTTATCACCTACAAATGTATCATCAATACCGGCACTTTCTAATACAAATTGGAATGGAAATATCTTGCTTTTCTTTGTTGCATTAGGGTTTGGAATCTTATTTTGTAATTTGTGGCATGATCCGTAATATAATATGAGCGAGTTTTTAATATAATGAATGTAGGGTGATTATTGGTATTAAATATTGTTACAGATATTCAAGTATGAATCATCCGGAAACCATAGAAATTGAGAGGGTTATGCCTCAAAACCAGAATTGTCAGAAGAAGCTTATGACGCAGGGTGAGGCGGATCAACAGTTTCCCTCAATTCTTTATAAAGTATGGTTATCACAACATAAACGTCAAAAGCAACAACTCTATAAAACAATGTCGAATGATAGGCAAAATAGGCAAATGAGTGAAGCAGACATGGAATCTAATACAAATAATGAACCTAATAAGCATAATGAGGAGAATTCTTTTCATGAAGAAAAAACGCATGATTTTAATACGTTTCAATACAATTATCCTATGGAAGAAGCCATGAATTCACAAAATCTATATTCTTGTACAGATATTCCTTCGAATGTATCCAATAAATCTTATTATAATTTCAATAATGAGCATAATGATATCAGTATATCTATTCCGAATGAACAACAGAGTAAACGTGATGATGAGTATGTAAAAGAAAATGAAAGGAAAGAGGCATCGTCGAGCGATTTCGCTCAAGATGCATCTTTTAGTGATACATGTGCTATATGTCTAGATATATTTCAAGATGAAGACGAAATAAGAGTGCTCACATGTGACCATATTTACCACTCTTCGTGCATTGGTATATACACTTTTGATATATTTGTATAATTATTAACTACAAAATTTAGTACCATGGTTTACTACAAGACGTGCTATGTGTCCTCTTTGTAAACATGATTTTTATATCCCGAAGATACCAGTTAATGCAGATATGGAGAATACTAGTAGAAACATGCCACCTTTTCCTGAGGTTAGGATTTATGAGCGTCGTATACATCATCCATCTTTACCATTTTTTTCTGTTTACGAACCTCAACAAGTTCAACAATATAGAGTTTCAACCAATAATAATTATAGAAATAATACATATAATAGAGAAACGAATAGAAGAGGTTCTCTATATACAAGGCTTTCGAGAATTCTATTATTTAGAAGAAATAATTCCTTTATTTAATCAAATATTGAAATATACAATATAAATTACGCTACTATATCCGGGAATTAGTTTTATTCTATATTTTTAGAACCTCAAGTTATCTTTATAGGTTTCTATCTAAGATTTACAATTTATAATGTTTTATACCATAGTAGATCAATGAAGCCTTTTTAAAATTCTTCAAAAATAGTATTTCTTTTTCTAATTTAAATATATATTTCTGTTGATCAAATTATAGTTTATCTTATTCTGATTTTAGATGATTTGCATGCTTTTTGGATTTTATATATGTAGTAGGATCGATTTATATACAATTGTTTGTAGTTTAAGATTTGATAAAATAATAAATTTTAATTAAAATTAAAGTATTTTTAAGCTCTTAAAACAATACAATCGTGTTATTAGAAAAGATGAATACATTTTTAAATATGTAGCCTTTCATTAATGTAAGTAGCAGCTGCCGCTATAGCATCATCGATTTTTTCAATATTAGTTCCTATTCCTTAACAAATCAATAAATATGTATTAATTGTCAATCATTTTACCTTGTGCACTATCTTCTTTACCACCACTTTTACCACCAAGTATTGTACTAACTATATTAGCCCATTCTTGACCATTAGCATTTGCATGAGCAGACTATAATGTTAAATATTATTCTCCAAAAACATAGAAAATACCTTTGAAACATAACACATGTGAGCAACATTTCCTGTTTGACTTTGATCTACTGCAAATAAATAAACGCTTTTATCTTTTTCATTTGCTTTAATATAATTAATAGCATTTGATAAAACTTTCATGTTTGCAGATATATCAGGAATATTAATGATAAAATATGATTTATCAGGATTTTCTGAAAAATATGTTTTTATAAGATTAATTACTTTTTTTTCATCTTCTTTCTTTTTGATTTTTTCAGATTCTAGAATATCCTTTTGAATTTTTAATAAAGCTTCACGAAATTTAAACTTTTGTATCGCAGATATTACAATAGAATCTAATTCTGCTGCCATAGACTTAGAACGTTGTATTTTTTCAAAACAAAAAGGCAATGATTCTAAAAAAGTTAACCTTTCTGAGAATTCGTCTGCAAGTCTTAATGCCTATTATAATCAATTTATAGTTAATATTAAAACTGAATCTTACCAAATCTGCCTGATGGCTTGTTAAAGCAACAATTCTTCTAATTCCTTTTGAAATACCACTTTCATCAACAATGACAAAATTTTTAATATCTGATGTTTTATTTACATGAGTACCGCCACAAAGTTCAATACTATAATCCATCCACTTTGGCAAAATAGGTGATTTCATAACTTCATTTAAATCTACACCAATAGATACAACACGAACAGGATCAGGATATGCTTCTCCAGACAAAGTACGGATTCCTTGTATTTTTTTAGCTAAATTAAGATCAATTTCTTTGTAATAAAGTGAATAATCCCCTAATATAAAGCTATTACACATATCTTCAATTTTTTCTAAATCAGACATAGAGATTTTAGAATTATATGAAAAATCAAATCGCAATTTTTCTGCTGCAACTAAAGATCCCTTTTGATAAACAGTATCCCCCAGAATTTTTTTTAAAGAAAAATTAAGTATATGAGTTGCACTATGATTGTTTCTTAGAAATTTTCTTCTTTCAAGATCTTCATATTCACAAATTATTTTATCTCCTAATTCAAAATCACCATAATTCATATATCCTATATGTAAAACATATCCAGCATTTAATTGAGTATCTTCAACGAAAAATTCTGCTTTTCCTTCAAGAATTAATTTACCGATATCACCTTCTTGACCCCCTTCTTCACCATAAAAATTAGTTTTATCTAAAATAATGATCATTCGTTCTCCTTGTTTAATATCTTTTGTAGAATTCTTAAATAATTTATCATAAAAAATAGCTTTAATATTCGAATCAATAGTCCCATAATCTAAATCTTATTAGTATAGATGATATAAAGACAAAATCGAACTATATTTATAAGAATCGTCAGTATACATAATGTTCATATTTCGAAGTTTAGTAAAATTATCAAGAGTCATCTCTAAAGTTTTCAATTTTTGAAGATTGTTATTATAAGATTTTCGACTAATTTCTTTCGATCTAGTTTCTGCATCTTTAAAACCTTTTTGATCAATTTCCATGCCTCTTTCTTCTGCTATTAAATTTATTAAATCAACAGGAAAGCCATATGTTTCATATAAACTCCAAACATCTGTTCCAGATAAAACTTTCACGCCCTTTTCCATAGTATTCTGAAGATATTTATCTAGTATTTTTTCTCCTCGTTCAAGAGTTTTTGAAAAAGACATTTCTTCTGCATCCAAAATATTTTTTAATGTATCACGGGCTTTTTCCAACTCAGGAAATGCATCTACCTAATTGCCCATTAAATTTTATAGTCTTATTCAATATTATTTACCATTTGAGTGATTAATGTAGGAGCAAGTGAAGAAAAAAAATCTCCAATAGGATAATTAAATTTTTTCCAAACATATCTAGCACCACGCCTTAAAATCCTTCTTATAACATAGCCCCTTCCATCATTACTTGGAACACATCCATCAGATATAGAAAATGTCAAAGTCCTTACATGATCTACAATAACACGATATGCTGTATCAATACCATCAATATCTTCCGCTCCAAATTTTCCCTGATAAGGTCTTACTCCAGTAATTTCATGTACTCTTTGAAGCAAAGGAGAAAATATATCAGTATCATAATTTGATGACTTATTTTGAAGAATTGATACAAGTCGTTCAAAGCCCATACCCGTATCTACATGTTTACTAGGTAATGGGCTTAATTTTCCATCTTTTTCACGATTATACTGAATAAAAACATTATTCCATATCTCTATTACATTAAAATCATCTTTATTAACAAGACTAGCTGCATTTCTTTTCCCAATTCTATCATAATGAATTTCTGTACATGGTCCACATGGTCCTGTATCACCCATTTCTTTATATTTTTATAAGAACATTCGTATTAAATAAATAGCCTTTACATACCCCAAAAATTATCCTTCTTTGAGCCAGGTATAACATGATTTTCATTAACACCTATAGATATCCACAGGTCTCTTGTTTCTATATCAGGAAGTATCCCATTTTCCTCATCCCCCTCAAAATATGTAACATATAATTGATCAATAGGTAATCCATATACCCTTGTTAATAAATCCCATGAATATGAAATCGCCTCTTTTTTAAAATAATCACCAAAAGACCAATTTCCTTGTATAATTAACCCTTATAATATCACTCTAAAACAACCTACCCAGCATCTCAAAAAATGTATGATGATAACTCTCAAATAATATTAAATTATTAAATTATTTCACAATAACATATACTTACATCTTTTCCAACATCTTCAAGATCTAAATTATTTTTTAAAAAAATACATAAAAATACATAAAAATATTACCATTATGTTTCCCTCCTGCTCTAATAACCTTTTATAATAGTTAAAATCCCTCTTCTATCATAAAAAATTCACCTTTTGAGAATTAACCGCTCTTCTTAACTTTCCAAGAGGACTATATAAATCCACCGTGCCTAGAAAAATAGATTTATACTGATTCATCCCCGCATTAGTAAAAAGAAGCGTAGGATCATTATATGGAACTACTGATGAACTTGGAACAAATGTATGGCCTCTTTCTTCAAAATATGAAATAAATGTCCCACGAATCTGCCCGTTCTCAATATCATACACATCCAAGACCAATTATACCTTCTTGCTCGGCCATTTTATACATGTATCCATCTTTTTCTTGTATATCTTTAACCCTCTATCTCTTAAAGGTCCCCGCTGATCCAAACAAAATTTTAAAAACCTACGTCTAAGCAAAATAGCTATTATTTAGAATGATTAAAACCCTATTCAAGAGATAAACACGAATAAATATATGATAATCAATGAGTTTTGAATCATCTGCCTTTAACAAACGCAAAAGAGATGATAAGCTTGTAGATGGGCTGATCGAGAACCGTAAAAAAAGGCTGCTCGAGACCTTTTCAGAATTAACATTGAATGAACATATACACAAACAAGGTATAATTATATTATACCTTGTTTGTTTAATATTATTTATGTAGTAATTTGTTTTTAGAATTTAGTAAAGATGTAGATATGAAAAGCGAAAGTTATTATGAAAAAGATGCACATACAACAGTTATAGAGAGCATTGAAGACTTTGTAGACAAAGAGGAGAAGGAAATAGAGATAAAGCCAGAAATTTCATTTTTGAAGGGTATATGTGAAAAAATTGTAAAAATTCAAAAATATATATCAGAACCTCAAGAAAGAACAGGAGATCTTGTAGTTTATCAATGTCCTCAATGCTGTATTTATGGATATAATTTGGAGCAAAAAAAATGTGTGCATCGGGAGAGTGAAGTTGTATATAAAGATAAAATGAGGAGTGAAGAGATCTCAGATCAAGAGGAAATGACAATGAATATAGATATAATATGAATGGATGTTTTTTAAAAGAAATAGAATTTATGGAAGGAAGGTTAGTATAAAAAAAGATGTTATATTTTTTATTGGCCAAGTATTTCAAATGATATAAAAATACATCAATTCTAAATTATCTATGAATAATTTAAAGGAAAAAACATATAGATTTAAAAGATAGTTTAAGATTGTATCAAAAGGTATTTTAAAATTGCTTTTTTTTTGATTTTTTATTATTAATTTGAAGTGTTAGAGATACCCTATAATAAACATTTTAGTTTATGTATTAAAAATAAATTATTAAAATCTTTTGGAGTTATTTTTCATCTAAAATTAATTTAAGTAATAGGAACGATGATTAGAGATATGACCCCGATGAAAAACGAGATAAATCTTTTGCGAAATTCATTAATTTTTGTCTTTTCTCAAAATTCATATAATTTTCATTAAGAACGTCCTTTTCACGATCAAACATTCGTTTTGAAGGATCATCAATCATTTTTTTATTTGTCTTAACATGCATATCATACAAGGAAGGGCGTTTATTTTCAAACTAAAGCGTATAAGCTTTGAAATAAAAAAACTAAAATATAATATTAATAACTTACACAAGTTTTTTGTTTTTTCGTATCAAGTATTGCATTAGAAGCTTCTTTTTCCAAATTAGCTTGATATGAGGGTGTCTTTGCCCCAATCGCTTCCTGTTTTAAGCGTTTTTGTTTTTCTTCATAAGATTCGGTCCATAAATTCATATCTTGAACACCAAAATCACCTAATCGAGCACTTTTTCCTGTATTAAATGTTCGTGCCTTAACACCTGCTCCAATATTCAAATGAGATGCATCTGGAGGAACAATCATCCAATCATCCCTCTTTTTTTCATTCGTTTTAATATTATTTGTCTCACGGATTTCATTTAATCTTTTTTCTTCAATTTTTTCAAATTCTATAGCCCTTTTTCTTTTGTCTTCTTTAACATTCTTGAAAAACAATTATTATATAACATATGAAATATCCTTAATTACTGAAATATTCAAGAAATCCGAAATAGATGGTCCAATTTCATCTTCATCACTTTCTACCCTTTCTGAGCCCATTATTCGCTCTATTTTCCCCGTTTTTTCAGGAAAACTTATATCTTCCTCATTCTCATTCTCATTTTCATCTTTATAACCCTTTTTTTCTAGAAAATCTTCTGGTATAAAAGGTCCAATAATACGACAAGACTTTTTCACTTGTTCTTTTGAAACTTCCTCAGCCAAATCATCTGATTCTTCGTTTTTATATAGAGAACTCCTTATATTATCGTTTTTAAGGTTATTCTTAGGTGTTGGAGCTATATCAGAGGCTGGCATAGCTCCTTATATTTTTTGAGGTTGGCTTATCCCCCGTGACAGCCTCAGATGCCAACGTCCAGAACCTCGTAAAAAAGTGATAGATTAATAAATAGGAAATATTAAGGAAAAAGGTCTATAAAAGACATAAAAAAATAGATATTTAATAGAAATACTTGTATGGAAATTGATTGGAGATAAATCATAGAAAAAATCAAGAAATACCAATGTTTTTTTGAGTTTGATGGAGAAGAAAAAGGATCAAAAATTGCAGAAAAATAGGGAAAATAATGAAGATAATGGTATAAAACTAGAGTTAGAAGATAGAATTTATGAAAATGGGTTAAATTTTTTCGAAAAAAAATCATTTTTTTCAGAAATTATTGGAGGAAATAAAAAAAAAGATAATTATAAACAATTGACGTCATTATTTCAGGAAGAAGCGCCTTTTTTGAGTAAATATGAAAAAGAAAACAAGGGGGGTTATAATGGTAGTGAAAATGTGGAAAATTTATTTTTTTTGGTAGTGAAAATAAGTGTTTTTTTAAAAAATAAGGAATAACGATGTTTAGAGCGCAGAAAAAAGACAACTATCTTTTATTAGTAATTTGAAGAACAAATCAGAGACCTTTTTGAAAAAATCTGCCTCGTATTCCTCTTTTTCATTAAAAGATGATGCAAATTCATTTAAACATTCCAGAACACAATCTTTGATATCATTATCTTCAATTAATTCTGCTTGCTTTAATTATTCACAGGATTCTTTGATATCAACAGGATTTGAGGATTCTAAGTATGGAGAAAGATCTTTTAATTTTGAAGATGCTATATGTTGGAGTAAATTAAAAGAAATTAATTCACAAATTTCAACAGAATTTGCAAAAGAAAAATTTGGTTCACCTGTCTCTATATCTGTATGAATTTATAATATATTGATATTTACTTTGTATTTTAATAGTATTAGATATCAGATATTATTGCAATAGGAACTTCTGAAGGGCTTATACTAATATTTGATTATCGTCAAATCCTTAGGCATATTATTGGAATAGGAACAAAAGGTAGACTGAATTTCTTTTATTATAGCATTATAATTATATTATAGCCATGGATTCAGGATCGACAACATGCATATCAATATCTGATGATTGCATGTTTGTTTGTTCAGGGCATTCTAAAGGATATATTTTTGTTTGGGATCTCAGAGTACCGACCAATCCTGTTGTAACTATATCTCCTATAGTTTCTGATAATTTTCAAGATATTCATAGCAATGGTCACTTAAATAATTCAAAAATATGTCATATTGCGTTTGTGAACTCTTATTATTCTATTGTGTCTTCAGATATTTATGGAATGACTTTCTATCATATTCTAAACAGAACTATTATTTCAAATTCTCTTCTTTCTATTCGTCTTTCTGGTCATTATTTAACAACTTCTTCATCTTCAAAGGAATCAGATATTATATTAGCACTTACATCGTTATCAATGAAGAATTCTAAAAAGTTATCAGATTCAATAAATTTAATAGCAATACTTACATCACATAAAGTATAACTTCTTTTTTTTTATAGATGTTTATTTAAATTTTAGTTATCTATTATTTCTACGACTCCTGTTGTTAAAACTCAATTCAAAATGAGAAAGCCTAAATCTCTGGAAATAAGTGAATATCTATTGGGAACATTAAGCTGGTTTTCATCTGAAAAATTTAAGAAAAATGATATTGAAAATACTGATATAAATAAAAATAAGATCAGATTGTTATGTTCACGAGAAAATTATTTGTTTGTTCTTGAAATAACGCAGAAAGCATCCGAACGTAGAAATTCTAAAGATATTTTGCCATTATCATTTAAGACAATATCTGAATGGAAAGAAAGAGAGCCTGTTCTTGCTACACAATGGTTTAACATGACAGTAAATAAATATATTAGTTATACAATATATGCTCAATATGACTAGGTATTAGTTATTTTATTAAAATCTCAAAAAATTATCATAATAAATGTGGAAACTATGGAATCTTTTTTCTCCTGTAATATTTCATCCAAAAGTGTGTTAATTATGGATCCATTTAGCGATGAATTAATTCAAGATATAATGGCTAATAAGTCTTCTGAGGGAAATGTAATGATTTCTACTGTGTTTTGTCAGAGTTTTTTTATATTTAAAAAGAAATTTTTTTTATTGGTTTAATTAAACTTTATAATAGATATCAGCTAATATATTTTGCAGTGTAAGGATGGCGTTTTTGTAGGTATTTTACCGAATTGGGAACATAAATTGTCTTTAGTTATTGGTTCAAAAGACTTTATAAAAGCTATTTCTCTAATGAATTTATACTATAAAGGAAATTGTGATAAAATAATTCTTGGGCTTCCATTAAATGATGACTCACGTCACAATTTGCTCCAAGAAAAACTATTAAAAACAATTGATACTTCTTTGGAGATTATATTAGATGAAAATTCTTGCAATTCAAAAAATGATATAATTTCAAATAGGCAAATTAAAAAAAGATTAGCATCTCTATGCATTGAAGCATGCATAAATATGAAAATGACTGATTTCCTCTTTAATGATATATATGGTAGATTTAAGAAAACAAAAAACTGTGAAATATTTTTGGAATCTTTAGAAACATTTATTTTGATATCGAAGCTTAAAATCATACATCCTACTGTTATGAAAGATATTATGGCGTCTTTATTAAGGGAAAAGTTATATTCGCGTCTTAAAGAGATTATATTTAAAGTTGATTTCATTTCTCTTGATATTGAAGAAACTTTAAAGATTTGTCATAAAGAAGAGTTATACGACATTTTAATATATATCTGGACTCAGGCTTTTAATGATTTTATAACGCCTATTATACATTTTTTAGGTTTAATTGTTTTTTTAAGAAATAAGAGCATTCAAGTAAATCAAGAACAAAAAAATAATTTATTTTTTGAAGATATGGATGTTTTAAATTCTCAGATTAATGAGCTTTTTTTATATTTGTCACATTCATTACTTGGGCGCATTTATCCTATTGGATTGGATATGGACAAAAATGCTTCATTCCTTGCTAAATCATCTATTTATTGGTTTGTTTTTTCTGGAACAAATATTATATGGCCAAAAAATAATGGGATCTTAATTAAATTAAATACAGATGATTCTCAAGAGCCTACATTTCCTTACTTACGACTTATTTTGAATTATAATGCTCAAGCTTTTTTATCACTCTTAGATGATGTTTTTGAAGATAATTTTTTAAATGAAATTGATAATAATTCAGAGTTTTTAAACTTTTCAGAAATAAAAATTACCAGGCAACTAATTATTGATATTCTTTTAGAAGTAATGCAGGAAGAAACATATTCTCAAAGTATTATTTATCTTTATATTTTTATCGCTACTTCTATTTCAAAGTATCGACAATTTATACTTCTCTCAGGTTCTGTTCTTGAAGAAATTCTTATTAAACTTGCTAAAAATTCTAATCAAGACGTTTCAGATCAATGTCAGTCATCAATTAATCATATTTTATCGTTTTATAGGCCTAATGATATTGATTATTTAATTAATTTATATGAAAAAGTTGGATTTTATAAAGTATTAAAATTTATTTATAAACAGGAAAAAATGTTTTTGAAACTGCTCAAAATTCATATAGAAGATAAAAATGAGCCAAATGAATTATTTCAATGCATTGAAGAACTTTTTCAGTTGCAAAATCAATCAAAAAACAAAAAGATGTTAAAAATTCATAAAATTATTGTTGAATATAGTGAAGAAATATGTTTTATAGATGTTACCAGATTTTCTCTAATCGTAGACAAGTATTTATCGGAATTGCATATTAAAATTCTTAAAAAGTTGAAAAATCCAATTATGCAGTACAATTATTTAAAATACATATTAAATTCTTCAGAATTTTTGATTAATAAGGAAAATGTTTTTTCTAAAGATGACAATATTGCTTTAAATGATCAGAATAATAGTAAATTATGGATAACTAAAGATATAGTAGAATTATTTATTAATTTTCTTTGCAGTTTTGAAATTGAAAAAGTAACAGATTATATAAAAAGTTTAAATATTAATGATATAGACATTGATAATGTTTTATTAATATTAGAAAATTACAGGGTAATTGATTCTATAGTCTATCTATTATCTTTGGAAGGGAAAAATATTATAGCATTCGAAAAAATTTTAGAATATATTGCAGAATCTATGCTGGAAATAGACATGTCTTTAAAATTTGAAATTTATGTAAATGAAACAAATGGGTTGAATTTTAATCATATTAAAAAACAGCTTGAGAATGTTGAAAAAAATATTATTACTGGAATACATCTTTGCGAACAATATTTTCTTGAAATAAATTCTAAAAAGGATGAAAGTTTTCAAGACTCTCTTAATCCATTTGATTTATCGTTATTAAATAGTAAGTTTCAATGGATTAAACTTTTAGAAGTTATAATTAAAATATCACAAATTATGTTAACGAAACTTTCTACTCAGTTTTTAAAAATGTCGTCAGAAAATATATCATCTGATCTAACTAGGAATGACTCTATATTGGAAATATCTAATATTTCAAAAAAAATTGAAACATTCATGCAAAATTCAATACAAAATATATTTATCTCTTTATATAATTTAACATCATTATCTAGTTCTCATTCGACTATATTTCCTTATGTTTTGGAGCAATTTTTTGAAATTATAACTTCTTTATCTTTACCCATACTGGAATTTAAGGAATTATTGATAAATATTTTTAAAAATTATAAATATGACAAAAGATTACTTACTATTGTTAATAGAATTTTGGACAAAGATTTCTTTAAACTTGTGAAATATGAAAAACAAATTAGAAAAAAAGGATGTAAAGTTCAATTTAATAATTGTGGAATATGTGAAAAAGACATATGGAATCCTGAAGATACAATTAGCCTCTTGCATTCTTTAGAGGAAAAAGAGAAACAAGAAGAAGCATTGGATGTGAAACAAAAAAGTTCTTACTCTTTAATTAAAAAAGGTGATAATTTTATTTCATCTTTTGAAGAAAAAAAGATAATAGAAAAGGGAAAAATGCATATAAAACAGGATTCCAGTGATTTATTGAAATATAATGATTTATTTATTGAAAATGGAGTATTTCCAAATGTTATCGTATTTATATGTGGTCATAATTATCATGAAAATTGTTTTTATAATATTCAGAAAAGAAAGGAATTTACTTGCATTCTTTGTGGGACTAATTGAAATAATAAAGAAATAACAACCTATATCAACAAATTCACTCTATCAAAAAAGCTGCTGACATATTTAATAAATAGTAACTAATTTAAAAATTATATAAATACTAATATTATCATAAAAAATAGTGCTTTATAACTATTGATCTAAAAAATATTTTAAATATTATTTGTTTGATTTTGGATTAGCTTTTGATAAAAGGAATCTTTGGATTTCATTACTAGGAGACCTATAGGCTTTAATATCCGTTGGACTATCTGTTATTGTTAAACGAAGATCTCCATATTGACTCTGATCATATTCCTCATACAGGCTTCTATATCTGTTCTGTTGATGTCTAGGAAAACGCGCCAATGGCGATGGATTATATTTAATACTTGCATGATAATTGTTTTCCGAGCTATTGTCACAACCATATGTATGATTCGAGCTTGACGTGCTTGAATAAAATTCGTCTGAATTATCCGGATATTGAGAATATCTATAGATATTAGCTAACTAATCTTTAACTATAATAGAAAAAGCTAGCCTATCATTACTGCTGCATTGTCCAGATAAATTACTTGAATTATTAAACGTGGAACACTTATATTCTGACTCTTGGTCATATGATTCATCATAGGATTTAGATGCAAGAGTTGGTGCATATGTACTGGCTCCAGAACATTCGTATTTCATCCTATATAATCATAAATCACTCAAAAATAAATTGGATTATATACATTGGATACATATAACTGCTTTGACTTGTCATACTGTTAGTTCTTTGGTCTCCTTTTTTTAAACATTAGAAATGTTATAACTCGAAAACAATTATACCAAATTTATTTCTATAAATAGCTTCTTCAAACCCCATAATTGTCTGAAGAGGTCGTTCTGTTCTACTTCTCGTTGGATTACTTCTATCTGGATCCGAAATTATATATCCTCTTGTATCTATAGGTGCATATGTTGAATAATAATTTTGAGAAAGCTGCCAAGGCTCTTGTTCCGACTCAAACATCAACATTTTCATACTGTCTTCATAACTTTTATACGATTGCTTCCAAAAATCATTTTTATCTGGTAATGGCTTTATTTTAAGCAAAGGTTCTTCTGATCTTAATGATGGTGACTTCCTTGATTGCTTTTTTTTTAAAAAAAACATCTTTTCCGGCCGAAAAAAATCTTTCTATATAATTCTAGATCTCTTAATTTATCTGTTAATCTTCTATAACGGCTGAATTGCACATTAAACACGCCTTTTTGTCAAAACATATAAAACGATTTCTTTTTTTTCCTTAAAAGTCTTAAATTTCAACCTAGAAACTCCGGAAAAAAAGGCACATATAAAATAAAACGCTCCAAATAACGTCTATATATCGGTTTTATCTAATTCTTTCAGGTTAACTCTTATATAATTCTCTTAAAAAAAGGTCGTTCAAGATTTTTTAATTGGTTACTGCGGCAACCTTAATATCGTGATTTTTACTAAGTCAACTACATAAAAAAAAATGCAGGCACCAACAGACATAGATCCACGCAATCCTATAGTATTTTTTGATATTTCTATTGGGAATCAACCTCAAGGACGTATTAAATTTGAATTATTTTCTACTACACTTCCAAAGTATGTTTTTTCCAGATTAAAAAAAGGTTAATATTTGGGGAAATAGAACAGCAGAGAATTTTAGGTTTAAAGGAGTGTTTCTTAATGTTTTTTATAATTAGAGAGCTAGACAGTTTTGTACAGGTGAAACAAAGGGGTTAAATGGACGTCCACAGGGCTATAAAGGGTCAATTTTTCATCGGTAAAAATTTTGTTTTTTTTATAGGAAAAAGAGGTCGTTACTTAGGATTATTAGAGTAATAAAGGATTTTATGGTTCAAGGAGGAGATTTTATATATGTTTGTTTTTTTTTTTTAGGAATCAGGGGATAAAATGACGTTTTTTTATTTTTAGGGCAATGGAACAGGAAGTACATGTATTTATGGGTCACAAACATTTCCTGATGAGTCATTTGGTTGATATTAATATTTTTTTTATATATTTTATGTATAAAATTTACAATTTTTTAGTCCATAAACATGATGCACCAGGATTATTATCAATGGCAAATTCGGGGCCTAATACGAATGGATGTCAATTTTTTATTCTTACGAAGCCAGCACCATGGCTTGATGGAAAACATTGTGTTTTTGGACGAGTTATTTATGGATATACAATTTTAACAAAAATGGAAAATGTAGCAACAACAGGAACAAGTAATACGCCTAAAATCCCTATTGTTATTACGGGTAATATATGGATATATTTATAAAATAGTATTATAAACTTAATTTATTAGAATGCGGAGAAATGTAATTTATAAAATGTACAGAATATGTATGCCATTAAATAGAAAAAAAATGCTCAAAGTATTATCATTTAAAACTGATTTAGACATGCTCGATATGATATTATATTTTTTTAACGGTATTTATGTTTGTTAATATAACCCCAAGTTTTTCATTTCCAATATTATATCTAAAAGGTTTTAATTTCAAAAAATGTAATGTTTTTACTTACAAAAGCACGATTGTCCATATAATTGCAAATATGAAAAAAAATGTTGACTATAATTTTATTAGATTTGATTTCAAAATTATATAAAGAAATGTACCCAAAAAAACATTTGAAACTCAAAACTAATATCTCTTTTCTGACATAAATTTCCAGACCAATAGAAAACCTTCTTCCCATTTCCTGTAGTATTTGTAGATGTTGGAAAGCATTGGCAGGTATAGCATTCTTCTTGCCCCAAATATTTTTCACAATTTCCATGATTTGAACAATAATTTGTCAGCTTTTCACAATCTTCTTTAGTACTAAAACAATGAGGATAAATATTTCTAAGTTCCTTTAAAGATGGTGCAGTGTGATCATCCCCAAATACATTCTCAATTTCTGCACGACGTATTAAAGTATTCTTAATAATAGGTTTAGGCGGTAACAAAAGAACTATAAATGTTGTATTTGGCATCTTTTTAGAAATCTGATTAATAATAAAGCTAGTAGCCTCAGAAGCAACTGTATATTGCTTTGAATAAATGCCATATTGATGATATAAAACTTCCAAACTAGATAAATGAGCCGATATTAATTTGTTTGTGGATAATTCTGAACTATTTGATAATGCGCTTATAAAACTATCAAGAGAAAGAATCTCTGACAAAAAACAACGATCTTCTTTATATTGTAAATCAAAAATACCACTATATTTTTTATCAAAAATTTTTTCAAACATCTCTAAAGATGGTGCATGTTGAATTTGATCATGTATTCCCTAATAACATAAATAAAACATAAACTCTTTCTCATTTACCATTATAGGAGGTATTAAAAATAACCCTCCTCCATACATATTTCCATATAAATGTTCTAGAGATAAACCTGTTAATTGATTAAACTGGCCCAATAACCGCTTAATTAAATAGTTATAGGCTTCAGAACTAGGCGAATTTTCAATTGTAAAAAGAGGATGTTGTTTATAAAACATCTTATAATCTATAACACCTGCTAACGTAATTATCATATGATTTTCCATCTCCTTCCACAAATTCTCCTCATTTAACATCTCTTTCTTATCTAAAATCTTTGTTGATTGTCCTTGGAACCCAAGTTTATGGAATCTTGAGACACCTAACATATGTGCTAACACTTGTCTTGCCTAAAATACTTATTTTTAAGGCTTTAAAAGCAAAAAAAAGAACCTCTTCAGGTGTAAGAGACTCTGAATATTGTGAATAATGAGTTTCTGAGTATTCATGTGGTAAAATCTTATAAACCATTCCAATTTTCTTATCTGCTGCAACATCTTATGTTAAAGTTAGCTATTTTTTCTGAAAAAAAAAGGATTTATATTGAATACCTGCAGTAAAGAAGGTTATCATTCTAAGAATAGCGAAAAAAGCTATGTTTATCCACATTTTTAAGACCTTTTTCTATGTGACAAAAAATCTAGGTTAAGAGGTGATGAAAAAATAATTAAATAAATATATAAAAGTGTATCCAAATTATTGTTTTAAATATGTATTTAGTTGAGAAATAGTGTAGATATTAGAGAATAGTTTGAGAAAGAGGAGATTGTTTAGTTGAATAAGATGCGATTGAATCAAGACCACGAAGAGGTGAATTAGTTTTAGGTATTTTTAGCTGAATATTAGAATATTCTTGTGATGCTTTTTGAAGAGATTCTTTTATAATTGCTTCTTTTTTTGAAATGTCATCTTTTTCAGAGATTAATGTTTTAATTTGAGATAACATGAGTTCTTTTTCAGATTTCATGGAAGATAGTATTGTTTTTAAACGATTTATTGAATTTTCAAATGTTTGTATTTCTAAAGGAATTGGTTGATGTTTTTTTGAGGGGGGTAAATTCATGTTTATAAGCTTCGATCCATATACACCTTTACGTATTTGAGTTTGTTCCCATTGAGATGATTCTTCTTCTGAAGTGTCTTCATTAATATCACTGTTTTGACTTTTTTTGAATGATAAATATAATGATAAAGAAATAAATCTAAAACTTACATATTTTCAATAGAATTCTTCATTTCAATATATTTTTGTTTATCTTGGGCTCTTTTTAGATCTTTAGAAAGTATGATTTTGTCATCTACATATTCTCTTATCCCTTTTAGTAAATTTTTAGTTTGTATTGTTACATAATTCATGAATTACCTTCAATACCATCATTATCAAATATATCATCCTCACGTTGTAGTCGTGATTCATTCGATTTTGAATACAAAATCATTTGTTCATCATCCTCTAAAGGAATATAAACATTGTTTAATCTGTTTTGTTCTCTTTTCTCTGCACGCCTTTCTTTTAAAGCTTTTACAATCCCTTCATCTAAGATCTTTGGAATCTCTTCAGAAACTTGTGAATTTTTCTCCGTTATATGTAAATTATCAATATCAACATTTTCCTTGTGTATATTACAAAATTCTTTAGGTGTAGATGGTGTAGATAGTCGAAGTTTAGATAAATAATCTGAATTGTATTTTGGAGTCGCTTTTGATGTTTTTTCATGAGATTCTAAAACTTTATGACTATTTTGTCAAAAAAAATAAATATATATATATATAAAGAAAATACATTAATGGTGACCCTTTGATTCCCTGTTCTTCTCGGGATTCCTGTCTAAGATGGTTCTTTTTTTTTACAAAATTCCCTTTATCTTGCTCATCTTCCTATATAAAAATTAGACTGATTTTACTGAAACATTCATTTCATTTCTTCCCTCAAGTCCAAAGCTTAAACGGAGGTTTTTAGACTCTTTTCTTGCCTTTTTTTCATAAAATTTAGAATTCGAGTCTTGTAAATTGGATTTTTCTCGTTCAAATTGTATATCTGAAAATGACGATGAAATAGGTGTTCCTACCTCATCAGAGTCCTCATCCTGAGTATGAATTCTTGTTGTTTTTGCCTTTAATCGGCGTATCTGAAAATCCATATTTTTTGGAGGTTAGTTACTGTGGTTACTTGTCTACGAGGACGGTGTCATGGCAATAGTTGCTAAGGTAACCAGTCTGTACGTAAAGAAAGTGGTCTAAAAACTATGAAAAATCATGAAAACACAAAACTTGTCTCTTATGATTCAGAAGATGAAGAAAACAGTGAATATCCACATAAAAATGTAGAACCATTGCCTAGTTTTTTTTTAGATTTGTATCAGGGTAGATTAAGGGTTATATATATATATATATATATTAAGATGAATTAGTTAAACCAAGGCAAGGTAATGATCCAGAGTTTCATGAAGGTAGAAAAAGAACATATCCGCATGTTTCTGGTAGCTGGCCGAGTCATATTTATATTGATTGTAATATTTTTTTAAAATATGATTTTTATATGTTAAAACATATAAGTAATGCCTAATGAAAAGTTGCAAATTCTTTTAAAAAAAATACAAGAATCGTTTATGATAGAGGGAATAGAATTTAAATCATTGGTTGAAAATGATCTGGAAATGCCATTACCGTTGCATATTAGTTTATCTAGACCACTTATGTTAGGGTCAGATATAATTAATGAATTTAAAGAAGCAATTAAAGAAAAAGTTGTGTTTGAAAGGTATGAATTTTTTTTAATTTAATTTATGTTATTAAGATCGTTTTAACTTTGTTTTTTTAACAGTTTTAATATTAAATTCTCAAATATAGCAATTTTTAAAAATGAAGATGCTAGTAGAACATTTCTTGTTCTTATAATTGAAACAGGAAAAGAAATTGTATATTTTTTGATAAAATGATAAATATTTATGTTAATTTTTAAAAGTTACAAAATATTCTACGAATGGTGGATTCAATTGTAGAAAAATATGGTTATCAAACGTTTTATGAGGAAAACAAAGGATATTAATCTAATATTTAATCTAATTGTTGTTTTAGGATTCAAAATTCCATGTATCTATTGCATGGTGTTTAAGTCGTACGATAATATATAAAACTATTATAAATCGATTAAATAATGAATATTCTAAGTTATTGTCTATACATGAATTACATGTTAACCAGGTGAAAATTAAAATAGGAAATACTATTCATTCAATATCTTCTATATCGTAGATATATTTTTTGAATTTAATGATAATGGTTATTATTTGATAGAAGTAATTTATAAATAAAAATTCTTAAATCATGGAAAAGTTCTATTTTATTTTATATTTTTAACATTTTAATATAAAATATTAAAATAAATATACTTTAAACCAATAATTATTTTGAAATTGATTTTTAAAGGGTCGAACTATGTATTTAAATGAAATCCTTAAAATATAATATCCATTTTATATATATTAATGATTTTTCATAAATATTCTGTCTTCTTAATGTTTTAAGTAATATGATTAAGTAAATATCTAGATGTTTTCATATGATTAAATCATTTCAAAAATCAACAATAATTTTTTGAATATACTATTATAATGCTTTTTTTTTAAAAAAATCAATTTACATATCCGTCTTTTTTTTTTTTTTGGCTTCATGTACTATTTCTTCCTCAATATTACGTTTTTCTTTTAAAATTTTATCATCAACTAATTTAATAACTCCTTTAGATGCATTTTTTCTAGCTTCTCCATGTATAATAACATATTTCGCCTCTTTTCCTATAGCATCCCTTCCCTTTTCTTGACTCAATCCCCAAAATGTTGAAAGATTAATTACATCATATCCACTTCGACAATACATTAAATTCGATGCTTCACTTGATATAATAATTCCCTTCCCACGTGTTGCACGTATTAATGCTGATGCATTACTAATCAGGTTTTTTCGACAATTAATATCTGATATACTCGATCCATAACAAATCTCAAGTCTAATCCCTCGTGCAATAGCAATACTAACCGTTGAATGTTTAATATGAAATGTAAGTCGCTGAGACATATCAAGAGATATTATATCCACATCCATTGACGTACATGCATATTGAAACATTTTCTCATTCATTGGTCGTACCGCTAAAATATCAAACCCATCGGTTGCTGAATACTATTTTTAATTAAAAAACTCCTTCTTCTCTCTATAATATTCACACCAAATTATAATTTTGAGATCCCTCCTCAAGAACAACAGTAACTCTAGATAAAATACGCACCGATCTTTCTAATTCCACTACATCTGATCGAATTGGATTAATCTATTCATTTTTCAACCATTTTTCAACCATTTTTCTCCTTTTTTCTCTCTTTTCATACCATTTTTTTCCCAATTTTTCCATAAACCATATAATTCAACGCAATAGTACGATATCCAACTATTTATTCTTCAGTTTTCCCTTTCAAATTCCCCATTAAAACTTATTAACCTTCTACTAAAAATACAATCATTCTTTTCATTTCCGTCTCTGAAACTCCTGTTCCATGCCAAAGAACATTAAGATCATACATAATTCCCTTTATATTCTCTTTATATTCCCTTCATCTCCCCTCTTCTCCTCTTATATTATTGACTCTTCTCTATTATTTTTTTAACGATCGGTCAAATTTTTAAAAAAGCCTTATTAAAAGCTATAATTTTTCTATTATTTATTAAGGATTATCCTTAAACAAAGCAATTAATATTGCTCTCTAGTTTAAGGAAAAACCGGCAAGAAATAGTCTATAATAGTCTATAAATGATTAAAAATTGTTAAAAAGAAGTTATAATATAGAGGAATAGTTAAATAATAAAATTGGAGTTTTTTTTTGTTTTAAAAGATATTTAAAGGATGTCTATTGCAAGACAATATGCAAATGTCAATGAGAATATGCAAAGGTAGAATGAAAGGTATAGAAAGAAGGAATAATGAGAAATATAGATCATATTGGGACTATGACAATTTGCAGATTCAATGGGGGTAGGTAAAAATATTGAGTATATTTGTGTTAATTATATTCAAATGATTAGTGTTCAAGACAATTATGAAGTTTGTATACATTTTTTTTAAAAGAGAAATTTATATATATTAGGTTGTGAAAAAGGTTGGACGAGGCAAATATTCAGAAGTTTTTGAGGGTTATAATGTTGTTAGCAATGAGAAATGTATTATCAAAGTTCTTAAGCCGGTTAAGAAGAAGAAAATTAAAAGGGAAATTAAAATTTTGCAAAATTTAGCAGGAGGATCAAATGTTATTGCATTATTAGATGTAGTACGTGATCCGCAGGTAAGAAGAGTGTAGGAGAATGTATTTTTTTATTAATGATATAAATAGAGTAAAACCCCATCATTGATATTTGAATATGTGAATAATACAGATTTTCGAAATCTTTACCCTCGTTTTCAAGATTATGATGTTAGATATTATATATTTGAGTTATTAAAAGTAAAAGAAGGAGTAAAATAATAAATATTTATGTATTTTTTAGGCTCTTGATTTTTGTCACTCAAAAGGTATTATGCATAGAGATGTGAAACCACATAATGTAATGATTGATCATGAAAAAAGACAGGTTATATATGAATTTTTAAAAGGGAATTGAATTAATTTTTTTAGTTGCGTTTAATTGATTGGGGTCTTGCAGAATTTTATCATCCGGGAACAGAATATAATGTTCGTGTTGCCTCAAGATATTTTAAAGGTCCAGAACTTTTACTTGATTTTCAAGAATATGATTATAGTTTGGACATGTGGAGTTTAGGCGCTATGTTTGCATCTATGATATTTAGAAAAGAACCATTTTTTCATGGGTTTTAAAAATATTTTTATAAAAAAGAGTATTTAATTTTTATAATAGATCAGACAATTACGATCAATTAGTTAAAATTGCAAAGGTTCTAGGAACTGATAGACTCTATGCATATCTAGATAAATACGATATAGAATTAGATTCACAATACGATGATATTCTTGGAAAGTATATCTCATATTTAAAATAATCATTTATATTTATCTAAAATAGATATCCCCGAAAACCATGGCAGAAATTTATAACACAGGAAAATCAAAAGTATATCTCTCCTGAAGCAATTGATTTTTTAGATAATCTTTTACGTTACGATCATCAGGTATTTTACACTTATATAATTCTTATCAATTAATTTTACAGGAACGTTTAACTCCTCAAGAAGCAATGAATCATCCATACTTCGAACCGGTTCGAAGGAAGGAACAAAATGGTTAAACTTCTATTTTCCCTCTCTATTATTTATAATTTATAACTTTATTATTTCATTAAAGTTATATTATACTTATATTAGAGAAATACGACTCAATCTCTTCTTTATCTTTCATATCTAATTTATTTTTAAAATAAAAGTAATTCATTTTTGTTTGTTTTATATATATATATATAATAAAATTATCTTGATATTTTCTCTACTAATTAAATATTATTTTAATCTAATAAATACATGAGTCTTGAAGAAAACCTTAGTTTAGAGGCCTCTTTAGATAAGACTCAGCGAGATTTAGAGAAATGTTTCTTATAAATATTTTTAATAAGATTTAATATATATTATAGTTGAAAAAGAACTAGAAGAAAAGATAAAAAATGAAGAATATACAAGAAAAAATGAGGATAAATCAGAATATATAGTATATTAGTATTTATTATGAAGGATCTTATTGATAAATATAAGAAAAAATTGAATGAGAAGCAAAAAAAGAAGAAAAAACATGATTTTACAATTGGAGAAGAATATAAGGAGATTACACCATTAGGACAGAAGAAAAGTAGAGAATCTACAGTTATTATTATTATATAACTATTAGTAGTTCTTCAGGACTTAGAATTACCGGCATTGAAGAACTATAATCCTATTGCAGTAGAATCAGCATGGTATGAATGGTGGATGCAAGAAGGGTTTCATTTACCGGAATTTGGACCGGATGGAGATTGTAAAGCTGAGGGAGTTTTTGTTATACCTATTCCGCCTCCAAATATTACGGGTATTCTTCATATTGGACATGCACTTACGGTTTCTATTCAAGATTCTCTTATTAGATGGTTTTTTTTAGAAGAAAAGGAAGGGAGAAGGTTAATTATTTAATAGGCAACGTATGAAGAATAAGACGGTTCTTTTTTTGCCAGGATTTGATCATGCAGGATTAAGTACACAAAGTGTTATAGAAAAAAAGTTATGGATGGAAGAAAAAAAGACGAGACATGATTTTTCTAGAGAGGAATTTGTAAATCTTGTTGTTCAATGGAAAGAAGTGTAGTTATATTATTTTAATATGTATATGATTAATAAATCTAGTTATTCTTCTAAAATAAAAAATCAATTAATGCGTTTAGGAGGGTCCTATGATTGGTCTCGTGAAGCGTATACAATTGATGAGGTTATTTATGATATATTTTTTCTTTCAAATTGATTCGATATGTAGAATTTATCAAATGCTGTACTTGAGCACTTTGTAAGATTACATGAAGATGGAATTATTTATAGGGCTAACAAGATTGTTAATTGGTGTACTTTTTTAAATACAACATTGTCAAATTTAGAGGTATATTATATTTTATAAGTGATTTTTTAATTTTTGTAGGTTGATCAGATTGAACTTTCTGGTTCTACGTTATTGAATGTTCCTGGTTATGATAAACCTGTAGAATTTGGAACATTAACTTATTTTGCGTATGAAATATATGGATCAAGTAAGAAATCGAATATTATAATATACGTATATTTAAAAGATCAGATGAAAGAATTGTTGTAGCAACTACTCGTCCTGAAACAATATTGGGTGATACGGCTATTGCAGTCCATCCAGATGATCAACGTTATAAACAGTTTCATGGAAAAATGGCTAAACATCCTTTTATTAATCGTTTATTGCCTATAATTGTAGATAGTATTTCTGTTGATATGACGTTTGGAACAGGTGCTGTAAAAATCACTCCAGCTCATGACATAAATGATTATGAAGTTGGGAAACGGCATAATTTGAATTTTATTAATATATTAAATCCTGATGGAACAATGAATGAAAATGCAGGTTGTTGGAAAGTAGGATATTGTATTGTTATTTTATAATTTAATTTAATCTATATCAGGGGATGAAAAGATATGATGTTCGTGTATTAATTGTGGAAAAACTTAAAGAACAAGGGCTATATGTTGATACTAAAGATAATCCTATGGTTGTTCCTATTTGTACTAAATCAAAAGATGTTATAGAACCAATAATAAAACCTCAATGGTGGGTTGATCAAAAAGCAATGTCAATAGATGCATTAAATGTATTATATAAGATGGTTAAATTAAATGTTTTAATTATTTTAGGCTGTTAAAAATGGAGAAATAAAAATTAATCCTAAAACATCAGAACGTGATTTTTACCGCTGGATGGAGAATGTTCAAGATTGGTGTATTTCACGTCAACTCTGGTGGGGTCATAGAATTCCTGCTTATTTTGTTAGAATTGAAGGAAAAGATCAAGACTCTTCTGATAATAAATGGTGGGTTTCTGGGAAAAATAAAGAAATTGCTCAAAAAAAAGCTGAAAAGCTATTTCCTGGTGAGAACTTTACTCTTGAACAGGACGAGGATGTTCTCGATACATGGTTTTCTTCTTGTTTGTGGCCATTTTCTACTTTAGGGTGGCCAAAGGAAACAGATGATTTAAAAAAATTCTATCCAATGTCTCTTTTAGAAACTGGATGGGATATTTTGTTTTTTTGGGTTGCTCGTATGATAATGGTAGGGATAAAATTGACTGGTAAAGTCCCATTTAAAGAAGTATTTTGTCATTCTCTTGTACGGGACTCTCAAGGGAGAAAAATGTCAAAAAGCTTAGGAAATATAGTGGATCCTATAGATGTTATTGAGGGTATTTCTCTTGAAGATATGAATAAAAAATTGGCTACTGGTAATCTTGACAAAAAAGAATTAGAAATTGCAAAGAAAGATCAAAAAAAGAACTTTCCAAATGGCATTCCTCAATGTGGGACAGATGCGCTAAGGTTTACTCTTTGTGCATATACTACTGGAGGTATTTTTTTTGGGTTTTTGAGACAATTGGATAAAATTGTAATAGGACATGATATAAATCTTGATATTTTACGTGTGGAAGGATACAGAAAGTTTTGTAATAAAATTTATAATGCTACAAAATACGCTTTATTAAAACTAGGTAATGATTTTGTTCCACGTATTAAAGAAGATGTTTGTTCTCTATTTTTAAAAATAATGTAATTAATAATTCTAGAAATCAGGACATGAATCACTTGTAGAGCGATGGATTTTACATAAATATACAAAAACTGCTCAATCTTTGAATGCAGCTTTGGAAGAAAGGAATTTTTATAATGCCACTAATGTTATATATAATTTTTGGTTGTATGAATTTTGTGATATTTATATTGTTAGTCTTTTTATAATATTATTAATCTAATAATATTAGGAAAATTCAAAAATTATTATTGATAAAGGGGAGATAGAAGATAAAATATCAGCAAAAAATACACTTTATACTTGTTTAGATGGTGCTCTTCGAATGATACATCCTTTTATGCCTTTTATTACTGAAGAATTATGGCAAAGACTTCCTCGAAGGCCTAATGATACAACTGTTTCTATAGTTAAATCAACATTTCCTTCATATAATTCAGAATTTGATGATATTGATGCAGATATAAGTTATAGTCTTATTTTTTCTATTATACAAACAAGTCGTTCATTAATGGCTGAATATAATATTAGAATGAATTCTCAACGTATTATTTTAACTACAGGGAAATATAAGTTTATCTAATAATTGCATAGTATATTTTAAAGTAAATGATCATCTAATTGATATCTTGGAGTCTCAAAAAAATACTATTTTATTATTAATTAAGGGCAGTGGATCTATCATTGTCTTAGGAAATAGCGAACTTCCTCCAGAAGGTTGTGTCACAGCAGTAATAAATGCTGATTGTACTGTTTTTCTTCTAGTAAAGGTGTTTATACTGTTTTTTTTGTATAAGTTAACTTTTTAAGGGCTATGTTGATTTTGATATTGAAATAGAAAAAGCAAGAAAAAAGGTCTTATAATATCTAAAAGTTTTTGTATTAATAATATTTTTAGATTGCTAAACTTGAATTGTCTATTTCTCAAATAAAAAAACAAATGGAAGCTGAAGATTATCAAACAAAAGTTCCTGAAAGTGTCAAATCAGCAAATAAAGATAAATGTAATATTTTTGAATCAGAGATCAAGGCACTCGAAAAAGTTATCTTAGATTTTGAAAAGCTTAAAATATAAATAATATTTTCCTCATGTACATTCAATTCATTTATACAACATTACATTGCTATATTTTGGGGGCAGTTATAAGGCTAGTAATTGATCAATTAAATATTTTAGATATTATTATCTCTTGAAGTATATTTTAAGTTTATTTAACTAAAAATTTTATTTCAGAATAAATAATTATAATCTTTAGTTTGATTTAATTATTTCTATTATTATATTCTTTAAAAAGAAATGATGTTTCTAAAATAAAAAAGAGTTACTTTTTTTTATATACGTTGAATTATTTTTTAGAATATAAAAAAATACTTAATGATTTATAAGTTCGAATAGCTGATAGCTTTTTTGCATACTATGATCTTTGTTTTATTTATTTTGAATAAAAAATAAAAATATATTTATATGTAAAATCAATCCTTTAAAGAAAAACTATAAAAATCCTTAAATAAGGCAATAGTAATTATATGAAACTGGATCTATTTTATATCTTTAAGATAATGTTTATTGTTTAAAAATAAATAAAATATACATAATTATTTTCAAATATCAAACTTGAAAAAAAAAAACATAATTATAGATTTAAATCGATTTCTTTTTTTAATCTTAAGATACATTTCCCCTTATTTTTTCCCATATTTTCATACTTTCTATTGCCAACATTTGTTTATGATAAAGTTCCCCTTCTTTATTTGTTATATTAATTGCTTTTTTTAAATTTTCTTTTCTAAAAAAGAGTTAATTTTATTTCTATAATAAAACATAGAAATAAAAATCAATATTCATACATTTGTTCGCATGTTTTTAAAATATATTGAAGCTCAAGTAATATTTGTTTTTCATATAATGTTAAACTATCAAATTTTCTAAATAAAATTAGAAATATATATATATATATAATATTACTTGTCTGATATATTTAATTCTTGATTCATTTTCTAAAATATTATTTGTTTATGTATAATTTAATATATTTTAGTGCAGCGACTTTTCTTTGTGATTTCGATAGCATCAAGAGAAAGTTGATTTTCAATAATCATCTGATAACTTGATAATAAACATTTAAAAAAGGATTCTATCTCTTTTACCAGTTATCTGTAATTTTTAGGGATCTTCTAGTGATTTTTTAGAAAAAAAAAGCTTAAAAAAAGACTGAAAACTCACTAAAAAAACACTTTTTAAAGATTAAAACTTTATAAACATATTAAGAATGCTGCGTAGACCTCCTACTGTTATTCGTCTTGTTCAAGAAGATATTTTTGAATATGATGATATTCGAGCACAAGAAAAAGCTGCTTCACATGCAGGAAAATCTATTGCTTTAAGAGATAAAGATATGGATACCATGCATATTATGACAGAGGGTTTTATACTTCAAGATCGTAGAAAAGATGCTACCAAGAATGAAAGAATCGGATTATCTATGTCACGGATACAAGAAACTCGACTGTAGTTATCCGGATTATAATTAAATAATGTTTGAATTATTCTTTAAATAATTTATAAATGATACTTCATAAATGCTTTAATAATGTAAAAATCCTTTAGACGATATTTTATCTGGCTTTAATATATTTAATAATACCTCTGCGATATACGTCATATCATTTGAAAGAGTCGTAGTACGCAATAATATTGATTTTATAAAATGCATAGAAGATAGTCGATTAAATAATAGATTTTTTCTTTATTATAGGTGTAATATAAATAATGAGTGTAGTGATTATCTTGTATGTTATTTTATATTACTAATTTTGATTTTAATTTTTGGTAATTTTTTGTTTTCAGTAAATTCTTTTTCAGTAGTTTCTTTACGAATAATTAGTTTTCCCTTATTAATGTTATATAAAAGTCTAGAAAAACATAAATAAAAAATACCTCTCCAATGATCTGTGCAATTAGTCTAGGTCTGGAATTAGGAATCTTTAAAGTAATAACTCTAGATTCCTTAGGATCAAATAGTAGACTAATAATATTCAAGAAATTGAGCCGAACAACATAATCCAATTTATCTGAACTAAAAAAATAATTGGTATATATCAAAGGAAAAATAAAACGTACTTTACGCATGCCCATAATTCTTCCTTTAAAGTTTCTTCTTCCATTATTTCCTGTTTGAGTGCTGCAATTGCACCACTAATATTTGCTCTTACAAGAATTCTTTTCTTTTGTTCAATTGCTTTATCAATATCATCTTCTATAATCATTTGTTCTGTTGTTATGGGTGTTTGATCCTGTTGATCACTCAATGCCATTAAAGCAAGTGCTTCTGAAACAGAAAAAGAAAGATAACGGCGGACTATTGGTGATTTATCATTAAACATAGTGGAAAAAACATAACGAGTAAATGGACTTTGCCGGAGACCTCCTAATTTTAAAAGAACATCAAACGCAGTAAGTCTAACCAAACTATAATTTGCTAATCGGGTATATCGTAGAATTTCTTGAAAATCAAAAAGAATAACTCCTGCTTTTGATAAATTATATTTTATCTAAGAAAAATAATTAGAATATATATATATATATATTAGATAAATACTTTTAAAGATGTAATAGAAATTATGTTTTGAAACGAAGGTAAAAGCTGATCGATTTTCTGAAGGCGTTCAATTTCAGATAATATAGTTTCTATAATAGTTTTATTTTCTGGGATATTTAAATTAAAATTAAATTCATATGACTCTTTATTTTCGCTAATCAATGTTGATGCCAAAGAATTAATGAGTGAGCAGATATAATATGAGTCGGAAAACTAAATATTGTTAAAGAAATACAATTTAGTAATAGTTAATACCTTATTTGTTGAGTTATCGTTGTATCGTAGAAGATCAGCAAGAAATTTTTTCACTTGTATTAATGAATTTCCATTTTTATCTCGAATTTTTGACATGGCTACAGGAATTACACATTGTATATAATATTCTGATAGATTGCTGAAATTATTACTTTTGGATATTGAAGAATTTGGAAAACAATAATTTGTTTGAAATGCTTTAAAAAGATGGAACCATCCGAGCCAATTCAACTCTTCAGTAGCACACTAACAATTAAAAGAAATATTAATAGAAGAAATCCAAAACTACCTTTACTAATGCCAATGCTGCTTCACATCTAATTCCATAATAATATCGAGAGTCCATCAATGTTCTTAAGAGTACAGTAGAATATGCTGAATTTGCTTTACAATTAGAGAAATATTGTATAGCCTAATTTAATTAGAAGTTTTTATAATATTTATATGAGTTACTTCATATTGTGCTATAACATCTCGATCTTGTCGAAGCTGTGAAAAATACATATAATCTGGTTGATTTACCCACATTAAACAAATCCATTCAAAGTCTGCATCGAAACGAATCCATTCGAATGCTTCATCTGACATTTTTTCTTCATCCTCTTTTGGCCATTCTTCTAATTTCCAATCTTTCATCTCCTGTTCTGATTGAAGAATATTACCAAAGTATTGAACACCAAAATCATTGTCATTATCAATATCGCCTAGTCCATCAATATCCATCATATCTTTTTTCTGCTTTTTTAATTGATTTTTTCTAAGTCTTTTATTTTTTATGTTATATTGTATATCCAGTTTTGTAAATGCTTCTTTTATTTCAACAACATGATCATATGGGGTTCCATCTGTTTCATGAATCCTAATAGTCATAGTCCCCTAGACACAGTAAATGAATGATCTTTAAATTATATAGATAAAACCGTAAAAACAGGAAGAGGAGATGGAATTGATATATTATCAACATAATATTTTGCATCATCGAAAAAATCAGTAATAGTAAGAGGTTTAGGAGGTGTTTCCACATCTTGAACTTGACGAATGCCTATTTCTATCAACATTTTTTTGCGGTTAAATCGCTGTATAATCCTTAATCTTGGATATCCTTGACCATGAATCCATTGTTGTGCAAATATATCTAAAGATATTCGACTCACTTTTTCACTGACTTTCAAAAAATGTGATGTGCTTAAAGTGTTGTTTATTAGATTCCCACCCATGGCTTGAAGAAATAATTTTGGAATAATACGTGATAAACCCCATGATGGACCCGATTTTGTTAAACGTTTCTCTAAAATATGCAATACAACAGGTGCTTTTAGAGATATAAATTCAATGGAAAAAGGATCAATAGGAGGTATTAGTTTAGGATCAGCTAATGCTGGTCTTCCAATATCTTCTTCGCACACTTTTTCAGCTGCCTTTTATAACATTAGATAAAAATAAATATAATTAAACTAACTTTTTTCAACCGAAATCTATAATCGTTATTTCCCATCAGCTTGCAGAGAAATAGATCAGTAATATAATATGCAAGTCCAATTGTTAACCATATATCATTCCTAAATTCTATTGAATATTATAAAATATAAAAATTTTATATATACCAATGTTTTGGCACTATATTTACTCCAATCCATTGATTTGCCAATGTAAATGTAAGAATCCTTGTTGTAGAATAAATTGGATCAACTATATCTGGAGGAAATAAAAGATTATTATTGGCAATAACCATTGATGCGCATGGTACTGCTGACGTAGGATGATCATCAACAAAACATAACTTAAAGACATTATAAGGATATGAACCATATTCTCGAACAAAAAAATCAATAGCCTAAGAATATAAATATTCATAAATTTAGATTGTTTTATGAGATTTTACTTTATATATAAACATACATGAATTTCTTAATTCTAAAACTCTTCCTGGTAGACAATACCCTAAAACTTCTACAGAATCACAACCCAATGTATCATCTTTATCAGTATTGCAAAAGTTTGTTAGATTGATTTCGTCAAAAGGACCTACTGCAAATGAAACAAATTGAGAACTAACAAGAGAACCAAGACTAAAACAAACAGTTTTTTTATGATTATTTTCAGGTGTGGTAAACTAAAAATAAATTAGTACGTTTTTTCTAAAGCTATTTTTGACTTCGTCAAGTTGATCACCAATACATATAACTTTAAATTCCAAATGATCATTAGGTTCATTTAATAAATGACCATCATCTATAGAATCTTTATCATAATATACATGATTACCATTCAATGATTTAGATGAGTCCGAAAGAATCCACATATCTCGTAATGTTTTTGGAACAGTTATTTCGAAATCCCATGTACACCTATCCCAAATACCTTCAATGCAAGGCAACCAATTCGATGTAGCTGCTGATATTGGTATGTGAGTTGTATAAACATGAGGATATTTCTTTTAAAAATTAGACTTTTTTAAAATAAACTAGGAATACTAACATTGTCATCTATATCACATCCTACAAAAGTCAATCCTGTAGACGGATTCTTCACTGAATAATTAATTTTTACAACAATTGGTAAAAAAAGAGAAAAAATGTTGTCTTTTGCTGATACTTGATCATCTAAATTATCCGGTTCTTTTTCTGAAAAAAACAGTAAATCAAGATTACTGATTTTAATTAAGATTCACCTTTTTCTTCTGTTTGTATACATGTTTCATTATTTTTTTTAGGGTCCTATTATTTTTTAACCGTTCTGGTTCAAATACCTCAAGTAATATACTTGTGCCTCTATTTTTACAGATTTCGGGATATTTATACTTAAATTTCCATACTCAAATGTTGCATGAAACGCCTCAAACTTTTTTCTTAATAAATGATGTTGATGAACACTAGAACGTTTATAAAGCTTTAATTCATTTTTCGAAAATAAATATTCAAAACTAGCTTCTATTTCGTTTATGTGTATACTAACAATATCTAGAAAAATTGGCTTTTGCTTCAATTCAAGATTTTATTGACCACAATCATATGAATTGATCCTAATTTTTCGAAGTAATGGATCCGTTGGAATAATAGTCATCTCCGTACATCCCTTTACATTCATTTAACTAATTCCTTCTTATTCCTTAGAAAATTACCCTCAACTTCCGATCCATAAAATCAACATCAATCATTACTTTTTGATGTGTTCTATTATAAACTTAAACCCTTTCACTAAAAAAGATAAACATACATACTAAAGCCCCTTCCAATGCATGTCTCATCTTCATCAATATCTGACATAATTGTATTTATAACCGTCTATTTTAATGACATGAAGGTTTACAAATAATTTTTTAAATCGATGTTGTGAAGTTGACAAATAATATATATATATATATTATAGTAAATTATGTTAAAGTTAAAGTTTTCTTTTATGTTTCTTTTGATGTTTTTTTTTAATATGTGGAATATCAATAAGAGATTCGTGTTCTCTTTTAAGTGAAGAACTTTGAATACTAACAACAGAACTTTTTCCAGAATAGATCCCATTTTTAATATGTTTTTCTGCTTTTTCCCATTCATCTTCTTGTCCTTTAATAGCGTATCTATGAAATTAGTTTAATTTTTTTTATAAAAAAGTAGAAATACTTTTGTAGATCTAAAGAATTGATTAATTCTCTTTGTTTTTCCTTAATGTCATCATCCATTTCATCAGAAAGATGATCTAATTCTTCTTTTAAAGTTGTTTTAAGAGGAACAAAACCTCTAAAATTATCATCATCATTAACATGAGTTTGTATTTGGTTTTTTAAATTTTTTCGTTCTATAGGCATTGTTTGATCAATGGCTTTATAACAAATGTCTTTAAAAAACGATGATAATTTCCTAAGAATCTTAACTAGCATTGCTAATACTTGATTTAATGGAAGATTAAGTTCCTTCTCTATATCTTCAAGAAGTCTTCTTTGTAGGCCTAAAGCCAAAAGAATAGCACTTTGTACACCTGTCATTTTTAAATCTTTTCCAAATCTTCCTTTAAAATATAAATCTGCAATATATGGTAACATATCTATAATAGTATGATAATCCAGCATATTATTTGCATATGATTCAAGTCGTTTTAAATCAAAAGGAGATAAATTGATGTCAATTTCTGATTTTGTGATAACTAAATAGTATAAATAAATATATTTTAATATTTAATATTTACCATGAACATTATTTTTTTCTACTAGATCATTATTTATTGATTCTATGATATTGAGGCAAAGAATTGTAGGGAAAGTCCTGAAATTAAATGATAAAAGTGATAAAAAGCGCCTACGAAAATCTAAAGATTTAGGATATTGTGTTTATAAATGATATTTCTATTTACCACTAGAAAATTCATTAAGCCAAGTTTCATTTTTATCCTGCAAAAGTTTTAACATAAGACATGTATGTTCCCCAGTAAGATCATTTGGCGTTTGCCTAAGATAAACAGGAATAAATTCTGCTTTTTTCCAAAATTTATAAAGTTGAGATGTTAATCCATATGATACTCCAAGATAATGAATAAACCCTGGTTTTTTTTCAGAAAGCTTTAATAGCAATGGAGGCATTGTTTTAGGATCTTTAATATCATCTGTCAATAAAGACAATTCTAAATTATTATTTATGATTTCAATATTTTCATTAGATTTTGAAATGGTTTCTTCAGAGAGATTTAAATATTTTCCTTCATAAAAGTTTTCAAGAAGTTTCAATGCATGACTTCCATATCCCATCTAGAGAAATAAATTATTAAATCTTGTTTATTTTTGTAAATTACCCTAATATATTCTGGATTAGTTGCTATTCTTACTATTCTTGCACCAGATAAACTAGCAAATTTATCATCTTGAAACTAATTGTTTATTAGCTAGAAATGGAAAAAATGATATTATACTTGTTCAGTTATAACCCATGGAATAAGATCACCTCCTGCTCTATAACCTCTAGTGAGATTATTTACAACAGATTCTCTAGAAATTTCGCCTTCTAGTGCCACTTGAATAACACATAAGGGTTCTGGGAGTTTATTATCATCTTCCTTTATTGGAGGCAAAAGAACAAATAGTTGATGAGCAGGTGCATCTGACATAAGTTGAAGATCATTTGGAGAATTTTTATAATGACTTGCAACATAAAGACTCATCATCATCTGAAGAAATGTCTCTGATACAGGATGATATGAAAAAAGAGTATCACGATTGACATAATATAGTTCACATTGTGAAGGATGAGGACAGCCTTGTTCTAAAAATTGATTTAAAGATATATTTATGTCTAAACATAATAATTTATTGAGCCATTCTTCTACAGGGTCTCCATAAGAATATCTAATAGGCTCTTCTAAAGTTATTTCTCTAAGTCTTCGTCCACCTATACTGTTTATCCCAAATTCCTTGTTAAGTTTTCCTGATTTAGTCATCATAGCTTTTTCTGAATTTTCTGATTTAGTATTTTCATGTGCAAACCCTCTAGATTGCTCTCTTAATTGTTGTATTAATTTTAATGAAAGAGATCTTCCAGTTCCTTCATATCCATTAACTGTTGATGCCATAAATGTTAAATAGGGACCCAAAAGCTTCTTAACTAACGGCATTGGTATAGCTGCTGCTTCGTCTATAACAAGTAATTCTGCCTGTCCAAGAACATGTGCATCAGATGGATGAATATACTGAATTGTTTGACGATGGTTTCGAAATATATTGACTCTAACTATAGATTTGTTAAAGCTTGGATTAAGAGACTGAATTATATCATAATCAACATGTTCTTCGTATTTAAGTGAATTGAACCCTTTAAAAGTAAATTCGAACAAGGTTTTTAAGTTTTCTGGACTTGGTGAAGTTATAAAAATGTTAGAATATCCATATGCTACAGCTGCAGAAATTGCCAATCCAAGAGCAGCAGATTTCCCTCTACCTCTAGCTGCTGTCAAAGTAACAGTGCTTCTCAAAGTCTTTTCTGAAATTGCTTCAACAAAAGTTATAAGTGCACGAGCTTGGTCTGCTGTTTTTGCTACATCGATAAGTGATCTCAAAGGTTGTTTATCCTCATATTTTTGTTTTAATTCCTCAAGTTCTGTCTTTGGCTCTTCTAATTGAGATTCTGATAGTGGTTTTACTTTTTTTGCCTCAGAAATTGGTAAAACATTTAATTCGTCATCAACAAAAAGACAAGAACTACAATGTCCAAGAGAAAGAATAAATCTTGCATTAAATCTTGATACAACATCTTTGTGTGCTTCTGTACGATAACGTGAATGAATATCCTAGTAAAATTGATATAAAATATATTTCAAAATAAATATTACCATCGTCATTGTATATAACTGCTTCAAATTTTCCATTGTCTTAAAAAGAATCACTATTATTCCCCCTCCTTCAACTGTTTCTATTGTTCTTGCTAGTAAATTAGGTGTAATGGCTTCAAAATCTTGCAAAACAAGCATTCCAAATGTTTGTCCCAAAATTTTTTCTGATTCTTCTTTTATTCAGAAAAATATCTTACTCCCTCCATATCAAATACCTTTATAATATGTATATCTAATATTTGTTACAGAAATAAATAGCTCAAACGGCGTTGCTGCTTCATTTGGATCTCTTATACCTTTTTTGATTTCTTTCTTGATTTTTGCTTCTCTTTTTTTCCGATGACTTTTAACTCATCAGAAACCTCTTGTTCTTCTTCTTATATTGATTACATTCTTCATACCTTGTAAATCCTAGCAGATCCTTTTTATACATCCACAATACCTAGTTTGATCTTATTAAGTAAAATTGACCTCTCTATCCAAGTTTTATTACCGATGGACGACTAGCAACTCTTGTCTGAGAAAGAAGCCAATGTAAATTGACAATTTGATCTCTTCCTCTGTCTCCTACCACAATAAAAAGTGTACGTTTTTTTTCCTTCATAAAATCATCAAAAATTATCATAAAAAAACGCTTCAAAAACGAACTTTAACCCCATTTTTAATTAATGTAGGAATTCTTGAGTCAATTTGCTTCTTTTTCATTTTTATTATTAAGAATTTATAGAATTAAGGCATAAACTTATTTTTTTGAGGTTCTTTATATGATAGATTTTAACGATCAAGAGATATAAATAGGTGGGAAATGAGGAATTTATTAAGTTCAAGAAAATGATAAGAGAAAGAGGAATTGTTGTTATTTTGAATAAAAAAAGAAGAGTTGAAAGATAATATTATCTTAAAAGAGAAAAAGTTTTTGTTGTGATACGTTTAAGATCTAGTTCAGTACGTTTGAGTGTATCATAGTCTTCAATTTCTAAAGCGCTCATAGCATCGGCAAGTGCATTTTCTATATTTTTTCTCTGTGATTTTTTAAGTTTCATTGCAATACTAGGATCGTTAATAGTTGATTCAATTGAAGAAATATAAGCTTCGAGTGTTTGTTTGAGTTCTACTCTTTTAGAAAACTCTTTATCTTTTTCGTAAAATTTTTTAGCGTTATTAATCATATCTTGAATTTGTTGTGAAGATAATCGTCCAACGCTATTTGAGATTTCGATATGGGCAGATTTCCCAGTAGATTTTTCTTTTGCAGTAACCTTTAGAATGCCATTTGCGTCTATTTCGAAGATTGCTTCAAGTTCAGCTTGACCTCTTTTTATAATTAGACTAATATGATTATAAAAATTATGATTTATACTTTTGAAGAGGAGGAATGTCTTGAAGTTCGAATTCCCCAAGAAATTCGTTCTCTAAACAATTGACCCGTTCACCTTGGTATACAGGAAATACAACAGTTGTTTGGCAATCTTTGACAGTAGTAAAAGTTTTTTTCTTAATTGTTGGAATTGGAGTGTTTCTTGGAACAACTACGCCAAAAATATTACCTTCCCTAATTATTATTTAGATAAAAAGGAAAAAATATTTAAAATATTTACATAGCAACTCCAAAAGAAAGAGGACAGACATCAAGTAAAAGAAGATCAGATGTTTTTTCTGAATTTGCTTTATTTGTCAAAACTAATAGAAATATTATAAAGCTTATAAAGAAAAATAAATAGCTTACTTGCAGCCTGAACTGCTGCTCCATATGCAACACATTCGTCAGGATTTATGGATTTATTGAGAGGTTTATTATCAAAATATCCTGAAACAAGTTTTTGAATACCTGGAATACGAGTTGATCCTCCAACTAAAACAATATCGTCTATTTTAGATTTTTCAATTTTTGAATCTTTAAGAACCCTTTCAACAGGTTCAAGAGTTGAATGAAAGATTTTTGAGTTAATATCTTCAAAACGAGCACGATTAATATTACAAGTGAAATCATGGCCATCTTTTAATGAATCAACTTCAACAGTAGTTTGCATAACACTAGATAATGCTCTTTTAGCACGTTCACATGCTGTTCTTAAGCGTCGTAAAGCACGAGGGTCATCATCAAGATCTAGTTTAGTTTTACGTTTAAATTCTGCCTTAAAATATTCTAAAAATAGTTATAAATAAGTAATTATACTCTTTTACACTAAATACCTAAAAGATTATTATCAAAATCCTCTCCTCCTAAATGTGTATCACCAGCAGTTGCCTTTAATTGTTAAAAAATATTGATTATCTAATTTTATTTCATATACTCTAACAGAAAAAATTCCCCCTTGAATTGTTAATAAAGATACATCAAATGTACCCCCTCCTAAATCAAAAATTAAGACATTTTTCTCCTTCTCTGATTTAGAATCAAGACCATAAGCAATTGCTGCTGCTGTGGGTTCATTAATAATACGAAGAACATTTAATCCTGCAATAGCTCCCGCATCTTTTGTAGCAAGACGTTGACTATCTGAAAAATATGCTGGAACCGTTATAACCGCTTTTTCAACTTTTTTATTTAACTTAATTTCCGCTATTTCTTTCATCTATTATTTTAATACATTTTATTATTTTACTTTAAATATTACCTTTGCCAATACCATTGCTGAAATCTCCTGAGGTGAAAATACCTTTTTTTCATCTAAATATTCCACTTCTATCTGAGGCGATCCATCTATATCAATCACTTTAAAAGGCCATGTTTTTATATCCTATATTATTAAAAATACTACTTTTTTTAATATATTAACTTTTACATTTCTGACATCCGGATCATCATATCGTCTTCCAATAAGGCGTCTTATAACTCCTCAGTATTTTTCTTTACATTTATAATATAAATTATTACTTTACATCAAAAATTGTATTTCTGGGATTCTAAAAAAAACTATTAAAACTATGATAAAAAACTACTCCAAAACTGACTATAGCTGCTTGGTTCTTTGCCGATTCTCCTATTAGACGTTCATTTTCAACAAACGCTACATATGATGGTGTCGTTCTATTTCCTTGGTCATTCGCAATTATCTCTACATTAGGACTATCATCTATAGAAAAAATAAATATATAAATACACATATTAGACCTTAAAAATAACCTGTCCATACTGCACAACATGAATATGTTGTTCTATAACCTTTTTATTAAACACTTAATTTTCTTAATTTTTTTACCCAAGATCAATCCTAATCAAATAAGAATAAAACATATATTTCTATATTACTGACCCTATTGCTCCATTATATACTTCCATATTTTTTATTTTATTCTCTAAATAAATCTATTATTTTATTTAGAAAAATTAGCACAAATTTATCTAAAATATTAATATTTTTTTAAAAAATATTAATTATCTTAACTTATTCAAGGTTATTGATCTAAAATTTATTAGCCGAAATCCTTAAATCCATTAAAAAATATTAAGGTTAATTGGGAACGGGTTAAGATGATGTTAAATATTATTTCTAATTGTAAATAATTAAATTATTTTAAATAAGAAAAGATTAATTTTTAATATTGAATTAGCACTTTGTTTTGGTAATCTTACATCATATCATTGTTTAGAGTTTTTTTTGGATTTTGTGGTAGTGAAATTTAGTAAGAAATAATAAGGATTAAGTGTAGTTATTAGTGTCCATTTTCTAAGAAATTATTTAAGACGATTTATGAGGTTAAAAGGGAATTTTTCTCTAAAATTAGTTAAGAGAATGATTAGGAATTTTATCCATGGGTTAGGAAGAATAAGAATGATATTAAATTTATTATATGTTTACAAGTTCAACCATGGCACCCATCAAGTACATTAGTTCATGAAGCAGTTCTTGCAGTGTCTAAGTTATCAGAAAATCAGACGGTAGAATTTATTGCAGAGTTATTTGAACATCAAGAAGAGTATTTTGATACGGCATTGGTGAATGAGACACGTATAGATACATATAAACGTCTTTCTCTTTTGGCGGAGAAAGCAGTTAATATAGATCGAGACAAATTTTTAGATTTATTGCATATTGAGAATGCTAAACCAGGAGAAAAAGGACATAATGTTGGTAATAAGGTATATTTTTATTAGTTTTTATGAAAAAAGTTGAAAATATTTTAAGGTTACAGCTGATCTTAAGTTACATATTAAGGTATAAACTTTATATTAAATATTATGTTTTTTATATATTATATAGAATGGGAGGAGTAGATGTGTTCATGTTTCACCTACAGTTTTTTATAATGGAATTTTGAATGATTCTATATCATCAAGTTGGACAATTGATCATTGGAAAGAATGGTATAAAGTTCTGGGATGAATTGAAAAAAGAAGATTATATAATATTTATAATTTTCTAGATTAACTTAATTAAGAAACTAAATGTTTTTGAGTTATATTAGTTATATAAATTATAGAAATATTAATTTTTGATAAAATATAGATTTATTATAGATTTATTATTATAGATTTATTATTATTGTTTATATTATATAATTTACCTTGATTGTTTTATTTTTTTATTATCAGTCTAGATTTTTTATAAATTGCAATATAATTAAAAACTTTATTAGATAAAAATATTTCAATATTTGTTAAAAAGAATTAACATTTTTTAAAGCAATTAACTATTATTCTTTTAAAAACAACAAAATGATCATTAGAATTGTATAGATATCAAATTATATAATAGTATTAATTTAAGAAACGATAGTTTTCTTTCATTTATATAGATTCATTAGAATTAGAATTATAATAAATTACATATTTTATTGATTATAGAATTAATTTGTTATTTCTAATAAATAATTTAGCATAAATAAATTTTATATATTTAATCCAAAATTTAGTATTAAAATTTATAATGAAAAATTTGATTTTTGAGTACCAAATTTAATAATTAACAAACACAAATGTTATTTTCATATAGCTTTTTTATATTTATATCTACTGTTAAACAATTTCTAATAAATTAAAGTTTAAAGGGAATTTCAAATGTTTAAATATTTATTTTATATTTCTATTATTAGTGGCTACTTAAAATTATTATGTAACTTTAAAGTTTTAATTTGAATTTTTATGATATTGAATTTTAAACTTAATTTAAGCTTAAAATTAGAATTAAAAAGTAATTAGTCCAAAATAGTGTTACTAAAAAAAAACTATAAAAAGGAGATAAAGTTTTTTATAAATAATAAAAAATAATAATCTATATATTATAAAAGAATTATGTTCTAAATTTTTTATTAAGAATTATTTCAATTTAAATTTTGATTTATAGAAGTTAGTTAATATATGTTTTTTAGTACATTGATTATTATTTATTATAATTTTTAATTCTAACTAAAGTTTAAATTTTAGCTCAAAAATTAAAATTAGTCTTAATTTCAATTTCTAATTTTCAAATTTTTGCTTTTAAATAATAATAAATGTATGTTTCTAGGAAGAATCTAAAATTATAAATATCATATTTAGAAGTTTTAAAAAAATGTTACTTTATTTTTTATATTTCTTTGTTAATACAAAATTAAAAGAAAAAAAAGATATTATTTTTCTTAAATTTTAAGATCAAATTTTAAAAAAATCATTTATTTCAAACAATAGTATTAAATATAGCAATACTAATTTTATTCATCATTATAATTATAAAAATATAGATCAATTATTATAACTTATATATTTTACTCTTTGAATCGGATTTTTGACATTATAACCTTATCAATCAATAGATTATCTAAAAAATGTAAATTAAAAATTTAACATAAATATATATGAAAACACTTCATATATATATATATATTAATATATAAATATATTTTTTTTATTTTTTTGAAAAAAACATATAAATAAATGAGTTTAAAACTTTTTTAACAAATAATTAATGATTAAAAAGAATTAAGAAATTCTATGACTATTGAAGATGCTCCTCCTCCTCCATTGCATATTGCTGCTACTCCTATTTTGGCTTTATGATGTTGAAGAACAGATAGAAGAGTTGTAATAATTCGTGCACCTGAACATCCTAAAGGATGCCCTATAGCTACTGATCCTCCAAAAACATTTACTCTATCTGGATCCAATTTAAGAATTTTTGAATTCGCAAGTGCTACTACACTAAATGCTTCATTTATTTCATAATAATCAACATCAGAACTTGAAAGTCCCGATGATTTTAAAGCTTTAGAAATAGCTAAATACGGTGACGTAGTAAATTTTTTAGGTATCTTTTTTCTAGAATTAATTTTATACAAAAATAAAAAATATTATACCTGAGAAGCTTCTCCCCATCCAAGAATTTTCGCAATAGGCTTTAATCCTAATTCTTTCAACTTTTTTCCTGATACTAAAACTAAAGCTGCTGCCCCATCACTTATAGTAGATGAATTTCCTGCTGTAACTGTCCCATCTTCCTTAAAAACAGGCCTAATTTTTCTAAGCTTCTCCTCATTCAACTAAAATACATTAACAATCTTTAACATAAATTTCTTTTCTACATTCGATATCTCCTCATCCTTATCAATTATCTTATCTACCTTTTTAGCACCTAAACACACTTTTATCGGGATAATCTCTCTAAAAAGATTCAACTCTTGCGCTTTTTGTGCCCTTTTATAACTACAAATTGCATAATCATCCTGCTCTTCTCGACTAATTTCATATTCAATTGCACATGACTCCGCCCCTATTCCCATAGGCTCATCACTATATGCATCTGATAATCCATCTCGTATAAGTCCATCTATAAGTTTAATATGACCATATCGAGACCCTGATCTCACTGATGTATTATAAAATGGCACTTTAGACATAGATTCAATTCCTCCTGATACAACAATCTATTACATTCCATTAACCTTTTTTTTTCTATATTAAATCCTATTATTACATCTGCTGTATTAACCATAATCGATTGTGCACCAAGAATCACCGCCTTCATTCCTGATGCACAAACCTTATTAACCGTTGTACATACTGTATTTTCTGATAATCCTGCCCCCAATGCACATTGTCTTGCTGGATTTTGTCCAAGATTCGCCGATATCACATTCCCAATTATCACTTCTTCAACTTCCTCCGCTTTAATCCCCGATTTCTCAACCACATCTTAAAAATCTTAAATATATATAATAAAAACACTTTATTCTCTACGTTTAACTACATGTACCCCAAGTTCTACCGCCGTCAATCCTGATAATCCTCCTTGGAAACTTCCCTGAGCCGTTCTCCCCAATGATACAATAAAAACTTCTCTATAAATACAATAAATACCCTTAAATATCTCATAAAAATACTCGTTTATATTACCTGTCCTCTATATATGGCTCCATTGCTGCTGCTACTGACTATCTATTTTTTTGACGTTGAAAAGTTGCACTTTTTAGAGCCTTTCAACGTCAAAAAAAATCAAGAATCAGCTAAATCATGGATGAGACGCTTTATGATGAGTAAAAACACTTAATATAAGAGTATAAGATGAACTAACAGTATAAAGGTTCGGTAATTATATTGGAAGAGGGTATTCAGAGGAAGGAGAGGGAGAAGATGAGGAAGGAATGGAGAATGGAGAGGGGCCATATTTAAATGAAGAGGATATTGGACTAGTTGAAGGATATTTATCAGAAGAAGAACAGGAAGAGAAGGGTAATAGGTTTTTTAAGGGATTTTTTCTGGGGTTAATTGGGTAGGACAGACGCAGGCGGTTGTTTTGCACGAGGATAAGCAATATTATCCATCGGCGTCAGAGGTAAAAGGGATAAAAAAGGGATAAAATAGGATTAATTTGAAGGTATATGGAGATGAAGTTGAAATTTTGGTTCATGAGGAGGATACGCAGCCGTTAAGTGAAGCAATTATTCAGCCGATTAAAGAAAAAAAATTTTCTCTTGAGGAGAAGGAATTTCCTAGTACACATTACTCTAAAGAGTAAAAATATAGTTTTTTAAGATATTTATATAATAATTTAAGGTTTATGATTAATTTGATGTTATATCCAGAGTTTGTTAGAAATATTGCTCTGGTTGGTAATCTTCATCATGGTAAAACATCATTTTTGGATATGTTAATTCATGAAACGCATGAAATAAAGACGGAAACTAAGAAGATGGTTAGTGGTTTGTTAGATAAAGTGAATTACTAATTTTTTTTTTTGTATATAGTTAAAGTATAGTGATGTGCATATATTAGAAAGAGATCGCGGATTATCTATTAAAGCGACGCCAATGTCGCTTGTGATTCAAAATACGAAAGGAAAATCGTTTCTTTTTAATATAATTGATACGCCTGGACATGTTAATTTTGTAGATGAGGTAGCATCTTCTATTCGTTTAGTTGATGGAGCAATACTTATTGTTGATGCAATTGAGGGGGTAAGATATATGTTTTTTTGATAAAAATAAAAGTTTAATTATAGGTTCTTATAAATACGGATAAAATTATTAGATATTCTATACTAGAAAATATTCCTTTTGTCTTAGTAATAAATAAAATGGATAGACTTATATTAGAGCTTAAATTACCACCAGCAGATGCATATTTTAAGCTTAGACATACTATCGAGGAAATCAATAGTATTATAAAGTATATTTTTTTTTCTATGTTATTAAAATTAATTATGTCAAGATCATGTAGTACAAATGATTATCGTCTTTCCCCGGAAAAAGGAAATGTATGTTTTGCATCTACTGATATGAATTGGTGTTTTTCGTTATTATCATTTGCAAAAATGTATGCAGATACATATGGTAACAGTGATTTATTTTTGATATTTTTTTCTTACATTGTTAAGATGGCATAAATATTGAAGAATTTTCTCAAAGGTTATGGGGGGATATTTATTATAACCCTGAAAGTCGAAATTTTACTAGAAAACCTGTAGAGCAGGATTCAAAACGAACATTTGTTCATTTTATTCTTGAACCTTTATATAAACTTTATGGTCAAACGCTTGGGGAACCGTCTGAAGTTCTTGATAAAACTCTTAAAAGCTTAGGAATTTTTCTTAAACCAGCTCAATTTAAATTAGATTCAAAAGCTTTATTAAAACTTATATGTGGAGAATTTTTTGGAACAGCTACAGCATTTGTTGATATGGTTATTAAACATATTCCTTCACCAATTGATGGATCAGAAGCAAAAGTAAGTCATAATTTATATTGAAAATAAATCTTATATATTTTTTTATAGATTCGTCATACATATACAGGACCTTTGGATTCTGAAATAGCTCAGAGTATGCTAAAATGTGATCCTAATGGACCTTTAGTAATTCATACGACAAAATTATTGAATACAATAGATGCTACTGAATTTTTTAGTCTTGGAAGAGTTATGAGTGGAACTATTCATTCTGGAGATCAAGTAAAGGTTTTAGGAGAAAATTATTCAATCGATGATGAAGAAGACATGGTTTATGCTACAGTATCAGGTGTCTGGATAGGAGAGGCACGATATCGTGTACCTATTAATAGTGCAGTAGCAGGTGCTATTGTTCTTCTTGCTGGTGTAGATAATTCTATTTTAAAAACTGCTACGATTGTTTCTAGAAATATCACAGATGACATTTATATTTTTAGACCTCTTAAACATTTTACAGAATCTGTATTCAAAGTTGCAGTAGAGCCAATTAATCCTTCTGAATTACCAAAAATGCTTTCTGGATTACGTATGATTAATAAAAGTTATCCTCTTTCAGTAATCAAAGTTGAGGAATCAGGTGAACATATTATTTTTGGAACAGGAGAACTTTATATGGACTGTATTTTACATGATCTTCGAAAACTTTATTCAGAGATTGAAATAAAGGTTTCAGATCCTATAGTAAAATTTTGTGAAACTGTTGTGGAAACATCAGCCGTTAAATGTTATGCAAGTACTCCCAATAAAAAGTAGGATATACTTGCTACTTTTGTTTTTTATTTATCTAATTATAGGAATAAAATTACAATGATTGCAGAACCGTTAGATGATGGTATTGCAGAGGATATAGAAACAGGAAAAGTCAATATAAATTGGCCTGTAAGAAAAGTAGGAGAATTCTTTCAAAAGTATCAGTGGGATATATTGGCTTCTCGCTCAGTTTGGGCATTTGGGCCTAATGAGCAGGGGCCAAATGTTTTATTAAATGATACTTTACCTTCAGAAGTATTATTACTATATTTTGTAAGTTTTATTTATTGTCTTATAATAGGTTGATATGAAATTGTTAAATACTGTAAGAGATTCAATTCGCCAAGGTAAGCTTTTTCTATTAAGACTAATAACTAAAAAATGTTAGGATTTCAATGGGGTAATTTTTAATTAAGTAATTTAAAAAGCTAATAGTATTTTGCTTAGGTACTCGTGAAGGACCTCTTTGTGAAGAGCGTATGTTACATTATTATTATTATTCGTTTGTTAAATATGATTATAGCTATAAGAAATGTTAAATTTAAAATACTTGATGTAACACTTGCTACAGAGCCTATTTATAGAGGTGGCGGGCAAATTATTCCTACTGTCAGAAGAACATGTTATTCATCGTTTTTGATGGCTACTCCACGTCTTATGGAACCTATTTATTATGTTGAAATACAAGCACCTGCAGATTGTATATCTGCCGTTTATACAGTTTTAGGTAGAAGAAGAGGGCATGTTACTCAAGATATACCAAAAGCAGGCTCTCCTTTATACACAATAAAAGCATTGATACCTATTATTGATGCATCAGGATTTGAAACAGACCTTCGTACTCATACCCAAGGCCAAGCATTTTGTCAACAGATCTTTGATCATTGGCAGGTCATAAAACTCTTTTATAATATATTCCTATATACTTAATAATTATAGGTCGTTCCTGGTGATCCTCTTGATAAAACTTGCGTACTTCAATTATTCGAGCCTGCTTCTGGACAAAGTTTAGCTCGTGATTTTATGTTAAAAACAAGAAGAAGAAAAGGACTTGTAGAAGACGTTGTTATTTCTAAATATCTGTTTGTTCTTTATTTTCATTATATAACTTTCTAATTTTAAATAGTGATGAAGAAATGATGATGATATTAGCACAAACAGACATATTAAAAGACAATTTTCTTATTTAAAAACACTTTTATTTCTACATCTTTCAATCTATATAGATATTTAATATACAAAATTCAACATTAAAACTTATTTTTCTTCAAAATCTATATATTGGTTTATTTTTTAACACTTATGGTATTCGATGGCATTTCTTTAGATATCTATTATTCAAAATACTAATAATAATTCACTTCAAAATTCCTTTTAAGCTACAAATACAAAAAAACACCGGCTAACTATGGAAAAAAAACTATTTATTATAACTTGTATATTTTCTTTTTAAAAAATTATTAAATAATTAACTAACTTTTTTTTTAATTTTAGGTACAATATTCAACTCAAAATCATTCTATCATGGTAATATCCGCTCTTTAACTCCTTTAGATTCTCTCTAAAGCTTCAATCATTACTACTGAATTTCCTCGAATAACCTCAAAAATCGTTATTAACCTTGCTTTAAAAAAAAAAAAAAACTCACTACCGTCCCGATCCCCTTCTTCTCTCCTCCCGCCAGCTCTTCAACCGCCTCGTCAAGAACAATATTCAAAAAAACCTTCAAAATTAATCCTTTTTATACATTTTCTTTTTTTTTTACATCATAACCTCTAAGAACCCCAATTAAATTACGCTGTCCATTTATTGTTACAAAAAGCTTCTTATCCATATACTATATAACCCATTATTACTACCCTAAACTACCTTTTCTTAACATTAAATCTACCTTCTTTAACTCTGGTGTAGAAACCTTAGACATTTTTATACACTTTCTTCGTCTAACACTATTTTCGAGGTTAAAAAATTTAGACTTACTAGTATAAAATAAACTATAATACAAAATAATATATACAAATACTATCTATCTCTTTATATATTTGAATATTTTATAGTAATTTTTCTAATATATTTTATATTTAACATAAGAGTAAAAATAAAATTACAGTTAAAGCTTAATACATGAAGGAACAGAGAGTTAAAATACATGTTTTATATATAAAAAGTTATTATATTTAAAGATTTAAAAGTATTTATTATATAAATATATATTACCGGTAAGAAATAAATGGAATTTTTTCATGCAAGAAATATTTAGAAAAGATAGTACTTACCTTAAAAAGGGTTTAAAACTAGCTGATCAGATATATTTTATCAGCTTGAATATAATTTACAATTTTTTCCTGTATTTTTAAGCATATTTTTCAATTTTTTATTTAAATATTTGGTGTTAAGATATTGTGTTATCATGTCTAGATGGTGGATACTGATATCAGTGGTTGTTTTTATTTTTTTATGGTCTTTAATTGATTTTTCATCAAATTATTATGAAAAGGAAAAGCTCTGGGTAATTGGACGTATATCTATGAAGCAATGGTTAACTGGTTTAAGTTGTTAGATGTATCAATTTATCCAGTTCCTTTTAGTCTTATTGAAAGAATTGTTTCAGAGCTAGATCCTTTGTTAAAGAACCTAACATTTGAGACAGATTATTTTAAATATTATAGACTTAATCTTTTTGCAGCACGCTGCCCATTCTGGGGACTAGAGAATGGATTATGTGGGAATAAGGCATGTATGGTAGATGTACTGGAAGATCCGCTACTTTCGGAGGCATGGAAGCCATCAATATTGGGTAAAATCCAAGGACTTACAGTAGAACAGCCATTTCTCCCCAAAAAAACATCCAAGTTGCCATTTGAAGGAGCACTTGGGACAGAGACATCAGAAAGATGTATATATGAGGAGTCGTATAATTCAGATAGAGACTATTGTATTCCTGAGGATGAATCAGAAGAGAATATTGTATATGTGTCTTTGGTGGATAATCCAGAAAAATATACAGGATATTCAGGAGAAAGTGCGCATCAAGTATGGAGAGCTATATATAGGGAGAATTGTTTTGAAGTTCCTCATAATTTTGTTGATCCAATGATTAAAAATAAATCATTATTTTCTAATAAATTGGAAGAAATTATGGTACACAGAAATAATTGGAATTCTAAAGATAATGAAGGGAAGAGACGAGGTGCAATGGCTCAGGAACCAGTTTGTCTTGAAAAAAGATTGTTTTATCGAATTATATCAGGAATGCATGCAAGTATATCAACACACTTGTGTAAAGAATATCTTAATAAAACAACGGGTTTATGGGTATTAGAATTTGTTATGTAAAATGTTTTATTTAATTATAATATAGGAACCAAATTTCCAGTGTTTTATGGAACGAGTTGGAAATTATTCTGATAGAATTGAAAATATATACTTTAACTATGTTTTAATTTTGAGGGCATTAGCAAAATTGGATAAATATTTACAAAATTATACATTTTGTGAAGGAGATAACGAAAGTAATACAATGACAAAGGTTGTTATCTAATATTTTTTAAAAATTGATTTAATATATTACAGTATAAAGTTAATAAATTGATTTCAAAAATATCATTTATTCCTAAATTGTTTGATGAGAAGCTTATGTTTGATACATCACATAATAGTTTTGCTATTCATTTAAAGGACGAATTTCGAATGAGGTTTAGGAATGTTAGTAAACTTATGGATTGTGTTAGTTGCGACAAATGTCGTTTATGGGGAAAAATTCAAATTGCAGGATTTGGCACTGCATTAAAAATTCTTTTTGAATTTGACGATTTTAAAGATCAAAATGAATTTTCATTACGAAGAACAGAACTTGTTGCACTCATTAATACATTTGATCGCATATCATCTTCTATTCATTTTATACAGGAATTTTCAACAATACTTTCCAATATAGATAATAATTTTTACAAGCATAATAATTCTCATGCATTACATTTTTTTTCAAAAATTAAAAAAACAATCTTACACAAATCTTCTTTTAACCTCAAATGCATTATAAAATCATTTAGTGTCGAATACAATAATATTAAAGATGTGTTTATATATATTATTAATTCATGGGTTAGGATTTTCAAAACTATTTATATATATATAAAGAGGAAAAATAGAGTCATCTTTTTTAAATAAATATTGTAAAAATGTAAAAATCATAGTTATTATAGAAGAAATTTATATGGATATAAAATGTTTATTTCTGTGACCCTTCCAAAATTTCGAATGGTAAAGAAAATTCCTGAACTTTTGCAGTTATTTTAGGAAGTGGTTGCCCAAATGCCAATGTAGTTCTACTACTTCTTCTCCAATTATTTGTAATAGCTTCTCTTATATGTGGTGATTTAATAAACGTTGAGCCTTTTTTATTTTTAGTTGAACATGTAATTTTGTTAGTCTCTTCTTTTTGAACTTTGATGCCTCCATTGCAAATAGGAATGTTTCCATTCTTAATAGGTGTATCTTCATTTTTAATATGAGTATCCTCGTTTTGTACATTTTTATCTTCAATATATGTATCTTCATTTTTAATGGATATATTTTCACTCTTATTACACTCTTCTTCAGGTATTGTATGAGATAATGGTACGATTACATTATTATCTCGAGAATCTGATGAACTCGTTGATTTTTTTCGCTTTTTTTGAATATGTTTATCTATATTCAATTCATCATTATTTATTTTCTCACTTACAACAGATGCAATTTCTGAATTTTCATCGTTTGATCTCTTTTTTGAATGATTTTTTGAAAAAAACGTTTTATTAGTTTTTGAAATTGAATTTTTATTTAAATCAATATGTTTTTTTGCTCTTTTTTTATGTTCTAATTGAAGTTTTTTCCATGAATCAAATTTCTTCAGAACTTGCTCCAATCTTTTAACAATATATCGTCTTTGAATCTCCAATGGATCTTTACATCCTGTAATTTTAGAAATAGCCATTACAACTTTTTTCCAATTCGACCCATTAAGTTGATCAATTTTTTGCTCCAAATAAAGTCGATCATATGTAAATCTTTCATACTCAATATTTCGAATTTGCTTTTCTTGTCTATCAAAACGTTTATGAATCGAATGATATAGATTATCTGATAATGGATCTACTAAAATATTCGATTTAATCTGATTCAATATTAATAAAATCCTCTCCAATTAATCCTAATTAAACCTTCGGTTCAATCTTGCAACTTGGTGATATTTTAAAAACAACTGGTGTCATAACTGGTACATTTTTTTTTGATGAAATATACATAGAAAGATCTTCAGATATCTGTTCAAATAATGGATGAGCTCGAAGGTTCATAAATTCCTTAGGTTGACGTGCAATTAATATTGAAAGCTGTAATAGCTCTTCATCGATATTTGCTGGTGTATAGATATTATAGTCTTTATCATAACATTAATATAAAAATAAAATACAGAAACCATACTAAATTCATCATTATTATAGTTGTAAATATATCGAATAATCGTCTGGACTGCTATTCCATCCATATAACTCTCACGAATTGGTCGTCCATTATTTTTTAATGAAATACCATTATTAAATGGTTTCCATCCATTCGATTCTCCTCTTTCACAATATGTATCTTCTTCTACATTACATATACTCTCTCTTTCATTAATTATCTCATGTTTATTAAATATAGATGTTCTATTTCCCATTTTCTTAATATTTCTCTAATTTAATCCCAAAATATTCAATATTTTTAACAAAACTTAATAAAATATCCTCTGAACTTTATATTTCTTAGAAGAATAGCTTAAAAACATCTTATTTCTATTAATATTAAGCTTAATATTGCTTTATTAAAAAAAGTAGCAAAATATACGTTAACGAACTGAGTTTTTTTAAAAAAAAGGTTATTCAACCTATTATATATTGAATAAGACTATTTCTCTATTTATTTAAATGTTCTGTAAATAAATAAGATATTAATCTTAAAAAAAACCTGTTAAATTAAGAAAAAAACTTGAGATATAGACTAGCAATATATGTTTATAAAAAATAAAACTACCTTTTTTAAAGCAGAGCCATAAATATTAAGTACTAAATAGTTAGAAATAGCTAGCAATATATTTTAAAAAGCCAGTATATTTATGTTTTTTTTAAAATAGTTTTTTGTTCATTTTAGCTTCTTGTTTTCTTGTATCAACTAGTTTATGTAGAAAATAATAATCCAAGTGCCTTTTTAACTGCTTCCATACACTCCATAATCTCCTTACGTGTCTTCTCAAGCTCTTCTTCCTTAGCAATAACCCAATCAACACTTAAACGTATTCTACTTGTTTTTAACACTATTTCCCTCTCTTTAAACCCAATATCTTACCGTTTTCGAGTCATAAGATGATCATATACAATCCTACTCCTTATCCAAGACTGTAATTCTTGGCAAAGTTCTTTATATTCTGTAAATAACAAATCTTCTTCCTCATTAATAATCTCCATAGTTGACATATAAGCTGCTGTCATCATATCCACATCAAATCTTGGAAGTACATCTAATACACTATTTGTCTTCTTTATTTCTCTAAAAATAATTACATTTTATCATAATAAAGACCAGAAATTCACAGACATTGTTGAAACATCATTTTTAGGTTCTTCTAACTTAATACTAAAGCAATAAATTGAGCTGAAACTTCTTTAACATATAGAACTAACCTATTAAGACTCATATTAAGTGTTATTAAGTCTTTATTAGGGATTCTTAAGGGATTCTAACAGTTTTTAATAAAAACTAGACGTTAACGCTTATCTTTTCTTAAGAAGTTAAGAAATTGTTAATATTTCTTAACAAAATCACAATAACAGATGAGATTTATGAGGTCTACTTTGTTTATATGGGTTAGAAGAGGGCAGCGTTGTATTTCAACAGAAGCATTTCAGATACAAGTTATTGGAGCACTTACAAGAAAGGCAGAAGAAACAAATGTATCAAAGATACAGGAAATGTCTTCTAATAGGAGAAAAAATATGAAGAAAGACTTATTTGAAAGATTAAAGAGGAAAAAGATTAATATTCTGGCGAATCCATTGATACAGGGTATTTTACCATATGATGAGTCTAAAATACCCTATGGAATGAAGAATAGTACATTAAAAAAGGGATATATGGGGTTACCACGTCCAAACAATGCAAGTATTATGGATACGAATCTTATTCCATATGAGGGTTTGTCTATATAAGGAGAGATATGAAGATTATTAAAAAAAATGTATAGAATATGAAGATTTATTAGCTTTATTAAGGGATATAAACAGAGGAGTAAGTAGGAAAGAAGAGGGGAATAATTTGATAGGGAATGAAATGTTAAAAGAGAAATTTAAATCAAAAAAGGATGATTATGAAAAAAATAAGAAGATAAATCATAGTTCTATAATTAAAAAAGAGAGTTATGGGCAAGATATGAATGTTGCTAAGTTTATGTTTGTTTCTAAAAAAGATTTGGGTCCATATATGCCAGATTGGGTTATATTATCAAAAAAATTAAATAATATAGAACCTAAAGGTTATGTAGCAAGACAATTTAAAGGGATAAATAAAGGTTTAAAGAGAATAAATGTTAAAGTTAATGAAAAGGAATCAGATTGCAAAGATATATTTAATATGAATGAGGTAACTTTTTTTAATGATTGTATATATAAAAATTCGTCAATAAAGCCATATAAGAAGATAGAAATGATTAATATTATAAACGACATGTTAAAATGCAAAACTATTTAGGCAGAGTATGTAATGTAACATATATAATAATACATATTATGTATAATATATTAGATCTTATATGACTTGTATATAATAATTATCCTGAATAAAAATGTGAAAGCATTATTAGTTTTTTAAAATACTTTTTTTTGTATATTCAATTATTTTTTTAACTTCATTATTTGCATTACTAATTATTTTTGTAATTTCTTTTTCTTTAAGTTTTACTTCATTTTCACTCAATTCACCTTGTTGTTTTGCTTTTTTTAAACGTTTCAGACCTTTTGATCTTATATTTCGTATAGTTATTTCTGTATTTTCTCCAAGTTTTGATATCTCTGTTAACTTTTTTTTTTGACCTTCTTCTGTGAGTGGAGGTAAAGGTATAACATATTGAAGAGGATTCGACGGATGAATAACAGGATTAAGTCCAAGTGATGAAGATCGTATTGTAGAAACTAATATTTTGGTATTCTATTAAATATTAGTCAAAAATAAATAATATATATATATATATATATATATAGAGACATCATTATCATAAATTGTTAACAGTATAGATTTATTATTTTGCATAGATACGTGTGCCAAATCTTTAAGTAGAACATTTTTCTTCTTAGAAATAGGAATTTTTAAGTTATCAAGTAAAGAAATATTAGATGAGCCCATTTTAAGAGATTCTGATTCTTTTTTTAAATATAAAATTGCATCATTGATACTTTCATTTAGTTTTTTTGTATCTATAATTTCCTTTATATCATCAATCTCATGTATTCCTTTATTTCTTTTTGATTTTAATTCAAATAATAAGAAAGATTTCTGATGTATATATTTTCTAAAAGATTTAAAATAAAAAATATGTCTATAAAATATTATCTTTCAGAATATTTAAGTATAATAAATACCGTCTATAAAATAAGAAAGACATTCAAAATGATTTGTTTCTAATAAGTTATATTTTTATAAAATTTTGATAAGTTTTCGAAAAAATAATTTGATAATATGATAAATAATACATGAAATCTGTTCAATATTTAAGTAGAAAATTAAAGCTGTATATAGAATATAATTTGTCCATAAATTATATAAGTTGATTTTGAAATATAGTTGTTAAATGATTAATTGTACTATTTGTTATAATGATATGTTATAAAGTTTTCATGACGATTGAATAAAGAAAGAAGAGTTTCTCTTTCTGGCTCTATTTCTGTATTATTTTGTATATTTTCAGTCTTACCAGAAAAACTTAAAATAATAAAAGAAAGAAGAAAAACAGCCAGAAATAATAAATAAGAATATGAATACCATGTTTTAAAAAAGTCATAATTGCCTGTTATATCATTGATAATTGTATTTAAGACTGTTAATGTATATAATCTATCTGAAGGAGAATCTTGTATTTTAAATGATAAAAGAGTAGAATTTGAAAGATTTGTATAATTATAGATATCTTGAGAATTAGAAATCTGAATTCTTTAGTATAAAATTTGTTAAAAATTGATTTGTAATCCTACAGTATAATTGTAATGAAATTGATCAATTTGATGAGTATAATGTCTAGGAATAATGATCTAAAATAAATAAGGAAAAGAAACATCTTTTTAAAATACCTCGCTAAGTGTATAATTGAATGAAAACATTATTAACATTAAAATGGTTAAAGAAATTAAGAAAGTATGAGACAATGTGTCCTTTTTTCTTTTTTTATGTGTATTATATTTGAAAAGCCTGATAAATGTTAAGAAATCAAGAAAAAAACAATGTTTAAATCAAAAATACCTAAATTTTTCTAATATCTTTGTATTAAAAATTCCAACAATTGTAGTCACACAGAAGTAGAGTATAAAAAGAATGATTATAATAAGATTAATAGGAAAGGTCTTGAATTTATAAATAAAAAACAAATAAAATATTGAATACTTTCCTTAAAAAGATATTGAGATAATAAACTCATATAATAAGAAGGCCATTTTTCACTTATATAATTGTAAAGAGCTTTACAATATTTATTTTCCAATCTAGAAATTCTATATAGAAGATTAACAATCATATTATAAATATAAGTAAAACAAACATTGCCATTGACATCAACAAAACTATTCCTATGGATATAAGTAAGAAAAAAATCCCAATAAGCAATTGAAACATGTGTAAAATTGCTGAAACAGGCTGTTCCCACTTTCTTTTTCCTTCTTCTGTAAGTCGAATACAACGTACAAGTGTTCTCTCCTCCCTTTGAAGAGATTCTAATATTCTACGATCTTTTACATTCATTTTAGTATGAAACCCTGTATAACGAACTTCAATGGCTCGTTGTTTTTCACGGTTAAGAATCAAAGCATGTTTTATATCTGTTGCTGATGTTGGAACATTAATTGACTTCGTCTTTATAATTCTCAAAGGAAACATTGAGAAGCCAAATGCTGTATATATACAAAAAAGAACAATTCCAAATAATAAAATAACATCTACAATAAAAAACATACTTGTCTTGATATCTAGAAAAATTAATCAAATATTATAATAAACCAATTGATAAATTCCTTACATTCAACCTTAAATGTTTGTTCAAAATACACCAAATCTAACATAGAATTCGTTTTCCTTGTAATACTCATAAAAGTTCCACAAAAAAATAATACTATAAATAAAAGTAAAAAAAACAATGATCGTCTTAATGCTTCAAATATTCTCGTCTTATTAGTAGACTCCTCATTCCATTCTTCATAATAATAATACACAAAAGGCAGTATTACAAATAATTCAACTATATGTAACCCATAAAACACTATTTTCATTAATTCCCCTTTCTAATACTCATTTTCATACTGTAATAGCCTACATTTTATAAATATACCATATATCCCTCTTAAAATCTCTTTTTCTTACATATTTTAACTCTTCTTCTCCATAGAAGCATTATCTTTTCTAAATATCCCTCTTTTTCTCTATTTTTCTCATTTATCCACATCATACCAACATCAATAGGATATAGACTAAGCGTCCCTATCATATGTGCCATAATAACTATCATAATCCCCATAATTATCACATTTTTTCTATGTCTATCTTGATACTGACTTATCCATCTAGATAATCCAAATAAAAACACCTATATTCTCAGATATCTGGGACTATTCTTACTAATACTTACAAATATCATTAGTATACAAAGAGCCCATACTGTTGGATGGTCTTTCTTCTCCATATCTTGGCTTTTTCTATTAGTATTGGCTCAGCTATTGTGTTTATCGTGGTATCTTAAGAAATCTCATATGTCTAGGAAATAACCAGGAAATGAAACCCATCCGTATACGTATTTCCTCTGAATTTGTCTATTTCCATATGAAATTGTTGTTTAAGATTGAAAATTGGTCATTTATAGAGCTAATTTATGTTAAGAAATGGGTCATATGATGACAAAGAAATAGACAGGAAAAAATGGCAAATAATGATTAAACAAGCTCTTTATCAGGCATTTGGATTAAGTGGAGAGTCTATTATGACTGATATTTTACATTTAACAGAGGATCAATGTGTTTATATTCGTGTAACATCAAAGTATGAGGAAGATATGTTTAATTGAGGGACAAAATTAATTAAACATAGAGAACAATCAAGGTTTTGGGTAGCAATGACAGGATACTGTGAAAGAAGTATTCAAATTCTGGGTGTATCAGATCATTTAATGGGTTTAATCAATAGAAGCCGATTAGACAAGAGTTTAAGAGGGAGAAAAGAGAGTTAAAGGGTTTTACTGGGGCAATTCTATATTTTATGATGGAAATATATCTTGTTTATATTGTAATAACTAACAAAAAGATGAAATAAGACTTGGTTTTTTTTTTAAAAAAAAAAACAAGTTTTATTTATTATAAGGATTTTTTAAGGGAAAAAAGGCTTTGTATATAACAGGAGATGCTTTATTTTGATTTAGAAATAATATCTTTCTTAGAAAGTATGTAATCTCTGTTTTTTAGATGGACGTTTAATCGGTGACTGAAAAATATAAAAGATTAAGGTTTTCAGTTTGTTTAGAAGGGGTTTTTGGGTTTCATTTGAATGTTTATTAAGGACAATATTGGTATTTTATAACCAGAAAAATGTCTATGATTTATGTGCCATTTATGGAGAGTATGGCTATAGAACATGTTTTAGCAGTTCAATTTGTTTCAAATGAAGAGGATTTAGTTATAGCAAGATCGAATAGATTACAGATATATGGTCTTTTAAAGGAGAAGAAAGAGGGAAGACAGTTTTATTATAAATCGGAGATATCACCGTCATTACATGTTAGAGAGAACCAAGAGGTATATAAGAAGGAGGGTTAGGAGGGGTTAATAAGGCCTAGGATTTTCTTAGTACGGATGTAAAACTAGAGCTGTCACGATTGGAGACGGTATGGTCGTTATTTCTTATTTATGAGACGGAATTGTATGGGGAGATTACCTCTATGACTAAAGTTAGGACAAAGGATTATGATAGAACGAAAAGGGAATGTATTTTAGTAGCGTTTAGGGATGCAAAGGTATCTCTTCTTGAGTGGGATGCATCTAGTTTTGGGATATCGACGGTGAGTATTCATTTTTATGAGAAGGAGGAGTATAGATCATCATTATCTACTGAATATAATACGCAATTGATTATGGATCCATCGTATAGATGTGCGACTCTTAGATTTTATGGAGATATGTTTGCAATAATTCCTTTTCGACAGAAAGATATTCTTTCATTGGATGATGATGTTATGAATATAGGTCAAGATTTGGAGACGTCATCTCAGCCTCCATATTATTCATCATCTGTTATATCTTCAAGACAGATGCATGAAGGTATTTCACATATTATTGATTGTGGTTATCTTTATGATTATCGAGAGCCAACTCTTGCTATTCTTTACTCAGCATTTCAAACATCTACAGGGCTTCTTCCATATCGCCAAGATACAGTAAGTTTTGCAGCAGTTACTTTGGATCTTCAACAAAAGGCATCAACAGCTATTTATACAGTTGATAAACTTCCATATGATTTATTTAGCATTTTACCTCTTCCAAATCCTATTGGAGGCTCACTTCTTATTGGAAATAACGAATTGGTTCATATAGATCAAGCAGCATGTGTAAGAGCAGTTTCAGTAAATTCATTTGCAAAAAAATGCACACATTTGGATTTCGTTGAAGATTATGATCTTGATTTAACGCTTAATGGAGCAGTAGCAACGTATTTATCGTCCTCTCCTGAGCAACCGGGGATTGTACTATTAGTTATTGAGAATGGGCAGTTTGTTCAAGTAGGATTTAAGCTAGATGGTAGGGCAATTAGTTCTCTTATAGTAAAAGTGTTGGATCAGGGCCCTAAAAATGATTTCTTTAGTTCAGAAGCAAGCTGTATAACTTTGTTAAATAAAGAATTATTATTTATTGGAAGCAAGTTCTCCAATGGTGTATTATTAGGATGGAAAAGACAAAGTGAAATTGTAGAACAGATGTTATCAGAACCTCGAGTAATATTTGATGAGGATAGAGAAATTTTAAATGATTTATATGGAGATAGTTTAGATATTATTGATAATAGCCAGATTTTATCGGAGAAAGAGGTTTTTGGGGATATACAGTTTTGTTTATTTGATTCTTTATGTAGCTTTGGTCCTATTGTTGATGCTGCTATTGGGAATTCCTTTTTAGCCTATGGAGTAATTGGATTTTATTTTGAATTGTTTGATTCATTCTAATTTTCAAAAGGATCAACATGCAGTTTTTGATTTAGTAGCTGCTACAGGAAAAAATAAATCAGGCTCTATTAATATATTTAAGGTTGCTATTAACATTATGATGTAGTATATATCTCTGATTATAATAGAAAAGTATACAGCCTGATGTTATTGGCAGTTTTAGCTTTACTGATTGTTGTGGATTATGGACCATTTCTCTTAGAAGTTCTGGTATTGAAGATTTTATGGACGATTCATCTTCTTTAAGAAATAATTTTGATAATTATTTTTTTATTTCAAAGTTAGAAGAAAGTTTGGTATATTTTAAAGAATAAAATAAAAATATGATATAAATATATTTTAGATATTTACTGTTGGTGAAAGTTTTGATGAAGTACAAAATACAGAATTCGATACTCGTGGTAATATAATAGAAATTGGCGCTGTACTTGACCATACAAGAATCGTGCAAGTATCTTGTGATAGTGTTAGAATATACAATCCTGGTATAATATGAATTAAATATCTTCAATAAATTTATCTTTATTTAGATATATCCTTAACACAATATATTTCAATATCTGATCAAGAAAATCCTTTAAACGAGACAATTGTTTTTGCATCTATAATGGATCCTTATATTTTGTTAAAACTCCAAAGCAATCAATTTTTTATACTTTTTGCAAAACATGATTCTAAGGAAATTGTTCAGCTTTTTCTTCCTGAAGCTTTAAAGGTAATATATATGTATATTTTTATGTGATCTAATTATACTTAGAATGAAAAAATTGTTTCGGCATGCTTTTTTTCTCCTCAAGGAGTTATGAGTCAGAGTTTTGACAATTATTTTATGAACAATAATATCTCCAATGATATTAAATACTTATTTTTAAAAGCAAAAGAATCTAATGAAAATAACGATCCAAGATTTCAAGAAATTCATATGAATATCTCCAATGATGATGATATATTTATATTAAAATCTTCAAATCCTTTACTTAAGTTTTTTTGTTTTATTTTATTTCAAAACAATGTATTAAAGGTATTGTTTACTACAAAATATAACAATGGATTAACTTTTATAGATCCATGCTCTTCCATCTATGGATTGTATCTTTATGTCTAGTAATTTTTCTTTATTACCCAAAATTATTCAAAATAGCATAAATGATGAAAATACAGATGAAATTTACAAAAATAAGATTCAAGAAATATTAGTTACAGCTTTGAATAGTAAAATGGATGAACCATATATATTGGTTTTTTTATTTTGAATTCTATTTTTATCTTACTTTTATAGGTTCGTACTGAATGGGAAAATGTGATTATTTACAAAGGTTTTCTATATGCTGAAGATAATACTACATCATTTCCTTTACGTTTTTTAAAAATTGACTTGTTTAAATCTACAACAGATATATTTACTGTCCAAAAATTTCAAAATAATGATATACAGGTTAATAATTCTAATAATCTTAAAAATAATCTTAATGAATTGCATCAAAAATTCATGGTACCTTTTGGTGGTAAAAATGATATCAGATGTGTTTATGTTGGGGGGACTTCATCATATTTTATTATTAAAACACCACATTCATTACCTCATTTGTTTCCTGTAAATATTAAGAACAAAATAGTAAGATTCTCTTCATTTAATACATTGAATTACGAAAATGGGTTTATATATAGTGATTCTGAGGTATTACTTTATTTATAATGTTTTTTTTTGTTTTAATTGATTAGAATATTATAAATATTGGGAAATTAAGTGATGATTATATTTATAGTGAATCATTGGCCATAAAAAATGTAGCTATTGGGAAAACAGTTACATCTATTGCATATCATGTCTCCAAACATGTTTATGCTATTTGTACATCTGAAATGGAGAAATACGAAGTTATGGATGAAGATAATGAATTATTGTTTGAACATGAAAGTTAGTAATTTTAAAAAAATATATTAATATTAATGGTTTATATCTAATAGATGATCCTAATGTTCTTCCTAAACTTCCTCATGGTTTTTTGGAGTTGGTATCTCCTAAAACATGGGAAATAATTGATAGGTATTTATTTATTATCATTTAAATTAGCTAAATTAATTCTATAAAGATATTCCTTTGCAAGAAATGAAGTAGCAGTTACAATTAAATCTGTTAATCTTGAAGTTTCTGAATATACTAAAGCTCGTAAAGAATTTATTGCAGTTGGTACTGGTATATTTCGTGGAGAAGATTTGGCTATGCGTGGCTCAACATATCTTTTTGAGATAGTTGACGTAATACCTGAGCCAAATAAACCTGAAACAAATAAAAAAGTAAAATTAATTTGTCGGGAAGAAGTTAAAGGTGTTGTTTCTGCAATATGTGACATCAATGGCTATCTTTTAAGTGCCCAAAGACAAAAGGTTTTATATTTTATCTATATTTTATATATTTATTTTTAACAATGATCAGGTTATTGTTCGAAGTTTAGAAAATGATGATAGATTAGTTGGTACTGCTTTTATTGATTTAAATATGTATGTTTCTGTTGCAAAAAGTATTCGAAATCTACTTTTGTTTGGAGATATAATGAAAAGCATATGTTTTGTGGGATTTTCTGTCAGTATATACAATATTTTGCTAACTATTACTAAAAATATACAGGAAGAACCTTATAAAATGGTTCTTTTTGGCAAAGATAATAGTTCTATATCTGTTTCATCCACAGAATTTTTGGTAGACAATGAACATTTATATTTTGTTGTTGGAGACGATGATGGAAATATTCATGTCTTTAATTATGATCCTGAAAGTATTGATTTTTTCATTTTTAATTCAATTTTAATAATATAATAGATTCACAATCACTTTTTGGTCAAAAATTACTTAAACGTGGTGATTTTCATGCGGGTTCTCAAATAAGATCTATATTAATGCTTCCTAAACAATCTTTTCAGGAAAATATAAATGATTCTGATCAAATTGAACCCTCTAAAAATCAAGATTCTTTATGTTTATGTATTTCTGACAATGGTGCTATGGGCATATTAATTTTACTTCCAGAAAAAATATATAGAAGACTTTATTTTATTCAAGGTCAACTTATTAATACTGAAGATAAAATAGCTGGACTAAATCCTATTACTTATAGGTTTTTTTTCTCTATTTCTTTCCTTCTTTTAACTTCAATTTAGAATTTCTACTTATATTAATAAAACATCTAATCCTGCTCGTGCAATTTTAGATGGAAAATTATTATACCAATATAATAATCTTCAAATTGATAAACAACAAGATATGGCACGCAAATCCGGTGCTCCTGTTTCTACTATTATTTATGATCTTTTAAAAATCGACTATTCCTTTGCTTATTTATAATTTCATATTTAATCTTTCAAATTATATACAAAAATATCACAAAAATATCACAAAAATATCAATTCATATATTTCATTTCTTAATAAATTATTCTTATCTCTTTTAATTTATATCATTTTTTAATACATGATTCATTAGATTTTAACCAACTTCTTCGTTAAACATCAAAAACTTAAAAAATATGGTAAGTTTTTTAAGATAATATTAAGATTCTTAATAAATAATTGTTAATATTCTTAAGACAGAACAATTGGACGCAGCATTAGATTTATTTAGGCGTTTGCCTTCTCAAGATATATCAAGAAATATAATAGCAGTTCTTGAAAAAGTACCACATTTAACAGAAGATCTTTTGTCTTCAATAGACCAGCCTTTACAGATAAAGAAATGTCCTAAGACATCTAAGTTGTATTTATCTTGTGATTATAATAGAGATGGAGATTCATATCGTTCTCCTTGGAGTAATGAATATACACCAGTATTACCGGATGGAATCGTCCCTAATGAGAGGACACGGAAGCTAGAAATCGCTTTTAATGAGGCGTTTGATATGTACAGAATGCTGTATGTTTTTTTTCCTGAAAAAAAAGACGAAAAATTGATTAATATAAGGTATTATGAAGGAGGCACATCAAGTGTATATTTATGGGACCTTGATAACGGGTTTGCGGGCGTAGTTTTAATAAAAAAAGGTAGTTTTTATTATATATTTGTTTTTTGCTGTATATATATGGATTTTAGAATCATCAAAGAAAGGATATTGGGATTCTATACATGTTTTTGAAGTACCATATGGTTCTCGAACTGTACGCTATAGATTAACAAGTACAATTATATTAAACATGGTAACGCAAAGCGAGTTACTTGGACAAATGAATTTAAGTGGCAATATTACTCGACAGGTTATTTCTTTCTTTATATTATTTATTTTCTTATGAAAAATACAGATTGAACAAGAATTACTTGTTGATGATCTGAATTCTCATATTGTTCATGTTGGTCGTCTTGTTGAAGACATGGAAATAAAAATGCGCAATATATTACAGGAAGTTTATTTTGGTAAAACAAAAGACATATGTAATGATCTACGTTCAATTTCTAAATTATCACAACAAAAAGAAGGTGTTCAACTTCAAAAAGAAATGGTACAAAAACTGCCAAGTAGGAGATAATTCATTTATAATTAATTGTTTTTATGTTTTTTTCACATATATCTTCCACCTTATTATCCAGATTTTCTACGTATAGACGTTAAAAATTCAAAGTGCTGAATATTGCTTGGAAACTTGAGTAAATTGAGGATTTAGAAAGAGTATATAGCGATGGATATTTCAGAGGTTCGTAAGGCTCATAAAGTTCTTCAAAAGGCGTTTCAAGAAGGGAATCAAATGGTATATTTTTTATTTTTTTAATATAAAATTAATAATAATGGTAGTTAATTATTGATATATTAAGGCTTTTAAAGAATAAAGTTGTAGTATCAGAGGCGCTTGTTGTATGGATATTTAACAGTATTTTTTTTGGATATTTTTAAAGGTTTTTATAGGATACAAAGGTGGGAGTTACAATTGGAAAATTAAGGAATTATTCGGAGAAATATGTAGCAGATTTAGCTAAGGAGATTTCTAAGAAATGGAAGGGAGATTTTAGTGCTTTGAAGAAAGCTTCTTTAGTGAAAAATACATCAGAAATGGGGAAAATGTCAGCAACAACCTCTACGTCAAATACGTCAGAAAAAACAAGAAATATGGGATCAAAATGTATTAAAAATGATATTACAGGGGATAAAGTTAGAGACAATTGTATTTCATTGATTTATACTGCATTGGTTAGTGATTCAGAAGATTTGAAGGAAGAAATTTTTTCAAAAGCAAAAGCTATTGATGAATTTGTTTTTGCCTCTTGTTCACATAAAACAGATGATACATATAGACAAAAGATGAGATCTTTGTTATTAAATTTAAAGGATAAAAATAATCCTGGTTTGAGAGAAAATGTTGTTAATGGTGAATTGAGTATACCACGGCTTTGTACAATGACACCACAAGAAATGGCATCAAAAGAACGGAAGGAGGAAATTAAAAAACTGGAAGAGATGAATCTTTTTAAAGCACGAGGGCCTAAGCCAATAAAAGCGGTAACTGATTTATTTCAGTGTGGAAAAGTAATATTAAATTATATTGTATAGCAAATTCTAATATTTACTTATAGTGTAAACAGAGAAAAGTTTCATATTACCAAGTATTTATACAAGTTTAAGTTAGTAATATTTGGCTTATGATTTTATAGATGCAAACCCGAAGAGCAGATGAGCCAGTATTATTTATGCTATTATATAACATTTTTTCTAATAAGATTTATAGATGACTACTTTCTATGAATGCCAAGTTTGTAAGTTTTTAAAGAAATAAATATCTTTTAATGTATTGAAGGTGATAATCGGTGGAAAACATAATTATTGTATATATCAATACAATGTGTTGTAAAAATGACAATCTGCAATAAATATCATAGTTTGTAAGTATTTCATTGATTAGCATATACTTAATAATAAGTACTGACATTAAGTGCTAGATGAATATATTACAAATAGATATAAGTAATTATGTATATGGTACTTTATTGTGTGACGAGAATTTTTACATTTTCAAACCAATCTAACATTGGATTTTCACCGCTAATTGTTTTGGTTGCTTCAATATCAGCCCAATGTTCAAGAAACCTTCTATGAGTATAGATTTCTATATGCCTATTTTCTCCTGGTTGCAAACATGTTGCTTTGTATACACTTTTTAGAATCTCAAAATTTGTTGGAAACATGATATCGAAATATCTAATATATTTAACATATTTCTACAATTGTGCTGGTTATTACCCTTGTTTCACTAAATATGTTGAGCATGGAACTGTCATGCCGGAAAATCGTGTCTGGACTATTGGAGCATTAAGACCTTGAATAGAGTCTGGAAGAGAAAAGAAATCAGATATAATTAATTTATGTTCTGGAAAATAGTCCCGGAGAATATCAAATAAAAGAAGCTGTTTTGTAGGTATAAATTCTGGATCAATTAAGTTTTCTGAAAAAGGAAGATATGTTTTTAATCGTTTTATAAAATAAGAAATTTTATTGTATCTATTTTTATGTGTTTGTGCGATTCTATTTTTTAGCAAGAGATATCTCATTATTAATGGATCCAATATAGGTGAATAAAATTCATGAATATCTCCTATTTCATCAATGACTGCTAATGCCTGATATGCCTGTTGCGTTATTGGATTATATCGTATTAAATCATGTGGAAAATTGTCCTTTTATCCTTATTATATATTATAATAAAAATGCAATACTTACTAATACTTCTAATAGTATAAAAAAACAAGGATTAGAATTTAATGTATTCCAATCTAATATACTTTTATTAATGATTTCAATTTTTTCTTGATGTTCACGATAGTGTTTAGTGTTTTTTATCATTTCCATTTGTTGTGTTGCTAATGGATGGCTAATTTCAATTGCATAGTATTTCGTTCGTGCGTATACATCCGGATCAATACGATCAATATAGTCCATAATATTTAACATTAATGTCCCATTACCCGATCCCACTTCGTATATTATTAAATCATCATATGGATAATAAGATAGTTTATAATGTGTTAGTATATAGCGTGCTATCGCCTCCCCATAATATGGCTATCATATAAGCTATAAAAATAAATAAACATTTATAATACTTTAAACAGCTCCGTCGGCGTATGCCATAACTGATTAGGAAGTTTCATGCCCTTTTGTACAGCCATTTTATCATAATTTTCATATATTTTTCCCAATTTTTTCTGAAAACTATTATTGTCTTTTATCTTTGAAAATTCAAATGACGAAGGTATTGATAAAATACAAGAATGCTTATTGTAATACCCATAAAATGGATTATAAAGAGAATCCTCAATGAAATCACGAACCAACATTTGAACCAGTCGAGGCGGCTCTTTATTTGTTAATAACGACATTGAATTTACAGTTTGACATTTTTGAGGTAAATCTTCAGGAGAAAAGCTATATAATACATTTCCTGCACGATAAGGATAAGTTGGTGTTTGATTCTCTGTATTTTTTTTTATTTGCCATGAAATATAACGTTTTGGATAATAAATTGTTTGATTGTAAAGACGGCTTAAACCGTAAAAGAATGACCGGTTCTTATAAAAAGCCGATATAAACATATTTATTCTAAATAAATAGCTGATTTAAAGTCATGTTTGTTTTTTTTTCTGAAATTTCAAAACAATGGATGTTAATATTTTCGGAAAATACCTTGCATTGTAAAATTTGCCTTGATTTTTTTGTAAATGAAAATTACACAGAGATCATAAACATGAACAAGTAAAACAAAATAGTTTGTTGCAGTGTATTTTTTTTTTATGTGCGTTTTCCACTTCCAAATTTGTTTCTTCAATAGATGTATTAGTAGAATAAGATTTTGTTTCCTGTTGAGAAGCTGATTCGGAAGAGAATGATTCAATTGGATATAAATTATCATAAACTAATGAATGGTTAAGTAAACGATTTGGTTTCGTTTGTGAATTTGTTAAAAAATTATAATATTGATCAAAAAGATGAACATGTGATGAATAAATAGATGCCTTTTGACTTTCATGTGTGTTTCTCGGTACCAATTTGCGTATTTCTTGGTTTTCTATAAATGCTTGATTTGATTTAGGACAATCAATAATAATATCAAATCGTCTAACTGCATGTACTGAATTAAATATCGTGTTTTTGTTATTATGAATAAAAAAATCATTTAAATGCATAGTCATGTCTTTTTCTTCATTATTAGTCATATTCACAGGAATTCCTTCATATCCAAATGATTTATTATATGAATTCGATTTCTCATTCGTTTTCATATATGGAATAAGCGTATTTATTCCCCCCATTTTTAAATCATTTATTCCACTAGAATTCTTATTTGAACACTTCAGACGTCTTATCTTCTTAAAATGCTTTCTTTTTCTTTTTTGACTTTCAATTAATTTAATAATTGATGGTCCAAGACTCCCAAATTCCTCAAAAATCTTCGCTTTTGACGGAAACTTATGGGGAATCTTATCCACCTTATGTTCCTTCTTTTTAATCACTTCTTTTTGCTTTATTGTCACCATTGACATTATATTTTCAAAAAAATCATTTTCAATATTATCATCACTAAAACTTAAGGTTTCTTCCTCTAAAAACCACGAAACTCGAAGATTATTCAAATGTCCTCGATTAACAATGACTTCTCCCGTTCTAAGATCTACTTCGTCGGATTCTTCTGTCATGTCTCTCCCATACCGTTCAAAGATTCCTTCTAATGTTGATTCATACCGCGTACGCGATTCCTGTCGCTTTAACTCTATATATTCTGGATCATATCTATCATAGGAGCTTATTCTCATGATATTTCTTTTATTCAGATGAATTAAAGTTTATCAAAGGGCTAAAGATGTAAAAGTCAGAGTTTGGAGATTAACGAGTGGAGGTCGTGAGGAGAAGGAGAAATTGACTAAGTTATATTTAGAGAGAAATAATATACATAAAAAGAGTCTAAAAATGATATGCACTTTATTGTCTAAAAGTATTAAAATAAAATTTAAGTATGTGAAGAGAAATTTTGAGAAGGATTTTCAAGTAAATGTTTAACGTATATTTCAGCTTTCAATTCGAGCTGTTTATCATCTAAACCACAGACACTTGAGTCTAAAGCGAGTTTTGTGTTTGCCAATGATTGTATATATTCTTCTATGGTATTTTTTGTGACCAAACGAATGACATGAACTTCTTTTATTTGACCGACACGATGTGCACGATCTTCGGCTTGTTTATCATCATGTGGATTGAATGATCCATCGTAGAGAATGACGATGTTGGCACAAGAGAGATTTATGCCGAAGCCGCCTGAAAAAAAGGTGAAAAAGAATAAATATAAGAAAAAAAAGTTACCAGCTTTTGTGGAAAGAAGAAAAACAGTAATGTCAGATTCGTCAGTAAACTGATCGATGATATCTTGGCGTGTGTCTACAGAAGTTCTTCCATCTAAACGAGTAAAAGCGATATTTAAAGTTTCTAGAACTTCTTCTAAGATATTTAAGGTTTCCACGAATTGTGAGAATAATAAAACTTTATTTCCTCTTTCTTTTGCTTCCATAAGAATATATTTAAGCTTTTCAACTTTCCCAGAATTCATCCATGGTGTTCCTTTTAACGCGAATGACTGTATAGAAGGAAATTTTTTACACAATTGATGTATTTCAAAATCTGTCATTACTTCCATATCTTCATAAATATAGTTTTGGTTAGCATTTTGATAATCAGGTTCTTTCATTATATTTTTTGCAATTTTTTTAAGTATAACATTATTATAGATTCGACGAAAAAGTAAAGGATGGTTTGTTGCTTTTCTAAGCTGCATAAGAATATTATATGTGCGTTTCCCATCATTTTTGGATTCAATTCCTGCAGCTCTTTCTTCTACTGATTTTTTTTGAGTAAAAATGCATTCATCATAAATACTTTGTTGTTCTTTATTCATTTCACAAAATTCTATATGTTGAATTTTTTTTGGAAGATCATTTAATACCTATATTTGTTTGAGAAAACATAAAACTTAAAAATAATAATTACATGTATTTTTTTCCTCCTCAAAACAAAAGGTGTCATCATTGACTTTGCTCGCATAATGCGTTGTTCTGAAAGTAAAGTTGATCCTGAATTACCATCATTAATTGTCTTTATTTTAAAAACAGTAATTAATTTTTCAATATTTTCTGAAAATAATGTTGGTAGAATAAAAAATAAAAGAGACTAAATGTAATTTAGTATATAATATATAGTATTATGTCTTACAATTAATTCTTTTAAATTATTTTGTAGAGGCTATATTTAATTTAGTATTAAATGTAAAAACTGAATATAATAATTACCGTGCCAGTAAGAAGAAGACGAAAATTAGCATTAATATTCATCAAATGTTTATATCTTTCAGATAAACTATTCTTAAGAAAATGCCCTTCATCATACACACAAACCTATAATTTTAAATAATTAAAAAAAGTAGAAAAAAATTACATCAAATCTTTGACGTCTAAGAAATGTTCTATCTTCCTTACTTCCAGTAGCTAGTTGGTATCTAATTTATTGTTAATGGAAGATAAATAATAAATTTATTTTATACGTTGTAATTATTATATTATAGTCAGGATTTTCTTCCAAATGATATCTTATATCTAGACGTTCATTTTGAGTTCCTATTTTAATTACTTGTAGTTAAAAGAATTTTATATAATATTACCATAATAAGGCTCAACTTTAAGAGATGGACAGAATTTTGCTAATTCACGAAGCCAGTTTTCTAATGAATTGTTATTTTTAACAATAATATATATATAAGACTATGCCTAATGTAGAAGCAGGAACAACAATAAGATGGGGTCCAGTTTTTCCTAATTCTAGCAAATGTGCAAAAAATGCTATTATTTGACATGTTTTCCCAAGTCCTATATATATATTAACATATATTTATTTATTTATTTAAAGAAAAAAATATAATACCCATTTCATCTGCTAATATTCCAGATAATTTTTTCCTATACAAAAGATTTAACCAATTTACACCAAAAAGTTGATAACGTTTTAATTTAACCGTATCAGGAATAAGATTTGGTTGTTGATTTATATATTCTTCTAAAAAAAAATTAATAAAATATAGAATTGATGTAAAACGTACGATCATTTATTTGAATTTTATCAATATCATCACTACCAATGCTAAGTTCTCCTATTTCTGGGGCAATTTTTAGTCCCCAATTCGATATTGATTTAGAAATGGATTTTCCTAACTCGTCGCATTTAGAAATAAGAGAATCTATGGCCTTGTAACCTTCCAACATCTGCAAATATTTGAATATTTAATAATAAATAATAGATTTATTTTACCTCCATGCATGATTCTAAGACTTTCATACCTAAAGTTTTTTTCTCTTTTCGTCTATCTTTTTCATCTGTTTTACATTTGCTTCGAATTTCTTTTACTGAGTCAATGTTTTTAAAAGGTCTAGATTCTATGATTTCTTCTGCTATTTCTAGAGTACAGTTAGCTAGATCAGCTATTTCTTTAGCCGATTTTTGATTTAAAAATTCTAATGTTTCCTCCTCTAATTGGCTATTATCATTTACATCTTCATTAGATACTGAAGAATCATCTGATTCGGAAAAAGAGTCTTTTTGATTTTTCGTACGAGATATCCCTCTTATAAGTCTTTTTTTCTGAACAAATTTGTTCGTAGTGTGAACAGGAGTTACGTAATTTTGATTTTGAGTCGAATTGATATGTTTTTCTCGAATTGTATAACGAGAATGTTGTAAAGTTCTTTTAGATGTTATCTTTTCCTGTACACCTATTGGAGATGATTTCAGATTCGTAATATCTACATTTTCTAAGTTTGTAAGCTCTGTCGTATTATTAAAACCTGATGATGTTGATGACGTTAGTGTTGATGATGTTAATGGTTTTAATAACATGTTCTCAAGAACGTATTCCGGAAGATGTGGATAAATTCTTCTTAAAAAATCTTTCTTTTTCTGGAACGCTGCACTTTCTATTTTTTTTTCTCTTTCGCTCTTTGCTTGTGGTGCCTTTTGTATTAAATATCCATTTGATAAATTAGCATGCCCATCTACACTTGGTTTTTGCATCATTTCTTTTGTTTCCACATTCACATTTCCTTTCTTTTGATACGCAAACTGCGATGTATATTCTTTAAACTTCTCAATAGGCGATTCCTTAACTACAAATGTTGTATCTTCTACTTTTTCTTGATAAACTTTATTAAAATTATTTTCAACCGGCAATGAACATGATGGCCCTGTAGTATCAACCATTTTATCTTCATTTCTATCCCGTTTATGTATCAGATTCGTTTTCTGTATTAAATCTTTGTTTTCTTCTGTATATAATGTTAAATTATCTATATTTTTGCTTGTCGGGTGATTTTCGCCCAAAAAAGACGAAATAGATATCGGAGATGAACATGCAACTTGAATTACGCTATCATCTTCTCTTTTTAACGGCTCCTCCACATATTCCGTTAGATCAATACATCTTTTCTTATTTTTAGAAACTGTCATTTTATTCTATTCTCTCCCAAATTTTCCTCTTCTTATATCAATTATTCAGCTCATTTCTTAGATATATATTCATAAAACTAATACGAATAGCCTCTTTCTCCTCTATTTAATACATATTTTATATCCTCTCTACAATATATATATATATATTTATCTTAATCGATGAGCTCTGCGGGAATAAAAATGTCGTCCCAAGATGCTGATCAAGCTGATAATGTAGTAAAGAAGTTGTTATTATATCCTTTATTCTTTAGTTATCTTAAGAATTTATAGATATGTTTTATTTAAGTTTTTTTTATTTTCAACTGCTATGATTATTGTACCGATTAGCAGCTATTATTTGTCTTTAAGATATATTTTTAAGGGTTATACATAAGAATCCATGTTTCTAAGCTGATAGTGATATATTTAGAAAATAATACAACATATGCCGCAATTGTTGCTGTATTAATGACGAATGTTGTTTTGGTCGGATATATTATATTAGCACTCATTGAGGAAAAAGATAGCCAGATGAGAGAAAAGGGTGAAACTCTATCTAAGAAGCATCAATAGATATAAAAGATATTTTAAGAATATTTTGTTTTAAAAACATTTTATTTTGTTTTAAAAACATTTTGTTTATTGGTAAATTATAAAAATCTTTTTAGATAGTTTAACTTATTATGTAAAAAGATGAAATAAATTAATATATTAGTATATATATTAGTTGTTTTTTTTTCAATTGAGCTTACAAGTATTTATTGAGATTACAAGTATTCTGCGGGTCAGAACGATATATTATCAACGTCATAAAATTGTCTGTGGATGAAAGTGTGTTTAATAGGAGTATTTAAGAGGAATTAAGAGGCAGAAATTGTAAATAATTTATTGAGAAGGTGTTTTTTTGGGTCTAGAGATGTCTACTTTGCATAGACAAGTGGTTAAAGAGAAATTGAATTCATCCAGGTTTTTTGTTAAGACAGAGACTGAGGGTTTGGATATGAATGAATCAGAGGTAGATGTTGATTATGAGGGACGAGACGAATTCTATGATGAGAATTTGAAAACGAGAGGTTTTAGTGTAGAGGAGAGATCTAGAACGAATGAATTTGTTAAGATAGATAATGAGGATTTTAATGCTTTATGGTCGGGTTATTTTGAAAGATCTTTGAAGATTGGACCATTTCAGGTGTATTTGACGTTACCTAAATTGTCAGAAACAAAGGAAGAGACGGGAATGGCTTTTTTTATTATGCATCATGGTGCAGGATCGTGTGGATTGAGTTTTGCCTGTTTGGCTAAAGAAATTACTGAAATAACTAATGGAAGTTGTGGAATAATATCATTTGATGTTCGTGGACATGGAGTATCGGATGAGGTGTTTCGAAATGGTCTATTAGATCTTGGATTAGAAGAATTATGTAAGGATTTTGTTAGAATTGTACAGCTTGTTTTCCAAGAATTTGGCTTGGATGATATATCAGAAATTATTTTGGTTGGTCATAGGTATTAATTGAATACGTGTTTAAGATATTGAGCTTTTTCTTATGTTTAAAAAAGCATAGGAGGTGCTGTTCTTTCTCATGTGGCAAAAAATCAGTTATTACCAAATATTTTGGGTTGCGCGGTTTTAGATATAGTAGAGGGTATTAATTTAGATATTCATGTTGTTTAATTTAGTCTTTATTTATTATTTAGGATCGGCTATCAACTCTTTTTCGACAATGATGTATCATCTTTTAAAGAGGCCAAAATCTTTTAATACAATACAAGAAGCAATTGATTGGCAGTATGTTATTTTTTCTTTTTTATATTGTTTTAATGTTTTCTAGTTTGAAAAACAAAATTCTAAAAAATGAACAATCTGCCAAGGTTTCTGTACCTTTACTCTTTAAAAAGCAAATATCTACCGATACAAATAAAACTAAATGGGTTTGGAAAGTCAATTTAAATGAAACTGAACATTTTTGGCATGGTAAAATATTTTATTTCTTTTCTTTTTAATTAATATCAACAAAGAATGGCTAAATGATCTTTCCAATTGCTTTTTAGCTATTCCATCTGCAAAATTACTTATTCTTTCAAGTAAAGATAGGCTTGATAAAACACTAATGATTGCTCAAATGCAAGGAAAATTTCAATTGATTACTTTTCAAAACACCAGTCATTTTATTCATGAAGATTTACCCGAATTAACTGCAAAATCGGTTTGTTCTTTAAATCCTTTCATTCCTTCATATAACCCTTATAAATAGCTTGTTTCTTTCTGGAAACGAAACCAAAAGTCCTTGCAATTGACTAAAAGAATTTAAGCTTGTATCTTTCTTCTTACTCGGAACACTCGGGTGTCCTTTAGGAAAATGTGCCCCGTTTTTATGAGACCTTAAACTACGCTTGAAAAAATATTGAACATACTTTTTTTGACACGATTTCTCTTGTTTTTGCCAATAAAGCGGCTTATTTTGCTGTATTTTTCATAGGTTTTTGATACTTTAAATTGCTAAGTATAAATTACATTTAAGAGATAGATTATTGATTTAAAAAACCAGTTTTTCTGATAAGTTAAGAATCATTTAAATAAAGGAAAAAGACAGGAATTGGGAAAAAAGGGTATTTTTGGTATGAAAGAGCTATTAAGATTATGTATTTTATTGGTGATTACTGGTATTGCAAGATTGAGTAAAAATACTGGAGTATATGCGTCAGTAAAAGATGAAGAAATAACAGAGAAACGGCCCACTTTTAAGGTGTGTATGCGCGGGGAAAATGGTATTTTTGGTGAATTGATGGGTATAAGGCGATTAATCTGAAAAACGCGGGATTTTTAGAGCAATTTACGGAGAATTGGAAGGAAAGATGGACAGTATCATCAGCACTTAGACGTGTAGATGGAAATGATACGTTTTTCTATGTTGGAAAGTGGAAGGTTGAAGAGCCTCGTGTACATAAGGGAATTATAGGTGATAAGGGTTTGGTACTTAAGAATGAGGCGGCTCATCATGCTATTTCGGCGAAATTTGATAAACCAATAAATAATAAAGGGAAAACATTAGTAATTCAATATGAAGTTATGTTTCAAAATAGATTGGAGTGTGGAGGAGCATATTTGAAACTTATAACAGAATCGAGTGAGGATATTCATCATAAGGAGTTTAGCGATAAAACACCATACACGATTGTATAAGAAAAAAAAAAAATAAGAATGATTAGGGGTGTAATAATGTTTTTAGATGTTTGGACCGGACAAATGTGGTGTGACGAATAAGGTGCATTTTATTTTTCGGCATAAAAACCCAATTACGGACGAATATGAGGAAAAACATCTTAGATCACCACCTGCTATTGATGATTCTAAATATACGACGCTTTATACATTGATAGTTAGGCCTGATCAGTCATACGAAGTTCGTATTAACAACAAAGTTTCCAAAAGTGGGAATTTGTTGACTGATTTTGAACCCCCGGTAAATCCGGAGAAGTTTATTGTCGATCCTCTTGATAAGAAGCCCGATGATTGGGTTGATCAGGCTAAAATTCCAGATCCAAATGCAAAAAAGCCAGACGATTGGGATGAAAATGAACCTTATGAAATTCTCAATACAGATGCCGTAAAGCCGACTGACTGGCTTGAAGATGAGCCATCGATGATTCCAGATCCGGGTTAGTATAGGAATTGTTTTTTTTTTCATTGGATTTATTAGTTTTAGATGTTAAACCTCCGGAAGAATGGAATGAAGAAGATGGTGAATTTATTGTAAGTATCTTCTTGAAATAATTTAAGTATTATTGATATTATTCTTAGGCGCCTTTGATACCAAATCCTTTATGTAAAGAAGCATCCGGATGTGGTCCTTTTAAGCCAATGATTCGAAATCCTAAATATAAAGGAAGTATGTCTACTTGAATCTTATTTTTTTTTGTTATAATGCTCACATTTCTAGAATGGAGGCCACCTCTTATTAATAATCCTAAATATGTTGGTGAATGGTTTGTATTTATTCTTTTGAGTGAAAATGCTTTTTAACCTATTCAGGAAACCACGTAATATTCCTAATCCTGCGTATTTCGAAGATAATTCCCCTTCTGATTTTGAAACAATTGTTGGAGTTGGTTTTGAGCTTTGGACAATGCAAAGTGATATTTTGTTTGATAATATTTATATTGGACATTCTGTAGAAGAGGCTGAGCAGCTTGCCAAGAATACTTTTCAAGTAAAATACGAGTTTGAGAGGAAGGAAGAAAAAGAGGTTCCTCCTGCACCGGAAACAGTATTAAATAATGTTCCAAAAGAGACATATTTTGATACTGCTATAAGAAGAGTTGTTACGTTTGTTGATTTAGCAAAAACTAGTCCCGTTTCGGCTATTAAACAAATGCCAGGGACAGCATCTACCATAGGAGTTGTATTTGTCACTTTTATAGCTCTTTTGTTTGGGTTGGTTACTTTGGTTTCCGTAAGTTTAGTATCATGTTTTACTTTTGAATTGACTTGTTATTTAGTCAGGACATACTTCAACAGCTGGGTCAGAGAAAGTAAAAGGTGGTCATTCAAAATCTAATAAAGCTTCGAAAGATGATCATTCAAAATCAGATGAGGCTGTGAAAGATGACTTGTCTGAGGATGCTCACAATTCTTCAGAGCAAGTTATATCTAAAAAACGTTCGACTCGACGTACTGAATAACTTTGGACTTTGCTTTCTAGAAATAAATGTCTATTTTAGATTAATAAGTTTTATTTTTGTGTTAATATACTGCATCTAATAAAAATTATGGTACATTTTAAATTTTCTTTTAATATTTTAAAATATATTATGGAAATAGTTTCGATATTGTTTTTTATAAATGGGATTTGTATTAGTTTTATGTTGAATTTTCTAAGGTAGAATTTTGTTTTTTTTTGTTTTCTGCTGCCCATTTTTGAGCCATTGCCAATAATTTGAAATTTCTCTTATCTTCATCAGTAGGGAAGATATAATCGTAATACTATAAAATGTTAAATATTTATAATACAGTAAAAGTATTTTTACTTCTTCATATGTTCCGTCATCTAGTTTCCGTCTACTTTTAGCTACTTGTGGCATTTGATCTTCTACCATTTTAAGAGATTTCTCATCACCATTAGAAATTTCAAATTGTTTCCAAGCTTCCAATAAAATTACACGCTAAAAGTAAATTAATTTGGAAATAAATATTAAGTGTTCTACTTCTTCTTTTAAATTATGTTCCTTAAGGTTTTTATAAGCCCTTTGGAAGACATTTCTTGCTCTTTCTTTTGAATATCCCGAATCATCATCAGAATTATCAGGTACTGAAAATTCAAAATGAGCAAAACTTATCCAAACTTTTACATGTTGTGTTTTTTCTAATAGTCTTTCATAAAGTATTCTAGTCCTATCATATTCCCCTTCTTCGAATTCAAAATCAATATAAGCTTTCCATAAAAGTTCCGGCATATCTAAATTATGTTGTTCTTCAATTGCCAATTCAAAAATTGCCCGTACACGTGCGTAATCTTCAAGCATATGTTCTAATTCTGCATATTTAATCCATGCATAACAATTATATGGATCATATTCTATAAATTTCTCATATAGAGTTCTACAGCGATCAAATTCTCTTAACTAATATTTTTTAGAATTGATAAAAAAATTTGATGATTTACCTGAAGTTCAAGCTCAATGTATTCCTTAAAAAGCTTGTTCTTAGGACACATTCCAATAGCCATACCTAAATACTTTCTAGCTACAGATAAATTCAATTGTCTTATTTCAAATTTAGCGTATAACACCCATATCTTAGAAAAAGTAAAAATCTTATGTGGAATTAGTTTTAAGCATTCTCTATAAATTTGTCTAGAACGTTCATAATCCTAATATTATTAATATCACAATATAAATTTTTAATAGTATACACTTTTGTTTCTAATTCTTCATAAAGTGCATAAAATATCCAAATATATATATATCTTCTCCAATGTTTTTTTTGATATGATGGAGGAACATGAGCTATTGCTCTTTCATAAATGTTCCGAATTTTTTCTGAATCACCTGATGACTCCTCAAGATTTATATAATCAAACCATGCATCGTAATTCTTATAAATCATTAGTTCCCAATATATAATCATAAAGGAACAACATACCTTCGGGTTTTCTTTTATTTGTTCTTCATATAAAACTCTTCGTTTGGCCAATATAGTATCTTCAATTCCTTCTTTATCTCCAAATTGCTACAGAGAATTAATATGATACAAAATATAATATTTATACTTTTTCAAATGAACTATACACATTGTATAATGCTTCACTTTTGCTTTTTGGTAGTCGATCCAGTGCATATCTGTAAATAACTCTAGCACGTTCATATTCTTTTAATTTTGTTTCGAATTTTCCATATGCAATAAAAACTTTTTCATCCATAAACTCCTCTCCTAATGTATCAATGGCAGTTGTAAAGACCTCCCGAACTTGATCTAAAATATACATTAAAACATACATTTATTATCATATATAAAATATAGAAAAACCCGATGTTCCATATTCTTGTTCAAAATTTGCCCATTTGATCCAGTTTTTTGGTTCTGGATATAATGATATAAACCTTTCAAATATCGCCCTTGCACGTGGTATTTCATTATATCTTTCTTCTAATCGTATATACGCATGCCAAGCTGCTTCATCTTATAAAAATTAAACTTTTCTCTAAAAATATATAATTTAATTAACCTGGCTCCCATGACATCCATCTTTCAAAAATTTGACGAGTACCTGATATATTTCCAAGCGTCTCTTCCATATATACATATCTATACTATGTTAACCTAAAAATATATATATTAAATTCTTTTTATAATTATACTTGAACCAGAATTTATCTACTCTAGGCATCAATGTAACCACTCTATCAAAAAGATTGCGTGCATGGTTTATCTATCCTGTTTTAATCTTCTTTATAATTGATTAAATAACAAATTACATTTCGGTGCTTGATTTCACTCTCCAAATAGTGAAGCCATAGAGGAATATTTGTTGCATCTACATCTAGAGCTCTCTCAAATATAGATCGTGCTCTAAATTACATATAGCTTCAGTTTTTTTTGACATTTTATGTATTTTTTTAACCTTGCAAATTCTTTCTGTTCTAATTCCCATTGTGCATAGCGAACCCATTGAGATGTAGAAAGTCTATTCCTACGTATAGCATCTTCAAATTCCTTTCTCTTTCTTCCTTGTAGCTCATGAAGCTCTTCAAGATCTGTTAAACGTTGTTTTGGTGCTGGAAGTGCTGGTTCTTGTCGCTCAAAAGCCTCACGAAGCAGCTGTTCAGCTGTAAAAAACTAAGATACCCTCTTATAAACAATATCCTCTTATTTACCTGTAATTTGGATTGGTGCTGGTGCCTTATTTTTGATTCTTGGAGGACCTCTTTCTGACATTTTATATATTAGTCGTTTGTCGGTCGTTGATGAGTCGATCAGTATATATAGAATGTCTTATTTGTTAGTTTAGAAGACTATAAAGGTTAATTAAGCATTGTTGATAATAAGATTTGTTATGTGAAATATAGAATGAATATGTTTGATATGTGTAGTTTGAAAAGTGTAAAATAAATGAAAAAAAAAAAGATAAAAAAGAAGAAGAAAGTGTTAGATTTGACCAGAAAGATGTTTTAGATGAGTTGATGTTGTAAAAGTATTTTTTTTTGTGTTTTTTTTGTTGAAAAAAGAAATTAATGAAGAAGAAAAATAAAAGTTTTTAAAAAAGAAGAATATTATCGGAATATTTCTTGAATAATTGCATTGATTGTGTCATTGAGTTTTAGATGATATGTGTAATATTTTGAAGAGATGATTTCAATTGTGTAATAAATGAAATTTTGAAAATAATGTTAATTATTTAAGAATTGAGTTATTTGAAAGATAAACCATTAGTTAGGAATAGTAATTTTATTGTTTAAGATGTATGATGTGTGAAATATTTTGTATAATTGATATTCTTGCGATATATTAAGAGAATAGAATAAAAATTATGTATGTTGTGTTTTTGTGTAAATTTTTGATATTTGTACAGCTAAATTTAATAGATTTAAGTGTTCGTTGCCGCCATCAATTAGACGCATATCAGTTTCACCCATAATTTGAATCATTGCATTTTTCTGTGTGTTAGAAATGAGTTCATTAGAAACAATAGAATCATGTATCTTTAAAGAATGATAAAAGCATTTAAAAAAGAGGATTGCAAACCTGAGATAACAACTGATTAGCGCTATAGCCATCTAAAATTATTTCTGAAACATATTGATCAATTGAATCATATAATAATTCGGTTTTCTTAGATGAAAAACATATAGAAAGCAAATTATCGATAATATGATCAGGAACTGTGCCTGAAATGTCTGTAATCAATTCTAATGAAATACTTTCAACACTTTTATCTAATGATTTGTTCGCATCAGAATCTAAATTAACTAAACGTGTTGCTGATTGAAGAAATGTAATTGCCTTTCGTAAATCACCATTTGACAACTCTATTAGTTTCTCAATTACTCCTTCATCATACCTAACATTTTCACAATTAGCTATATATTCTAATTTACTTTTTGCATTGTGAAAATTAAGTGGTTTAAATTGAAATTTTGAACATCTAGATGCTAAAGGTCCAATAATCCTTCAAATAAGTAAAATAAATATATGATCCTCATTTAACCCACCGAGTTACATAATTACAAATCAAACAAAATCTAGTAATTTTAGAATATGTTTCCATTGTTCTACGTAGTGCTGCTTGTGCATCTTGAGTCATAGAATCTGCTTCGTCTAAAATAATAATTTTATACGGAGGATAAGGACATTCACTTCAAAAATAAACCCTCAATTATATCATTCTTTTATAAATACCTAGATCCATTGGGAATAGCAATTCGTGCAAAGTTTTTGACTTTTTCTCGAATAATTGATATACCTCGTTCATCTGATGCGTTCAATTCTAAAACTCGAGATTTCATTAACTCTGAACTACTCAATTATCATTTTTATTTCTTATATATAAACATAATAACCCAAAAAGCTCCTTTGCAAGTGCAAGAATTGTAGATGTTTTTCCTGTACCCGGTGATCCATAGAATAACAAATGAGGAAGCTTATTAACAATTAAATCTTATAATATTAAACTCAATAACTATACGTTCATCGATTGTAATGTCTTTTTAAGCACTTTGATCGTATGATCTTGTGATGCTACCTCATCAAGACTTTGTGGTCGACTAATCTTTCATTTAACCTCTTTTATATTATAATAAAGATAAATACTATTTCTCAACCCATGGTATCATCCTGTCCTAGTCCTTTTAGATGATATTAATATCCTTATATTATTATACTTTATTTATTTCTTCATTTTCATGTTTTTGCTTAAATATAGGCATATTAGAACAAATACTTGATTTTTTGAGATTTTTCTTAATAAATTCTTAACAATTCTTAACTTTTATTAACAATTCTTGACTTTTCTTAACAACTTTTTAACTTTTCTTAACAATTTTTCAACTTTTTTTAACTTTTCTTAACTTTTCTTAACTTTTCTTAACAATTTCTTAACATTTTATTAAGAATTTATTAAAACTTTAATTAACGATAGGTTAAATGGTAATTAATTAATAAATAAAATATATTAATTATTATAGTAGCATCAGATGGATCAAAACTTGATGGAAACAAACGCCTTATCTCAGGCATTCTTTCAGGATAGATCAGGAAAAATAAATGAACGATTTAAAAACCATTTGATACGGTCATTAGATATTTTAGTTTATTGCCATATAGTCTGTATTTATTTTATGGAGTATATTATTAAATAAATATGTAAATATTGATGTTTTTTAGTGTTAGTTTTTTTCGTCTTTTACTTCGTTCAATTATACAATTGGTGTGTATAATGATTAAGTTGGTTTATAATTATTAAATATTTTTAAAAAGAATATATATACCCATAAAATTGTGTATATTTCAGTTATACCACGATTGGTTTTTTTTTACGTAGTAATTGGGTCATTTTTTCTATGTTTATTATGTCATTTGTTATGGGTACTTCCAGATGCACCAGAAGGGCAATATGGATATTTACATGGAGGATTATTTATTGATTTTGTTGGAGAAGGTATGTATGATATAATGTGTAATTAAGGAATTGAAAGAATAGGACGTCATTGTAAATTTAAACCATGTTTTTTTGATTTTATTATTTTTGTTTTACAACTTTTTATTTTAAGCATAAAAGAGAATTCATCAGATATTATTTCAGATGATTTTACTATATCAGATGATAATTAGACAAGATAGATTAGTTAAGTTGTATAAAAATAGTTAAATTGTAAATAAATTTTATAGGTATTAAAAACTAGAAGCCATTTTAGTATTGATTTTATTTTATTGTGTTGAATTTGTGTATTTTGTTTGTTTTTTTCCTAAATCTAAAATTAAATATGTGAGATGATGAGATCTTTAAATGATTTATTTTAGGATATTTGTATTTTGATAAGTATATATTGAAAAAGAATTGTAATTTATGATGTTAAGTAAGATTTTTAAAGAAACTGGTGTTTTTTTGTTTAATATTCATCTCAGAAATCACATGTTTAAGGATTCGTCATGATCATATTGCTATAAAAAAGTTATTAAGTTCTGAACAAGGATGACGATATATGATTTCATCATAGATATAGATGTATCACAGAGCAAAAATCGTTTAAATACGAATAGGTATAGCTGGCCAATAATTTACTTTTATTTTATTTTCATCAGTACCATGATTAGTATTTTTTCGTGAAAGTTCATAATAATAAGTATCAAGTGCATCTTCTTCTTTTTTAATCAGCTCATATTTTTCTCCATATCTTAGAAAAAGTTCGTTATCATTTCTAACAAGCTTTGAATATGATGGTATATGTGCTTTTAATTCTTCTTTCATTTCTTGATCTTCTTCAAGTGATTCTGTTTTATTTGAAACAAAATATGTTGAATGTTTTGCTTCTAAAATAAAAACTTAGTCATGAAAAAATATGTTAATAACAAACCTGATTTAAATGATTCTGACCATTTGAAATATGCGATATCCTCTTCATTTAAAGTCCTAATGTTTCCATCTGAATATGTATGAAATCCTAAAAAATTGGCATTATTAAATATATTTTTTTCATCTTTTTTCAAAAAATAACTGAAAATTTCTAATGATTCGCTATTAAAATGATTCTCATGAAAGTTAATAAGATCTTCCTCTGTAATCTCTGGAAACTTATTCTGATCTATCATTTGATTAAAGATTTGATGAAACTTAACCGATATTTCTGATTCATATAATATTTAAAATTTTTAAGAATCTAAATGATTAAATTATATCTTATATAATAGTGAATTATTTGTATTTGTTGAATAAAGTTTCTTTCTTATGCTTTTCATTTAATGGACATAATACATTAGAAATATCTGGTAAATCGAGATCGTCTTTTTCATCGCTATCAAATATGATTTTACGCCGTTTAAATCTGTTAGAATAAGTTGGTTTTGCTTTGTAGTTAGATAGTAATGAATTGTTTGTAATTAAATGTTCTTTTGGAATTTCTTCTAATCCATTGCTTTTGAAAGATTCCTTATTAGAAAAATCGTTAAGTTTTAAACATTGAGATTGGTTGATATTTTTTCCTAAAAGCATATAATTCCTTGTATTTTTTACTAGAATATTTCTAAATTTTAAAGAATTGATTTGATTGTTGTTTATAAAGTTGTTTAATACAGTTTTAGATGTTTTGATAGAATTGATTTTTTGCATAGTTTGAATTAATCGTTGACATAGTTTACTATGAGATACATAACAGAAAGAGCTGAGCTTGTCTTTTGGTACTGATTCAGGAAATAGTGTAATATCTTTAGCGAGCAATGGCTGGCTTCCAATTGTTTTAATATCATGATCAAATTGTTCTTTTTGTTCTGAATTAGAATGTTTAATAAAATCATTCGATAATACGGCATTTACTATTCTATTAGATTCTTTATTATTTTCGATTGTTTGTTTATGTAAAGTAGATGCTGTAATAAATTGATTTTTGCATGTAAGAACAGGTTTCTTTTCCTTGTATTTTGATTGATATTTTAATTGATATTTTTTTATAAATTCGTTGCTTATGTCGCTTGATATAATATTCTTGTCTATTACCAGCTCTTGTTTATGGCATTTTGGACTTTCAAATTTAGGTATTATTCTGGGTGATATTTTTTCATGTAATTTTAATACATTTCCATGTGCGATAACCCTTTGAATTGCTTTATAAGAATCTTTAGCACGGAAATAATTTCTTTCTTCTCTCCCAGAAGTAAGTAAGATATATATATGGCCTTCTCGTTTACGTCCTGTTCTTCCCATACGTTGCAATAAACGAATTGAAGATGATGATGAATCATAACAAATAATTAAATCAACTTCACCAATGTCAAGCCCTTCCTCCCCTATTGATGTAGCAATTAAAGTATTAAAATCTTTGGCTTTGAATTTTTCAATAATAGAAATTTGTTCTTTTTGGGTCATTCCTGATGACAATTTACGAGATGATTGACCAATAAATAACTGTGCTTTCACCAATGGATAATCTTCTTCTAGAACCTTCATGATATCTTCTGCACTTGATCTATATTCTACAAATACCATTGCTTGCGTCTCTTCGTTTTTATCATTTGCGTTAACAAAATGATCTAATAGAAGAGAACGCAATTTTTCCAACTTTGGATGCCCAATATATGTTGGGGCTGATCTTAGCTTTTCAATTAAAGATATAATTTGTCTAAATTTTTCTTCACTTTCAAAACATTTGTGTTTTTTTAATACTGGTCCATCCACTAATTCTTTGATTTTTTTGTAAAATGGATTCAATCCATGACAAATTAGTAAAGACATAGGATATGCCAGTGAAGATAAGATGGAGAAAAGTGTAAAAAATTCTCCTTTTTTAATAGATGGTGCGTTCATCATAGATGGAGTTTTCATAAAAGACTTTTGAGCTTGTATAAGACTAAAAGTTGTTAATTCTCCAGGATCATGAACATGATATGCGTTCATTGAATTCAATTGCTGTAAAAATGGTTTTATAATTTCACCGTATAAATCACGAACTGTTATTAACTCTTGAGAAAGAGGTACTAATATAGTTTTTAGTGTTCGATTATGAAGATATTTTTGAATATCAATAGAATCTTCTGTTCGTAACTCAATATGTGCAATATATAAAGAATTGATAACTCCTTGTACTGAATCAATATCTGTCCCCGGTGTTGCTGTTAACGCCAAAATCCTAAAGCTTTTGTTTTTTGAACGAATCATACGAACAACATTACAGTACGCATAATTCCCTATAGCTCTATGTGCTTCATCAATAACCAAACAAACAATTGACTTTTTATTGCAAATTTTCGCTTCCAAATCATTTTGTAAGGCCTGTGGCGTCATAAAAAATACTCTTTTTTCTTTCCATGCAAATGATCTTATTGATTGCTTTACATTTCCACTTAATTCAATCGTATCTTCCGGAGGTATTCCACATATATTATAACACGCTTGAATTTGTTGAGAAACTAAAGGTTTTGTTGGCGCAACAAATATAATCTTACTTTTTGGAAACCATCTATAATAATTAAACATAACTACTGCTGCAATAAACGTTTTTCCAAGTCCTGTTGGAAGTGATACGAGTATATTTTGATAAAGTGCTTTTTGAACAATATTAAATTGATAATCCCTTTCTTTCATGTTCGTAGGATAAATCCACGTCTTAATTGATTCTTTATCTATTTCATGATGCGTTGGTTCCTCCTCCATTTCTTTAATTGAGGATTCTTTTGGTTTATTTGGAATAACTTTTCCAAATAATGTAGTTTGAATAAATTCTTCCCGAAAATTAGCATTCTCTCTCTTATTTACCACTTTCTCCTGTAAATCTGTTTATTTCTAATATATTTTTCATATCAAAATACTCACATTTTCCTGCTTAATATCATTCGTTTTTTTTTCTTCCTCATTAAACGCTGCTTCTACTCTTTCTAAGATAAATTTTAAAGATTCTTCATCTGATATCTCATATTCTGATGCTTCTGACATTTTCTATGCCATAATAGATGCTACTTTTTGTCTTTAAAGGCTAAATATTTATAATTATATTGTGATATGGTTAATCCATCGATGGTTAGAGGTGAAACAGGTTGGATCATAAGGTGCTTTATAAATAATTAACAAAAAGAGTATTAAATATTTAAAAAAAGTAAATAATTACATGTTATAAATAGTTTATCTTAAATATAAAATTTTGCTAGATAGGAATTATACAAGTTGATAAATTTAGATTAAATCCGCAACATTCATAGGCATTTCCTCGATCTTTATTGATAAGTAAGTAGAGATAGAGAAAAAAGGTAGAATTACCTGTGTACTATAAAATTGTTCAATATCCCGCATCATTCTTACATCTTCGGAGGTAACAAAATTAATAGCTACACCTTTACGACCAAATCTTCCACCTCGTCCGATCCTATGAATATAATTTTCACGGTTAGATGGTAAATCATAGTTAATAACCAATGAAACTAAAATTTTAGTAAAAGGGTTAAAAATATAATAATAAAAAGAATACTTTGCTGGACATCGATTCCTCTGGCAAGAAGATCAGTAGCAATCTAAAACAAATAAGTATAAGATTATTTTTAAGAGAATAATTTACCAAAATACGAGAGGAGCCACTTCGGAATTCTTTCATAAGAATTTCTCGTTCGGATTGTTGCATATCACCATGCATAGCAGATACTGTAAAATCGCGTGAAGTAAGTTTTTCCGTTAACCAGTCTACTTTTCTTCTAGTATTGCAAAAGATAACAGCTTGTGTGATTGTAACTGTTTCATATAAATCACATAAGGTGTCGAGTTTCCAATCTTCTCTTTCAACTGCTATATAAAATTGTTTAATACCTTCCAATGTAAGTTCGTCCTTTTTAACAAGAATACGAATTGGATCACGCATAAATTTTGTAGTAACCTCAAGTACATCTTGAGGCATTGTAGCTGATAAAAGGACGACCTGTGTCGACTGTGGCAAAAGTTGAAAAATATCATACATTTGATCCTTGAAACCCCTCTGTTTTTATTAGTAAATGCTAATTTTTATACTTCAAAATATTACTGAAAGCATTTCGTCTGCTTCATCCATAACAAAAATTTTTATAGCATCGGCTTTTAAAGCTCTGCGCTGAATCATATCATGAACTCTTCCTGGAGTTCCAACAACAACATGTACACCTGATTGAAGCATTTGTATGTCATCCTTTATATTTGTTCCTCCAATACAAGCATGACACTTATTATAATTTTAGTTTTTTTTTTCCCCTAAATCCTAAAAATATAACCTCTACTTGCAAAAAGTCCCCTATAGCAATCACTACTTTCTGAATCTGCTGCGCAAGCTCACGCGTAGGGGCGAGAATAAGTGCCTGACATTGCTTTAAACCAATATCTATTTTTTGCAATACGGATATCGAAAAAGTTGCCGTTTTTCCCGTCCCAGATTGTGCTTGTGCAATCACATCATGGTCTTTATATCCATTAACCATTCTATCTTCTTTCTATTTACTCGTAATTACTCCCACATACCTCTAATAACCGGCAAAATAGCTCTTTGTTGAATAGCTGAAGGACGTTCAAAACTAAAAAAAAAGTATTAAAAAAACAATTTTATCAAAAATAACATAATCCTTATTTACCCATATGCATAAATACCTCTCAATAGCTCTGGTTTGAGGTCCATATTGTCAAAATTATCAACAACCTAAAAACATTTGTTTAATTTTTTTTTTAAAAATATTTCTTTTCTACTTCATCCCAATTGGAATCTATTTCTCCTTGAACTTCTGAAAGAGTTGCATTCTCTTCGGGCCTAAATATATGTTTTAATCTGCTTTTTTTCCTACTATTTAGCTCTACTTAACAGCCATTTTTATTTTTCAAATACTTTTATTTTTTTGAGGTTATTCTGTATGAAAAATTAATACTTTAAAAAGCGTTTTTTTAATTTCTTGGTTTCGTGGGTTAAACCCTAATTCCTAAATATAGGTATATACATTAGCATATTATTTACGATAGCTGCTATACGAGTATCATATGATCTCTTTATTTTTAATAAATTAGTCCTTTTGATAAGTTTTTTATGTTTTTTTTCCTATAAAACGCCCATTCTTAATGTTTAGATGGTAATTTAAAGAATTAAATATGAAAATATACGTATATTTTGTTTTATATTGTGATTGCATATATGACGATTTGTAAAAAAAATACAGATATAAATAAGAATTCTAGAACTATCTATATATAGGTGTTTTATAGTTGAGAGTGCATACAAGACGCATACAAGACGCATACAAGACGCATATAAAGCGCATATAAAGCGCATTAATAAAATAAATTTTAAGGAATTGAAAAAAGAAAAGAATGATATGAATAAAGTCTTATGATATTTTGAATAATTAATTAATTAATGTGTATTTAATGAAGTATATGCACTTGTTATACGGAAAACCGTACGCGATTCGGTTGGATTTTTAAAAACCGAGAATGTTTTAGCAACGTTAAAAAAACCAAGATATTAGAAGATTAAGGATTCTGGTAAGATTAAGACAAGCTTTTATATATTTATGGCTAAATGAATAAGATATGTCTATAGATGAAGCGGGTTTATTGAGGGTTCAGGAATTAATTGAAGAAAGTTATAAAAATCTTGAAGATACAAGTATTCAACAAAAGGCATTTCAAGAATCTTTAAAATATCTTGGAGGACTTTGTGAAGATGAACATTGGTTTTGTAGTAATAAATTGGATGCATTAATTAAGGAATCGTTACAGTTATTTATGTTTTCTAAGAGTGATGCTTTATCATGGTTAAAAAGGAAAATTCGAGATCAAGTTGGAAGATGTTATTCATGTGTTAAACATTATCATATTTTGAAAGACGAGATTGAAACATCCTATGAAGGGCATGAATAGTAATGATGGAATATATGTAGTTTATAATATTGATAAATTGAAGCGATTTAGATAGGAGTATTCATAATTATATTAAGCATTTGAGGGAATTTGATTATGAACGGATATATGAAGCATTGAATGAATGGTCGGATGAAATTTTGTTAGAAAAAAAGGAGATGACTATAAATTTTCGAAAATTTATAGTTATATATGAGTGTTTATGGGATGTTGAATTGCTTAAAAAAGATGAATTGAAGGATAAATTTAAGAATATTTTTTTGGCTATTCAAAAGAAAAATAAATTTTTACGTATTTATGATGAAGTTGTTCCGGCCATGGTTTATTTTCTTTTTGATGAAAAGTTTGAGGATTTTTATTCATGGGCCGAAGTTTCATTGAAAAAACTTTCAAGGAAATTAAATTCATTTGAATTTAGCTCGATTGCAAAAAAGCCATTTACCATTGCTATGGATAATTATTTAAAAACAAATAATTCAATGCCAGAGATGTCAACGTCGATTTTCTGGAAGGGTGTGTCAATTTTATTTCATTATACTGAAAAAGAGTCTATAATTGTAGACCTTTCTGGTCAAGGATGGGATATTGTTGGTCTTACATGTTCTCGATTTTTTGAAAATACGCCTGTAATTTTGGATATTTTGAATGCGTTTCTCACGCTTTTAAATGTTCTTGGATCAACATTTTGGGAACAAGCAATGTATTGTAATCCTCTAAATGCTATTGATACGATATGTCAAAATAATTATGTACATAAAATGATTAAGACTTCAGATATGAGTAATAGTCAGATGGATGAGAGCTCATTTATGTCTTTTATTTTGCCTTTTATGTGGGTAAAGCCATTTATCAACAGTTTACAGGATTCGAATAGACATCATTCCTGTTCCAGATTTATGCTTTATTTTCTCGAGTATTTTCAGCAAGATGAGTATTCAAAAGAAAATAGAGATAATTGTAAAGCGTTTGCGTATCAGATTTTGAGTATGGCGTTTGAGATTTTATTAAAAAGTGCTTTTATGGATTTTGATGCATATTTGATATTAATTCAAGAAAATAAAAAAGTTTTTGAAAAATACTTAGGAATTGTTGAGGAGTCTCTTTTTTCCATACAAACAAATGATTTTGTAAAGGCTGAAGCTTGTCGATTAATAGGATTTGTTTTAAAAGTGGACTGTAAGATTTTACAGCAAGAGTTTTCTAATATCATGAAGAAAAGTGAAAAATATGATGATTCTGTTATGACTATTACTAATTATACTTTGGGAAGGATATGGGATGTTTTAATTCAGAATATTCGAGATTGTGATTTAGATATTATGTCTCAGATATTTCAGTCTCTTTCCTCATTGTCTTGCATTGAAATAATACAGGAAGAATCTGAAAGATTTGTTTATTTTAATAAAATAGCTATGGAATTGATTTTAAAAGCGGTTCAGTTATTCCGTAAATTTGACGAAATGGGCTCTAATATATTTAAAACAATGTTGCAGGTTCCTGAGATTAATCATTCTATTATATCATTATCGTTTTCTCCAATTATAGAAATAGGTCAGCTGTCATCTAATATAATTAAACAAGCATATAATTGTGTTGATCAATATGAAATTTTTCGGTTTAGTTTATCTCACAATTTTGTTTCTACATTAGCAGGGTTAATAAATGTTATTGACAATTTTGAAAATATTCAGTCTTTTTCTGTTGCTTCTCAATTGATAAAGGCGTTTATTGAAGTTCTTGATATATTATGTTCTCCCAAAAATGGTATTTTATTATTGGATCAATATAAATCAAAGGAGTATCGCCCGGTTATAATATTGTTATGGAGTCAGTTTTGGATGTTTCTAAAAATGTCATTTTTATTTTCCTTATCATGGGCTAATGATTTTCCAAAAGATTCTATGGTTGTTTTCATAAGAGATGTTTTGAAAATGGTTAGTAATATGGTCAATTACTCTAAAGTCCATGATTCGATTATTTTATTAGATGATGGTGATTCGGATGAACCTTCTCATATGCTTCATAAATTATTTTTTCAGATACAAGATTGTCTTAAATATTCATTTAGATGGCTTCGCTTAAGTGATAAAGAACTTTTAATTTCTACGGTTGATTTTATTTGTCTTTTGCTTTTTCGCTTAAAAGTTGGAAATATAGCTATAGAAGAAAGTGTATTGGCTATTCTTAGAGATTTTCTTGAGAAAAAGAGCAGTAAAACTAGCCTTACTAATGAGCAAAAGATGAAATTGTCTTTTGCTCTTCAGGAGTTTGAATTGATGTTGGATAAGTTTAATGATGTAAAGGTTTTTGAGTCGCCTATTCTATCACAGAAGTTACCTTGTAATAATCCTGATATTTGCGTGGGCAATGTAGAGAGAAAAACGTCTGATATTAGTCATTCCAAATCTTTTGAATCAGGAAGCTTATCAAATTTTACTTCAGGAACAAAGCCAAAAGTGCAAACAAAATTGGTTATGGAAGTACTCAATTCTAAAGCCGTATTGCCTTCTCATGAATCAGAAAGCAATTTAAATAAGTATAATTTGAAGAACCCGAGTTACTCTAAAAATAAATCTTTAAATTCGCATGGATTGGGTTTTAAATCTAGTTCAATAAGACAATTTCGTTTAGAATTATTAAGAGATAGGAAAATAAATAGGGAGTTGAAGAAATGTACTAAAACTAGTACAAATACTACAGGTTCAAAGCTTTTTGAGTCTGAAACACCGCCAGATGATATTAAAGATCGAGATTTAGAAGAATTGGTTTCGTCTGATACAGAATCCGAAAATAGTAACATTGATAATCTACCTTTGAAAGGTAAGATTTCTCCGAAAATTCGTCAAATAAAACGCAAGTCTGTTCAAAGATTGGATCATGATATTTTAGGTAGTAGTTTATTCTCTAAACAAAAATTGCAGAAACAAAAAGTTAATACTTCAAAGATGAGGTTATTTCCTTCATTGTCGCCATTGCATAAGCAAATTTTACAATGGAATCTAAACTATAATGGAGAAATTCCTCCCGGTACTATTAAACAAACATATTTAGAGGTTGATAATAAATTTCAAACACCACAAGCTTACGTGGATACTTTTGAACCATTATTGCTATTAGAATGTTGGCAACAAATTATTAAAGCTAAAGAAGAGAATACGGATGAAACATTTAAAATAAAAATAATAAATAGGATCTCTGTTGATGAATTTATAGACCTTTATGTTTTTATTTCTTATGAAATATTTAATTCACTTGTCGTTTTGGATTCTGATATTTTGGTTATTTCAGACGTATCAAATCCATTTACAGAATCTAATGCTAAGTTATGCTTAGCAAAAGTTCAAATGATTTCAAAAAAAAAGAATTTTGTTGAGCTTACCTTGAGAACATGTCCTTTAAGCAAAATAACTACACTTTTTTGTCCAAACAATGAGCTTTATGGGCTTAGACTATTTAGGTATGTTATCTGTATTATTATGTTTTTTATTTATAATATATTTAGCTTAGTTACAATTCAAAGAGAATATTCTGCTTTAAAAAGTTTAGGTATGTATTTAAAATAAAGTGGTTTTTTTTTTATATTTGTAGAATATTTGGAGCTTTGTGATAGTATTATTAATGCTAGACCTCAGCCATTTCCTCTAGTTTCTCCTGCTGAAATTCAATATGCAATGACTACTTATGATGTAAATCAGCCTCAAGCTGAAGCTATTGTTGGTGTAACAAAATCTACTGGATTTTATCTTATACAAGGGTAAGTTCTTTATTATATACCTTTATTATAGTGTTGCTAATTTGATTTCAAGACCTCCAGGAACTGGTAAATTTTGTGTTTTAGGTTGTACAACGCTTAATAATAATAGGAAAAACAAAGACAATTTTGGGTATAATTAATGCTTTTCTTTCTCAATCAGAAAATAGATTTCGTTCTGGAGTAACTCATGAAAATGACCCATTATCTTCAAGAATACTTGTCTGCGCTCCTAGTAATGCAGCTGTTGATGAAATTGTTCTACGTCTTAAGCAAGGGTTACCTGATTCAAAGGGAATTAAATATTATCCTAAGATTGTTCGTGTTGGATCGAATACTGCTGTCAATTTTAATGTTAAAGATGTCACTTTAGATAATCTTGTGGAAATGGAACTTTCAAAATCCAATATGAAACCTGAGCATGACCAAAATTTAAATCAGGAAACATTAAAGGAGCAATTAAATGAAATTTTGAAACGGCGTGATTTTTTATTTATGCAATTAGAGAATCAGGCATCTGAACAAGAAAAAAAAAAGATAGAAATTGAGTTAAAATCTTTAAATCTTCAAAAGAATAATTTAGGTCAACAACTCGATGAATTAAGGGATCAACAAAATGGCACTGGTAAATCATTGGATATCATACGACATGAAATTCAAATTAATATTCTTAAAAGTGCAGACGTAATTTGCACTACACTTAGCGCAAGTGGTTATGAGCTTCTTGGAAATTTAGCCTTCGATTTTTTTACTGTTATTATTGATGAGGCTGCGCAATGTATAGAACTTAGTACATTAATACCATTGAAATATGGATGCAAGCGTTGTGTTCTTGTAGGAGGTTAGATATTCTTTTAATTTTCTTTTATTTAGGAGTAATTTTTAGATCCTAATCAATTACCTCCTACTGTATTTTCTCAGGTAGCAGCAAATTATTTATATGAACAAAGTCTTTTTGTAAGAATGCAAAAAAATTGTCCTTCTTCAGTTCATATGCTGAGGTCTGTCTGACAATAATTTTAAATGTTATATAACTATTATAGTATACAGTATCGTATGCATCCATGTATTAGTCAATTTCCAAGCAAGATTTTTTATTCAAACAAACTATTTGATGGTAATTTTATATGTTTTTATTAGTTTCTTTTTAATAAAGTTAGGCGAAAATATGAGAGAAAAGGCAAAAAGGCCTTGGCATAAAATAGATCTCTTTGGTCCTTATCGCTTTTTTGATATTCATGGATATGAAGACGAAGTTTTTTGTTCACCCTTTAATCTTATGGAAGCACGCATTGCATTAATAATTTATGAAGCTATTATACGGGAATTTCCTTCTGTAAATGTTAGTATTATTTTTTTTAGGATTTATTATGTTTATTTTTTAGTTTAATGGTTGCTTTGGAATTATTACTCCTTACAAACAACAACTTAATAAAATTAAAGAGTTGTTTATAAAAAAATATGGTAATCTTATTTTTGAAAATGTTGATTTTAATACTGTTGTATGATTTATAATAATTAAAAAAAAAGTATGTTAATTTTATTAGGATGGATTTCAAGGCCAAGAAAAAGATATTATTATATTATCATGTGTTAGGGCTTCTAGTAATACTTTCTTTAAATATTATTTTGGGATGCTTACATTTTTTAATAGCAAAAGGAATTGGATTTCTTTCAGATATTAGACGAATGAATGTAAGTTTAACTAGGGCTAGATCTTCTTTGATAATATTGGGCAATGTTAAAACACTTTCTTGCCATTCTTATTGGTATTCTCTTATTAAAGACTCTAAAGAAAGAGGCCTACTTACTAAGGTAAATTTAATGTTTTCTATGTTTTATTTTTAATGTATTTTAGTATGATGATATGTTATTTAAAACTTTAAAAGAAAAGAAAAATGTTGATTCTTGTAATTTTGATATGGAATCTCAAGAGAATTACAAAATTGATTCACTCGGGGAAAACATTAGCATTCAAAATTTTCAATTAGAATTGATTGAAAATACTTCTTGTTTGAAAAATAGTAATAGTATTTCTGAAAATTTTCAAGTATTTGAAGAAAAAGTTGATAAAAAGGCTGGATTTGATTCTAATTTCTTAGTAAAAAGTAACACGTTTGAATTGAATATATTATTAATATTTGATGTAGATACCTTCAGAAAAGAAACCTGATGTTTCTCTTCTAATTCATAAAAGACGTTTAGATTGTGATATTTTCATACGTAGACCTAAGATTAAAAAAAAGTGAATATGGTTTAATCATTGCAAATTGTATTATAATTATTTATTTATTTATTAATGGCATTTCATAGCGGTATATATAGGCATTAATTATTTATATAAAAAGATTTATGAATTTATTTATTTAAATATTATAATTTTGTATTTTCATGAGCTACTTAATATTAAAATGCTAATTTATATTAAAATTTGGGTTTTCTATTTTACTGTTTGGATTTATAATATCCATTTTTATTTAGTATAATACTATTAGACTCCTGGTTTTATAGATTTATCAATAATCATTTTAATTTTTTATTTAATAATTTTAAAAGTAAATACAAATAATATATATAAGTTTTAATGATTGAAATTCAAAAATTATATTGATTTTTTATAATATAAATAATGAATTGCAATTTATATTTTATTTTAGTTATTGTTTTAATATAAAATTTAAAGAATGAAAATTTTTAAATATTTGATAAATATTTGGGTATGTTATTATTGTAGATATCTATAAATTCATTATTATGCGTATTCAATTTTAATTTACTTTATTTCATTTTGTTATAAATTAATTTTTTTTGTATATTTAAAAAATAATCAATCAATATGTCTGTTTTGTAATTTTTTGCTTTTAAATATAGTAATATTGTGTGGTTTACACCATATTTCTTTTATGTCATTTTCTTCTGGAAAATATTCTGATTCTTGAAAGTTTTGAATATTTATATCATTAGATTCTTCCTTTGAAACAGTCCATAGAAGACATTCACATCCACAGCCTGTAGGACATTCCTTTGTTTGCATAAACCAATTCTTCATACATTTAGCATGTCCTCCATGAGAGCAGACTATACAGCCAGATACCAAACCTTTAAATAAATTAATAAATTTTTTTAATAATATTATATATACCTTTTACACATACTTCACAAAATATGCAATTAGAAAAAAAAGTAGCTTTTTTACAAATACTATAGTTTTTATCTAATGAAGATTGATCTGAAAAACATTTAACACAATTTTCTATAAATTTTTTATAAGTTAATGTCTAAGTTTTTGAAAAAGAAAAATTACTTACCTGATTTATTATCAAAAACAAAAGTTTTCTTTTTGGTAGTAAAAAGCATTTCATTATTATTAAATTTTGAATTAAATTTTAAAATTTCAGTACGTTTTTTATACAATTTCCATCTAATAAGAAATTCTGCATAATTTATTCTATAATATTTCTTTAGTTGCTTTCTTTCTTCACTGAAAAATGAGAATGGTATATATTCGTCATCCAATTGCTGATAATTAAACATCTTTACTGATATATAATGGTTTTTATTAATGTGTGATTGAGAATGTTCGCTTTTGCGATCTTCTATAGAGATGGGGAGTGTTATCTCAAATGGAATAGCTTCATGACTATTAGAATTATTACGTTTTATATCTGTTAAATAATGATGGGAAATGTGTTTTTGTGAAATTCGTGTATTTTCCAAGAATGAATCATGATCATAGTATCTTTCGGGAATAGGTGTCGCATTATTATGTAAAAGTATGTTATTATTTTTATTGGAAATCTTATGCTGATTCTGAAGAAATAAAGAATTACATGTTTTTTCATTTAAACCTGCGTCCTAATATGAATTAGCATATAAATATATGTATGTATATAGTTTACAGTAGCAGAAATCTGACAAATGCTTAATTCTGCAGAATCAAGCACACATGACAACATGGCTAACGTTTGGACATCCCTCAGGTTTTCATAATATGAAAAGCTAAATATTAATAATATTATTATAAATTTATAAATATACTCACATTCGATCAATCAACCATTGTCCAAAAGGATGATTATCCGAGCGAACATTATTATATATTGAAGGTTGTTTTTGCATTGATTTCTTAAAATTGGAAATTTCCTGTTCTTTTTTACAAATAAATAATTTTAAATCTGTGTCTGTTTTATCTTTATTTTCAAATAGATTTGTATATGTTCTCAACTCTGCTCCAGATATTATCATTTTTACAAGCATCCATACTTCATAAAGCTCTAATAGATCATATTTTAAAGCGATTTTTGCATTATGTTCACAAACTTCTATAGAAGATCCACAAATTTTATAATTTCTTGCTAAAGTTTCTTTAATAGGTTCAAGATAACTAATATTCTGAATGAGAATATTTCCATAATGATCTTCTGAACGTATATTCGATGATCGCCGGTTAAAATAACGTTCATTTTGGCTACTGTATGAATTGAATTTTGAATTTTTCCTTTTAAATGACTATAGTATATTAATATATCAATATAAAAAGTAAATTTTTCTACCCTTGACCTCCAAATAGAAGAATTAGCTTGATTTTCTTCGTCTAAATTTAAAGAGTTATTTCTTAATAATAGGTCTTCAGAGCTTATTCCAATTTTATTATTAATAAAACTCTCAATGTTACCAAAAGATTCAAAGTAATTATTAGGTGATTCAAATGCTTTGTTTTCTTTTTCAGAAAGAATTGACATTGCTCTATTGATTGATTCATTTTTTTTTTGAAAAAAACAAACAAGCTTTCCTTATTGATAATGTTAGAGGTTAATATGAAACATTAGAACTTACCAAAACAAAATGTTGCAGCACATTTTCGAGGAGAAGGAACCACAATGTTGTTTGCATTCTTTTCTAATGAAATAGAGCGGGATAAAGAAAACATTTGATCATCATCACTTGAAGAATCACCTTCAGTATCTGATATCCATTCTCCACTTAATACACTCTCTCCTAAAAGGTAACGAATACATATTTCTAGACACGGGGTTTTCTTTTTAAGATAGCTTTCTGAAATTTTATTTAAAGATTGTTTGATTTCCATATAATTTTCCTCTGATAAAGAAGAAGTTTTTTCAAGTTCAAAATTTGGTATTGCACTATTAGGATAATTAAAAGGGAATTGAACAAGAAGCCTAATAAATATCATGGTATTATCAATGCCCCAAGGTCCATTAAGTGCTAATGTACATTTACGTCCTGCAACATTTATCTAAACGCTTAGTTTTATTCTTTATTATATTGTTTATTACTTCTTCAAAATTAACTTTTGGAAATTTTTGACCTATCCATGAAAGTTCTTCGCCTAAATTTTCAGGAATATTCCATGTTATAGCTGAATTGCTGTTTATAGATCGTTCTATACGAACTCCTCTCATCCATTCTAAAGGCTGAACTCCTTTATATGATCTTATAGATTTTGTCATATACTTTCCATGTATATGATTTCCTGTTACTGTTTTATACCTATTAAACAGTGTATTTGTCTTGTTATTGATGGTGCTTCTTAAAGTAGATTTGGCTTGAGGAGATATTGGTATATGCACAGATGATGTATCTTTTTGATCTACAAAAGGTTCGTGACGATAGGTTTTGTATTCTGCGCCTATATTGGACATTCTGAATCTTATTGGCTTTTCTGGATCATGTCCAGTAGACTATATTTTTAGATAAGAAATGATTAAAAAAAACTTACCTTCAATATTTCATTAGATATTGGCCATAGTCGTAAATGATGATCTTTAGACCATGTTATAAGTTGAAATCGTCTAGTATCTAAATTTGATTTAAGATTAAATTATAAAAGTTAACAAATATAAAAACCCTTTGAAATATCATCTGTTTCACTATATCTCCAGACAAATTCTTTAACTATATCTGTATGTCCTTCAAATTTAGCTGATGGTTCTACAGGTGTACTTTTTTCATCTTGTATATCCCATAAGTATAACGAATTATCATCACGTTGAGGCATTGTAATAACGCCCCAACCAAATGGCGTATGGCGAGCTTTCCAAACAGGTGTATTTGTTCGTATTATTCTTTCTGGTACATTTTCATTTTTTTCATAATCCCAAAAACAAACTGATTTATCTAAAGAACATGTAATTATTTTTGTTTCCTCCGTCCTATTAAAATCTATCCCATATATTTTTGTTGAATACTCGCAAACACGGATAGATTTAATTGGTTGTGCTCCATACTTTTAAAATGTTAAATATATTTTAACTTATATGGATTTATTTATACTCTATCATCCCATATTCTTAAAAATTGTCCATGAGACGATGCCAAAATATGTTCATTTTGATTATTCCATTTAACTTGTGTCGATCCTGCCGTCCAATCACAATAACTATTAATCGGCTTTCTTGTATCTCTAAGATCCCAACAATGAATATATGAATCTATAGAACATGTAGCTAATATATCCGGGTGATGCGTACTCCAATTAATGTCTGTAATTGCACGAGAATGACTATGAAGAACAAATTCTATAGCATTTCGTGATGGTAATAAAAGATTCCAGACAATAGTCTTTTGGTTCGACTGCATTTTAATTAAATCACTTTTATACACAATACATATTATATACTGTCGATGCTACCCAAAATGATCGTGATGCGTCTATCCACATCAATTTTCATTCAATTTTTTAAAAACATATATACGAGGAGACGATTGTACATCTGCTACCTCCCATGTAGTAAGATGAGGAAGAAATCGTGGCGGATCATACGGATTATCAATATCAACAATTAAAAGCCCTTTTCGTCTATAAAAATCAATCTATTCCCCTCTTTTTTCCTTGAAAAACTAACAATCCTAATATTACATCTCTTCCACATGCTGAAATAGACCTTTTCCCAATTATAACCCTTTTAATCGGAAAAAAAATGCACTCACATAGATCCTACCGGTTCATCTACCTCTATAGATATCTGTTTATCAAGCGTAGCGCTATTTATTGCCTTCATTTCTCCTTAATCTTTCTTCTTCTTAATAACTCCCTATTAACTCCCTATTAACGCCTTTAACATCCGTTCAAATTCTAATATATATAATCTTTTATGCACATATCTTTCCATTGAACGCTTTATTATTGGTTTTTAGCCGAGCTTGTCCTTTATCCTTATTTTCTATGAATCTTGACGTCTGCCGTATGGAAAGGACGTAGTAAAATGAGTCTGCCTAAGAGGATATTAAAAGAAACGGTAAAAATATTAGAAATAGAGATAATATATGTTAATAATACGTTTAGGAACGGTTGATTGCGGACCCTCCTCCAGGAATTATTGCAGAGCCGTGTCAAGAAAACTTAAGATATTTTAAGATAAAGATCCAAGGACCAGAACAATCAGCATATGAAGATGGGGTATTTTGTTTAGAATTGTTTCTTCCAGAAGGTTTATGTTAAAAAAACGGGTGAAAAAGGCTAAATTTGAGGGTTTTTAGAGTATCCTATGGTAGCACCTAAAGTTCGTTTTTTAACAAAGATTTATCACCCAAATATTGATAGACTTGGGAGGATTTGTATGGATATTTTGAAGAGTAATTATTTTGAGGGGGTTTTTTTGAAATATTTTTAAAAAAAATGTGTTAGATGCATGGTCACCAGCTTTGCAAATACGAACAGTATTATTATCTATTCAAGCACTTTTATCTACGCCGAATCCAGATGATCCATTAGACCAGTCTATAGGACAAGAATTTCTATGTAGTCGTGAGACATTTGATGCTACAGCTAAGGAATGGACACGTTTATATGCAAAAATTAAAAATTGATGTTAAATGGGATGGTAGCAGGGTAGAATGAGTTTTTATATGATGGTTATGATGCTGGTATTAAGAATGGATGAATTCCTCGTTTTTTAAATTTGAAATAAGGAGGGGAATTGTGATTATTAATTACTTTTTATAACGTTAAGCAATATTACTAACATTTGCATTATTATAATAATATTTTCATTTGAAAATGTATGTTTTGTTCATAGATATTTCCTAGTTAGAGAATTTGTATAATGCATAAATCTTTTGAATTTAGAATTTTGATTGATTCTATAGTTTGACTTTATATGGGGAAATTCTGGCCCAAGACTAGACAAAGGCATTTTATTGCGGAGAAATCCTTGAAAGAATAGTTATATCAATGCTTTAAATACACAAAATTAGAAATAAATGTTTTTTTTTCAATTATTATTTAGAAAAATTACTTAAGGTTGTATTACATTATAGACAAATATATAAAGTGAATAATATAGATATATCTATAAGTTTATAAAAAAAAAATAATCTCAACGGGTTGTAGATAAAATTTTTGATCTAACACCCCTTGCTTGTTGTTTAGAAACCTTTGATATAACTGTTCCACGAGCCTCCACTGCAAGCTTGGCTTTATTAGCTCTTTTTAAACTTCTATACAACATAATTAATTCTCTTTAAATTTAACAAAACCATTCATACTCCTGTGCTTGTTTCTTCTCTTTTCCTTCTTTTATTGCCTTTCGTCTTGCTTCCAGACGGACTTCTTCTCGTTGATTTTGTCTCTCCCTTATCACTTCAAGACTTGCCCCTACAATAGCTCGTTGAAACTTCATAGTACGTCGTGCTCTCTTCTTTGCTACTTCCTCTGTAATACCTTTTTTATGCATTCGTCGATAAAGAATTGTCCATGTAATTTTCCTGGGATTTTTTCGTTGAATAAACAACGATCCTGTTTTTCTACAGGAAAATCGAAATACTTTATTATCTCCCCTTACATAAATCTATTTCATAAGCCGTTTTGTTTTTTCTTTTTTATTGTATCCTTTACCTTCCCTTTTCCCGGATAAATTTTACTTCCTCCAAAAGAATCCACCTCAATCTTCATCTCCTAACTATTCAATTAGCTATATTCTTTAGATTTAGCTTATTTTATAGATTTATTATTCATGAATTCTTATAAATAGTGCCAATAGACGGCCTAGATTATCGTTTTTTTTCCAAAAAAAAAGGATTTTTAAACAAAAAATACTTAAAAGATGCTATTTTATGTATAACTGACTGATAAAACTGTTATTAATACCTGTTTATTACTCACTTTTTATGTCTTTTTCTCATATAATTTTTTCGTGAGGTTGAAAATTTTATTGGTTGCTATGACAACTCACTGTTGAGCCGGGTACAGCATAGTATATCAACTGTATATAAGGGAAGGTAAGTGGGAGAAATGAGATAATATATGAATGATTCAGAGAGTATATAGTTATAAACGAAATATTTTAGCTTATATATATGTATTTAAGTTTTTGAATGGGGATTTTCTGATAATTGGATGAATTGGAAGAAGAAATAGAAAAGAGGGATAGATATGGCAGAAATAACAGAGGAATCGCCGACGGTATTTCAGTGTGTGAAGTGCAGATCAGTGGTAGGTGATTCGTATGCATGGTCTGTATCACATAGAGAAAATAATACAATTACTTTATCAGGTAGATTTAAGGTATTTTGAGAAATAGAATGTTAAAAGAAGGAAAGAAGTTCCAGAGGACAGTATTATAGAATCAGAGGTAGAGGAATGTACGCCTCATGGGTAAGGAAGGGGTGATTTATGTATTTTATTAAAAAGTCATTTTTTCAGCAATTTTACAGAAATATCATGTAAACATTGTAAAGGAAATCTGGGTCGTATTTATAAATCGACGCCAAGACGGTTGGATGATATTCGGTAGCAATTGTTTTTGGTTTGAGAAAGATTTGTTATAATTAATGGGGATTAGTGATATGTTTACATTTAATCTTGATAATATTATATCGTATGTATTATTTTGGGGGGTAATAGAGGGAGTTAACCAGAATTTATTTATCTAGATATCAGCTTGGTCCAAAAAAATCACGACCTATTCAGTCAATGAATGGTATTTTTGGATCCTTTATAGATATGGAAATACAAAATGAAATTAATAAAGTATATTACAATATTTTTTTCTTTTATTTTGCTTATATCTATTTTAGCTTAAAAGTTTTACAGTTGCTGTTTTTGAACAAGTTGAAGAACTTCAAAATCGAAGTACATTTTTGGAAACTGAGTTACAAAAAGTTAAAAATTTTAGTCTTGATCTTTTAGCTAATAGTGACGAATATTCTCTTCACAATGATCATTCCGATTTCTCTCGAAAACAAACACTTTCTCATGTTAGGGTGCCTTCTTCTACTTCTGATTCACATGAACTTGCACATCATCTTCGTAAACGATCACATGGCATTGAATATAACTTAAAACGTCTTTCAAACATAGGTTAATCTTTACAATTCTATTTACTATCTCTACTCTCTATTACATTTACTTCTAGCTAATGGATTTTCATGCTTTATTTCTTTCAGACTTTATATTATTATATTCTCACTAAAAACACTATTATGATTCAACATACCAGACTTTCCAGAACATGAATTCTTCTTTATATATTCAATCATTTCACTTGAATATCTTTTCTCAATATTTTTATCATATATTGACTTAAGTGCTGGTGAAAGACTCTATAGCTGTCAAGGAAAAAATTTTAAAAAATATACAAACATTATAAACTTCTTCTTTATTTGGTGTTGTATAAATCATAAGGGTATATCCTGTTGCGATAGTGGCTGAACTCCAGAACCCTGCTTTTATCCACCGCTTGGCTGATATTTTCATTGGTATCGACCGATAAGACTTCATGTGGCTAGACTTCGATGTTTATGAAATAAACCAAGATTTTCAAAATAGATACAAACAAGTGATTGAATGTAAGGTGTTAGTGTGAATTGAGTAGGTACATTGTTTTTGAAGGGTTTAAATAACGTTTTTTATGGAGATATTCTGTATAGATGTATGATTATCAAGTAAAACGAGATAAATATGAGGGTTATGAGGATAATTGGGGTAAAAGAGATGAGGGGGTGTATTGTGAAGAGAAGATGTTTTGTAAAAATAAAGCCTTGAATGACGAGACGTATAGTATGAGATATGGAAAGATTCGAAAGGATCATTCAAATTATGTCCAAGTAGTGTCAATGCCGAATAATGGCAGATATCTTGGAGAAACACAGTTGTATTATAATAATTATCATATTAAAGTTCCAGAATTTGTGGAAAAAAATGGGCATCCTGTAAAAAAAATATATAGAAACAATACGATTAATGATTCCTTGAAATGGGATGGAAGATATTCCAATTCTCTTGATTTTAAGGATCTATATAAAAGATCGTATAGTGAAAACAATAAACGATTGTGGGGGCTTTCAGATGCACATTTACCATACCATCATTTTAATCCAAGACATTTTGATTCAGTGGAATATTTGAATAGAAGGCCTTCTTATACAGAACAAATTACTTTATGTGGTAGAGATGTATCCCATCATCGATATCCTTTGGCTGAGCCTAATGATATGCCATGGGGAATTCCTATGAGAAGTCGTAACGCAAGCATGCCAAATATAGGTTCCCAATTTAAACGACAAAATAATTTGTCCTATAAGTATGGACCTCAAAATTCAATAAAACCTTTTCATTATAAGGAAAAATCTTCAAGTTTCCTTATTCCTACGGGTTTTATAAAAGGGCCTATACATGACATTAAATCATTGGCTCAAGAAACAAATAATGATTCTATTTCTCTATTTTGTGATGATTCGCTTTCATCTGGATCTGAAGATAATGGTATTGAAAGTCCAAGAGTAATACTGTCTAGAAGCATTAATAATATAAATAAATTGGCGCCTTATTCTGTTACAGATAATTTATATATATCAAATGATATTGACCTTATCGATATTGATAATGATAAGCTTCTATATAGAACTGATAAGAGGTCTGATGAAATGTATAAGAATTCTAAAAAAGATGACATGATAGCTGATGACTTGACAATTGATGATCAAAAAAAACAAAAAAAACGTAAAAATAGTTTTGATGGCTTACAAAATAATTCTACTCATGGTTCTGATAAGGAAAATTCACAGAAATATAAAGAAAAATGTATGTTTTACAAGAATTCTTGTTTCTTATTTTAATTGAATTAGCTAAAAAATCATTCTTACGTTCTAAGAGTTTTTTGTCTAGAAAGAAATCAGGAAATGATAAAAGTGTTTTTTCAAATGTCGTAAATACAGAGAATTCTATGCTATATAGAGAAGATAATGATACGAATTGGCCATTAAATACTGTTGATCAAAAATCATTTAAAAACTTTGATATTGAGTTAGATACTTTTCAGACAAATGATATGGAAGCTTTATCTAATGGTATATCTTCTGTTTCAATATTATCAAAGTTTTTGATATGGTTTCAGTGAATTATAATAAGTTTAAATTACCTTTACATCAAGAAAAGTTAGAAATTAATGATTTAAGCATTGATAAAAATTATATGACATATAAAAGCAATAATTTAGATAAAAGAAAACCTTTTGATATTGTAGATGGTTAGTACTTTGTTCTTTTTTTTTTAATACTGATTAATTAGAAACTAAAAAATTAAAACAAGGAACAATGTCTATTTTTTCAGAGTATCCATTATCCTCTGATACTAATCTCTTTCAAAAAACTAGAAAAAATTCTTTAGATGCTTTTCAGGACCCAAGTTATGGTATATTGTTAAACTTTATTTATAAATTTAATTATTATATAGAATCTAAGATTTCCAATCAAATGTTGAACAAAGACACTGATAGAAAGATGTCATTTTCTTATTTAAAAAGTTTAAAAAATCATGTTTATTCTGCTGATGATCCTGAGACTCGATTAAAATATGCCAAAAAACTGATTCAGGTTGCTTCTGAACTTTCTAATGATACATTGAAAGATAAAAAATTTATCAAAAAGAATAAGGAAAAGTATCTATCGGATGCATATTCTATTGTAAGGGAATTGGTGAATTCTGTAAATCAAATATATATATATATATATGTGAATATTTTTAATATAAATAGGATCCTCCTTATCCTGAGGCTATGTTTTTTCTTGCCAACTGTTATGGAGATGGTACTTTGGGATTATCTGTTGACCATAAGCAAGCATATATATTATACTACTCTGCATCTAAATATAAACATCCTCAGAGTATTTATAGAACTGCTGTATGTTTAGAAATTGGAATGGGAGTTAAGAAGAATCAAGAAAGGGCTGTGCAATATTATCAAAGAGCTGCTTCCCTTGGCAATGTTACAGCAATGTATAAAATTGGTAATTTTTTGGTTTATAAATCTTTTTATTAACAATCAAGGTATAATATTGTTAAATGGACTACTTAATCAACTCAAAAATCCAAGGAAAGCGATTTTTTGGCTAAAAAAGGCTTCTGAATTAGCTGATGAGGAAAATCCTCATGCACTTCATGAATTGGTTTTCAATATTATATATTTTCTTAGTATTTAACTTTTGATAGGCAATTTTATATGAAAAAGAGGATAATGGAGGTATTTGAATTTAAAAAATTAACTGCGTTTTAAACAAATTGTAGGTGTTGTTATGCGAAATGAGGAATATTCCTTTGAATTATATATGAGAGCTGCACAATTGATGTATTCTCCTTCTCAAGTTCGATTGGGATATGCCTATGAGTATGGTATTTTGGGATGTGAAATTGATCCGAAAAAAAGCATTGCATAGTATATTTATTTATTATTTTTTTACTTTTCGTTGTTAATTCATTTAGTTATTTATCTGCTGCAGAAAAAGAAAATCCGGATGCTGAATTAGGTTTAAGTGGATGGTATTTAACTGGAGCAGATGGAATTCTAGAACAATCAGATAAAGAAGCGTATTTTTGGGCCAGAAAGGCTGCTGAAAAAGGTTCATATTATTTATAACAATTTATATTTTATTAAACAATTCCTTTAGGTTTAACCAAGGCTGAATATATTATTGGTTATTATTTTGAAATTGGAATTGGTGTAAAAAGTAATCGTACAGAAGCAAAAATATGGTATAAACGAGCTGCCAGTAACTTCTATTCATATCATTAATTATTTATCGTCTAATATAATTAGGAAAAGGATTTATAAAAGCAATAGAACGTCTTCGAGAATTAAAAAAGTTTGGCTACAATTTAAAAATGCCTGACAAAATCTATAATCATTGGCAATTAGCTGAAATGCTCGATTACACTATACCATAACTCTTTGTTTTTATACAATATATCCATTATTAATGTCTTTCTAAAAATGCATCATACATATATTTGCTTATTAGTAATGTGATTATATCTTTATCTTTTTTTTTTAATACACTAGTCAGTTTACGATATTAAATAATATTAATATACTATCATCATATTAATCATTATCTTTAATATTTCATTAAAGAAACCATTCTTCTTATTCAAAAACCCCTTCTATTCTTATTTTAAATACTAAACACTTCTCAATCTTTGATCTTGATTTTTTTCCTGCTTTTTCATGTTTTCTCCATATTATGCCCCAAATAAATGCAATTTCACCCGTTTTTCGCATTCCTCTTCTGATAACCCCTCTAAAGAAACATTCTCCTCTCTTCCATACTCTTTTCTCTATTAAAAAAATACATAATTACACATTTGTACCATATCGAACCCATAGCATCGGAGAAACGCCCATTGCCTCCCGAATAAGAACCGGAACATATGGATTACTCTTCTTCAATATAGGATACGCCTTTCTAATAAATAATCTGCTATATTCACCCTTTTTTTCCCCTTCAAAAATAACACACCTTGCATTTTTGCTTTCTTCGCTTATTTGGCACATATGAAACCGCAACTTTTTGGAAAAAATTAGTTATACCATAAAATATACTCATAAAATACCTCTTTAATATGTTTTGGAAGGATATAACGGCTCATTTCTTGCAATTTAAAGCTTCTTAATTTCTCACTATTTTTTGGAGGTTAGAAATATAGGGTTATATCGTTAAAAACCCTGAATGCTCACGTGATTTCTTGGATCTCATCAAACTTCAAGAATTAAAGAAGTTGAATTTTGTCATAAAAAACGAGATTTTTCAGTAAAATAATGACTTCCATTGTATTCTCCGTACGAAAAAAGTTTATATCTCTTTTGAACCATCCTTCAGGGCTAAAAACTGTTCATTTTTGTGGGTTTTTAGTATTTTAGAAAAAATACTAATAATAAGTAGGGGCGCCAGCAATGAAGGTACAATAAATACCTTAATAAATCATTGTTATTGAGTAGTTTTAAGTGGGGGCTTGTTTTGGCGGGTATTGGAGATTTGAAACGGTCATCGGATAAGCTCTCTGTTTCACAAAATATAGGTATAAAAAGAATAATATAAGAAGGCTATTTATGAGGCAGCTTTAACATTAACTGGGTCTATATGGACTCGATGGAGTATGATTATTAAGCCGAAGAATTATTTGTTAGTAATTGAATTAAAATGATAAGAAATAAATTGTTTTTAGATTGGCTACAGTAAATCTTTTTTTAGCAATTACAGGTAATGAAAAGAATGATTAGTAAGTATATTAAAGTTTATTTTTAAAGGAAGTGTTCAATTGTTTCGGATTTATCTGTAATTATTTTTATATATTTTTGGGTTAAAATTAATATATATATAGTTATCGACAAAGCTTAGAACGAGCAAGTTCTAAATGAATGAAGGAGAAGTAGAAGGAAGTAGGAGGAAATATAAGGAAATATAAGGAAATATATGGAAATATAATATCTTAGATTAAGAAGAAATCGAATAAATGTTTTAGAATGAATTGTTAAAGTTGATTTTTGTTTTGTTATATAAAAGTTATTTTTTTATGCTATGAATCTAATAAATATTAAGTTTGATACCTAATAATGAGAAACAAATAAATTATTTCAACATATGCTACAATGGATTGAAACGTATTTGTATTACCTTTAAAAAATAAAAATCTCTATTTGATTTATATAGAGATTTCAGAAAATATATAAATGTTTCATACTGATATGTAATATCAAGTAGAATCAATATCATGTAGAATGAATATCATGTGGGTTATTATCACTAGTTTCTGTGCAAAACCCATTTTTGAGCTCATTCTCATTTGAATCATAATATCCATTCTTATTCAAGATATCTATATTTATTGATTCGATCTTTTGATTAATATCCAGTAAATTATTTGATGATAAATTCATAATCTCTGGATTATTCTCCTCATAACGAGAGGTTTCTTCATTCATTCCTGATTTATATTTCCCTATATCTGATGAAAATATACTTTTTGCATCTTCTTCATTATAATCTTCAAATCCTTCCTCGTTCGAAAACGTCCTCGTTAACGACCTATATTGTCCAATAAGTTTATCTTCATTAAAAATAGGCGATTGAGGTGACGTTAATATTGAATGCGATGGAAGAATACTTTCCCTTTCAGTTCTCTTTATTTATTAATCTTATTTCATTATACCTAAATATTTCCCCATGTCCTCCTCCTTGTGTCATCGATCCTTCTCCTTGTCCTGTATTAAATGGATCCTCACATCGTGCCATAATCTCTTCAAGTCCCCCACCACTCCATCCTTTTCTTGCTATCCCCTCATATATATCTAGCTCTGCCCTAGTAATTAACGCTGTATAATCAAGAACTTTCGACCATGTCTCATGTATCGTATCTAACGCCCCATTATAATGTTCCGATTTTAATCGTTCTAAATCATCTGCTAGCTTCGATAGATCTACAAGTGCTTGTCTAAACGTTGCTAAATCTATTTTCTTGTTTATTTTTTTTACTTCTTCTTTCTCCCTCTCCTACCTCGTTGTCTCTTTCTACCAACTCTCAAATGCTCTGCTTCCCTCTCCTGGATCCTCTTATTCTTCTCCATCATCATCCTTTGATATCTATCATCTCGTTCTTGTGTAATTGCTCTAAACGTATCCAACTCTTCCATCAATGGAATTTCAAACCTTCTATACAACGTTTCACTCAAAATCTGTTGATGATTCGCTATAAGGTATTGAAGTCCTCCCGCTAACATAAATCCTGACATCTCTTCTTCTCCTACTCCCTTACATCTTGCACATTTCTCTAACGCCGTACCAAATGACGACGCTGTCTTAGATACTTGTACCAAGCTGTTTCTATATATCTTTGCTGCATAAAGAAGATCCTGATACGCTGTTCCATTCAATATCTCTATTATTTCTTCAATTATCTTACCTTCAATAGACGCTGAAATATCTCCCTTTGTTATTATTGTTTTGGGCAATGGTGGTGCTGATGAATAGCAAATTGATCCTACTGTAGGCGCTATTTGAGCCGTAGAAGACATAGAATAGCTTGGAGATGAGGGATAGTGCTGTAAATAGGACGACATCTTACAATCGTTGCTCAGTCTTACTCTCGTTTTTAAGACGTTCTTTGTCTAGAGGTTTCGGACGTCAAGAAATGTCTTTTCCTGCTTGTATTGTTCCAGCAAGAGCAAAACATACGGCTACCGTTATATTTGCACATGGTCTTGGAGATTCTGGAGAAGGATGGAGATTTCTCGGGGAGAAAATGGGATCTTCTAAGGTATTCTCTAATATAAAATGGATCTTCCCCAATGCGTTAGTTTTATTGGTGGTTTAAGAGGTATTAGTAAGGTTATATAGGCCTATGAGACCGGTGACGTTGAATTATGGGATGAGAATGTCTAGTTGGTATGATATTGCAACATTAGATGGGGTGGAAGATGAGGAGGATGAGGAGAATATGATGAGGAGTAGTAAAGAAATACATAAAATTGTTATGGAAGAGAGGAATGAAGGAATAAATAGTGAAAGGATTATAGTGGGAGGTTTTTCTCAGGGTAAGAGGGGTTAAAGAAGGGAGAATTAAGAAGTGATAGTATAGGATGTGTTATAGGACTTTTGGTAAAAAATGAATGAAAGAGAGAGATTATGAGTGTGAATTGATGAATAAAGTCAGGATTAACGTATAAGGAGAGGCTTGGGGGTATTATTGGATTTTCTGGGTATTTACCATTGAGAAAGAAGATTCATACGGTGAGTGAGGGAAGAAGAGGGAGATAAGAAAGAAAGAATAATGAATAAAAGATGATTTCGGAGAGTAATTTAAGAACGCCGATTTTTATGGGACATGGAAGGGTTTGTAGAGGGAGGAGGAGGGGTTAAGGAAAGATAGATTAATGAATTGAATGTTTTTAGAATGATCCTATTGTTAAATTTGAATATGGACAAGAAAGTGCAAGAATTTTGAAAGAAGATTTGAAATTGAATGTTAAATGGAAGGAATATGATGGATTACAACATAGTGTTAATGAAAATGAATTAAAAGATTTTTCTGTGTGGCTTGGAAGTATACTTGGAGAGGGGGGGAGTGAGAAGTGAGTAAGAAGGGGGTGGAAGGGAGGGAGTGGAAGGGAGGGAGTGGAAGGGAGTGGAAGGATATATAGGTGGATAGTATATATAGGTTAGTATATATGGGTTAGTATATATGGGTATTCTTTAAATCTAAAGGTTAGATATCTGTTTTTTAAAAAATTCAACTATAACTAAGGCTATAGATGGTTATTCGAAATGGCTACAAAGCTTCCTTTTTACAACTATTTTACTACTATTTTACTACTTCAATACAATTTCTCTTTATTATAGATTATTCTCTTCTTTATTATAGATTATTCTTTTATTATAGCAAATATAACTATATTGAATATTATCTTTAGTTTATTATATATTTTGACCTGACTCGTTTAACTACCAATAAAAAAAGCAAGACCTTGGAGATGCCAAGTGTCTCTACATTAACATCAGAAGATAAACAGATTATTAAGAAATGTATTTCTAAGCCTAATAATAAGATTATTACAGCAGCAGTTGCACGACTTTATGTTGCTTATCCGAATCCTAATGAATGGAGATTTACAGGAATAAGTGGAGCGATTGTTTTTACCTATGATATGATTGGAAATACGTTATTCCTTAAGATGGTAGATATTTCAGTATGTATGGATGTTTTTGAGGGGTTTATATTGAGGGAAAATAGAGTTCAAACCGTGGTATTATATGGGATCAAGAATTGTATGAAAATTTCCAGTATCATCAGGATAGGACGTTCTTTCATTCGTTTGAATTGGAGGTATAGATGCTAGGAAGAGGGACTATGTATTTTTTTTCTGATAAAAATGGTTAGAAATGTATGGCAGGGTTATCATTTGCAGATGTGAATGAGGCATCGAGTTTTTATCGGCGTGTAAATGGACGTCTTAATGGTAAAATAGTGATTTATGTATGGGGAGGAGGGTTAATATGGGGTTAGTTAATTCTCATAAAAATTCGAGTGTAGTTGGGGGGTTAAAGATGAGTACGAAGAAGAAATATATAGATAAATCGAAGATTGGGGCGCCGTCGCATTTTAAGTATGAAGAATAAGGTTTTTTGTATGATATATTAATGGTATAAGACATGTTAGTCATATTGGATGGGATTCAGAGAAGGGATTTACAGTAGAAAATATAGATCCATCATGGAAGAAGCTTTTTGAGGATTTAGGGCGATTTGGATTTTCGTATGAACAAATTGAGGAGAATAAGGAATTTATTCGGGAATATGTTGCAAGGAATGGGGGGTTAGGGAATAATAGTCAAGGATTAGAATCATCACAAGTAAATACATCAGTATCACAAGAAACTATTAAGAAGTCACGTATGCCACCGCCACCTCCATTACCGCCACTTCCGGCATCATCGAGTTCCATTTCTAGGACCGATTCGAATAAGAAATCGCCGTCTTCGTCGTCTTTAAGAAGAGTACCGCCGCCACCACCACGTAAATCTCATGTTTTTACGTCAGAAACAAGTCGACCTTTGGAATCAACGTCTGTTCCGCCTAGTCCTCCGCCTTTGAGGAATTCTGTCATTAATCAACATAGAACTTCTCATGTTTCTACGGTTAACATAAATGCATCATCTAATTTAGTCAATTCAACAGGAAATAAGGTTTCCATGGAATCAGATGTTAAAAAGTCTTCTTTACATGAAAGCTCTACTCGTAAATCATCTTTATCATCATCATCTGGGCCATTATTCTCAAATCATTCATCCGATTTGAAGTCAGATTCTATAATACCATCTACTTCAGCTTTCAAATCAGATGCTCACTTTTCATCTTCAAATAAAGATAAAAATACAACTTCTGATAGTGCAATGTCTTTATCTTCATCTAGGAATTCTGCTTCTTCTTATCGATTACCTAATAAGGCTTCTGATGGTTCATTAGGTTCTACTCTTGCACCACCACCACCACCACCACCACCGCCTCCTCCACCGCCACCGCCTCCTCCTCCTCCTCCACCTCCATTGTCAACTCCAGCTTCTGCATCTTTAGTCTCTAGATCGGCATCATTGGGTTCTTCGAATAAGGGTATTACTTCTGCTCCTCATTCATCTGGTGAAAAGGTTACATCTTCTCATAATACAGCACCAACAAATCATACTCCAAATCCACCATCTGATCTTATTTCAAGTGCTGATCGTTCTAATTTAATGGCTAGTATTAGATCAAGTGGTGGTGTTTCTATGTTAAGAAAGGTATTTTTATAAAAAAAATGTTTCATTTTATTAATGGTTTAAGGTGGAACCTGCTTCATCCTCAAGATCTTCCTCAAGCTGTTTTAACGGAACATCTCGTTCTACTAATGGCACCGGAGGACATATTAATTTAGAGGATGCTTTAGTTGCTGTTTTAAACCATCGCAAAGGAAAAGTTACTCTAAGTGGTATGTATTTTTATTCTATTTTTACTATCTTACAATTCTATAGATGATGATGAATCAGAAGATGATGATTGGGACGAATAATGGATTAATTTTTATTTCTTTATTTATTAGGATACTGTCTTTTTTACTAAATCTTTTGTTGATATCTCTTGCTCTGGTTTTTCTTTATAAAACATTGTAGCATCTCTTGTGTAGAATAATATGAATAGATTTCGAATTTATACATTTTTATTATTCTTTACTTTTATAGGTTTTCTACACTGCCATTTTTCCCGGTTGCTGGCGGGCTTGAGAACAACCTCAAAAAATAGTGATCTTAACAAAATACTAAAAAGAATAGATTAAACAATACTATTCAAAGGAAGATTTTTGTTCTTTTTTTCAGTATGTTGTCTTTGTTTTTCTTTTAATATTAATATTTTATTAAGTACATTAAATAAAGAAATAATGGATGATTCTAAGTTGTCAAAGTTGCAGACAAATGTTAGAATTGGAGGAAAAGGTTGATATTTAGAGAATATTCTTATTTGAAGAAGTTTCTAAAAGTATAAAGGAACTCCTCGTCGTAAAAAAAAGGTCGTACATAGAACACAATGTGATGATAAGAAATTGCAGTCAAGTTTAAAGAAATTAAATGCTCAGTCTGTTGGAGGTGTTTCTGAGGCTAATATTTTTAAAGCGGGAGGATCTGTAACTCATTTTTCAGCACCAAAAGGTTGGATTTTAAAAAAATCAATCAAATATTAATTTATCCCAGTTTTGGCTTGTATTACTTCAAATATGTTTGTAATTTCTGGTTTCTCTGAAGAAAAAGAGCTAACTGATCTTGTTCCTGGTATTTTAAATCAGTTGGGTCGCGATTCTTTAGCATCTCTTAGAAAATTAACTGGAAATTATACCAATTTACAAAAAACTAAAGAAAACGATCCTAATGGGGATGATGATTATATCCCTGATCTTGTAGAAGTATTTGATGCACAGGATTAATTTAATTAATCTTAAATTTTCAATTTTAATAAATCTTTTTATTTTTTTCAATATTATGTTGATTTAGGAATATGGATCTTTACTTTTTACATGTATTCAATAATCAAGACTGATTACTCTAATATTTTTATTTTGATTTATCCTCTTTATCTATTATATAACAGTAGGTTTAACCCTTCTATTAGAGCTAACCTTTCCTCTATAGGGTTATACCCTCGTCAATTTAGGACTAAACCCTAGTTTCTATTAGGTTTAGCCCCGCTTCATTAGGTCTAAACCTACTTTCTACTAGGTTTAAACCCTCTTCTGCTAGGTTTAAACCCTCTCTTTAGGGTTATCTTTATCCTTTGATTCACCCCCATTTTATAAACATAAACTTTCTTTGATTCAACAATTCTACCCTTTTTCCTCTCAAAACTCATCTTCTTGTGTATATTTATATTATCTGCTATTTCATCAATATAACCTCATACGCGATACGCGTTTAAATGACCGCAACGTCTTGAATTTTCTAGAAAATGTTTTTCAACAAATACGTGTTTTAAAAGCAGAAAAACTATATAAATGAGCCTTCCCGGATATTCTTACCATCCATCTTTATGTATGGATGTGAAGAAAGAGTCCTCAGGCGATTTTTTGCGCGCATATAAGGTGCTAGAAGGGCCGGATGATATTGATAAGGAGAATTATGTTTTTAAAGAGCTTTATAAACATGGTATAATGCTATAAATGAATAGATAAGATGATATTTTATGTGTGTAGATGCATTGAGTAGCCGATTTTCGGGTTCAGATAATATAGGAATATCTAGAAGTGTTTTGCAGCCGAGATCTAATCATGTGGTTCAATCGGCTAATATTCCTAAATCAATGAATATATCGGTTAAATCTGTGCCAGAAACAGTTGGATGTAAGGTTTTGGATCGGTGTGATGAGGTGCTTTCTCCGGATTCTTGTTTTTATTCTCAACCTATTATTAAACCTCCTAAAACAGCAAATACTAGTCAATTTTTTAGGTCATCTACATCAGTTAAACCAGCTAGCTGGATTTTAGAGGAGAATAGTCCCTCTAAAGATCTTTCGGAGCATGTTGATGCTTTAAATATTAAGAATGAAGCTGCTATTAAATCATTTGAAACATTTTCATATGCTCCGGAATCATCATCTAGCTTGAAAATAGAAAAGACGATTTTTGCCAATAATTCTTTTATTCCTGATACGACTATTCCTTATAAAAAATCATGTAATGAATGTAATACTGATAATGCTGAATTTGTTTTGGCACCATGTGGTCATAAGTTGATTAGATGATTTTTTTTTTTTTCATTCAAATGCTTATGTTATTAGGATTTGTCAAAGATGTCTTTCTAGTTTGATCAGCGATGTTCCTATAAATTTATATATTTGCTTTATATGTCATAAGGTATGTTATTAGGCTTTTTATATTATTAAAGAATGGTTGATAACTAGTTAGGAAATTGCGAACTTTACCAGAAAGTCTTTTTTAGAACCTACTTTGTCGTCTAATAAGCTTCAACCAGTATCTGAATTTGGTTTTCCGAAAACTAACTCTCTTTTAAATTCTTTTGAAACAAAACAGTCAAGACATTCTATTTTCTCCGAAAGTTCTGAATCATTGAATTCTACAGCTAATTGTTTTTTAAAGGATTCTTTAATGTTAGAAAATCCATTTTCTGATATGAGCACTTTAGTTACTCCCCAAGATTGGACGTGTTTGAAAATTTCTAATGTTCAACTTTAATATATTTTTAAGTTATTTGTTAATATATTCGCAGATTCCTTGGGATCTTTCTATCGAAGCTATTCATGAATTTCTTGGCAAAAATGCTCGAATTGCTCCATATAATGTTCATTCTCAACCTATTCATTTTATTATGGATAGGTAATGCATTCTTTTTTTTCTTTAAATGACTAATGTACTATATAAAGAATGTCCGCTAAGACTCAAAGTGAATGCTATGTAGAGTTGTCATCAAGAAATGATGCACAACGATTGGCAGAACGTCGTTCTGGTAAGCTTTTGGGATCTAGAAATGTTGTTTTGGAAATTGCAACTCAAGAAGAACTTATGAATCGGATATTTCCAAAGTGGAAGGGTGAATGGAAAGGTGTTAATCCTTATGTAGATGAAAATTTAAAATCAATAAGACAATTTTCTGTTCCTAAGGCAGAAATTGTAACTAGAGAAGAGTTGAATTCGTTAATTAGTCATGTGAAGACATACAGAGTAGGTTTTGTATTAAAATTAAAATGATATTAATTGTCGTTAGAGTCCATATAGTCGAAAATGCCCTCAAAGACCATTTGAAGATTTTATTAGCATTCTTGCCAAAGTTGGTTTTCTTTTTTTTTTATGATTTTTATAATTATGTTAGTTTCCATGGCATAAAGGCGATTTTTATACTATTTCTCAAAGAGATTTATTGCATTCCTCTTTAATAAGTAGTAATTTGTTTTTGTTTGACTTTATAGCTGATAAACTTAGGTCTTATTGAAATTTTGAAAGGTCATTTCAAAAAAGGACGTTTAATCGAATTGAATTTTCGTCTTCTTGAACGTTTAGTTCATGCTGGAACGACAAATACATGTTTCACTGAAAAACAGAAATTCGAAATATTTAAAACGGCTGGTTTATCTTGTAATTTTCATGTTAATAGGATATCTTTGATGAATTTGGGCTTAAAGGCTGTAAGTTGTTTTAAAGTAGATCATTTGCAAACAACAGAGGTATTTTTATTTATTTATTCTTTTGCATTTTTAATATGCGTAGATATTATCTTTTTTGTTGTATAATGGGTTTAAAGTAGATGATTTGCAATTGTCAGAGAAGGATTCGTGTTCTTTATCAGATATTGCAAAAATCGAGATGTCATATATTAATTCAAAATTGCTAGAATATCGGTCATCAGTTTTATCCACTACATTACATTCAGCTTTTGTTCCATCTCGTATTTAATTTATAAATTTCTGATTGATCTTGATAATATGCATTTATAAGAATGGGAATAGAATTGTTTGCGGGATTATATTAATTAACAAAGGGTGTTCATAAATTATACTTATTGAGTTTTTAATATATTAAATTGATAGTCGCTGATGGGTGCTTTATGCGTGTGTATCGGGTGATAATTATTTTAATGTTTATATTGAATGATTTACTTTATTTGAATTTGAGGATATTATATTTTAAAAATTATTATTATAGGAATAATTGCTTTTAAATTGGGACGGTTCATGAAAATCGAGTTAGGTTTTTTAATTTTATTGATGTTTTTGTATGGCTGATTTATATGGATTAATTCTTAAATGTGGAATTATGTTTTATTCTAAAGGATGAGGCATTTATATCAATGGAATTGGATGTTTTTGAGAATTTGGTGATTTTATGGCTTAATATATTAGATATTTATATTTTAAATTCTAAATAGTTTTATGTTATACTTGAAACTTGGGTTCTTAAATATATTCTACTGATAAAATAGTTTATATTTTCTGTTATTTTTATGACTTTTCATACTATTTATTATAAAATTAATATTTGGTTTTGTTTTAATTAAATAAACGTTTTTATATTAATGAAATTAAATGTAATTTCATTTTAAATCTTTAAAAATTTTAGATTATGCATCTGTAACTATAGCTCTTCTAATTTTTATATCTTCTTCTGGTCTATCATTTGAATCCTCAATAATTATTAGCTAAGAGAAATAAAAGTGTCTTATATACTGTTTTAACAAGACCTATCCGTTGAACTACTTTCATTCCTTGCTTTACTCGCCCAAAAATCGTATGTTTCCCATCTAACCAAGGTGTTGCTGCCAGTGTAATGAAAAACTTTTATTATTAACTTAAATTATTCTGATAAAAAATAAGTTTACTTGAGATCCATTTGTTCCTGGACCCGAATTCGCCTAAATTAAGAATAAATATATATATATAGACAAGTATATATCTAATAAACCATAGATATAACACCTGCACCTGTATGTTTAAGATCAGGATGTATCTCATCTTCGAATTTATCTCTGATAAAATAAAAATACATCAATATACCCATCAAAAGATTACCCATATATTGATGATCCTCCTCTACCTGTTCCTGTCCTTTAACTAGTTAATTCTACTCAAATAACTTAATATAATATACGGATCTCCTCCTTGTATAATGAAATCCTAGTATTATTAAATACAGCTTTAAAGGTTTTTTTTCAAACAGGAATAACGCGATGAAACTATTAATAGTTATTTAAGTTTCTTTTTCTGAAAATTAAAGGATTGCTTGCTATTATATTATCATAATATCCACGTCTTGACTATTTATGTTATTTAAATGAAAAATATACACTTTTTTATGAAAAAAAAACCAATTCATAGAAGTTTTTGCATGTCTAAAGCATAAATATGTTTTTATAAAGCAATATAATATACCTTTGGTGCATGATTATAATAAAGCTCTATAGTGACTGGACCCTATATACATTAATTTTTAAGAAAAAAATGTTAAAATAACCATAGATGTTTCAAGAATAACGTCTCCCATCATTTATAATGTAGATTATGTGTTTTTTTATGTATATTTCTCTACTTTTTTGCTGATTTTTTTTTTGGAGGTCTTCCAAGAGACTTGTTCGATCACTAAAAATCTTATCTCCAAATCTCCACTTAAGAATGATATCATATAAATAGAGAAATATCCTTTATCTGTTTTATTTAGACGTTGTTAGAATTCTTTAGATTTTAAAAATGATATATTATTTTTTTTTTTAAATTATTTAATAAGATCATGAAATAGATGAGTAATGGTTAAGAATTGATAAATATATTTATTATTCCTTAAGTAATTGAATAGATTCATGTTGATAGTTAAATTAAGAAACAGGTGAATTTGTATTGATTGATTTAGAAAATGTATACAGAAAAAAAGACCCTTAAAAATCAATTTAGTTACATTAAAATAGACAAAAGGCAGTTTCTAATTAAATATGAACTTGGATGATTTCCTAGATCTAATAATAATTATGCAAATAATAAAAATTTTTAACTGTTATGTAATAAATTGCAGATTTATATTTATTCAGAAAAGTAATAGATCGGATTAGAAATTAATGCGATATAATGTAGCCTGAATAAAGAACCAAGAAACTTATGATAATAAAATATCTCCGTTCATTTTTTTGTATTGGGTATTCTTGTTATAAAAGAATCAGCAGTCTAGACCATTGGACCTCTTTCGAAAGAACTTGTACTACTATGTCCACTACCACTTCCTGATGCACAACCATTTCCATTGCTTGCTGTACTTGCGCTTGCACTTCCTGTTAAACTTCTTTGAGGATTTATATTCATACCATTTTTTGTAGGACCATGTGATGGATGAGGATGCATAATCATATTTCGAGAGGGGATGTGTCGCATCGATGTTAATGGTGCTGAGGGTGCTCGTTGAGGTACGTTTGGCGGCATATTCCCAGAGTTCATAGTTGATAAATATTGATGACTCATATGATGTGCATGACGTGTTAAAGGCGCGCCATTAACTGTAGGATGATACATTGTAGAACGATTACTTTGAGGTGGTCCGTATGTGCTAGAATCACGCATTTCATCCGATTTAGCTGTAGTTAAAGAATTTGTGCGAGAATTGACTAAAGTTTTCGAATCGACAGTTCCATATCGATTTGAAGAATAACCCAACATAAGACTATTTTGTATATGGTCACACGTTCCTATTAAGCTAACATCCATTGTATTGTATGGTTGAGATCGTGAATGTGAACGTTGACGCGATTCCCATCCGGCATAATCATTGTACATGTCAGCTTTATTCTCAAAAGTACTTCGCATGCTACTAGTTGATACTTTGTTTGTACTTTTTCTATGACGTCGAAAAGTCATGCTCATCATATCAAAATTATCTGAATTTATTGGTTGAAAATTTGGTGGAGCGTTTGAAGGAATATGATAATCTGCATAATCATCATCATCATCATAACCATATGAACGTGTACTATATCCATCAGTAGCATGGTTCTTAGGAAGCCGTGCCATATTCTTTTTGTATTCTAATGCTTCTTTTTCACGTAATAATTTTTCACGTTTAATTAATGCTAGTTTCTTTTCTTTTAATGACATAGAATCATATGCACCTTTTCTTCGTTCTTGAACATGATTATATGATTCATCAATATTATTGATATAATTATGATCTTGATGATCTATTGCATCAGCATCATCTGCATTCGAAACATGTATCATATCTCCATACATAGCAATATCTGCAAATTCTTCAAGTCCTTCAAGAGAATCATGTCTAATCAACTGCCGAGGAGAACCACGTCTATAATGTCGATCTCCCGATGAAATGTTATATCCATTTGGTTCATGGATTAGATGATGCTTGCGTTGCTCTTTAGCTAAAGATTTTGGTGATAGCTGTCGAGGTAAGATAGTTGATACAGATGGAGATTGTCTATGAAGATGATTACGATTATTCAAATTATGCATCAAAGCATGAATTGTTTCCAATCTAGGAACAATGATATCGTGTTTATTTGCAATTTCAAGAGGATTTGTCAGAAAAACTTGAATTTCCATTGGACGTCTAGTAATATAGTCTTGGTACATTACAGACTGAGCTGTATCATTCGCCATGGAATTCATGACTCTAGATTTAAACTCAGTATCAAAACTACAATTTTGTGCTTCTGCTATTCGTAAAAGTTCGTCAAATAAATTGGATATCAATTTTCTAGCATTTTGGTTTTCTAAAAGAACGGAATGATTAGGTTCATCAAAAAGCACGCTAATAGGATGAAATGAGATAGGTCTATCGTATAATAATTAATATATGAAAAAAAAATAAAGATAAAAATAAATACCCAATCATTTTCTCCCACTGTTGTTGAAGAATATTAGGCGAAGAACGGCAATTGATGTTTCCTGCCTCCAATGTTAATTTCAAAGATTCTATCATGTCTCGTTGAGTTTCCTCTGGAAGTATTAAATTTGGTTGTATAAGACCTATCCAAACATTCTTAGATCCAGAATGCTCATAATCGGCTACATTTAACTGAGTCAATGTAGCTTCTGAAACAAGAGAAAGAACAAGATTTTTTGGGAACCGTTCTATAAGTTGATGTTCAATGCCAATCGTATTAGTGGTATTAATGATAATGCAGGTATGTGAGGATGTAACAACTGACTCGATGATGGTCGCTATATCATATATATCCGGAAGAGCTTTAATACATACAAAAACATAGTCGAATGGACAGTGAGGAGTTTTAGCTTCCTCAATTGTTTGAACAACTAAATAATTAACATCAATATACACAGAACAATAGATAAAAATATTTGTTTACCTCGATGAGGTTTGAATCGTTCTGAATCATATATATTGGATCTATATATATATATAAATTATAAATTAACATAAAAATATCAATACAAACCTAAAAGAAATACCGTAAGAAGATACTGCATCGAAATGATTACGCCAAACAAGTGTAACTTTGCAAGCATTGCTAGATTGAAGTCTCCAGGAGAAAAATGCAGAAATAGCATTACTTCCGACTATAAACGTTATATTAGTATTTGTATTTAAAAAATGCATTATTTAATCGTCATTTTCCTATCAAATATTGCACTTTTATTCCATACTTACCAGATAAAATATGAATAGGAGAATTAGATGGACTAGATTCTTTATTCATAGTCCCTTCTTGTACTTTATACCCATCTGTTTCTGCTGGTTGTATACTCTTCCCCAATTGTTCCATTTTTAATAACTATTATATTACTAATCAAATTTTAAATTCCAAATCCTTTTTTTCTGAATAAATTTTTAGCGATTGATATATTTGTTTAGATTCCCCCGTTTTCGCCTTATAAGCCGCAAATATGCCCCGTTTTATACCCAATTTTCTACAAAACTCTTTCCTCTTTGCTTTCTCAACTCTGATCTATCTCTTTACTTCTTTTCCCCTATTTATATACTTTCTTTTTTTCACTATAAATCGTGATGCTATTATATGTTAATTAATGCCCCAATTGTCATAATAAAAAACTTCAAAAGCACGTTTTCTATGTTATCGTCCACTCTGATGCAATATTCTATGCTTTTTTTGCTATTCTTCTTAGAAATAACTAATAAATATGAAAAACAATCTATAATTAACAATTAGCATTAATCGTCCATTTTCATCCCGGAAAAAAACCTCTATTAATAATTCCTTCTGGTGATTCTTCTACGGCCTTGAGATTCTCTTATTCCTCTATAACCCTCACTTTTTGACCGTTATAAATACCCTTTTTCCTCCCAAGACCTTTTGTCTTGTTGCTTTAATCTTGCTCCGTTGGAGACGCGCATTTCGATACGCGATTATCACGTGACTTTCAAAGGGGAGATATATAAAAAAGATGATTGAAGATGTAAAAAAGAACTAAAATGCATTGGAATAAGAGTATAAGTAATTTTCTGATGAATAAATTATATGAAGTTTTTTATTATAATTTTTTTTGTGATATTTTTTCTATAAAAAAGCCCATAGAAAAGATGAAATATATTAATATAAAAATGAAATAGATTTTTGTTAATAGAGTTGTTTTATTAAGTTTATTTTTTGTAAATAGATGTTTTAATTAAATATTGAGATAAAGATTCTATGCTATGTATTTTGTAATGGTTTTATTTTATGTATCATCTAGAATATCAGGTGCAGCATTAATATGAATACTTGGTTTTGGCTTGAAAACAGGATTTTGTTTGAGAGCAGGTTTAGATGTAATATTTTTCTTTAATGAAGAATGTTGTAGAATTTTCCTTTGACGAACAGCAGTAGGGACAAATGTTGTTGATTCTTTTCTTAAATCTCGTAGTATAGAATCTGCGCTGTAGACAATAGTAGGTGTAGGAGTAGGAGTAGGTTGAGATGGTCCTTCGATAGATTTATTATTTTCAGATTGTTTTTCAGAATAAGAAGAATGCAAAGTGTTTGTTTTTTGGTCCAAAGTTTTTGGATGTTTGAAACGTTCTAGTTGATGCCTTTTTTTTCTTTTATCTAGATATGAAAAAGGTGGTGGCGATCCTTCTGGCATAGGAATGGTTGAAATTGATTCTGGTGTTGATGGTTCTAATCAATTTTAGGCTTTCTGGCTATAAACCCATCAAAAATATACCATTAGAAGATGTTTCATCATCTTCTATGTCACTCCATTCTTTGTAAGGCATTCCTGGTGGAGGAACACCATATGGATTATAAATAGGATCATAATAAATACTTTTTTCTGGATTTTTTGGTATTTTTTGTTGCTGTTTTTCCTCTTTTGCTTCTCTTGCTTTTGTTTTTTCACTTTCTATAATAGGACCTACATATTTTCTAGCTTTTCTTATTCTTTTAAGGTCGGACTCGAGTATTTCAAGATTCTAAATCCTCTCATTAATTCCCTTCTTATAAACATATAATTATCATTTACTGATCGATCTAGAGCACTCAATTGACCTTTCATCTCTAATATACATCATTAAATTAAATATTTTAGATAAAATCCAATAATAAAAAATACCAAGTCTCTTGAACTCTTGAATTTGTGCTTCAATCTTGTTAACATCTCTTCTTGCAAGCTTCTCATATTGAAGTTTTTGTTTTTCTGCTTTTGCCTAAAAATTAGAAAAAAGTAAAAATTATACATAAACATACTTTTTTTATATGATCTCTTTTTCTTTTTTTATGAAACTCTTGTGCTGGATTATAGCTTTTTTCTTTAGGCATATTTTTATACTATAAATATACTGTCTTGACGTTATCTCCGTTTGATTAAATATTGGTGAACTCTTGAAATTTTTTAAAAATAAATTAATTTTAAAACATTTCTAGTCATTTCTCAATAATCATTTATAAATATGTTTTTAATCTTTTTTTGTATTTTTTTATATTTATTAAAATACTTTTAAATGAATCATTGAAACCATTTGAAAATAATCCTTTACACTGTAATCATGTTATATTATCTTTTAATACGTTCTGACATGAATCTTTTTAATCTATTTTATTGAATATTTCTAAATATCCATGTTTTACGCTATCTTATTTTTTAGCTTGATATATAGAAAAATTAAACAAAATATTTAGAATGTATCATTTCTTCTAAAGTTTATAAAATATAGATTAGGTTGTTTTAGTTAAAAAATAAGGCTTTTTATAGCTCTTTGTTTTTTTTCTTTTAAGGGTCTTCTAAAAGAAAAAAGTTAACTAAAATAAGGCTAATTATTTTAGCCTTTAGCCCTGTTTAAAATAATTTAAAGGTTTATTTTTTAGATTGATATAGAAAATCTTGGGGCAATAATTCATCCGGCTCCCAAATCATTTAAATACATGTTTTTTTTTCTTGATAAAGTTATAGAATGGACAGATTATATAATATGGAAGAGTAAAGAAAAAATCAATGTGTTCGAATAATCTGCCATATAGAGATCATTCCATTCCAATTTCATTACCTAGTATTACCAGTCTTTATTCACAAAGTTTATTACCAAACAATTGTTCTTTTTTATATTTACCTCCACCAAAATTATCCAAGTCATTGAAAGTTAAAGAAAAGATGACATCGCTACCGATTTCATCTTTATTTAATTCTAATGAACAGAAATCAGGGCATTCGTCATTAACCTGCTGTTTAGATATACATGAATTGCTTTGTACACCAAGTGATTCTTTACAACAATCATTTAAAACATCCTTAATAGAAGAAACAAATAAGGATAAAAACAAGAGGAATATTAGATTTTGTGCTCCATATGAGCATAATGTATGTCCTCAATGTTTTAGAATATTTTCACGGCCTAGCTATCTTAAAATACATATTCATAAACATACAGCTGAACGGCCGTATACATGTTCAGTAGAAGATTGTAAACGATCATTTTTTTCACAAAGCAATATGAAAAGACATATGCATTTGCATAAATTGTAGAAAGATATAAATTTTAGTGAATTATTTAATAATATATTATCAATATATATATATATAAAGCGACGCTTTATACGATATTGAATAGAGAGGAAATGATTATAATATATAGTGTAGTCGTTTTTAATAAATGAATTTTACATTTCTAATAATTTAATAAAAATCTTACTAGAAATGTTCAAAAACCGAAAAGTAATTCCATAATGCCGCGTACTAATTTTTTACTCCATTGACTTTTGTTTTCTGTTTGTTGATGTTCTTGTGTAGTTGATTTATTAACAGATGACCATGTTATCCATGAATATGTTTTATCCGGTGTTTCTTTAAATATTCCTTCTGAACCTAATACCTCTATTCGTTGACCATTACATGAACTAGTTTTATAGGTATTCGATGGTGTTCTAAGTACTATATTAGGAGATTCTTGATGTGATATATGTGTTAATGAATGTCTTGGATTAATTGAACAATGAGATGACGGTGTTTTCGCATCTAAATCCATTACCATGTCTATATCTTTGTCTGTTTTGGTATTTGGTTCTTCAACTGGTGCAAATATACATCCTACCATATATGTTCCACCTATAATAGTTCCATTTGATGAAACTGCTTTGTTTGCCGATTCTTCATCCGCATATGTTATTTTAAGCCAATTACTACCCGTTGACATTGGATTTTCCGTAGAAGAATGATCCAAAATCTCGCCATATCTTGAAAAATGTGAAATAACATGAGATGTTAATGTTGCTGGAAATCCAAACAAAATAACTGCTGTTGGTATAGATGATTTAGGTGTTTCTTTAATCCTAGTTGATTCTGGCGTCGAATTAAATTCTGTTTCATTTAGTCGATTTCGTTTTCTTAAAAACTTACTGCTTTCTGAAACTTCATTAGATTCTAAATTCATAACAATATTCCCTTCCACATCATAAAGTGATTCAACCGGTGGTGCTTCTTCTTCTTGAATCTTATGACCTGCTTTTCCCCTCCTCGAATTCGATCTAATAATTATTAATCTAAAAAAATATACTAATCATTTAAAAACTTCGGCGTCCCAAAACTAGGCCCTCCAAACCAATTAGGCGGTGATGTAGATATCTTTCGAATACTCGATCTTAAATCTCTCAGAATCCTCATACATTCTTTTTTATACTTACGTAGATGGTCTCGCCGTAAATGACGGTTGACTCACTAACGGACTAGAACGATCTGGTGTATATGATTTCTATACATAAAAATTACCAAAAACTTCCTAAAAAATACATTCCTCTTCATTCATACCCTATATGGAAGCTGAGAAAGATGTGATGGTACATATTTCCTCTTTCCAACCGATAAATCCGGTGTATTACTCCGAGAAAAATAATTCTCTTGTTGACTTTGTGATCTAAAATGTCCACTTAATAATGACATTCCATATCCTCTAATTGCTGGAGATCCTAATGGTTCAATACTAGATATCGTTGATGATACACTTATTGGTGACACATTGTTTAAAGGTGTTGATCCTGTATCTCCACTAAACATATCTTTTACTTTATTAATTGTTTCTTAAAAATATTTCTTTTTATCCCTTTTATTACCTCTTTTTTCGCCCTTTTTAACGTCCTTTTAACCTCTTTTTAGTGCTTGTCTTACTTTGTTTCTTTTATTGAGGTTGATTTCTTGTGCGTGTTACTATAGCAACCTTCGTGTTGTCATGACAACGCTGTCTTAATAGTAAAGTAGTAACTAGTAGTAACTTTACTATAACAAAATGGGTGTTATTATAGAGATAGTGAAGTTGGATTATGATAATAGTTGAATTGTAGTAAGAATATTTATATTATTATGAAGAGAGTTATGCTCATCTGAGGAGACGTACGTTGATGTGGCGACCCCTCTATGTTGATGTGACAACCAAGTGTTACTATGACAACCCAGTGCTACTCTGACCCAGTGATACTCTACTCTGACAATGTAACGTTACTATAATGCCTTCGTTACCTTTGTTACCTTTGTTACTATAATAACCCATTGTTTCTATAACAACTAACTCCACAATATTCATATATTACTTGTATTACTTCTGACAACGTGGAGTTACCATAACAACGTAGATTTATTATAACATCGTAGCGTTACTATAACAATCGTCTCCTTACTATAACACAAGTCTTATCTCACTATAAAAATATTCCTATTTATAATAACAATCTTTAATCTTAGTATTGATAACTCCTCTGTTACCATAATAACTAACTCCTGCGTTACTATAATAACTAACTTCTCTGTTACTATAACTTCTGTGTTACTATAACAACTTCTGTGTTACTGTGACAACCCCGTTACTATAACAACCTCCCCTCCACCCCTCCTGCGTTGCTATAACAACCCCTTGTTGCCTCGGCAACCCCGACTATAAACACCGTCTGGACAACGTCTCACATCTGATCGTCTTTAAACCACCTTAATGGAGAGCTCAGAAGGGGTCAATGACACGGATTATGACCTTCTTGAAGTGGTCGGACATGGATCATTTGGATTAATTCGAAAGGTAGTTTTTTTGGGGATTTTTTTTGATGAATTTTGATGGAAAAAAGGTTAGAAGAAGATCGGATGGGATGGTAGTTTAAAAGGAGGAAAAGAGGAGAGACTTATAGATAAACAGGTATTTGCCCGTAAGGAGATTCATTATAGGAAGATGGAGGAGAGAGAACGGAAGCAGTTGGCGCTGGAAGTGCAGATTCTTTCGAATCTGCGACATCCACATATTGTGAGATATTATGGAAGGAGTATAGATCGGATGAACCATACGATCTATTTATATATGGAGTTTTGTGAGAATGGGGATCTTGGGAGTCTTATTAAGGAATGTCAACAGGAGAAGTAAAGAAGAAGAAAAGAAAGAAAGATAAAGATGTATTAAGATTAAATTAGTTCTATTATTCCGGAGAATATATTATGGAGTATTTTTGTTCAGTTGACATTAGCATTATACCGATGTCATTTTGGGGTGGATGCGCCGTCATCGGATATTTTAGTATCATCGACGCCGTCTCCATCATCATCAGTTATACTTCATCGTGATATTAAGCCGGACAATAGTAATATTTGAAACAAGGATATTTATTTAAGATTTTTTGATATATTTGATAGTATTTCGTGATGGAGAGATTTATGTTAAATTGGGAGATTTTGGACTTTCCAGGGTTTTAAATGATCCATCTAGAACATTTGCGCAAACATATGTTGGAACGCCATATTATATGTCACCAGAGATAATTAATCATGAACCCTATACGGCGAAATCTGATATTTGGGCACTTGGATGCACAATGTATGAAATGTGTACGAAATTACCGCCTTTTCGAGCAATGACGCAACCTGAATTGAATCACAAGATACGAAGAGGAATATTTCCACCAATTCCTGGTTTATATTCTATGACACTTAGAGATACAATAAGATGGTGTCTTGCTGTTGATCCAAAAAGAAGGCCAATGGCCTCTGATCTACTAATGATTGATATGTTTCGGGCTTATCGTAAAGAATTGGAAATCTTAGAACTGTAAAGTATCTATTTATTTGGTCATTTATATTAATATTTGTATCTAGTCGTAAAGAATTAAAGGCAAAAGAAAGTCATTTGTTAAAGAGAGAAGCAAGTGTTTTGGCAAAAGAAGAAGAGCTTAAAAATAAAGAAAGAATATTATATGAAAAAGAAATAAACTTAGGAAAGGCTATTCAAGCCCATGTTTGTCGATCACAGACGGAAATTGATCGACTTTATTCTAAAACACAAGAATCGGGACATTCTGGAGAACGAACTACAAATAGACCATCTATAGTATCATCCACGCATACAATCGCATCACTTCATTCCTTATCTTCTATTAAGGATAAACGTCATGTAACTATTGATAGCAATTTATCTGAATTATCACCGACTCGTTTTTCTCCGGGAGAAAGAAGACAAATAACAATATCGAGTATACCTATCCGCCAGCCATTGCAGGAAAACACATCAAAGTTATCTAATACTGCTTCAAATAAAACTCCAGTTACTCCTAGTCGCTTAAGAGCTTCTCCAAGTCATAGGAAAACTCTTGATTCCCCAATTCATAGTCAAGGGCTTTTAAGAGCTGAAATAAATCCTGAAACTACCAGAAATCTTCGAAATCCACGACCAACTGTTATGGAAATGTGGAAAAAGAATGTTTGGGAAGATGGAGATGAGCTCCCAAGTCCCTTTTTGCGAAAGAATGTCACTATATCCAATTGATGATGAAAATACTACATGAGATTTTAGTTAATCCGTTATTGTAATTTAATAGAAAGTTTCCCTTCTTCCTTGGTTATGTTCAAGTAACGTATTTGTTTTAAGTCCATATTCTTCATTTTTATAGAGATATTCAAAATAGAAATGTTTATAAAATAGGCCACATATTTTTCATTTGTTTGTATATGGTCTTTTATTTGTTTCTATTGCTTTTTGGTTTTACCTTTAAATCAAGTAAGCTCTATTTAAGAATTTAACAAATAATAATGCCTTATAACATCTCAATGTTTTGTTAAATTTGAAAGATTCAGATGCTATGACAACTAAATGTTGCATTGATCTGCTTTTTTTGTTAAAAATTTAACCTGTTATTTTAGATTTTATGAAACTTTTTGTGTAAAACGTAGCAAATAATTTTGCATAATATTTTTAAATCCATATTTGATTTTATTTTCATATAAATTGATATTAATTCTTATTTATATATTTTTTTGAGTAATAGAATTATTATTATTTTATATTTTCACCAGAAATTGGATATCTTTTTATTTCTTCTTCTATTTATATTTGAATCCATGTAAAACATTGATTATGGAATTTATACTTTCAATGTATATTTGAAAAAAAAGTTCCTTTCTCTAAATTATTATTTGGGTTGATCCCTTTGTATAGCTTATAATTATTACTAAAAATTTCTTTTATAAATCGTTTTGAAAGATTTTCATATATATTAATTTGTAAATTTAACATGTATTGTGTTTTGTATAATCAGTTATTAATGAAAAAAAACTCCTTCTTACTTTCTGCTTTCAAATAAGAACATATTCAACAAAAACATATCTAGAATAAAAAATATCAGGTAAAAACAACAACAATCTTTGATCATTTCGTTATGAATCAATTATATATAATATTCCTTTCTAAAACATAGGCTGTCCCCGGATGAATTTTTGTATAATAATTTGACAATGTTTCTAAAATACAAAATTCTCGCTTCGTATACCATTCAATAGCATCTTTGTTTTCCGTCCATACATGTAAATAAATAGTTTCTATATTTAATTTTTTTGCTTGTTCTAATATATGGTTTAAAAGTTTTTGTCCTTTAAATTTTAAAATAAACAACATATCATATTTTTGACAATAAAATACCTATTCCAAGACCTCTATAAGCTGCTAAAACCCCAAGCGTCATAAGATATAGCTTCTTATTTTCCAACTGACACCTAATACATCCGACACATATATCATTAAAATATGCAAGTTTAACCAATTCTCCCATCTTTAAGCTATCCTCATAGAATCTTTCATCATAAGTTATTGGAAATATGACCTGATGAAGCGTTCTAAAAAGACCCAGATTGTTTTCAGTTAAATCTACTAGTTTTTATCAAAAAAAAACCCTTCAAAAACGAAATATATATAAACCTAAGTCAATTCTTCTATAAATATTAGTAATTTATCATGAAAACCAATGTTTTTATGCCTTTTTACTGGATTCTCCATCTCAAGAATTTATGTGTAGTTGGCTATCGCTAAGATGAAAAATACTAAGATAAAGAGTCATATAAGAGTTGAAACATAATTATATTAAAATAAGTTATAGAAAGAGAATGAAAATGATATTGAATGTATTAAGTTTTAAGAGAGAATGTTTTAAATGTATAATAATAAATAGAAGAATTGAGATGATATATAATACGATGTTATACAACGTTTATATTACCTCAATATTGTTTGAGAAGATATGTGGTGTTACTTTTGATATTGTTTAATATAATATTGTTCGGAATTATGAGCAGTAGAGTTAGAACTTTGTGAAGAATAAGTGTAATATTGTTTTTCTGGATAAAGATATTGATCATAACCAAAAACTTTTCCGAATTTGTTTTGTTTAAAGACTTTTTGTTTATAATTATGAATTTTATCAGATAGAGTGTTTGTTTTAAAAGAGTGGTGATTAATATGATCTTTGGTAATAGCTAAAAAAGAAACGATAATGAAGTTCCATAGAGTAAAAATGAACAAAGTCAATAAGCCTATGGTAGATATCATTATAATTGTCATTCCTAACAATGCTCGTAATAATTCCTAAATATAGATTTAAAACAATAAGAATAATAAATATATATATATATACCGATATATTAAGGGAAAATGTAATAATGATTCCTAAACATGATGTTTTAATTGCTCCAAGAAGCAATTCAAGAATATACGCTCTAATAGATTCGAAAGGAAATAATATTAATATGCTTAATAAATGTAATAATTCGACTATAGAAAGTGAGATTGTTTGTGATTTAGATGGAAAGTTGAAAAGTCCTAAAAGAATTGCTTTACAAAGAGAATAAGTGAGAAAAACAAGATAAAAATGTTGTTTTTTAGAATTATATTCAACGATAAGCCAGCCCCAGTATTTAGCAGTCATTTCTGAATCCAATCTTCTAAAATGACTACGAAAGAAATGTAATAAGCTTAGAATTAATATTGGTACCACAAATATAAGTAGCGAAAACGCAGAGAGTATTTTAGGCTGATAAGCATCATGTAGTGCTAGCTGATAAATAGAAATAAATGATATTCCAAAAACATTAATAACAAGCTGGAAAAGTAAGTAAATTTTTATAGTATTTATGGAATTAACCAATCTTAAAATTGACAAAAGGTTAAAATTCATCCAGTTTCTTCGAATAAAAATTTCATTTCGTCTAATAATCCTCGTAATAAAACATACAATTGTAGAAATGATAAGAAATCCTATAACGGCTGAAACAAAGCAAATAATTGATATTATAAACGCATTAGTGTTAGCTATTTTCAAATAATTAAGTTGTCCTTGAATACCTTGATGAGAGTTTGATAATGAAAAATTAATGTTATTTTCTTTTCCTTTAGCATTTCCTAAACTGAGATGTATATGTTTCTCCGCAAATTTATTAAAAAGATATATAAGTTCCTGAAAATATTCAATAAGCCCAAGAGAAAATGAAAAATTGGAAGCCCATGCTATTAAAGAAGTCGGATATACTACATTTTCCATTGCAATAGTCGCTAAAAATTGAAAATAACTCCAAAATGTTAATAGCCCAGGAATAGAATGAGATGCTGCTAGCAAAGCATATGAAAAGCTAGATTGAGAAGAAAATGCCATAAAAGATGTAAAAGCAGATAGCCCAAGAAATCCAAGACATATCCATGTTATAATATTATTATGAAATGATTGTTTATTTACAATATCTGTTTTTAAACAACCTAATTCTTTCCCTGTCACTGCTGAATGAAAATAAAAATACACTTCTCCTTGAAAATCCGGGATATTAAAAAAAAATTCTAGCGCTTTTAATCATTTTAAAGCAAAGCTAATCATATTAAAACCTGGAACATTTGATTCTTCTGCTGAAAGAGGTAATACTCCTTTGGTTAAAAAATATGGTGTTGAGACTATAGAACATAGTCCTGGAATCTTAATAACACATGGATCATATGTTTGTTTAATATGCTTTTTTTCATGTACTGTAAACAAAAATGTTACTGTTTTTTTAAGCTTAACTTTTCACTAAAAATTAAGCATACTCATTATCTTATCATCCACTGAACTTTTTCCTGACATTTCAAATTCCATTAATAGTTCTTTATGATAATATTTCCCTGAAAAATGTGTAATCTCAATTAATGGATTATCTGAACATGACTCATAGTTTCTTGAATAAAAAACATTATCAACCAATGAAATATGATTCTGGAATGAAAAAACAGATGAAATACATAGTAATAATATAAAAAAACTCCTTCTAAGCATCTTTTCTTCTACCAAAAAATATTATAATACACCAAAACACTCGATTTCAATCAATAAATATCCTCTGTTCACCGTTCAAATTGTAAAAAGGATATAAGGCACGTCTATAATACAAATTATTTATTTATTTATTGGAAAAATGCCTTTATTTAAGGCTATTTTCTTGTTATTTTATAACACTTGTTTTTTGTAGGTTCACGTCGATTATCAAGATAATCAACAAATATTTATCTGAGGAGATAAGGAAGAATGTTAAAGAAATATATGAAATGAAAGTTAAATATTGTGAAGGAAATAGGTAGATATAAATGTATTTGAAGGTAGATAGTTTCTATGTATAATAGAGATGATAATATAAAGTGATTATTTTAAGAGATGATGAAGAGCAATAAGATCATTATTAGATATTTTTTCCTCGAGATCTATTTCCCTGTCTCCTTTTGAATTTATAATGATTGTTTTGTCAATATTTGTATCTCCAAACTTGATATTTATAGTATATTTTCTATGAAAAAATAATTAGTGAGATTAAATTTGAAATATTAGATAATTTTACTGATTTTTTATTTGTACTAATGTAGCAGAAGAATCACATAATATTGTAAAGTCAGAAAAGACCGTTTCTAATTCACGAATATGAGACGAACGAATTGTATAATAAAGAAGTTGTTTGCGTATTAAAATGAGAAATATCTAGAAAATATATTATTATTAGGTTTTAATAAACATGTAATTTACGTTGATGTCCTTGTTTAGCCATTTTTTTATAAGTAAATCAATATCAATAAAATTAGGTATGGTATGTTTATATAGTGATAATATAGTATCTACGCGAAAGATCAAATAGTGAGGTTCTAGAAATACGCCTAAAAATCATCTTAAATATGTAAAGATTTAAGTTTAAAATAGAACCTATAATAATCTATGTTACATTTTATTATTTGTCTTAATATAATTTACCTTTATGAAAAATATCAATTCTAGCTCCTACAAGTTTATATACCGATTTTTTTTTTAAATGTAAATATTTTTCTGGATTAGATGGAATAAAGAATGTAATTCCTGACAATCTGTATATTTTTTCAATATTCCATTCACTTTTGATCGGTTTTAAATCTTGAGGTGCCTTTCCATAAGTATATTCGTGAGCAGGAGGCTCTTCAAGCATTCTTAATAATAAATCATCTCTCTTTGATTTGAGTCTTTTTACTATTTCCTATATTAAATGTATTTCTAAGAAAAAATAAGATTTTACATTCTTCATGAAGCGACGAAATATCTGTCTGATATTGTGCAAGTATTGATGCCATTCCAAAAGAAAAAAAAAGTATACACCACTTGTCTGATATATTCTTAAGCTTATTGACCTGTTATTGAGCTTTATAAAACAATTATTCTTTAAAAAAATGAATATTTGTTATTGATCCCGATAGAGAGAAAATATCAAGTATATATAAAGAGGAAGAATATATACATATGAACTATAATTGTGTGTGAATTCCTTGTATGATTATTAGTTATGATATTAATTTTTCTAAAAGTAATGATACCTTTTGTGGGTGGAAACATTTCTTGTATATTGATACCCATTTGTGCAGCTTGTTGTTGAATAATTTCATTTATTTGATGAATAGGCATTCCAGATTGTTTAAGTTGCATTGTTCTAATTTGAAGCATTGTCTTTTGTGCTCTTAGTATATTTTGTTGTTCTTTTGTGTATATATTTGCAGATCGTACTTTTAACATAGGTTTAATTGTAGAAGGATTAGCAACAGATGATAGTACGGCGTTTCTTTGCTGCAATTTTTGTATAGATGGATCATCGTTAAGAACGTTAGGAGCAGAAACTTGAGAATTTTGTTTTTGATAAATCTGAGAGAGGTTGAAATTGCGATAAGCTCGTGATCTTTTATGACGGAATTTTTCAATAAAAGCAAGACGTGTAAAGCTAACATTATAGTTAATTGAAAAATAATATTGTATGATATACCTAGGCTGAAAACTTTTTCCTTGTTTTTCATCCATAATTAGCATAAGTTGTTCTTCTTCTGCTTTTTTCGCTTCATCAATTTTTTTAGTTGGACTTTGCTTTCTTTTTTTCATAATTGGAGGTATAAGTTCACATAATTCTGAAAATATTCTTGTCATAACCATTGGGTTTGTTGCTGGCTGTAGGTAAAGAACAGGCGTAGTTGCTATCTAGTGATATTTTAATAAAAATAATAAATAAAAACTTAAATTATTCACTAATATTTGCGACTCAAATTCTATGGCCATTTCATCGTTAAATTTTCCGCCTGTTGATTCACTAAAAAGGCACATTTCTGCCCATATTGTTTCTGATGATGGTTTTAATACTGTATAATAAACCTTTTCTGTAACATTTATTGTAGAAAAGCTTCTAGGAGGCGATTTTGAAGGAATCACATGTTCATTCACAACTTTTGTATCCTTGTTTCCATTTTGATTAGAATTCTCATCTGCACTCTGTCTATGGTCTCGTATTTGTACAATTAAACATCCTTTTTAATTCATTAAAATAAATATCACTTTTAATATTAAAATTACCTTCATAAAAACGAGTTCTGATATCTCTAAATATTTCAACACATTCTGGAGGTATTGTTTCCATTCTAATACATTCCAAAATTATCTTTCTATAATTAAAACTTTTCATTTATTTTCCTCAATTATATACTTTCATAGGACTATTATAAAGAAACACCCCATCCTTTTTATGTTAGAAACAATAATATACTTTCATAAAGATCTCGTATTTGCCTGTTGTTCAAATCTAAAATGTGTAGGATACATATGAAGAATTAATGATGGTGATTCATCTTTATATCGCTCTAAAAGCTCGTCTGACGATCTAACCAATGCTATCATTCATATTAAAATCTTAAAATGCTCTTTTCTTCATGTTTACGTAGAAATTTGTCCTATAATTATGTTATTTTTCCTTATCTTTTTTATTCATTTATATATATACTTGTGCTTCTTTTTTAACTTCTTTTTGGATCTGATCAGCTCTAAAACCTGCTTTTTCATTGATTTTTCCTGTCATTAAAATATATTAAACCTTTTCAATTCTCTTAATTCCCTTTAAATATTTTAATATATTTTTTATATCTTTAAGTGCTGATTGATTTGTTGTAGATCGCTTCAGGAAAAAAATGTTAATAGATATAAGAAATATAAAAAAAAAGATATTTTTGATCTTATTTGTAATGATTAAGACCTACTTTTTCTGAATTAAATATTTAATTTTTTATAAATATTAAGAGTTGAATTTTTTATGTTACATATTTTTATAATTATTTTTAAGAGTCTGAAAATGGAGTTATAGTTGCAATTGCGCCACCTAGAACATGAGAGACTCTGCTTCGTAAAGGCTCGTATGCGCATTCTACATTGAATGTTTCTAAATTAATTTTTGCGATATGATTATCAATATGAATTTCGAAAATATCGTTGTTAATGACAAGTGCATGACCGAATTGAGATTTTAGAAACATTTCTATTCTGTTCTTTTTTTCTTCGTTGTCAAAATTGGAGTGTATACAGTGATTATTATGATTAGAAGTTGCTAAAATTCATATTATGATTTTTTTATATAATATTAGAGGGTTACTTTTTATAGAAGAAGGATTTATTTCTGCAGAGAGAATAATTGCAAGAACAGTGTCAGCAATTGTGTCATTTAATGTATTTCCTAGCCATTCTAATGAAAGGATGTTTTTTTGAAGACATTTTATGGATATTATGTCCATAATCTAATATATCAAAAAATACATAGATAAGGGGGAAATTACCTTAAGTACTCTATTATTATTCTCATCTATTTCATCTTCGATTGCACCAAACATTTGTTCAAGATGATAATGTAAAACATCAATACTTGCGTGAAAAGAAAGGGTCTGACGTTGCATAATAATACTTGTTGTTAGCCCGCCAAATTCTTTTAAATCTTCTAATGCCATAATATTTATCTGAAAGTCTTTTTGAACCATTATTCCACTAATAACATGATTGTTTTCTGGAGGAGTTTCTGCAATATGACCTATTGTCTAAAATATATAAGAATATAATAGAAATAAATGGTTTATAATACTCTAGCTATTTTATCTCCTTTAAATGTGAGTTTTAATGTTTCGCAATTTTTGGGGTTATAGACATGAACTTCATTTTTCCTATGAGAATATTTGCTTAATAATGCACTTTTTAGTCGACCCATATTATTTTGTTCTCCATGTACTAAGATCTAATTTTTTATTAAAAAATAACATAATAAAAATCAAAGTTTACAATATGATTTGCATTTACAAGATCTATAAATTGGCTATTTTGTATATAATCGACATGAGCTTCAAAAGATATTTCTTCAATTGTCATTCTCCTAGGGATTTTTTGACCAGTAAGTGAAATAATTTCTGAAGGTTCATTTAATATTTGCTAAATTGTTAATTAAAATAAACAATTTATTGTTTTACGCATACTTTTGCCATAGTTCCTTCTACACAATATCCTGCGATAATTAAACCATTTTTTGGATCAGGACACCACTTTTCTAAAAGTGTTCTAGAAACACCATTCTATCCAATGTGTTATAATTAACTAAACCCATTTTAAGTTCATACTTGTAGCATTCCGGGCGATGCAAGCATAACACAGGGTCCGATATCTTCAAACCGGTCTAATGATTTTAAACTGCTAATATATCTGAATATAAAAGGATTTCTTTCTTCGAATGCTTTTCTGATTTTATTGTTCATTGTGTTAATATATGTCTGATACACTGTCATACATTTTTTAGCTAAACTACACGCATAATAAACAGGAATAGAATGAAGTTCAGGGTGATTATGCCAATATTCATCAATAATTAACATCAATTCTTGAGTCCTTCCAAGTGCAAATACCGGTATCAAAACTCTTCCTCCTCTACGAATAATCGAATGGATTATATCTAAATCAATCAGTTTTTGATATTTAAAATAATATATATACTCGTTAATCGCGATTCTTTTTCTGATACTGGTTGATGTGATGCTGTTCCATATGTTGATTCTGTTATTAATATATCAGGCTGTATTGGTGGAAGTTCCGCTGGTATAAGATGTCTATCTTCTTCCCTTGAATAGTCACCCGTAAAAAGTATCTATTATTATTATTAAACTTTATAATTATCCTTAAAATATTCACCTTAATTCCCGCTATTTCTATAAAAAACATTGCTGCTCCAAGTACATGTCCTGCATGATATGGCGTAAATTTAACCCCATTCACTTCAATCGTTGAATGATAATCAACCACTTCTATCTTTTCAAACGATTTTATTAAATCCTTTTCTTCATATAAATGTTCTTCTGATGTCGTATTGCTATTTTCATCAATTATTCCATTCTTTTCTTTTTTTTTTTGCTACTATAATCTACCTAACTCTCAAAAAATCCATAAGCAACCATTTATATATAGCTTTTGTAGGATGCGTCATAAACACTCTTCCCTTAAAATTTGTCTTCATATTTAGTAATGTTTTACTTCATTATTAACATTTATACTTTGGTTATTACATATGGAAGTGATGCTACATGATCTACGTGAAAACTACCCCCATCAGTTCGCTCAAAAAACATCCTATCAAACTAACTGGCTAATAAGTAAAATATCCACCGTACTAAGATCAATTTCATCATAAAATGGAAGCGCTGAAAGCCCATTATATGCCGGATGAACTCCTGCATCAAGCTACCCCCATAATTAACCTTTTTTTCCCGTTTTTTCGACATACCCTACCATAATCGTTTTCCCTCTAAATTGGATTATATGGCACGAGCGTCCTACCTCGTTTCCTGCCCCCAAATTTGTAAATTCAAAAACTGATGCTGAATCCATCAAATTTTCATCTTTTTCTCCCGTTCTTTTTAGTGACCTCTCCATTAACCCTTCAATTACCCTTTGATCATATTAAACGCTCTGTTTTCCCTCTTTTTTCCTCTTTTTTCCCTATAAATATCCCCCTAATCTCCCTTCACTACAGCTCTCTCATTTTTCTGTCGTTGATCGCTGCTTTTTTTCGATACGCTCAACCTCCCTCATATTAATCTGACTTCACCAAATGGCTACTCAGATAAAAAGCCGTCAAACAGCTGGACCATGCGGGTTTCAGGCTATTATTCTTGCAGGATTTGGTACTGGGTAAGTTATTTATTGTTTTTCAGCGTTTTTTTTTCATTTTTTTATAGTTTATATCCATTGACAGAAGCAAATAATCTTCCCAAGGCATTGCTGCCGATTGCAAACAAGCCTATGATCTGGTACGTCTTGAAATGGTGTGAAGAAGCAGGATTTTTGAGTATATATATGTGGATAAGAGGGTTTTTTTGTTTTGAGAAAGAATAGGTGTAATGGTTATTTGTCAAACTCAAGTAGAATCATGCCTTTCATCGTACTTGAGAAATGTATATGATGGACATATTAGAGTCCAGGTTTATGCATTGAGTGGTGTAGATGATGTTTTGGGGACGGCAGATGTTATAAGAAAAATTCATGATAAGATAAAAGTATGATGGGATGAATTGAGGGAAGAGGAGGAGTTAATAAGTATATTTAGAGTGATTTTATTATATTAAGTTGTGATTTAATAATGAATCTTCCTCCGCATGAAATTTTGGATTTTCATAGGATTCATACGCCTACAGTTACGTTTTTATTGTATGATATATCTAAGGATGAGAATTTTATTATATCTAAGGATTCAGGTATTTTTTTAAATTGATAGGTTTATGAATAAAAAACAAGTAGATCGAAAAATGTTTTTTGGTATCAATAAGTCAGATAATTCATTGGTTTTTGTGAAATCAGAGGGTGAAGTGAATGAAGAATTTATTGTACGAATGTCTATGCTTTGGAAGTAGATTATTTTTTAGAAAAGAAATATGAATTTAACTGTTGGAGATATCCACGAATTTATGTTACGAGTACGTTGAGGGATTCACATCTTTATATTTTTAAACGATGGGTATTGGATCTTATTGTTCAGAATGAGCGAATATCTTCAATACAAGAAGATTTAATTCCATTGCTTCTTAAATTCCAGTATCAATCTCTTTTATTGAAACGATATAATATTAAAGAACGTATGAAAAATAATACAAGAAATGTTTTAGATTTATATGTTTATTTACTTTGTTTAGTTTGTTCGCGTAATTATGGATATAATCTTGGATCTGATAGTTTAGATGAGAAGCCAGTTAGAGTGATTTCATATTTGCTTCCTGATAATCGATATTGCTTGCGTTCAAATACAATTCAGGCATATACAGATCTTAACAGAAATGTCTTTTTTTTTTAGAGAAAGAAATGATATTAATATATTTATAGTTATCAAAAATATCTGCAGAACCTCGAGTATGTACAACTGCAAAAATGGCCCAAAAAGTTATCATTGGAGCGGATTCTTTAGTTGGCGAGAATACGAAAATTGATGAGCGATGTAATGTAAAAAAGAGTGTTATTGGTGCCAATTGCATTTTGGGGAAATCGGTCACTGTAGTTAACAGTATTATTATGAATAATGTTAAAATTGAAGATAGGTTAGTCTTTTTTTTTTTGGTTTTTTATTAAAGTTTTCTAGTGTAAGGCTAGATGGATGTATAGTTTGTGTTAATAGTGTTATTGGTGCAAAAAGTAAGCTAAAAAATTGTTGCATAAGTGGAGGCTATGAAGTTCCTTCTGAAAGTGAGTAATATTTCATTAGATCTGGTTGGTTTATAGCTAAAACATTTATAGCATGCGCTAGAAATGATAATTTAATTGTTTTCGATGGTATATAACTCAAAAATACATTTTCATTCTTTTTCTCATTAACCTTTTCTTTTCATAATTTCATTGAACATATTAACATATAGACCATTCTCAAATAATAGGTGCTAAAACAGTAAAATTACACATTTCAATCTCAAACAAATGATTTATTATATTTAGTAGTTGTATTTTTTCAACATTGCTGTTACGAGGAATGTTTTCTTCTATTGATCAAACAATTCAACAAAATATATCGCTTTCTAAATCAATCTTCGTCATTTTTCCTTGGCTTAGCTAATCCTTCGTTCATTTTATAATAAACAATTGTGCTATCTGGGCTTACAATTCCTAGCAACAATGGTTGTTCATCTTCACGTATATTTCGAAATTCTTCATATAATTCACTTAATTTTCTTATAGAAACATTTTCCTCATATGAACATGGATAAACATATGTAGTCTTATGGTTTTGAGGTGAAATCCCTTCAATAATTGAGCGGTTGGATGGTAAACAATGAATTTTTAATTCTAACCAGAACTGAGATAAAAGTAGATCTGTATATACAGAATAAAGAAGACCATATGTATCTAAAGAAGAGTATTTTGTTAGTTCTTTTGGAGGGAATGTTAAAATATGCTGTTCCATTAAATTTTAAAAATTTTATAAGCTGAGCTATAATCTACGGATATTAAAGGCTTATTAGACAAAAAATATCTATGAAATAGCTGGAAAATATAATATTTTAAATGGATAAAGAAGATATTCTTAATAGAAACAGTAAAGAGAACTCAGAAGATGCAGTATCAACTAAAAAAAGAGCAAAAAATTCGAACTTAAGGATGATTATGGTTGAATCAGATTCCCCGGGTTTGTATTTTTGAATAAAGGCCGGGAAATGGCTAAGGAATGGATTGAATAGCAATTAGAGAAGGGTGTATTGATGTCAAGTCGTTTGTGAATTCAAGAAAGTTTGAAATTCGATCACTTTTTGAGGCAATGAGATGTTCTCGGTGGTTAATGAATGATATATTCCTTAAATATTGATATTTTTAGTCAATTATCAGCACAAAGGGCTTTTCAAAGCTTGCCTAGGTTTTTAAGAAGAAGATCAGCATCTCATAATTTTAAAAGAGTGCCAAAATATCTACGTATTAGAGCAAAAAATGAAGTATAACCTTTTTTTGAGGATTTATTGCTCTAATATTCTAAGATCAAGAATGGAAATGCATTGAAAAAGAAAAGGATTAGGAGGAGAAAAAGGATGCATCTTTTGACGGTTCATAAATTGAGGAAATTTGGAGTTAGGAATGTTTTAGCATCTGAAGTTCCAAAAGATGAATTAAATGAAAGTAATGAGGATTTCCCAAAAGTAAAAAAGGTAAAAGGAAGGTTTTATAAAAGACAAAAAGATAAAACATGGCTTCCAACACATTTATGGCATGTTAAACGTGCTAAAATGTTGACAAAATGGTCTTATTCTATAGCAAAGACGCCTACTGGAAAATCATATCGTCCAACACATAAGTTTGCTAATATAAGTGGTGCTGTTGCATTTGATACAAGTTATTTTTGTACAATATGTTTATGGGGTGAAATTGAGAATTTAAAACGTGTTTTACAACAGTTTACAGCAAGTGATTCTGGAGTTACTAGAGAAAGATATACGAGGGGCACTCGATTCTGCCAAACTATGATATATCATAAAGATTCTAATTTTCTTTCTCTTATTTGTCCTGCACTTTTTTTATGGCAAAAGATTGGAGACTCTCAATGTGTCATGATTAGGTTTCATCCAGTAGCTTTTAAACAAGTATATATTCAGATAAAAGAAGCCTCATGTTTGGAGAATGTTAAGGTTGAAGATTGTAGGTTTGATATCGGTGGTATAGATATTCATGGGCCTGCGTCAACGTTAGCTTTGCAATGTTTGTTTGATGTTAAAATGTCAGATACAATATCTCAAGTATCTATTATGCTTATTTTAAAAATTATTGAATTTTCTAGATTTGGTCAGAAATAAAATATGTATCACAAATTAAATCGCTTCCTATAGGTATAGTTATTCCTCTTGATATTAGAGATCCTCGATTAACGTATGTTTTCTTACATAATTTGATCTTTCTAATGAGTAGGTTTCCTCCTAGGATTATAAATAATGATAAAGGTTTTTCTGATGTGTCAATTAAATCTTGGAAAGATGATTTAATACCTTCTTCTCGACTATTTGATAGTGAAGCTCGCATGAGATGTCAAAAAAATCAGCTTTCTCAGCAGCGTATAAATCACCTTCGTTCTGAATCTTCTGAATCTTCTGTGCCTTACGATATACCTATTTTACTTTTTCGTTGTGAAATTTGTTGGACAATACTTGCACCATGGAATTGGATAACTCATCTTTGGCACTCTTTAATGCATATTCCAAGGGTTCGTTTTGGTGGAATACAAGAAAAGCATCAATTGGAGTTTGAAGAGGGAATTCCTTATTTTCCATCAGATTATCATGGAACATTGGCTGGTGATGAAAATGAAAAAATTGAAGCTCAATATAGGGAATTTGAATGGAAGAAAAAACCTCCTGCAAAGAGAGTATCATGGTCTTCTGTTGTTACAAAGGATGGGAAAGGCGAACTTGGAAATCCATTTATTTGTGATTGGAGTTATTTATTTTTAAATTTTAGCAAAAATAATTCTGATAATTCTGAAAATGAAAATAAATTACTACATATGGATCTACATTTAGTTTCTGGTGTTGATGTCAAATCTAAATTTGATACAAATCTATATAAATCTATGAAATTGATTTTTATTGTCAAGATTACTATGTTACGAAGAGGTTGTCCTGATTCTTGTGCTAGAGTTTATTCTATTCCTGCTGAAGAAAAAGAAATTTGGAGTCGTTTTTCAAAAGAAATAATATGTTTTGGTGATGAAAATGTATTATTACTATTATTTTTATATTTTATATTAATATTTCATTTATATAGTATCCTCTCTGTCCATCATCTGATAATCTTCTTGGTTTTGTAACAACTGGCAATTTTAATTTAAAAAGAGGAAAAACAACTGCTATTGGGTGTTTTGCATTACATAAAATATCAAAAACTTTACTTCATGATAAAGAAAAATACTGCATAATAAGAAATGTTGGTTCTAGTACCGTCAATATTGCTAAATGGGATTTTGTTGATTAAAAATATTCTTTATATATTTAATCCTTTGTTTATTTCATTAATATTTAATTAGGACTTTGTTTTATATAAATATATACTTCTATACATCTATTATCTTCGATCTTAAAGCTTATTAAAATTTTATAATTTTGTTATTAAAAACTATAAATATTCTAACCTGGAAACCTATTAAGGTCTATGATATTCCTATTAGACATTGTTATGTTTATGAACTTAACTTTTTAACTATGGTTAAGCGACAAAAAACTAGATATATGAATACATCTGATCAGAGGTTTTTAAGCTATATATAAATTGGCCTCCTGATTTTATAGTGGATATATGAATGGATCTATTGTTCGTCTACGTCTAGAGAATTTTGTAACATATGATTTAATTGAGTTTTTTCCGGGACCCAATCTTAATATGATTATTGGGCCTAATGGGAGTGGTAAAAGCACATTTGTTTGTGCTATTTGTATAGGACTTGGATGGAATACGAGTGTATATTTGTTATTCTTAAAATCCTGTTAAATATGGGTAGTTTCTTGGGCGTGCAAAAGATGTTAATGAATATATTAAATTTGGATCAGAAAAGGCACATATTGAGATTGAATTAAAAGGATTAGATAATGAGCCAAACATCATTGTTTCTAGGGTAATTCATATTGATAATACTAGTTCTTGGGAATTGAATGGCAAGTTAATAAAAGAAAAGATAATTTATATGTTAAATAGTGGATAAGGTGTACCATCAAGTCTTAAATATGTTAGGGAGAAAATGGATGATCTTAATATACAGATTGATAATTTATGGTGGTTAAAATGTTTGTAAGAATGTTATTTATTAATATTTTTAGTCATTTTCTTCCACAAGATAAAGTTTGTGAATTTGCGCAATTAACACCAGAAAAGTTGCTAAAAGAAACAGAAAGGGCAGTTGGTGATGTGGAGATGTTACTTCAACATGAAAAATTAATTGAATTAAGGGCTTCACAAAAAAATGATTTAAGCGTTTGTAAAATGTTTATTAATGTTTTATGAAATTAAATTTGATAGGCAAAAACTATGGATCAAGCTCAATTAGAGAACTTGAATGAAAGACAGGCTATTACTCGTCGTGATGTAGAGCGTTTTCATGAAAGAGAAGCTATATTGAAGACAATTGAAATTTTGAATTTTAAAATTCCTTTTGTACAATATTCTGAGGCTAGAAAAGCATTTTATGATTCTAAGAATTTAAGGAATGAAAAAAAGGCTGAATTGGATAAAATTCTTAAGGAATATGATCCTTTTTTTCGAAAAAAAACGCAAATGGAGGCTACCTTGAATCAATATGTAGCAGAAAATAATGAAATAAAGAATTCTTTAAATTGTCAAAAAAGTGCATTAGATTCTTTGATTTTATCTTTTGATGAATATGTAATATATCTGATTTATTTGTATGTATATTAAAAATTTAATTGTAATTTAGGATAACTCTATTAAAGATATTTCTGGTGAAATTAGAGCTGAAAAAAGAAGAGAAAAAGAGCGAGATCAAAAAATTAAAGAGCTTAAGGAAACAATTGCTTTCATAGAGTCTCGTATTAGTGATAAACCTTCGGAAAATTATATGAATGATATTTTAGATAAATTAGTAAAATAGATTTTTGGACTTGATGCAAGCTTATCGCTCTAGAATGAAGTCAATGGTCATCTAAAAATTATTAGAAAAGAGTTGCAGGATTTGAATACAGTTATTGGTGAACATATTAATCGGATTAATGAATCTAAAGTTGCTTTGAAACAAATTCAAAATAAGTATATACTATTAGGTATATCAATAAGATTTCCTTATAATTTTAGGTTAGATGATCTTGATAATGTTAGAGAACAAAGACTTCAATGGTTAAAACAAAATGATCGTGATGTTTTTGATGCTGTAATTTGGCTATCTAATAATAGAAATAAGTTTAAGGATCATGTTTACGAACCTGTCTATTTAGAAATTAGTGTTAGAGATCTTAAGTATGCTGATTTTTTAGAAGCTTGTTTTCAAAAAAATACTTATATGGTAAATATGTCTGGATTTTAAAAATTATATTAATAAAAGGCATTTACTTTTTTAAACAGAGATGATTATATATTATTTAATCGTATATTAGTTGATTCAAAAGAAGGATGTGGTCGTGAGTTAAGATTGCATACTACAGAATTTTCTAATACCAGCTCACCAAGTCTGGATATGCAAAAACAACCATGTGTTTCTAGTGAAGTAATTATAATAGTAATATTATTAAATTTTGTTTTACAATAATAGCTCAAACAAAATTTTGGTATGGATGGTTATCTTTTAGACTTTGTGGATGGACCTTCTCCTGTATTAAATACCTTATGTCATATTGCTAATATTCACAGAATTGTAAGTTACTCGTATTACTATAAAATTATTAATTATTTTTAGCCTGTTAGCATTAATGAAATAAGTGATGAGTGTTATAGAAAGCTTTCTCAAAGTGTCAATTCTGCAAATCAATTGATATTTCCTGTTTTTATATCAGGAAGAACTCATTATACCATGAAAAAGTCGAAGTATGGTAGAAAAGATGTTTCTACTGTTACTAAGTTGGTAACAAAGGCACAAAGATTTAAGACTACAGGTCTGATCTATTCATTTTTAAAATTTTTTTAAATAATTTGACAGTAAATGCTGAGACAAAAAAATTATTAGAACAACAGATAATAGATTTGGAACTGGTTATTAAAAAAGATGAAGATTCTATTCAAGAATTAAGGAAAACTGAAGAACGTATAAAAATTAGATTTAATGATGAGATAAATAGAAAAGTATTGATTACAGGGTTTTTATAATATTAATTTATTTAGAATAATTTATTAAAAAAAAAAGAAGGTATGGAAAAAGAAATTAAAGAATGGGATTCTCAAGTTATTAAACTTGAGAAAACTAAAAAAACATTGTATTCATTGGAATCTTTTTCTAATCAATATACTGATAATATTAAAAAATTAAAAGAAAAAATGGATGAAATAGTAGAGCAACATTCAGTTTCTGCAATTAAGCTTAAGGTAAATATATTTCATAATTTATTATTTCAATTGATGTTATTAGGATTTAATATTAGATGCTTTTCAGACAACAAAAGATATGATATGTACAAGCATTCGTGAAATTCAAGCAAATGCGAACTATGTTGATGTTGTTGAAGAAAATACTGAAATAGTTACAAAAATAGATGATATTAAGAAATCCTATGAAGAATGTAGGTTTTAAAATTAATATATAGTTATGTTGATTTTTTAGTAAAACAAACAACTCAAAATTTAAGAAGTATTGCTGCTAATAAATTAGAAATAGCAAGAAAAAATCTTGAAAATGTAGATGAAGAGACACGAAAAGAAATGGAAAATGTAAGTATATATATATGTATATATATTAATGATATGTATTTATTTATAGCAAATGGAACAAGATATGACTGAAGAATCGCTTAATGAACAGATAAATATTGAGAAAATCAAACTTGAATTTATATATCAGACAAATCCTAATGTTATTTCACAATTTGAAAAAAGGGAACATGATATTAAGGTTCTTAAAAAAAGAATTGAGGAATATGAATCACGATTGCAAAAAGTAGAATCAGATATAAATAATTTGAGAAAAATATGGGAACCAAGACTAGATAATATAATTTATAAGATCAATTGCAGTTTTTCTGAAGCATTTGAATATATAGGATGTGTTGGAGAAGTTCGTATTGGTAAAAGTGATGAATTTGATAAATGGCGTGTTGAAATTTTAGTGAAATTTAGGTATAATTATTATAAATAGAATGCTACTATGCTCTAATTAATATTAGAGACAATGAAAATCTCCAATTGTTAACGTCTCAAAGACAATCAGGAGGAGAAAGATCTGTCTCAACTATTTTTTATTTAATTGCTATGCAAAGTATATCTAAGGTGCCATTTCGAGTAGTTGATGAGATTAATCAAGGTATGGATCAGAAAAACGAAAGATTGGTTCATGCAAAGTTGGTAGATGTTATGAGTAAAAAAAATACTTCACAGTAAATTTAATATATAAAAAATATTGATTGATTAATGATAAAAGGTGTTTTTTAATTACTCCGAAACTACTATCATCTTTACAGTATAGTAACAATATGAGAATATTATGTATTTGTAATGGCGACTGGATTGTACAAGAGAGTAGTTCTGATATGCAAAAATATGTTGAATTAATTAGAAATATAAAGTTGGCTAAAGAAGTGGTTTGATTTCAAAATTTTAGGGTTATTTTTAAATATAATTATAATACTATTTTATAGAATATATATTATTTAGATTTATTGACTAAATCATATAATTCATCATATCTTTTTTTAGCTAGTTCTATACATGATAAGATCATTTCATGCGTCATTGAAGTTCCTCCAGTTTTATTAATATTAAATAATTGCTTGTTATTACCAATCACTATATTAATTGTTTCTGGGATTAAATTTTCTTCATCATCACATAAATCTGATAGAATATATTTTCTGTATCTTAAGAAAATTTATAAAAAAAAGAAGTGAATCTATACCCATCAAAAACTCCGAAAGACATTGAAAAAAGTCTTTGATTTAATTCAAGACTTTTATACTTTTTTTCACATATGACACGTTCCATGTCTTCATCCCACTTTGCTGTAGGCAGTTTTGTTGTTTCTAGAGCACTCATTAATGCTATCCAAGCAACATCCATAGCATTTCCATCATAATTTAAGCAAATTAAATCTGCATATAAAATCCATGCAGCTTTATTTTCAGATATTAATAAAGATGATAATGGTAACATATTAGATCTAATAACTTTAAGCAATTATTTATAGAAAATGATGAATAAAAATTAACACTTGTATAAGAGACATGATCTTTTGTGATATAGCCTGAGCATCATGATTATGACCTGATCTATACTTTTCAGAACAAATTGGTGATAATATTATATGAGGAACTAGGAAGTAAGCATTATTTATTTATTTATACTTGGAAAAAACCTATCCATCCTTCTGTAGGATGTTTAATTGATGGTTTCGCTATTTCTGCTTGAATTCCACAGACAAAAATGGTATCTCCCATTCTTGCAATAGATGATCCATTAGTATTAGTAAAGCTTCCTGTATTTATTGAAGTAGAACGAAATTGAAAAAATGTTCTTCCATCTGGACGTAAAGAAGATGAAAGAAAATGTTTATAATATTGTCGATAATTAATTTTCTTATAAACTCTAAAAAACTGTGTTCAAATCTTTCTTGTTATTGAAAAAAAATAACCTACTCTGGAGGAAACGAAAGTTGTGTATTTTCTGCCATTTTTATAACATTAGATCGATATTATTTTTTACTTTAAATTAGAGATTTGCTGAATAAATATATGAAAATCTATTTAATTTGTAATCTTTGTCGTTTTTGCCTGTGGATGTATAGATAGCAACTTTTTATTTTTGTATAGTAAAAGATGTTTAAATTTGTTTTTGAAAGATTAGAATGCCTAAAAGATATAGAAAAATATGGCGATAAATATTGTTTGTTAGATATTGTTTTTCTTTATATTTTTGTTTTGTTATAAATCAAGTGTACTGAATATAATGATAATTGATTGAAAAAAAAAATAAAAGTAATTGATTTAGAAATAATTTGAGTTGTGATACAAATAACTTCAATCAAAAATGTGTCTTTGGGTGTTTCTTCGTAAGAAGTGTTGATTTTTTGTTGTAGATGATGAAATAAATATGTTGATCGTTATTGAAAGTAAAGAATACTTAAACATTCCTATAATATTGATTTTTACACCGTTTTTGTTACTTCATACATTATATCGTGTCTTTTTTACATATAGAAGATCTGAATTGTCGTTGTGTACTGTTTAATAACTGTTTTATGATATTCATTTAATATATCAATAATTCATAAAAAAATGCCAAAAAAAACAAAATAATTATAACCAATAATAGTTTTATAATAGATTTTATAGCGTCTTATTGAATTTTGATATAGTACAATGTTCGTAGATGATTTATTAATTTGATACTATCACAACAAGAAAATAATCCGATCCTACAAAATATAAATAACAATTTTTTACCTACTTATCCTTTACCTGGAACAATCATGAATTCATTTGTCTGCGTCTTTATCCGTATGAAATGAAGTGCATTCTATACTTGTTAAATATAATTTTCATAAAAATATAAAATTCTACATTAGATCCTGTGCTATTTGTTAATGTTTCAGCTGATAAAAGCATAGATTTGATCGATTTAGCATATGAAGTGGACGTTTCATAATTAAACGTTGTATGAATAATATTATCACCTCCTCTTTCTAATATAAGAATTCCTTGAACTTGATGCTTTGCAAGAATTCGTGTAAGAAGTTCTTCACATGTTCCAAACATGATTCTAAAGTGTTTATAAAGACTTTATTTTGATTAATTTTTCCAATGAAATTTAGGCAAATTTGTTGATAAACGTAAATTTATAGCGCATATAATTCGCTACAAGCTTGTATAATGATTAATAATTCATTGATAATGCATTTAGAATAAATATATTGCATATAAAATGCATATTAATCTTATGTTTTTCTGCATATAATCCAATATATATCATTGAATATAGTAATTGTATAATTTATAATGATTGGTTTAAATATCCTGTTAAATATTCATAGATTAAGCTTTTTATCTAATTATCTAGGCTTGTATGCATTAATTTTTTAGATTGTATCAAATCGTATATCACATTATATACTGACGCATATAACCCGCATATAACTCGCATATAATACGCATACAATACGCATACAATACGCATATACTCCCTACCATTATTTGATTCTTCTATTTCTATTTGATTTATGCTTGGTTTAAATAATATCAGCCATATTTATTTCTTATATTTGTATTTTTATTAATTATTTGATTTTGATCATATTAATATTATGGATTCAACAAAACATTGGTTATGGACTATGCTTGAGGCAATGTTGCCCCTTGATTATCATTCTCTTAAAGAGCTTGTTGGTTATACAATGGATCTTTCTTCTCCTGAAGCAGTGATTGCATATTTTAATGTATATTTTTTTGTCTTGGAATCTATGAAATGAATAATGGATAGGATTTCCTTGGGAAATCATCATCTACTGATGAGTTTTTGAATGAATTTATTAAAAGACGTTTTGGATCAGCAAAAGAATCATGTTTTGAGGTTTAATAGTTAAAAATGGAAACTAAGTAGAATTTTTATAAGTTTAGGAGGGAATATCCAAGAAGAAACAAGGAAAAGCATATACAAAGCTTAAGAAAGATGAGATGAATCAGTATTTTATGTTTGTAATATCTTTCATGTTTTTTTTTATGTAAATTATCTTAGGAAACCGTCTAAAAAAGCTTGGACAAATATACCTTCTATATCAAAAGATTCATTAAATGTATCTACGGGTTTTTCTGAGGAAAAGACGAAATCATTGACTGATTCTTCAGCATTGAATATATCTACTAAGGCTTCTTCTCATTCTCAAAAAAAACAAAGTTTAGGGACTTTAACATCAGAACTTGGGATAAAAAAGAAAAAATCAACCAATTTGAAATTGAATTCTCTTTCAGAGATTAATTCTGCTTTGAAAAATTTGGAATTGAAGGATGTGAAGTCTCAAGGTGGAAAGAAATGTTATTGTCAAGGTATATCTAGTATTTTTTATTATTACATATGAATTATAATTTGATTCAGCACGAAAGCATCCATTAAATCAATTAATACCGAATTGTTTAACCTGTGGAAAAATCATTTGTATTGTTGAAGGTATAAATTCATGGTATAAAGTGTTTTATATGTACAAGTAAAGATTTAATTTAAAATAGTAGTTTTTGTGATACACCTCTTTTATTGAGAGAACAACGAATGGATTTAATTAAGCAGCTTCGTATGGAAAGAGCTAATGTTTTGAATAATTCAAAAAAAGAAACTGTTACTAAAAATATGAAGCAGTTTTATTCTACGTGTTATGTAGGAAGTAATAGTATAAATTTAGAGGAATATCAAAAGAAAATACAAGATGCGGAAAATGATAAAAATAAATTACTTGAATTGGATAGATCTGACATGTTTAACAAGATAATAGGTAGTATTATTGTTTTTTATGTTAAATTTTTAAAAAAAAAAAGATGAAGCTGCAGATTTTGATCCATATGATCGTTGGATAAGTTCTTCAGAGCGTTATTTAATGCTTGAAAAACAACGAAAAGCGCTGGTTGCTATGAATACTCCTAAAAAAAGAGTAATGACTATTGATTCATCTGGAAAAGTTACTGTTACATCAGCAAACACTGATGATGAAGAGAATGAAGAAAATATTGAAAAGGAGAAAAGCGAACTTTCGTCTTTGAATACTAAACGAGTACATCCTTATTGTGATAAAACATATAAACCTGTATATATAGCAACTGATTCAACAATTGTTAAAAATTATCCTAAAGAACTGGATTATATATTAAAATCAGGAATATCAAAAGTACAAGATGACAGAGATGAGTAAAATATGACTATCGCATTATTATTTTATTTAAATACGTATACCTTGTATTGGAAACTTATTACATAAAGTATGATTTAGAATATTAATTATCATGTTTTAAGAGGTATATAGATAAATTGAAAATTGGCATTTGAAGATATTAAAGATAAAGAAATCATTTGATGATGATTTATTAAATACTTCGAGACGATATTTTATATCATATATATATATATATATTAAAATATAGTCGGTTTTTCGAAAAATATTACACTTTATAAGAAACAAAAAAATAGTAATGACTGATAAAAACATTAAAGGTGATCTACTGCTTGTTCAGAAACTAAGTGATCGTGCAATTATTCCTACTCGGGGAAGTCCATTTGCTGCTGGATATGATATTTATAGGTAAAGAATGAATTTGAATAAGAAAATAACTTATTTTTGAAGTGTCAGTCATACGATAATTCCTGCGCGTGGGAAAGCACTGATCAATACAGATATCTCAATAGCTGTTCCAAGTGGTACTTATGGAAGAATTGCACCACGCTCTGGATTAGGTATGATATGTTTTTATCTACTTAAAAATTATTTTAAATTACTTAATAGCATTAAATGCATCTATAGATACAGGTGCAGGTGTAATTGATTCAGATTATCGTGGTCAAGTAAAGGTTCTTTTATTTAATCATGGAGATGCTGATTTTGAAAGTAAATTTTTTAACTTATTTTACATTCTATTAACTTATTAAAAATAATATAGTAAAATATGGTGATCGTATTGCACAATTGATTCTTGAAAAAATATCTACTCCTGATATTATGATCGTTGAATCTCTAGATGAAACTTTACGAGGAGCAGGTGGTTTTGGTAGTACTGGAAAATAAAGGATTAGATAAAATTATATAATAGACTATTTTGTATGGATCGTATATCATTAAAGACAATAAATCCTTGAAAAATATCTATTATATACTTTTAATAAAGTGTTTTCTTATTCATATTTTAATTAATAGGTTCTATAAAGTTCTGAATTCGTATATTTTGTAAAAATCGAATATCTTAAACCTTAATATTTGTTTAACGGTTCATGTTTTCTATATGTTCGTAATCATGTTCATGTTTGTAAATCGACATCTGAACTATTTGATGTAATTGACGATTTTTTTAATTTTATATGTGATTTCGTTGATCCACTCTGTAAAAATGTCAGTTTGTTCCATTATTAATATATAAAATATAAATATTCATATAATATATATAGAAATAGTATATTACTTATAGACATACCTTTGTAGATCCATTTGTAGGTCTTCGTCTTTTTTTTCTATGTTGTGTTTCATCTTCTGATGAAATATCATTTTCTACATTATTTGTAGAAGATATAGAGGTTCCATAGCCATTTGTTCTGCATGAAAATTGAGATATATTTTTAAATATATATATATACTACTTTTGTTGTGCCAATCGATTACTTAAGCGACCACTACCAAGACATTTTTCAAGATGTGGTACATAGCGACCTGCTGCTATTTCTCTGCCACAAATAGTACATGAATAATAAGGTGCTGTTATTGGTGTTTGATATGGTTTTCCAAAAATATCACTTCCTGGATTTATTGAATAATAATGACAGAACTTATTGCAACGTAGACATTTGCGCTTAGAAAAAACTTCTCTTTTATGTGTAGAAAGTGCTATTTCAAAGATAATATCTAATAAAAGATCTGAAAGAATAGAAAATGACTATCATTATAATTAATATATATTTTTTAACAAAATCTGATGTACAAGTCCTGCTAATGAATCTTTTTTGAGATTAATTGTGTTCATTTTAAATTATTAAATTGTTAATTTTTTTTTCTTATTTATTAATAATAATTATTTTATTTAATATATATCTTTTATATTTACTTTTTATATTATATAGTTAATAATATTAATGAATAATATACCGTATAGTTTATAAAATAGATTAATTACATTTATCTTTAAATTATATTACAAAGATATAAATAGGTTTTATTTTTTTAATCTTATAATGATTTTATTATTATAATTATTTTTTATGTTTATGATTATTTTATATATGTATGATTATATTTATAATTATTTTAAAGAGATATGATATTTAAATTGGTTAAAAATAGTTGTTATATAATTTATGTTTTAAAAATTAATGGGTTTAAATCATTCTAAAGTGTTGATTTTTTTTAAATGTATTAATATTTATTTTTTATAAAAATAATTTAAATTATACAATTTTTTAACTAAAAATCTTAGATTTTTGCGTTTTTTTTTGGTCTTTTTATTGCTTTTAGTAACATGCTTTTATAATATATAGTATATTTAATCTTTTGTTTTAATTAATATTCTATTTTTACAAATTTATTTAATTATAAAAAGAAAATGTCTATTAATCATTTTTAAATATTATAAAATATAGAAATTTAAAAATAAAAATATACTCATTATTCATTATAATATTAAAACTTATTATATTCTAGACTCATTCTATTCATTTTAATCTCTTTTGTATCTATTTCTTTGATCTATCTAAATTTTATTATTTTACTACATTTTCAAAACGTTGATTTAGAGAAAAAAAACGTGGGAATATTGCACGTACTAAGATGTTGCTAAAATTATTTTACTTTCTAATACTAAAATAGTCTTCTCATCATCTTTCTTCTTCTTATCCTTTACAACTTTCATACATATTACTTCTTTCTTATTATTCTATTAACATTTTGTTACTAAAAAATACATAAATCATTCTCAAATCTTATGATCTTCTCCTATTTTACATCTCCTATCTTAATACTACTTCATAATTAAATTATTATCTTATTATCTATCTTATCTTTTTTAATAACCTATATATTATAATTATCACATGTCGAGCATATCACTATTAAAATCTCATAAATTTAAGTTACGGGCACGTCTTTGCCCGTAATTTAATTTAGGTTCAAGTCTAATAACCTTTTTTTTTTTAGTTTAATTATTTCCGTATCTCACCAAGTAATTAATGTTCGTATTCTTTATTAGTAACTAAAAAATATAATCTATGAGTAGAAAATAGCCTAAATAAGTGTTAAGATAGATAGAAAAGGATTTTATTACTTAAAAATAATTAGTTAGAGGCTTGATAAGTGTTAAAAAGCGGACGAGAAAGTTTGGTTCGCTTAATTGGTTATTTTATTGCCTTATGAAAGACGTTAATAAAAAGAAATTATTGAAATACGAAAAATAAGTTTGTATTAGGCTGGTGTTTTTTATCTATCTAGTATAAAATAGTTATGAAGGGAATAGGTGCTATAATTAACATTAATGAATGTTTAAGTTATTTATATATCTATGACTATTGATGTTAGTTTAATAAAACAAAAATATAAATAAATCGAATAAGGGCAACATAATTCATTTAGAATTATGTGTTTTATTGGATGCATGGTATTATTTATGAATAAGTGTATATGTTAAAAGTTTATTATGAAGATTCTTAATTTTTAACTTTACATTTATTTTATTTCTTTTGGTGATTTTCAGCTTGAATTTAGTGAGAAAGAAGTTTGAAATTTATCAATAAGTAAACTATAATCAAGCGATTTCAAAAAAAAACTAATTAGATTTTTAAATATATAAAAATATATCTATATTTTTATCTTTTTTGGAGGGAGTTTAAAAACCTTTTGGGTTGATTTGATACAGATTTGAAGTTTCAGTGGCAAATATATATATTATTAGATTATCAAAAGTGTCTCTGAATTTTTGGTGTTATTTTTGTTTTTGGATTTTTTTCGATAAAACCTTTGAATTCTTTTATTATATTTTTTTGAGTTTTTATGCTGGATTTTTGATCATTAAGTAGCTTAAGATCATCAACAGTTAATCCTATTTTATTTTGGGTATTGGTTTTTATGAATCTGGTTCGGTCTCCAAAAGACTCGAAGACGCTTTTTCATGTTTCGTTGCCTCAAGATGATGAGAAAGTCTGTAGAGGGATTCAGTCATTGCAGTCATCACCTGATATTTCTAATATAATAAAGGAAGGAGTGGAATCATCTAAACTTATTGATCAAAGTTCTAGTTCGCAAGGACAACAATCGGATCATTCATCTGGACTTTCTGATAATCAGAGGCCATTTTCTTCTCATTATTTTCCACAGAATGGAAATTCTCATATGACAAGATTGCAGTCGAAAGAAGTCTGCTATTCTCAAAGTTTATGTTCATCGAACTCTAGTATATCTAGTTTAGCTGGATATTGGCCTGCAACACCTCTACAAAATGGATCTACATCTGACTCACATATTCATCAGCAACATCCGTATTTAGTTTTTCAACAACAATTGCCTTCACCATCGGATACTCGTTTTGAACAACATTGTTATTCGCCACAAGTTACAACACATTTTCCATTATCTGTTTATTCTTCATATCTTTCTCAAAGAAATTTGGATTCTTCTTTTGGAATGAATAGACAACAACAATCAGTCGATAAATTTTCTTCACTTCCTCCATTTACTCCATCACCTTCTTATCAACTTTACGATAATGATAATTTAGCTAATTATCAATCTTATTTGCAATTGCCATCTCTACACAATAATTATTCGCCTATGGAATCTATTTCATATACTTCTGGTGATTATTCTAGTTATTATATAAATAATCAGCCTATTTTTTCTGATCTAGCTTCTGGAAATGATATCATATCACAATCTTATACACAGCTTTTATCACGCAATCATTCTTATCCACCTTCAAAACGATTAAAATCTACTGATTATCTACCATCTCCACACTCTATTAAAACTGGCAATTCTTTTTCTAATCGGCCATTCAAATGCGATCAATGTTTACAAAGTTTTAATAGGAATCATGATTTAAAAAGGTATCTTCTAAAATACATTCTATTCTTTCTTACATTGATTTCTACTATAGACATAAAAGAATTCATTTGGCTGTTAAGCCTTTTCCTTGTCCAAGTTGCGAAAAATCTTTTTCACGCAAGGACGCTCTTAAAAGACATATTTTAGTCAAAGGATGTATTGGATAACTTTTAATTTACTCTTCTACACAACTTTTATTACTATCTCTATTATTCACTTTTTTTTATTTCTAACGATATAAAACTACACTACACTTCTTCATACATTTATAAACATATATTAATTAATATATATATATATTAATAGGATATCCATACTAACTATATTAACAAACTAACTTGGTTCTAAAACAATATCATTATTTAACCTTAACCCTTATTTTTTTTTTTTCGTTACGCTTTACCATAATAGTTACCTCTTGTTTTGATTTTATGTATTTTTGTTTGTTTTTTTTTAAAAAATTAGATTAAAGCCTATTAATAACTTTTATATTGTTTACTTTTATATTTCCTTTAAAAATATATTTGTTTTTGTTTATTTATTTAGTCTTTTTTTAAAAAAAGACCCATATTTTAATTAGTCTTATATCACATTCCAGGCAGGGAGTCCGCTGACCAGCAATGAGGGTAGTGCCAGAGATGAGAAGTAGAAAAGGTTCCGTCTTTATTAAGAGTAAAACAACAAGTTATATAAATATATATTTTTTCTATGGTTAGGCCAAAAAAATGAGTTATGGAGAGGGATTAGAAGGAAAGAAGTCAGATGTTAGGAAGAAGGAGCGCCGAACACATATTGGTCCATGGATATTAGGGAAGACGCTTGGACGAGGCAGTACAGGGCGTGTTCGTCTTGCAAAACATTCTATTACAGGGCAGTTGGCCGCTGTTAAGATTGTGCCTAAAACTGTATGTGCTGAAAGATCTAAGACAGAGAAGGGAAGGGGAAAAAGTAATGTTTTACATGGAATTGAACGGGAAATTGTTATTATGAAATTAATTGATCATCCTAATGTGATGCGTTTGTATGATGTATGGGAGAATCGACATGAACTTTATCTTATTCTTGAATATATTGAAGGAGGAGAATTGTTTGATTATCTTGTGCGAAAGGGTAGATTGGATGAAAGTGAAGCGGTAGGATATTTTTATCAGATTATAGCGGGAGTTGATTATTGTCATCGATTTAATATTTGGTATGATGTGAAGATTAGTGAGGGGGATATTTCTTAATAGGAATTTGTAGTCATCGTGATTTAAAACCTGAGAATTTATTGCTTGATAAGCATCGTAATATAAAAATAGCGGATTTTGGGATGGCGGCATTGCAACCACTTGATCGTATGCTTGAAACGTCATGTGGATCGCCACATTATGCTTCTCCGGAAATAGTAGCAGGTAAAATTTATCATGGAGCACCGTCGGATATTTGGTCATGTGGAATTATTCTTTTTGCATTACTTACAGGACATCTTCCTTTTGATGATGAAAATGTTCGTCATTTGCTTCTTAAAGTTAAAGCAGGACATTTTGTTATGCCTTCTAGAATATCAGCAGAAGGCAAGGATTTAATTCGGAGGATGCTTGATGTTAATCCTCATACACGAATTAAAATGATTGATATTATGAATCATCCGTTTTTATTAAAATATCAGCATCTTGATAAATTTCAGAATATTCCTAAATCACCAACGCCTGATGAATTGATGTATCCTGTTCGAAAAAGAAGTGAAATTGATATTGAAATTTTGAAAAATTTGCAAATTTTGTGGCGTGATGTTGCTAAAGAAGTTATTATAAGTAGATTGTTGAGTAAAGAGTATGTTTCATTTTATTATTTTTATTTTTTATTAAAAAAGGTTTTTAGACAAAATCCTGAAAAGACTTTTTATTATCTTTTGTTAAAATATAGAGAAGATCGTATGTATTATTATAAAAATTATTTGGATTCAGTAGATTCTCAAAAATCTTCTTATATTTCTAAGTTATCATTATATGATCAAAAATCATTATCACTTTATAAACACTTAAAGAGGTCTTCATCCCAATATTCTAAATCTTCTGTTTCAAGTTCTAAAAAGAATGCTCATAAAGGATCTAGCATCGTTGTTAATATGCCTCATAAACGAGGTGTTGATTTTACTTATGTGAAAAAAAAAAAGGATTCTGTTTGTTATGGACATAGAAATGATTATATTCAAAACAGTAGTGATACTAGTGATCCCAGCTCACTTTTCGAAGAGTTTGCTGCTGAGTGTGAAACTGCTTTTAATCAATCAACGGTATCGAATATTGACTGGAAGAATGGTTTCACTTGTGTTCCTGAAATAATATCACCTAAACAAGGTTTTGAGCCAATTCATATACATTCTTCTAGCGTAATTTCGAAGGAGTTTGGGAATGATAAAACGACTCTTAAAATTTATGAGGAAAGTCCTGAATCTAGCGGTTCAAGGAAAGATTATAAGTCGAATGATTTAAATTCATCTGAAGATATAGGTCATTTTAAATATTTTGTTGTTAAGAATCAACCAAAATTGAGAGTATCAAGTCTTCCAGAATTTATAACAGGAAAATATAAATTATTTGATGAAAGAAGAACAGTAAGCGCACCTACAGATTCAAATGATATAGCACGAAATAAAAATAAGAAATCAATATTTTCCCGGGAGAAACGCGGGCCTGGTATTGGTTCTTTACGTATAGTTTATCCAACAGCTATATTTAGAAGAATCTCGAGAAGTAAAGGTTATAAAGGGTTTTTTGATAAATTCTATGATTAATATATTTTAGAGAATAAGGTTTCTAGTAAAAAAACTGTTGATTCCGGAATTCAACAGTCTTTTTTTGCAAAAGTGCTTAATATTAAGCCATCTGTAAAATTATTAAAAACTATATTACCTTTTGAACATTTATATCAAGAAATTGCTAATACTTTGAAAAGATGGGAGCATCTTGGTATTGGTATTACAAACGTTCGGGAGGATATTCGATCGTATACTGTTTATGCTAATATTTCTAATTGCAATGGTATTGTTTTTGATTTTATTTCTTTGAATTTTATTTACAATATTATAGCTATGAAACTTAAGGCAATAAAATTTCATATTCAAGTATCAAAAGAAGGAAGTGGCAGTATTGTGCGATTTTTTTTGGAAAAAGGTATTTAATAATTGTTAAGATAATTTTTTAAATCTATGATAGGAATAAATTCATCATTTCAACAATTAGTAAAAGAATTTGAGTTGATATTAGAAAATAAACATGTCCTCGATTTCTCTGAATGTGTTTTAAAATAAATATTTGTATAATTATTGTGAAATTTATTTAAAAGCTTGTTTTAATTATAAGGTTTTGCTTTAAAGATTTATGGGGTTTTGCAGGTTTTATATAAGATATGAATCAATGTATTATTTTTTAAACTATATGAAATTATAAATTTAAATTTTAGGTTTATTATAGGATATTTTGAAAATAGTTAATTGTATTTTGCTTTTAATATAGACTGATCAGTTTTAACGCTAATATATTTGAAATCTGAAAATATATAAATACTAAAATAATATTGAATTCTAAAATAGTAAAAAATATAATTATTCTGGTTTAATTATTTAATAATTCTAGTATCACAAGAACATAATAGTATCATGAGTTCATGTATGATGAAACATCGATATGTTCTGGTAATTCTGTGATATTTACCTCAAACCTTTCTTGGATTTTATCAAGAATTTCGGCATCCGCACTAGTACTTACAAAAGTAATACCTTCAATAATTAAATAAATATATCGATAATTATAAAATTCTTACTAAGACCACGAGTACCAAATCTTCCAGCTCGTCCAACTCTATGCAAATATGTATCTGCATCTGCAGGTGTGTCATAATTGAATACTACGTTTACACGTTCGATATCTATGCCACGTCCAAAAACATCAGTAGCGACACAAATTCTCTTGTTAAAATCTTTAAATGATTTGTATCTCGTAATGCTACGAAGTGAATTTAGACATTCAATATCGTATTATAAAGTAAAATATACCGATCTTCTTGAGGAAGACCACCATGAATACAAATACTTGGGAAATTACATTCCCGTAATAGTCGATCCAATTCGGAAGCTCGTTGAATTGATTTGACAAAAATAACAACTTGATTAAATTCTAATGTGTCGAGTAAATCGTTTAATTTCCGATTCTTTGCGCATTCTTCAAGTTTTACGTAATGTTGTTGAAGACCGTGTAAAGTCAGCTTAGTTTCATCGTCAACATATATCTCTAAAGGCTATGTTTTAAAATTAATAATTAAAAATAGATTAAGAAAAAATAACATTCTGCATAAATTTTTTACAGATAGGCCGTATTTCGTTGTTCAATGTAGCACTAAACATCATAACCTGCTTTTGGTGAGGAGTAGTACGGAACACTTCCTGAATATCGCGCCTCATATCTTCCAATATATTATTAAGATGTTAAATATAATAAAAGCAACACTTGCCTATTGCTTCCAACATTTTGTCGCATTCATCAAGAATAAAATGCTTTACAGATCCTACTCGAAGAACTTTATCTCTGACAAGAGCATTTAATCGACCAGGTGTTGCGACGATAATATGAGGGCATTTTTCTTTATTTTTAAGAAGTTCTATATCATTACGAACAGGCGTTCCACCATAGAAAACACATGTACGAACATCCGGCATATATTTGCTAAATCGTTTATATTCGTTTTTAATTTGAAATGCGAGTTCTCTTGTGTGACATTGAACAAGAACCGATACTTCACCGTCAACTGGCTCGATTTGCTGAAGTGTTGCAAGCACAAAAACAGCTGTTTTACCCATCCCGGATTTTGCTTGGCATATAATATCCATACCAAGAATAGATTGAGGAATACACACTTGCTGAACTGGAAAACGAAACAAATATAAGCGACCATTTTATTTCGAAAAACGATGAAACTAGCCATCGTCTGTGGGGAAAAATTGATTACTGACCCTCAGAGGGATGTTCAAAGCCACAATCAATAATAGCACGAAGAAGTTCAGGCTTTAATAAGAAATCACGAAATCCTTAGAAAAAAAAGGTAAGCTACTAACAGATATAGAAATAATAGAAAAAACAAACCTGTAGAATGAATTCCAACATATGATCCTTTCTTTTCGCTTTTTTTGTCACCATTCACTGCTCCTCCTGCGCCTATCGCTGTGGCTACACTTGTATGTGGTGTTAACTCTTCTTCTTCGTAATCAATCAAATCGTCATTTGATGCCATATTTTCTTATAGAACTCCAATATATATTGCTCTGAATACTTCTTCCTATGCGAATCTTTGTGATATTTGTAAATTTTTGATTTTTTTTTGCTGAGTTGTATGGAATGAAATATCGGTAAGTTAGAAAAAAGATGAAAACGAGACCTTAAATTAGCAGGATAAATGAAACAGGGTTAGGTTATAATGCAATAGATGAATAGTAACAGATCATATATAAATATTTATTTGTATTTATTTGTATATATTTATTTATAAATATTATTATATCCAAATTATATATGAATAGATTATGATGGCCCTATCATTTTTTGGGGGTTTACCCAAGTTTCAAACTAAAGAAAATAAATAAAGATTGAAATAGAATAAAATAAAATATACTTGTTGTTCAGTTAGAAGCCCAAGTTTAAGGGCGGTTTCTTTAAGAGTTTTTCCCTCTTTGTGTGCAGTTTTTGCTATGAGAGCAGCCTTATCGTATCCTATATGAGGATTAAGAGCAGTAACCAGCATTAGTGATTTGTTCATAAGTTCATTGATACGAGATTCGTTAGCTTTAATACCAATGACACAATTTTTTGCAAAAGAATGGGATGCATCTGAAAGAAGACGAATGCTTTGTAAAAGATTTGAGATAAGCATTGGTTTGAATACATTAAGCTAAGTAATTATGAGAAAATAGAGTAAATTATGTTATCGATAACAAACCTCGAATTGGCCGCTAGCACCACCAATAGAAATTGCAGTATGATTTCCCATAACTTGAGCACATACCATTGTTAAAGCTTCATTTTGTGTTGGATTAACCTTTCCAGGCCTAATTTTTATAAATAAATAAATAAATAAAATATGGTAGTATTATACATAATTGAGCTTCCTGGCTCATTTTCAGGTAATGATAATTCCCCTAATCCGCATCGAGGACCGCTGGAAAGATAACGTATATCATTAGCAATTTTCATTAAACTACAAGCTACAGTATTAAGGGAACCGCTTGTTTCTACGATAGCATCATGAGCAGCAAGGGCTTCAAACTATAAAGATCTTTGTATGATTATATTAAATATGCCGATTATGTTATACCTTATTTGTAGCAGTTTCAAATTTTTCTCCTACAAGTTTTGATATTTGTTCAGCTATTTTAATATCAAAACCTATTTTTGTATTAAGACCCTTAATATATTAGACTTAATTGTTTTATTTTTTACAATTTTACCGTTCCAACCGCTGTTCCACCTTGTGCGAGTTTTCGTAGTCCAATTAAAGTATTATTTATCCTTTCAATTCCATATTTAACTTGAGTTACATAACCACTGAACTCTTGTGCCAGAGTAAGAGGTGTAGCATCTTGTAAATGAGTACGCCCTATTTTAATGATTCCAGTAAATGATTTTTCTTTTTCAAGAAGAGAGTCATGCAAATACTGAAGAGATGGTATTAAGTTCTGTGTGATTTCTGTTACAGCAGCAATATGCATTACTGTAGGAAATCTAAGAAATAATAAGAAAACGTAATGAAAAATGGGTAATACGTGTCATTTGATGATTGAGACATGTTTACATGATCATTTGGATGAACTGGATCTTTTGAACCTAACTTTCCACCAAGAATTTCTATAGCACGATTTGATATTACCTCATTGGCACTGTGCTGGTCAATTTTTGCATTTTTAATAATAATAATAATATATACTTCATATTTGACTGAGTGCCTGAGCCGGTTTGCCAGATTACAAGAGGGAAATGATCTAACAATTTTCCTGAAATAACCTCATCTGCTGCTTGTTGAATAGCTTTTGAAATTTTTTTATCAAGACCATAATCTATATTTACTATTGCTGCAGCTTTTTTTAAAATACCAAAAGCTTTAATAAGAGGTAATGGGAGTTTTTCTGTTGGTCCTCCAATATCAAAATTTTGTAAAGATCTAAAAAAAATATTAAAAATGTAAACTAAATCTAAAAGAAAGTACCTTTGTGTTTGTGCTCCCCAATAGCAATTTATGGGAACCTTAAGATATTTGACTTATTCCTATAAAATAGGTGTAATTAATACCTGTAACTCTCCAAATGCATCTTTTTCTATCCTAAACTTTTCCTAAGGTTTAAATATAAGGCTTTATCAAGTTAAGAAAGAATTTGTAATTACATATGTTTGTTTAGATAGACTAAAATTCCTAGAACTTTTATATTTAATATTCAGTTTCTTACATAAAGAGAATTGTGAGTGCAATTTTGCAAAGGATTTTGATGATTGGTATGCCATATTATAGTTATTTTAATATCATTAATAAAATAAATATATATAATTGTAGGATTGAAAATGTATTAAAGGTATCGAATTTTGTAATTAGAAAAATTTAGATTAAAAAATCAATTAAAACTTTTATATATTATTAATTATAACTCTTATTATTAGCAAAATACATTAACTTATTTTAAGAACTAAAATAATGAGTTTGATACTTAAAAAATATAGAAATATACATTTTTGTTAGTATTTATATATTTATGTTTTCATGATATATGAAAAGTTATATTTTTCTAAAAGTTTTGATTGTTTTATGCGTTTTTATTTATTTAAGAAGTTTGTTTTTCAATTGTTAAAAAATAGTTTACTTTTTGAGATTTATGGAAAAAAATTAATAAAATTAAAGTATAGAAAGAATTTAATTAAAGGAGTAATTTTTGAAAAGGCGCTTTAAACTGTGATAGAATGTATCGCCAATCAACAACGCCGGCTCAAATTAAGTCTAGACAGCTTTCTCATCTTAATTCTCAGCTCGCACAGCTTCATGCGCATCTTTCTGATTTGGAGAATCATTTTAGGGTAACTGCAATTCAAGCAGATGCAGTAAGAAGGTTAGGAGGATTGCAGGGATCTATGTAAGAATTAACGATAATTTCTTTAGCGATTGTTTCTAAAGATTTATTTGGTTTTAGGTTTATATCTGCTAGTAAGGTTTTTGGGGAAGAAAACGCTCAGAATATGGAATCAAATTAAATCATTATTTTTAATTAGGAATTTTATACTATTAAAGTATATGGCATTTATTTCATGAAAAATGTTGTTTTGTGTTTTATTACTGTATATAATATTATATAAATTGTCATTTTAAGTAAATGTTTACTTATATAGATAAATTTTGTTTGATACAGTTAATTAAATTTGTAATTATTTTTTAATGTAGGATATCTTTTTTGTGTATTACAGAAATTGCATGTAATAACCATTGTGTCTGCTTCTTTTTTATTATTTTTTGATTGATTTTCTATTCTTATGGATGAAGTAATGGCAGGTAAAAGAATTGTATCGCAGCGCCGACAAAGTGTACGCTTTATTGATGGGTTTCTAATATATTAACAATATGTAATTGTAAAATAAAGAGATGTTACATTTTTAGGACGGCTTTTCGTGCTATTTTTTTAGCAGTATTGATGTAGAATCTAGATAGAGCTAATTTTGACTGAATGTCTTCATTGGCATATGTATTTTGATTGAGAATAGAGTAAGATGTATAAATATTTGCTGCCTGATACAGAAATGAAATGCGAGCATAAAGTTCCTGTTGAGGTACTATTTTGGGTTCTTTTGAAAATTTTTTTTTTTTTGTCATTTGTTATATTTATTTTAAATTATAAAATGTTATATATTTTAGACTATTGGCTATTTTTGAGCTTTACATTTTGTATATTTTAATAAAAAAATATATTTCTAATTAAAAACGTAGTTAATTTATAGACCAGTCTTAGCTTTTTTATTAGTTTATATTTCTGGGTCTTAAACATATTAAGTGAATAAAATGGGCTATTAAAGTTGATAATGTTTATTATTTTATTATTTTGGAATATTTAATTTAAGGCATATACATTGCGTATATGAAATTTAGATAAAAGGTAATATTTATTTATGGATATTAAAATAATGGATTTTTAAGATATGTTTATAAAATTTTATACAATTGAATAAGATTTTTAAAATATTTAAAAAATGATCATTTATGTTTTAAAACTATATACGATTTAGCTTTTTTTAAAATTTTGCAACACAGATAATATATACATTATATTTGTTCTAGATTAATGTAAATATGTGTAGATTTAAAATGTTTGTTTGACAATATATATGTTATTTAATTTTGTATTACATATGTTAATAATATCAAACTAGATTGATCTACATTCATTAGGGTATAGTTAAAGGAAAAATACATTAAATTAGCCATTCATAAAAAATCTCTTTTAGTTTATGTATCCATGTTGTTTTGATTAGAATAATTTTTTCTACTATTTTTGGAGAAAAAAATATACATCATGGTAGAAAAAATATCTATCCATTTTATCTGCTATACAGGAATATATTAATGAAAAGTATAGTTCGTCTATATGGTGACAGTTTGATGTGTTATTTGATTTAGATTAATATAGATTGTATTTCATTATAAAATCTTTATCTTAAACTTTAATATTTTTTATTAAGCCATTATTTTATTATATTAAGTTTTTTTTTTGGCAATTATTTAATATTTTATATAAAATAAAAAGATGGATGGTAGAATAATCGGGATTCTTGGTATTTATGAGGACTTGCGTTATTAATATATACAATTAACATGGAAAATAGGCGGTGGGCAGCTTGGACGAATGCTTGTTCAAGCTGCACAGCGATTAAATATTGAGACAATAATTCTTGATCCTGATGTTAATTCTCCTGCAAAGCAGATAAATTCTTCAGAAAAACATATAAATGGGAGTTTTTCAGATTTTGATAATATCTTATCTCTTGCAAATAAATGTGATGTTCTTACAATTGAAATTGAGCACGTTAATGTCAACGCTTTAGAACATATTTCTTTAGAAGGAAGAGTAAAGGTGCATCCGTCATTTAATACTATAAAAATTATTCAGGATAAATATCTTCAAAAGCTTCATCTTATAAAACATGGAAATCCAGTTGTTGAAAATATTGCTGTTAATAATACACTTGAAGATATTAAGTTAGCAGGTGAAAAATTAGGCTATCCTTTTATGTTAAAGGCACGGACTATGGCTTATGATGGCCGTGGGAATTATAAAGTCGATTGTTTAGAATCATGTAATTCTTCATTAGTAGCTTTTAAGAAAGTACCTCTTTATGCAGAAAGATGGGTTTCTTTTGAAAAAGAATTAGCAGTTATTGTTGTGAGGAATGTGGATGGAGTAATTGGCTCGTATCCCGTTGTAGAAACTGTTCAATCTGATAATATATGTCGTCTTGTTTATGCACCTGCCAGGGTCCCTTCTAGCGTTTTTGAAAATGCGAAGCGAATTGCAGAAAAATCTGTTCAATGTTTTTCTGGGGCTGGTGTTTTTGGTGTGGAAATGTTTTTGACTAAAAGCGGTTTTAATATTTATTTATTTATTTGCACTTATTAATCTTATTCAGGTGATATTATAATTAATGAGATTGCGCCTAGACCTCACAATTCAGGTCATTATACTATAGATGCATGTCCTACTTCTCAATATGAATCACATATTAGGTCTATTTTGAATCTTCCACTTTCCAAAGATTCTTTTATTTTTTCAACACCTGAAACATCTGCTATTATGCTTAATTTAATTGCAAATGGCTCGGAAATGGAATACATGGAAATTTTACAAAGAGCTCTTAAAGTTGAAGGTTCTATAATTCATTTGTATGGAAAAAAAGAGCCGCGAAAAGGTAGAAAAATGGGTCATATTACTATTATTGCTGCATCTATCTCTGAAGCAGAAAATAAACTTTACAAGATTCTCCCATTCTCAGAGATATCTTCGTCATATTGTTTATTGGCTAAAGAGCCATTTATTTTCAGAAAGCCTTTAGTAGCAATTATTATGGGATCTGATTCTGATTTACCAACAATGAAATCCGCAATTGAAATTTTTAGAAAATTTGATGTCCCTATCATGGGCCCTGATATTGTATCTGCTCATAGAACACCTAGAAAGCTTGTGGAATTTTCTTGTAATGCTGCTCTTAATGGCTATAAAGTTATTATTGCTGGCGCTGGAGGAGCTGCTCATTTGCCTGGAATGGTTGCTAGTATGACAACACTCCCCGTAATTGGAGTGCCAATTAAAGGAAGTGCATTAAATGGTGTGGATTCTCTTTACTCTATTGTTCAAATGCCGGTATATTTTTTCTATAATAGAAGAATTTTGTATAACTAGATTTAGCGAGGCGTTCCTGTTGCTACTGTGGCCATAGATAATAGTACTAATGCTGCACTTTTAGCTTTACGTATTATTGGAACTGTAGATAATAGGGTGAAATTTTTGTTAGACGAATATGCTCGGAATATGGAAGCTGATGTCCTTTTGAAAAGTAAGAAACTGCAGGATGTTGGATGGGAACATGTAAGTTTATATCATATATATATTAGATAAGCTCATGTTTGATTTGTATGAAATATAAATAATTTAGATATTTTTATTTGGAAATTCTATAAAGGAAAATTTAATGGTATATTTATTAATATTATGACTACATTCTTTGGTGTATATTATTTTTTATTGTTATAGATATTTCAATTTTTTGATAAGGTTTAACTTATAGGTAAAAAATATACAAGTTAATGAAAAAAGATATTTTATAGTTTTTATGGTTTTAAAAAAAAGAGATAGTTTCGCGATTTTTTTGTGAATATAATTCATATTATTGATTTTTTATATTTTATTTTTCTCTGAATCTACGAGTTTAAAAAAGCCTAAAGGTTAAAAATTTAAGTTACTTTTGTTTTAGAAATTGTCTAAAAAAAACATTTAGAAGCGTTTTTGCTTCATTTATTTTTTTATAAAATAAAGAAAGAATTGATTTTTATCTAAAATGTGGTCTAGTTTTTCAAAGAAGTTTTTATATGGTTATAAAGCAAAAATTGGTCAGGTAAGTTTTTTAATAGGAGTATTACCTCACTTTTTTATATCCTGAGGTACTTTTATATATAAAATAGGCGTCATTGTTTATTAGAATAATTTTAATTTTGTTTTTGTATCTTGTCAATTCTTGAGTATAGATGCTAAAAATTATTCTATAGACTGGATCTCAAAGTACAATGCTTATAATGTCTACGTTCACCTCTTTATCATCTGCTTTTCTTTATTATTATATTTATGGTAACCCTATCAAAGCAATGACTCCTGAAGAACATGGTCTACATCCACCAAAATATCCTTGGCCGCATAAAGGTTTTTTGTCTTCTTATGATCATAAAAGGTATTTCTTTTTTATAGATATTCTTGTTTTATATATATATTCATTTATGATTTATAATGTGATTTATGACTATAAAAATATTATTTTATCTTTCTGTTTTTATCAGGAATATAGGCTAATTATTTTTAGTCTTCGTAGAGGGTATCAGGTTTATAAGGAAGTATGTTCTGCATGTCATTCACTAAGTCTTGTTGCTTGGAGAAATCTTGTTGGTGTTACACATACTGTTGATGAAGTAAAAGCTATGGCTGAAGAACATGAATATGAAGATGGTCCAGATGATAATGGTAATATGTTCATGCGTCAAGGTATATAGTATCGTTGAATAGTTTTATGCTTAAAACAAATTATAGGAAAATTATTTGATTATATGCCAAGCCCGTATCCTAATGTTTGTTTTTATTCTTTTATATGTCTTAATTTAAGTTGTTTGTTATTAGGAAGAGGCTGCTCGAGCTGCAAATGCTGGTGCATATCCTCCTGATCTTTCTCTCATTGTTAAAGCTCGCCATGGAGGTTGTGATTATATTTTTTCTCTTCTTACAGGATATATGGACCCACCCGCTGGTGTTGTTCTTTCTGATGGTATGAATTATAATCCTTATTTTCCTAATGGTCAGATTGCTATGGCAAGAACTCTTTTTGATGGCTTGTAAATATATAAATATCTTGAAAAGAATTCTCTGTTAATGTAAAATAGGATTGAATATGATGACGGTACACCTGCGACCACTTCTCAAATGGCAAAAGATGTAGTGTCTTTTTTAAATTGGGCAGCAGAGCCTGAGCATGATGATCGTAAGCGTATGGGTTTTCAAACATTGATTATTTTAAGTACTTTGTTTGCATTGAATTTATGGGTTAAACGATTTAAATGGGCACCTCTTAAAACAAGGTATATATGTCGTTATTATTGTTTTATTATTATTTATACTGTTTAGAAAAATTGTATACAATCGACCATAATAGGTAATAACATATTTTTCTTAGAATAATTATACATTGCATATATTTATCTATGTATGTATGTATATATATATATATCATTTTGTTGTATATTTTAAATATTAAAAAATATACTGTTTCAATAAATTTTTAATTCTTAATAGAAAAAAATGTAAAAATATCATTTTATATTATGTTTTTCATCTATTAAAATCATTTGTTTGATTTAATATAAAATTATCGAAGATTTAGGATTTAATTATTTTAAGGCGTAATGACTAGAACACAAATTTATAGTGTTAAGTTATCTAGTAGAGGATTTCCTTTAATCTCTGGAAAGGTATTTAATGAAGTTTCATATATTTTTTGAAAATACGCTAATTTTTTAATTTAAATAGTATATTTGTCTTCCTCCCCCTTATGTTCCATATTATCTTCGTTTTGAAACAGATGAGATTAGTTCTATATATTATGAAAGCGTATTAAAGCACAATTTCCCTCCAAAGGATGTAAAATTTGCTAGGGATAAATGGTATGAAGTCCCGTAAGTATATTAATATTAGTTATTGAATTTTGCATATATTCAATAATGTTTTAAAGATTGGATATTAATTTTAATTCTACTACAAAAGTTGATATTTTGATTCATACAGCTGGTTCGTTTTCTTACAAAATAGAATATTCTCAATTGCCACCTTGGGATTCAAAAAAAACTGATCATTTTATTCGAAATTCCACTGATGAATTTTATTTTACTGTATCGCCTGTATTAACGATTAATGATGTATATATTCCTTTGAATTCTCTTGTAATACAAAGTGTTGTTTCTAAGTGGATGGGACCTATTTCAGAATGGGATAAATTTATGTTTTATATTGGAAAAAAAAAAGGGTATAATATGATTCATTTTACACCTTTGCAATCTTTAGGGAAAAGTAATAGTCCTTACAGTATTTATAATCAGCTTGAATTTTCGGATAGTCTTTTTGATACAAAATTAATATCTAATCAGAAAATTGATATTATAAAAAAATATTTAAGAAAAATGGAAACAGAATGGGGTCTTTTATCTATGACAGATATTGTTTGGAATCATACTTCATGTGATTCTAAATGGTTACAAGACCATCCTGAAGCTGGTAATTTTCTAATATACAATTAAATTTAAACTAATTTTTAAAAGGTTACAACTTACACAATTCTCCTCATCTTATTTCTGCATATGAATTAGATACTTCCCTTCTTGAATTTTCTGAAAATCTCGGAAAACTTGGGTATCCTACTAATCCTAATAATAATGATGATCTATTAAAAATTATTGATGGAGTTAAAATTTATGTCTTAGAAAAATTAAAATTATGGGAATTTTATGTGATAGATGTTGAAAAATCTATAAAGGATACTTTAGACTCTTATAAAGAAAAAAGAATTGCTAAATTGGATAGCAATTTTAGTATTGATATTAATTGGTCATTAAAAGAAAAAGTTAATGTCTTTATTAATGCTTCTGCAATAACAAATTATAATATTCTTGGAGAGAGATTTTCTAAGCGTCTTGTTCCTGAAATCGGCGCTGCTATACTTTGTAAGCTATTCGGAGATGATGTAGAAGAACATATATTGGTAAAAGAATTAACCAAAATATTGGATGAATTTAATTTACAATACTATACTGAATATGATTCTGATAAAGAAATAATTATTGATCAAATATATAATCGTTTGAAATATTTAAGATTGGATGAAAATGGTCCAAAGCAAGGGGAAATTTCTCAGAAAAGACCTCTTGTAGAGACTTATTTTTCTCGTATTAAGAAAAATGACGGCTCTTTATTTCAACATGATAGAAATCTATGTTTAGTAAATAATGGATGGGTTTGGAATCCAAGCTTTAATGATTTTGCTAGTGAAAAAAGTAAAGCTTATCTTTTGCGCCAAGTAATAGTTTGGGAAGATTGTGTTAAATTAAGATATGGAGAGAAGCCGGTAAGTTTTTTTAATTTCTAAGGTATTATTGACTTGTTTTAGAGCGATAATCCATATTTATGGGATCACATGACGAAATATACTCAGACTCTTGCAAAATTATTTAATGGATTTCGTATAGATAATTGTCATTCTACTCCTTTGTATGTTGGAGTATATCTTTTAGATAAGGCTAGAGAAATACGGAGTGATTTATATATTGTAGCAGAATTATTTACAGGAAGCGAAGAAATGGATATTGTTTATATGCAGAAATTGGGTATAAGTAGTCTTATTAGGGAGGCGATGCAGGCATCCACTCCTAATGAATTATCAAGGTTAGGTTTTTATATTTATGTTGTGTTATTACTTAGAAAAATCAGTCTTATATATAAGCATAGTGGTAAGCCAATCGGCTCTTTGGATAGTATTTCTTCGAAATATTCCTTTTTGGAAAGAACTGGGGAGGACGATAGAACATCAAATATTATTTATGTTCAAGGCTCACAGATTCATTCTCTATTTATGGACTGTACTCATGATAATGAGATGCCTTCTCAAAAAAGAATAGCACAAGATACTTTGCCAAATGCTGCTTTGGTCGCAATGTGTAATTGTTCTATAGGAAGTGTTATGGGTTATGATGAAATTGTCCCTCATTATATTAATATAGCTGAGGAAACTCGGAAATATTATTATTCTCTGGAAAATACTCTTGGCATAGGGGATGTGAAAGCCGTTTTAAATAAGATTCATGTTGAGATGGGCAAAGAAAGTTTCGAAGAAATGTATGTTTATAATGAAGGCAATTATATTACACTGCATACTGTTAATCCAAAAAATTATCATGGATATTTTTTATTAGCTCATACTGCATTCTTCAGTCATCATGGAAATAATAAAATAGAACCTATTATATTAAGGGGAACAAAAGCTGATGTTATTTTTTCATTGTCATTGGCCGTAAACTCATCTGAAAACTTAGAGGATTCCAATTTTATAAAAGGATTTTCTTCTACAACTATTGAGTTAGATAGTCCTATAATTACTGTGAAAGAGGATTTAGAAGGAATCTTTACCTGTGTCGAAATTCCTAAAGAGTTTCCTCCTGGGAGCATTTTTTTATTAAAGACTTGGATAGAAAATGTTGATGAAAAATTAGACGACTTTATTTCTAGTGATCTTGACAAAGCTATGGAGAATCTTGATTTGACAGATTTAAATGCGGTTATGTATAGATGTAATCAAGAGGAATATGATACTATTAATAATGGAACTTATAATATTCCAGACTTTGGAGATTTGGTTTATTGTGGATTTGAAGGATGGATGACTCTTTTTAATGAAATTATTCAAAATAATAATTTAGATCATCCTCTATGTAAACATCTTCGTCAGGGTCAGTGGGCTTTAGATTATATAGTCCAAAGATTGTATAAAATGGGAAACATATTGAGTCGACTTCATTTACCTGCAATTTGGCTTGAGAAACGTTTTTCTAGAATTAAGAAAGTTCCCAGTTTTCTATTGCCACGTTATTTTATTACAGTTGTGTATTTGGTATCAATAGCTGCGCGAAATAGGGCTATTAGTCTTATGTCATTGCATGTTCAAAATGGGCATTCTTTTATTAAATCTTTAGCACTTTGTTCTGTACAGTTGCATGGTATTGTTAAGTCAGCTTCTCTTAATCCTTTTGTAAATACACCATGTATTGCTGCTGGTTTGCCGCATTTTTCCTGTGATTGGAAACGTTGTTGGGGTCGAGATGTCTTTATTTCTCTTCGAGGTATATTTCTTGTAACAGGAAGGTTTGATGATGCAAAAAGACATATTCTTGCGTTTGCATCTGTTTTGAGACACGGGTTGATTCCAAATCTTCTTGATTCTCTGAAAAGACCACGTTATAATTCTCGTGATTCTGTTTGGTTTTTTTTACAGGCAATTCAAGAATATACTAAATTAGTCCCCAATGGGATACAGATATTGTATGAACGTGTTAAAAGGAGGTTTCCTAAGGATGATTCTTATGTTGAATTGGATGATTATAGAGCATATTCTTACGAGTCAAGTATTTTAGAAATTGTTCATGAAATAATGCAACGGCATGCTTCAGGTCTTCATTTTAGGGAAGAAAACGCTGGAATGGGTTTAGATATGCAAATGACTGATAAAGGTTTTAATATTGATATTTATGTTGATTGGAAAACAGGATTAATATTTGGAGGTTCTCAATATAATTGTGGAACATGGTAAAATCATTATAATACTTTCTAAAATTCTAAGAGTTTAGGATGGATAAAATGGGCGAAAGCCTTAAAGCTGGAAATAAAGGTGTTCCTGGGACTCCAAGAGATGGTGCTGCTATAGAAATATCTGGAATGCTTAAAAGTACATTAAGATGGATAAATAAACTTCGAAAAAAAAATATATATTTATGGGATTACGTTGTTGTTCAAGGTAAATACGATTGTTTTTATATTGAGCATCGTTAATGTAAAAAAGAAAATGGTTGTTCTAAAAAGATAGCTTTTGAAGAATGGGAAAGGAAAATTCAAGAGAATTTTGAATTTTGCTATTATATACCACTTGGTATTTCTTTTTTTATATTTTTTTATCTAATGATTTAGATCCTCAAGAAGATTTCAAATATGATCTTAATACCTCAATGATTAATAGGAGAGGAATTTATAAAGATCTTTATCATAGTAGTAAAGAGTATGAGGATTATCAACTTAGGCCTAATTTTGCTGTTGCAATGGTCGTAGCACCTGAGCTTTTTGTTCCTGGGCATGCTTTTAAAGCTATTGAAATAGCGGATAGTGTGATTCGTGGACCTATGGGAATGTTAACTTTAGATCCTTCTGATAAAGATTATCATCCATATTATATAAATTTTTATGATAGTGATGATTTTGCAACATCTAAAGGCAGAAACTATCATCAAGGACCAGAATGGTTATGGTGTACTGGATACTTTTTGAGAGCATTTCTTTATTTTAATACATTTTATTATTGTAGTATGAAAAATAAAATTACAACTTGTTATTATATTCATGATCGTTTGGCTATATTGATGAAAAGGATTCAAGAAAATCCATGGGCAGGTTTAGATGAATTAACCAATAAAAGCGGTGAGGTATTAAAATTTTGGTTTTATACTATTCTGAAAAAAATAGTTTTGCATCGATAGTAATTATACTCAATCATGGTCTGTATCTACTATGTTAGATCTTTATGATGATATTTTGAAATTGCAATTCTCGTAAAAATTATAGTTTTATAGTTTTATTTAAATAATGATATTAATGATTTGTATATTTTATAAAAATGCTAAGTATTTCAAATAATATCTTTTGCAAAAATTATAATATTTTTGTTAATTTTTTGTATTTTTATGAAAATTTTTTAATAGATTTTCAATCAAAAAGACAGTTAAAAATTGTTGTAAATTATGTTTCTTTTTTTTTTCATTATTGAATATGTTATTAGAAAATAATTAATTACTTTTTTGTGTTAAATAATTTCATTTTAAATGGAGTAAAATTACTTGAAAGTTTTTATGTATAGATTTATATTGGTATTTGTATTTTTTAGAAAAAAAATTAAACATTTTTTGGATAACCATTTTTTAAGACACAAGTATATATTTTGCAGTATTGAATTTGCTTTAATACTTTTTAGGATTACGATTTTTTAGGAATAAGATTGAAATATAATTAAATTTTTAAAGTGTTTTTATAAAAGATATTTCGATTTTTATAAAAGAATTAATTTTGTAATAAATATTAATTATTGAATATTAATTCTAATAAAATAAATATATGATTAGATTTAAAAGATAATTTTCATTTATTAAAAATATCCTTGATATTAAAAAATGACTTTAGAGTTATGATATTTTATAGTAGAGGAATATTATATGTTTTATTAAAAATATAAATTAGCTTTTTAAGTTCGAAATTATATTTTTTAATATTTTTATTTTTTTCATTAAATATATTATAAAAATGATTAGATATATTTTCTGTAGCTATTTTTATTATTATAATTCTTTATATCTGTTAATTCTTTTTTAAATGACTTAATGGATTTTTTTAAATTTATGAAATTAAAACTTTCGAAAAAATATACTTTTTTAATCTACACATAATGTAATATAATTTAATAGAAGAAATTTATATAAATTAAATATAAAAACATTTTTTTCAAACAAAAATTGTCATATTTTATATATTATTTTAATAATGGTTTAATTAATTCTGTAAATTTATTAAAAAAATCATGTACAAAAATGAATAATTCTTCATGAATCGAATAATTCATATAGAAAATAGTGTATACATAAAATATTTAAAACGAGTTACATAAATATAACATAAGTATTAAGTTTAAGTTAAATATTTAAAATATATATATTATTTGTTGTTTTTATTATTATAAGATATGTTTTTATTGAATTTGTTGAACTTTGATGTTTAATCTCTTATAAAGTTATAGATAATGAAAACGTTTCAGTTTTAATTTTATAAATATTGGTTTATATTGGTTTTTTCTAAGAATTATTTTTTGGTTTTCATGTTTAACTTAAATAAAGATTAATATCTTAACATTTTTTAAAGATTAATGTATTTAATTTAGATATAGTGTTTCGAAATTTTGGCTGAAATTATAAATAGAAATTATTGTTTGAGTATTTTTAGATGAGAATATATATAATTATTTGAGATGATATAAAAAATATTTTTAAAAATCATCTTTTATGTTTTTAAAATATTATAATAGAAATTAATCAGGATTTTAATCTTATATGCTAAAGTTTTCTGAAAAAATGTAGTATATATATATTGAATCTAAAAGTCTTTTTATGTTTTTTTATAAATTTAAAATGATTTATAATTCTTGTTCTATGTTAATATTTTATTAGAATAACTTTTTTTCAAGTGATTTCTTTATATGTTTTTTAATACTTCCCCATAGGTCTCTTTGAGAATTTTAGGTGATGAAGTATTGTATTAAATCTTATTGTTTCCTGTTTTCGAGTTTCTTTTACTTGTTTCTTTGATTTTTCAGTATCCGATTCTCTGTTTCTTTAATTATCTCCCATAAGGAGTTAAATATTTCTTTAATGTTTAATAAAAGTTGAGATTTTTTTTTGTTTAGTCTTTTATGAAAAAATGAACTTAATATTGGTTTCCGTTAAAATCCTGTATTTCCTATATTAAAACTATTTTAAAACGACTTATTGTATTACTCAATATCCATTTTTTATGTCGTGTTCCAAGTTTCTGATTTTTTGATATAGTTTTATCTTTTTTTTTAAGTATATTTTGAAATAAATTATCAACAATAGTATCTGTTTTGTCTTTATTTTTAAAATATTTATTTAATTTTTGATAACTTTCTGAATATTGTTTATGTTTATTTATTTTTGACTATTAATAAATTAAAGTTTAAATTTTATATAAAAAACCATGTTTCGATAAAATTAATCATATCGAGTATACTTTTTTCATACGTTTAATAAATTATATTAAAACTTATTTTTAAGATAATTTTTGTTTCTATATAGTTTTTATTTTTTAAACGAAATTTTGCAAGATGAGATGTTTGATTGTTACGGAATGGACTGGTTTTCAGTCAACTCGAGTTTCTAGATTTAGATTATTGTTTATACGATTTAAATCGTCTGCAACAAATTCTAAAGTAGATATGTTTCCAAGAGATTCACAAAACTCATTATCATGGAATGAGTATATTTTTATTAGTATTTTTTAATTATTTTTTATTTAGTTATTTTAGATTTTTATATTTACGTCGTCAAAATTTACGATCTGGCTTGATTGCTTCTATTCCTTCGTCTTTTATTGGTTTTTCCTTAGGATATTTTTATTTTGCTACAATTCAAGTCGATCCTACGCAGACAATTTTTGGAATAGATCCTTTTGTAGTATATTTGTTAGCGACATTAGCTTCTGGGGGAGCTGGCTGGCTACTTGGTCGGCCTATAGGCATTGCATTATGGAAAAGTTTTCATTTTAAAAGAAATAAATTAGTTCAAGAGGTATTAATATTATGTTTTGCTCATTTTTTTGATAAATTTGTAGAAAGAGCGTGACTTTTTTTTGCACATTCAAAAAAACAGAGTAGATCCTAGATATCAGTCTATAAATAATCCAGTTCCTGATTATTATGGAGAAAAGATTGGTTCACTATCTGTTTTTTTCTTTTTATTATATTATATAATCTAATTTTGATAGGATTATAGAAGATGGTTAAGAGATTGTAGAGTTTATAGGAAAAAGGCACCAATTGAATAAATACGGCCAATATAATGTTTATACTATCCGATTCCTTATATATTTATCATTATTATATATTATTTTATTTAATATATTGGAAATTCTTTGTTTATACTACTCCATGATTTTAATCCGCCAATAACATCTTTAGCACTCAAAATATCAAATTTTTCATAAAGTAATTTCACTGCAAGTTGAGATCTATTTCCTGATTTGCATATGACATATATTTGTTTATTTTTATCAATAGGAAGATATGAAAGGTTATATAAATCAGCCAATGGAATATCTACTGTATGTAAATAAATAAAAAAAATAGCTATTTAGATTACTTATAGAGGATGGTATGGAACATGCTTTAAATTCTGTTTCATCTCTAACATCAATTAATATAACTTGAGATTTTTTTTTAGATTCAAATATATAATTTAATTCCTAAAAAAAATGAGTGTTTATATATAAATTATGTGATATTTCCCTTCGCAGTAATCCTCTGCTCTTTTTCCAAGATTTCCTCCTTGCATATAGTATTTAAATTATAATAAGATCCTTCTTCAATTATATTTTTTGTAATTAAAGGTTTATCTCCACAACTTGGACATGAGCTTTTCCTTGGACGAAGCTTAATAAACTTAAATTGAGGAACCGAAAATGCTGAAAATATAGTCATGTAGGATACATAATTATTTGTTTCTATGTTGTTATATTCGGATAATAGCTGTTGTGATAACAAAATTTTTATTGTTTCTAATGCTTGTAATGTCCCCATTATTCCAACAACCATCCCTAATATACCATTTCCCTCGCATGTTTGATTTGTTTCTTCCGGAGATGGTACAGGAAAAAGACACCTGTAACAGCAGCTTCCTCGAAATCCATAAATACAAAGTTGTCCTTCTGTTCTTACAGCACTAGCACTAATTAAAGGTTTTTTTAAAAGAATACATGTATCCGATATAAGATAACGTATTGATTGATTATCTGTACAATCAAGAATGATATCATATGGTTTAATAATATCTATTGCTGAAGATGGAGAAATATGTGTGGAATAACCAATAAATTCTACAAAAGGATTCAGGCTATAGATAGTAAACTTTATTGCACGTATGCATATATATTCGTTTACTCTTTTAAATACTCAATAGCAGAATTAACTTTTTTCTGTCCTAATTTAGACGATGTATGCAATATTTGTCTATGACAATTTGATATGTCCACATAATCTCCATCAACTATTCCAATAGTCCCTAAATAGTTAATCATATTTTTAATATTTTATAAAAAAAAAATATTTTACCAATTCCTGCTCCCGTTAAATAAACTAAAGCAGGACAACCTAAACCTCCTGCACCTATAACCAATACTTTTGCTTTTTTTAAAGTGTTTTGACCTATCGGTGTTGGATTTAAAAAATATATATTTAATTATAATCACCTTCTATGCCTATTTCTGGTATAATTATTTGTCGACCATATCTTTTAAATTCTTCAAGATATAATCCATTATATTCTTTATTACTCATGTTTTTCTTAAATTCTTTTTCTTTATCAGAAAGTTCTGATTTATGTTCTTTTATCTTTTTTTTTTAAATATTTTATTTCAGAAGCTATTTTGTTATCAAAATTAAATTTTTTATCGTAAAAATTATAAAATTTTTAAGGTTCATTTAAATTTGAAATCATAAAAATAACTATTGAATAAAGTGGTTGGGAGTCAAATTTCTTTTTGAGTTGTTATATGCTTTCGTAGGTGTCTTTGAGTTGCTGATAATATATATATATTAAGAAATTTGTGTTTGTTTCTTAAAAATTTGTTAGATTTCAAATTTTTATTGAAACTATTTTCACTGAATTCCTTATGCTATATCTTGATGGCCTTCTCTTGAGTGTTAGAGAAATTCCTGGATATCCTGTTGTTTGTCGTTATATAAAATCTTCATATCAAAATGATCCTGTTCGTTCTATTATTGAACTTCTTCTTATTTTCTTTGTTATAAGATATATTTTTTCGACTAGATATAGCCCTGAAAAGAATAATTATGTAAAACTTTCTGAAAAGGTAATTTATGATAATTAAGTTTTATTTTAACTTTTTTAGGAAATTGATGATCTAGTAGATGAATGGATCCCTGAAAGTCTTGTTTCTAATCCAACAGAGGTAGAAGAACTAGAAATAGAAAAAGTTCCTGTTATAATTGGGTATGTTTTTAAGTTAATATAGTTTATTTGTATTTATAATGCTTATTGATGATTTATAGTAGTGTCGATTCTAAAGTTAGACTTTCGTCATCTCCTACAAGAACTATAATTCATCTTTCATCATATAATTTTTTGGGTTTTATTTCTTCTGGTTTACTGCAAAAGAAGGCAATTGAAGCGTTACGAAAATATGGTGTTGGACCATGTGGTCCGCCGGGATTTTATGGAACTCAAGGTTAGAATTTTAAAAGAAAAAAAGTAATTTTTTATATTTTTTTTTTTTAAAAAAATTATTTTATATTTTTCGATAACATAATCTAATTTATTAGATGTACAGATGGTTTTAGAACAGGCACTTGCGAATTTTCTGGGAACTGAATCTGCAATTCTTTATTCCCAAACATATTCTACTATTTCTTCTGTTATCCCTGCGTTTTCTAAACGTGGTGATATTTTAGTTGTGTAATTTTCTAACTATTTGTTTGCATTTGTTTCTCATATGATAGTGACCGTGGTGTGAATTTTGCAATTCAGAAAGGGATTCAAATATCTCGTTCTACTATACGATGGTTTGATCATAATGATATTTCTTCTCTTGAGAATGTTTTGGAAGACATTCGTATTGATCAAATGGTATCACGTAGGCCCCTTACACGAAGATTTATTATTATTGAAGGATTAAGCGAAAATTTTGGTGATATTTGCAATCTTACAAAAATTGTAAAATCTTAGATTATTATTTAATAATTTTTAAATTTAAATTAGATCGAGCTTAAAAAAAAATATAAGTATCGATTAATACTTGATGAATCATGGTCATTTGGTACATTAGGTAGATGTGGACGCGGAGTAATCGAATATTATGGATGTGATCCACAGGATGTTGATATTTTAGTTGGATCCTTAAGTACGTCTCTTTGTAGTGGTGGTGGATTTTGTGCAGGTGCTTCAGAAATTATAGAACATCAGGTATGTTTTATTTATTTTCATGTTTTATGACTTTATTATTTGAAATTTTAATATTATTAAATAGAGAATAACGGGGGCTTCTTATGTTTTTTCTGCTGCATTGCCTGCATCTCTTGTTGTAGTTGCTTCTCAGGCAATACTTATGCTTCAACAATCATCTTCTGTTGACTATTTTATTACTTTAAGAGAAAATTCTAATGTATTTCGATCGATAATTGAAATGAGTGAATTTATAGATATAAGTAGCCATAAAGATAGTCCCATAATTATTTTTCGTATAAAAAAGGAAATTTCAGATAAATATGGCTGGTCTTTTGATGAAATAGAAAGAATTCTTCAAGAAATTGTAGATGAAGTAAAGTATTTAAAAAAAAAATGTTCTAAAACTAAAAAATATTGCTAGTCTCTTAATAGTGGTATACTTATTACACGCGTTAAGAAAATTAATTCTCAAGAGATTTGGAAATTTGATCCAAGTATTCGTCTCTGTATAAATGCTGATTTGTCCAAAAAAGAAATTGAGAAGTCTGCTATAATTGTAAAATCAGTGATTAGTAAAATTTTGAAGTCAAAAAAATAATATATTTAGATTTTCGTTTTATTTTTAATTGTATATATATAAATGTGTAATAATATTTGTTATTTTTAGAAAATATTGAAGTTATGAATGTTACTGTTTAAAAAAAATATTTATATTTGAATTTTATTTAAAGTTATATTTGTTGAATTTTTTAGAAATTATTTGAGATATTGTAATAGTATTTAAAATTAATTTTTCTTATATTTATTACAAATATAAAATTGGAAAAAATTGGGAAATAATTAAATATTTGACTAGGTTTAATATATAATTATAACAATTATATAATTTAATAATATATATTAAAAAATATCAAATATTTTATTATATTCTACTGGGATTTAAAAGTTTATAAAATTCAAAACGTTGGATATAAAAATATTTTTTATTAAAATATAATATTTTTATAATAAAGATGTTATTTTGAGTTCCTATTTTTTTTAATTAAGATATGTATAATTTGTATTAAAATTTAATATATAATATTTGGTATATTGAATGAGACATTTGGAAATTGATTAATGTTATATATAATTTTACATGTAATTAAATATATAATGCATCATTGTTATATTTATTCATTGTGGAGTTTTTTTAATAGTGTTTTGTTTATTAAAAATATTAAATTAGTATATTTTGTAAAATTATAATGTTATAAAATAATATATTAAGATAATTACATATTTCTAAAATGTGATTTAATTTCTTAAAATTATATTATTTTTAAAAAAAATCTTAAAGTCACAAAAATTTATTTACTAAATCTTTATGAAAAAATTAAACATTAAATAATGTAGTTTTTGTTAGATTTTTTAGTAAAAATTTAAACTAAATATATTTTTATACTTTAAATTGTTTTATATGACGTTACCGGTATTTTTTTTATCTTTAAAGATTTATATATTATATAAAATATTTTAGTTAATACTTCAAAAGAATATATATGGGTTATGATAAATATATTTTAGAAATTTGTAAAAGATTTGTATATTTTTAATAAAGTATTAATAATATAATAGTTACTTTTTATTATTATTTACATATATTTAGGATTTATTTACAATAAAACTCGGAGTATTAGATGCTTATATTTTGATTTTTTAAGTCTAATTTGAAAGTTAAATATATTCGAATACTATTATATTTAAGTATTTATCGTGAAATTAGAAAATTGTGTTTATATTGTTTTATGAAAATAAGTCCTATTAAATGGATATTTCAAAATCTGTTTCTTTACGTCTTCTTGGTCAATTTTATCGATTTATTTTATCATTACGTGATGTTTTAAGATATCGTTTTAAAAATTATGATCAAGAATGGTTAAAGAAAATAGAAAATTTGCCGAAATTATCTTCACTTTTAGATGATTGTATTGTGTGTTTTAATGATATACATAAAATAGCACCTCTTGAGCCTACTATTATTACAATAGTATCATCTCAAACAGAAGTATTTTTGAAAATGTTTACTTTTATCTAATATATTTAGATTGTTAATTCTGTTATTCGGAGGATTTTTATAAGGTCTCGAGGCAAGCCTACAAATATTATTTCTCAGGGCTATAGAAGAGTTTGTTTTATGTGACTTTTTTCTTTTGTTAATTTGGATAAGGGCAGTGATACTATACAAACTGCTACTGCAGGTGCATTTGGAGATGCTATTGTGAATTATTTTCCAAATAATCATGTTACGTTTCTTAGATCAGATAACTGGGAAACACTTTTGCAATTGTAAAATTATATATATATATCTTATGAATTAGTGTTAAAAATAAAAGTGTTGGTGATAGATTTATGGTTGATCTCTTACTTGAAACAAGTATGTTTATGGCATTACCTCGAGATAATTACTTTCAGTTTTGTGGTAAGTTGTTTTTCTTAATTTTACTTTGTTTTTTTAATATATGAGGAATTCCATTACATGAGGTTAGTTCTCTTACAAACCTTAAAAGAAGTTGTTCTTTTTTTGAGAGAAATTGTATTAAAAAATCTAAGTATATCTATCAAAATTATTTTTAATTTTTAATTTTTTAGATCTGTATCTTTTTCTATGCAGTATGAAAACTCTAAACAATCTTTTGAAGCAAACAAATTGGATGGAATTACATTGACAAATATGGTGCCACGAGAAGACTCTTTGGTTAATATGCAGGAATTTAAGTATGAAATCTTAAGAAATGCTGAGTTTTTCTAATTAATAGACGTTCATATAATGAGATTATGATAATACGTTCCAGGATATTTTACGCTCGACCAGTATATAATTCACGTAACAAAATTTTGTTTGGATTTCCTCGTATTCGTATTGAGTTACTGTTTTTTAAAAAAAATAAATTATATTTAGATCTATTAAGTCGCTATAATGATCCGGATAATTTATTTCATTCTATTTCTCTTTTAATTCATATTTTTCCGCGTCAATTTCGTCTACATAATATTTTTACATCTATTACTGATAAAAAGGATATTATTCAATCTTTAAAAGATTATACAATAAAAGAAGAGATTTATGGTTTACTTCGCGATAGAAATAAAAAGATATCAATTCCTAAAAGATTAAGAAAATTCTTAAAAATCATTCCAATTTTACAAAAACGGCATAAATTATGTTTTTATAAAACTATGTTGGATCATTACTGTCCCATTAAAGTTATTAGATTATTTCTAGAAATATTGTCTAATATTGTTTAGGAATGTTCAAATTTGAATATTTTGACAACTAAATGGGATTATACTGGTAATTATCACGTCCTTCATAAATTAGAACAATCTTCTATAGAGTTTAATTCTTTCTCGTTAAAAACATTGAATAATAATTCTAATCAAAAAGATGACCAAATGAATATTAATTTTATTAAGTTAGCAACTCCTTATTCTCATGTTTGTTTTTATTATATTGATGTTTTTTAATATTTTTTAGGTTTCGTGTTTTTTAAGAGCTGTAATGAAGCGAATAATTCCAAAAGAATTTTATGGCTCTGATTGCAATTTTGAAAATATTCTCAATAGTTATAATTTTCTTTAGAATATTAATTTTTTAAAGTAATTTAATATAGGTATAAATATGTTTGTTCGAATGCGAAGATTTGAATCTATATCTCTTCATGATTTGATGCATTGTTTGAAAGTATGATATTTTAATATTTTTTCTTTTATTAATCTTTGAAAGATAAAAACAGTTTCCTGGCTTGAAAAAAGTAATAATTGTCGTATGTCTTTATCGGATTTTCAGAAAAGAGTTAGCATATTTTCTGAACTTATATATTGGACATTTGATTCCCTTCTAATTCCTTTGATTCGTTCTCATTTTTATGTTACTGAAAGTAGTGTTTATCGGAATAAAGTTTTATATTTCAGGCACGATGTATGGAAAAGTCTGTCAGAACCTCATTTATGTCGTATTAAATCTTTGATGTTTGATGATTCGTCTTTGGTAACAATTACTGTTAATTATTATGAATTAATTGTTTTCTTATATGATAAGATAAACTTAAAAGAAGTTAATAGCGATTTTTATTTAGGATATTCATATATACGGCTTCTTCCAAAAGAGACTGGAGTAAGACCTATAGTGAATTTAAGAAGAAAACAGATTAGAATAGTATATTATTGTTTATAATTTGTATAATTATAATTATTTTAGGAAAGGTTGGTTATTGGAAATAAGCGATATAAAAAAATTATTTCAATGCCAAGTATTAATTCTATGGTAAATACTGTATTTTATGTATTAACATTTGAAAGAGTGAGAACTTTGGATCTTAATTATTGCTAAATATTATTAGGAAAGAAGTCCTAATTGTTTAGGGTCATCTTTATTTTCAATTAATGATATTTATAAAAATATTAAAATGTTTAAAAAATACATTAATAACAATTGCTTGCAAAAGTATAAGGATAAGGATATATTACTAATATATTTATAAATTCTAGGAAAAAACTTTATTTTGTAAAAGTCGATGTTAAAAATTGTTTTGATACTATTGATCAAGATAAGGTTCTAGAATTGGCTATTAATATTTTGCAAGAAGATGAATATATTTTAAGAAGATTTGTCTTAATTACATCAAATTTTGGAAAATTTAGCAAAAAATTTATTTCTAGAGCTGGTTCTTCAGGTAATAATAATATAGCATTTTAAGTGTTTTATATCTCTATTAGATGATTTATGTCATTTTAAAAAGTTTGCGGATGATATTAGTCATATATATCGTCATTCTATTATTGTTGATCAAGTTGTTCACTCGTTTAAAGATAAAGATGATATAATTAAACTTTTACGTAAACATGTTAAGGGGAATTTAATTAAAGTTAGGAATCTAGTATTTTCTTTTATAATAATTATTTTTTAGATAGGAAAGAAATTTTATAAACAAGTAAAAGGAATTCCTCAAGGATCGATTTTGTCTACGATGCTTAGTGCATGTTTCTATGGAAATTTAGAAAAGAATTGCTTAAAATTTATTCAACAGCCGGATACCGTATATAGTTTTGTATTTCATTTATCTATTTAATAATTATTAGATTTTATTAAGGTTTGTTGATGATTTTCTTTTAATATCTTTGGATAAAACTATCGCTAAGAGATTTTTGGAGTGTATGCATAAAGGTAATTGATTTTTTTTTTTTTTTTTTTTGAAAAAAGTGTAGGATATCCTCAATATAATTGCTATGTTAATCCGGATAAGAGCCTTGTAAATTTTGAAGTAAGTGTAAACGGATTCAAAGTAAATCGTTTATTAGGATCTCGTGAATTTCCATATTGTGGAAATTTAATAAATATAGAGACTCTTGATGTTAAAAAAGATTATTCTAGGTTATCTGGAAGAGGTGATGTTATCACTATATTATACTTTTATTGATATATTATTAGATATTGATGATACATTAACAATAGAATATTCCCATAATCCTGGAAATGCTATATTAATTAAATCATTTCAGTAGGTAAAAATGAGTTCTTATTTAATCTATTTATGATATAGGTCGTTGAAATTAAATGCTCATCCATTATTTATAGATACGGATCTTAATTCCTATTATACTGTTTTATTAAATATATATAATTCATTTATTTTTTGTGCTATGAAAATGCATAGATATATTAAAGTAATGAAAGGGCAAAAGCCAAGTCAAAATAGAATATTGAGTTTTTTCTAATATTTTTTAAATTATGTAATAACTAATATAAATTAGTGTTTATTGAAGAATGTTCAAATTTTATGTTATCATATATTAAAAGTAGAGAATTAACCATTTCACATGCTAAATGTTCTGTTAATCCTGGTCATGTAAAATGGTAACTATATTTGTATCACAATAATTTTTTAAGCATAGTAAGGCTTGCACATCATGCTTTCTGGAGGATATTTCAAAAAAAACAAACTTTTTATCCTGATGTTTTATATAAATTAAATTTATATTTAATTAATGCTAAAAAAGGTCGTGATTTTAAAGTACTTTCAAAAATTATATCTTTTCAAAATTTAGAATTATTTGAGGCCTTTGTTTATTGAGTTTTAGATATGTTATATTTTGTTTTGAAAAGTATTTTAGTTATATTTTAGGTCTTATAAAGATATTTTAAACTGATTTTAAAAACTAATGATTTTAATTAAGAATTTTGATTATTTTTGTAATACTAATGAATATTTAAAATAAATGATTGGATTATGGAATTATATTTTATTTTTTAAGAAATAAGAAATATAAATATATAAATTTATATTAAAATATTTATTAGTAAAAAAAAAACGTTTATTAGTAATTTTATCCATATTAAAATTCTGTATTTAAGATAATTAAGTTTCCATAAAGAATGTTGTTAAAAAATATATTTTTAAAAAGTTAATATTTAGGTGTTGATTTAAAAAATAAAAAAAATAATCAATCATATTGTATTCTATTTAAGTTAAACAGTGTATTGGATTTATAATTTATTAATATTTAACTTTTTATTAATATTTTAGTATTTATTTTAGATTTAATATGTATTTTTTAAAAAAGATAAATTAAGTTAAAATATAAAATAGATATATTATAATTAATAAATGTAAAAAAAAAGCTAATAAATATATGGCTACTGATAATTATGTTTCTCTGAATGATACATCAGAAGATCAAATAGGTAATGGTATTTCTTAACATATATTTTAAACATTTTTAAATTAGATTTAGCAGAAAATGACGTTGGTCCTGACCCTATAATTCATACATCTTTGGGGAAAAGAAAAAGAGGTAAATAAATGTTTATTTATGTGAAGTAATTAATATGAAATAGCTATGGATTATGAAGAAAAATATCTATCAGCATTACCAGAAAGTAAAAAATATACAAAATCATTTATGCATAGGGATAATATACACTCTATTTGTGTTTCCTCTAAATATGACTTTATAATTACTACATCAATAGATGGACATCTTAAATTTTGGAAAAAACAGATTTTTGGAATAGAATTTGTAAAGCATTATAAAGCACATCTTGGACCTATCATTTCTACCAGTATTTCCACCGATGGTTCTTTATTTTCAAGTGTTAGTTCTGATAAATCTTTGAAAGTATTCGATATTGCAAATTTTGGTATTTTTATTTATTATTTTTCAATAAAATAATTAACTGAAAGATATGATTAATGAAATTACTTTAGGATATACTCCTTTAGCATTGTGTTGGGTGTATTCTAAAAAGCATGCTATTGCTTTTTTAGCAGTGTAAGTTTGCTAATTATACTTTTTTACGTAACAATTTTTTAGATCAGATGCTTCTTCTTCTTTTATTAATATATATGATGGGAAAGGGGATTCTAATTGTATTTATGTTATAAATAGCCTTCATACTAAACCTGTCAGCATTATATCTTTTAATTCTATATACAATTGTGCTATAAGTGTTGATGAAAGTGGAATGATTGAATATTGGGAACCAGATAGTCAGTATAAAAAGCCAAAAAATATATTCGAATTTAAGAGTGATACAGATTTATATGAATTTAAAAGAGTAATTATATATATGAATATGCATTTTTAATGTGTTTTGATATTATTATAGTTAAAATCAATGCCCACTTCTATTACTATATCTCCTGATGGCCAGAAATTTTCCACTATTTTGTTTCCAGATCAACAAATAATAATATTTAATTTTAAAACTGGTAAAATTATAAGGAAGTATGACGAAAGTTTGGATATGTTTAATAAATTGCAGCAGGTAAAGTAGATGGTTTTATAAATATGTATTAATTTCTAGTCTGATAAAAATACATATAAATTGGATGATATAGAATTTGGACGACGTGTTTCTATGGAAAGAGAATTAATAAATGATAAATTTTATAGATCAACTTTAAATACTATTTTTGATGAATCTAGTAATTTTATTATTTATCCTACTCTTCTGGGTATAAAATGTGAGTATTCTTTATATTTTACAATTTTTTTTTAAATATTTTAGTTGTAAATATTTATACAAATTGCTGTGTGCGTTTAATTGGAAAAGACGAATCATTAAGATTTATTAATCTTTCTTTGTATCAGGGCGCACCTAGAAAGACAAAAAGAACTACGCTTGCTATGATTGCATCCGAAAATCCATTAGTTGCTGAATCTAAAAATGTAGATCCTATTTTGTTTTGTTCTGCTTATAAAAAACCTCGCTTTTTTATGTTTACAAAATCCTATGAAAGGTGAAGAATGTTATTAGCATATGTTTTATTAATATTTTATAATAAATAGTGATTTAACCTCTGAAAGAGATGTTTTTAATGAAAAGCCGATTAAAGGTGATAATGTAAGTACAGAAATACGTCTTTCTACTTCTACCGGAACATCTGCTATTATACATACTACTCTTGGTGATATATGTATCAGATTATTTCCAGAAATAGCCCCAAAAGCTGTGGAGAATTTCGTTACACATTCAAAAAATGGTTATTATGATAATACTATATTCCATCGTATAATTAAAAAATTTATGATACAGGTAGACATTTTATTTACTTTAAATACTTAATAATAATGATAGTAATAGGGTGGTGATCCTTTGGGCGATGGAACTGGTGGTAAAAGTATTTGGGGCGTAGAATTTGAAGATGAAATATCATTGGAATTAAAACATAATCACCCATATACAGTATTTCTATTTAAGCTATTAATATGTATTTAATTTTCTTTAGGTATCTATGGCAAATGCTGGCCCAAATACTAATGGTTCTCAGTTTTTCATTACCACTGAGTGTACTCCATGGCTTGATTCGAAACATACAATATTTGGAAGAGCATATTCTGGATTAGATGTTATTCATGCTATTGAATCTATTAAGGTTGATAGACATAATAGGCCTACTCCTATTGATATTGCGCCTAAAATTCTTAATATAACTGTGCTATAATGATTTTTAAAATAAAATAATGTGGTTATATCTATAAACATGTTACTATTTTGATGATATATTTTGTAAATGTGTTTTGACATAGTTTTATAATTAGAATGTTTAATATTATTTTTTTTCGAACTTTTAAATAGTTTAGGTTACATGTTATACAAATTAGATATCTAGTTTTATAGTTTTAGATTTCATATACTTTTTAAAGCTGATTTGATTTTTTTTCTTTAATTTTTAATAATATTAAAAAATATCTAGTTTTAGATAATTATGATTTTTTTTATAAATAAATGTGAATATAACTTAAGATTTGACTATTTGATTTTTGATTTTCTTTTATAGATATAAATTTAAGCTATGCTTCAAACGAAAATAATTATTTATTTATTTTAATATTTTTTGGATATTGATTATCAAAACTAGAAATGTAAATTAATGTTCAATAAAATATAAATTTAAAATAATATTTAATCCTGTTAAAAATAAATAATTTTATATAAAAAATATTTAATTTTATAATAGAATTTATTTTTTTAAAAAAAATATTGGTATCAATATATTGTATATTTTTGATATTTAAAATATATAAAATTGTTTAAAACTTATTATGGTAAATGGTATAATTATATAAATATTGTATGAATTTAATAATTAGCATCATATACTTTTGATTTTTAAAGATTAAAATTACAATGTTATATTTTGATTTAAAAAAAATATTATGTATTAAAATTTATTTATTTTTCGTTTCTAGTAATTATAAAAAAATTAATATTAGCATCAAGGTAATTATTCTTTTAAACTATAATGTTTAATATCTATATTTATGTATAAAATTAAATTAATAAATATGCATATATAGATTATTAAAATAAATATTATTATAATAAAATATTTTAAAAATAAAATTGGGCTTAATATATAAAAAAATATACTTTATATTAATAAAAAATATGAAAATGTATATTTTTTTGAATTTAGTTTTATTAAGAGAACTATGTAATAATCTAAATAATAATTTATTTTCTTTATTATTATTGAAAATATGTAATTCTAATTAATTTTTTATAAATAAATAAAGCTGTGTTAATTTTAATTAGATAAATGTTTAGTTATTTTTAAAAAAAAAATATAATTTTAAAAATAAATGAGTTTTAGAAATGCATTGCCTACTGTTAATATAAATGTTGACTATCTTAAAATACAAGGTGCTTTTTTCTTTATATTTTTATTATTTGATTAATTTATAAGAACGGATTCAGGATTTTTTACTAAATTTTATTGAATCACCCAAAATTGCAAATGATATTGAAGATGATTCTGGTACAAATGGAAATACATTCTATTATGAAGATCAAAGTTCAAAATATATGAAAGAATTAGTATATTATTGTTCTATGTATTATTATATATAACATTGTTTAGCAAGCAATTGCGAATAGGATTAAAGACAGTATCACTATTGATTTAAAAGATCTTGAAACTGTAAGTTTATTTTATTTTTTATAAATATATGTTACTAATTATTGTTTTAGTATGACACAAACAATAAAGATCTTGTTAATAATATTATGAATAATACAAAACGATATAATGATATTTTTTGTAGAGCTATAGATAATATAATGCCTGCATCTACTCTGAATATTTCTTATTCTGATGATGTTATGGATATAATAATGCAACAACGATTGCAACGTAATGAAGCTAATCAAAATAATGGTTCTGATAATTTATTTCCTCCTCAATTAACTAGAAGGTTTAGTTTATATTTTAAACCTGTAGATATATATGAGAAAGGGAATATAAAAATATATACTGTCAAAGAACTTAAAAGTCTACATTTAGGACATTTGGTTACTGTTCGGGGAATAATTATAAGAGTTTCAGATGTTAAGCCCTCTTTACAAGTGAATGCTTATACATGTGATCATTGTGGTTGTGAAATTTTTCAAGAAATTAAAGCTAAACAGTTCACTCCTATGATACAATGTATAAGTGAAGAATGCAGAAAGAATAATTCAAAAGGACAACTTTTTATGTCTAGTAGAGCATCAAAGTTTATACCATTTCAAGAGGCCAGGATACAAGAATTGACAAATCAAGTATCGGTGGGCCATATTCCACGAACTTTGATTATACATTTATATGGTTCTATTACTAGATCTATGAATCCAGGTGATATTATGGATGTTTCTGGTATATTCTTGCCTATGCCATTTCTTGGATTTAAAGCAATTCGTGCTGGATTGCTTACTGACACTTATCTTGAATGTCAATATATTGTTAAATTGAAAAAACAGTACGATATCATAGAAAATACTCCTGAAATGATAAGACAGATTGAAAAACTTAGTACTTCTGGTAATGTTTATGAACAACTTTCCAAAAGTATTGCTCCTGAAATTTATGGTCATGACGATGTTAAAAAAGCACTGCTTTTAATGTTAGTTGGAGGTGTTACTAAAGAGATGCATGATGGAATGAAAATTCGGGGTGATATTAATATATGTCTTATGGGCGATCCTGGTGTTGCAAAGTCTCAGCTCTTAAAATATATGTCAAAAGTTGCACCGAGGGGCATATATACTACTGGACGTGGGTCTTCAGGTGTAGGCTTAACTGCTACTGTAATGCGAGATCCAGTTACTGATGAAATGATTTTGGAGGGTGGTGCACTTGTTTTAGCTGATAATGGTATATGTTGTATTGACGAATTTGATAAGATGGATGAGACTGATAGAACTGCAATTCATGAAGTGATGGAGCAACAAACTATATCTATTAGCAAAGCAGGAATTGTTACTACACTTAATGCTAGAACATCTATTTTAGCTGCAGCCAATCCTTTATATGGAAGATATAATCCTAGAATTTCACCAGCAGATAATATTAATTTACCTGCTGCTTTGCTTTCTAGATTTGATATTTTATTTCTTATCTTGGATATACCTGCTAAAGATGAAGATGAACGGTTAGCTCGACATGTTTCTTTCGTTCATATGAATAATCGACATCCTGATATAACTTTTCAACCTTTAGATCCTATAACAATACGTAGTTATATTTCTCAATCACGACTTAAAAGACCTGTAATTTCAAAGTCAGTATCAGACTATATAGTAGGTTCTTATGTCCAATTGCGTCAAAAACAGAAGAATGATAATGCAATGAAGAGGTAACCTTTTTTGTGATATTTAATTATATTAATGTGTAGTAGGCAATTTACTCATACATCACCACGAACTTTATTAGGGATATTGCGTATGTCACAGGTAAATTGTATTTTATAATGAATTATTATTATTATTGATTTATTAAAAGGCATTGGCACGAATAAGGTTTAGTGATATCGTTGAAATTGGTGATGTAGATGAAGCACTTAGATTAATAGAAGTATCGAAATTAACATTGTATGAAAAACATGATTATGATTCAGATATAACTTCTTCTTCAAAAATCTATAAGATTATCCGAGATTTGGCTAATGGTGATGGATATGAATTTGTAGATGAATGGAATATGAAAATTATCAGAGAAAGAGTCTTAGCAAAGGGGTTTACTGAGAATCAGCTCGTTGATTGTATAAAAGAATATCAAGATTTAGGTGTATGGCAGTTAGGATTGGATGGAAGTAAATTGATTTTTATTACTGGGTATAATGAAAATAATTATTAATTTTCTAATACAATTGATATCAAATAATTAAAATGTATAGTTGGAAAAAGTTGAATAATATTTGTGATTTTTATGATGCTTTTGTATTTAAAAATATATATATCGCTTTTATTATTTGATACACTGTTTTAATTCTTCAAATTGTTTTATAATAAATTTTATTGTTTTATCTATTGTATATATAGCTTAATCTTTGTATTTTTTTATATTAGAAATAATAAAAAATATATACCTATAATACTTAATGTATGTCAAATATTATAAAATTATATCACAATTAAAAATTATATAAATTTAACAATTATCAATTTTTATTATTTATTGAATTATAAAATATATATAATATATATATATATATGAATAAATTGTGTTTAATGATATTAATTTAAGTAGCATTCAGTAATAATAGTGTTATACTTTTTTAATTAAAGAATTAATTAGAACTATATTTTAAATTAAATTACATATTCGAGCTATTTTATCATAAATTATTTTTTATTATTATAATTATATAATTTGAATACTTATATATTAATATATGTTAATAATTTTTATATACATTATATTTAAATTATTGATATTAATATTTATTTAAAATTCAGTTAAACTCATTTTTATTAGTACTATAATAATAAATAAATAAATTTATAGATATACATAAGATATATTCATTAAATAATTATGAGCTTATTTTTCTTAAAAAAAAAATCTAAATAAGATATTAACAAATATTTATATTATTAAATATTTTTTTATATTTTAATATTAAAATATATATCATAGATTTAATTATATTATTTCTAATTAATTTTATATATTATTTAGTGATTGCATATTGAACGAAACAACATTAATACATAATTATATGTTTAACGTATTTATTATTAAAAGTTATATTTTAATTAGTATTATGAAAATAAACTACACTTGCATAGATATCATACTTTTAAAAAAATAATACTATTATCAAGAATATAATTTAAAAAAATATACATTAATAATGTAACGCTTTATCCCATCAAACAAGTTTATGATACAATCATATTTATATTTATATGTCTACGCAAAATGGGTAAGCAATTCACGTAAAAGCTATTATAAGATATATATTATGCTATATTGCATTTTAAAACTGAGGACTAAAAAAACGCACGTATTTTTTAAAAATGCAGTACAAATAAAAGTAGAAGATTGATTAATATATTACAATTCCAAATAGAAAGATATAGTTTAAGATTTTCAACTATTATAAAGTATTTTTTTCTAAGCATAAAATAGAATATGTAAACCTTTAAATGTAAAAACATTTCTAAATTATTTTTACATGTGCTATGCTGTTTCTAAATCAAAACAGTTATATCAATATTTTCATAGAAATAATATGCTAGAAATAGTAGCTATCATTGCTAACCAAAATCTAGCAATTATATTTGTAGAACCAATATTAGCTATTTTTGCTTTATCATCATCGTGTTCATGATGATGATCATCGTGATCATGGTGATGATGTTCGTGTCCATCTTCATGCTCGTGTCCGTGATCGTGTCCATCTTCATCTTCATGTTCTTGTCCGTCTTCATGATCATGATCGTGTCCATGTTCGTGATCATGCTCATCATCATCATCACCATCACCATCACCATCACCATCATCACCATCACAGCCACATCCTTCATCTGGCTCACATTCACCGCATTCCTCACATTCATCACATTCGTCACAATCTTCAAAGTCTTCATCAGGAGGTGCAGGTGGCAGAGGTGATACAAGATCAGTAGAAACAGGCTTAACTTTACCAGGTACAGGACCAATAGTGGATGAACCATCTTCATTAAGAAAATTAACACAAGCGTCGGCTGAAAGTTTAGACTCTGCAATACTAAAAGAACCACTAGTAGCGTAAACATCATATGGATTTTTCGCAGTAAGTAAAATCTATTTAATTTAACATAAAAAAAACAATATCACTATAAAATACAGTATAATCAGGACTTAGGTAGTTAGAAAAGCCTTTATATTAAGAAATACTCACCCAGGAACGACATTATAAGGTATAGGAACGCTAACTTTTCCATTAGAAAAAGTAACATCAGCTGCTAGCTGAAGGTAAAAAGGGGGGGATTCCTTGTCATTAAAAAGAAACACATTAACCTTATCTATAGAAGTGGCACTTCATAATATTAAATATGCTATTATAAACTCAAGATTTATACCTTTCAGTAGTCCATTTAACTTCATGTAAACCGGCTTGCAATTTATCACCAGCTTTAGGATACAAAATTTCAATAGCTTGAAATACGTTACTCTAGATGCAAGCACCAAGAAAAACTCATACCATTTATTAAAGCTATTATAGAAAATAAAAACGTAACAAATAAAAAACCCATTATGAAAAAAAAGTATATTTATTTGTACTCAAATTTTAAAGGTAGCGGGAAGGTGTCCCTTGAATCTTGATAACTTTATATTTTACTAATAGATGATAAAAAAAATATATTTACTAACATTTATTTTTATTAAAAAAGACACGTTTCCGTAAACTTTTTTATTTTTTTTTCAAATTTAGTTTAATCCTAATCCGTTTTAATATAAACTAATATATATTAAAACGAAATAAATAAGTGTCCGATTTTATATCAAAAATACTACATATTATTAATTTTGATGTATACTTAATCTATACATAAAAATATTTATAATTAACTATATTTAAGAGAAATAATGAAAATCTGGTATATTTGTTTCATCACCTATAATTATATGATGGAAATTATAACAAATTAAATCAATATATATATATATAACAAAAATTACACGCGTTAAAATGTAATCTAGATTCAAAAAATTGTGATTTAACCAGATATGTATAATTACTATAACTATTTAACTATAAAAGATTTAATATATAAGTTTTATTCTTTAAATATTATGAATATATATATAATATACATGCAAAACAAAACAGTTTATTCATTTTTTATATCAAGTATTAATTTTTTAAAAATTATTTAACATGAATCAGAAAATTAACGATAATAAAAAAAATTTACTATATACAAAGAGCTTTATAATATGCATAATTTCAGATTCTCACTATTAAATCATTAAATATTTGACTACTCTTAATTATGAATATATTTGCGAACTTATATATGAAGATGTTTATTCTATCATATCATTTTACTAAAATATTCATAATTAAAAAATATTTTTAAAATAATATTTCAAATGATAATATGTATAATTACACAGCATATAGAAAAACATATATCAATAAATAAATAATAATAATAATGTTAACTGCAGGTTATTCCAAATCATTAACATATTTCATAATGAATTTATATATTTATTAGAAATCTTTATTTTTTTTTTTAAAATATTCATATAAATAATATTTATCATTATATATTAAATTTAGCAATTTGCATATTTGTTATAAGTCTCAGATACATACAAGGCATTTCTAATATCATTTCAAAATAATAAGACAGTAATCTAAACACATCATTCAGGTCAATAAGAATTTATATTTACCATCATTTATTAATATTGCATGTGCCATTAAATATGTTTTTTTTTTCTATAATTTTTAATACAAGTAATTTTATGCCAAAATACTTGATGATTATTAACGTCATTAAATTTTTTTTAACAGTAAAAAAAATCTATAATATGATTCTTATTATAAATAAACAATTACAATCTATAGAAATGCATATAAACTATAAGCTAGTATACATATATTTAAATTTATTTTATTACATATAATTTAATAAATAACTAAAGTTTAAAATGTAAACTTCAATGTTGATTCCATTTAAAATACGTCTTTTGAAATAATTACAATTTTCTAGATAGTTTCAATTAAATTAGAAATTCTTTAAATTAATATTATATAGTATTCTTAATTTGAGAAAATCATGCATATTTTAAACATATCATCATTTAATAATTACAAAACAAAAATTTCATAGAAAAATAAGATTATTCAAATATCTTATCACTTAAAACATTTTTTAAAATATTTAATAGATCAATTATTAATATATATATTTCCAAAACAATAACAAAACATTTAATATTATAAAAAAATATGGAACATTTAAAAAAATCATAGAAAATCTAAATCAGTTAAAAATATAAAATATAAAATATTTCAAGAAATATTTAGTTCATATAAAATCGTGAATAATCCATTTATACCTAATAATTTTACTAAATTAAACTAGAATTTAATATACAATTCATCTTTAAATTATTAACATAATCAACATTAAAACAAAACATTATTAAATAACATCACACTAAAAATCCATTAAAAAAGTAAAAAAATCACTATATTAAAGCGAAATACTACATTTTTTTTAAAAAATATTAACAAAAATATCATTGTTTACATTCATCTTTCATTTTAAAATTAATCAAAACTATTAAACAAAAAATGTTTAAATAAATCATTTTAATTTGATCAAGTGTTTAAAAAGAAGAGTTTCAACTTTGATACAATAAAAGTTCATTATAAACATAAAGTTATCACAAAAACTTGATTTTTTCGAAGGTCAACAATAACCAACAATATAATAAAAAATATAATTAACAAAAAAAAAGTAAGAAAAAATCAGGAAAAACAATAACAAGAGAGCTATCTCTGAAACATCACTGCAATTTTTACCTATTACAGTTGGCATTTCATTTACGAAAACAATGTATCTTCATGACACGTTTGACATGGAAATTAATGAAAATGAAATGAAAATGCTATTTAAAAAAAAAAAAATAATAATAGAACTTATAGTAACAGAAGAGAACTATAAGAATGATCTTTTTGTTATAGAGAAGGTCAGTATTTTTTAATATATTATCTAGTATTTATTTTTGAACAAAGATTTATAAAAGAAAAGCAATAGAATATTCTGTATTATCACAGGAAGACATGAAAATTATCTTTTGTAATATTTACGACATATGGCAATTCACAAATAAATTTAGCAAACTTCTAAGAACTGCAGGAAAAAACATTTTAGAAACTAACATTGAATCAAACACTGATTTAAAACACTCGAAAATCTTATACAATAAATTATCTGACACATGGATTGGTAAGGCTTTTAGCCAAATGGTAAAATCCTATTTAACTGTTGACAAAAATATAAAACAACTAATAGATTCCACAAATCGAAAAAATTTATTCGGTATATTGTATAAATCATGACATAAGTTCAGAAAGACTTCAAAAATTGGAACAAAATCTCAGTATTCAAAAATGGATAGAGGTAAATTAATATTAATCATTGGCATATAAATAATATTCTTCTCTAGGAATGCAAGAAAATAAGTAAAGAACAAACCAATGCATGGGATTTAGCAAGCCTTCTAATAAAACCTGTCCAAAGAATACTTAAATACCCATTACTTTTAATGGTATATAATACCAGATTTTTTCTTTTTATATTAATGAAAATTAGCAAATTCTTGATACTACATCGCCAAATCATCCTGATATCATGTTATTAAATCACGCTAATAGAGAAATAACCCTTGTAATAGATAGAATAAATGAAATAAAAAGATGTAAAGATATGGTAAAACACGTAATTTCTGGAAGATCAGATAATAGTGTTAGATATTAAATTCTATAAAAAAGAAAACTGATATTATTTAGATACGTCATGTAATAGTTAAAGGAATCTCTCGAAAAACAGAAAAGGTAATTGAAAAATAAAGTGTTTAAAAAACAAAAAGTTAACATATAAATAGCTTAAACAAACTGTTGGATTAATTGAAACTTATCATGATATCTTTTACGAAAAACTATTTGAAGAATTTCGACGACAACAAATTCAGATTTCAACATTTAAAAGAAAGATTAGAAATTGGTTCAAAGATTTAACAAGCTATCTTCTACATCAAAGTAACCTTGCTTTTACATGTAGTAGTTGTATGATCACTGGAAAAAAATCATTTAATGAAATACAAAAAAAATGGAAAGAATATAAAACACTTATTGATAGAGCATCTAAAGATGGGCTTTGCGAATTAGTAGATGTTTAATTATCTATATTGACTGATATTAACATGAATTAGGAGAAAAATTTAACATATTTTGTTTTCAAACCATTAAAACTATTAAAAAATTTATATAAAATCCCTAACTCTATAATAAAGAAAAGGAATACTAAGATATTAGATTATATCCATATAAAAACTCTGAAAGAAAAAGGAATCTTGCCAAATAAGGCATTAATTCAATCAGCAGATATATATAATGTTATTAATACACAATTAAAAAAAGAATTACCTGATTTTTTACACTATACATCAGAACTATTTAATGAAATAATCATAAGATTGTCATATTGTCAACAGCAATGGTATAAATTTTGGATATTAATACTTAAAAATTGCTTAAAAAATTATGATCCATTAATTGATTTCAATAATATTTCAGATATTTTTTCTAAGAAAAGTATCACTATTAAAACTTTATTTTAAATTTAATATGCTAGAAACATTACTTATTCCATTATCTTTCTCTCAAATATATTCAGTTTGCAAAATAGCTTATTTTTGAAAAACCATTATCGTTTTGAAAAAATATACTAAATATTAAATTTTAAAATACAAATTAATCGATCATTATTCAATTTTTTAAGAGTATAAATAAAAGGTTATGAAAAAAACATCCAGAAATCTATTATATAGTTAAAGTGTCACCAATATTATGATCATTGCTATTCATTGCTTTATTACTAATCAGCTGGATCCTTTAAACAAGCAGTTTCAAAAGATTTATAAAAAGCAATATACAATTTGTATTTTTATTTAACTATATCTCACTTTTCGACAATAAAATGTTCATAATAAAGTTCAAGATCATATTTTTCTATTAAAATAGATATTTATAATTAATATTTAAAATATTTTTTCAGACTAGTAAATAACTTTTATTGTCATTTAAAAATTATAATTTTATAACCAAAAAACATTTAAATTTACGAAATATAAAACGTAAATATATGATTTTTAATTGTTAAAGTTAAAATATTCTAAACTTTTAAATCATTTTGATAAGAAACAAAAATATCAAGGAATACAACAAAAAAATAAAATAAGAATAAAACTAATTTCATAAATACCAATGCATAATTATTATAAATAATAGTACTATTTATAATCAGAAAAATACAAAATATAAAAACTCAATCTACAAATAATCAACTCTTTTAATTATTTTTCATATCATTCTTAAACAATTCCAAAAAAGTTCACGAGGATTACTGCCACTAAGCAACATTATTTCCCTTATAAATTCCTTTAAAATACTATTATCAATATCTTTTATTATAATATTTGCCATTAAATAATAATTGAGTATATTCCTACTTTCTATTGGAGTGTAATTCCCAATTACATAATATTCAACATCATTAACAGCCGAACTAATTCGTTCATCAATATTTTCATAGCTTTTATGCTTCAAAAATCCTAAAGAAACTTCTAATGCTCTATCGGAATTATTAAATGATTTAGAAGTACATGATATTATAGCTCCCCGATCCTTACTATATTAACATATGTTTTAAAAGTAAATAAAATTTTTATACAAAAGAAATTTTTCCATTAAGATAAGTATAAAATGTCCTCATAAGAGCCAAATCGCAGGGATGAATAGCTTTATATTCACTAGATATATATTGAGAAGGTGAACATATAACAGATATATTATCAAAAGTAAACAAAACTGGAGGACAATTCCCAATATTAAGTTCTTTTAAAAATATTTCTAAAATATCATGAGATAATAATAAATTCGAAACCCCTATTTCAAGAAGCTTAGACAAAGGTGTAAACTTAGGAACAATATGATTTCCAGCATAATATTCTTTTGACATAAAAATCTTTTAAAATTTAAATATGTATAACAAAATATCAAAATATTTTACCTTATCTAAAATATTAAAATTAGCCTTTAGAAATTTATCTAACAAAGATGATGTATATTCAGGTTGTCTCCATAAACCCGTTTCCTCATGATAAAAAAATGGAGTAGTATTATTAACAATATCAATACCTTAATGCAATCATTCTAAAATCGCCTTATAATATTTAATATCACCTCTAGGAATAGCCAAAACAATCCATCCTTTCTGAAATGCCAAACACTGCGCTTGAAGCAAACAAAAACTTTTACCTGTGCCCTGATTCCCTATGAGAATTATTCTTCTATCCTTACTTGAAATATTATCATCTAGCAGTTTCCGACCAATATAAACAGAAGACTCTCTTAAAACAACGACAGGATCTTTTGAATGATCAATTCTAGGTTCAAACTGAAATACTCCAAGATTTCTCATTTTCTCTAAAATATTCAAAGGAAAATTAAATAATCTTCCACATAAATCCATTTTATCAATTACAGAAGAATTCAAATTCTCAATACCGATTTCATAAGATTCTTTTTGATCAACCAATGATAATTTAAGTTTTAATGGTGTAAAAATCCTTGGTAAAGATTCATTTAATTTAACATTTGCTTTAAAATTATTCTTAGAAATTTCTTTTTTTTTTTTAAAAGACATGATTCCTTAAAAATAAGAAACAAAAGTTAAAGAATCATTCCTACCTTTTTTTTGATTTTTATTCTTATCAATATAAACTATTATATTAGTATGAATACTTCTTAAAAACGCCTTTTGGAAATATTTAAAGTTATAATTATGAAACTGAAAATTCATTTCTCATGAAATTATAATAATATAAAAGACCCAATTGTATAGCATAATTTATTTCTTTACATAATAGTTAAAATAATTAAATTTTCAAAACCTTTCCGATATTTTTTATACAATCAATTATTACGTTAAATCTTTAATTTATTTTTTAAAACCAAAAAATGCATCAAAACATAAAACCTAGGTAAAATTTTATTGTAGTTATTACATTTTCTAAATATAAAGTTCTACTACAAATAAAAAATCTATTCATTTAGAATTTGATCTTGGGAATTTATCAGCCTTTAATATCAGCTCACTTGATACATATTCTTTAAAAAACAATAAAGAAGAATATATTATGTCCTTTTCGAAGGATAACATACAAATCCTTTTAAATAAAATTTTTTCATTACCAAAAATTATTACACTTAATGGTTCCTTTATTGAATTACCAGAGCCAGTTATATCATTACCTAGAGAAAAACCTGTATTTATTTTGACCAGCAATATCTAAAGCTAATTATTTATCAGATACCAAAATCAAAGCCTGAAACAAAATGGGAAAAATTTGCTAAAGCTAAAGGAATTAAGTCTAAAAGTAAAATAGAAGGAAAAATGATATATGATAGAAATAAAAAGAAATGGGTTCCTAAATGGGGCTATAAAGGAAAAAACAAAGATCTTGAAAATCAATGCATTATTGAAATTAACAATAATAATAATAGGAACTCTAATCAAAGAATTTTAGCAAAATCATTAAGAAAAGAACGTATTAGACGAAATCAAAAACAAAGTATAATAAATTCTAATTCCAACAGAAAACGAATCAAAATTAAAAACCAAAATAGAGAAAAATAAAGCACAGAATTAGACTTAAATTATTATATTACTATTTTAAGTCGCTTCAACTTTTATCATGAAAACTCAAACACTGCTTTTCCTAAAATCTTAATCATCCTAATATTAATACATAGATTAAATTACATTGGCAAATCAATTCATTTATAAATATTAAATAGACATATTTTGATTTTCTAAATCAATAACATTCAACTGTTTTAAATAATAATTTATCTTCGACATTATCGAAAATAAATGCATTTACAGAATTAAACATATTAATAAAATTATATTTAAAATTCTAACCTACATGAAAAATAACTGTACCTTTTTTATTTTTCTTTCTACCTTTCATTTTTAACTCTGTTTTTTCCTTTTCAGCTACAATATTTTTTTTATCTATTAAATCCCAAACATTCCGAGACTTAGAAATGCTTTTTGTATGAAAACATTGAGTAGACTTTTTTTCAATACTGCAAAGAGATGGAAAATTTACTGTATAAGAATTTTCTAAGGAAATTTCGGAATTATTTCTTCCTAACATAAAAAAATCAGGATTAAATAAAAACAAATATATAACAAACCAGTACATAAATTATTTGTTACTTTCGTATATGTTTTCCCTGTCTGATTCTAAAATAAAATAAGCATGTATTATTATCATTACTATTATTTAATACTTTAATTTTCCAATCATTCCATGCAATAAAAAGCTCTTTTTTCTTATCATCATTGCGAATAAGATTAACAATCTGAGACAATACTTTGCCTATTTCTTCTAACTTCTCATTAAATAAAGACCATAAAAACTCCACAAATTGAATAGCAGTTATAGTAGAATTAGAAAACTCTGAAATACCAAACCAAAAGTGCTTAGTTTTTTCAGCATCATTAAACAAACCCGATATATTATTTAATATAACAGAATATTGACTAATAGTTTCAGAAAATAACCATTATTGTAATAAAACAAAATACCTAACAATTTTAGAATCAAAATTAAAAGAACCAGAGAAAAATAAACTATTAAGATTATTTTTATTTAAAAGAGACAATTCTAAAAATCATTAATCCAAATAATAATAATTATTATAATCTTCCCTCTTGATTTAACAGATACTTTACCACCCAGTTCGGGAAATTCCTCATCTTTTAAATTATTCAACACAGAATAATCATATAAATGACAATTACTTGGTCCAGCAACTATAGATTGAATACAAGAATTTATTGATATTGTATCATCTAAAAATGTACCAGAATCCTTCAATTTACGCAATGCATTTTCTTCTTGTCTCTTTAAAGCTCTTTCAGCCCTTGTCATATGCTCATTATAATCCTGTAATTCATTTGAAGTATCAACATTTTTCCCTTTTGCATGTCTAAAATTCTTAGGACAATCAAATATAAGAGACATAGGAATCTTTCTAGCCCCCTTTAGGGCTTTTGAAGATAATTTATTTTTATGTACTTCTAATTGATGAACTTTAAGATCAAATTCTGTACCAAAAACAACAAATTTTTTTTCAAGACATTCAACTTCCAAACATATATAATGATCTCTTCGAAAATGCTGCTCTAAAGAATCATAATTCAAATAATATTGATGTTTTAATTGACCAGCCATCTGATCACACACATGACACCGTTCATGAAGCTCCTGACAATGTTTATAAAGATCATCGTCATCATAAAAGTTCCTTTTACAAAAACCACAATCAGGATGTCCTTTAAAACCTGTTTTAAATCTATTATTTCCAAAGTCACCTTTTTTAATGTGTTCTGCTAAATCATGCTTGGAAAACAATATATGTTCATGTACAAATACTTTTTTGTTCTGAATACAAAGATCGCTAATAAATTAACATATGTGTATATAAATATCAAACATTATACCATAAATATTTTTCATGAATTTTTTTAGCGTGTTTTTTTAAATCTTGCCAATCATTACATACAATATTACAATCAAGTCCTGGACAATTAAAATTTAAAAGAGATAAAACCCTTTCCATCAATTGTAAAGATTCGAAAAATATTCCAAGTTTATTGTTTTTATATAATAACTTTTCTAATTCGAAATCATTATAATTCATTAATCCCTTACTAAAAATAACGTTAGGTTGAAATGTCTATAATACAATAAAATGATATCTCAAAAAAAAAAAAAATACTTTACAATAAGCACAATTCATATTATTATACAGTGCTCGTAAACGAAGTGAACATTTTTGACAAATACGATGATTACATAATGGTATAGATGATTCTGTAAATGATTCCATACAAATAAAACAAATTTCCTAAAAAGCATTAAAATAAATATGCATGCAATAAATCTTACAAACTCATTAAACACAGATTTTTTCTTGAGCATTTCTTTAAAATCTCAATAAGTTATTAATATACAACAATTAAACAATAACCCTTTGAATTTCCCTATATTTTGGCTAAGCTCATAAAGACATATATATATATCTGAGCAAATATAACTTATAAGACGTTTTTTTAACTAATTTTTAAATTTTATTATATACTCTAATATTTTTAGTATATTTTTCTTAAGAATAATTAGATTTGAAGCAAACACTTTTAAAAAAATTTACCTAGCTTAATAACACACGTCTTGTCTCCTATTTTCACTAAATATCATCTAAAATTTTATGATTTAAGAAATTCGTTCTCGGACATCCCGATTTTAAAAACTTGTATTTTCAGCAAAAAAAACCTTTAAAATGATATTAGTAAGTTCAAAGGATACAAAGCAGATAAATTTAATTATTCAAGAGAAATATATTTTGTAAATTTATAGGATTAAATATGCTTTTTATTGCATCTATTGTTTTTATATATTATTCAATATGGACTCTAATAATGGTAGGCTTGCTTTCGTACATCAATATGATCAAAAAATTATTCTAATATTTTAAAGCCTTTTGTTAACAAAGGTAAAGCCAATTAAATATTATCTATATATTTATTCTTTAAGATCATCCGTTGCATAGTTTTTTTCTTCCAAGAGAATGGGCTATCAGAATACCAGTTATCTTACTTTTGACATGTTTTGCAGTTGTTGCGAGCTTTATAGCTTTAGTAATGATTAAAAGCAATTCTTTAAAGTTCAGAAAAAAAAAACTGCATTAATTAATGTCAAAACATATACTTGTCAGTAATAAAACACATTTGTTACTATAATATAGTTGGAATAATCATGTAAATTACATTAATTAGCATAACAAAGTTTAATTATAGATTTTAGTGTATTATTAGGTTCCAAAATACATATATTCTTAAAAATTTATAAAATTTCTATATCATACATTTAGTTTTTTATTATTAATATTCCAGGCATTTGAGTTACAGAACTATATACTTTCAATATAATTTTTCTAATTTTAAAAATATTAATACTTTGTAGATAATATAAAGATATTTTTTATCGTATATTAAAAGTTATTTAAAAATTAACATATATAAAAAACTATAATTAAATCAACTAAATTTCCTAAATAAATACTACCTAATTATATATTCTAAAGTTTTATAGAATCATAATATCTAAAATATATTAAACAAGAATATGTATATTATATATACATATAATTATAAACTTTAGAGATAATATTAAAAACCATTATAATTATTAATATAAAAAATATTAAGCTACTAAGACTATTTATTATTTTACTTTTTAATATTAAAAATATGTACTTTTAATAAATTCAAATATTCAGAATTTGATTATTAATCTTACATTTTAAAATAAAAATCGTATTAAAATAATCTGAACCAACAATCTACTAGCAATTTAATATTGTTAACTTTAGATACTAAATTTTAATAAATATTTAAATTTAAACTCAATTTTTTAAAAAATCATTTTACTAATGTTACAAATTAATTTTATAATTTATAATTAATGAGAATCAAATTATAAATTATAAAAAATACTTATATATATAAAAATAAATCATTTTTAAAACATTTAAATATGCAATTTATTATAGAAGTTACAATTAAATCATAAAATCCATATATTTTGGAATTTTAAAATATCTCAACTAATTTTAATACCAAGACAATTATCTTTCTAGGGTAAAATTACAAAAATATAATAAAATCAAAACTATTTCATATAAAAAATCTAACCTAAATAAAAATTACTCATAAAAAATTTAATTAAATTTAGTTAATTTTCAATTTTTGAACAACTTCTGAAGGCAAAAAATAAGCAGGATTTATTTCCAAAAGACCAGGATATTTAAGAATAGATAAGGAAAGAATGGCAAAACATGTATGAAATATATCCGGCTGTATTTTTGGTCTTTCTGATATACCCCCATTTTCAAAATCCTTTCCTCTTTTAATTTTAAAAACATAACTATAATATACTAACCTGACACGAAAGAATAAAATTTATTAAATATTTATTATTAATCCAATGTGATCTATTTATCATAACAAGAGAGGAAAATACCCACCATGAATAACAAACCTAAAAAATTAACTCATTGTAAAAAATAAAAGAAAAATACGTCTTCTAACTTTTCAGGTCTACCATTTAAACCACCACTTAAAACTTGACGTTCTGATAACCATAAACCTATTAAATCGATATCTATTACATCAAGTCTTTTTAATACGGAAAGTGTTCCTATACAAGAAAGTACTATTTTCTTCAGTTTAATGAAAACTCTTATATCTAATTATACTTACCATGACCTGCATGCGATTCAGCTCCTGGAACTTGACCAAAACCACCATCAAGGTTTTGACATTTAAGAATCCATTCAACAACTTTTTCGATATCAATAGTATCAAGACGATCAATAATTCCTAAACAGCAGACTGCAGAATATGAAAACCTAGTATCGGTTTCATCCCAAAAATATCCTTTAAATGCACCTGTTTCAAGATCTTGAAGAGATGAAATATCTAAAATCAAACTTAAAAAGTAATACAAAATAAATTTCCAAAATACATTTTGCTATTTTATCAAAATTTATTCTATCAAGAGCATCACATACAGCCAAAACTTGAACAGCATAGAAAGTATTCAAAAGATGAGGGTCTGCGCACGAACTTTCGCCAAAGGCCTGAATAATGTCTTAAAATATATAAATCAAATAATATATATATAATGCAAATACCGTCTTCATATTTGCATGACATAACAAAATCAAGAATATCATCTCGAGGTATCAAATCCTTACGACCAAGAACAAATAATGTATTAACTGCCCAATCTATACTCTGTAATTTTCTAGACTCTGTTTCCCAATACTCAGTCAATTTTCTCTCATTAAAGGATAAAATGTATTTTATATGTTTATCTATCAGTAAATCTAACATCTTGAAAATAATAACTTATTTTATGACTCGATTAATCTAAAAATAGTTTTTTAAATATTTTTTAAAATAATATAATTCTTTAGAAAAAATACAATCAACAAACTAACCATATCATTGTTTTTAGTATTTAAAATAACACTAATATTATTTAAAAATTACATAAACATAAACATGATATACAACATTATTAATTTTTTTTAATAAACTTTATATAAGAATGTAAATATTAAAATAGAACTATAAATCAATAAAAAGATATTGTAAAAATTAATAGTTATATTTTTTTAATAATATTTTAAACATCTTTAATATTATAAAAAATTCTAAAAATTATATAATTCAAAATTTATATTAAAATAATAATTTATAACTAGAAACTAAAGACTTTAATATATTAATAATATTTTAAAAATATAAGTAAATAAATTTGCTACAATAATATAAATATAATGATGTATTAATAAACATTTATTAATAATTTTGAAATTTATTAATAAATGCAAAATCAAGTTTCATCTTATCTCAAACATCAAATGTCAATAGTAATAATCTTAAATACAAGTTATAAATCATTTAACATAAACTTTTTATTACTAATATTGAATAATCACCTATTTATTTATAAATATTTGCTAAAATTTAGATATTATTAGACATCCCATTTTTATAGAAAACCAGAAAAAACCAAAATCAATTAAAAATCAAAACTATAAAAGAATATACTACTTTTTTCAAATAAATATATTTTACATAATACATTTATTAATAAATTTAAACTATATTTTAAATATTTGTGATCTAATAATTAATCAAAATTATTGAATATCATGTTCCATTATATATTTGTTTTTATTAAATCTAAATTTTTACTCAATTTTCTCTTTTAAATAAATAAAAATTCCATAAGATTGATCTGTAAACATAAAAAATAGCTATTTTGAAAACACAAAATACATAAATATCACTATATCATTAAACAACTATTTCCTTAATTTAAATCTTCAGTAATAGTAACAGTTGTATAATTTTGATCATCATATTTATTTTGCCAAATATTAATATTCTTCTTACTCTCATCACAAACGTCAAAATCTTGAGAATTCTGGATAGAATTTTCTGAATTTAGAAAGTCACCTATTCGTATTATTTAAAGAAAAACCTCAATAAAAATTAAACCTTGTGTTATCAAAGAAGTAGATTTAATATATTTCTGAATTTCAATATTTATTTTTTCTTTAACCTATGCATAACTTAAATCAAAATTATGGGTTTAATCGCATAAATATATACATTTTTGCTAATCCGTAATCTTTTATCTTTTTCTTGCTTTTTCATGAATTCTTCCACTTTTTTTTGCCGCTCAAGCTTTCTTTTATGAAATCCAGTCAAATATTCCCTAAAAATATAAATTTTTACATTACCAAAATACAAATTACCTTCTTGCTTGAACATTAAAAATAATCTCAATTTTTCTTTTTTTTTTCTATGTAAAATAAATTATATTATTTAATACAAAAACTAATACTAACTTTCATATTAAAAATGTATTTTATAATTTATAATCAAAAATATAAAAACTGCTAAATCCTTTTTTCAAAAAAAAAGACAATTTCACTAAAAATAAATTATCGAAATTTACATTTGATCATATTTAGTAAAATATTAATAAAATATATAAAATCATTAAATTAACTTTAAACCTTTTTAATACTTATAAATAAATAATTCTCTAAAAAATCAAAGAAATCCACAAACAAAAATATTTTTTATATTTAACTATTTAAAAATAACTAGCTAGCTGATGCATATTCTCTTTATCTAAAAAACGTTTAACAATATAATAACAATGCAATAATAAATAAGGGAATCGTGTCATAAAGTATGATAAATAAAGGTCAGGAGGTGGTCCTAAAATTTCTTGAACATGAAGAGGAAGATTCTGGTAATGATTTTTCTAAAAATTAATAAACATCAAAATATTTTATCTTAACCTACTTTGTTTCTTAATATCCTTAAAAGATCCAAAAGTTTTGTTCCATCATATTTCCGAAACCTACCAGAATTTTCTAAAATATGTTTATTTATTTTTTTCAGCCAATTTCTTCCTATAATTTTAAGAACATCTTTTTCTAAAAACTGTAATAATTCAGAAGATGATTGATGTTTTTCGGTTTCAAATCTATCAGATGCATCTATTAAAAAAGATAATTTTTTTTCAGGTGACCAAAAATAAGGATGTTTCACAATAAATTCAGCATCAGGTCTTATTTTATCAATAAACAGTTTAACTTTTTTAAAAACTACCTTTCTTTTGGATCTAAATTCAACATTTTTGATATAAGATCTTTCGCAAGAAAACTTTCATTACCAAGAAAATCTAAATGACTGTAATTTGCAGTACCTTTAACAATATTTCCTTCTCTCAAATAATATTCTCCAAAAGGATGCATACCATTTGTTAAGACATAATAAAACACACATCCCATAGAAAATATATCTATTGCACGCCCAACTTTATGATTTTGAAAAGAATTTAACGAATTTATTTCTAAATCTGATATATCTTGAAATTTATCAACATTCATTTTTTCATAAAACAATTCAGGAGCTCTCCATCCAATGGTACCAGACAATTGTGAAGTAGTTACTTTAAAACTATTTTGATCAAACTCTAATTTTTTACATAAACCAAAATCAGATATCATAATACGAACACGATTCACTTGCTCTCCATCTTTATTATTATCAGAATTTGCATATAAAGGCGCTACAAGAATATTCTGAGGCTTAATATCTCTATGTATTATTTTTAAAGAATGCAAATACTGTATTCCTGAAGCTATTTGATATAAAATATCAGAGACATTCATTGACATTAATAGCCAAGAAAATTCATGAGAGCGCTCAATAATATCATAAAGAGAAGCAGAACAGAGCTCAAGAGCGATATATAAAAATTTATCACTTTTCTGTTTACAATAATAACGAATAACATTTGGATGGCCATCACTCTCCTGTAATAATGTAATTTCACGAAAAGCAACCTCATAAAAATCTAGTAACATCCTTTTTACAGCAACCTTACGACCTTCAAAAGAGCCTTCATAAACTATTGTACCATGACTTCCATATCCTATAATAAGTAAATAAAAATACATTTTTCTATAAAATTATACCTAAAATTTTATTTGTTATTTCTAGAGAATTTATAACCAAAGGAAATTCTATTTTTTCAATTGAATCATATGCTTTAAATTCAAATAAATCTAAACTCGATTTCTCCAAATCATTATTGCGATACTCTATTTGATTTTTAAGGTACTCATTTTCAGACATTTCTTCAGCTGTATCGACATAACTCATATTTTCTATTCCTTTTTTATATTTTTTAGTTTTTCGAACAATCTTTTTACGCTTTTTTAAATGCAACATTTTCATACTCTCATCCTTTGAAAACAAAACATTATCATCATTCAATACAATTTCATTGAAATTTCCAAATACATTCTCATGCTCTTCATTCTTTTTTCTGCCAAAAATAGTAAGAATATTGACTAAAAATTGTTGAATATTCCTTTTTTTTATATATATTATCCATGAGAAAAACTTGAGTTTTAACCAAAATATAAACTGATAAAATTCCCTTCTTTTTCTCCATGAAAAATATATTAGTATGCCAATTGCAAAAAAAATATAAAAAATATAACGATATTTAAAATTATAACTCTTATCTAAAAAATAATCAATTTTTAATGGTTCTAATGAAGAATCAATAGTTAAAATCTGAACTATATCATACGAAATTTTATGAAGACCAATAAGATCCTTATGTAAAGGTAAAATGCCTAGTCTTCCAAAATTCATTGTAGCATTATGCCATTGAGAGAACGATGCCTCTTTTATTAATGGAAATCTTTCTTCCGACAAGGCATACCAATTGCCTATTTGAGTAGTATTAATAAAAACATAACGATTGTAAGTTTTATTAAGCATTTTAAATATAAAATCAGTAGGCTGTTCTACCATTACAAATGTATGCCGATTATCCAATTCAGACTGCCGATAAATTGAAATGGGAGTAAATGATAAAATATCAAAAACTTTAGTAACAGGACTATCTAATTTCTTATACCAAATAATTGAAGAAGTAGTTCCTTTAACAATACGCTGAAATACTGCTCCATTATGTGTTGATAATATATATTTACCATCAAACATTGAAAAATATTTATTTTCAAAGTTAACATTAATAAAACTAGGAACCCATTCGCTATAACTAACATTCCACAGTAACCTATTTCCAGAATATACATTTAATATATAATCTATAAAATTCAGTTATAAAATTATACTATAATAAAATATTTATTTACCTATACGACCTATTTTTAAAATATTTTTATCATTAAGGTCAGAAAAATCACAGTCTTTATCATAGCCTTTTCCAAAAACCTCATTAGAAAAGCAACGAAAAGCATCATTATTTTCATGACCACTACCAAAACTTCGATATATTTTTCCAGTATTAAGATTAACAACAAAAAGTGAAGTTTCCTTTCTTCCAATATAAACTTTATCATCTCCTGGAAAACTATAAGGAGATAACTTTATCAACTGTTTAATATTAAATGGAAATTTCTTTAAAAGTTAGAAAATTCAAAGATTAAAAAACATACATGAATCCCTATTCTAAAATCAAATACATATATAGAACCATCACCAGAAGGTTCCAAAAACCAAAAGAAATCAACATTATTTGAAATACGTTGTATATAATCCTCAGATAAATTATCTTTTTCAGCCAAATTTCTCTCAGATTTCATAATAGAATTTAATCCCTTTATAATCCAATTAATCTCTCCATCATCTCTATTAATACCATAAAGATCACCGTCTGTAGTAACCAGAAGTGCTAGATCTGTAAAACTCAAATCATTTAAATCCTTAGAAATTGAATGTGATTTAAATGGCCATTCAATAGAATTAAAAAACTTATTATAAAAATCTTCATAAATAATGTCCATTACTTTAAAAGTTCTTATAAATAGGAATTTGGAAAATAAAAAAACAATAATATATCTACTTTTGACCCGATTAATTTAAGTTTTCCATAGCCTTCTGAACAAATCTAATAAAAATAATATAAAAAAGATTTGAAATAAAATAAAAATATCAAAAAAAAAAACAATAAACCTATATTTATAATAAATAAATTCCTATATACTTTTTTTCTAACCTTAATTTTTCATGTCGATAAACTCAAAATGTACACATTAAATCAAAAAATAAAATGCTTATATATTTGATTTAAAATATAGAAGATTTCAAAACAATAGTCAATAAACCGTAGAAATATAATACTTAAAAAGTATTCTAATATTAAAATTTATGCCCTATAACAATCCAAATATTACTATTTTATTTATTTAAAAATAGTTTAGATATATTAATAAAATTTAATCACCATATAACCTAATAAATTATAGATTTAATATCCAAATTAAATAATAATAATAATAATAAAACTATTCTACTCATTATATTACATTTTAATTTTTTTAAACGTCAATAATTTCTATTTCATATAATATACAAATAGTTAATATTTATATATTTTAAGATTTCAGAAAAAAAGAAGGCTAACAAATCTATCCTTTATCTGCAATATGAATAAACATTTATAACATTTATTATAGATAAATTTTGAAACATTTAAAATTAATTTTGTTCCAATTTAATATGTAACTTTTTTAAATTCAATATACAATAGAATAAAATATTAAATATCTTAATGATCATCTCTATATCAACGTTGATCTTTAATTTTATTACATATCAAAAAACGCAAACTTTTAAAGTAATTTGAAAATTCTATAAATAAAAGTTAAACAAAAATAACTTACTTATATTCAAATACTTAGACATAAGTTAACGAGTTCTTGGTCTAGGGGTAGATCTAAGAATTGTATCAACTCTAAAAAATATCAAAAAAAATTATATAAATATATATAAAAGAACCGTAGAAGCATTTCCACTACCTCTGATGCATTCGAAAGAATAGATCGCTTTAACTTATAGCTCTCAACAACCCCTGCATCCCTCATATCTGCTATTTCCCCGTTAATGAGATCTAAGCCATATGAAGTCATTCCTGATATAATTAAATAAATAAAAAATGACAAGTTTATAACAATTACCTTTATAATGAACAGAGCGCAATTTAGAAATAAGTTCACTGGAATCAAGTCCCGCATTACTTGCAAGAATTGTAGGTATCATTCGAAGAGCTCGAGCAAAAGCCTCAAGTGCAAAGATTTTTTTTCCAGATTCCTTTGATGCAGCAGCATCTACTGCTTTTGCCATAAGAATTTCAGAGCAACCTCCTCCCAAAACAACTTTAGAATCACTCATAGTTTGTGATAATACTGCTAATGCATCATGAAGAGATCTTTCAGCCTCATCAAGAAGCTGTGATGTTGCACCTCTATTTTCTATTAACTCTGCTATTTAATCCTTAAAATAAAACCACCTAAGGACTATTGTACAAGCTTCACCAGCAGCAACTCCTGAAAATTTAATCATCTAAAAAATATTAATATACTCTAATAATTATTAATATATTTACTTTATCTTCTCCAATAATAATTTCTTCAATTAAATCACATCTTCCTAATTTCACATATTCTGGATGATCAAAAGTTGACGCTATTTCTCCACCAGTAACAAGAGCAAGCCTTTCTATTCCATCAAAATCAGCATGTTCAATAGACATCAATCCAGCATCAGCAAATAGCTGTTCAGGCCAATTATAAATAAGTTGCCGATTTACAAAACAATTAACCCCATGCGCCTTTATTTTTTCAACTTTTGCTTTCATTTTCTCCTAAAATAATAAACATAAAGCATTAATTTTTTTTTTCTCACTCTTTCTGCCCTTTCTAACTCTGCAAGTTTACTAGTAGCATCTACCCTTACCCGTGCACCAAAAATCTTTACTTTATCAGTATCCATAGCTAATAAGTCTTAAACATAAATAAAAAAATATATACTAATATTACGAGTATTTGAAACAAGAATTTTAGCATTTTCAAGCCTTTTAGGTTGATTAACACCAATTTTTTTTTCCAATATAAAACCATCATCCAAATAAGAATCTCTTAACCTCCCTCCAGATTTCTTAATAATTTGAATACTTTCAAGGTTAGTACTTTTGAGCCTAAGCACGGCGTCAACAGCTAATTTCGAAAAATAATCTCGATCTTGAGCAAGAATCTTAGAACTAAGTGTAGTACGAGCTATATTTTCCAAATCCTTCCTAAAAAGTTCACAATTTTCCCTAATATATTTAAAAATAAGTTATATAAAATACAAAAATATACTTATGATCAACAGCAGATTCACACAATGCATTAAGTGCTGTAGTAGTAGCAATACGATACCCATCTATAATTATCTGTGGATGTATTTTAGCATCAATAAGCCTTTCTGCTTCTCTCAAAAGCTCTGCAGCCAAGACAGTAACACTTGTTGTACCATCTCCTACTTCATTGTCTTGAGTTATAGAAACATTTACAAGAGCCTTAGCAGCAGCATTATCAAGTTCAATAGACTTTAAAATAGTTGCACCATCATTAGTAACTATAATTTCACCAGTAGAAGCTGATTGAAGAATTTTATCCTTCAATAATTAAAAAATATAAAAATATTAAAGAAAAATACCATTCCTTTAGGTCCAAGAGTACTCTTCACAAGATCACCAACTAAAAACCATAAGAACTATAAAAAACTATTGTAATTCATTTCAATTCTACCTGCAATAGCACCGACAAAACTTGACTAGAATTTTTATCAAAACTTTAACCTCAAAAAAAAAATCAAAAGAATAACCTACCATTCGAGCATTTTCCCCTCTCTCCTCAGTCGCATTCTCACTAAGAATACGTGACTATAATTAAGATTACTATACTTTATCTTATAAATTCTAGCCTTACCATTTTTTCGAATATTTTTGGATAGAATAAAATTTTGATAAAAAATATTTTTAAATTTATAATATCTAATAAATACATATCATTCCTATATTAACATATTTTCATAGAAAATTCTAATTCTTCCTTTACAACTTTTTCTAAAGAACAAAGCATTTCATCCATTGTACAACAAGGTCGTTGAAGATATTTAGCATGAGCAAGAACAGGAAGACGTCGAAGGGTCCTTCCTGATAATCCCTAATATCAAAATGTTAACGATTTCCTTGCAATTGTATCTAACGAAATATTACTTTACAATCAACAGCTATTCTATATAATCGGGAACTATATGAATTTGGCTGGGAATATAAACTTATAGATGCCTCAGTAAATGAAGGAACCGGTATCTATAATAAAATTATAAAACATTATAATACTTTTTTAAATATACCCCATCTCCAATTAATCCTTTTCGACCTAATTCATTAATACATGACCGAAGAATTGCAAAAATAGCATCTGGATTTGGATCACCAACATATTGTTTTATATCTATACGATCCACGAAAGCAGGATCTAAGTTTATATAAGATATATACATATATATATGGTTGAATTATAACCCATCGCTTCTAGCAAATTAGACGTAGTTAAAATAAAAACATTCTTATGAGGTTTTAATTTATCCAACTGTGTAAGAAGAGAATTGACAACCTAGGAGAATAAATGAGTGGATATCATTAAATATAATGAAATTTAATCCTTACTCTCAGACCATCTGATGGCTCAAGACCAGATGCAGCAGCTTTTCTTGCAGCCGTTAAACTTTCCACTTCATCTAGGGAATTAAAAAATCCAACAGTAATTTAAATATTACCTATAAGAACACAAACAAATGAATCTTCATCTTCAACCATTTCATGAATTTGTTGGAACATTTTACCAACTAATTTCCCACTTTCCGAAAACCATTTTGAAAAAAGTGAATGGGAATTCACTTCAACAATCTGATTAAAATAAGCTTATTCATCATAAATATAGGTATGTTTATCGCACTCTTCCTCTAGGGAATTTATTAGAAAGCCTAATTGAAAGTTTTTGTGCTAATGCTCTACCTAATCTTTATTAACTAATAAAAATATATTGCTAAATATCTTACATAAAGATGTTTTTCCTGTTCCCGGAGGACCATGCAAAAGAATTAACCTAATATTGTTATAAAAAAGCATCTTTTTAATTTAAATACCTATTCCATGTAACAATATTAAAGTTAACATCTTTGTCAGAAAAAAGCATAACGGTATGAATAAAATGCAATAAATTATTTTTGATATTATCCTCGAATATGAGACTATATTTTAGACTAATTATTTTTTAAAAAGTTATATCTACTTATCCCAAAGTCCTTCTAAAGATAAAGATGGTAATTCAGTTACTATAGCCATTGGTCCATCTTCCAAATCTTGATCATCAAAATTATTAGTAAAAGGTAAACTATTGTTGAGCTGGTATATATGAACATCAAGATCAACTTCATCTAAATAAAGGATTTCTTTATTAGATCCTATAAACCATTAATGCGCATGTATCTCATACAATCATTCATACCTGAAACTTCAACAACTAAAAAGAATAAATATTACATTTTAAAGAAAAAAAACAATAAAATTACCTCTGATTTGTTCAATATGCTTCATTAAAAGTGGCTCATCTTCAAAATTACGAAATTCAGTATTTAAAGTCAATGAAGAAAAGTTTTCAAGAAGAAACAAACGAACATGATGTGAAGCTGTATCAAATCTACACGTGCTCTTTCAAATATTTAATCTCGTATCTAAAATATATTTAGAATTAAACCTTTTCCTTTAAAGAGCATTCAACTAAATATAATCAGAATAATGTCATAAAATACAAGATACAATATACTATGAAGCAAAGGCTTGTGAATAATAGGCTTTTTAAGCTCCTCTTCATATTTATTAATCCCTGATTCTTCCATTTTTCCTATTTAAATTCTTCAGAATTATTAAAAAACTCTTTAAAAACATCTTAATTACATTTATTATTACATAAAATTAGGAATTTGAATCTCTTTACCCCATATATGCATATGCTAATACGTCATTTCAAGATTTTAAAATATCACCTATTTTACAGATACCGTAGATAAAAGCAAGAGCTTATCGATTAAATTGATAAGCGTTTCGTGATATGTAAAAGATATATTCAGAGATAATAGAAAAACAGAGAACATTTAGCACATAATTTATTAAAAAACAAAAAATATGAATGAAGAATTCTATATCTTTATAAAGATTTATTTAAAAATTCTTAAAAAACGTTTTTCAAAAAAAAACTATATAAAGGGAATTAAACAATATATAAATAAATATTAAAATCAAGACAATATAAAATAGATAGATAAAGTTTATCTTTAATGGTTAATAAATAAAAAATGCAAACTTTTATATTTTTCAGAGTAATATTTTTAAAATATTACAAAATAACAAGAAGAATTGTAAATAAATAAATAAATATATATATAAAGATTTCATTAGATATAGAAATATTTAAATTTTATTATTTCAGAAAAATTTAATATAATATTTTTTTAAATATAAGCAGAATCTTTTTATATACTGGATTACGAACATCTTTATAAATTAATCAATCTTAGGAAATTATTTATGAAATAATGTATTAATATTAAAAGAATTGTTATTTAAAGAAGAGAACAAAATAAATTGGAGTAATTTTTTTAAAAAATAAAGATGTTTTTTAAAATACTTTCATTATCTAGAAAAAAACTGCCAAAAAACATTTATAAATTTAGAAAATTTCAATTTAAAGCTAAAGATATTCCTCAAGAATTGATAAATAAATACAAAGGTAAATTAGAAGAAAAAATGAAAAAGTATATAAATGTTTTTTTTGAATAATTTTTATTAAAAGATTAAAGAGAAAATCTTTCTTCTATTGAGGAACTTTTTAAAAAATATACTATAAAATCAAATAAAGAAAATACAAAAACAATTTCTGAATCAAATTTTATACAAAAAAATAAAAACTTAACTCAGACTAATACTAAAATATTAAAAAATGAGAAAAAAGACCAAATTAAAACATTATCATTTTATATTAATGTCGAAAAAATACGATCATACAATGTTAAAAAAATAGAATCAATTTGGAAAGCTTGTCATTCTCAAGATGATCATAGCCTTTGTGGATTAATACCTTCTCAAAAATTTGAGATAATGGAAAAAAATGCAAAAAGATACAATATGGTGGCTAATTAAATTATAAACTTAATTTTTTAATAATATATCTAGTTTATTCTTCCTATAAATCATGAACAGGGTATAGAAATACATTTTCTTCAATGGTTCTTTGTAAATAATTTTACTAAATACATACTTATTACTTCCCTTTTAGAATATAAAGTTAGAGGAGAGTTTGCAAGACCACATACATTTTTATATTATTATACAGACCTATCTTCAGACAAAAATATAGTATTAATGAAGGGAGAACTTGAGAAAAATAGAGGAATAACGATGAATGACCTTAGAATAATAATATTTCAGATTGAAATTTTCTTTTCTGCAATTGAAGGCAATCAAGAAGACCAGCTTAAATTAGAACTTCTAGAAAAATTTAATACTGGAAAAGATTTTAATATATCTACTTTAATTAACGAGTGTAATAAGCTAAACTAAATATTAATATACTAAACTAATAAAATGTATCTAAAAGCTATATATAACCCATTTATTCAACAAGTATGAATAATAAAACAAACACAACGAATATAAAAGTAACTATATGATTCAAAATTAATAAATATTTGAAATATTATTATAAAAATTATCAATTATATTTTTCCGAGCTAAATATCCTTTTTTTATATTTAATTTGATGTTTTCTGATACTTTTTTATGTTTTTTGACACCATTCAAATGATTAACAAATCTTTTATTGCAACCATTTCGAAAAAAAAAATAATTCTCAATATTAAGCTTTTTATCATAACGAACCATATTCAATGCTTCTATAATTTTATTTATATTGCCCTTAAAGTCTTGCACATAATCATTTATATTCAATTCATAAGTTATTAACTTATTTATAATTATTTGAACAATATCCATCAGTAAACTTAAAGTTTTTTTATGATGTTGAGGCAATTTTCTTTTCCATTTCGATTTATAAAAGCATTTATTATAAACATCATCATTGCATTCTATATCGGAATTATTTAATTGAGAATCATAATCACCTTGGCTTGAAAGTTCTAAAAATTGCTCTGTAGAATCAAGATTAATGAATGCCTTATCCAAGTCAGTTTCAGAAAAATCCTTAATATCATCAATTTTTATTCCAGACAATAAACCATAACCATTCAAAATATTATAAAAATTATTAGGATTTACTAGAATAATGAATTATTTTAATGAAAATGTAAAACTTACCATATTCGTCGAAAACATCATTTTTCTTACACATATTTAAAGAATTAATAGCAGAATCATTAACACAAGGAAACGACTCATCATTTGTAGCAATAAAAACATCATCAAAGTTCTTAGGTATTTCATATGAAAAATTGTTAGATATGGAATTTTTAAAATCCTTTTCAATCTTTGTTTTACTCTCATCAATTGCAATAAAGTCCTAAAATGATAAGATTTCTATATTTAATAACAAAATATTTTACTTTAGGGTATAAATACTTCTATTTTATCTTAATGAAAACATAAATAATAAAATCTAAAACATACCATGTTGACATCTTTTATATTTTCATTTACCACAGATAATTTTGAAACATCAATTTCAGAATCACATAAAAATTTATTTCCAGATACTTTTATTTTAGATAAATTATCCAGCTTTTTATAATTATTTTCTGTTTTACATATATTATTTAAAGGACCATCCTTGCTCCATACTATAATTTGAGGTTCAGACTGAGAATATTCATCCATAAGCTCAATGTTCATTTTATCATCTTTCCGAATATCATTACATACTCCATTATTTTTTTTATACAATGAATTTTCAATTAAAGTAGAATCCTTTTTTTTTTCAGATTGAAGAGTTTTAATTGAAAATGATTCACAATTATCCTTGATATCTTCTTGACATTTTAAAGAGTGAACTTTAAATTCATCTGGGGTATTTTTTTCTAATATTAAATCCATCATAGCATCATCAGGCCCCGATAATTCACTAGAATCACTGAAATATGATAATTCACTTAAACTACTAGAATCTGATAATTCACTCAAATCATTTTTAACATCCTTAGGAATTTTCTTAGATGGTTTTAAAGAATACTTATTTGATTGAGGCAATTTTTCTTTAATCAGAGATTCTTTATTATTAGACATCTTGTCCTGATGCAACATATTTTTGGCAATAGTTTTATCAGTTTTTTTGAGTCTTTTTGTATTTTTATTTCTCAAAAAATCATCAGGAATAATATCATAATCAGTAGCAGACGAATAATCATTCGTAGCTGAATCCTTATCAGAATACCTCTTATTTGTTTCTTGTGATTTATTTTTAATTTTGCATTTTTTTTGAGGAGCATGAGTAGGAAAATTAGATTTTAACATATATTTTTTCTTAGATCTTGACTTATTAATTTGTGACCTATTAAAACGAAATGCTCCATCAAAAGGGAAATCATATATATCCATATTAATATTTTCATTAGCATTCTTTTTTTGTTTTATACTAGAATTGGCATTCTTATCTACTTTTGAAATTTCATCCAAAGGTGGTAAAATATTTGTTAATTCTTTCAAACCTTCAGACTTTTTCTTCATCTTTTCAGGTAATTTAATATCTCTTGATACATTTTTGTTATTGTTTTCTAAAGTAACCAAAGAAAATAAGTCCTTTACTTGTGTAGAAACCCTTAAAAAAGGCTTATTTTCGGTCTTTTTGGACTTTTCAAGAGAAGAATTTGTAACCGATGAACAATTATTATTAGCTAGATGACAAAAATCAACAGACTGTTGATGTTCCACTTCCTTAGTTTCATCAAAATCAATAGAAGACGCTTTTTTCTAAAAAAATATAAATATTAATCTAGTTATAATAATCACTAACATTCTCCGTATCTTCATTAGCATCTAAAAACTTAGAATTTTCAAATTTATTTTCCTGAAATGAATTTTCCTCAACAATATTAATATTTTTATCTATATCCATGTCAATTATCCGTTGTTGGGAGAAGAAATCATCTGAATGACAAATATTACTTTCTTGAAACCTCAAACTAATAGGACATTCTATCATACTGCACTTAATCTTAGCACCTAAATTCATATTTCTCTTTATTCTTTTAACTATTTCTTGAATTATTATGCCAGTTTCAGGCTTATCATCAAAATAAAATTCTATTATATCAAAAGAATTAAATTCATCACCTATAATAGAATCATTGTCTAGAATTTCCTTTAACCTTAAAACAATTTGACTATCAGATTCTCGAATTTCTTCAATATTCTTTAAAGCTATATCTAATAATTTTTTCTCATTTTTTGAATCAACGATAACACTAGTAATAAAGTTATGAGAAAGATGTACGTATAAAATTCCATTATTATCAGGAGAATTAAACATACTTTCTCCAAATTTTAAATAAATGCATTCAAATGTTAAAGGTCTGGTAATAATTAGTAAAAAATCAAAAATAAATTAGACAAAATATTACGAGGAACTACAGTTTCTTTCAATGTTTAAGGATGTTAACCACTTAGGAGAGTATACCCAGCCCGAATTTTGCATCTCAAAAAATTCAGCCTTTAAATCCTCAGAAAGACTGTTTAAAGAAAAAAACAAATCAAATCTTCTATTGTAAAATTCCAATGGAGAATTTCTTGGAGGCAAAAGCTCATGAACAAGCTCTGCAGAAAGCTCCTGTATTTTAAAATCATCAGAAACTAAAATAGACCTTCCAATTTCCTTTCTATAACTAATAAGAATATAAATCAATATACAGGAATATTACAAATTAAAAAATTGATTTTTATCCATAATTGTTTGCTTATTTTTAACATTTTTTTTAATTAAACGATTAACAATAGCTAATGCCTAAAATATTAAGTATTTTTTAAGGAAAAAAAATACTTACCATTCTTCTTAAACAAATATTCTCCAAAGCATCGCAGGATGTATTTAAAAGATTTATAATAAAACTTGAATGAGCATCATTTTTTGAATCTATTAAAATCGTTAACATTCAATTCTATAATAAATTTAAAAATAACCAGGATAATTATATAACCATATCTATGATCATTTAAAAAAAAATAAAAAATATAGAAAAATATAAAAATACCAAAATAATTCTAAGAAGCTTTAATTTTAGATAATAATTATCAATTTTGTATGCTGTTCTAGCAAGTGTTTCCAAGAAAATATAATCCAACTCTAAAAACACCTTATCTTCATAAATTCCCGAAAGAAAACATTCAAAACTGTTGATCAATTGATCAAAGCCCTAAGAAAATATTAAAAATACCATATCAAATAGCATATTTAAATTACAGGAATTGTTTCTTGAGAAAATTTATCTACAAAGTCTAAATCATCCAAAAGACCACTCAAACTATCAAATTTAAAGCCATCATCTCTAATATATTAATATATGCGTACAAATTAGAAATAAAATTAGACCTAGATAACAAGATTTTTAACTCGTTTTTTGAATTCTCATTAAACGTAGAAAAACAATCTATCAATGTTTCAATAAACTTTGAAACCTTAATATCCATGCTTTTTTAAAGCTCTTAGAGGCTTCAACACACGTCTTAAATATATTATTTAAATATTTAATTTTAATAAATTTTTTGAAACCTGAGTACGCGAGATCTCAAGAAAAACCTTAAAATCCTAATAAAAATTAAAATCTATGTTATATATACATTACATTAAAAGCTTAGAAGCAATTCATCATAAATATACATAATTTAACTTATTTAGTATATAATTTAAAAATTATTTATTAATTTTTTTAAAATAATCTAAATAAACAATCCTTTAAAAATTTTAAATTAAAAAACATAATATTTTCTTTTAATATTACGGAAAATATCTTCAAAAGATTTAATATCTAATTTTTTTAGAATTCAATTTCATTTAGTATTTTATATGTTTCGTACAAAATTTCAAGACAATATTTTATATCATTTATATATAATTAAAAATCTATCTTATTAAATATTTAGAAAAAGAATAATTGTATTTAAATTCATTATCAAGAACTATCCTTTATATACATCAATTCAATTCTAATATATATTCTAATAATTGGTATTTCCTCCGTCTATCGTTATTAAAAGACCCTTAAAAAATACAAAAAAAAAAATTAATAACATATTCTATACTTTTAAAGCGCCTGTTTTAATGTCATTTAAAATCGGAATACTATTAGGAACTAAATTTCAGAGAAAGAATTGGATGTAATACTAAAATAAAAAAACTATACTTATTTAAAAATATTTTTTAAATGGGTTGTCATAGCAACCTATGTTTATTTTTAAATAAAAAATGATAGAATCGGAGGATCTCTTAAAAGACAAATAAAAAAATGATAAGTGGAAGGAGAATACGGCCGCCTATCACACAGAGAGGATCATCTCTATCCATGCAGTCATTATCGAGTTCTACGTCTTCAATTCCTAGTAATGAACCATCATCTCCAAATCAGAAATCACATGAAAAAAAAGCATCACAAGTGCAATTATCAGAACCAATACCTATTATAACAAAGAAAAAGAAGTCATACGAGAATAACAATGAGATAAACAATGGAGAAACAAACATCCAGGTAGTAGTAAGATGTCGTGGACGAAGTAAACGAGAAATACGGGAAAATAGTTGTAGTATTGTTTCAACAGAAGGACCTCGTGGGAGAGAAGTATGTGTTCAAACTAGTCCTTTATCGCAAATGAATACAAGGACATATACGTTTGATCGTGTTTTTGGACCAGAAGCAGATCAAGCAATGATATTTGATGACGTTGTTCTTCCGATACTTAGAGAGGTTATAAATTTCTACTTTAAATACATATCTAAGGACCAATTAGGTTTTGGATGGTTACAATTGTACTATATTTGCGTACGGACAGACTGGAACAGGGAAAACGTAAGTATTTTTATTTATCTTAAGATAATTAATTTTTTAGCTATACTATGACGGGTGATATGTCAGATAATTATGGTATCCTTTCAGATACCTCTGGAATAATACCAAGAACACTTTATCGCTTATTTAGTATTCTTGAGACAGAAAACACAGAATATTCAGTTAAATGTTCATTTATTGAACTTTATAATGAAGAACTTCATGATTTGTTATCGATCGAAGATAAAAAAGTAAAAATTTTTGAAGATACAGTGAAGAAAGGAATAGTAATAAGTGGCATGGAGGATATTCCTATCACAAATTCATCAGATGGAATAAAATTACTTCAAATGGGAAGCCATAAACGCCAAGTTGCAGCAACAAAATGTAATGATCTTTCGAGTCGTTCGCATTCTATTTTTACGATTACTATGCATATTAAAGATATTACAGAATTTGGAGAAGATCTTTTGAGAGTAGGAAAGCTTAATTTAGTAGATCTTGCTGGCTCAGAAAACATTGGGCGTTCAGGTGCAGAAAATAAACGTGCTCGTGAAGCAGGAATGATAAATCAAAGCCTTTTGACACTCGGAAGAGTAATAAATTCCTTGGTAGACAAATCGCAACATATTCCATATCGGTAATACTATTAATTTAATGTTCATTAATTTAAATAAATTGTAGTGAATCAAAATTAACACGTCTTTTACAAGATTCATTAGGTGGAAGAACTAAAACATGCATTATTGCAACTATAAGTCCTGAAAAGATTAATCTGGAAGAAACAATAAGTACATTAGAATATGCAAATCGAGCAAAAAGTATCAAAAACAAGCCTCAAGTTAATCAGATGATGACAAAGAAAACGCTTATTAAAGAATATATTCAAGATATAGAAAGACTAAAAAATGACTTAAATGTAATTCTTGAACTATTTACAATTTTTTTTAATGCTTTATAGGCATGTCGTCAAAAAACAGGCATTTATCTTGCAGAAAGCTCATATAAAGAACTCACAGAAGAGAATCAATCTAATAAAGCGTTGGTAGAAGAGCAACAACGAAAGATAGATGCTTTGGAATCATCATTAAGATCAACTCGAGAACAATTTGAGCAAAACATGAAGCTTTTCATACAAACCAAAAAGGATTTAGAAAAAACATCTGTAAACATATTATTTATTATTTATTTGCATCTAACGAAAATAAGAAAACCTTGGAAGACACGAAAAATACCTTAAAAAAAACAGAAGTTGATCTTGTAGATACTAAACAACATTTAAATGAAGAAACTGTTCTTAGGAAAGCTCATCAAGCTACGGAATGGGAACTTGATATTATAGCAAATGAACTTCATTCTACTCTTAAAAAAACAATTGTTGATATTAATAATTTACATGAAAAAATTGGTTAGCTATTAATAAAAATATATTTAAATAAACTTACTTTTTATTAGAACGCAAGACAGACATTGAATCTTCAAATAAAATATTATGGAATGAAACAAAATCTCATATAATTAGATTTATGGAAGATCTCGATAATAATATAACTAAATATCATTTATTTCAATTTCAATATTCAGATAAACTAGAAAATGAAATTACAGAATTCGTTACAAAAGAAGTAGAACATATTGATGATAATTTCCAATTCATAGATCAACAACTTTTGAGCTTTGAAAATAGGCATGCTGAAATTTCTAATGAAATAAATGCAGCAAAATATGAAACAAATAGCTTTTTGGAAGAAATCAAGAAACTTAAAGAAAAAATCAAATTAAGACTCAAAGATGGGTTTAAAAACATGAGAAAAACAACAGAAAAAATTTCGGAGGAAGTTTTTGGGGAAATGGTAAAATTTCAACAACAGGTAGTATACATATATTTATATTATTGATTATATAATAATTAAAACATAGATCCATAATTCATATAGCCAATTGGGACATGATATGAAATCCGTATTTGATGATACTGAAAAGCACATTACTACACAAGCGACAGAGATTCAAAATTTAAAATCAGATATTTTAGGATTATCTCAATCTATAAAAAATAAAATATTTCAGATATCTGATCACTTTAAAAAATCATTATCTGAAGAACAAAAGAAAAGTTCAGAAGAGAAAATAGAATTGTTAAATCATATATCTTGTCTTATTAATAGTTTTTTTGAAAAACAAAACGAACGACAAATTGCTCAATTTGATTATACTCAATCAAGTATAGATGACGTATCTACAAGTATTGATGAAATGGTTTCTACTTTTTCTAAAAAAATTGATATTTGGTCTGCAAAAGAAGGTCTTTTTGTCAAGAAATTAACGAACTCAAAAGAGGATATTAAAAACAATGTCATATTATCAGCAAAAGTATTACTAATATATTAGTAAAATTAGTGTTAATAACTATAGAATTCTGACGGAAAAGGCGCAGCTATTCAAGACAATATTCAAGCAATTTATTCAGAAATTCTACAGCTAATTGATGCTCAAATGCAAGACGTAAATACTCAAATACATGTTTTCGATAACGTTATCACTAAAGGTAACCATTTAAGTGAATAACATTATATATTAATATATAATATAGCACATTCGCAGAACTCTCTTCATTATAGTGCATATATACAAAATAATGATTCTATATTTGATGATATTAAGAATTCCTATCAAAAATTAAAAGTAAAAGTAAATGATATTAAAGAAGATATTGATAAACATTCATATTTTGTTAATGATTTAACCAAAAATCAAAAATCGGAAAACGATTTTCATAAAGACTCTATTATTTCTCAAATAACAGCCAGTCATAATAAGATTTTATCAGCATCCATAAAAAATGAAGTTTTAACAGGTAAAACACCAAAAAAATGCAACTACGAATATCCAGCTTCATGGAAGCTTACAAAACCCCATGAGGAAATACTTAAACAATTAAGAAAAGGGCCTCTTTCGGAAATTGATACAAATATAGTTTCTGTTGAAAATTCCAAATATCTGGAATCTAAAGATTTGGAAAATAATACTGTAGAAGAAAAATCCAGCGGATTATGCGTCGAAATACATTCTAATTCAAGCGAGAAACTATGTAATGTAAATGCAAAACCATCAACGAATGTAGAGAATCATGAAGATGAATTTAAATCAAAAATTCGAAAACGTACCTACCAAATGGTTTAATATAATATAGTTATAATACATAATCCTAAAGCATTAAAGGCTACAATGTATAATGCTTCAGTTAACTGGACATAGTAGTTTATCTTGAATTTTTAAATATATAACTTATTTCTACCATACAATATTATATTTAAGAAATTAAGTCATTATTATAATCTGTTTATATAATACAATATCTCTTTCAATGTCCATGAACACTATAAAGTATATTCGATATAAAAGACATTGCTGCAATCAGAATACCGAAAATAGTTAATAATATACTAGCCATTTTTGAATACCATATTTTTGAAAATCTTAATTTATTTAATAAAGTGCGTCTATCACCCTCAATTTCTTGATTATCCTGATCATCTTTACTATATAAAATATCATCATAATATGCTAATTTGCTGTAGTATAATCCTGGAAGAATAAAGGAAGTTGCTGTTGATCCTATAGACCCAACATATGATAAAACTCTTTCGAAAGAACGTATAGACATAGCAAGAACGTATGAAGATATAATAATTATACAAGTGAGTACATTAAATCGCAAATTACTAATTATATTAGCAAATTTATAAATAAAAAATAAAAACCTCATTTCGGATGTAATTCTATCAATAGGTTTGCGGGATTTAGGATTCCAAGATAAAGCATAATCCAAATTTACACGACATGGATAACCTTGGAGAGGATATGAGAACATAATAACAACAATAACAGCAACCCTTGCGATAGTCGTAACAACAGAATATTCATCTATTACATTTAGAAAAGAAAAAATAGATTTCATGGAAACAAACATCCTAAAATGATATTTTCTGGAGAACGAATACCTAAAGATACATTAAATAACAAAATTCATAATATATATTAATAATACCAAAGGTAAGATAACCTAATATTGCTAATAGAAGAAAAAGAGATGAAGATAAGCCAATAGAAGTAAAGATAACTTTAACAATATTTTTTTTGCTGTTATCACGGATCTCATTAACAATAGTAAACATCTAAAAATAATAAGCAGATATTAAAAATTTCAAAGATCATACATTCTCATGACAATTATAAGCAAATATAAAAACGGATATTGAGGATAATATAGCATTAATTCCTTTCCCTTTAAATAAATATGCCTCTACATCAGAATTCCAAACATTCCTCTGAAAAAAATATTTAATAACAATTACTGTTAAATAGCTAATAGAGAAGAGAGAAACAATAGAAATATAACGTAAAGAGTCAAGACGACGAAGAAACATAAAAGGAGTTATAATAGCCCTACAATTTTAGTCATAAATATTAAAAGTAATAAAAAAATACATAAATATTGTAATCCATAAATGTCTACTAAGTAAAAAAGACGTATTCGGCAAATCTGACTTGATCATCCGTATAACTTGTGGCATAACATCTCCAATCAAAATTAAATATGTTACTGTTACGCCAAAACATTTAATCGCTATTATTGCATCAAACTAGATAAAATTAATACCACTATTTCATCTATATAAAATATCATTACAAGAAATGAAACTGAAGGAAACGTCATATCTGTTATTTTATGAAATGATGCTTCTCCACGTTTCAGTTTTAATGCACAACGCGCAAGAAAATAAAGTCCAAATCCACTTGTTGTTGCCGATATAATAATAATAATAATACCTCCTACAACACCCGTTGATGACATAGCATAAGGCATAGCTAAAAACCCCATTAAACCTTTATCCCTCTACTCAAAACTCCTTCTTCTTACCCAATACTCCTGCACCTTAACAAATGTCAGTTAAATAATTATCTAAGATATATATTACCAACAATAGTGTTCAGAAGATTACAAACTGACGACCTAAATATCTTAGAAATCTCTTCTAAATTATATAATCACACATACATAAAACTTGCCGATCCCAGATTATCTGGTTTATTTTGACTATGAGTGTCTATCAAGCTAAGAGAGTCACTTTTTCGACTGTTTTTCTCTTGAGAAAGCATATTTCCAACCACCTTATGCTTATTTCTCTTAATCTAAAATTTAAATATTATGTTTCTTAAATAAATATTAGTCGAATATATAAAAAAAGATAAAAAGTTAGGTTAAGACCAGAGTTTTAATATAGATATAATAAACCTGTATTGTATTTGAAAAAGAAATGTATATAAAAGTGTAAAAGTGTAGTGAAAGTAATAAAAATGAAGAAAAAGTGCCATATGAAAAAGTTAATATAAATGATTTTGTTTTAAAAAAGTAGAGATAGATTCAAAATAACCAGGCTGAATGATCTAAAGATAATGAGAAAAGAATAGAATAAAGAAAGAAAAATACAGTGTCATTATGTTTACCATCTTGAAAAATTTTAAGAATTTTTTTAGTGTTAGAAAGTTGATAAAGAGAATACATGTGATGAAAAGGTACTATTTCGTCTTTTTTTCCTGAAAGAAAAAGGATTGGAATGTCAGTTATAGAAGAGATTAACTTTTCAGAAGACCAATATTGATGAAGTAGTCCTTTAATTAAATACATATAAGGCATTGTACTATAAAAATCAGTAAAAATAAGCAAAAAAAGAGTAATAATATACTCTAATACAAGCCTGGGGATTGAAAGAAAAGTATTTTCAACGATTAATGCAGAATACTATAAAAATATTAATTGTTAAAAATAATTATGGTATTATAAACCTTATCCTGATGTGCAGAAACACTTTGAATAGCAATAGCACCACCAAGAGATTGTCCATATGCAATAATTGATGTTTTTGAAAGTATTGGATGTTGATGAACATAATTAAGAACTGTTAAAGAATCAATTTTAATGCCCTTTTCTGAAGGAAATCCAGTGCTATAACCATATCTAAGATTATAAACATCATAGTATCCAAATATCAAAAAAAAAACCCTCTATAAGAAAAAATCAAGACATTACATTGTACATCATAATAAAGACGTTTAACAATAGGAAGACGATGTCCCTAAGATAATGAATAAAAGACAAAGTAATATTCAAGTTAAAGAAAATACCATATTGCCTGCATTTGCATGAAAATAAATAAAGGTTGGATGTGAATCATTATGAATTAAAAGATATGCATGAAGTGAAATACCATCTGGTGTAGAAAGTCTAACCTCTTCATAAGGAATTTGATAAGCATCAGGTCGTTCTACTCGAGTACGAGAATCCATAGGAACCCATGATAGATATATAAAACGAAATTGTAAATAATAAATAGCAAAAAAAGTAAAGGTTATAACTATATATAATAAGTTAATTTTTTTAAAAGAAAAACTTACTGCCAATAAAAATGCTAATACTAATATTTATTAAATTCATTTTAATAAAAATAATCTTTTAAACATATTTATATATACACAATCTAATTTTATAAGAAAACCTATTTATTTGAATCATAAAGAAAATAATTGATTAAAAATAGATATCAAGAATCAAATAAAAAATGTAATTAAAACATTTAACATAAATTATTTTTTTTTTTAAGAAATTATATTATGTTTAAAATTACAAGATAATTGTTTATTATCTATCTATATATAACATTTTAAATATTGAAAAACATGAAATCTATATTTAAATATAATCAATAACATTTTTACAATACTATTTGAAAAATAAATACATATGTTTAAATCAATTAGATAAAATTCTTATTTTTTTTTCAAATTTTAAAAATATTTAAAGAATAAGAAAGATATATTAATCTATAATAATAAATTAGATGTAAATAGATAGAATCTATCATCTAATCATAATATAAAAAAAATGAAAAAGAAAATATCTTTTTAATCATAAAAATAATCATATTCATTCAATATTTAAATATATTACTAAAAAAATTGCAATTCATTTTTTATAATATTTTTTAAAAAACTAAAGATAAAACCTTTTATTATATTCTTATTAAACTTCAAAATTTATAAAATTAAGTTAAAAAAAACAAAATATTATTCTGAATTTTCATTAATTATAATTTTTCATTAATTAACATAAAATTCGCTTATTTCAAAACCAATTTATATATATTAACCTAAATTACTAAACAAAAACTCCTAATTTTATACACAAATAACATTATTTCTCATTTTTCCTATAAAAACAATTATTTTAAAGCTTATCTTAATACTTTCATAATAATATGTAAAACATCTATATCTATATCTTTATCTTTTTATTTAAAAAAAATCAATTTATTATAAATATATACTAATCAAAAATCTAAAAAACATTAAAAACAAAGGAACTATAAACATCAAACAATTGAATATATCATAAATTTTATATTATTTTTAACCATTATAACCCAGGCTATAATTTCTACGAGACGATATACATATTAAAGCAAAATATCAGGAAACTATGTTAAACACCAAGACCAATATAAATAAACAAAAGGTATGAATACAGAATGAATAAATCATCTAAATTATTTAGAAAGAAGAGATACAATTAGGAACAACCATTGCTGCAATCAAATTTATAGATGGAGTGATTATTGCAGCAGATTCTCGCACAACAATGGGGCAAACAATTGTCAATAGAGTATCAGACAAACTTACAAAGCTTTATGAAAAAATTTGGTGTTGTCGTTCGGGCTCAGCAGCTGGTAAAAAACTTTTTTTTTACTATTATACCACTTATTATATTAGACACACAAGCAGTCGCAGATGTACTACGTTATCATTTATCTCTCTATGCGTAAAAGAAATACATATTTTTCATTTGGTAACTCCTTGTAGAATCCAAAATAATAGACCTCCTAGTGTACAAATTGCAGCAAATATAGCATCAGAAATTTGCTACCAAAATAAAGATATTCTTACCGCAGGATTAATTGTTGCTGGGTTCGATGACGAAACAGGCGCAGATATCTATTCTATCCCATTAGGAGGTAGTATTCATCAGCAAAACATAGCCATTGGAGGATCAGGATCAAGTGTATCAATTTCATTTTTTTAATTTATTCTATTCATTTTTATAGTACATTTATGGATATTGTGACAAAACTTTTACTCCAGATATGTCTAAAGAAGATGGAATAGAGTTTCTTAAACAAGGTATTCATTAATATACAACTTTTTTCATATTTATCATTATAGCGGTTTCTCTTGCTATAAAAAGAGACGGAAGTAGCGGGTAACTTATCATTTATACATATATACATACATCTTTATTTATATTTATTTTTTAGAGGTGTCATTCGTATGGCTATTATTACAAAACATGGTGTCGAACGTCTTTTTTTTTCACAAGAAAACAATCAAATACCAAATATTTAAAAAAATATATTACACACCAATTCCTTATCTTTTTCATACTCTTCTCTTTCATTCTTTTTCAAAAATATATCACTCATTTTCAAATAACTCTTCTAAAAAACATATAATACAATTATATCTTTTTCTTTCTTTTAGATATTTATATAAAATATTTTCTTTATATATAACATATTCTTTATATATAATACTACTTCATTTATATCTATTTTCATATTTTTTATTTTCTATCTTTATATATCAGATTTTCGATTAGCAGGACTCATCCGAAGCACCTAATTAAGAGGTGGATAAAAAAACTTAATAAAACGAATAAAAACCCAGTGAAATGAGTAAGATATTTTACTAAATGTAAGTTAAAGAAATATACATTTTCTTAAAGAAATAACAATGTTTAAGAAAAGATGATAATATAATTATTAGAAGAAACAAGAAGGGTCGATTATATGACCACAATTATTGATTCAGAATCCCCCAAACTGAGTTATCCGTATGGAGACTGTCACAAAAGGGAGATATGTACGAAGATTTCAAAAAAAGGAACGGAATCAAGCGATTTTATGACACAATATTCAATAAATACAGATATTTTACATCATACAGAATCAAATAATATAGGGTCGTTTACGGGGAATGAAGAGCAACATGGAAACACAAGTTCGACTAATAATAATCAAATCCATCGCTACGTTTCGAAATATCCATCGATGATAGCACAGCCTAGTAGTGTTGAAATGGGATCATCACAAGCTACAATAGCATCTACAAGTATTTCACCATCATCGTTTCCAAGAACAACTCATCATCTTGATATTGCTAATCATCCTATTCAAAATATTCTACAGATGCTTTCATCTCTTCTTCTTAAAATTACACAATCTAATGATCATCTTCATCATACACGTAATTATCGATTATCATCATCACAATCACCTAATTCGATTCTTTTACTCTCTTTTCACGCAAGAAACATACCATCTATATCTATTTATGCCTATCTTGTTCGTATTCTGAAATACTGTCCAGCAACCAATGAAGTTTTCCTTAGTCTTCTCGTTTACTTTGATCGTATGAGTCGACAATCTAATAGCAAATTATCCAAGCTTTCTTCAAAGAATGAACCAACACCTATTTTTGTTATCGATAGCTATAACATTCATCGTCTTATTATTGCCGGTATTACTGTTGCTTCTAAATTTTTTAGCGATATTTTTTACACAAATTCTCGCTATGCAAAGGTAATCTCTCTCTCTCTCTCTATTATTTCACATATTTTATCCATTATTCTTATATATTAAAGGTTGGAGGATTGCCCCTATCAGAACTTAATCATCTTGAACTACAATTCTTACTAATGAATGATTTCAGACTTATGATACCACTTAAAGAAATGCAGCAATATGGCGATCAGCTTTTACGATATTGGTTATTTACTAACGCACGCAAACAAGAACAAAATAATCATTAAATATTTACAAAAAGCTATGCAAACATACTTTTAAAATATTAAAATTTATTTTTTTGGCAAATATACATAAATACTTCTATCTCCTTTCTCACTTCTATCAAACAAAATACTTATTCATCTTTATATCCCCTCCTTCTTCATCTTAGTCGCCGTGCCTCTCTCTCTGATTCAAGTAGGCATAATATATCATCTTCTCGAACTGGGCCCTGCTCCTTCATTAACCCTTACTCCTTCTTATACAAAATCTATAAAATACTTTGACATTACGGATAATACTCCTTGTTGTATCATCCATAAATTCAACTCGCACTTGAGTGACTCCTCCGCGACTGATTTTATTAACCTCGTTACCTCTCTATTAAATACAATATTATACCTTCCAGTTCTACCAATAACTTTAGTTACTCTTGCCAGTTTTACTGGCTGTTTAGCATCCATTTTATACGAAATACTCCAAAATAAAGTTAAAGTTTCTATAAAAATCAGCAAAAAACTAAGAAGAAAAAGCAAATAAAAGAATAAAACCAAAAAGAATAGTAAAGAAACACAAATAAACGTTTTACTTGAAAGGAAAACAAGTTTTTGAGAGCGTTAAGTCATAACCCAACCCTATTTAAAACCTGAACCTAGGAAAGTGGACAGTTTGTGAACAGCAAAAAAATAGCACTTTTTTCCTGTAAAAAAGTAGCAAAAAATATCATTTAAATAGATAATATAAGGAATGAAAGAAGAAGGAGAAGCTTTTGAGTCAGAATTAGAAAAAAAACGGGGAGATTTGGAGCAAAATTCGGTTAATTGTGAAGGAATTATTGAAGATGAGGAAGATTTGAATAATAATAAGAAAGAAAGGGATTTAGAAAACGGAAAAGAGTCTATGAATGAATATGAGAGGTCTATTGATGAAGAGATTGATTTTTCAGACTTGGAAGCAAAATATTATATTCCTTTTAAACAAGATTTTGGATCGTTAATTATAGTAGATGGGATTCCTCAGGTTCCAGAAGAAAAGAGGGAGGCACTTCTTAAGATTTTGAAGAAGCAATTTTCTACAGTAGGAAAGATTAATGAGGAGGGAATTTTTATGCCAATGGAAGAAAGAAATGGGGTACTTTTTTCTAAAGGGTATCAGATAATATTTTTAAAATAGATGTCTTATGTGTTAAAAAGATACCTTTTTATGAGCTATGAAAATCAGAAAGATGCGGAGGCGGCAATTAAAGCGTTTAATGGAAAAAAGTTAGACAAAGCTCATACGTTTCTGGTTAATAAATTTACAGATGTTGAAACAATCTTAGCATTTGATGAAGAATATAAAGAAACATTGGAAGAAAAGGCCTATGAAGATGTAATTTTGTGTTTTTTTTTTTTAATATTATACTTATTTTTTTTAGAAAAATCTTTATAGCTGGCTTATTGATCCAAAAGCTAGAGATCAATGGGTCATGTACAAAGGAGACGATGTTGGAATTTATTGGAACCAGAAATCAGAGGCACCGGAATCTATTATTCATAGAATAGTATTTTACTTATTCAATATTGAAGTTTCTTAGATTTTCTAGAATTGGACAGAAACTTATATTCATTGGTCACCTCTCGGAACATATTTGGCATCTTTTCATCGCCCTGGAATTCAACTATGGGGTGGAGAGTCATGGGGAAAAATTGCGCGTTTTCCTCATCCTTCAGTTAAACTTATAGATTTTAGCCCATGTGAAAGATATCTTGTAACATGGTCAAATGAACCTATTCCCTGCTATCCTGAAGACCATCCTGGGAGACTTACTTTCGGGCCCGAAGAGGAAGGGAAAAGTATTATAATATGGGATATAAAGACAGGAGCACTATTAAAATCTTTTAATACAACGATGTCATCTGGTGCAGATGCAGATGAAACACCTCGGAAAATAACATGGCCAATGTATAAATGGAGTTCGGATGACTCATATTTTGCAAAGGTGACGCCCGGACAACACATTTCTGTTTACGAAACTCCTAGTATGACTCTTGTTGGGAAAAAACACATAAAGATAGACGGAGTAGTCGATTTTGAATGGTCTCCTTCAAAGCTAGAAGATAAGAAAGGAAATAAAGAATATTTATTATGTTATTGGACTCCTGAAATTAACAACCAGCCTGCACGTACTGGTTTATTAAGTATTCCTTCCAAAGAAACAATCAGAACAAAGAATCTTTTTAATGTTTCTGATTGCAAGCTTCACTGGCAATCACAAGGCAACCTTTTATGTGTAAAAGTAGATCGACATACAAAAACAAAAAAATCTACATTTACAAATCTTGAAATATTCCGAATAAATGAAAAAAATATTCCTGTTGAAGTCATTGAGATTAAAGATGTGGTCATTAATTTCGCATGGGAACCTAATGGAGATCGTTTTGCTTTAATTACAACTAGTGATTCTAATTTTGGGCAAGGACCATTAATTAATGTCAAAAACTCGTTATCATTTTATTGCACCGAAAAATCAAAAGGGTCTAATGGAAATTTTAAATTAATTCGTAAATAAGATTTAAATCTTTGAAGTATACTAAAACATATAGGAACTTTTACTAAAAAAACATGTAATAGTCTTTATTGGGCACCCAATGGTCGCTTTATCGTAGCAGCAACCTTGGGGAATGCTACCAATTTTGACATAGAATTTTGGGACTTGGATTTTGAGGGAGAAAAAAAAGATACAGACAAAGATTTAAATGCCAATTTGCAGCTCATGGGAACAGTAGAACATTATGGCGTAACAGATATTGAATGGGACCCTTCAGGAAGATATTTGACTTCGAGTGTCTCTATTTGGCGTCATAGAGTATCTTTAATCATTTATATAAAATTTAATATTTAACTTTTTAGATGGAAAATGGATATTGCCTTTGGGATTTTAAGGGTTTATTACTTCGAGAAGAACATATTGAAGGATTTAAACAACTTTTATGGCGTCCTCGTCCTCCAACACTTTTATCAAAAGAACAACAAAAAAAGATTCGTAAAAACTTAAAAGAATATTCACGTGGATTCGAAAAAGAAGATGTTCAAGAACAAAATACTGCTAATAAAGAACTTATCGCTCATCGAAGACGATTACTAGAAGAGTGGAATGCCTGGAGAAACAAAGTAATTGCTAATTTAGAAAAAGAAAAGAGAGAACATGGAATTATTACAGATACAAAAGAAGAAAAAAAAGAAAAGTATATAAAGAAAATTATTGAAGTGTAAGTTCATTTTTTAATTAATTACATTTTTTTATCTTTATATTAGGGTTATATCTGAAGAAATTGAAGAAGTTATCGAATAAACTCATCTATTCTCATCTATTTTCTTAATATTCACTAACACCTCTACTTCATCTTGGTCTTACTCTTCATTTCACATATTTCAAATACCCATATTCAATATTACATTTTTAATATATTCGATTTTTGATAAACTTTATATATTAGAAAAACAATCATCATTGATATAAAGCAAATCTAGAATAATTCATAGTACTATCTATTAATAAACATGGCTCTGTAAATATATTAATATATATATATCTATATATATAGATCGTACAACCTCGAATCTACCTCATGACATACCATAATTTCTATATTGATAATCCACCTAATTTTTTAGAACTTGCAGAGAAATATCCATCTTTAAGACCTTTGTAAGAAGATATATCTTAATATTTTTAACTGATAATATTAGTCTTGATAATCAATCTCGTGTAAATTTCAAAGACCCAGCAGCATTAAGGTTTATAAAAAAAATAAAGAGATATGAATATTATTAATAAGTTTTTATTAAACAGAGAAGTAACAAAGTGTTTATTAAAAAATGACTTTAAAATTGATATTTTTTTGCATGAAAAACGCTTATGTCCTGCTGTAAGTGACATGATTTAATAAAATACAATAATCATCAAGATTAGGTGCCCAATAGGTCTTTTTAAATGTAATTAGTATATCTATATCTTATATTACAAGATTTGCATATATTTTATGGGTTCAAGAATTAATTGATTTTGTTAACTGTGATATAAAGAAAGAAGTGGTTGCACTTGATATGTAGAAATCATAAGATTATTAAGGAATTATATTAATTTTCAGAGGGACAGGTTCAGTATGTATATATCCTCTTTTATGCTGTTCTCAGAGACCAAATTGGTTTTTTTACGCAACAGGTATTTTTTATTTAAATATATGAAAAACAATGTTTTTATCATGTATAGATATTGATGAGCTTTCACTAGAACTTGCTCGTGAGAATGTTAAAAGAAATAGTCTAGATGATCGGATAAAAATAGTTGATACAGCAAAATATTCAACCTTAATACCATTGGATGAATTGAATATACCGAAGTTTATTATTCTTTTAGACTAAAAGCATATCTTATATTTAAAAGAATAGACTTTTGTATGTGTAATCCACCATTTTATAGTTCGGAAGAAGAAATACTTACATCTTCTCGACTGAAATCAAAAGAACCATTCAGTGTAATTTTGAAAAAATTACGATTAATTGATAATTAATTATAGTCATGTACTGGTTCATTAACAGAAATGGTTACTCCTGGAGGAGAAGTTGCATTTGTTAAAAGAATACTGAAAGAAAGTTTTCTTCTAAAAGAACGTGTAAATTGGTACACTACTATGTTAGGAAAGCTTTCAAATGTTACAAAAATTATAGAGCTTCTCAAAGAAATACAAGTTTCAATCAATTTTTTTATAATTATATATTTTTAAAAGGAATTAGATAAATAACTATGTTATAAGTGAATTACCAGTTGGGGGCAATACACGTCGCTGGGTTATAGGGTGGTCATTTACAGATATGAGAGCACCTAATGTTTTTTTTTATATTTATTATTAACTATAGCTAATCCTTTTCAGCATTATGCTCGACCATTAACAAAATCACTAAAACATTTAGGTTCATCATTAACAATGGTAATTATTGAATTAAATACTACAATTGAAATTTTAAGACAAAAAATTTTATCTATTATAAAGAAGTTTAAAATTAATTTTACATGGAGTGATGAATATATTGGAAATGGAGAAACTTCTGGAAATCTATGGTCAAGATCTTCTAGAAGACAAACTTCTAAAAAGAACTGTGAAAATTCACCAGATGTAAATTTCAAATTCCGTTTAGAAATAGTACCAGAAGCTAATGCAGAACATACTATTTTTCTAAAAGTTTTATGGATTAAAGGAACCGATAAAATAATATTCGAAAGTTTTTACAGCATGCTTAGACGGGAATTAAAGTCATTAAACGAATAATATAATTTAAAATAAACACATTATACACATTTCCTCACAACTATAAAAAATGATCGATTTACTATTACTTTATATAACTTTTTTAACTCACAATTCTATAATTTGCATATGAAGTGCTCATTTTCTCCGAATTTTTATATGCATCGTCACTTCTATCTAAAAGACTTTTCAAATCTTCATTAGAAAGAATTTCATCATCTTTTCCTTTTACAACAATTTTCTTCGCATCTTCAAATAAAAGCATTGAAGTTAACTCTTCTTCATCATCTTTAGACGACATAGACATAAGCGACTTAAATTTCCCTTTTTGAATAACAAGCTTCTCAAGACATCGTTTTGAGTTAGCCCTTTCCAATATTTTTTCTTCAACAGTATTTGCAGAAACCAAACGATATACAATAACAGGCTAAACAATAAATTAATATGAACAAAAAAATAAAAACCAATTACCTTATCCTGACCAATTCGATGAACTCGATCTTGAGCTTGAAGATCTTGCTGTGGATTCCAATCTGAATCAAAAATAATCACAGTATCTGCTACTGTAAGATTGATACCTAATCCACCAGCTCTCGTAGATAATAGAAATAATTTTATATCGGAATTTTCATAAAAATCCTCTATTTGTTTTTCCCTTTCATTTTGCTTAGTAAGACCATCTATTCTGCATATTCTCCAGTTTTGCATATTAACTGCCCATAACTCAATAATATCAAGCATTTTTGTAAATTGACTAAAAATTAAAACTTTATGATTATCTTCAAAAAGAGTAGGAAGAAGGCGCTGTAATAATAACATTTTCCCAGACATATTTACAATATTCTCATCAACCAAAAGCTTATTTGAATCAGAATAAGTATGAAAATCCATCATATACTAATAATTAATAAAAATATACACCAAACAAATACTTACGGGATGATTGCAAACTTTTCTTAACTGCATAATGAGATTCTGTAATTTTAACTGAGAAACATTATTTTCTAGGATCATTAAAAATAGAAGAATAAAGAAAAAATAAATACCAAGATCTTCTTTGCATGAGGACTTATGTTCTTTCTCATTTCCATTACACAACCATGTATCTAAGTTACAAGATTCGTCATCTCTTAATTCACTATATGAAATCCTAGACCGATTTCTTCGAGGAACAGAACGTCTATTAACCTTAATAGACTTCGAAACAGAAGAACTTTGAATATCTAGCTCTTCATTATCTACTCCTGAAGCCTCATCACTAGTAAAATCACTAGAATGTTTCTTCATCAAAAAACTTTTAATATCTTTATTCAAAATAGCATTGTAAAGTTCATTTTGATAAATTGTCATAGGCGCATAAAGGATATATTCCCTTTTCTTTGAAACAGATTGTTCCACTAATAAATATATTAATTTCTAGCAAAAAAATAATTCAACACAAACCATCAGCTTTTAAACGACGAAGAAGAAATGGTTTTAAAATACAATGAAGGGTAGATACAACATCTATACTTTTCAATAATGTTTCCTCATCCTTTTTATCCTGAAGTGCAGAAAAATCAAACCAACTTTGAAACGAATCTAAATCATCAAAAATATCGGGCAAAAGGAAATTAAGCAAACTCCAAAGCTCTGTTAAATTATTTTGAAGAGGAGTACCAGTTAGCAATAATCGATTTGCAGAATCATAGCTTTTAAGTTCTCGGATCAGTTTACAATTTAGATTCTTAATACGATGCCCTTCATCCACTACAATATATTTCCATTGATAACGTTTCAAATACAACTTATCATTCATAATCACTTCATAGGATGTTACAATAATAGGGAAATCAGGATGCATTGTTCCCATTTTACTTTTTCGAAGCTCTGAACGTTCTTGTTTAGATCCATGATATAGAAGAACAGGAATTCCAGGTGAAAATCTAAAAAAAAATAAACATAATTTCATCTAATAAACATATACTTACTTTTTAAACTCAGAAACCCAATTACTAATGGTTGATAAAGGTGCAGCAATTAAGAACGGCCCATATGTACCTTTTTCACGCAAAAAAGCCAAAAATGAAATAGTTTGTAGTGTTTTACCTAATCCCATTTCATCTGCAAGAATACCATTTAAACCATTTTCATAAAGTGATGCCAACCATTCTACACCAGCGAGCTGATAGTCACGTAAAACACATCCAGTAATCAATTTTGGCTGAGAAAACATTGATAACGTCTTATCACCAATATCAACTTCATCTTTAGACTTATAATTCTCCTCTGTTTCACATAATGTTTCTGAAACTTTCATAGTAAAATAATCTGTAATACATGTTCCATGTCCATATTTTGACTTAGATGTTTTTTTTACTGAAACATTATTTTTCTTAGGAACTAATTTATCTTTTTCTTTCTTTTCTGATATTTCAGATTTATCTAATGATTCTAAATCTGAAAATTCTGTTTTTATCTTCTTTTTCTCTAATGATATAGTTTTTTTTTGTATTTCATTCTCTTTAACTCGTTTTTTCAATTTTTCACTAAGAATAGATGTATAAATCTTAGACTTCTCTAGAAGAAATTTAAGCCTATCAATTCCTTTATCATCCATCACTATTTCTGGCTCCATTTTCCCCTATTATCTTAGTTATAATCCATATCATTTATAAAAATAGTTATCAACTTGTTTTTTTCGAGGCTCATCAATAGAACTATGCATCATTCTCATCTCTTCTCTTCTCATAGATTCTGTAATCAATGGATCCTCAATATATTTATCATCAGATGTTAATGATAACATATTTGATATCATAATCAATGTTCAAATACTTGTATAAATGTTCCTGACAATTTATAAAATTCCCTATAAAAAAAATAAAGAAATTAAAGATTCTGAGATGTTAATCTAGATAGATCAAAGCTAATTTCTTATATTTTCTTGTTTTTTTAATGTTTTTAATTTTCGACAAGTCGTGTTGTAAATTTATACATTTGTAAAGAAATATATAGTGTATAAGTATGTAAATAAGCATCCAGATAGACCAATATAAAAGAACTATAAACCTTAATTATAAAGGAATTTAAAAAATTAGTGAAAAAACATATATAAGATTTATAAAATTTTCCATTTTAGAATAAACTTATCAAAAAGTTTTGATTTATCCCTGCAAGTAGTTTTTAAATAGTCACAATCCTGAAAGTCAATTGAAAAGAATCCTTCTGTTTGATTGTCATCTCTTTCAAAAAAGATATTAAACCAGCAATGAGCTTTTAAAACATTTTTTTTAAATCTAGATAGATGATAGATTTCTACACAAATATCTTCCCTAGAAATGAACTTTATAGCAGGAGTAAAAATCATTGTAGAATTATTTATCACTATTTCTGGAGGTAAGAAAGCATAAAGACAGTCGATCCTATTATCATCTCTATAACCATAAATTTTACAGCCAATTTTCTTGTTTTCAGTAAAGATTTCGATTTGTGAGATCATAATATCTAATTCCTGATATTTTTTGCCCATTGAAACCCATTTTTCAACATAAAAAATATAACGTTTTTGAGATAAAATAGTAATACCATTACCATATCCCTTTTGAATCCTAGCCTCTGTAAATTTAGATAAAGCAGATTCTGCTGTAAATTTTTTCTCTGAAATTAAATAAGAACATGCAATTGTACCAGACCTTCCTTTTCCTGCTTTACAATGAAATACTACAACATTATCATCAGATGCATTCATATATTTCGATATAGAATCCACAATTTCTGGTATAATCCTAAAAGGTGGAGGTTGATGATCAGGACTATATATTATTAAGTAAATATATTAATATACAACCAACATACAAAGGATAATGAAAAACTAAATTATTAATATACTAAAAAAAATAATAAATATAAATAAAAATACCTTTAAAAAGAAAATCACTATCTGAATATCCTATACCTTCCTTACAAAACTCAAAAATTATCCAGTTTTCTGAATGTCTTTGTTGTAAAAACCGAAGAACATCTTTAAGATTATTTCTATAAATTCTTTCTGGAAATGACATCGTAGGTGCTGACATAACAATAACTCTGTCTGTAATATATGAAAGATCCAAAAAAACTCCATTTTTCTCATCATAAAACTTTGTTCTAGGAAATGAAACTCTTGAACGAATACTCTGTAGAACAAATTTAAACAAATTTATCATCTTCTCTCTACTAAATAACATTATCTACAGACAATTAACCTTAATTTATACATATTAATCCTTTCTTACTCAATTTTATAGATTAAATAGAAGACAAAAAATACATAACATTTAATTCTATTCAACTCTTAAGAAATTCTTAAGAAAAAAACAATATAAATTCCTTATTTTTAATATATTTTTAACTTTTCTTATTAATAATTTAGAAATTTTAATAAAAAATCCGGTCAATCTTATCAATTATCAAGAAAAATTAACGACTACGCTTAATTTCTTAACAAAAAGTTAAGAAAAAAAGCAGTAAAAATGAGCAAAGAAGTAGAATTGTTAAGTTTTAAGGTATAAATTAAGGTTTTTATGTTAATATTGTTAAGTTTTTGATATTTTTAGGCAAAAAAAGCCTGTAAAGCACTATTAAAACATGTCCAATTAATAGAAAAAAAGAGGGAAAAAGAGAGAAAACAGGATATTTTAAGCTTAGATAAGCAAGATCTGAGGTCATCTATACCTATATGGGTTATTTTAAGCACAAAAACATTTATTACAGACACTAAAAAGCTTAAACCTTCGAAAATGCAAGTTTATAAACGTATATATATATATATATTGATATTCAAAATTTTAGAGTGTTAAAACACCCTATAATTAATCAGGATAGCGAGTGTTGTATGATTGTAAAAGATCCTCAAAGAATATATAAAGATTTAGTTATATCGGCAAAGTTAAATAAACGAGTTACAAAAGTAATTGGGATTTCTAAGTTACGTAAAAAATATAGATCATATCAACAAAGAAGGGAACTTAGAGATTCGTATGATTTTTTTGTAGCAGATAGCAGAGTGATTTCATTACTTCCAAAACTTTTAGGAAAAGCATTTTATGAAAAAAAACGACAACCTATTCCGATTGATTTGGTGACGAAATCTACGCCAGAACATCTTTTTAAAGAAATTGAGAAAGCATATTCATCAACATATCTTCATTTATCACCAGGAACATGTACGAGTATAAAATGTGGGGCAATTTGTCAAACACCAGAACAAATTGTGGAAAACATTCAAATTATTACAAATACATTAGCAGAAAAATTTGTAAAAAATGGATGGAAAGGGATTAGAGGTTTTCATATTAAAACAAGTGAAAGTATTGCTCTACCTATATGGCTTTGTGAAAACGTTTTTGATGCAGATGTTGATAAAGTTAAAGAAATAGAGGAAATAGTTATTAATAATAAAAAAAGAAAAGTCGATAACTCAGATGGTGAAGATTCTGAATTAGAAGAAAATATAGATAATGTTCAATCTACACAAAATATACATACAAAAAAGCATCGTAAAACTGCAACAAAACTTTAAAGATAAAATAGCATACAGAAAAGAATAGATAGAAAATCATCATTTAGATAAAAATATATAAAACGGATCAATTTATAAAAATCTATATCAATGCAAATAATATTTATATTAAGTATATAAAAAATTAATCGTTAAATATATATTTTAAAATTCTAATTTCTTTGGAGGTTATCTTCTGTCTGCCACTGAACTATGTGTTCAGATTTCGTAGAATTTACGAAATATTTTTTAACGATGTACATAAAAGTTTCATAATCTATTTCCATCTAAATAAATTAATTAAAATGAAAACTTCAAAACGTTATACATACATGTTCTCCTGGAACCGTTATTTCTACAAGTGCCTCCTTACCATCAAGATATTTAAGGCCTAGCCAATCTTCTTTATACATTGCAGTGTCCCTTAGATAAATAACTCTTTCCTCAGTTTTATTATAATCATTAAAATGCTTTTCAAAATTAATAATAATAAAATAAATAAAAGTTTCTTTACAGAGCTTCCTTTAGGTATAATTACATGATCATTTTCAAATTCAACCATAATAAAGCCACTTAATGACCCAAGATTTTTAGCATATGTAGCATTTTTAATTTTCTTTTCATTATTAATATCAGGTAAAAAATGATTATGTTGAAGATATTCTTCCATATCACTAGTATCCTAGAAAAATCAATTCGATATCTTCACATTAAAATACTAAAATTACCCTATAATATTGTGCAATAACAATATTTTCTTTGATCCAATTAGACCATATACTATATTTCATAAAATAATCCAGCATTTTACAAATATAAACATCAGATGGACAATAAAAACTAGATATTCCATAATGTGGTGTACCAAATGTAATTAGATTAGAAACAGGAGGATTATTATATCGTTCAATATACGCTCTAATAAAATTAATTTTTTTTACTTATTTTTTAAATAAAACACCTCATAAACAATCCACCCTATTTCTATAAGCTATAAACATCTTTAAATAAATATCTATTACTTGACTAAACCCAATTGCATTAAATCCTTCTGATAATCTAGTTTCATTTGATAATTGCTCTGCTACCAATTCAATCTTTATACACCCATAAACCATCCCGTATATATAAACCATTCTATAAAATTACCTGTTTATTAACATTGCCAAAAAACCCATTCTTTCTATCATTTAACGAATTTTTATCAAGATATACTGAATGTACATATACATCTAATGTCTCTGATAAAATTTCCGATAATTCCATAATCTCCCCTATGTCATAACTATCTCCAAGACCATGCCATAAGACAACTGGTAGGTTTTTTTTTGAATCTTTATGTTTATTTTCTAAAGCTGCAAAAACAAACGTAAAAAAATAGCACCATAAATACACATTCATTATTCAGGATTAAAAATTTCTTATAATTTTTAAGTCTTTTATTAAGATTCCTTAATATTTATGTATTTTCTTTAAAAATTTATTAAGAGGGCTGCATAAAAGTAAGCTTAAGCCTTACGATTTCGCCTAACTTTTTAACAGCTGTCTATAATTTTTTAGTAGGATAAGAGATAAAATGAATAAAATAAGAGGACTAATAATACAAAAAAGGATAAAATGATGTTTTATATAAGGATTAAGTGTTTTTAAAGGGATTTTGTGCTTTGAAAGAAAGAAAAATAAGAAATATTGAATATAATAAATATGAGTAAAAAAAAAATAAATGAATATACAACAAATACATCATCAGAATGTTTTAATGAAGAGAAATATCCGGTTGCTATACAGCTTTCATGGCCATATTTTTCAGCAAAACAAGTAGCGTCATTATCATCTAGTTCACGATCCCCATCACTTTCAGAGAGTAAAGAAACACAAATACGATTTCAGGCATGTGGATGGATATATCTTGTAGGAAAATCGTTAAAATTGTATAATATTTACAATTTTTTTTATTTAAATATGAACGTTAATAAAACCTTACAGTCCTATACGTACGATTGGAACAGCAATGATTATTTATCACAGATTTCATTTATTTAATCCTATTTCAGATTTTTCATATATTGTAAGTTATTTTTTTTGAAGGAAAAATATTTATTTGAAAAAAAAGGATACAGCAGCTACATGTTTACTTGTAGCATGTAAAATAGAAGATACACCGAAAAAAATCAAAGATATTCTTGTAGCGGGTTACAGTGTAAAACATCCTAATGGTCCAGATATATCTTTTGAAAGTCATGTATATATATATATATATTAGGTAATGTAAAACTGATTAATTAAGATAATAGAAGAACAAAAAAAACGAATTATTGGTTTAGAACGAATGGTTTTAGAGACGTCCTGTTTTGACTTTCGACGACATCATCCACAACCATATATTATCAAATTTGCACGGCATTTAAAACGTAAAGTTATTTTTTTTAATTAGATTTAATACTTATTGGTAAAAGTTTCTAAAGAAATAGCTCAAAAAGCTTGGGATATAACAATTGATTCATACAAAACATTTTCTCCTATTAAATATCCTCCTCATTGTATTGCCTTAATGGCACTGGTTCTTGCATCGATATTACTAGAACAACCTTTTGAAGATGCATACGAAAAGTTACTTGTAAAAAAAGAAACACTTATTGGTTAGTATATTTCTTTTTCAACTTTTTATTTTATTTATATCTTTAATAGATGCTTTATATGATATTCTTGATCTATATATTCATCATCGACATGTTACTCTTGTAGGTCATAATACAGACGTTAGCAAATTTATGATTATTCAAATTTCTCTCAATAAATTTCATAAACCTTCGGAAATATCTTTAAAAAATACAATGGCTGATATAGAATTTTTAGCCCTTCCATTTAGGATAGGCATTATAGGTGATAAAGGAACAGTACGATTTATTTTAGATCATCAACGTGAAAAAAAAGAATCAGAAGCAGCTAAAATCAAGAATGAAATAAAGGAAAAGGGCTAATCAAATTATACATTGATTATTTTATATTTATCGGCTTTTAATTTTTAGTAATTCTGTTTATAAATACTTAAAACTTAAATACATCATTTAATATTACGTCTATAATACCAAAAAGTATAATGATGAATATCTGGGATCTATAAACTGATAAGTTTTTTTTTTTTTTTTTGAAAAATTAGATCATATTAGATCATAATAAACAATACTATATTTTATAATTAATAAATATTAATAAAAATAATTTTAGATAAATATTTAACATAATACATTTTTAATGAATTATATTTCAATGCTATTATTGCATATCTTCCAAAAAACAATTAGACTTGATCTTTTAATCATTTTTTAACACTAACTCATCACCTATTCAATTAAAAATCAAAGTATTATTTTACTTATAATTTTGAATTTAACAAATAACTCAATCTAATTTCATCTTTATAATAAAAATGCGCAAAGATGCCCAATATTACAACTCAAAAATATTTCTTAAAATAGGCTTTAATCAGATTTTCTGATTATAATGATTAATCAAGGAAAAATAGACTAAACATAAAACGCAATATATAAAATAAAGGATTTAGATTTATATAATTGCTTCACACTATAACCTCTCCATAATCTATATGAACAGGAGTATATATTTCTTTATCATTTTCAAGAGTTTTACTAGGACAGTTAAATTCTTTTGATTCATATAGATACCATGCTTTAAGAGCATCAACAGATGCCTAAAATAACTTTAGCTGTTTAAAATAATACTAAAATAAAATACCCTATATTTAGCCTCTTTTAAACTAGATCCATGACCTTCCCCAAGCTTATCATTTCCAGAATATACACCTACTACAAATAAAGGTGCACTACTACGCCGGCCCGTCTCAGCAATTAATCGTGATACAGGTGGTTCCAACTTCTGACGAGAACATAATACAGATAATTCTCGACCAGGTTGTTCAAAAGAAAACATAGAAGATATAGAAAGATGTCTTGACATTACATGATCATTAACAAACTTTTTAACGGGTACAAGTCCCTAAAAAATTAACAAAATATATAATTTTCATATTAAACCTACACAATGCAAATAAACCCCTCCAATAACTGATAATACCATTCTAGAAACAACTTTTTCCAAATGCTTATTATACATAGAAGATGAACAATCATGTAGTGATCTCTTTTTAAATACAAGTTTTCCATTTCTTGCTTCTGATAAAACTTCAAAAAAAACATTATCGAGCTCATTTTTTGAAGATTTTGGAACAACATTAACTTCTTTATTACTTGTTTCAAGGCCCCATTCTAATCCAATTTTTGATAACGCTTTAGTTCCACAATATCCCGACAATGCTGCATTCATAATCTTACATGGTAGACGAGGCCAGCGAGCCATTAAATATTCTGTTACAAAATACTCCGTAATACATGTTCCAAGTGTAAAAAGAGGCCGATTATTAGGAACTGGTCCTAAACCATTTGTAACTTTAAAATCAAGAAACGTCTTAACAAGTGTAGCATTAGGAAATTGAGGACCTAACTTTAATCGAGCATGAAGAGCAAATAATTTAGCTGAAATATCATTCATAAGTTCCAAAACATCATTTCCCTTTTCTTTTTTACTCATATTTCCTTGTATATCAGGATTTATTTTATTTTTTTGTAGTGTAGATTCTGTTTTTTTTAAAAATTATTAATATTTCATTATTAAATAATAAAATAAACTTAACCTTACCTAATCTTCGAATATTCAATTGACGAAACATAGTAATAAACCTTTTACTTTTCATTAATATTTCTTTATACATTTTTTTATCGGCTAAGACTTAAAAATTATTTGATACTCAATTTACTGATGGTATGTTTAACTTGAAGCAAATATTTTCATGAAATAATTAAAAAACCAAGGTAGAAAATCACCAATCTTTTCCTAAACATGTTTGGTATATTTTTTTAAAATGTCATAATAATCTATTAACTGTTTATAGGTCGCCCTCTGGAGGTAATAATATGCCACTATTTGAAATAAAATTAATATTTTTGTTTTTTAATATATATAGGATGGTGGTGTCAACCTAAGAAATGGTCCACTTTATTATTTGTATATCCTGTATTTTTTTAATATTTGTAGGAAATCAAATACAGCTATATGTATCGCAGGAATGTCACTTATTATTTTTTGGGTCTGGAAGACCAGCGCAGAAAAAGAATGGAGATATCATAAACCTACTAGATGGATCCCATCTTCATTGGTAAATAAGTAAAAATATAAGTTAAAACTTACTAAAACCAAATTGAGTGGAGTAAAGATTTAAAAGAACAAAACCATAACTAATTATACTTAACTTTTCATTGAAAGATGTTTTTCTGCCATATATATATATATATTTGTTAAGTGGTTTTTCTAATAGATAAATAATGTCAAGTTCATTATATATTTTTCCCACCACTTTTTGCAAAATAATAAACCAATAAATTTTGTTGACCAGGAGTAAGTCCTTGCAACAAATTAAATATTTCCGAAGAATCCTTAATAATGCTATTTAATGATACACAAATTGTTATACTTTCTTTTCGAATCTCAGGATCACTATCATTTAATGCCTATAAATAATAAGCAGGAAGGAACAAATACAGATTAAATCGAATATACCTTAATAACCAAAGATGGAATTTTTTCAAGATATTTATCTAAGTCCATTTTTTCCAATTTCTTAATAAAAACTGCTAAAGATGATAAGCAAATAACAATAATCGATTGTTTTAGAAGATGTTTCTTTGATTCATCAGTAAGATTATAAAGATAAGGTTCTAGATAAGATAAAAACAAGACAATTCCTAGTTTCATATCAAGATGAGATACTATGTCGAATATCATTTCTTCTATCACACACGTAACACGATTATTATTAGAATCATAAGAACAGAATTTCAAAAGAGCATCAAGAATGATAGATATATGATTATCAAAATATACCGACTGATTATCAAAAAGATATTTTAAAAGAAAAAGCGTCTGAACTTTTAATTCTGAAACAACGTCTTCCTTCATAAAACCAAGTAAAGCTTTTATTAAAGAATCGAATAAACTTCCTGCCATCCAAACATCATCTTTCTTAGAATTATCAGAAATATTATCTGAATTTTCTATATTCTTCTCAAGACTATATTCTTTAGAAATACAAATTAATTTCCTAAATGCATAAGAATCCATATCATGATTCTCAAGTCTTTCGATAAGATTCTTTAGCAGTTTGATATTATCTTCTACAGTATTTGGAAGTGGTGTAATAGGCAATTGTTCTAATATATTAGTATTATCAAATATAATATAAATATCTTACTATTCATATATTTTCGAAACCATGGATTTGAATTTCCAGAAAGACTATCATCTTCTATTGGTATATCTTGATCCTCTTGATTTTCAAAATTCAATGCTGGAGCTAATTCAGAAGACTGAGGCAATAATTCCTGTGCCACTTCATTAGCTTGCTTCTCTTGGGAAACTTTATCATCAGATGTTTTAGAATCAGAAGTTTTAATAGTATCATCAGTAATCAATGAAGGTCTCACACCAGCAGAGACAGAGGGATCAGAAGATACAGGTTGAACTTCTTTATTCACATCATTATTCGAAATGTTAACTTGGAGCTTAGGTATTTGAATCATGGTCATATCTTCAAAATTGTTATATGCTCCCATATTCTCTTCAAAAGAATCCATATAATTTTCAGAATATTTTACAGAATGAGATTCCATGGATGATGAAGAATGTTCTATATCATTATCATCTAATTTACGATCTCCAACAATAGGTATATCTCCAAGAACATCTTCAACATGAGCAACCTTTTCCTCAGGTACAAAAGGTTCTTCATCAACAGCTATTCCCCATGCATTTTTAAGAGCATTAACTGTTACTTTTTCAAAAGTTTGTAAAACTTTATTGAAAACTTCTTCATTTGCAGTTTGAAGAGACTTCAATAGTGTAACTAAAGGTCCATAATTTATAGATGTTGGTTTGGTATTATTAATCATAGGTACAAGTCGATTTACATAAAATTTAAAATTTGAAACATCATTAAAATATGAATTGCCATCTTCTTTATTTTTTATACTTTCATTATGACGCTCAACCAATTCATTCATCCATAATAGAACACCATGTATAATTTTGCGTTTTTGAGATGTAGTAAATATACCAGCAGAAAGCTTCCTAGGTACAACACCAGATACTCCCATACTTGTAAGAACTTTTGATAATAACTCAACAGCATCAACGTCACTAATCATTCTTTTTACAGCAGGAAGACATGTTCTTGCAATATCATGACCACGTTCAGTATCTTCCATCTCACTTAATAAAAGAATTCTTGGAACAATATTTTCAAAAGGAATAATTTTCGCTATTTCAACAATAACCTCAGGTGCCATTAAATGATTAACGACTTCTGGCTGAGAATCATTTAGAAGTTTTTGAAAAGTTGATGCTAATATATCATTTGGAGGAAGAGTTGGAAGTTTTTGATTATCATAATTAGGAGGTGTCTTTTTTGCCAATAAACATGCAACAGTTATAATTCCATCTACACGAATGTGCCAATCTGAATGCACAAGCTGTTCAATAATTGTCAATTTTCTAGGAGAGACACGTGATGATGTCACTGATGGCTTTCCAAATAATGAATTCGTCACAATAGTTGGTCTTGGAGGAGACATTTCGCTTTTCAATTGGCTAGGAGATGTACGAGTTTGATTTGATGTATTACCTGCTGACTGATCTTGAGTAGGACTTTCAGGTCTTTTAACATTACTTTTAGAAGAATGTCCATATCGCTGAGGAAGACCAAGACCATGACGAATAGGACCAGAAGAAAGACCTGATGATCCATGAGTTATACTAACAGTATCATTCAATTTCTTATTAATTATATTTCCTGATCTTGCCAAAGGTTCTTTATTAAAACTTTTACCCTTATTAAATGAATAATTTTGTGATAAATTATGACACTTATTAAGACTATCAATAGATTTTGGAAATACACTTGAATTCTGAAAAACTTTTTCAAATTGTTTACGTACCACAGGATCTAAACTTGATACAAGGCTAATTTAATTTAATACATATTCTAATTCCTTTAAAAAATACAATACCTTTGTGCACGTTCTGGCCAAATTTCAGAAAAACAGCGTAATACATCTCTCATTCCTGTACGAACAACTGCATTTGCATCTGAAATCCCATTTCTTATAACTTTTTCCATTGTATCCAATCCTCCAGAATTTTCTAAATATGTTCTTGAATCAATATGAGCTTCAAGCAAAACACGCAACCATCCAGTAGCATATTGTCTAGTGGACGGATTTTTATCTTGAGATGCAGTTAAAAGCTGCATAACAATTTTAGGATGATAAGAAACATTAGCAATTAATACGCTAACAGTAATTTGAGCAGCTTGAGAAATAATTTTTTTCGTTAATCCACTAATTCGGATAAGATGTATAAGAAGTGTTTCAACAAACTGATCAATAGCTGGTCCAGCAACAATTGCAACATCTTTAATAAATTGAAGTCCTGCAAGACTCAATGTCGTTCGAAGTGAACTTATCTAGAATGTATTAAACATAAAAAAAATCAAACTAATTCAATATTACCGCTTTAATTATTCCATCAAGAAGAGCCTTAAAACCATTCAAAAATATAGGTGAATATTCTTTATAAATATTTCCACGAAGAAGAGACCGCAAACGCATAATATGCTTTTCACGAGCAACCCAATTATAATCCGTTTCTTTCCCTTCAAATGAAGGAAGCATTTCTTGAATTTCTAATTCAAGCTCCTTTGCAGAATATACCTATAGAAAAGTAAACTTTTTACATTATTCTTATACCAAAATATCATACCAAAGATGGCTCCAATTGCTCCATTTCAGCACTACTTAAATTCGAAATATAATTTGATGACAAATTAGATAAACTAGCAATACTTTCATTATTCACTTTTCTTGCTGAAACACTTGCACCATCATTATCATATGCACATTCCGATCCACGAGATGATGCAAAATCCGTATCCCCTTGAAATTGCAAATTATCCAGAATATATGTAACCAATTGTTTACGTATATTTTGTTGATTAAGCTCCCGTTTCAAGTCTGCTTTGGCATAATTTGGAGAATTCCTATATTTAAAAAAAACATAAGCTTTTCTTTCAATATTTAATCCACATACTTAAATAATTTTATTATAACTATCTTTGCTGCATCTCGAACACTATCATTTGCATCCTCTAACATTTTTATCATAAATGGCGTAAACGATCGAAAAGAAAATGACGTTTGAGATTCATATATCTTTTCTAACCAATATAACGACTAATTTCGTTAATTTATTCATTTTTTTTTCTTATCTTAATTTTACTTGTTCACGAGTCCTCCAATTTTTTGATGAAAATCCAAGATCTTTAATACTTCTTTCTACTTCAATAGGTATCCCTCTCCATAACTCAATTAACGCATTCTGCGCTACATCTTTTACTTTTTCCTTATTATCCCCAAGTCGTTCAATCAATAATGGTAACACCATTACTCCCGGTCCTTTCAAACGCGTTATCTCTTGAAGTGATACTCGTTTAATCAAATGATTTGTACATGTTAATGAATTCATAGCAACATATGGATTCGTACATATTAGTCCCATTCTTAATCCATCAAATAACAACGAAACCGCCTCCAACTACCCCCATCCAATTACTTATAACTCTTCAATACTCTTATATATAGCTTACATCCACATCATTACGCTTAATAAACCTCTTAATCCCCATAATCATCTCCATTTTACGCTCATTATCTAATCATTAAACCTTAGTTAAAACCTAATAACAATATAATCTAAAGCAAAAACCTGTTCCGCGTAAGGTTTCCAGTAAATCTTCCGCGTCTTGAATAGACATTGGCTTATTATCCTATTATTTTATGTAAAAATAGCTTTACTTGTTAATATCTTGGTTATCGAAGCCTTTTACAACCGGTTAAAAATTAACTTACCTAACCCGGCGCTTTAAGAAAAAGTAAGAATTTTAATAAAAATCTTAAGAAATTGTTAAGAAATCTTAAGAAAGGTTAAGAAAGGTTAAGAAAAGGTTAATAATTGTTAAGAAAGTGTAAGAAATTGTTAAGAATTGTTAAGAAATCAATGTCAACAGAGCAGAGAAATCAAGCAACATTACATGTGGGTAATAAAATAGTAAAAGTAATGATTAATAACTAATAAATTGATAATAATTAGTTGGATTAGGACCAGAAGTAACAGAAAATATGTTACATGAAATGTTTATTCCATTTGGAGAGATAGTAGGAGTTGAACTTCCTAGAGATGAAACTACAGGTTTTCTAATTAATAGAATTAAGAAGAAAACAGTTAATTTTTTTGAATAGAAGAGCCACATCAAGGATTTGGTTATGTAGAATTTGAACATGTGGAAGATGCACGAGAAGCAATAGATAATATGGATCAATCGGAGGTTTGGGGACGTATTTTACATGTAACAACAGCAAAAGCGGAAAGAAAGATATTAGAAGGACTTGGATCTAAAATTCCAGGTAAAAGAAGAATTTTTGTTGTATTAGATTAATATATTTTAAGTTTGGGAACAAGAGGCATGGATTCAGCAATATCAAATTAATAAAGAGGATCGAAAAGTGGTAGAGGAAAAAAAAGAACTTATACAGTCGACATTTGTGCCAGTAGGACCACGTCCTTTATAGAAAAGTATTATTTATATATTATAATAATTAAAAAAGGAATATTAAGAATTTAAAAGCAAGATATTATAAAAAAAACGAATCAAAAGAGGTATAAGAAGGGAAAATAAATATTTTTATGGAATATTAGTACGAAATTTAAAATAATGGATATTTATTGTGACAATATCATTAAAAATAAAACGCTATTTTTAATGCTCAGATTTTTTACTTGGATATCGTCTTAACTAGAAAATAAATTACAATAATTTAATAACTAAGATAATATCATACACTTGGATCAAAAAAAAGTTTCTATAAAGATTAAATAAATATTAAAAGATTTAAACTTACATTTCCTAGCTGATAAGTAGCAGCTAATGAAAAGATAATTAATTATTAAATAAAAAAGATAAAATTTACGCAGGGTTTTTAAATATAACCCAATAATTACTTACCTCCAAAACCTACTAAAAGAACAGCTGCTATAAAAATATAAGAATCTTTAGAAATAATAATAAATAATAAGATATTACCAAGAGGATAAAGTTCTAAAGGTATACGTCTTAAACGAGAGTATATACTTTTTGAAGATTGTTTATTTGTCTATAAAAATAAAAAAACAAAATTCAATAATATTATAAAATAGAATATTTCTAAGGCTTACAGAAGACATAATATTATTTAAAAGCTTATTTTAATTTTTTATATAATCTAGACCGATTTTACGAAGTGTCTTAAATATTAAGAACAAGTAAAAAAACAAATTGTAATAATAAAAATATAGAAATATATTTATTGAAATTAATAATTATAAAATAAGATTAATTAAGAATCAGTTTTTTTTATTTATGTAAAGATTTATAATTATAAATAATTCTATATATATTAGAAATTTAAGAGAAAAAAAAACAAATACTTTTATAAATAATATGGAAATGCTATTTTCTTGTTTATTTAGATTTCCCCTAAAAACATTTATATAATCTATTATGATATTAGATAATTAAAAAAACAAATGAAAATATAATAATTTAATATAAATACATACGATTTTTAATGCTATCCTCTTTTTATAATATATACAAATATATAAATAATGTAGTTTTATTCAGGTTTATTTTTGTTTTAAGTTTTTTTCTTGAATGAATGTTTCATAATCACTATCTGATGCACTTCCAAAGATCTCTAAGTCTTCATCTTCATCAAGTTCATCATCAATTTCGTCTGCTGATACATCATTACTTGATAATTCATCAGATACTTCTTCAGTCAATAACTCGTTAGTTGATGAATTGGAATTTCTCAAGTTATTATCATCTAAGGTATCATAACCAGAATCATCTATTTCATGAGTATCAACATCATTATCATTATTATTACTCTGATTTTTAACACGCGTAGTATCATCAATAGTCAACATATCTTCATCACTATCGTCCTCACCCTCAACATATTCAATTCCCGATTCTGATTCTTCATTTTGTGGCTCATATTCTTTTCTTAATTTAATCTGTGCATTTATCATGTCTAATCGACCATGAAGAGCCAACAATCTAGGTAATGCAGATGCACAGCGTAATAATGTTAATTGCAAAGTCGATAATGTTTTCATAAGATTTGGCAACTAAACATATTAGTATTTAGGAAAAATAATAAACTTATATAATACAGTCACAAGATATCCTCCATGAATAATAATTGTCCAGCGAATCCATATACTTAAAGAACTAGCTCTTGATGGTTGTTTAGAAAGACGTTCAGCAATTCGTTCCAATAATAGGACAGCTAATGGAGATTCCAATCGCTTTACAGTAGCTAAAACAGTTTCAGAATCCTGACAGTTTAAACATGACTCTAGTAAAGTTTTATCGTTAACTTGAAGGGCTTGTATAAGTAATGATATCAAAGATTTAGCTGATGGAACTTTTACTGAAATTTCAGATGGTTTTGATGATTTCATTTCAAGCTTCTCCAGTTTTTCGGAAAGAGTAAGTTCCTTTAAATCATCAAAAGAGGCAAATAAAAACTTAAATCCTTACATCAATAGCTTTTGCAACATTCTTTTCTGACTGATTATCTTCAGAACTTTGGGATATTTCATCATCGTCCAAATTTCTCATATCATCACCACTAATAACAGTCGCATTTGATTCATTATAAGATTTAATATTTGACTTATATAAAAAATCAATTTCAATAATAATACAAAAATCAAGCTTACGGAAACTCCATTAACATGTATCTTTAAAAAATCTGATTTCTTAAGAGAAACACGAATTTCACCCTGTTTGAAATTTTTATCATTATCCAGATATGAAACAGTTTCAAATATAAATGTAACGCCATTTACTAACACAATAATAATATTATCATCTTGAATGCCAATATCAACAATTTCTATTTGAGTCGAAGTAGCTTCATCAAAAGCAATTATTTTGGAAATTGGTTGCCGAATCAATGAGTTTTTTTGTTTAAAAATACCTATGAATGATTTGTCAAAAAGATCATGAAATATATTTACAATTCCAGAAGTTGTTAAAACAGCTAATATGGTCTTATCGAAAAATGTAGAAAATGTTAAAGCTTTAACATTATCTTCTGTAACTAAAACACCGACATTTTTACTTTCTTCTTCATTAAGAAGAAACATATTAATAAATCGATCCTCTTTTGATGCAGAAAAACAATATATAGAGCCATCAGAATCTGAACAGACTAATAATGAATCAACATATGTTATATGAGCATTAAAAGTTTGCAAAATATCCAATAACGGCAAATTTAATACACAAATATTATGTGACGCACATATAATTTTAGAATTATAATACATAATTGCTGTAAGTGAATCCAACAACTCAAATGAAAACGTACTATTCTGCATTAAAATTTAAAAATAAACATATCAAAAAATATACTTTAATATCTTTGATGTTAACAAATCCCATTCCACAATTTTTCCATCCAATCCACAACTCCAACCTATTCTATAGTCATTGGAAAAAGTAATTCCAGTTACACTTTGTGTATGACCACCGACAAGCTTCATAAAAATTTTATTAAGAGTAATTGAAAATAAAATAATTTCTCCATTAGATAAACCAAGATAAAGAACATCTTTTTCATTATTATATGTATCCTCATCCTCTGCTTTTCTCTTCTTTAATCTAGTCTTCTTATCATAGTCAATTTCAATTCCCCATGATAATGATCGACAAATCCATCCTTTATCCAAAGAAAAACTTGTTTTAAGCAATCCAGTAACAACATCAAAAATACAAATATTATATGAATCTAAGACATTCATAGCCATTGCAAAAAGCCTCTTCTTTGGATGAAATGATGATATTAATACTGATGAAATCGTACTAATTGGTGTACGTGTATCTACTTGACGAATCCTCTTAAACTTGCTGCTTTTTCGAACCATTTTCAAACAAAATAACTAAGATAATAACAAAACAATAGGAAACAAAAAAATCCAATTCAAAATTAACACTTTTGACGCTTTTATCACTCAAATAATTCTCGTTCTTAATTATTTGATATTTTGCTCAAATTTAGTCCTTTTAAACCAGGAAAAAAAGCAGACTACTCTAATTCACAAAATAAATCCGATTTTTCCCTTAAATCTTCGTTTTTAATATGTCTAAAGCTAAAAAAACTTTAATCAATCATAGATTCTAAATTTATATAAATCAACATTCGAGCAAGGAAAAAAATGTCTAAAAAATGTGATAAAGCTCTATAAAAAAATTCATACAAAAAAAAACAAATATATATCAATTATACTCTCTATTACTTAATATAACAAAAGATAACAACTTTTGCTGTATTTTTTTTATTTTCTTAACACTACCTAACTCAATTATCAACAAATCCTGTCGTTTTTTATCTTCCGTAAACTAATCATACTTAATATCTAAAAGTCTGTTTTTTATAAAAAATATATTAAGAAATATATTTTTCACTCAGATTATATTATTACGGTTATTTTCAAAGAATTATTAAGGAAATTTAACTTATTAAAACAACTATTCATTTTCTTCACAAAAACTTTTTTTTCAAAATAACTTTATCAAATTATTAACATTATACATTTCATATAAAAAACTAAAATTAACATGCAACAAACATAAAACAGGACTAAAAATATCTTTAATAAAAGGTCTTTCTTTTATATATATCTATTACGCTATTCTTAAACTCTATTAAGGCATACAATACACTGTATCTTCAGCGCACATACTATACTACTATATACTATTATATACTATTATAATATATACTACTATAATATATATAATTATATAATTATATATATATTATCAAGGGTATGAGGAGATTAAGGGACACACGCGTGTTCAGAAATAATATTCAAAAAAGCTTTTTTTTTCAGTCAGACGAGAGAGAAAAAAAAACAGAATAACACAGTATTATTTCGAATCAAGAATAAAGAAGATTTTCAATGATTTATTCGATTATATTGACACAAAAGTAGAAAGTATACATCGGATTACATAGGAAGATCATCCTGTTGTTTTTTTTTTCATATCCATAGGTCTCTATCCATTTTATCTTTAAAGAGAGTTATGGAACGGGCGTTACCATGGAAACGATACTATAAAAGGCTATTCATATACTAAACGGGAGACTCCGGTTAGCCCTAATCGTAAGAATTAGCGTATCGCCATATAATAACATCCACGCCGAATCGATTTTTAAGACTAATATTTTTCAGAGGGAAATTGGTCGTCGATCGGGTGATCGAGATTGGGTGGTAGAGTGACAGGAGGGTAGAATTGATAAATTAATGGAAGTAAAGTAGGTATAGACTAGTGAGAAGAAAAAATAAGCCTAATATATGCGTCTAAAAACTATATAAAATATGCGTGTATACGCGTTGTATGCGTCGTATATGCGTATAATATGCATATATATAACGCGTATACACGCATATACGACGCATATACGACGCATATAGTTTGATGTATAGAGAATTAATATAGAAAAGGATTGAGTTTATATGAATAAAGCTAACATAATAGAAATGCGCTGATAGAGACGGCCGTTCGAGAAATGCCTGAAGGTTTAATTTATGCGCAAGCAGTGACAGTAGATTTAAAAGTCCTAGATACAACGGATCGAGATCTACCTGATACAGAATGGCCAGTCCAAGAATTATCAATATCAACGACGGATAATGAGAAGAATACTAAGCATACATCAGGAGAATTGTTAGAAATGAGTTTTGAAAAGCCGGATAATCGATCGGAATGGCAGGTGTTAGAATCGGAGAAAAGTATATGTTCAGAAGAAAAGACAATAAAGAATCAGGAGGTAAAAGAAGGAGCGTTAACACCGCCATATTCGAATAACATATCACCACAAGTCAAGTCGGAATCATCACCGACTAGGGTTTCAAACGAAGAATTAGTAGAATCAGTTGAAACACAGGCGGAGGCCGTAAAAGTCGTGAATGCAGTAGAGGGAGTAGAGGCAGTAGAGGCAGTAGAGGGAGTAGAGGGAGTAGAGGGAGTAGAGATACAAGTGGAGCCTATGGAAACAGTGGAGGTAGTGGAAGCGGTGGAAACAGAGGCGAAGGCCGTAGAAACGCAAGTGGAGGCTGTAAAATCAGGATCAATAGAGGTATTAGAGCCATTGGAACCGTATGAAACGCATTTTGGGGCGTCAGAGACGCCATCTAAGCGTATACATCCGGAAGATACGTTATGTGAAAAAGTAGAATCGGTCGAGATGACGAATGAACAATATAAATTTGCATTATCGATATTACGTCAATTACGAAGGAATAGGGATGCGCGGCCGTTTAATCAGCCAGTGGATCCTATAAAGCTGAATATTCCGAGCTATCCGACAATCATTACGCATCCAATGGATTTTGGTACAATTGATAAAAAACTTTCGTCTAAGCAATATGAAACAGTGGATGAATTCAAAAAAGATGTTGAATTAGTTTTTACGAATTGTTTTACATTTAATGGAGAAGAAAGCCCGATTTCTATAATGGCAAGGAATTTAAAAAATATTTTTGGCAAGCAAATATTGCAAATGCCATCTGTAGATTATGTTCCAACACCTAAACCATCGAAAGTGAGAAAAAAATCATTGTCATCGGATACCGGATTAGGAGGGAATCCAGCGATTCATCGTAATTCATCAGCGATTACGGATCGACCGCGACGTGAAATTCACCCTCCACCCCCCAGAGATTTACCTTATAATGAAACGAAGCCTCATCGAAGAAAAAATGCCGCACAATTGCAATTTTGCAGAAATGTTATTAGAGAATTACAAAAAAAGACACACGAGAGTTACGCCTTTCCTTTTTATCGTCCAGTTGGTATGTACTTATTATCTATGTTAATATTGGATTTCTGAATTAGTTCTACGAAAGATCCTGTTGCATTGAATATTCCTGATTATTATAAGATCGTCAAGCATCCTATGGATATGTCGACTATTCAAGGAAAATTAAATAATGTTTACAATACGGCTGATGAGTTCGAAAGTGATATTCGGCAAATGTTTAGGAATTGTTATAAATTTAATCCAGTAGGAACTCCTGTATATAATATGGGTAAACGTCTTGAAGCGGTTTTTGATAAAAAATGGCAAGAAAAGCCATCAGAGCATCATTCATATTCATCGGATGAGTCGGATTCAGAATCTGATGATGTTGATGATAATGAAGGAATTGCATTATTGGAAAAACAGCTTGCAATGATGTCTGACCAATTGAATGCGATGAGAAATAAAAGGACTAGCCTTAAAACGAAAAATAAATCGGGAAAATCGAAAAAAGGAAACTCGAAAAAGTCAGGTTATCGAAATGAAGAACGCTTGCGTATTCTATCGTTTGATCAACGATCAGAATTAGCACAAAAAATTAATCTTCTTACTGGTAGTAAGCTTGATACAGTTTTACGCATTATGAAGGAATCTATGCCGGAATTAGAGGATGTAAGAGAGGGATTTTTTTTTTCGATAAGTTTTATCTTACTTATTATTTAGCAAACGGATGAGATTGAGCTAGATATTGATTCAATGACACCCCGAACTCAAAGTCGGCTTTGGAACTTTGTAATTCTTAATCAACTTCCAAATACACCTATTGGTCCTGCTAAAGCAAAACCTATTGCTCCTAAAAAAAATCGTACTGTTTTATCAGAGGCAGAACAATTACGTCAGATAAAACATTTAGAACGGCAATTATCGAGATTCGAAGATAAAGGAAATGGTAATTTCTTCCATAATCTTAAACAATACGGATTTAACCATCTTCTAGGCAAATATATTTCAAGTAATTCTGGTACAGAGGATTCCTCTTCTGAAACTGAATCAAGTAGCGCTGAAGATTAAAAATTAAAATGAGACCTATGATTTCCGAAAATATTGTATAAATAAGATATATATATATATGTGTATTATGTTTGTTTGTATACGCTTTTGTAAATATTGGTTATGAAATATGTTGATGGGTTATGAATAAAAAAAAGCTTAAAGGAAATTAATTTTTACTAATTTTTTTCGATTTTTACTGTTTTTTTTTTAAAACAATTATGACTATCAAAGGTTAAGAAATATTAATTAGATTTCTATCATTCTTCTGATAGAGATTTTAAACAGGTTCTACACGTGAAAATCGTATTGCAGCTCATTCACATATACGAAATTTGGGTCTTAAAGAAGATGGATCAGCAGAACAAGTTTCATCTGGATGGGTTGGTCAACAACAAGCTCGTCAAGTAAGGGAGATAAAGAATTATTATAATAAATAAGTCTAAAGAAGGTCATAAAAAGGCATGCGGACTTGTAGTGGATTTGATTAAGTCACGAAAAATGGCAGGACGAGGAGTTTTATTAGCAGGCGGGTCAGGAACCGGGAAAACAGCATTAGCACTTGCAATTGCACAGGAACTTGGATCAAGAGTTCCATTTTGTCCGATGGTAGCAAGTGAAGTATATTCGAATGAAATTAAAAAGACAGAAGTATTGATGGAAAATATTCGACGATCAATTGGTAAGATATTTGGAATATTTATGTAGAAAAAGGGATAATCCAGTATTTATTTAATGAAGAATGACATAGGGATATGTCAGAGTTAAATTAAATATATTTTATTTATTTTTTTTTTGGATGTATAGGGATATATTTGAGATGAATATATATAACATTTATTTTTTAGAAGAAAATATATGGAAAAGGATTAAAATCGGGAATATACAAATACTGGAAGCAAAATATTGTTTTTATGAGGCCTTTTTTATATTTTGAATAGGTTGACTTATATTGTTTTATTATAGGTTTACGAGTTAAAGAAACAAAAGAAGTTTATGAGGGAGAAGTATTAGAGATAACACCAGAAGAAGCTGAAAATCCTCTTGGAGGATATGGAAAAACCATTGCACATGTTATTATTATTCTTAAAACATTTAAAGGCACAAAACAACTTAAACTTGATCCAAGTATTTATGAAAGTATTCAAAAGGAACGAGTAACAGTTGGGGATGTAATTTATATTGAAGCGAATACGGGTGCAGTTAAAGTAAGAGAATTTTCTATAAAAAAAGTGTTTTTTTGAACTAAAAACATATTTTTAGAGAGTTGGACGTTCAGATACATATGCTACAGAATTTGATTTAGAAGCAGAAGAATATGTTCCAATTCCAAAGGGAGAAGTGCATAAAAAGAAAGAAATTGTTCAAGATGTAACTTTACATGATTTAGATATAGCAAATGTGCGACCTCAGGTATTCTAAAGAATAATAAATATATTTTTATTGAAAATGAAAGGGTGGACAAGATATTATGTCTATGATGGGGCAAATAATGAAACAAAAACGAACAGAAATTACGGATAAATTAAGGAAAGAAATTAACAAAGTAGTGAATAAATATATTGATCAAGGAATTGCTGAATTAATTCCGGGTGTATTATTTATTGATGAGGTTTTTTAAGAAGTCCATTTTAACACTTTAATCAATATTTTTTTTTAGGTGCACATGCTTGATATTGAATGTTTTACATATTTGAACCGTGCTCTTGAATCTACAATAGCTCCAATTGTAATATTTGCATCAAATCGTGGGATGTGTGTAATCAAGTAAGATTTATTCATATTAAAAAATTAAAAATAATTAATATTAAATAAGAGGAACAGAAGATATTGTTTCGCCTCATGGAATCCCTATAGATCTTTTAGATAGGCTTTTGATTATTCGTACACTTCCTTATACATCTGAAGAGATCAAAATTATTATTCGTCTTCGCGCAAAAACAGAAGAACTTCAAATAACAGAAGCAGCTTTAGAAAAATTGACAGAAAAAGGAGTAACATCTAGTTTAAGATATGCAATTCAACTTCTAACACCATCGAGTATTTTGGCAAAAGTTAATGGAAGACAGGAAATAGACATTCATGATATTGAAGAATCCATTGCTCTTTTCTTAGACGGTAAAGAAAGTGCAAAAGTAGTACATACACATGACAAACGTTTTATAAAATAAAATGGTTATTTTGTATTTAATTATAATCATTTTTTTGAATAATGTATAAATAAATTATTAATCATAAAAATATGAAAAGAATGAAGGATTTAAAACTTATATACAAGAATAAATACACTTAAGTCAATTTGTTCCTAATATTTCTATTAAAAAATAAAATACTCCAAATAACATACCATATAATTGCAAATATAAGAAATACCAAAACAAAAATAATCAAATACGTTATTAATTTATTTGTCGTTACCCTTTTAAAATTAATCATCATAAATCTTTCTTATTTAAATATATATCATCATTTACCTTCGTGCCATTGTTTTTAATGTTCTCATAGACTTGTCCACATAACTATCCGCTTCAATAAGCTTAAATTCTTAGATTAATCTTTTTCCTCATTATACAAAAAATACCGTATTTTTCGTCATAATAATTTGTTCTCTTTGATATCCAAGATCTCTCAATATATTCGCTCCTATTTCTTTCGTCTCATCTGCAATACGTTGCGCATTTTTCAATCTTTCTGAATTTTCCTCAAGCTTCCTAGTACCACTAAGAAGCCTATTTCTTTGATCTAGAGACTCCAAATCTTGGTCTAATACAAACGGTTCTCTATATTGTTCATATCGACAAAGTGACTCCTGTACTCAATATCATCAATAAAAATACCCTCAAAAATATACACAAAAACATACAAATTCTTTACGCATATTGTTTATTTCTGTCATTCGACTCTGTATTCTCGTTTTTTTCTGCAAACGCAGTGATAATGGAACACGAAGAACTTCAATCTCCATTTGACCAATCTAGCTCCTTTTTTAACCAAAAAAAACAAAAAAAAACTACAGATCCCCTTACAATCTCATTCGCTTCCTCTAGAGCACGTTCTATCGCTCCAAATCCCCTTTTTTTCCCCTCTAAAAACTTATTAACAAATATACTTAATCTTCTTCATTTACCTTCATTCTTCTCACGTATACCCACAATTAACCCCTCAATATCCCCTAAAACTACCCGTAGATCTTCTTCATATCGTTCAAAATTACTAATTGGCTCTTGTTCCATAGCTTCTCTGCCAAATCCTAAGTTATCATTCGTCGTCGTTAAAGCCTCTCCACAGACTCCCCGTTGTCATCACAACGGCCAACGACAAAAAATATCAAAGCCTATAAAAACCTCATAAATAGGCCTTAATAGCAGGTAAATGACGAATTCAAGCAGCTCAGAAGGATCGGACAGGAGGGTTCATATTGTAGTCCGTTTTTCAAGCGGAAAAAATGACGTCAGATTGAGTATTGACGAAGAAAAAACAATACGGCAGCTTAAGGAGCGATTGAGAGAGATGGAGCCAGAGATGCTTTATAAAAGGACTCTACGTATCATATACCTTGGTAAAATTCTAAGGAATGACTGGGTTTTATCGGAAGTCCTGAATAAACAATGGATAAATCGGTCGGAAGTGATATTTCATTGTAGTATTGGTGGAGAGGTAGAAAGAGGGGAAGATGAAGAGCGTGAGGTAAATTCTCGATGGAGTGAATATGGGGATGTAGTAGCGTTGCGGCTAACGTGTTTTTTATTTTTTGGAGGTGTCATATGGTTCGTCTATTACACCGTTACCACTTGGGTTTGATCGATTACGGGAGGTGGGATTTTCAGAGCGAGAGATTGGGTTATTAAGGGAGCAATTTATGATGATTCATGGGGGGGAGTTGGGGGAAGGACAGACGGAACCTGCGTTGCAATTGGAGGAAGATTGGATTAATGAGACTACAGGAGAAAATATAGTACAAGAAGGACGTAAGGAATTGAGGAAGAAATAAGAAGTATTATATGTAATAATTATGTGTTTAGATAGGGCGTATGAAGATATGATATTAGGGGCGAGTATTGGATTTATTGGGGTAAAATTTTGATGAATAGAATGAAGGGAAAAAAAGATTAATGAAGGATAATTAGGGGATAATTACATTATTTTTTGTTTGGGAACCGAAAATATTTTATCGAAGAAGACAGATGGCAGTAGTAGCAGGGATTATGATTAATCTTTTTTTTGGGTTTTTAAGATTATAAAAAAAACGGTATGTAAAAAAATAAAAACAGTATTTCGAATATATTATACACCTTTACTCATTAGCGGCAATTATTTTAGTTTTTTTCTAATATAATTATGGGTCTAGTCCTGTATATCAGAACATCTTCGTACATGACGTTTTAAATCCAATTGAATAAGATCATCAACGGCTTCTTCGAAATATTAAATAACAATATTATACATGATTTTTTTTACCTTGAATATCTTCACGTATATGTGTATTTCCTGTAACAGATATAACCCATGGTATAAATTTTTCTTCGGGAAATATTTTAAAGTCACGAAGGACATACCATAAACAAGTACTTGATAATGTTTGTGGATCATACAATGTAGAAAGTCGATAATCTGACATACTTTTAAAGAATTAAAAAAAGTTTAAAACATACGCATCCATAATACAACAACGTACATAGCGTCCAAGAGAAGTATTCATCAAACATGCATCTTTATGAAGATTAGATTCAGTAATTTCTACTTCTAATGCAGTTAATGTTAAATTAAGTGCTTTTTCTAAATATGAAAAAGGTAGTATAATTCTCAGATCAAATTTAACAATTCTTAATAAAAGAAGTTCAGCGTCAACGACTGAATCTCTTAAAGAATCATAAAACTCTGAGGGAAATGTTAACTTTGGTTTAGTTGGATTTAATATTCTAAAAATATTAAAAATTCAAAAAAAAAAAAAACAATTACTACGAATAAGCAGGAACAAGGAATTCTCTCATACGTCTAAACTGTTCTGTTGCTTTAGATGCAAGCGGAAGGGACGCAATAGCCAATGTCTATAACATAAGCTATTCATCAAGAATAGATCAAAAACATACATAGTCATCCAACAAACGTAATAAATTGTCTTCATTTACTTTTTCTAACCATCGATAATATTTATGGTAATAAATAGAAGCAAGCATAGCGGTTTCTTCAGGTTTATTAATATTTAATACATTTTCAAATATTATAAAATTTTAATGTTTTTTTACAGTCGCAATATGCTTGATAATAAAATGAAGAAAGGATAAAAAGGAATTCTTATATCTTCAGTCATAAATCCTTCGTTTTTATTACAAAATTCTCTATTTTCATATTCTTCAGCCTTTTAGGACTTTATTTGATCTTTAAAAGTTCGGGTAAGTTTAGAAATTTAAAAGATAAATTAAAAAAAATAAGTTTAATATTTTTAGAATTTAAAGAATTTTTATTTCCTTATAAAATTCTTTAATGAATTTTATCTTTTTATTTAAATAAGGTTAAATTTTGAAAGAATTAAAAATTAATTATTTATATATATTAAAAAACAAAAAAAGATTAGCTAATTATTAAATGGAAATGGTATTAAAAAGTAAATATATATCTTGAAAATTCATGTTATGAGCTTTTCATTTAGTATTTAAAGATCAAAAACATTTTTTTTTTAGCGCTAAAATTTTTAACATATAAAAGATGATATTTTTTATCTTTCATTAACAATGCAATTGACTGTTTAGTTCATTTAGATTTTTTATGTAAGAAGACTATTAAAAATAGTCTAATTTGAATATTTTTTTAAATTCAATTATTTTCAATATGTTTTCAAACAAAATCTATCCAATAGATGAATGGCTTCAAAAATAATTTGCCATTTATAATAGAAAAATAACCTTAAACTAGAAGATTAAAGCAAACAAATTTAACAACGAATTATGAAACATGTACAAAACATGCCATATATATCAAATATTTCCAACATATATTCTGCTAACACATGCCCTATCAAAATAATCTAAATAAGAATTAGTAATTCTTATGAAACCATAGCTAAATAATAAAAAAAGAACCTTTTCTAATTTTGTGTTCGAAATATAATTTTTCGTCTATATATGATTTTTTATCTATGGCTGTTATTTTTAAAAAATAAGAATCATTTATGCAATCTCAGCATATGCAAACAAGAGCTCGGATTATTCATGGTGTATACATAAGGATTACTTATATGATTTCGGCATATAAAATGGCGAAAAGCATCTAAACAAGTTGAAATGTATTAGTGGACTCACTTAGAAGATTTGTATATGTCTATATATAAATAAAGCCCAAAGGCTTTTAAGTATTTAAAAGGGAAAGAGTTATTTCGCCGGTACCAGTATTTACATATGTTGAGACGGTTCAATATATTAATATTTATAAGTCAAATTGTTGCTCAAATTTTAAGAATTGAGCTTCGTTCCAATGCTTCTACCATTTCCAATCGCCATGCTAATGCTTCTTTTGCTTCTGAATATGTCATCCATTTACGTACACGCTTGTTCATCTCAGGGTATTCATCTTCAAGACGCTCAACATCTAATTCAAAATATTGAAACACTGCACGAGGTGGAATGCACGAATCATGAAATACATACGGATGACTTTCTTGCATTACATATTTTACTGCTCTTTGAAATGTTTTTGCTGGACGAGGATCATGCATCATTCCAAGCGAACATGTAATTTTTCCAACAATCCCAGCTGTTCATGTAAAAATCTATCAACAAATATACGTCTCAAAAAACCTTCTTCCCATGCCTCACGCAATGCCGCTTCTTCAATTAACTCATCAATTTCCCACCCACCTTTCGGTAAAACCCATAATTGTTTGTTATTCGTCGAACTAATACACAAAATATACTTTCTTTCCGGATATCCCGGATGCGTTTTAGCTGATGAAAGTGGAACAATTCCTGCTACCAGTCTAATTCTCAATTAATTCATCTTAATCATCTTAATCAATACCTTGCGCCTGTTTCATCACTAAATATATTAGAAAAAAACCCATTTTCTTATATAAATAGCCACTTACTATCGTTCTTTCGTACGATCTGTTCTAGAAATCATAGATCTCTTAACAGGCGTGACAATCGCTTTCACGTCTGTTCTTTCCCCTTGAAAATCGGCCATATGAAACGCTTTTTTTCCGGGAAAAAAGCCACACGCACTCCTTTACAAGCAAGAACTGCCTGATTATATCCTTTTATTCTAAAAACGCTCCTAAAACACCCTAAAACGCTGCCACCACTTGAGTCTTTTTTTTTGACGTTGAGATCTCGGGTACGTCAAATAACGCTGATCCCGAGCCTTAATTAACAGCCTCCGCTTAAAAAATTAATAAGAATCTTAACAAAAGTTAAGAAATTAGAAGGAATTGTTAAGAAAAAGTTAAGAAAGGTTAAGAAAGGGTTAAAAAAAGTTAAAAAAAGTTAAGAAATCTTAAGAAAAAGTTAAGAAAAAGTTAAGAAATTGTTAAAAAATCTTAAGAAAGGTTAAGAAAAGGTTAAGAAGGGGTTAAAAAAGTTAAGAATGGGAGTAGAATTTGTTAGATTTCTGGGATATTCCAGTGACCGATGTGGATATTGTGGTTTAGAAGGAGAGAGTCATAGACAAGATGTTGTTTATAGCCCAGAAAAAGGATTAGAAACCATTGGAATGTGGGCGTATACAATGAAATGTCAGGTTAAGTTTTAATAAAAGAGCGAAATAAGAGAGAATATCGAATAGGAATAAGATATCTCAAGAAGAAGCTCTTATTTCTTACCAGTCAGTATTCTGATACAAACAAGACATATGAAGTATTATTAAACCGAGGATGGAGGTAGAGGGAAATTTTTATGTAATTTTATAAATTATTTATGAAATAAGACGTTCTGGACATTATATATACAAGCCGAATGGTAAGCGATCATGTTGTAAATTATATACGATTAGGTGTGTTAAAAATGGGAGAAGGAATTATACAGTAATAAGTGTTGTAGATTAGACGTGGAGAAGTTTAAACCGAATAAAAATCAACGAAGAGCGGTTAAACGATTATATCAACATATTTGGAATAAAACAGTACCAGAAAAGCAAGGATGGGATTTGTTTGATATAATACGTGAAATAGAAACGGAAGATATGATAGATGATAGATCTATATTTTGTCATAGATTTAAAGTGACAATTGAGTCGAATGAATATACGGATGAAAAATATGCATTATATGTGAATTATCAAACATATATACACAAAGAACCGGAAGATCGAATAAAAAAAAAAGGATTTATCAGATTTTTGTGCGATACGCCTTTAAAATATGAGCCAAAAACGGGGTGTGGTACATTTCATCAATGTTATCGACTTGATGGAAGATTAATTGCTATGGGAGTGATTGATATTTTACCAGGAGGAATATCTAGTGTTTATTTTATGTATGAAAACAATATACAAAATATGTGTTTAGGAAAAATAAGCGCATGTCGAGAAATAAGTTTAGCAAGAGAAAGAAAATGTCAGTTTTATTATATGGGTAAAAAAATAAAAGGTATAAAGGGATATTGATTTATTGATTCTAGGATATTATATTTATAATCATCAAAAAATGAAATATAAGGGAGAATATCATCCAAGCGAGTTATTAGATCCAGTATAAAAATAAAATGCATTAAAAATGTTACTAACAACTTTAGGAAACATATAAATGGATACCACTTAAAAGATATCTAGAGCATTGGAAACTAGGTGGGTCATTATATATCTCATTTCATACTTTAGAGTCCACACCAAACATATTATCGTCTATGTGTGATGTTTCCCATCCAGATTCATTATATATCGAGACTTTAGAAAACGAAACAACAAAACATTCACAAAAGTATAGAAATAGTCTTTTTAATTATGATGTCCCGGGCATTTTAAAGGAAAACGATGTTCAAAACCTTGATCTTGAAAAAATACTTGTTTTCGAAGATATGAGAATCGTACCCGTAAGCCATTCGAAATATTATAAATCTGAAGAAAGTGTTAGACATATGATTATGGAAAGTGTTTCTGCAGTAGGAATAGAATTAGCCAAAAAGTTATGTTTTATAATCAATATATAACATTCTTATTTAATTTTTTAACCCTCAATTTTTATCGTGTATTATTATTTTTTTAACATTGTTTCAATCTTCTCATTCAATGGCGATAAATTAATTATACGAGGATCCGCTAATCTAGGAACTTGTGTTTCTACATTACTATCAAGAACTGTTCCTTGAAATTTTTCCTTAATATGTTTCTGCATTAATTCTAATCATTTAATTAAAAAAAAAATATATACATAAAATTTTTAAAAAAATTACTGTCTAGCCATCCTATACTCATATTACCCGGTTTAGACTCTTGACCTGACAGTTGTCGAAGTTCTGCTGTAAAATTCCCCTTACACCAATTCAAAAATATTTCTATCGGTTCAACATCATCTTCTGCTGATGATACCCCTAATAATCCAATACTCTCCATTGCCGCTCGTAAATCTTCCATTTCAACTAATGGTCGTCCTGATATTTCTGCAAAGTGCTTCGCTGTCGTACCCAATAAAACAAGGTACCGAATAAAAATATCAGTAAAACTATCCGCTACTACCGGTTTTGCACGAGTAATTCCTGCTGAACGCAGCACTTGTATAGCTGATATTCTTGCTAACGAAAAAAAAAACCTTTCTCTCATTATTTTCTCTAAATTTCGTCCTTTTTTTCCCGGAAAAAAACCAGTAAAACACTTTACTACTTCTTCTCAATAAAATTTAAGGAATATCTCGCAAATTCTATCGTTTTCCCCCTCATTCATAGACTTTAATACTCTTTAATCTTTTTATATTTTTCTTGACGTCGACCTGCTCTCTCTCATCGACAGCCAAAAAACTTAAAAAAAATCTAAGTATATGAGGAAGACTCTATAAAGGCTGATGGACAGTCGTGAAGGGCCTCAAATAACAATAAGAAGCCTTGGAAAGCACAATGTTGACTTTGTATTATCCAATGTAGATCTTGCGTATGAAATTAAGAAATATTAAGATTATGTTTAAGATATAAATAGATTTGCAAACTCTCTTAGACGGATTATCTTAGCAGAAGTACCTACTATTGGTTTGTATTATAGTAAGAAAAGAGTTTTTTTTGTTAAAAACGGATTAGCAATTGATTTGGTAGAGATAGAAATGAATACGTCGGTTTTAGCAGATGAATTTATTACACACAGACTAGGAATGATACCTTTGCATTCATCTAATGTAGATGATAAATTAGTGTATACGAGAGTAGTTTTATGGGTTTTTTTTTGAAAAAAAAGGGTTAATTTTTGAAGGATTGTGATTGCGATCAATATTGTAGAAAATGTTCAGTTCAGTTAAGTTTATATGCTAAATGTACGGGAGATGGTACTATGGATGTATATTCAAGAGATCTTGTAGTTGAAAACAATGCTACTATTGGTACGCCGGTGATTGATGGTAAAGAATATAGTGTAATATATATATATATATAATATATATGATAGACCCAGAAGGAAAAGGTATTTTGATTTGTAAGTTGAGAAAAGCACAAGAATTGAAGCTTAAATGTATTGCAAAGAAGGTTAGGAAAAAAGTGTTGTATTATGGTGGACTAAAAATAAAATAGGGAATAGCAAAAGAGCATGCAAAATGGTCACCAGTTTCTGCTATTGCCTTTGAATATGACCCATGGAATAAGCTTAGACATACAGATTATTGGTTTGAAGAGAGTTCAGAAGCGGAATGGTCAATATAAAAACAATTTTATTTAAATAATTAATAAAAATAGGCCCAAAAGTAGAAATACTGATTGGGAAGAAGCACCAAGAGATAAAACATTTGATTATACAGCAGAACCAAATAAATTTTATTTTGGAGTTGAAGTTAGTAATTAAAATAAGCTTTTTATTTTAATGAAAAATATTAGACAGTGGGGTCATTGCCACCAAATGAGGTTATTTCTCAGGGTATAAAATACCTTCAGGTAAAACTGGCTACAATTGTAAGGGATTTACAAAGAGGTGGAGTGGAAAATATGGGAATTGGAGCAGTAGGTTTTGGCGACGATATACATCTTTCAAACAAAACTTTAAATGGATGGGGAAAAACGACATGGGATTAAATAATTTATATTAAAAAAAAAAAAGAAACATCAGAGATATAATTGGACTATATATAATGCATCTAAATAATAAGTTTTACAAATTTTTATAATTCAGAAACCTTTTTTATACAGCACTTTTGCCAAAGTTTCTTCTCTTCTTCTAAAATAATCTATAAAATATTATTTTATATCTTAAACTAAATGGATCTATTTACAAAAGTAATAATTGTATGAGGACCCAATCTTATAAAAGATGGCATCCAGCCTCTAAATACAAATTTTATTCCTTCTTTTTTGATTTCTTCCTTAAAAACAACAAACATGTTTTTATATTTATCTGAACTCATAACTCTTGATCTCATTACATCTAGTGGAGAACATCTATTTTTTTAAAATAAAGTCATTTATATTTCTATACGAACATTGTAGTTGCAACAAATCCAGCTAATACTGCAGACTAATAAATTAAAAATAAATAAATAAATATATATATATTTTTATATATACCAAAAAATTCCTTGAAATTCCTTTTGAGAAATAACCAGATTCCCCTAAGATTTCTTTAAATTGATCATAGCTAGATAATTGACTTGCTGTGACAAGCATAGCTCTCGTTGTATTAGGAAGTATTCCTCTAAAAAAAGAAAAAAGTCCCTCATATTTGAACATTGTATATAACCCATGAAATACATTTTTATAGTTCCTTCTTTGTTTGTATGGTAATGAATTATCATTTTGCATACGAATCTATTTTATTCAGAAAAAGTAAACTTGTATTTAGAAAATACATTAATTATATCCATTGGATTACTAACAATTCCTCCAATACTATTAAAGTAAGTTGATGATATTTCAATACAAGTTTTATACGCTCCTGATACTGTTGCTATACAAACAAGTGTACTAAATGTTGGTGATTTACCTATAATATAAATATACATATATATTATAATAAAATATATACCTGTTTGTTCTGAAATTGTACCTTTTAGTTCATGATATACTCCAAAACGTACTGTAGAATATGTTGCTTGACGTAAAATACTAGCTGTTAATCCACTATACATAGTTTTAAACCCTATTAAAATGGTTCAATTCCATTTCTAAAACAACCCTCTTCTACCTTCATAATATAAAATATTCATAATTGTCCCAGTTAATCCTGTTAACCTTTTTTTGCTTGTCTGCATTCTTACTTTTATAAGATCCAAAGGATGCTAACAAAATATAATTATTTTATACACAAAAATATAGTTCTACTGTAATAAAAGTAGCTATACAACTTGCTAATCCTGTAAAATAGTTAGTTAAAAGACTTTTAACAATATATTCACCTCCAAACCAAAATCTATGACTATTAGCTATCTTTTAAAGAAAAAAAAAGAATAAAAAATTACGGGAATTCCTTCTCCTTCATATTTTCAGTGATATTTATCTTCATTCTCAAGATTTTAAGCTTCTTTAAACATTTAATAAAGAATTTTATAAAAATATACCTGTTAATCAAAAAAAAAAAGTGGTTGTGCCCTAAAAGACATAAATAACATGCTTCCTGTACCTATTCTGTACCAGTACTACTTGAAATATTTCTTAAAAGAACTTAAATAAGCACAATAATCTGATAAAGAATGACGTAAAAATTAAATCTTAACTTTAGGAATAAATGATCCAAAGAAACACAATCTTTCAATGGAGCAAATATATAACCCAGCGAAAACACTTTAGATTTCCTACTGTTCTTAATTTTTTTTGCTTTTTACATACAAATCCAAGAATTCAATCTAGAATACGTAATCAATCTGTTTTACTCTATACAGGCTCTGTTTTATTTGGGATTTTTGGTATTTCCTATGCATCTGTACCTCTATACAGGATGATCTGTCAGAAAATGGGATGGGGTATTTAGCTATTTCTCTTAAAAAACCTGATTTATATATTAGCTGGTACACCCATTGTTGATGGTTCAAAATTTACACCAGATAAGATGATTCCTATACATGATGCAGAAAGAATAAGGATTACATTTAATGCAGATGTTTCAGATTCTCTTGAATGGGAGTTTGTACCATTGCAAAAAGAAATCTATGTTTTACCTGGAGAAGTAAATGATCTATTTAAATAATATGATTATTCTAATAATAAATGAAAGACAGCATTAGGTAATATGTTTTTGGAGGGCAATGTGCAATTTTTTTAATATTAAAAGCATTTTATACTGCACATAATAAAAGTGATAAAGATATTATTGGTATATTTATAAATATGAATTGAATTGATTCTGAAAAGAATTAGGTATCTCTACATATAGTGTTACACCTGCACAGGTATGAGGATTATGAATATATATAAAGTATGTTAGTAATTAGTTCTAGGCAGCACCATATTTTTCAAAAATTGCATGTTTTTGCTATGAGGGTATGAAAATCTTTAAAAAAAAAGAATCTAATAGATGAAAGAACAAAAACTGAATGCGGGTGAATCGGTTGATATGCCGGTATGTGTATAAAATTGAATTGAATAAATGTTAATTGATATTTTAAAGGTTTTTTTTTTCATTGATCCAGATTTTGTTAAAGATCCATTTGTGAGAAACATCAGAACAATAACATTATCATACACTTTCTTTAAAGCATCTCATGTAAAATTAAATAATTTGATAAAAGCATAAATAAATATAATGGAGAAAATAGTATAATTTTAAAACTACTATATAATATATAGCATAGTACATTTAAAATAATCTAATAAGATTTCTATATATTTTTATCAAAAACATTTATTTTTTTATTTTCACATAACTTTTAACAATTGTTAATGCGTTTCAATATAAATCTATTTTATTTAATATTTTGATAAATTAACTATTTGTATACTATTGAAAGTTATTTTATATTAACTAATACATCCATTTATAAAACATATCTTTTATTTTAGATTCAAAAATATGTAATATTATTTTTAAATAAAAAACATTGATATATATATATATAATCTTTATAATTCTCATCTTTAATAACTTTTATTTATATCTTTTATTGTTTATATAATATTATTGATAGTAAACTTCTGCTTTCTATAAAATTGATCCAAAATATTAAATAAGTATGAATATATATAGAGATTAAATTTTATTTTAGATTTTTTTAAGTTATAAAAGGTAATAAAAAATAAAATATATTATATATCAAACGCATTTAAGATCAATTAAGTAATCAATACTAACTTTCTATATAACGCAATCATTATTACTTTATTAATACTATATATTTATTATTTTTTAAAAAAAAATCAAATATTAAAACATCTTAATTATTTTTCTCTTAATAATATTTATTGGATATACAATTATCCAACTATTTCATGATTTTATAAATAACTACAATTAAACAATTTTAAAATAAAACTTATGTCAATTATTTTAAAACATTTATATAATATATTAAACGAAGATAAAAAGTATTGTTAAAATGTTTTACATATAATATTAGTTATTTATATTTCTTTTTACTGTTTCAATTAAATATATTTCTATTTTTAATATTAATTTTAAAAATCTAATTTAAAATAATTAAATAATAGAAACAAAATTTCATTAAAATTATTTCAAATAATATATCAAATTAACAACTCCAAATCATAAAGAAATATATAATTAAAACATAAAATCTAATTATAAAAACAATACAATCTTTTAAAAATATTTTTACAAAGAAAAAAACATTATTTAATAAATTTATTTTAAACCTTATAATTTGACAAAAAAATTATTCTTTTATATTATCTCCAAAAAATTCAAATAAACTTAATCAATAATAATATATTATTTAAGTTAACTGAATTTTATTTTTTTGTTCAATATTAATATTTTTTTAAAAATTCTTATATTTATATACTATAAAAAAATCAATTTCTTAAATCATTAAGATAATATTTAAAATATTTAATAAATAATTCTAACAATAAAAATGTCTGAAGAATTAAAGTATGTTACTTATTAAAATTAAAAATTTAGCTAAAAAATAATAACTTTAGACAACTTAAAACAGCAGGATTTGATGGTAATTTTCCTAATATGAACCAGGTACTATAGCTTTTTAGATAGTTAAAATTTTTTGTTAATTATAAATGCACTTTTTGTGCTCTAAAATAGACAAAGGTAAGATAATATTTTTAAGAATATATAAATAATCATTATCAGCGTTGTTATCAAAATTATATTAATTATTATAAGTGTATTAATATACACGGTGAAGATCATGTTGCTTGTAAAGATTTTTGGTCTACATATCAGAGTTTATGTATAAATTATTCTTTTCATCTTTTATTATAAATAACATAAAAAGGCCCTAACGAATGGAAACAACAATGGGATACACAGGTAACTTAATTTATCATCTATTTACCATTGTTTAATCATTTTTTAATAGAGAGAAGCGGGTATATTATTTTAAATTTATAAAATTCAATAATATTTTAGGAAATTTTCCTGGAATACTCGAATAATACTCAAACTATACATAAAAAACTAAATATCATAAATAGACAGCATTATCCTCGGACTCGCATACGAATAATATAGTAAAGTCTTCAATAATTCTTTTTATAGAAATAAATTAAATTTTATATCATCTTTTACTTATAAATTAATAATACATTCCCTAATTTTTACTTATATCCTACAATTCATCCCACATAAATAGAAATTTCATCATCAAGCTCAAGTCCTAAAATATATCTTTTAAAATTTAATTACATTCATAAAATATTTACATAAAGCCTAAGACTTATTTTTACATTATTATATATATATAATTACAAATAAATACACTCTTAACATGACTATCTTGGAATCTTTTTCATTCTTTATAACTTCTAAAGTTCAAAATATAAAAATCTTCATAAAATACACAAAACTCCCTTTTAATAAACAATTTATATACAAAAAGTTTCCATAAATTATTTCTCAAATATCATTCTTCTTTTTCAATAATTTTCTTCTTAATCTTTCTTCACAATTATAAACTTATGATTCTACATAATAACCTTTATCTGGACGTCTAAGTTCCCTCATTTCAGCTGTTGTCAAGCGTTTATCTACTTCCTCAACCGAAACAAGCTCTTTAACCTTCAAAATCTTCCCTGCTGTTACCGGCGAAATACTATGATAAACCGTTGACAATCTTTTACGTAAACCTAATGATAATAATACCCGCTTAATATTTCTTGGTAAACCAATACAAGATCCTACATTTCTATTAGATATTTAAGATATTTAATAAGAAATAATACTCTGAAGTGTTATTTTAAAATAACCCATTATTTTTTAATAGACGTCGACCTTCTATCAAGACGTATTTTTTAAATAAATGGAGGAACCATTAGAATCAGCTATTAAATGGTAAGAAATACAATAAATAAGAAGATTTTACTTAAGAAATATATAGTATTGAGGAGCTTTTGCGGCAACCAGATGTAAGGATTAGATATAAGTTAGTTTTATAACGTTAAGATGAATAGGATTTATACAAGTTGGATAACTTGATTACACAGTTTTCCCGAAAGAAATCATCAGTAGATGCTCAAATGAAGGCAATTATTAAGGACCAGTTGTCTGTTATTCGAGTAATAATGAAACACGTTATTAATTTCAATAAATTAATGGGATATTTAGTCAGGATTGGCATTTTTAACATCTACACAGCAACAGATGTATTATATAAAAGATAACATGCTTAAGGTGATAAAAATCAGTGTTAAGGGTTATATTTATGTTTTAGATTGATAAGATGTTTTCAGAATCAAGAATGATAGAAAAGTTTTCTATAATAGATAATGTTAATTTAAAGAGAAAAAGGAAATAAAATAACATTTATAGGCATCTAAAATTTATAAGAATTTTAATGATGTTCAAAAAATGACAGAAAATCTACGAAATATACCGAAAGAATTAGATAAAATAGATAAAATGATGAAACAAGATGAAGAGGGTTATTCTGAAAATTTAAGTTTTTTTTATATTAAATTATCTTAGATGAAACATTAAGAATGCAGAACTTTTTAAATATTCATTATAAACTTATCCAATTGCAGAATTTTAGAGATCAAGCAATGTATCAAAGTAGAAATGCAGGTCAAGATGTTCAAAGAATACTTGAACGTTATTTTTCTAGGTTAGATTCTGTTTCAAAATTATTTGAAAATATGCTTTGGATCCTTACACAAGATATTTTGAAAATTGTGAGAAATGGGAACAATGATTTGGTTATACGCTTGGCTAAAGTTATTGATACAGAAGATAGACTTGATAGAGAATTTTCAGAAATTGAAAAATTAAAAGAAAATAATAAAGAATTGGCATCCAGGCTTAAAACAATTCATGATTGTCCACGTATTCCTCGTAATTATAAAGAACGATTCTTCAGGGAAATAAAGACTTCTATTGATATAAGTTTAAAGGAATTCGAAGAAAAATTTAAATATGATTATATAGGGATTTTAGAAAATATCTTTTGGATATTCGATGATTTGCATCTTGTAAACCGAGAAATCATTAATCTTGTACCACTTAAATGGAATATATTTGAAGTTTTTCTTAACTTTTATCATGCTGGTATATATGATATCTTAAAAAATATAATGTACGATGAACCAGATGCAAAAACTATTCTAAAAGTATTGGAATTTGTGAAGAAGTATTATTCAAAAATGAATAAGGAACTTGGAATTACTCGGGATAAATTAACTCCTAAACTTTTAGATGGAAATGAAACAGAAATTGTTGATGATTATTTGAGATTAATTGTTAAAAAAATGAAAGAATGGGTTTCTAACTTATCAAAAAAGGAGTTTAATAGCTTTATTAGAAGAGAAGAACAACCAGAAGTTGATGCTGACAATTTATATGGCATGCCTGGTGCTGTAATAATGTTCCAAATGATAAGTCAACAAATGGATGTTGCTGCTGAGAGCAATCAAAGCAGAGTGCTTCTAGGGGTTGTTTTAGAATGTTCTAAGATACTTCAACAACATAGAGATGCGTGGGGGGATCTTTTGTATTCCGAAGTTACAAAACAAATTGAACAACCTAATGATATTCCAGCTGGTTTGGTTGAATATATCATTGCATTAGCCAATGATCAAATACGTTGCGCCGATTATACTGAAGCCATTTCAGCACGCATTTTGCCTTGGGTCTCTGAGAAATACAAATCAGAAATATCAGAATGCCTTAGCAAAACGACAGATGGGTTTCTTGATCTTTCTCATAAGTGTATAGTCTCTCTTCTTAAACTTATTTGCAATGATCTTAAGTCTGCATTTTTATATTTTTTTACTCCAGCATGGTATGGAGGCAATCATATGTCTTTAATCATGGATACATATAGAGAATATCTTGATGATTGTAGATCACATCTTAATGAAAATCTTTTTGGAATTTTGGTAGAAGATCTTTTAACTGAATTTTTAGTTCTATATTTATCATGTGTACGAAATAAAGGCTGCAGGTTTAAAATGCCTAGTTGTGTTGAACAGATAAAAAATGATGTGCGATTAGCATTTGGATTATTTGCACGATTTATAAATCCTAAAGAATTAGAATACCATTTCAATGTTATTGAGAGAATGCTAGCTTTATTATCTACAACTCTCGCATTATTTTTTCAAGATTATATAGCATTTAAAAATGATTATTGGGATCTTCCTTTTTGGTATGTAGAAGATCTTCTGACTAAAAGAGACGACCTTGATAAAAATACTGTAAAAGAAATGCTAGAAACTATAAGACGTGAAGATGCGCAAACTAATGAACCTCAAGATAATAGTATTACAACAATTATGTCAAAACTTAAAAAATAAAGAATTTAAGATATTTTTTATATAATTTAATGATACATAGATAATTTTAGAGAGTAACATTTAAAATTACTGGATTTTTTTTAATTATGTAAGTTAAATGAACTTATTATTTATTTTATGAATAATCTATATTTAATTTTTTTTATTCAATTACACTTTGAAATTTCTTTAAATAAATCATGTATATTAATAGAAAGTAACTATTTTAGACCTAGATTATATAAAAATCATTAAAAAACTAATGTTAATCATTAAGAGATCAATTCTAGCCTCATTTTTGCTTATAGAGAACTATTTGTGAATATATTAAATATTCACAATAAAATAAATTTAATTCTTAAATCATTAATTTATATATAATTCTCTCAATGTATTTGTAATTACAAAAACACAAGAACATTTAAATAGCTTAATTCTTAAATTCACATAATTTTCTTACAATAAATATTTTTTAAAAGTATCAGAAATACATATAAAATACATAAACAATTATTTCCAACTAAATACATGTATCAATCGAAATCTTATGCGATAAAAAATGATCATATGATGTTAAAATTTTCAATAAAGTAACTTGAGCCTTTTGAGATAATTGCATAATTTTCCCTGCTCTAATAGAATTTGATTTCATATTATTAACATACTGTTTCACCTGCCTTTCCAGATTAATAAATGACTTATCATCCGATATCTAAAATGATCAGAATTTAATTCTATAAATAATAATACAAACGTCAAATGCTAAAGAATTATTTTCGTTCAAATTAATCTGAGCAGACGAAAACTTTTGCTCTATTTGATCATCTTGCAATCCTAATAAAGGATGAAGCTAGAAACATTGGTTAAAAAGAGACATTCTATATCATTAAAATACTCTTTTAATCTGTTTTTTTGATTTTTCATCATGTTGTGCATTTTTTGTCAAATCTCGAAAATTCGCCTCTTCTTTAGAAAGTAAGCTTTTTAATATTAGTATATATAATATCTGATCAACATTAGACTAACTGTTTTTCATGACTTAATACTTTTTCTAATCGTGATATTTGTTCTAAATTTGAAATAAGAATAGATTCCAATTCTTGCTAAAAAATATCAATATTAACATAAGAAATAAAAATATTACATTTTTTTCTTTTAATTTTTCATAATTATATTGTTCTTTTGAAGATGGAACCAACAATCTTGAAAGACGATCTCGTATCCTGATGTGATTAAAAAATACAAAAATTAAAAACATACTTATTACTTATTAATCATTATATTTAAATTTCTTTGAGCATCCATCCTCCGTGTTTTGTGACGAATACTCATGATAACTGATCTATAAGATTTAATATAATATAATATATATATATCCCTTAAACCGTTGAATATCTTTCAAAATTTCCACAATTTGGATAAGTGATGATTCTGAAATTCGTGTCCATCGTTTATTTATAACTGATCTCGGGATTCTTCGAATTTGTTGGCGAAGATATGGTATAGTATGTTCTTGATCTTTATAATATTAATTTCTTATCAAAGAAATACAAGCATCTTGTTTGAGCTAAGTAAAAACATACGAAATTTCTCTAGTGGTTGCCTTTTTCTTTGTCTTTGTATATCTGTCTTTAAATGTGGTGAATATTTTTGAAATATTTCTTTATTTTTCAGGTTTCTTGTTAAATCTCTCTGTTTATCATGATTCCCTTGATATATATTATCTTCATTTTCAATCTATTTATATTTAGTCTTCTTTCATCTTATTCATATTTCAATATATTATTTCTTACCATTTTGTTTTTATATTTAACGTTCGAGAAATCTTAAGATAATTTTATAGCCAGAAATATATATTAAATAATACATTAAAAAAGGATTAGTATGCAATGTATAAAGCATTGTTAGAATTAATAAATAAAAATAAAAACATTAATGATTTTTTCTTTTTAAGAAAAAAACAGCGAAAACATCTAACAAAAAATAAGTTATTACTTAGCCTAAGAGAATAAATAACAGGTTTTTTTAAAAAGACAGCCAATGCTTTTTTTAATTCATTTGTTAAAAACATCCGATTGAATAATGACATTGAAGCAATTTAATGTTAAGTAAGGTAATATCGAAATTGTTTTTATAATATGAAATATACACGTTTGAATCCCAAATGTATAAGCGAAAAGGGTATCTTTAATGAAAAAACCGCCATTAAGATCTAAAGATGATTATCGTAAAACATGTGTTTGATTAAAAGTGCTTGATTTTAAAGTAGAGTTAATAAACGACCAATGGTTTCTTTTTTCTAATTGAAATATTTTGTTTAGTTATATTTTCGTATTTTAAAGGATATTTTTCATCAGAAGCGGATAAAATTGGTTTATGATGCATGACATTGAAATTAAAATATAATCTAGACGAATGAAACGGTTGAGAAGCCCGTCTTAAAAGCAATTTATTTTTTGAATCAGTTGAAATATCTCGTTCAGTTTTCTCATTCTTTAAACCATAAGGATGACACATATAACAATTTTTATTCTTTTTTATCCCTCGAATAGTATCTGCTTTTTTTGAAACATCATATGACAAATTCAGGGAATTTTCTGTAAATTTATCCTCATTTTTTTTATGTCCATATAAAACATTAGAATTTGATGAACTCGAAAATTTAAAATCTTTAATTTGAGACAAAGTAGATCCATTAACTATATGATGTCGATGATTAGTAGAACATAGCATTTTGTTCTGATGCATACTGCTATAAGAATCTTTAGTGAATGTAAATACGTCTTGGAAAGGCTGAGCAATTTCCTGAGTATGTTTTTTATTCAATTCTGCATTAAAGGTTTTCGAAGTTTTATCTGATGATTGAAATGTATGAAGAACCACGCTATCTTGACCATTACTTATAGAATAATCAGTCGATTTTGAGTTATATAGGTCTTTGAATTTTGAAATTTCCAATTGTTTATTTTTTTTTCGTAAATGTGAAAAAAGACTCATACTGGGACCTATATTTTTTTCTAATGTATCTACCGCTGAACTTTCTATATCCAAAATGGTTGAATTAAATTGATCTATCTTCTTAGTAGCCAGTTTCGATTCATTTTCATTAACGACCAATGGTTTAATGGACGCATCATTTTCTTTGTGTAATGAAGATTCACCAGACATTTGCACCAATTCATCAATAGCCTTCTCAGAAGCTATTGGTTCTGTTACTAGATCTGAGTTTGCAATTTTACTTTTCCAGACTAGATTACGCCAATGGTGCTTAGAGTGAAATTTCCCCGAATTTACATCAATTTCTAAATGATTATCACTTTGAATGTCTTTATTGTATTTAGATTCTCTTAAATCTGCTGCTTCATACTTTTTTCGAAACCATAAATATTTTAAATTGAAAGACAAGTGTTTTTGAGGCATAGAATGAATATTTGAACATTTTTCATTTGGAATTTGTTTTTTATGCGTATGAGATTCTGTCTTATTAAGATAAAAGTTATGCTGATCGATACTCAATTTTTTATCAATAAGTTGAGATGATACTGGTTCTGATTTTATATTCATTTTTATGATAGATACTTTAATCGAATTGTCAATTTTATTAAAAAATGGATGTTCAAGACTTTGGATACAATTAGGTCTTCGAAGTGGATCCCACTGTATTGTCCATCTAATAAAGGAAGCAAATGATGAAGGCCAAGAATTAGACAGAATAGTTTCTAAAGACATCGGTGGAATCTAATTACTGTTATTATTATTTAAAAAATGAAAAAAAATACCTTTGGGAAAGAAAATCCAAGTTTTTCTGCTAACTTTAATCCTTTTTTCCATTCACCTCCTCCAATTTCCGTATTATTGTTACTATGGATCCATATAGCAGGACTACCTATAACTTCACAAATCCTCCATATTTGATCAATTTCATTTGTTCCAGGGAATAAAGGCCGAAATGTAGCTAATTCAGCTGCCATTGCTCCAAAAGCCCAGATATCAACAGGTGCAGAATATTCGTTTGCACGAAGAAGTACTTCTGGGGCACGATACCATCTTGTTGAAACATATGATGTATATGGCGATTGAGATTCAATTTCTCTAGCTAACCCGAAGTCACCAAGTTTAATTAAATAAGTAACATCTTTTGATGAAGATGTTAAAAATTTATTATTAAGAGTTGATAATTCTGATAATCTCTGACTTGGTACTGTAGAAACTAAAATATTCTCCGGTTTAATGTCTCTATGAAAGAAATTGTGATCATGAATATGTTTCAGAGCAGACAATGTTTGATATCTAGATATCTATGTTAAAATATCTTTTACAAAAATAAATATAAAGAAAATACAATATATGTTGTATTGTTTGAATATCAAAACTCTTACGATTCCTGGATTTAATGAGTTGATATAAGTTTCCCTCCATGTACTCCATAACTAAGTGTAAACGTTTAGTTGTAGGATCAAGAAAAGTATCATATACAGGAACTATATGCGGATGGGGAGGAAGTGTACGTAGAGACTAACATATAAAATTAGCCATTCTATACATTAAAAGCCAAATATCCACACCTGTATTTCCCTAAGTTTTAGGCAGTCAGAAAATGTTTGAAATGTCTTTTTCATGGTTTTGATAGCAACCTAAACATGTTAATACCATTCAATATTAAATAAAATTCTGTCTTTTAAAGATTTTTTTCATAAATTCCTTATTTTATTTATTAAACTTTTCTAGATCTTAAATTTCCCTGATTTTTTACACATTTGAAAAAAATCTCTTTATATTTCATGCATTTTAGATAATTATTTAATATGTTCACTTACCAGTCGCGGCTCTGAATCATTGCATACTTTTCTACGTGCTAAAACAACATTTCCAAAGCTCCCATCACCAATATTACTTAAAACTTCAAATTTACTACTTAAAATCTCCATCTTTTTCGCCGCTTCCTTATATAGAGGCCAAAAAAAACATTCAAATATGATCTACTGCCTAAAAACTTCCCCTACTATTCCCTTATAATTCTTAATCTTTTCTCAATTTTTTATCTAATATGCCTTAATCTTATCGTCAGCCTTAATAATTATTTAAAGTCCTATTAAAATATATATATAAAAAATACAAACCTTATTCTTTATTAACATATAGAAAGCATATTTAGTACATATACTTGAAGAAAAGAGGAAAAAAGAGTATTCTTTATCTTTTTTTTAAAAAATCTTATGCTGATTTTTCAGGTATCCTACGATAGCATTAGTAGGAAAAAACTAATTATGGAAAGTTACATTTACATAAAAATCTGATAGAATTTACTATAGATAAAAGAGTAATAATATATGAAAACCATATATGAAAAAAGATTTGAGTGAGTTTTCTAATTTATTCTGGAAGATATATTGCCAATATTGATGTAATTATATATATAAGAAATGTGTAATATTATTGAATTTAAAGATATTTTCATAAGAATTTAATCCATTAAAATCTTCTTATGATGCTAGATGTAGTTTAGTTAAAAAGAATAGAGAAAACCTATCTTGTTATTATTTGCTTGATTAATAATTTCTTCTTTGGTCTTGGTAATCAATTCCTTTCCCATAATTGCCGCACCTTTTAACATCTTTTTTATAATTGAACGTTTTAGACAAGATCTTTTATGAGTACCAGATATATAAATTCTTCTAGTATATGCAATTTGACCATTTTGAAGAACACCTACAGCAAGTAATCCTTCTACAACAGCCATTTCATCATCACTTAGATCATACAAAATATTATCTCCAACATTTCCAACAAAAACAACTACTCCAACTTTTTCAATATCAGGTATAGGTACACTATTTTTCAAATCATAATCAACTTCAAACTCTCCAGACCCAGTGTTTTGAATAGCTTCTCCTGAGTTTATATTCTCTGGTGCAATATGCGCAATAATATGGGGTAATCTAGCTGTTTGAAGTGCAAGATACATCGCTAATGCAAGAGCAGGAAGTGCATGACTATTTGATGAAATAACCTTTATAAAAATAAGCGTATATCACCTTATTTTCAAAATACAAACAACTGCATCTATGAATATATTCCAGGCTTTAGTTGGTGTTACTAAAAGACATTCAGATCTAATTCCTGATAAAAATTGTTGTAGAGACTGCGTAAGAAACGCTGACATGGAATCATCCTCACAATTTTCTTGAGATGCATCAGGGAATCTAATAAAATTAACTTAAATTTATATAAAAATCAATTTACATTTCTACATTTACTGATATTTTTCCACCTTTTTTATACTCATGTAAAGTCTGTAAATCCAATGCGTCAATTATTTCTGCCTTGACGCCCACAACAACATGAGTATCGTCCCATTTTATACAAGAAGATCCATAAGTCAATGGAAGAACATTTATTTGTGCAAATAATGGACGAAATTGTGTAGATTTTCTAGCATCAGGTCTTATAGATGGAACCTGGAGCAAAGATGAATGCAAGTACGAAAGCTGAGAAGAAGAAAGCTGCATGGAACAGAAAAATCTTATAATTACATTAATTGTCTTTTTTTTAAAAAATAATTTTTTAATATTTTTTATGATTTAAATTTGATTTATATAACTCCTAATAGTTATATAAAATAATAAACATAATATAAAATATTATTTCTGGTTTATTATTTATTATACATAAAATATAGAATGAAAATACAGTATTTATAGTTTTTTTGTAAATATTTTTTTTAAAAATATGTTATTAATGGAAATAATAAAAAGATATAGATTATTGTTTTTACTAGGTTAAAGACATAATATAACCAAATCTCTTAAGAGGCAATAATCCAGAACTATTATAGTTTTTATTCTTATATATAAAAATTGAGGAAATTACAAAATCCAATTCTATTAATACTAAAAAACATGAATCTTGTAAATTTTTATAAATAAAATATTTAAAACATCTAAAACAGTATGAATATATAACAATAGTAAAAATAAAGAGATTCTTATAACTTTTTATATAAAAAATACTTTAATAAAATTTAAAGGTTTTATTAAAAATACTTTTAATTTATTCAACATTACTCCTGTTTTTCAATATTAGGATATAAAACAAATCAACAGATTTAAATAGAATCTAATTAAATTATGTCTTACTCTTATAAATATAGAATATAATTACCTGTCAAAATTTTATTTAATTTTAGAATTTTATCTGCTACACTTAAATCGATTGTATAGTTTCCAATCTCTACAATAATGCCTCCAATAATATTTTTATTTACCTAGCTATAGTAAACATGTTATATTAAATATTTCGATACTCAATTACTTTATTAATCATTACAAGTTTTTTTTCTGGTCCAACATATTTTGATTTTGAAATAGCTGTTTCTAAACGCTTCAAAGAATGTGAATCAAGTAACTAAATCTCCAATTAACCATACAAACAACAATGGCATATTTTTACTGTTGCACTAGTAACAACTACTTCAACTTCCCCTCTTTTTGTTGTTATAAGATATGAAAACTTCTTAGATACATCTTTTATAAGGTTAAAACGATTTTTTTCTGCAATTACTTGTAAAAAATTCGAAATTAATTCGTCTTTTCCTAGCAATTTCGAAAGAACATCTGCAATCACTGTTCGTTCCTTTATTGAAAGTGACGGGTTGTTAAGAATTAATGAAAGTTTCACATCTTTATCAATAATATTACACAGAGAATTAAGCGATTTCTCGATCTTCTCAAGAGATGTACTTTTACTTGCTGCATTATACAGAGCTGTAGCGTATGTCCCTAAATATAAGTCTTCCTCATACTTTTCTTCTACTAAACATATTACTACCATCAACTCCATACAACTGAACTGGTGCCTTAGCATGAATTGCTGCTGTTGCGTATCCTTGTCTCTATCAATTAATTAATTTCTAATTTATTTCTTTCTATTATTTATAACCCTTAATATTATTGGAATATTAACAATATTTCCTCTGATCCTTAATGATCTAAGGCTCATTTCTACCTTAACTAAGATTTACTTGTTATTAATCTTAATTTGTCCGAATGCTGTACGGAAGTTTAAAAAATAGCATTTTAACCATAAAAAATAGAGATAAATTATTTATGAAAGAAGTTTATGCAGATGGTCGTGCAGACTGTCTTTTTTTTATGAATAGTTCCTGTAATAAGGGAAATTTATGTATTTATAGACATAGTATAGCAGCCCGTGAAAGTCGTGTACAATGTGAGGAATTTAAACAACGACAAACATGTACTAAAATTGGATGTGGTGAGCGTCATTTAACAAGTTATATTAGTGGGACATATTGTTATTGGGAGACTACACCTACAGGATGTACAAAGGTGATTTGTCCGTTTAAACATTATGATCAGCCTGGTATTTTTAAAGATAAGAAGGGACAAAAGAATCTAATAAAATGTATCAGGTTCTGGAAAACAATATATTTTATCTAATGTTCAGAATGATGTTTTGAAGAACGAGAAAAATAATAGTATTAATTCAAATTTAGTAGAAAAGACAGAATCAAATACAATGTCATTAGAAGTAAAAAAAAATGAAGAGAAAGAATTGGGAGTATCACCGCTTTCAGTGAATGTGGAACCGGAGAAAAAAAAGGCATTATTTAATGAAGAAGGGGTAGATAAAAAAAAACGTAAGCCAGAGTCAATATTATTGGCACCGACGACAGCGAAAAAACAAGAGAAATCGCCTGTAAAGGAAAATATAAAAACAACAATGCAACCATTACAGAATTCATCTATTCTTACTGCTATACCTACAGAACCTAAAGCTCTAAAAAAAAATTTTCAGCAGAAAGCTAGTCTTAAAAATTCGAAAACTAATAATTCTAGAAAGCAAGAGAAGCGTGGATTATCAGCAATTCATGAGAAAGATAATGTAGAATTTAGGGTTCGAACATTAGAGGAAATAAGAGAAGAAAAAGCAGCGAGATCTAAACTAATGGAAAAAAATAAAGAAATGGCTAATAAAGATAAAATACAAACTAAAGAAATTTCAAATATTGTTTCAAAAAATCTGATAGATCATTCTAAATCGGATATAGATAAAAAAGATGAAAATACAAAATGTACAGACCAAGCTAAAATAGAAATCCACTCAGAAGTTTTTTCTTTTCAAAAAAACACGATTAAATCTGAAAATCAATCAACTGATATAAAAAATAATTTGAATTCTACTTTATTTCTATCGGACGATGATCTAGAGTTTTTGAATGATAATGAAAATAATGTAATTGATATTATTAATGGAAGCAATGGTTTTGAAGACGAGGAATTAGCTGCATTTGAACGTGAATTAGAAATGTAAAAAAATACTAAATCGGCGTTTAGATTTATGTAAATAATTGTATTAAGATATCATGTTTATAATAATTTCAAAGTAAATTTTTACAAATATTTTAAATTAATTATTCATCTTTACATTTAAGGAAATAACACATATAATGATTACCAGTTTAATAATCTCTTAAATCTTCTAAAATATATTTAAATTTTTCAAACTTTATTGTTTCTAAAATACTATAATAATTTATAATTAAAAAGATCTTATTTTTTATTGGTAATAAAACTATCGACAAGTTCTTGCAATGGTGCATATTCCTTCTTCTCAATAAGACTAAAAACATCATAAGTATTGCTAAATATATTAGAAATGAATTATTACTTAAACTCGTTAACAAAGAATATAAAATGTTTAAAACTAGTATTTAAATGAGCTTCTTCTCCCAATGCTACAATAGCAGAAAAATGATGACAATAAATATGTGCATATACTCGAAAAAGACGTTTGTAAATTTGACGAATTATTAAAGAAAAGCACTTAGGAAAGGGAAATCCTATGATTTTTAATTTTATGCTTAATTATAAATTTAATAAACCATTTTTCGTCGGAAATACTGATTCATCATCAATAAAAGAAAGAACCCATTGAAGTAAAGTTTCTATATATTCTGGCGCACTCATTTTTGTTGGTTTTTTGTATCTATTAGAATCTTGCCATAAATATTCATATCTAAAATAAACAAATATGCCAGCTTAAAATAAACTTACTGTGATCCTGCAGACATCATTGGACATGTTTCACTTAGACAAAATTCTGTTATTGTTCCATAGAGCATATTTATTTGATTGTAAAAATCAACAGCTAGTTCAATAAGAAAATATTAAAAAATAATTTTACAAACTATTGGATGCGAGCCATTCATTGAGATCTTCACCTTCTGGGAGACAGACAACTCTGGATAAAGAACCTGATCCAAGAGTTTCCTTTGTATATTCTTTTAGAAGGAATCGTCTCTTGTTTTCCTCTATTTTCTTAGGTTTGAATGTTAATGTTCGTGTCCGTGAATTTCTATAAAACTCAGCTCTTTTCATTTTTTTTAAAGAGAATACTAACAAATTAAAAAATGACATTTTTCTTCTTGCAAAAGAATCCAAAGAAACAGCAATATTTGTTTATAATTTTATAAAATATCTTTTAGAGTTTTCTAACGTGTATAATGTATGTTGTCAACATATGTTACTATAGAAACAAACGAGTGGAAAAAAATCAATTTTAAAAAATAAGTACTATTTTTCTTAAATATAAGATTAAAGATGGAGAATATATGAAACAGATTCGCAATTTTAAAGCATTAATTTAAATTTTCATTTATAATTTTTTTCTTTGAAAAGTGTATTTATTTTTATATAATTTCTTAAAACAGTTCTACTGATAGCCATATTAAATATCATTATTATTATAAAATTTTATGAGTGATATGAATTGAATATAGAAAATGATTAATTTGTATGATTATTTTATATGATTATTTTGTATAATTATTTATATTTTAATATTTTAAAATATATTCTTTTATAACAAAATTACTATAAGTATTATTCATTTTCCAATTAAATAGATAATTTTTAATAAAAATATGTAATACTGAATACTAATTTGAAGAAAAGTTATTTTTATCATTTATTTATTCTTTTCTTAATAAATTTCATGTTTTAATAGAAAACTGTTTAAAGGATAACATGGATCTAATAAAAAAACGAATTTAAAACATACAATCAACACAATAATTATATCTTAAAAAAATTATTATATGTATGTATAATTCATATTAATTTTAAAATTAATTTTTTATATTTAAAAACAATTATTTTATTCTAAAACATAAAATAATTAGACATCTATACTCATATATTCCATATATTTGGTAAATGATTATTTATAAAAATATTTCTTTTAATTATTTTTTTATAAATTTTATGTTTCATTAAATTTTAACTCTTATCGCTTTAACTATTATCATATATTTTGTTAAATTTACTCATATATAATTATATTTGAAAAAATATACAGCTTAATATGTTATATTAATATGTGATGATATAGTTTTTACTTTTATAAATACAGATACTTGTCAAATTGTGTATAAACACTTACATGAAAAAATAACATTATTTTACTGTTCGACTATCATGAATGGCCGAGCAAAATTTACACTTAATATAGGCAAACAATCTCTCGAAATGTCAATACTAGTTCCCGTAACTTTTCATATACTAACTATGATAATTGGCCATTCTTTATTTATATTAATATTTATAAATTATTGGAGAATGTAATTGTTGTCATTCGAATTTATGTTATCCTAATAATATTGTTTGTTTTCAATGTAAAAAGTATATATATTAATTTAGCTATTATTAATGTTATTAGGTATCATTTGTTCTTCCATTAATGATTTACGTCCTGTTGAAATGCAATGATATATTATTTCCCCGAAATTCAATGTTACTCCTCTTTCCTTAACTATTTTTAAGGATATGATAGCTACCGGTGAAAATAACTCTGCAAATTTTAAAACATCTTGGAAACCTTTAAAGAATATACTTGTTGCAACATTTTCATCATGGAAAATTTTAAATGCATCCTTTTATAGTGTATATATTTATGAATGTTAGTTATTTATATTACTCATTTTATTATATAGGGAGTTGACAATTCCTTAATAGTTCTATAGATTTATCACAAATTCGCTCTTTTTATGATATTTTGTCGACTCTTCCAAATTATCATATTCGAGCTGTGTTAAAAGCGAATAACATTCTTCTTAAGCGCATTGGACGTCCACTTAGAAAGCTTTCAGATATTCTGATTCTTCTTATCCTCGAAAATCCATTTCTTTTTCAACATATTTATAAAAATGAATCTAATAATATTATCAAACGCACATTTGGTTATATTAGTAGCATGTCAAATGAAATCCGTCATTATATCATTAATTGGTTTTGCAATTATGATCCAAATATTTTATATAAAAAGATACAACTCTGTAATAGCTTTATTTCCAAAATACTTTATAAATATACACAAAGATGGATAGTCAAAGTGATTATGACACTAATTGGAGAATTAAAATGTCTGCTAGAATGATGGTTTTGTTGTGTAATAGTCTTTTATTTTATTTTATTCTATTTACTTTTTAATAGTCACATCTAATAATCAAAAAACAACTTTTCTTTCAGAATTTTATAATGCTATGGTATTTAAATATTATATTATTATTTTGTCTATTAAATATCTAAGGTTGATTATATAAAAATTATTAGATATTTCTTGTAAGTTAGATAACTTAAAAACTTTCTGTACCGGTTTAGTCGAGGAATTTCAACATCTATTAACATTTGAAGGTAATCTAGAAGATATCTTTTGCAGGGATTTTGTAGGAGAATATGAAGTATTTGGAAATGCTTGCTGATTACCTCTTTGCAAAAATGGAGAAAAAATTGCTGTCACAAATTTGAATAGAGAAGGTCTTTCATCTCTTTTTATCGAATTGTTTTAATATTTCATTAGAATATGTTAAAAGATATACCAGTTTTATTTTGAATACATCTATTTCAAAACAATTTGGGCCACTCAAAAGAGAATTTTATCATGTTTTTAGAGGAAATACTCTTTCTCTTTTTAGACAAGAAGAAATAGAACTCCTTATACGAGGATCACCCGAAAGCCTTCATGTTGATCAATTATGTGCAGTTGCTGTATATGATAGTTCAAATTCGTAGGAAACTAGCTCAGAAGAAGAAGTTATACAGTGATATGTTTTGAGATAATAAAAAATTAATTAATATATTTTAGGTTTTGGTCTATTTTTTAAAAAATAAAACCAAGTTTGCAGACAAGATTACTTGCTTTTGTTACAAGATCAGATCATATTCCAGCTACAGGCGCTGCTAATCTTTTATTTAAAATTTTTATTCTTGCAGATGATTGCAATAGATATCCTATCGCACATACATGTAAATTTATATAACTCATATTTTTAAATTTAATATATTGTTTATGTTTTAATAATTATGCCTTTATTGTTATAAAATTCATAAAAAACTTTACAATTTTCTTATAACTGCGATCTTTGATTCTGAAGGATTTGGATTAAAATAATTTTATAAACATGATTATATCTTAATTCATTCATTTTGTACATTTTTTTAAATTAACTATATTTTTTATGACAATTAATATATACATATCTTTACTTATATATTACATTATTTATACATATCAATCAATTTTGTACGTAAATATAACACTCATTTTATGATTTTTCAATCATTTTTTATGCATCTAAAAAAGATAAAATTACGAAAATACTAAAAATTTCGAAATTTTTAAATAATTTGATTTTATACAAATTTAATTTCTAAAACTATGAGCTTTTCGAAAGGAGATGGTAATATTAATGCCTTTGAGGATTTTAACTTATCTTTTTTAGTTGAAAGAGGCGCCAAGCTATTTAAAACTAGATGTGCTCAGTGCCATACAGTAGAAAAAGGCGGGCCACATAAAGTAAACATTTTTATAAATATATAATTATCTTTTTATCTATTTATTGACAATTTATTTTTTTAAATAGGTTGGACCAAATCTGTAATAATAAAATAAAATTTATTTATTATATAACTTATTTTTAGTAATGGAGTTTTTGGACGAAAAACAGGACAAGCAGAAGGCTATCAATATACTGAAGCTAATAAGCAAAAATCTATTGTATGGTCTGAAGATACATTATTTGAATATCTCGAAAATCCAAAAAAATATATTCCAGGAACAAAAGTATTTTAGAACAATTTAATGTAAAATATTTATTTATTTTTAGATGGTATTTCCAGGATTTAAAAAAGCATCAGATCGTAATGATATAATTACATATTGTAAGATAAATTAATTAATCAATTTTTTATAATTAATAAAAAAATAGTAAAGGAAGCAACTGCATAAATGATCGTACAATAAAATATTTTTTTAAAAAGTTGTCTTTCTAAAAAAAATATATGAAAGTAATTAATATTTGTTTTTAGTATTTTATTAATATAAAACATTTTGCTTTCCAATTTGATATATTTCTATGGGATTTATTACCTAGTAAAATATTCAAAAGAAAAACAACAAATGATTACAAAAAACAATTTTAAGCCGTTTTTGAAAAAGTACTGTCTTACAGTACAGTATCTTTTGTATGTCTATTAAAATATATCTATAAATATACTATGGATACAATTTATACTGAAACAGGCTACATTCGTTCAATTCCACCTCTAAAACTTGGCGCAAAATCTCTTGGTGTAACTAATCTTATTAACAAAAACACCAAAATATAAGTATATTCCTTACTTCCTTCTTTCTTATCCCCATGGTCACGACGCCGATATTCATATTTATCGCCTTTTGAAGACCTATAGGTATTGTCACCACCACGAGATACTCGAGAAACTTGTGGACGTGTTTGTCTTTTATGTGTATTTGGCAAAACTTCATTTGGAAGATGCAGCCATTCTCTCAAATAATCAATCCCCTCATTTGTGAGAATATAATAATAATATTGCCATGAAAATCGAGTTTTTAAGCATCCTTTTGATGTAAGCGATTGGCATGCCTTAATAACATGAAGATTAGGAATATCAGGAAGCTCTATTGAAGAAGAAGCGTTGAAATCTTTTTTAGCAACAAGAGTCCCATCTAAAAATTTATATAAAAATTACCATTACTTGATTTTTTTATACCTCTAAACAGAACCTCATATATCTAATATTAATTTGATTAGAAAAACGAAATAACCCTTCATCTACATACCCTTCTTCTGTTATTCTTAGGAATAAGCATTTCTCAAATATCAATTAAATCCTATAGCAAATTTGTCAGTAAATTGTCAAATGTTAATTTCATTAAATTATTTATTCATATTTCATCAAAAAGTTTATAAAAACTAGATTATCTAAGTAAAACCATATTCATATTCTTTCATATTTAAAGGCCTTAATCGCTTATATCTACTTTAAAGATTTTTTACCTTTTTAATTTTTTTTAAATACTAAAAAGTGAAAAATTAGTTTTAAACTTTACGTCGCTAAAAAAAATATCAAATAAAAAATATATATATAAATATATTAATTAGTTGTTATTGAAGATGTTTATAGATTACTTTTTCTATATTCTAATTGCTTTTGTCATACAATGTTTTTTAAATATAAAATTTAAACAAAAAAAAAAGATATTAAATTACATTACTGTCATATCTCAACAAATATTTGAGAAAATATACTTTATTCTTTCTGAGATACAAGCATTAAGTTTCAAAGAGCTTTGCTATCAAGCAAATATAATTAAATTGTCAGACATAATAATTAATAGTATCTTTTAACAATAACAATTATTTATATTTTTTTATTTCTAATTGACATATTTTCTATTTCTAACATATTTCCTATTTGAAAGATATAAATATAGCTAAAAGGAAATAACAACAGTACATATAATTTCTATACCTATTGATAACATAGGAATAAAAATCAACACGATCAAATAATCATGCCCTAAAAAGTATGTTTAATCCTTATAACTATATTTTTGACTTAAGCTCTTTAACATATTATGAAAATATGAAACAAACTTAAGCAAGATGCCAATTAATTGCTGAGAATATTTATTTACAAAGCCTAAACAAATCAATTATAATATAAATCATTAGCAAAATTCATTAATAAGGTATCATTATTCTTTATTAAGTAGTTAACACTATTAAACGTGTTATTCCCTTTTAAGTATAATTCCATCAACAAATTTAGTTTTGACTGAATGTAAAAACGTAGAACTAACGTCTTCTTTGCTCATTAAAGTATTATTATTATTATTATTATTTTGCAATGTCCTAAGGCAGTAATCACGAAAACTATTTTCGTCACATCCAACAATATAACACCATTTTTTCCAAAAATATTCATCTTCAGCTAATTTAGTTAAGATTTGCTTAACATTTCGTAACCATTGAAGATCGTCCATGCAATCCCTATCTACCGCTGTCCATAAAGTTTCCAAATTTTCACGAATATCTTTTGACAAATTGGAAAGAATATTAGAAAAAAAGACTGAATTATGTGCCATAATTTTTCGCATTTCTTTCGTACGGTTCGACATAGGAAGAAGAATAGAATCTGGACAAAGCATTAATGTAATGGTTTTATTCTTATATCCAGGTTCCGTCTGAAGACTTTCAGGTAGAGATTCTTTCATTCTTAATCACCTATTTTTAAATCGGCACTAGACGTATTTTGAAAACTAAACTTCATTAATTCCCTATTCATATTTACTTGAAAAATAATAACTAAAACACCTTTATGCGGCACAGAGCTAAATGATACTGGCTATATTTAATACAAAAGTTTCTATTATTCTCTAATAAGCTGTCGATTTAATCATCACAACAGAGATATTCACCTACCAATATTAGTTCTGAATCAATAGACTTCCTTAAATATCATTGCAAATCATATATATATGTTTCTTACCCTTCTTTACAATTTATTTTCTTGAGATATTAATCCATTCAATCCTTAATGGATTAATATTTTATATTTTGTTTTAACTCGCCCTCGAAATATATATTCCGTTCAAAGCAATGTACCTTTCAATTTTTAAAAAGATATGGAAAATTCGATATTATAATCAAAAGAAAACAATTATTTTTACGTATAAAACTTAATTACCCTTCCAGAATACCAACAAAACAGTACATTTTATGTATTTTTAATATTTGGCTGGTTATAGAAAAAAGCTATATTTACAGCAAAATTGATCTTAATCAAAAACATTTATAAAACGGAGTAACTTATTAACTTCTAATTATATTATAAAACGTGAAAAACTGAACATTTTTTCTTAACCGAATATCGAGTTTTTGTTATAAAATTAGAAATGCTGACTATATCTATATATCCATTATTTCTAAGAAATAATAGTTTTAAAATAGTAAATAAAATAGTTATTATTTGTATAATTATATGTTTTAAAATCTAAGAAAAAGAATATATTTTCCCAACAGCCTTTTGCCGAGACCATGAAAACTATGAAGAAACGCATACAATGCGATAAAAGAGATTATGGTCTGTTCAAATATCTTAATGAACCAAAATTATTCTAAAGGAATGTTTTAGTAAAAAGAAGACGCATTGAATCGGAAAAATACCCATCTTTATTACCTGAAAATGCTAATAATGATCATGAAGAAACGTAAAGTTAATTATTTTTTAGAAAAACGCTATTATTAATTAAGATATCATTAGTCATGCTACATTTGAAATATCTGGTAGATGGTTAAAATATTTCTGATTTTGTTAATAACAGAGGAAGCACAATCTACTTATAAAGTTTCGGCCAAAATATACATAGAAAACTTTAATTCTTTGCAAAATGATGCGCTTGAAAGGATGAGATGTGCTATAAAAAAAGCCAAAGAAGATAGGTAAAGGTGTTTTATTTATAACATATTAAACACTGATAAATTTATAGAAATGCAGATGATTATAAATTTAAAACTTTACTCGGAGACTTTTTAGCACTAGATGATGATCCGAAATATCTTTGTGATGCAGAAACATTAAAGGTATTCTCTTTTTTTTATACTTTAATAATTGCAAAAGAATAACATTTCATCCTTTCTTTCTATTTTGACTGACTATCAATTGGCTCTCGAGCGTTTAATAGCTCTTAGATCTTCTGATATTTATAAATACAGTTAAATGCATTTTCTCATTTTCTTTAGCATATTTTGATACTTTAACAGGAGATGAGCATAACAAAGAAACTAATCTTGCAAAAGCAGCAATTGCAAAAGTTATTTCAAATACTTTTTCTCAAATGAATAAGACTATGCTTCACAAAAAAGTATTAAAAAAGCTCACAAAAGCTGTTAATCTTGCTTTACTTAGCATTGAGTAAATCATTTCTTTCGATAATTTTACATATTTAAATTAACAAAAACATAAAAGCTAAAGTAATGTAATCTATACTGATTTGTTTTTTATATTTTATTTTATAAATATTTGAAATATTGCATTAATACTAAATTTTAAATTTTATCTTTAACGATAAAAATTACAAATACTACATAAAAATGATTAATACTATTGTGTCAACTTTTTCCCCATTTAAGACAATATCGTTCATCCTTCCATATGCATCAACTATAAAGGATGTTGAGAATTATTTGTCAGGACTTTTTCCACCTGGAAATTATTTATTATCACATCTTTCTGGAAAATTACTTTATCCTGAAGATACTTTGGCATCTTTATTAGATCGCTATGAATATTCAAATAATGCGAGAGTATGCATGTTAAGATATGTTCCAAAGGTTTTTGGAGGAAAAGGTGGATTTGGATCTCAACTTCGTGCTGCAGGTGGTCGAATGAGTAGTCGAAAAAAGCGTGGTGAAGAGGAAAATAAATCAAGTTGTAGAGATCTAAATGGAAGGAGAATACGGACTATAAATGAAGCGAAAGCGTATGTTTAATTCTTTAAAGGTTATCTTTTTTTAATATTATAGATTGGTTAAATATTTAAAAACAGCACCTATACGAAAACGTGAAATTTTAGCAGAACGAAAACAAAAGCTTGAAGCAATTATTAACGCTGAGCCTCTTTCTAAGAGAATAAAATTTGAGGATAATGAATTTTTAGAAAAAAGTGAAATAATAATCGATGATGTAAAGAATGCAGTAAAATTAGCAGCGCTAAAAAAGTTGAAGCATATTTCTGAAAACTCATTAACAAATAAATTTGACGAGAAGTGCCAACCACTAAATTCTAATAATGAAGAAAATTCTATAAATTCGAGAATATCATGTTCCTTGACTGGTAAAATTAATAAAAGATTTAATAAATGGGATCAAGACGATTCTCTTTCTGATAATGAAGACAATGTTCTTGAAGCTGATCAATACGAAAATGAAAGCACTAAAGGAAATTAAGAATTTGCTGAAGATTAATATATTACATCTGCATTTTAAATTTATAAATATATAATTTCTCAACTTTTAAAAATGGATAGATTGGGTTATAAAATACGTATTTTGTTTATAGAAGTTTTTGTCTTTTTTAATGAAGTTATAGCTCATAATTTATATTATGTTATTATAATTTCTTTATGGGAAAAAATTATATATTTTTCTATATTAAATCTAATAATATTTTATTATATAAAATAAGTTTAAAATAATTAAATGAGATTTCATTTAAACATTTTATATATAATAGTAAAATTTTATATGTTTCATTTACAGCTAAAAAGGATTTAAAGAATATTTATTATAATTTAGTTAAAAATACAAAAAAAAAAACCAAACATTCAACATATTTAAAAACTTATGAATATTTTTAGAATACTATACCTTAAAAAATCTTTTCATTAAAATAACATACCTGTATGTTATTTAATGAAAAATAGAAATCGAAAGGATATTATAGAATTTCATAAACTTAAATATGCAATAATAAATAACAAAAAATAGTTTGCATTGATCAAAATGAATGATATTTAACATAAAAAATTGTATCTTAATTATTCATACACGATTCAATAATGTTAATTACTAATACTAATTTAAAAATTAAATATTTTTGATTTTCAAAAATTATATAAAAAACGAACTATTTTTTAAACTACATTTTTCATTCCATTTTATAATTTTGTAATAGTGTTTTAATGTAAATAATCATTATATTTGATGATTATTCTTATCTAAAATTATTAAAAATTCATCGTAATCTAAAATTTTATATTTAGATCTGAAAAAAATTGGAAAGAAAATATAATTAATTCCCCAAGAATTATGAGAAACTGTCTAAAAAATATACCGTATAATCAGAGATTACTTTCGAAACCCTTACTTTTTTCTATGAACTTTACAACAAAAATAAAAAAATCTAATGGCCCTACGGTAAATTCTTATCAAACTTAAATTTTTCCATATTTTAATCTAACAAAACTAATTAGGGGATAGTTTTTCTAAATATGGGTGGTCCATCAGAACTTTCAGAAGTTAAAAATTTTTTATTTAGAATTTTTACAGATAGTGACTTAATTCCACTTGGATCAATGCAAAAATGGCTTGGATCTTTAATTGCAAAATTAAGGACGCCTAAAGTATTAAATTATTATAAAAAGATTGGAGGGAAGAGTCCAATTTATAGATGGAGCAGACTTCAAGCAGAGGAAGTTTGTAAAATTCTTGATAAAACATGCCCAAAAACAGGTATGATTTTTTATAAATCTTAAAAATTAAAAAAGAGTATACTTTATCAAAATATACTAATATTATTAGCTCCTCATAAACCTTATATTGCATTTCGATACTCAGATCCATTAACAGAATCAGTGTTATTGGAAATGTTAAATAATAATATAACTAATGCGGTGGCCTTTACACTTTACCCTCAATATTCATGTTCTACTACAGGGTCTAGTCTTAATGAATTATATAATCAGATTCAAAGACTTAATATACACGATCAAATTAATTGGAGTGTTGTAGATCGTTGGCCAACACATGATGGACTTATTAATGCTTTTAAAAATAATATTATAGAAACATTAAAAACATATCCAGAAAATGATAGAAATAATGTAATTATATTATTTACTGCTCATTCTTTACCAATGAGGTAATCTTATGTTAATAGCAAAAAATATTATTAATTTATTAACTAGTATTGTGAACCGTGGAGATCCATATCCACTAGAAGTTGCAGCAACCGTTTATGCTGTTATGGAAAAACTGAATTTTTCTAATCCTTATAGACTTGTTTGGCAATCTCAAATTGGACCATCAACATGGTTAGGCCCTCAAACAAATCATGTAATAACGGGTTTTACGAGAATGGGCAAACAAAATATCATTTTAGTACCTATTTCATTTGTTAGTGATCATATTGAAACATTGTTTGGTAAGATAATGGTATTATCATAAATTTTCATATATATTCATTTTTTAGAGTTAGATCTTAAATATATTGCCGATGCTAAGAAATCTGGGTTTAACGGTGTAAAACGAGTCGAGAGTTTAAATGATAACTCGACTTTTATTAAAGGGATGGCTGATATACTTAAAAATCATTTAACTAATGGGAGAAAAAGTAGTACACAACTTGAACTGCCATGCTCATCTTGTATGAGTTTAAAATGTCATTCAACAAAGTCTTTCTTTAATAATTTTAATTCATTGTAATTTATATAACAATAAATTGTAGATAGATTAAGCTTAAGCTCAGGATCAGTATTAAGGTCAGGGCAAAATCTTGGACTTTTCATTAGTTTTTATTATATTGTGGTAAAGTTAATGTTTGAGGATAATATTTCTCCTATGGTTACTGTTTATTTTGGCAACTGGATATTGTTTTCCTCTTTCTGTATGATGTATAATTGATGAAAAGCACATTTTTTATATATTTTTTCTGCAATTTAAAGTAGTATAAGCGAAAATAGAGAGAAGAATGTGTTTAATGGAACCAAAAATGCATGTCAAATATCATTAATCAAGTATTTTTTGATTAAAAATAAGGATCAAAAAAGGATTGATTATAAATCAATATTGAAAACAATGCAGTGATTAAAGAAAAAAATTAAGAATTAGTTATTTGAATGAAGTTAAAAATAGGGAAGACTCTGGATTTAAGAATAATGATATAGTATTAAAAGTAATAAAAGTTTTGAATGAATTGAAATAAATGTTAAAAGTCAGTAAATAAAATCTAATATATATATTATTTTATAAAAAACAATTGAATGGTATGAAAAGGAATATAGAAAAAAGCAAAAAAGATCATTTAAATTTATAATTAAGATTTGTAATGATTTTTATTTTTAATAGTTTTTCCTAATTTTTTAAAGGTTTATTAGAAATTATTGTCAGGGAAGAAGAAATCCTTGCTTATATTTTGAAAGAAGATCATGATGATGATGATACTTGTAAAGAAAAATTTAAAGAATATTGTGAAGAATTGAGAGATATAGATTCAGAATTAAATGAAGTTTATAGCAAAGTTAAAGAAATTTCTGGTAATATAGAACAAAAATGCAAAAACCCAGAACTGAAGATTCATGGAAAAGTGGACGATCTTTGTAATTATATATATCTATTTATGAATACTAGTATCACTTGTAAAGATTGTAATGAACACATACAAAAATGTTTGTTTTTAGAATTTACAAAAATTCATGGTATTCAGACTACTTCAATTACTTTAAAAAATTATATTATCTATACGAGCAAGAAAAAAAGAGAAACAAAGTTATTCTTAGAGCTATTGGCACTGGTATTACTGAATCTAATGATTTCCAGGAAAAAAGGTAGGAAATTAATAAATTAAAATCGAATGATAAAAAGTTTAAGGAATGTCAAAGAATAGTATTAGAAAAGTGTGCTACACTTGAAAATAATAATATTGAGATTTTTTTCAGATGTCTTCTGCCAAAGGAGATATGTCTTAGACTTGAAAAAAATATTTTGACTCAATTAAAAGATCTAGAACAAGTTTTGAATGCGGTACAGGATTATCCTAAAGAAAAGGACTGTGTTGAATTGAAAGAGAATTGTGAAGGTATTTTGAAAGATTTAGGATTAAATAATGAGAAATGCGTTACATTGAAAGAGCGCTATGAATATTTTAAAGTTACAAAAGAACTGAAACATGTGTTTTTGAAAGAAGAAAGTGATATATTAGCGAATAATCAAAAATGTATGAAAGATTTTTTGTATATATCTATTATTTGTATATAGCATATGAAATTTTGAAGAATAATACATAAATTTTTAATGAAGAATTGAAAAATGAAGTTTTAATTATTTTATCAGACAATCTTACTCCAAGACTATGCTTTATAGGGTAAAGTTTAAGCTTATCGCAAAGCTAGTAAAGTTTATGATTATGATAAGAATGAGTTTAAGTTTATCGTAGAAGAATAAGTGAGCTATATTGTTTATTTTTAAAAAGCTAGTAAACTTTATGATGAAAAAATTAACAAAATCTATTGCTTACCCTAAAAAAACCAGCAAAGTCTAAGTTTATTGCAAAAGAATTAATAAAATCTATTGTTTATCAAAAAAAAACTAATAAAATCAAAGATCATTATAAAAGAATTAATAAACTGTAAGTTTATTGCAAAAAAACAACTAAACTTTATGATTATCTTAAAAAAATTAATAAATTTGTTTATCGGAAATTAGTCTGTCGTTAGGGAGAGGCTAGTGGAGATTTGATAAGAGTAAATTGGAAGGAGTTTGATTGGAGATTAAAAGGATGGTTCAATTTAAAAGTATTTTTATTAAAAGTAACAAATTGGATAATGTTGAATTGATTTTTCATTAATTAGAACAAAAGACCAGAATTTAAAGATGTTTTTATTAAAAGTAAAATCAGATCAATTTTTATTTAAAAATAATAAGTTAAAATGAAATTAAAAAAATTTTGTTAAAAACAGTAGATCAGATCAAAGTTTAAAGAATGTTTTATTAAAAATAATAGGGTCAATGGAAACATTGATTTTTTATTAATAAAAGGAGAGAAAAAATTATAAAGGGTGTTATTAAAGATAATAAATTAAATGAAAATAAATTAATCTTTTATTAGCAAAAACAAGAGGGCAAAGATTAGAGGTCTTCTTGAAGATAGGGTTAGGGTTTAATAATCTGATTAAATATTTTTAATGCTAAAGTTAAACTTTAAAAAATTTAAGAATTTCTAACTAAAAAGTTAAGAATTTCTAATTAAAAAGTTAAGATAAATACTTTTTTCTTAACATTTCATCATGATTTTCAAGATATTCCTTACTCTTCTCCTATACTGGATCTATTTAGTTAGAGTAAGATGTGAAAGGAAGCCAGTAGACTTTGAGAATAATGATTATTATCATTTTCATTTCTCAGAAGATGTTGATATTGAGGAGTTTTCGCGGGCGTTAGGATTTAAACATTATATGAAACTAGAATATCTGGATAACCAGCATATATTTTCTATAGAAAAGGGTGTTTTAGAAGACGAAATTAAAGAAAAAATTGAGAATTATTTTGGTTTAGAAAAGGGAAGAAATGCAATAGATGGGTTTAATAGTGACAAGCTTTTTTATTATGAGAAACAAAAGTTGGTCAAGCGAGTAAACAGGGGTCTGATAAGAGACGATATATATTTTGATAACCAAGATCTTTATAATGATGAAGAAATTGTCAATAATGTTGTAAAAGATCCGACGGTAGATCAGGCGAAAAAATCGACGGAAGATTCAAAAGAGAGGTTAAATGAAATTAAAAAAAAATTAGATATAAAGGACCCTTATTTTGATAAACAATGGTATTTGGTATAGTTTATTCTTTTTTTTTTTTTTTAAAATCTAATTTTTTAATTAGTTCAATACGAAAGACCCTGGTGTAGATATAAATGTTACAGGTGTATGGTTACAAGGTTTGATATTTGTGTTGTTGATTGCCTTTTAATGATTTTAGGGATAAGGGGAAAAGGTGTAACAGTTGCCATTGTACATGATGGCTTAGATTATCGTAACCTGGATTTGGCTCCAAATTATGTTTGAAAAACTATTATAAAATCACTATTTTAACTCTTTTCAGAATTCTGAGGGTTCATATGATTTTAATTCTAACGATTCCGACCCAAAACCTACATTTCCTTTTTACACGCGTGGTACTAGATATGCAGGACAAGTGGCAGCCGCCAGGAATGATTTTTGTGGGCTTGGTGTTGCGTATGAATCTAATGTTTCAGGTATTTTTCCTTGATTGGTACCAATCTAATATTGTTAAGGATTAAAATTTTTCTCTATTGCGTCTTCGAAAGAAGCAAATGCTCTTACTTATAAATTTGATCTTAATCATATTTATGCTTGTACCTGGGGGGCTTCTGATAAAGGAAATTTATTTCAAAAAATTTCTCGTTCTACTTATTCTGCAATTATTGAAGGGATAAATAAAGGAAGGAATGGCCTTGGTTCTCTATATGTTTTTGGAACTGGAAAAGGTGGAGATTATGATGATTGTAATTACGATGAATATGCAAATAGTCCATATACTATTACTATCGCTGCTATAGATGCAAATGATAAAAGATTATATTATTCAGAGTCATGTTCTTGTATTTTGGCTGCTACATATTCTGGTGGAAAAAATGGACCTATTGTAATTTTTTCTTTTATTTTTATAATAAATTTATCGTCTTAGTATACTACGGATGTTGGTAAGAATGGATGCACTGCTGATCATTCTGGAACTTCTGCTTCTACAGCGATTGCTTCAGGTGTTATTGCTCTTCTTCTTTCAGCACGGTAAGAATATCATTAAAATTATTTGACTAAAAAATTAGATCCGATCTTACATGGCGTGATGTTCAAGCTTTGATTGTTAAAACAGCTCTTCCATTTAGTACAGAACATTATACATGGGAGAAACTTCCTTCTGGACGTTATTATCATAATAATTTTGGCTTTGGAAAGCTAGATGCATATGCAATGGTTCAACAAGCAGAAACATTTCAAAAATTAAATCCTCAGACAAAGTTTTCAATTCCAATAATAAAAATTGATAAGAAGTTTTCTGAAAGCAATGGACGTATCACGAGCAGTTTTTATATTCATGGTGGATATCCTACGCATTATAACTTTAAAAGTTTGGAATATGTTGGTGTTTCATTTCGTTATACGCACAAATTTATAGGTCATCTGGAGTTTAATATTACCAGTCCTTCTGGAATTACTTCACAATTAGCACATAGACGTGGTAATAGTAAGTTTCGTGGTCGTGTTGATTGGACTTTTATAACTGTAAAGCATTGGTATTTTGTTTCATTTTATAAAATAATCACTAATGATTTTTTAGGGGAGAATCCATTGTAGGTAACTGGACTATCGATGTTGAAGATCAAGGCGATCGGAATCTAGATGATCAAGTTTATGATTGGCAACTTCATTTTTTTGGAGAGTCCTGTGATCCAAATAAAGTACCAGTTCTTTCATACCCTTTTATAACTAGATATCCAACTACTATGCCTCCACCGGAACCAAATACTACGCTTTTGTCACCTGTATGTTTTACATCGGAATCACCATCTGCATCGCTACCGCCTACACCACAACCGGAGCCACAACCAGAGCCACCTGCACCTGCACCACAACCGGAACAAAAACCAACATCAATAACTTCATCTACATCTACGACTTCAAGCAAAACTAAAACATCAACCACTCGAAAAGCTTCATCTACTACAAAAACCTCTACACGGCCGTCTCCTACTGAGGGTACTTTTACTGGATCAAGTGCTTCTCATCTTTCATTCTTCGAAAAAAGGCATTTGTTACTTCAAATGATATTATTGTTATTCTTTTTCTTATTTTTGGGTTACTCTTTTTAACCTATAGGATTTTTAAGAAAACGGACATCTCAGCGATAGACTTTCTATAATTGAAGCACTTAATGATGATTCTGATCCAAATATATCTTAAGAAATCGAAAAAGCTGCTATGTTGAAAAAAAACCGTTAATTCATTCAATATTAATGATACTGCTGATTTTGATCTGCATGAACAACATACTCTTCATATTTAAATAATTAATTTTAATTCTATTTATGTATATATTTTTCTAATATATTTATGTATATATTTTTCTAATATATTTATGTATATATTTTTCTAATATATTTATGTATATATTTTTTTAATATATTTATGTATATATTACTTGACCTATCATCCACCTTATGCTTTCTTGCTCCAACTTACTCTGATATTATATCTTAACATTAAAAATATAGAGAAGCTAGAATTGCTTAGAAAAGTGCTTAATCAGTTAGCATATTCTATTTTCTTGAATTATTTTCAAAGAAGAATGTACTCAAATGTATTATATTTATTAGTATATTTTATAGAGGTTTTTTTCTGATAAAAAAAGTGGTAATCATTGGATCAGGGCCTTTTGGGTATATTTTAACTAAATATGAACTTTATTTATAAAGTACTAGTTATATGGCAATTATTTATCTTGAAAGAGAAGAATTGAAGCTAATTCTTTGTTAAGGAATCTTATCTAATGGTATTGCATTAGATGGAGAGATAACAACATAGAATAAAGGAATAAAAGAATCTGATAACCCTTTATTAATATCTTAAACATAGAAGAGATGTAGAAAATTACCAGGGATTTTCTGATGGTATTTTGGGTCTTTTATTAATCTAAGCTTTAGAAAGCAGTCAGAAAAAATAAGCATTTCTGGAAAATTAAAGTAATATAAGAAAAAATAGAGAAGAGAATGTGTTCAATTAAACTAAAAGTACATGTCAAACATCATTAGTCGAGTATTCTTTAATTAAAACTAAAGATCAGAAGTATTGATTATAAATCAATATTGAAAACAATGCAATGATTAAAGAAAAAAATTAAGAATTAATTATTTGAATAAAGTTATAAATAAGAAAGATACTGGATTTAAGAATAATAATATAGTATTAAAAGTAGTAAAAGTTCGAAATGAATTAAAATAAATGTTAAAAGTCGGTAAATAAAATCTAATATATATATTATTTTATAAAAAACAATTGAATGGGATGAGAAAAAATATAGAAAAAAACAAGAAAAATCATTTAAATTTATAATCAATATTTGTAATAATTTTTATTATTAATAGTTTTTCCTAATTTTTTAGGGTTTAATAGAAACTGCGAGATTGATCTTAAAACCTTTTCATGAAATAACTATCAAGCTTAATAAAGGACCCAATTTAGAAGCATATTTTTAATATTTATGCTATATATTGGGATCCTGAAATAATATGAAATGCTTTTTTCCAAAATTAATAAAATTATAGTTCTAGGAATATTGATTTTAATTGGTGATTATATTTTGGATTATTTTTATTTTTAACTATTTATAGTTCCTACTTATGGCAATCAAAGCACACATTTGAAAACTAGAGATTCTCAAGAAAGCGCAGTAAATACGCCGCTTAAGGATTTTGTTGTTGAGGATGAAGATATCATTGCTTATATTTTGAAAGAAGATTATAAAAATGAAAATAAATGCAAGCTAAAGCTTAAGGAATATTGTGAAGAATTGAAGGTTATAGATCAAGGATTAAATAAAGTTCATAGTAAAGTTAAAGAAATTTGTAATAATGTAGAACAAAAATGCACAGATACGAAAGCAAAGATTGAAAAAGAATTGGAAGCTTTTAAAAATGAACTTAATTTATTGAAAAATTTCATAAATGAAGGAAATTGTGAAAAATATGAAGAAAAATGTATACTTTTAGAGGATGCAGATCCAGCTAATCTTAAGGAGAACTCTATCAACTTGAGGGAAGGATGTTACATATTCAAGCGTGAAAATGTGGCAGAGGAGCTTCTTTTGAGGGCGCTCGGAAAGGAAGCTAAAGATGATGGTGAATGTAAAGGAAAGATGAAAGATGTTTGCCCAGTGTTAAGTCGAGAAAGCGACGAGTTGATGACTTTTTGTCTTAATCCAACTAGCACGTGTCCATATCTAAAAAACAAATTAGAAAAAGTTTGCGAGTCTTTAAAAAAAAAACTTAAAGATGGCGAATTAGTGGAAAAGTGTCATGAAAGACTTGAGAAATGCCATTTTTACGGAGAAGCGTGTGATAAACCAATGTGTGATGAGGATAAGACGAAATGCAAGGAAAAAAATATTACATATAAAGCTCCAGGATCCGATTCTAGTCCTGTCGAACCGAAGCCGTCGTTGTTGACAAGGATTGGGTTGGAAGATGTTTATAAAAGAGCTGAAAAACATGGGATTATTATTGGAAAAGCAGGAGTGGATCTACCAAGAAGGTTTGGTGATGATTTACTCCAAGATCTCTTGTTAGTGTTGAGCAGATATGAGCGAGAGAAGGAACCAGATAAAAAGTGCAAAAAAGCGTTAGGAAAATGTGATGATTCTAAGTATTTGGATACTGAATTGGAAAAGTTATGCAATGATGGAAAGAAACAAGAAAAATGCGAAAAAATGCTAGATGTAAAAGAAAGATGTACAAAACTCAAATTAAATCTTCATCTGAATGGGTTGTCTACGGAATATGATGAAAAAGCTGATTCAGATCTTTTATTCTGGAGAGAGCTGCCAATATTATTTACGAAGGGAGAGTGTACAGAACTTGAGTCGGAATGTTTTTATTTAGAAACAGCGTGTAAAGATAATGAGATTGATCAAGCGTGTCAAAATGTACGAGCAGCGTGCTATAAAATGGGACAAGATAGGATGTTGAATAGGTTCTTTCAAAAGGAACTAAAGGGGAAGCTTGGTGATTTAAGATTTGATAGTGAAAGTCTTAAAAAATGCCAAGAATATGTGGTAGAAAACTGTGCAAAACTTAAAGATAAAAGATACCTTCCAAAATGTCTTTACCCTAAAGAACTATGTTATGCGCTTTCAGATAATATTGTTGTTCAATCAAGAGAGTTAGGTGTGCTTTTGGATGGTCAGAGAGATTCTCCATTAGAAAAACATTGTCTTGAATTGGGGGAGAAGTGTGATGAACTTGATAGGGATTCATATTTGAATTCTGGAAAGTGTGAAACATTGAAAAGACGCTGTGAATTTTTTAACGTTACAAAGAGATTTAGAAAAGAATTTTTAAAAAGAAAAGATGATTCGTTAATGACTCAGGATAATTGTACGAAGGCGTTGCATGAGAAATGTGAAGCTTTATCTAGGAGGAGAAAGAATCCATTTAAGGTTTCATGTGCTTTGCCAGGAGAAACATGTAAATATATGGTACACCATACAAGACAAGATTGTTTTTATTTAAATGCCAACATGGAAATTGAACAAATTGTAGAAAGAATTGAAGAAGAAATTGAAAAAGTAAATGAAAAAGCAAATGAAACCTTGGTTGAAGAACTCTGCACAACATGGGGCCCATATTGTCACCAATTTATGGAGAATTGTCCAAGTACTTTGAAAAAAAATAAAATTAAACCAGATTATAATTGTGAAGAACTCGATGAAAAATGCAGGGATACTTTTAAAAAGTTGGAATTGGAGGAGGAGCTGAGTCATCTGTTGAAAGGCAGTTTAAGCAACGGTAATCAATGTAAAGAAGCATTAGGAAAGCGTTGCACTGAGTTGCAAAATAATGAAACATTCAAAATTCTGCTTGATAAGTGTGATGTTAATACCAAGGGAACTGTTTGCGCGAAATTAGTTAAAAAAGTAAAAGAGAGATGTCTTACTTTAAAAGACGATCTAGAGGAAGCGAAAAAAGAGTTGAAGGTCAAGAAAGAAGAATACGATAAACTCAAACAGGAGGCAGAAAAATCTACAAAGGAAGCTAGCTTATTGCTATCAAGACCTAGACAAACTGTAATGCCAAGTGCGCAGAATGGCAGTGCTTCTGAAGAAGTATCACAACCACCGTCAGCACCAGAAAAAGAGTCATCACCACCACAACAAGTACCAGCAGGGTCATCATCATCAGACTCATCATCACAATCACAAGGGTTACCATCATCACCAGAGTCATTACCACCATCATCATCAACTGGTGGGACGCCAAACGCATCAGATGGAACGACGGGCCCTTCAAAACTTGGACTCGTTAAAAGAGCATATGTAGATGGAGAAGTATCAGAAGCAGAGGTAAAAGCATTTGATGCAACGACAATAGCATTGGAGCTGTATTTGGAATTGAAAGAGGAATGTAAAGCTTTAGAACTAGATTGCGGTTTTAGAGAGGATTGTCCGAATTCTAAAGAAGTTTGCGGAGAAATAGACACGTTATGCAAAGAAATAGAACCATTAAAAGATAAGCCTTATGAAAAAATAACAGAACCGTGTACATTATTGCAGACGACGGATATATGGGTGACGAGTACGTCGATAGTGACGTCAACAGTCACGTCGACCTCGATGCGCAGGTGCAAGCCTACCAAATGTACTACTGATTCAAGCAAAGAGACACAGAAAGGAGAAGAAGAAGAAGAAGAAGAAGAAGTAAAGCCAAATGATGGGATGAAAATAAGAGTTCCTGATATGATTAAAATAATGTTGTTGGGAGTGATTGTTATGGGGATGATGTAAAATGAATGAAAAAATGTTAATAGAATGAAAATGTGCATATATCCATTGTTTATATATAATAGAAATCTAAATGAATGAAATGAAGTTTTAATCATTTTAGTCCGCCATTTTAATTAGCGACTTAGCTTTATTTGGTAAAGTTTAAGCTTATCGTAGAAGAGCTAAAGTTTATGATTAATGATAAGAACTCTAACTTGTAAAAAATCGTTTCAAAACAACTTTTCACTCACTTCCCTACATCCAACTTAGAAACAATAGTTTAAACTCCCTACAAAGGGGTGGCAATGGCACGGCCGGTTAAGAGGCAAGCATTAGGAGTACAAGATGACATTAAGGAAGAACACCTTTTGGCTTTCATTGCGAAGGAGAAATATGAAAACGGATGCAAAGATGAACTTAAAAAATATTGTGAAGAGTTGAAGAAAGCAGATGAAAATCTAGAGAATGTGGATGAAAAAGTTAAAGGACTTTGTGATGATAAAAAACGAGATGGAAAATGCCAAGAACTGAAAGACAAAGTTAAAAAAGAATTGGAAACTTTTAATGATGATCTTGAAGCATCGGTAGATGACATACAAGATGAAGATTGTAAAAAACATGAAGAAAAATGTATACTTTTAGAGGAAGCAGACCCAACTAATCTTAAGGAGAACTGTGTCAAGTTGAGGGAAGGATGTTACGAATTGAAGCGTAAAAAGGTGGCAGAGGAGCTTCTTTTGAGGGCGCTCGGAGGGGATGCTAAAGAAGTGAATGAATGTAAAGGAAAGATGAATACTGTTTGCCCAGTGTTAAGCCGAGAAAGCGACGAATTGATGTCTTTCTGCCTTGATCCGACTAAAACGTGTAAAGCGCTGGAAACCAAATTGAAGGATGTTTGCCAGCCTTTACAAAAAGAATTGAATAAGAACGAATTAGACGGAAAGTGTCATGAAAGACTTGAGAAATGTCATTTTTATGGAGAAGCGTGTGGTAATACAAAATGTAAGGATGATAAGGAGCAATGCGAGGGAAAAGGAATCATATATAAAGCGCCGGAGTCTGATTTTAGTCCGGTCAAGCCGAAGGCGTCGTTGTTGAGAAGGATCGGGTTTGATGATGTCTATAAAAAAGCTGAAAAACATGGGATTATTATTGGAAAAATAGGAGTGGATCTACCAAGGAAGTCAGGTACAAAATTTCTGCAAGATCTCTTGCTACTGTTGAGCAGAGATGAGAATGATGCAGGGAAGAAATGCGGTAAAGCGTTAGGAAAATGTGAAACTTCTAAGTATTTGAATACTGATTTGATGGAGTTATGCAAAGATGCTGATAAACAAGAAAAATGCAAAAAAATACTAGATGTAAAAGAAAGATGTACAAAACTCAAGTTAAATCTTTATGTGAAAGGGTTGTCTACAAAATTTAAAGAAGATGAAAAATCAGATCTTTTATCGTGGGTAAAGCTTCCAACCTTTTTTATAAAAGGAGAGTGTGCAGAACTTGAGTCGGAATGTTTCTATTTAGAAAATGTGTGTAATAATAAGATTGATGAAGCATGTCAAAATGCAAGAGCAGCGTGCTATAAAAAGGGACAAGACAGGATGTTGAATAAGTTCTTTCAAAAGGAATTGAAGGGAAAGCTTGGTCATGTAAGATTTTATAGCGATCCTAAAGATTGTAAAAAATATGTGGTAGAAAACTGTACAAAACTTAAAGAAGATAAAAGATACCTTTCAAAATGTCTTTATCCTAAAGAACTATGTTATGGGCTTTCAAATGATATTTTTCTCCAATCCAAAGAGTTAAGTGCGCTTTTGGATGATCAAAGGGATTTTCCATTTGAAAAGGATTGTGTTGAATTGGGAGAGAAGTGTGATCAACTTAGTAGTGATTCATTATTGAATTTAGAAAAGTGTATAACATTGAAAAGACGCTGTGAATACTTTAAGGTTACAGAGGGATTTAGAAAAGTATTTTTAGAAAAAAAGGATGATTCGTTAATGACTCAGGGAAACTGTACAAAGGTATTGCATGAGAAATGTAATACTTTATATAGGAGGAGAAAGAATTCATTTAGTGTTTCATGTGCTTTACCAGAAGAAACATGTAGTTATATGGTATTCCACACAACTCAAGATTGTAAATATTTAAAAGAAAACATCAAGAATGGAGGAATTGTAGGAAAAATTGGAGGAGCAAATGGAAATGAAACAGCACTTGAAGAACTCTGCACAACATGGGGCCGACATTGTCACCAACTTGTGAAGAATTGTCCGGATCAATTGAAAGAAAATAACAATGATCAAAACTGTGAAAAACTCGATGAAAAATGCAGGGATACTTTTGAAAAGTTGAAAGCGAAGGATGATTTGACTCATCTGTTGAAAGGAAATTTAAATAATGAAGAAAAATGTAAAGAAGCATTAGGAAAGAATTGCACTGAGTTGAAAAAGAATCAACCATTCAAAATTCTGCTTAGTGATTGTGAAAAAGATAAGCAAAATGTTTGCAAAGAATTAGTTGAAAAACTAAAAAAGAGATGTCCTACTTTAAAAGCCGGTCTGGAGAATGCGAAAAAAGAGTTGACAGAGAAGAAAAAAGAATACGATGAGCTCAAACAGGTAGCAAAAGAATCTACGGAGAAAGCTAAGTTATTACTATCGAAGCCTCGACAAACTGTAACTCCAAATGCGCAGAATGGCAGTGATTCTGGATCAGCACCACCAGCACCACCAGGGCCACCACCAGCACAGCCACCATCAACTGACGGAACGGCAAACACGTCAGGTGTAACACCAGGAGCACCAGATGGAACACCAGGCACAACAGGTGAGACGAAGAATCCAAGCCTTGGACTCGTTAAAAGAGAATATGTAGCTGAAGGAGTATCAGAAGTAGAAGTAAAAGCATTTGATGCAACGACGATAGCATTGGAATTGTATTTGGAATTGAAAGAAGAATGTAAAGCTTTAGAATTAGATTGCGGTTTTAAAGAGGATTGTCCAGATACTAAACAAGCTTGCGAAAATATAGACACTTTATGTAAACTGGAACCATTAGAAATTAAGCCTCATCATACAGAGACAATAACAAATAAGGTGACGGAAACGAAGACGGAAACAAAGACTGAAACAAAGACTGATGACAAGGCTGATGAGAAGACCGGTACGAAAACTGTTACAGAAACCAAGACAATAGGTGGAGGAAAAGTAACAGAAGAGTGTACATTAGTCAAGACAACAGATACATGGGTGACGAGTACGTCATTGCATACGAGTACGACAACGAGTACGTCAACGGTGACGTCGACAGTGACGTTGACTTCGATGCGCAAGTGCAAGCCTACCAAATGTACTACTGATTCAAGCAAAGAGACACAGAAAGAAGAAGAAGAAGAAGTAAAACCAAATGATGGGATGAAAATAAGAGTTCCTGATATGATTAAAATAATGTTGTTGGGAGTGATTGTTATGGGGATGATGTAA